TCCACGTGCTCTCCTCGCTTTTTAATTTCCAGACTGTGCTCAATAACAAGCGATGCGTCTGCGTCATGCTTGTTTCTCCTCTCACCTCTCTTATTGTTTCAGGGAATAGAATGTCTTTAGGAACAATGACGTGATTGGGGATTCAGAGGTCCTAGTCGTGGCCGTGGAGAGTTTGCCCCTCCCTTCCTTCTCCTCCCAGCTCATTCATTGTGTGGGGCCCATCTCGCCTCTCCCCCCACTTTTCCCTTCGTGCTCTGTCAATAGATGATCATATAAATAGCCACTGTCTGTGCTGGGAGAAGTGTCTGGGCAGCCTTGGCTCAGAATTAGCGACGTGTGTGAGAGCAGATTGCATTGAAAAGGTGGCTGCATCATCATGTCCTACATAGCGGAGGGCGGTCCTCTCTTTGAAGGAGCCCTTTTTCTGGAAAGTGGTCCACTTTATAAAGATAAAGACCTCCGCAGTTGGAGCTGATAGTGCTTCTATTTGCTGGAAGCTGCAGGAGCAGAGAGTGCTGTTGCGCTCAGGTCCTTGTTGGCAGATTTCCCACAAGGCCATTGTGAGAACAGGATGCCGGACAAGAAGGGCCATTGGGCTGATCTGGTTTTTTATGTTCTTATGTTTTTTCATACAGTGGTACCTCAGGTTACCCTGGGACGCAGGTGGCGCTGTGGGTTAAACCACATAGCCTAGGGCTTGCCGATCAGAAGGTCAGCGGTTCGAATCCCCACGACAGGGTGAGCTCCTGTTGCTTGGTCCCTGCTCCTGCCAACCTAGCAGTTCAAAAGCACCTCAAAGTGCAAGTAGATAAATAGGTACCGCTCCGGCGGGAAGGTAAATGGCATTTCCATGTGCTGCTCTGGTTCGCCAGAAGCAGCTTAGTCATACTGGCCACATGACCCGGAAGCTGTATGCCGGCTCCCTCGGCCAATAAAGCGAGATGAGTGCTGCAACCCCAGAGTCGGCCACGACTGGACCTAATGGTCAGGGGTCCCTTTACCTTTACCTCAGGCTAAGAACTTAATTCGTTCCGGAGCTCTGCTCTTAACCTGAAACTATTCTTAACCTGAAATTCCACTTTAGCTAATGGGGCCTCCTGCTGCCGCCGGAGCACGATTTCTGTTCTCATCCTGAAGCAAAGTTCTAAACCCGAGGTACTATTTCTGGGTTAGCGGAGTCTGTAACCTGAAGCGTCTGTAACCCAAGGTACCACTGTAATCTGAAGAAGGGAGAGCAGGAGGGGTCCTGAGGTTGCCCATCAACAGTGAGAGCCCAGGCAGTGGGCAGACCAGGCACACAGGCCACCTGCTTGCCGTCTTCCCCCACTATTGTGGCAGATGTGTTACCTTCCAGCTTAAATGGTAGCAGTCCTATTTAGCTTTGCACCTACAAATGCAAATTTCAGGCAAATCTGCATTCTCGTTTTTAGCCACACATTTATTTTATTTTTTTCCCTTGGCAGCAGAACACAAGTGGCCAGCTGGTCACCTTATTACAGAACCATCTACGCAAGAGATGGGAAAGTAACCATTTCGCAGAAGAACATGAGTGTGGAGATCTGGAAAGCCAAGTGCGTGGTGGCAGGGGGGGGGGAAGAGGTCATGAGTGTTGAAGTGTAAAAATCCCCTGTGGAGAAAGGGCTAAGCACACACCCCCGTCCTCTTGTGATCTAAAGGTACGAAGAAGACTTGTTCAACAATAAGAGGGCATTCGCATACAACAAAATCAAGAGGGAAAATGAGTGGTGCAAGAATTTGAGATTCCTGCATTGCAGGCGGTTGTACTACATGACCCTCAAGGGTTGCTTCCAACTCTACCATAATATGATTCTACAGAACCTGTGGCCCTCTAAATACTGTTGAACTACCAGCTCCCACCAGGCCCAGCCAGTATGGTCAGTGGCCAAGAATGATGGGAGTTGTAGTCCGCCAACATCTGGAGGGCCACAGCTTCCCCTGCCTTGGCAGTAAGCACTCCTTTGTTTGAAGACTTATTTAGTCTGTCTCCCTTTCCACTTTGTTAAAGAAGAATTCGTTTTTCCTACGTGTATGAATGCAGATTTGGACAAGCACATGAACATGTGGCGAAAAGTGGTGGATACTGTGCAGACTCCACAGATATGGGAGTAGAACTCCTTTTCCTTCCCATTGCAGCCCCTTCCACCCTCCAGCTGCCCAAAGCTGCTCCTGAGAGTCAGACAACCCTCTAGGTTTGTGTGGGTTGCAGGGCTGGGGGAATGCAGTGGGAGGAGAAAACTGACAGGAATTGGAGACCTGCCCTGAGGTGGGGTGGGGTGGGAGAGGCTTTCTACTTGCACAAAGGGCTCCCTGGGCATCACCCAATTTATCATCATCATCATTAATCACCTGCCTGATTCCTTAATCTTTAATTCCAGGATTGGTCACAACAATAAAAACACAATGTTGAAAACACAGAAATAAGGTGGGCCTTCAAAGGGTATCTCTCTGGTGTCAAATGCCAGAGTGAAGAGGTTTTTCTTTAGCATTTGCCCAGGAACGGTTTAATGGAGGCAAAATGTGGGGAAAGAGTTCCACAACTCAGTTGCTGCCACAGAGAATGCCCTCTCCTGGGTCACCTGTGCATCTGAGGGTGGCAAAACAACCGAGAGGGCTCATTTTAGCATCCAGTTTTCAGGGATTTGCGGACTGAGTTGTTTAGGGCTTTAAACGTCAATACGAGCATCTTGAAGTGGGCCCAGAGATGAACTGGCAAGCAGTCACATGTGCTGGTTTCCGCCCAACTTTTTTGGGGGGGGGGCCTGGCATGAGCATGTGATGTCATGCGGCGGGAGGAGGCCGTTCCCTTCCAGCCGTCCCGCTGCGAAGACCATCACCTCTGCTCCAACATAAATCAGCGACCCGGGCAGATAGAACTGCGCACACAGTATAGGTGTGAGGCTTGTGGAAGCATACTACAACTACAGATTTATTAATCATAAATCAGGGCAAAGAAAGATGAGAGAACAGCTAAAACAAAAGCTATACACACAACGGAAGTTCCCAGCATACTGTGCTGGAATGTAAACAGACATGTGACACGTAACAATCCCATGTCTGTTCCTTAAGGTGAATGGAAATGTCAACAGGCTCCACAAGGCCTGTCGCAGCCACAGGCAGGCCCAAAGGGGCCCAATGTAGCCTCAGGAAATCCTGCCAGGGCTCATTGTATGCTGTGGAATATTGAGGGGGGCTGGCCGCCTCACTGAAAATTGGTGCCCCTGCAACCAGTGCAGCTGTTTTAAAAATGGGGTAATATGGAATCTAAATGGAAACCCAGTTAGTAAGCTAGCTGCTGTATTTGGGGCCGATTGGAGTTTCTGAGCCGTCTTCAAGGGCAGCCCCACGTAGAGCGCGTTGCAATAACCCAGTCTGGAAGTTACCAGAGCATGGAGTACAGCGGCCAAGTCATCTCTGTTCAAAAGCAAGCTGTAGCTGGCAAACCAGCCATTATCTGGAAAGCTACCTATGCATGTGTGGTAATATTTTTGAGGAATTGGGCACTGCTTTTCACTGAATGTGGATAAAAGCGGGGAGGGGGGGGAACCACTTCACAATGTCGTCCAGATGGTACAGTACCCCATACATATTGCATTATCGCAAGTGGGAACAACATTTTCAAGGGGCTGTAAGTACAGAAGCACACACAAAGGAGATTTGTTTCATTTATAGTGTTGATGGTCGACTAACAAAGAAGCGCTGCTGGGAAATAAATAATGAAAATTGAAACGATTCTTGGATTTATTAATATGCACTTAAGATGGTGCTTATGTTCTTACAGGGAAAGAACTGGCCTCTTTTATGATAACAGCTGTCAGGATTGTGTGTGCCAGATAGTGGTTATTTTTTTATTTTTTTTAAACCCTAGTTATTAAGGAATAGATAAATAAAGCACAAGACAATGTCCTTAAGGCAAAATTAAATCATGATATGAGCAGAAGGGGAGGGGAGTTAAATCGATGGATTTAATCAGATCTCTCCTGTTGTTGTGCGCTATGGAATCAAGATGTTGTGAAATTAAAATGAAAGGAAATGGAAAATAGTATTTAAAGTTTAAATTAAAAGAAAAGGGTTACCTTCTTACTGCTTCTTGTTAGGAAAACACATCATATGCACGGAGTATGCTGTCGAGCCATGCGTTCAGCTACCAGAAGGTCAGAGCTTTCAGGAAGATGGCAACTTGGAAAAAGTGGGATATTGCTGAGATTACAAACAGGGTCGCTTGTATTTTATTATGCTACAATCTCACTGTACAAACGCAGAATTTGGTATCGGACGCAGCACTTTGGCCTCCAGAGGATTTGCACTTAGAGCACAGGAGCATAGGATAGAAAGCTGCGATATACTGAACCAGATCTTTGGCCCATCTGGGCTCAATATTGTCCAGGGTTTCAGACAGGGGTCTGTCTCAGCCCTACCAGGAATTGAACCGGCAACCTTCTGCCTGCAGAGCGGTTGCTCTACCGCTGAGCTATGGCCTTGCCCCTTAAGGTTGTGGAAACAGATGAGCACATCTGTGTTATGTCCCCATGCTCAGTTCCCACTGCCATCGGTTAACATGGTCACCATGCTGGGAAACATCCCTGTAAAAAGCTGTTACTGGGGATTGCTGATGACACCGGCTAGATGGATGAATGTTCTGACTTCAAATGGATGTTCCAATGAATGCCCTTCCACATTCAGTGAATGTGTGAGGCAGGATTGCACCTAGAAGCACCCAGCCCAGCATACCTGCTCTGAGTGGCCTCATGTCCAGCACTGGAGCAGTACAGGAAATATATATATACAGTGGTACCTTGGTTGTCGAACTTAATCCATTCCGGGAGTCCATTCGATTCCAGGAACAGTTCGAAAACCAAGGCACGGCTTCCGATTGGCTGCAGGATTTTCCTGCGTTCAATCAGAAACCGCGTAAGCAGCGCCAGACATTCAGCTTCCAAAAAACAGTTGCAAACCGGAACACTCACTTCCGGGTTTGTGGTGTTCAGGAGCCAAAATGTCTGAGTGCCAAGGCGTTCGACAACCACGGTATGACTATATGACGTGTGGGTCTTCTTCGGTGACCAGACAGAGAATAAAGCCATGCAAATTGGTCAATATATGCAAATGTGTACCGTTCCTAAGGTCACATTCCTCTCTTCCTGTCCTCAGATGCCGCTTCTCATGGTGCTGAGCTTGCTGGCGCTGACGACACCGCTACCTGGCGACGGGGCGCTTCACCTGAACACTTCCGAAGGTAAGAACCTCTGTTCCCATTCCCGGCTTCCCCACATCTGCTCAAGGAGCTGCAATTCTGGCTCGCTGAATTCCCTGTGGGGTGCATATGAATGAACAGCTGAAGGCTGGTTCTTTCCAGACACTTCTCCCAGTTTGCATCACACATTAAACGTCTGCTCAAACAACCGTTTCTCGTTGTGTTCCTGTGTCTTTGACATTGTTAGCGTTTCTTATTATTTATTCAGCAGTTAAAATACTGCCGAGAAGCCTGCAGCCGAAGGATATCGAGCGGCTAGGCCCAAGTGCGTGTGCTGAACTTACCTCAGATCTCTCTTCGCTTTGACCTTTCCCCCAAGCCTTCTTTGTTTTCAACCGACCCTTTCCTCCAAGGACTTCTCCTGGTGTGAGGACCTCCCTGGGCAAGTGGATCTTCCCCACCTTGCTTCTAGTACTCCCTCAATCGGCAGACTTATCGCTGCCACCACCGCACCAGGTTGCAAACCACCACATTCTGAGAGGGGCTCATGTGAGCGCCAGCTATTTTGACGTTCCCACAATGCCCGCAGCATTGCTCTGAGGCACTGTGGGAATGTCAAAATGGTGGGTTTCTGCCTGCCTGTGGCTGCCCCTCTGTAAATTTGAACTGAATGGTTGGGGCAGTGGCAGGTGGCAGGGCTCAGCTTAGAACCTGGACCCCCAGAACTCAATAAACACACAAGACGTAACCGGCTGTACTTTTGAATAAATAAGGTACACTATTCATTGTATCAAATTGTAGATTTCAACGGAAGTCTCATAAAGTTCAACAAAAAAAGCAGAAGACCCAGTGGATCAGTTCATTCTCTAGTCAGTTCATGCAGAAGGTCCATACATGTTTAAGTGTCTGTGAAAGGATTCTGTGGAACTGTAACAACCCTTCATGTGGATTATTGGACTCTGTGAACAGACGGGTGGAATAGACACATAGATTTATGGAGCTTATGCATGAACTGACTAGAGAATGAACTGAGTATGTTTCACGTAACCATAGCTTTGTTGTTGTTTTGGACCCCCAGAACTGCCTGACCATGTTGTGTGGGCCCACCGGCCCTCCTTCCCTCAAATTCCTGCCTCTCGGTCCATTGTCTGCTGTCTGTGTATCCATTGTATCCCCCGCCCCACAGTTTCACCGCCTTTCTGGGACCTCTTTCTAGTCCTTAGTCTGCCCCTGTCCAAAGCTGTGTGGTTTAACGCCAGCCAAAGCGACAACTCTCCCTTCCCTCAGAGAATCTGAGTTGCGAACATCCTAACTGCTTTGTTCCCTGAGCAGCTGGAATGTTCATGAAGGTTTCAGGCCCTCATGCCAGTCGTTGTCACAGTCATCCTTTGCCCCGCTTTACAGTTACTTTAACTATTATTTATTATTTTACTTTTATTTATTTGATGTGTATACCCTTTTCTGTAGATCCCAGCAGTTCACAACCTGAAATCAGAAACAGGCTACAGGAAACAGCTTGGTAACTATTTACGGTAAATAAAGGATAGTCCCCTGAGGTAAAATGGAGGACTGCCATCCATAAAGTAGGACACTCTGTTAGTTGTCATGAGCTGTGGCGTATTTGGCCTGGGGTTGTCGCTTGATTATATTTTGGATGGTGTTTTTGTGCTGTTTCCTCGTTTCAGCATGTGATGCTTTTATGATGGAAAGAGGGATCTTTGTTTGTGGTAAAAACCTGATGCGGAACATTCTTTTAGCCAGCATAAAATAATATTTATGAGGACTGAGCTGTAAGCAAATGCATCCAGCATTGCAGCTGTTACGGCAGGGGTTGCTTCTCCTTTTTTGCCAAAGTTGTTGAGATTTCGCAAATAAGTTTTTGAGCTCTTTTTAATGGAATTTGCCAAAATCTACACTACCCGCATGGGCTGCCATACTTCCAGATTTTCACAGACATTTAAGCGATTTCCGTCCGGACATTGCTTACTATGTCCTGGAAATTCAGGACGTCGGGCAACCCTACTTGCCACCCACTCCTGAGACGGTATCAAGAAGAACGATGGATGTGCATTATAGGACCAGGGAGAGTCCTGGGTTCAAATCCCCTCTCTCTCTCTCATGAACTTCACCACTGCCAACCTAGCAGTTTGAAAGCACACCAGTGCAGGTAGATAAATAGGTACCGCTGCAGCGGGAAGGTAAACGATGTTTCCGTGCGCTCTGGTTTCTGTCACTGTGTCCTGTTGCGCTGGAAGCGGTTTAGTCCTGCTGGCCACATGACCCAGACAGCTGTCTGTGGACAAATGCCAGCTCCCTTGGCCTGAAAGCAAGATGAGTGCCACAACCCCATAGTCGCCTTTGACTGGACTTAACCGTCCAAGGTTCCTTTACCCTTACCTAGTAAAATGTGGTAGCTACTCTGAGCACCTTTAGGGAAGGATGAGGTAGAATTGTAATAAACATTGGAGTTTCTTTCTTTCTTTTTTTTTAATATTTATTCCAAATTTTAGAATTACAAGAAAGAAAAATCCATACAAAATAGAATAAACATAAAACAAAAAACAAACAATAAGAAAAGCTCAACAAAGAATATAAAAGTGCAGTACAATAAAATAAAACAAAAAACGAATTAAACCTTTACCTAGCCTTTTTTCCTTTTACTTACTTCCGTGACCTCCTCTCACCTCCCTGCTTTGTATTCTAGTTTAAATCGTATTTCCAGCAAATCCTTCTAACCTTCTTTTCATTTACTTATTTTAACATTCAATAGAAACATTGGAGTTTCTGACACAAGGGTGGGGGCCAGTTCTGCTGTCCTCAAGAAAAAAATATCCATAGAGAAAGCAGAGTTAAGGATAAAACACTAAAAAGGGGAGTTACAAACAAACATGCTAAAAGTTATTTAATATTTCGGGTTGCCATATTTCAAAAAGTGAAACTCCAGACACAAAAGTTGTTTAGTTTTGCCCAAAGCTGTTGAATGTTTAATGTTTCATAAGAAAGCATGCTATGGCTGGCTTTTTTTTTAAAGGTTTGTGTGTGTGTGTGTGTGTGTGTGTGTGTGTGAGAGAGAGAGAGAGAGAGAGAGAGAGAGAGAGAGATATTTTCACCTCATCCTGTAGACATTAGCGTTTTAACCTTTCCCTCTGCTATTGGTTTTTCTAAAAAACATGGTGTGCTTTCTAGTGATGCATTTAGCATCATGTCTAGTGTGGCCCTTACAGTAAAACAGTATGGATTTTGTGGCTGAATAATTATTTTAAAATGTTCTTTATTGGGAAGTTGGCTCTGCCGAGTGGCTCTTTTATGAGGGAGGAAGTCTCCAACAGCACGTCCATCAGCTAGTCAGGAAAGTACTGGCTGTGTGTACATTTAAGGATGTGCCAATTCCCCCCCCCCTTCCTGGCTTAACTGGTTGCCAAAGATAGGGATCTGTTTTTCACCTGCTCTGGCATCTTTTTGCTGTTGCAATCCTTTTCCGGGGCTTTTCAAGTTCCTCTGCTTTCTCTCCCTTGTTTAGCTGAAAGCATGACCAAGTACAGTGGTACCTCGGGTTACGAACTTAATTCGTTCTGGAGGTCCGTTCTTAACCCAAAACCGTTCTTAACCTGAGACGCGCTTTCGCTAATGGGGCCTCCTGCTGCCGCCGCGCCACCAGTATACGATTTCCATTATCAACCTGAGGGAAAGTTCTCAAACTGAGGTACTGATTCCAGGTTAGCAGAGTTTGTAACCTGAAGTGTTTGTAACCCGAAGCGTTTGTAACCTGAGGTACCACTGTAAATATAAATTAAACTGGGGAAGGAAGAAGAAGAAGAGTTTGGATTTGATATCCCGCTTTATCACTACCCGAAGGAGTCTCAAAGCGGCTACCATTCTCCTTTCCCTTCCTCCCCCACAGCAAACACTCTGTGAGGTGAGTGGGGCTGAGAGACTTCAGAGAAGTGTGACTGGCCCAAGGTCACCCAGCAGCTGCAGGTGGAGGAGCAGAGACGCGAACCCGGTTCACCAGATTACGAGTCTATCGCTCTTAACCACTACACCACACTGGAGAAACACCCATTCAGATAGAGTAGAACCCCTACTCCCCACCCCACCCCCAAAAGCTGACTTTAGCTAGATATTCCAGCATATATCCAGCTGTAACTGCTGCATGTTGCTGGCATCCATCTGTCTTGGGAGATAATGGAGCAGGGCGCTTTTTGGGATGAGGTCAAGCTGTTGGAAGGTTGCAGCGCCTGCTGTGACTGTAGAGACCATACACAAATCTGAAGTGGAGTCCCAAAGGCGGTTGGATGGTATCTTGTATCCCCCCTTCTAGCAACTCCTGCAGCCGAGCTGGTGCTTCCTGCTGCTTGCATGCATACTGTATTTTTCCGTGTATAAGACAAGGGTTTTTTATTATAAAAAATGCTAAAAATTGGGGGTCGTCTTATACACAGATAGTGCAGAGGTGGGATGGGCAATTGGTGGCTGCCGCGAGCTGGAGATTGTCAGTGGCGTTTGGGCGGGTGATTGGTGGCTGTGGCAAGGTCTGCTGGCAATGGCTGCTGCGGCAATTGGGCGGGCGATTTTCGGCTGGTGGCGAGCGGGCAGACGATTGGTGGCTTCATCAATGCGTGTGATGGGCAGCTGCAGTCAGGCGGATGAGTGATTGTCGTCCCCCCCAAAAAATAGCTTAACAACTCTGGACAATCTCCCCCCATTCCTCAATTTGGAATCCCCCAAAATAGGGGTCGTCTTATACACAGGGGCGTGTTATACAGAGAAAAATACAGTACATTTGTAGCACATAGCTTCCCCCAAGGAATCCCAAGAACTGTAGTTTTTCCAAAGCTACCATTCCAAGTTCCTGTCACAAACTACAGTTCCCAAGATTCTTTAAATGAATGCTGTATACCCAGCCTTAAATTAAGCTTTTTCGGATGGGGGAACGAGTCCTGATCACATATATGCATATGAATTTCTCTATCTTAAAAGTCTGTTATTTCAGAGTTGGGGAAATTCATCAGATTGGAGTTTATTTTTAGCACTGGTAATCAATAGATGTCCCCCCCCCCTAAATGTCTGAGGCGCATGAAGTCACAGCTTGGAAAGCCATACTTTAATTAAACAGGAACACTTAAAATGCTTAGAATATTGTTACAAATGCCCAGCACCTGTCCTTCTTTCTGCCAAGCTGTGGCGAGAGCACATGGAATCTCAGGGTCTGTGTCCCTTTTGAGAATAGAAGACACGGCAGAGACTGTCATGCTTTAAGAACTAGGGTTTGTTCACCTATTTACACCCTTGGTCTGCTTGGAGGGGGTCCAGAACGTACAGCACGGCCCAGAGCATTGCAGGCAGTCCTTCCTTCCACCTCGCCAAGAAAGAACGCCCCTTTCTTCTTCCCAGAAGCCTCTCCCCCAGAGCAGTTACCCTGGCAACCTTCCAAATCTCCAGCCTCTGGTCACACCTGGGACACTGAGTTGTTGCAAACCGTGGCTGGCACTATATGGTAATATTAACAGCTCTCCCCTTCCCTCAGCCTGCCAGACTGGTTTGTGTAAGGCAGCCCAGGAATCCCCTTGCAGCTTATATTCTCCCTCCATATCACAAAGAACACCAAATCCTAGCATTTATTAATTTCTAGGGTTTTGGGGGGTCCCTCCCTACTTCTATAACAATATCATTGGGGCTGTGGGTTTGTCCGCACCAGAGCATGATGTCTTCCGCCATCCAAGTGTTGCTTTTTATTTAAGATTTTCTTGTGCTACAAAACAAATAAACAGGGGGAAGTATTTGTCATCTCCACTTTCAGTTGATGGAGTCTTTTTCACAAGGTGTTGTTCTTCTTTCCTTCTGTTGCATAGTGTTAGTGGGGGGGGGGGGGTTGTGTCAGCACCACTGTGGGGAGGTCCTATGTTTTTACGTATACAGAGGGAGGTGCATGTGTGTGACATTGTGAGAGAAGGGGGAAATCCCACATTTGAAGGTGAAAGGTCCCGGACACAGCTGTGATGGGGAGAGCCCCTACATATGTTTCTATTATTTCTTTATTTAATTATTTTCATTTACAAAAGTGTTTGTACACCGTCCTCTCTCCAAACATCAGGGTAGCTTATGACAGCATAAAAACACGTAAAAGCAATACAAAGCAATCATGAAAATGGCTCGCTGCTCAAGGGGCATTTTAAACAGCTGCATAGGTCTGCTGGCATAATAATAATAATAATAATAATAATACAGTGGTACCTCGGGATGCGAACTGGATCCGTTCCGGAGCCCCATTCGCATCCTGAACAGAACGTAAGACATGACAGCACGTCTGCGCGTGCGCGGGTCACGTTTCGCCACTTCCGTGCATGCACATGATGTCATTTTGACCATCTGCGCATGCGCGAGCGGCGAAACCCGGAAGTAATGCGCTCCGTTACTTCCGGGTCGCCGCAGAGCGCAACCCAAATGCGCTCAACCTGAAGCGTATTTATCCCGAGGTGGCGGGTAGCGCTGTGGGTTAAACCACAGAGCCTAGGACTTGCCGATCAGAAGGTCGGCGGTTCGAATCCCCAGAATGGGGTGAGCTCCCGTTGCTCAGTCTCTGCTCCTGCCAACCTAGCAGTTCAAAAGCACGTCAAAGTGCAAATAGATAAATAGGTACCGCTCCGGTGGGAAGGTAAACGGCATTTCCGTGCGCTGCTCTGGTTTGCCAGAAGCGGCTTAGTCATGCTGGCCACATGACCCGGAAGCTGTACGCCGGCTCCCTCGGCCAATAAAGCGAGATAAGCGCCTTAACCCCAGAGTCGGCCATGACTGGACCTAATGGTCAGGGGTCCCTTTACCTTTACCTATGACTGTAATAATAATAGCTTTCAAGAGACGTCCGAAGAAAACGCCTGCCAAATCCCCGCTGGAAGACTGTTCCACAGCATGGACCTGGCAATGCTAAATGCCTGCCTTCTGGCTAAGGCCGGTCTGGCTTCTGTAACATTGGGGGTAACTCACAACGCTCCTCCAATGAATAATGGAGGAACAGGTTGGTGCAAATCCATATATTGCTATGGCATGGACATGCACTCTGTCTTCCTCCTGGGCCGTGTTCAGAAAGTGGTGGTGGGGGATGAGTGTTCAGACCCCTGGGCCCTCACTTGTGGGGTGCCTCAGGGTTCCGTCCTCTCCCCCATGCTTTTTAACATCTATATGAAGCCGCTGGGAGAGTTCATCAGGGGGTTTGGACTGGGTGTCCATCAATATGCAGATGATACCCAGCTCTACCTCTCTTTCAAATCAGAACCTGTGAAGGCTGTGTAGGTCCTGTGTGAGTGCCTGGAGGGGATTGGAGGATGGATGGTGGCTAATGGATTGAAGTTGAATCCTGACAAGACAGAAGTACTGTTTTTGGGGGACAGGGGGCGGGCTGGTGTGGAGGACTCCCTGGTCCTGAATAGGGTAACTGTGCCCTTGAAGGACCAGGTGCGCAGCCTGGGAGTCAATTTGGACTCACAGCTGTCCATGGAGGCGCAGGTCAATTCTGTATCCAGGGCAGCTGTCTACCAACTCCACCTGGTACGCAGGCTGAGACCCTACCTGCCCGCGGACTGTCTCGCCAGAGTGGTGCATGCTCTAGTTATCTCCTGCTTGGACTACTGCAATGCGCTCTACGTGGGGCTACCTTTGAAGGTGACTCGGAAACTACAACTAATCCAGAATGCGGCAGCTAGACTGGTGACTGGGGGCGGCCGCCGAGACCACATAACACCGGTCTTGAAAGACCTACATTGGCTCCCAGTACGTTTCCGAGCACAATTCAAAGTGCTGGTGTTGACCTTTAAAGCCCTAAACGGCCTCGGCCCAGTATACCTGAAGGAGCGTCTCCACCCCCATCATTCTGCCCGGACGCTGAGGTCCAGCGCCAAGGGCCTTCTGGCAGTTCCCTCATTGCGAGAAGCAAAGCTACAGGGAACCAGGCAGGTGGCCTTCTCGGTAGTGGCGCCCGCCCTGTGGAACGCCCTCCCATCAGATGTCAAAGAGATAAACAACTACCTGACATTTAGAAGACATCTGAAGGCAGCCCTGTTGAGGGAAGTATTTAATGTGTGACATTTTAGTGTATTTTTAATATAGGTAGCCGCCCAGAGTGGCTGGGGAAACCCAGCCAGATGGGCTGGGTACAAATAAATTATTATTATTATTATTATTATTATTATTATTATTATGAATAGTCAGGCTGCATTTAAAGCACATGACTGTCCCGGGAACCGTTGTCTACAGCTCAGAAAGCTACAGTTCCCAACACCCTTAACAATCTATAGCTCCCAGGACTCTCTGGAGGAAGCCATATGCTTTCAGCTTATGGCGCATTTACGCAGCAAAATAGTCAGTCTCCAGAGACTAATACCAATTCAGTTCTTCCAGATGCCTATGAGTTTGCAGCCAAAGCCGCACCACCCACAAACAAGAGAACGGCAGGAGGTGACTTGGGGTAACCCCGAGGTACATGGCCATATTTTAAAAAGGTTTAGCAAGAAAACCTAAAGCAGGGGAGCTCCCTCCGAAAGCACAGCCCCATAATAACTTGGTGCTGTGGAATATTGAAAGATTGAGAGGAAATAAACCTGGCAACTGGATGGTGTGGAGGTGGGGGGAATAAGAGTTGCTGGAACATTGGAGAGAGAGAAATGCAGGTATTGAAAGGTTAGAAAGGGTCGTCTCATTACCGTTTTTGGATAGGTCATTTCCTGCTTCCTGCTGAGCAGCTCTTTTCTAAACATCCTCAGGGACAAAGCAAGAGAGCTGCCCATAGACATTAATGGAGATATGAAACACTGTGATGCAGCTGGGGATGGGTGCACTTCTGTCTGTGTACACACAGGCACACGCAGAAAAAAGAGCTGAATAGAAGGACAGGGAAACCGTCCAAAACAGGCTAATGAGGAGTGAGCATGCTCAGTGGACATGGAATTCTGTTTGATGGTTGAGAAGGAACTTAAGAGACCTAGAAATTGTTGTATGGGGCAAGGCGGGAAGGGTTTTGCGAGGAAAGGAAGCTAAGGAGTATCCAACTAGTTTTGTATACAGTTTTGCAGTCTTCTTCTTCTCCTTCTTCTCCGATCACTTGTAAGATTGTCTTCCATGAGCAGGGTCTTAACAGTGAGTGCATAAGTGAGTTGAGAATAGAGTACAGTGGTACCTCGGGTTACATACGCTTCAGGTTACAGACTCTGCTAACCCAGAAATAGTACCTCGGATTAAGAACTTTACCTCAGAATGAGAACAGAAATTGTGCGGTGGCGGTGTGGCAGCAGCAGGAAGCCCCATTAGCTAAAGTGGTGCTTCAGGTTAAGAACAGTTTCAGGTTAAGAAAGGACCTCCAGAACGAATTAAGTACGTAACCAGAGGTACCACTGTAGTTGCTTTGGAAGACGATAATCAGGCATCCGAACAACATGACCATTCCAACAAAGTTGATGCTGAAGAATCATTGCTTTGACAGTGGTGATCTTTGCTTATTCCAGTACACTGGCATTAGTTTTCCTGTCTTCCCAAGAAATGTGTAAAAAAATTAGGAGACACCGTTGATGGAACATTTCGAGGAGTTGGAGATGCCGTTTATAAGTGGTCCATGTTTCACAAGCATACAGAAAAGTTGGTAGAACAATAGCTGCAATAGGGGACGAAGACCCCTCAGCTCCTATGGTTCCTTGCTCTTGATTTCAAGGCGGGTGGGAAAGGCAGGTTTGTGGTTCTCCTGGAAAGAGTCCCCAGCAAAAAGGGGTCCATGGTGGGGATGCCTGTCCTTCCGAATGACAGGTATGTCACTGGTATTACAAATGAAAATCAGAATCCAAACCATTCACCTTGACTTTAAGCAGGAGCAAATGCAAGGACTCTGTTTCCCTGGAGACCCCTTCCCTTGGACGTGTCATCGGAGAGCTTTGAAATGTGAGGGTGCAGCCCAGCTCTGGCTCTTTTCATTTTCCCTGCGACTTAGAATTCAGTGGCCGCTCTCTCGCTCTCTCCTCAGATCCCAGTCAGAGGCCTATTTAGAATACTGATCGCTGAGCTGACCCATATAAGGGCCAGAACTCTGTCTGAAACGCTGGCCTTTTTCAGAGGCAAAGGCAGGAAGAGCTGATAGCAAAGGGAGGCGATTACCTCTGTGCGCGGCTCTGCTTTGTTATCTGGCAGAGCTCCTGTGATGTTTCAGCACTCGCGCAGAAAGCGGAAATTCAACAGGTGAAGCTGTTCCCATATCAGGTCACCTGTTGGATTCCTGACCGTCAGGTTGCTGTAGAATCAGCAGATGGCCAGAATTAAAGAAACAAATGGTCCGGCCTGCTCTTGCGCTTTTATCAGAGTTAAAACTTAAACTGCTGCGGATCAAAGGAATCGCTACAGGAGCCTGCACAAGAGCTGGCAGCCTTACGGGAATCAAAGCAGAGTAAGGGCTGGCAAAATTTTGCCTTCAAAGGGGAGCCATGTCTAAGAACCTTAAGAAAGCAGGAGAAGAGCAGGCACTGAAGTAAAGGCCAATAGAAAAAGGACAGTCAGGGAACTGAGAAATTGCACAAAACAAATGAAATACCGTGAAAATCCCTTTAACATCAGCAGTAACATCCAGACCATGGGAGCATCTCAGCCCTGTTCTTGAGTTTGTTGAAAATCTGGAACAGCTTATCTTGCATTCCTTTCTTTGAATTTGTGCCATTTAGGTCTTTAAACCTTTTTGTAAAAGCAGCACTAGAATTTTCACAGTTGAGTCCTCAACCCTTTATTACTGTGCTTTGCTTTCTTCAAGTTGGGCTTTGTTTAAAACTTGCCATTTAGGTTTTCAAACCTTTTTTGTAAATTCAGTATGAGAAACTGTACTTTTGAGTCCTCAATCCTTTATTACTGCACTTTGCTTTACCTAGGTTGAGCTAGGACTAGAATACTTCAGAATTTTTCGGGGTTCTATCCTTTATTTGAATTTTGGTCATTTAAAGTTTATGATTTTTCTATTTCCTTCTGAGGAAACTGAATAGTTCAGTGAAACGAGGTTTGTAGCCAGCATCCCTTTAAGGCTTTGTTCTGTCTTAGGTTTTTCTAATTCTTTTCCTTAAGCTTTTTGATTTTTTTATTATTTAGTTTATTTCCATAAGATAATATTTCTAGCCGATTAATTCTCGTTTCAGGGATTTTCACGATATTTCATTTGTTTTGTACAATTGAAGTAGAGGCAGCAGAAACGTACATGCAGTGGTACCTCGGGGTAAGTACTTAATTCGTTCCGGAGGTTCGTTCTTAACCTGAAACTGTTCTTAACCTGAGGTACCACTTTAGCTAATGGGGCCTCCTGCTGCCGCCGCACCACCAGAGCCCGATTTCTGTTCTTATCCTGAAGCAATGTTCTTAACCTGAAGCACTACTTCTGGGTTGGTAGAGTCTGTAACCTGAAGCATCTGTAACCTGAGGTACCACTGTATTAGGGCTGTGCACCTATTCCAGCTGAATGCCAGATCCTGAGCTGAATCGGGCCAGCTGAGGTTGACCCAAGATTTGTCTGCAACCCAAGATTTGGCCAGAGTTGATTGAGGAGTGATCTGGAGCTGTCAAAGGAGGGGAGGCGGCCCAGCAGAGAGGAGCAGCAGTGTGCAGGCTGCCTGTGTGTGTCTCCTCTTCCCTCCCAAATGTATATTTCATTAGGTTTTTGAGTCCCAGTTAAAAGATTATGCAAGGCTCTAGATTTGGTTTGCGGCTGCTCCGAAGTGCTGAGTAAGGCTCTGAATTAGATTGGGGGGTGGGTGGGCATGCACCGCTGTCATGGACTGGCTGGATGCAGAAAAGATGTGGTAGGAGGTACCAGCTGTGAAACCCCTGGGGGGAGAAGGCTCAGAGCCAGGGGACTGGTGGTGGGACTACGATGGGTGACCAGGAGGTGAAGAGGGAGCAGAATAGGAGGAGGAGGCGTCAGAAGCTGAAGGGGCAACAGGGTTTAGTGAGCAGGAAGAAGCTGGGGCAGAGAGCAGTCCAGAAGCAGAGGCAGAAGCAGAGGCTGGAGAGGAGAAGGGTCATGTGATGGCCTGGGAATCGGATTCAGATGCTGAACCTGAGGGATCCCAGCCTGCACAGGATTCCCCGCCTCCAGAACCAGCTGAGTCGGGGCTGGGGGATGAGCCTGAAGGGTCCTCACCTGTGCTGGATCCTCAGGTGCAGGCACCAGCTGAGTCTGCTCTGGCTCCTGAGGGGATGGAGGACCCATTGCCTGCAGGTGCTCCACCCTCAGCCCCGTCAGAGGAAGCTGAGGTTGCCTCTGGGTCTGGTAACCCTTCAGCCTCTCCTAAGCTGCAGAGGCTCAGGGCAGAGAGGCGGAGGGAACTAAGTTCCCGCAGGAGGAGTGCTCACCTCCAGGCCAGGAGAGGCAAGTCACCTGAGGATCGGGGCCTCCCTATGCCTCGGGGGAGATAAAAGCCAGCCAGCACCAGTCCCAAGTTGCAGGAACAACATCATTGGTTGTCAGTTCCAGCCTGACCCCTGGCCTTCTTCCCTGCCGGAACTCCTGACCTCACCTGACACCCTGCCCTGCACCCAGCTTCGACTTCTACGGACTGCCTTCATTTTGCACCATCGACCTTGGACTGGACTCGGACCTCACCTCTCAGTTAGCCCCCGGGACCAGCACAGGTCAAGAGGTTGCTGAAGAATCCAGGGAGTCTCCCCCTCCTGCTGTGACCATCTCCCTTCTCCCCTGGTCTCCCAGAACACACAGAGAAATGAAGAGGGTGGAGCAAAGAGAGACCAAGCGAAGAAGCCTTAGGCTGCTGGGAAAGGAACCAGGGGAGGAGTCTTAGAGAGCGCAAGTGCCTCATTGGGGCAAGACCTACTGGAAAGGGTGGCTGAGACCGTTAGGACTGAGCTGTTCTGTTTATTTGAACAAAGAGCTCGCTTTCCTGATTTCGGGTGATTTACTGTATTGTTTCACCCTGACTTCAGCTCCTGACAACAGCCCTAGTTCGCATAGAACTGCCTGCTCCCATAGGAACCTAGCCTTCTGCTGATGAGTCAGACCACTGGTCCAGCTACTTTAGCTCAGAATTGCTTGCACTGACTGGCAGGGGCTCTGCGGGGATTCAGGCTGGGAGTTCCTCCCAGGAGATGCTGGAGACTGAATCCGGTGTTGCTGTACCACTAAGCCATGGCTACACCCCTGTCCTAAAATCCACAGAGACTTTTCCCCAGGTGCTCCCTCAGTCTGAAGCACAGACCGTGGCTATGAGGAAGGGGGACTTTTCAGCAGTGCTCCTTGCCCCACTTGTGGAACAGTTTCCCTAGAGCCTGGCACCGACGTTGTTATCAACGCAAGGCAAATACTTCCTTGTTCTCCCGAGCTTTTTAATGCCTTCTGACATTTTAAGAACACCTTTTGAAGATAATTTTAGCAGCTTGGAAAGACTGGGTTGAATATTAGCGCCCTTGGTCTTAACAGAAGTTTCTTGAGGTTTTTTTCTTTAAAAAAAAAACACACCCTTAATGAAGTTGTTCAGCATGTTCAATCGATGAGGCTGTTGGATTATGGTCGTTGCTGCCTATCTCCCTAGGTTGATGTGGGATTTCTATATTGAATTTTCTTGCGGTGTTGTTATACCATGCTTTAAATTCTCTTTGAAAACTAATGGCTGTATGTTGCCTGGACAACATAATGTTATCCGAGTGGAATGGCCTCCACTACCTGCGGCAATATATGCCTCTGAATGCCCGTGACTGGGAATGTGCTCAGGTTCTGCTAGCAGGCTTTCCGTGAGTATCCGGTCAGCCACTGCAAGAACAGGATCCTAGACTAGGTGGGCCGCTGGCCTGATCCAGCACACCCCTCTTACATTCTATGGCCATGTGTCCTAATTTAGAGAAGACTGTCCTTGGTTTGAAGGGCCGTCACTGGTCCAAGTCCGGTTTCTTTGTTACATTGTTGGCAGCTGTCTGTCTCGAGAGACAATGGAGTGTTCCTCCAGGGGTGAAGTCAAACGGCTGCATGAGCAGCGCCGAAGTGACCTGCCTGGACACAAGCCTGGGCAGCGGGGATGGAGGTCCTGGGCCGGCCAGACAACAGGGTTTGACTCGAACCAATGGATTCAAGTTACAAGGAAGGAGATTCCGACTAAACATCAGGAAGATCTTTCTGACAGTTTTTAAAAAGAGAAGATCAGTATTGCCAAGCCAATATAGCTTTCAAAAGACGTCAGGAAGGATTGGGGAATCTTTAAAGAATATTTAGAAAACTATGGAATAAAAGGAAACCTCTTGGCAGAATTAGACTGATCCCTGTATTGTATAAATATAAGTTCGTAGGGAGGTGAAAAGAAATTATATAAGAAATATGTAACTGTGCGGTATAAAGTAAAGGATAGATAAAGTACAGTGAGATTAACTGGAAACCAGTTTTAAATTTCTTCTCTATAAGTTTTATAATTGTGTTCAGTATCAGGAGTATATATGATGATAATTATATTAATCTTCTTGTATCTTATAGTGTGTCAGTTTGTTTGATTTTTCTGTTATTTGTTTGTTTGTTTGTTTACTTGTATGCACGTCTGTTTTTTCATAAATGTATTTATTTTAAGTTAATAAAGATATATATTTTTTTAAAAAGACGTCAGGATGGACGGAGGGACCATTCCTGCCAAATCTCTGCTGGCAGGGAGTCCCAATTTTCTGGGGACAGTCCCAGAACTATGAAAGCCATCCCGGTTTTTGATCTGATCTTGGAATGTCCCTCTTGCCCCTAGCGATGCTGCTGCTGCTGAGCTCAAAGAAGAGCAGGAGCCACCACTCGTCCAAGGCAGCAGTTGCAAGGAGACACCCCATTGCCTCTCCATGGCCACCACTGCCAGCCTTCTCTCTTGGGCAGCCTGTAGTGGCTGCTGGAGAACGGGCGAGGAGGAGAGGTCGCTACCATTAAGGCCCTGCCCCATGTGACGCACTGGCTCTGAGGTGCCGGCAGAGGACACGGCTGCCCTGGGCAGGAAGAAAGGAGGAGCAGGGGGGAGTGCAATAATAATAATAATTTGTTATTTATACCCCGCCCATCTGGCTGAATTTCCCCAGCCACTCTGGGCAGCTCCCAATCGAATGTTAAAAACAATACAGCATTAAATATTAAAAATTTCCCTAAACAGGGCTGCCTTCAGATGTCTTTTAAAGATAAGATAGCTGCTTATTTCATTCACATTTGAAGGGAGGGCGTTCCACAGGGCAGGCGCCACTACCAAGAAGGCCCTGTAACCTCACTTCTCGCAGTGAGGGAACCACCAGAAGACCCTTGGCGCTGGACCTCAGTGTCCGGGCTGAACGATGGGGGTGGAGATGCTCCTTCAGGTATACAGGACTGAGGCCGAGGAGTCTTGATTTAAAAAAAACACTTTGCCCCCCTTCCTAAAATTCATTTATTAGTGTGTGTTTCCCTTTTTGTAAATCTACCAGAGAATAAAATCCAGTCAGGATTTCTACGGTTTTCTCAGGACAGTGGAGGGGTTGTGTGCTGTGTCCCGTTGGTGAAGTGGTGGTCACAGTTGCCCTTCTTCTCATAGAAAATGCTCTGTGAGGGTGAGGAAACAAAACATGGTGGAGTCAAGGAGGGTCAGTTGGGGTGGCGTCGTCAGCGTCGTGAGAAATGTCCCTATTTCCATCTGAGGAATATTGAAGGGAATGCAGGGCCTGCTGCCCCAAAGGTGTGGCCCCTCGCAAAGGCTGTTGTGTTGCATCTCAGGGGCATGGGGAACCACCAGAAGTGTCCCCTCAGTGGATCTCAGGGATGGAGAATGGAGCACAAGGGATCGGGTGGTTCTCAAGGTACTGCGAGCCCAAGTTGTTTAGCGCTCTGTGCATTATTGTGGGTTAAACCACAGAGCCTAGGGCTTTTCCATCAGAAGGTCGGCGGTTCGAATCCCCGCGACGGGGTGAGCTCCTGTTGCTCGGTCCCTGCTCCTGCCAACCTAGCAGTTCAAAAGCACGCCAGTGCAAGTAGATAAATAGGCACTGTTGCAGTGGGAAGGTAAATGGCATTTCTATGTGCTGCTCTGGTTCGCCAGAAGCGGCTTAGTCATGCTGGCCATGTGACCCAGAAGCTGTATGCCGGCTCCCTCGGCCAATAAAGCGAGATGAGCGCCACAACCCCAGAGTCATCTGCGACTGAACCTAATGGTCAGGGGTCCCTTTACCTTACCTTGAACCTGGCCCAGGAGGAAAAGACCACCCAATGCAGCTCTCTCTGCAGCAGAGTAACACATTTGCAGCGATCTGCTCCTGCGAGCAGGTCCATCCACTGCTACGTCAAATCAGCCTCTCTCTTCATCTGCTGCTTTCTTAAGGTGATCAGCAGAGCTTGCAAGTGCCCAGAACTGGCTGGGTGCTGATCATCCAGTTCAGTCCATATGGTTCCTTTATTTTTCTATTAAAGATGAGCCGAAGAAGGGGGCGGGGAGAGATTGTGGTTTGTTGATACGCAGGTTGAAAGCGGAGCTGGGACTAAGCTGGCGTTACACCCCTGATTTATTCTTCTCCCTCAATCCAAAGCACCAGTTTGTTTGTTCTTTAATCATACTGAGAGATTGGATTTGATAAGGTCATATGTTCGCCTCAGACTCCACATGGTAGCAATTTAAGGTTTGGTTCAGGAGGCCAGATGGAGTCAAAAGCTTTTCAGAACTCAATGGAGCAAGCAACAATAGCCGAAATCTGTGCTTCCTCTTTTGCATTCCCTCCCCCACCTTTTTGGTATGTGGGGATAAATGCCTTTAATGAATACGAAAGTGTGGTTGGTGGTTTGCTGCTTCTTTGTCTGGAAACGAAACCCACTTGAATGCCTGTTAATTACACGGCAATTTTCTTTGTTGAGGAGACTGCTGAGCGGTTTGCCTTCATTACAGGCTAACATAATTATCAGATGCTGGGGACAAACAGCAGGGGACAGCCATCTCCATCATACCCTATTTTTGAACTTCCCAGGGGCTTTTGGCTGCCCACTGCTGGGTACTAAGTGCTAAGACTAGATGGGCCTGTCATCTGATCCAGCGCAGCAGTTCTTAAGTTCCTAATGTTGCAACTTTGGGAGACGGTGTATTTTACTCTGCTAAATTTCTAGGTTACGCCAACTCCAGGGCTTCCAATAGGACCAAAGCTGCTCAGTTAAAAAAGAAAAGTTTACGCGGCGCATCGTTAAACTATGGAACTCACTGCCACAGGAACCAATGGTGGCTACCACCTTGGATGGCTTTAAAAGCAGACTGGACAAATTCTTAGAAGAAAGGCAGGATAAGGACAATAATAAATTCAGCTCTGTTTTCTCAGAGCAAACCCTTTGTCCATTCCTTTTAATAGGCCTGCTAATCTGAATGCTGCCTAATAACAATAACAAATATTCTTTATATACTGCCTGAAAACTGCTAGGTCCTGGGTCCAAACATTTTGGGGATTCATAGGGCAGAGTCATTCCAAGGCCCAAAAATGCTTCACTGAGAATTTGCTACCTGCTGTTAAGGTTGCTCACACCACAGGGCAGTTGCCCACATATCCTGGCAGATCTAGAGCAGGGGTCAGCAAGGCTTACCTCACCTGGGCCGGTTCACTTCAGCAGAGATCCCTCCATGGGCTGGATCATGCACACACGATTTCTGGCATCTGCATCTGCGCAGGTGCGATTTCCGATGTTGGCGCAGACACCATTTCCGGCATCTGCGCATGCACAGACACTATTTCCGGTGCCATGGAAGCAAGTCACCGCACTGCGCCAGTTTAGCACAGCACGAGGGGATTCGCTGAGGGGGCGGCTCTGTTTGGGGACCCATGGGCCTTAGGTGGCCGACCCCTGATCTCTAGAGAGATTCCCCACTGTCACTTTCTTTTCAAGGCAGCATCATACCCCTTTAAACAGTCATGGCTGTTTAAAGTGGTATGGATCCTGGGAACTGCAGTTTGTTAAGGGTGCTGAGAGTTGGTAAGAGACCCCGTTCCCCCTCCAAGCTATAGTTCTCAGAGTGCTGCAACAGTCAATCGCTCCTCCCAGGGAACACTGGGAATTGTGTTCCTTCCAGTTGACCCAGGCACCTTTGTTGGCACCTGCTTTTTCCCCCTGTCTCGTTTGAATGGCCTTGGGAGAGCCCTATTCCCATTGCTTCTCATGACCATTTTATGCCCCTTTCTAAGGTCCGACAAGGGATGCAGGTGGCGCTGTGGGTTAAACCACAGAGCCTAGGACTTGCCGATCAGAAGGTCGGCGGTTCGAATCCCCGCAGCGGGGTGAGCTCCCGTTGCTCGGTCCCTGCTCCTGCCAACCGAGCAGTTCGAAAGCACATCAAAGTGCAAGTAGATAAATAGGTACCTCTCCGGCGGGAAGGTAAACAGCATTTCTGTGCGCTGCTCTGGTTCGCCAGAAGCGGCTTAGTCATGCTGGCCACATGACCCGGAAGCTGTACGCCGGCTCCCTCGGCCAATAAAGCGAGATGAGCGCCGCAACCCCAGAGTCGGTCACGACTGGACCTAATGGTCAGGGTCCCTTTACCTTTACCATTTGAAGGTCCGACAGAGCACAGTTCCTACTTGGAGCAAGAGCTGAAACCTGAAGTGGTATCTCAGGAACACCATTACCACTAGCTGCAGCCAGCCAGCCTTTCTGGGAAAACTCACAGGTACAGAAGAGCAACATCTTTGTCTCCTAAAATGATGCTACTGTTAAAGGCACAGCTATCAGAGCCAGTTGAAAAGTTGGAGCCTCTTGAAGAAGAAAGAAATCCATACATAAATGCAGCTACATTGTGAGCATAGGAATAAATCTCCCTGTGAGGTATTGATGGTAATCAGTAACTCATTGTTTCCCCCCAATCATTCCTTATCCTTCCCATAATGTGCCCAAGGAAGAAAGTCAGTTCCCCCAATGGGTGTTTTTCTCAACTACATGGTTACAGTAATTGCTTGATTTGCATGCGCAGCTCAGGTTTTTTCCTGCTCTGAGCACACCTGTTTCTTCCCTTTTGGCTCTGCTCAGCCAAGGCACAAAACCAAACCGGTGGTGCATCTTTCCTTAGCAACCTTCCAAGAAAGGCCTCCTTCCTGTTTTTCTTAAATAATATATATATATAAGCCATAGTGGCATTAGGCCAGTCAAAGGCTTTTGCGTTGGTCTTTTCCCTTGGCTTCGAGGCGGAGCGGTATATTACAATTATATGAGTTGTGCCAGTAGAATGATGTTCTGTCATGTTGCTGTTGTTGTTGCTGCTTGTTTGTAAGCCGCTTTGGGATTCGTTGAATGGAACGCTGCATAGAAATGCAATCTGTCAAGTGAAAGGGGATGACATGGGACACCTCTAGACTGTCGCCGTTTTCTGCAGGAGGGAGATGAGCGTGTGCTCGCCGCTTTGTGCATTTGAAGTGGATTCGAGGGCTCTGCTGCCCCAGAGCAACAAATCCACTCCTTTCTCCCTTCTTCTTTTTAAAACCGCGACAGACTCTTTGTGGTTTGGGCAGTGACAGGGGAAGTGCATTAAAAAGCGTGGGATGAATGAATGATTAACGGAAAGACGGTTTAAACACCCCGCAAGCAAATCAGGACGTATGCTTATTGTCGCTTAAGCGCCCTATAAACAAATTGGAATAAATGCCGAATAAAGACTCGGTATAAACCAACCTCCCTGTAAGCTTGGTACAGGCAAACCCAAAGAACAAGAATCAAGAGATTCATGCACGCACGAACCAACACATCATCTCTCCGCGGTTCACGCATTCTGTCACGCTGAATACCTGGAACATTCTTTGCCCCACTCTGTTCATTAACTTGCATCGTTCCAATCATTCCACATAGAATCACAGCATTGTTGAGTTGGAAGGGACCCTGAGGGTCATCTAGTCCAACCCCCTGGAAGGCAGGAATCAAAACCAAAGAAACCCTGGCAGATAGCCGTCCAACCTGTTCGACAGTGGAATTTGCTGCCATCCAGCTGTTCGACAGTGGAATTTGCTGCCGTCCAGCTGTTCGACAGTGGAATTTGCTGCCAAGGAGTGTGGTGGAGTCTCCTTCTTTGGAGGTCTTTAAGCAGAGGCTTGACAACCATATGTCAGGAGTGCTCTGATGGTGTTTCCTGCTTGGCAGGGGGTTAGACCCGATGGCCCTTGTGGTCTCTTCCAACTCTATGATTCTATGATTCTATGATTCAACCTCTGTTTAAAAACCTCCAAGGAAGGAGAGTCCATCACCTTCCAAGGGAGTCGGTTCCACTGTCAGAATGACGCTTGCTGTCAAAAAGTCCTTCCTAATATTCAGTCAGAATATCCTTTCCTGTAACTTGAATCCATTGGATTGGGTCCTACCCCACTGGAGCAGCCAAAAACAAGCTTGCTCCACCGTCCCTTTGACAGCCCTTCAGCTATTTGAAGATGGCCATAATATCACCTCTCAGTCTTCTCCGAGGCAAACATACTCAGCCCCCCCCCCAACCATAAGGCTTGGTTTCCAGAGCCTTGATCATCTTGGTCGCCCTCCTCTGCACACATTCCAGCTTGTCAAGATCCTCCTTAAACTGTGGTGCCCAGAACTGGGCACAGTGATTGCTGCTGAGCCATTGTCAATCTGCCTGCCAAGACCTCAGCGACCGTGCTTCAGCCATTTGCAGAAAACAATCCCCATTCTCTCCCTCAAGTAGATACAGATAAGCTCAACAGAAGCTGCTTTTAGGTATCTGGGACTTGAGTTACTACACCTTGTCCAGTAACACAGGTCCCATTGGCATAAGAAAATAGGCCCAGGGCCTCCTCCAGAATCTTAAAGAAACAGCCTCCCTTAGAATACCATGGAAGGGACCCTGAGGATCATCTACTCCAACCCCTTGCAATGCAGGAATATGCACCTCTCCCATACCGGGGATTGAACCTGCAAGCTTGGCATTGTCACCACGGTGCTCTAACCAGCTGAGCTATGTCCCATCCAGCTCTGCAGTTCTACGGTTCCATTCTATGTTCTCGTGTCTTCCTAACCAGAACCTACCTAGGAGGGGGGTTATAATTAGCCTTTCTTATACATGTGATTGGCTCCTGCCAAGGGAGAAGAAATGGCTAGTTCTTCCCAATGAGAAGGCTTAAAGAGGGATTTGTATTCACACACCATTTTTTGAAGACATCATGAGAGCAGGTATCTCCAGGGGGTCCCCACGCCTAGCTGGATGATTCACCAGCCGTATCAGCCTAAAATCCCTCGGAAGCCATCTCCATAGATCGGCTTCTTCTATTTTAATTTATCGCCTCACTATCTTAATAAGGGTATCTGCAGACAGATTATATTTTCCAGGCAGGATTTTAGCAGCTATTGGAACTTTAGGTTTGCATAATCAAAGCGGATTCAAGTGATCTGCCTGCCTAGCACAACAAATCCACTTTAAAACACACACACACAATTTGGTGCATCTGTGTGGGTGGGGTTCTTGAATATTGATTGTTGCTTCTTGTATGAATATGTGAAAACAATTAAATATTGGGGGCGGGGGACCAGATATTATGCGGTTTGGAAAGTGATGGGGAAATGAAGTGAGAAATGTGGGGTGGATGAATGATTGACGGTTGGTTAGAGCATGGTGCTGGTAACGCTGAGGTTGCAGGTTCGATCCCTGTGCGGGACAGCTTCATATTCCTGAATTGCAGGGGGTTGGGCTAGATGATCCTCGGGTCCCCTTCCAACTCTACAATTCTATGATTTTATTTTTATTTTTAAACTTTATTCCAAAACCGAAAAAGAATTACAAACATCAAATTCAAAATCCATATTCGTTTTGAAACATAGTTGACTAGATTAAAATATACCTAATTGCTATAGGAAGGACGCAGGTGGCGCAGGTGGTGCTGTGGGTTAAACCACAGAGCCTAGGACTTGCCGATCGGAAGGTCGGCGGTTCGAATCCCCGTGATGGGGTGAGCTCCCATTGCTCAGTCCCAGCTCCTCCCAACCTAGCAGTTCGAAAGCACGTCAAAGTGCAAGTAGATAAATAGGTACTGCTCCGGCGGGAAGGTAAACGGCGTTTCCGTGTGCTGCTCTGGTTCGCCAGAAGCGGCTTAGGCATGCTGGCCACATGACCCAGAAGCTGTACGCCGGCTCCCTCGGCCAATAAGAGTCGGCCACGACTGGACCTAATGGTCAGGGGCTCCCTTTACCCCTTTACCTTTAATTGCTATAGACTTCCCTTTGCCATATATAAATTTATATAAACTTCTAATATAATATTTCTAATTACGTTGCATTTATATATCTACAATTCTGTGATTATATGGCATATAAACACCCTGTAAACTAATCAGAAGAGATGCTCAGTAAATGCCAAATATAGCCTAACCAACCCATAAGCTCTCTGCATGCAGATCAGGATGAATGCTGAATAAAGGGGTCATTCGGCAGAACCTTAAATTAGCTTTATTAAATTAAGAGCATCACCTTTGAGTCTGGTGATTAATTACAGCTGTGTTCTATTCCTATCTCATAACAATACCATTTAAAAAAATAAAATACAAAGCCTTTCATGATGAGCCTTCCTGGTTGCCTGCTCTTCCCTCTCCACCCCCGCAGTTCCTTGTCGGCCTCTGGCCTCTTTCTCTTTCTTGCAGAGTTATGCAGCTTCAAACCCTCCTGGACAAGCACTGTGCAGAGTCGGTGTTAGGAAACTCAAAGCAGACCATGTCAGATTCCCCCCTTTTATTCTCGCTTCAACCGCGTGCGGTGTAAGGAAAGCCAGAGCACGCTTTTTATTCCTGAATCAACATCGGAGGCACCGTTTCCTCCTCCTTTTGAAAAAAGGATTGCTTTTAACCTAAAGGAAGAGCAAGCCTAGTTTTTCTCCATGAGGCACCATGGAATGCAGAACTTCCATGTTCAGACATAGTCAATGCTCATTGACTACCAATTTGCTGGCGAGCCAGACATGCCCAGAAGCATCTGACTGGTCTCTATTGGAAGCAAGATGCTATGCTGCTAAGGTAACTTTCTGTTCTGACCCAGCAGGTATCCTCTTACATTGTGTAAAGAGTTTTTTTATCCCGTTCTTCGATTTTTCTTTTTAAAAAAAGGTTCCCAAGAGTTGCTTATTTTGGAGCCTAAAAAGAGGTTCCTGGGGCGGCTTACAAGTCAATAAAAACAACGCAGTTCCTGCCCACCATGCTTGCAATCTACAGAGGCACGACATAAGAGGAAAATCGAATTGGGAGGGAGGAGGAAATAAGAAAAACCACATACCTGTTCTTTCCTTACGCGTTTTCCTAATGGCCAGCTGAGATGGAAACAGCTCTCTCTTTTGAGTGGGTGCCTCAACTTGGAAGAGGTAAGGCCAAGAGTGGTGACTAATGCAAAGAACGAACAGGCAATTTCCTTTATGGGCAGGTAATCGCGCTGCATCTTTGCATCAGAATTACTCACTGTCAGATGAGGTCACTCGCTTTGAGTAGGGGCTACAGTCTTGCAGGGAGCCTTGATTTAGTTACCTGCGGCATGTGAGCAGGCAAATGGCTGCTTCTTGCTGAACGAGAGCGATTGTGCCATCGAGGTCACCCAGGTTACAGACTGAGAGACCTGGGGGGGACCATGGAGGTCATCCAGTCTGACCCCCTCACTCAACGCAAGATCAGCATTGCCAGATGATGCAATTACAGCACACGCAAGAGATGGCCACCGTCCTTCTGCTGAAATACCTGCCACAGAGGAGGGCCCACTTCCTCCCAAGTTAGCCTGTCCCATGGTCAAACAGGCCCAACCATGGGCGTAGCCAGGATTTCTATTAGGGGGGTGGCCGGGGCAGAACCTCGTTTGCTATGTATTTTTTATTGATTTTTATTAGTGGAGGGACAGCTGCCCCTCCCTGCCCCCTCTTGGCTACGGCCACGTTGGGAAGTTTCTCTTTGCATTTAGTTGAAATGCAATTTAGTTTTTAGTCCTGCCCTCTGGGGCAACAGAGAACAGCTCTGCTCCATCTTCTTCTGTAATGACAGCCCTTCAGATGTTTGAAGGTAAGGTAAAGGTAAAGGGACCCCTGACCATTAGGTCCAGTCATGGCTGACTCTGGGGTTGCGGCGCTCATCTCGCTCTATAGGCCGAGGGAGCCAGCGTACAGCTTCCGGGTCATGTGGCCAGCATGACTAAGCTGCTTCTGGCGAAACCAGAGCAGCGCACAGAAACGCTGTTTACCTTCCCGCCAGAGTGGTACCTGTTTATCTGCTTGCACTTTGACGTGCTTTCAAACTGCTAGGTTGGCAGGAGCAGGGACCGAGCAACGGGAGCTCACCCCGTCACGGGGATTTGAACCACCAACCTTTTGATCGGCAAGCCCTAGGCTCTGTGGTTTGGACCACAGCACCACCCGCTGCTAATTAAACAGTCATGGCTTTCCCCACAGCCTCCTGGGAGCTGCAGTGTGTTAAGGGTGCTGAGAGTTGTCCCTCCCCAATTCCCCTCAAAGAGCTACAATTCCCAGAGTTCCCCGGAAAGTAGAACTAACCATTAAACATCTCTGTGAGGGTCTCCTAGCAACTCTTAGCAGCTTTTACAAACTGTCCAGGAAGCCACGACAGTTCGAAGTCCCATAATGTCGCTTTCATTGTAAAGTGCCTCCCCTTAATCTCTCATCCAAGCTAAACATACCCAGCTCTTTCAAACATTCCTCTAGTGCGAGCCAGGTTGGGACATCCCTAAGTAGGTGATTCGAATCCAGGTCTCCCTGGTCTGAATATTCCATCCTCTCCGCTACCCTGCACTAATCCTCTGGTCTCATGACCTACCCGCTTTCTCCCTTTCCCTAGATACACAGCGCTAATGCACTCCCTGTTGCCTCTCCCTTCTTCTGCATGGAGCATATAGAATAATTAGTTATATTTAGGGGCGTATGCAGATGGCCATTTATGAAGTAGCAACTTGTGGGCATCAATCCATACGGGGAGCCACCATCTGCCTGGAGCACCCGCCCAAGCGCTGAGCTGAGGAGAGCTGTACCGGCTCCTCTGCTTCCCTGGATTCCCTAATTGGTTGCGGAAGTGCGATAAAAACCCTCTCCAGGTGGGCCGGCAGTATGGCTGATCAGCACCCCAAGGGGCTGCCTGCTCACTGAGGAGTAGTTATCAACTTGGGAAATGGCTCTCTGTATTCCCTCTGTGCTGATGCAGTTTGCTTAACCTTTAGAGCATGGGGAGGCAAACTAAGGCCCGGGGGCCGGATCCGGCACAATCGCCTTCTAAATCCGGCCCACGGACGGTCCAGGAATCAGCATGTTTTTACATGAGTAGAATGTGTGCTTTTATTTAAAATGCACCTCTGGGTTATTTGTGGGGCCTGCCTGGTGTTTTTACATGAGTAGACTGTGTTCTTTTATTTAAAATGCATCTCTAGGTTATTTGTGGGGCATAGGAATTCATTCATTTTTTCCCCCTTCAAAATATACTCCAACCCCCCACAAGGTCTGAGGGACAGTGGACCGCCCCCCTGCTGAAAAAGTTTGCTGACCCCTGCATTAGAGGGTATCTATGTAAAATAACTCACATCACATATGGCAGAATTCCTTCGCCGAAGATTTCCTTCGCCGTGTAAAGATTTTCGTAGTGTACCTGAATTGGCTCCCAAACATTTATTCCAGTGGGCCGCTTGAAAATTGCTTAGGGTCTTGGATGATCACTTAACAATGTTTCTGCTTGTTGTAGCAGTTGCAATGTGCTGTGCTAGATGCGGCGTACTTTTTAATTGTATTTTAAATGCTTCTTTTATTTCTAGCAGGCTGGGCAGCGTTCAGCTCAGCAAACACACAGTGGAACAACTTCCGCTTGGGCAGCTAGACTCCCCTAATCTCTCCTCCTTTCAAGTGTGGCCTGTGGCATCCACAGATCTGCTCTGGAGGGTTTGGGGGACCCCCCCAGGACAGATTTAGAGGGGGACCCATTTTTTAAATTGTGTTATAGAATCGTAGAATTATAGAGTGGGAAGGGACCCTGAGTGTCATCCTAGTGCAGCCTTTCTCAACCTGTGGGTCCCCAGATGTTGTTGAACTACAACTCCCATCACCCCTAGCTAGGAAGGCCAGAGCTCAGGGATGATGGGAGTTGTAGTCCAACAACATCTGGGGACCCACAGGTTGAGAACTGCTGTCTAGTCCAGCCCCCTGCAATGTAGGAATCTCAGCTAAAGCATCTATGACAGACGCCCATCCAACCTCTGCTTTAAAACCTCCAAAGAAGGAAGTTATTATTTTCATTCCATAAGATTCCATAGGGTGGCATATATGGATGAAAACATGTGCTTTCTATTCTCACAACAGCCTTGTGGAGTTTGTTGTTGTTGTTGTTTAGTCATTTAGTCGTGTCCAACTCTTCGTGACCCCATGGACCAGAGCACACCAGGCACTCCTGTCTTCCACTGCCTCCCGCAGTTTGGTCAAACTCATGCTGGTAACTTCGAGAACACCATCCAACCATCTCGTCCTCTGTTGTCCCCTTCTCCTTGTGCCCTCCATCTTTCCCAACATCAGGGTCTTTTCCAGGGAGTCTTCTCTTCTCATGAGGTGGCCAAAGTATTGGAGCCTCAGCTTCAGGATCTGTCCTTCCAGTGAGCACTCAGGGCTGATTTCCTTCAGAATTGATAACAATGGAGTTATGTAGGATCAAAAAATGATAGGCTCCAGGTCACCTGAAAAGCTTTGTGGCTGAATCGAGATTTGAACTCAGGCCTCCAAGATCCTAAGCAGTACAGCACACAGACTCTCATGATGCAGGCTGCTTATAAACCAGTGCTGATCACTGCTTAAAATAAAATAAAATTGAATTGTTCCCTTCTTCTTTTCCCCCTCCTCTACCTTGCCTTCCCTCCTTCCCTCCACCTCTTCTTCTCCCTCTCCCCTCCCAGGCTGCAAACTCATCTTCCCTCCTTGGGATGGCGGCATCCGCTACCGAGGCTTGACTCGCGAACAGGTCCAGAGTGCCCGCTTCCTGCCCTTCGACTACGAGATCGAATACGTGTGCCGGCCCGAGCGCGAGATCGTGGGGCCCAAAGTGCGGAAGTGCCTGTCCAACGGCACCTGGACGGACAGTGAAGTCGAGAGCCGCTGCTGTGAGTCCCATGTGGCAGAGGGGGAAGAGTTGTTATTGTTGAGTTGTGGGTGAACATATCAGACGACACAGCGATTCTTCAAACAGCTCTTGTTTATTCACAGGCCAGAACTGAACTGAACTGAAGGGTTCAGTCAGCCTGCTTATATAGAGCTCCAGTACAACGTAACTGTAACAATTTTCTAAAACTATCCAATCACTGAACGTCACTTTCGATCCCTTATTTGCATAACTATCTACAGTATCCCCCTGCTGGCCCAGGGTGAGAACTTCAGTACATAACAGTTATTGCCATGCACGTCTTTCCGCTTGCCCCCAGAGCCAGGCCAGGCTGCGGAGAGGGGCTGAACCACTGTCCAGACTTAGCAATGAGTTGGATGAGGGTCAGTTAAGCTGAATCTGAATCTTGGCAAGTGGTCTGGTAGCTCCTGAGGCCGGGGATTTATCAGCTTTGGATGGGATGCCACCCCTCCTGTGTCAGGGGCTGGTCTGAATCAGAAGATTGGGGAATGCAATCGCAGGAAGATCAGATCCTAACAGAAGAGGAAGGGGAATATTCGCCCACCCCCTTTGCTTCCAGTGTCTCCATAATAATAATAATAATAATAATAATAATAATTTATTTATACCCCGCCCTTCCCAGTTCAAAAACCGGGCTCAGGGCAGCTAACAACAACGTTAAAACACTTAATTGTAAAATCAGCATAAAATACAGTATAAAAACATGAATAACAATAAAATTCAAAATTCAGAAATCAGTTTAGGGGAAATGAGCATTAGATAATCCCCAGGGCTAGCTGGCTGAATTGGTCCTACTTGGGCCAGCGAGGAGGCCAGGGGAGAATTAGCTGTGGGGTCTCAGAGCGGGTAATCTTCATAAAAGGGGAGGGGGAGGGAAGAGAAGGGAAAGAAAAGATCAGGCTGCATTCAAATTAAAGGCCAGGCGGAATAGCAGGGAGATAGGCAGACACACAAGCTGCTCAGCTGTGAGGGGAGCTGCCCAGCTTTGAGATAGTAGCTAAGAAACCAGAAGGGAGGGGGCAGCTGGGCAATATATCGGTCAAGAGTGAGAGGGAATCCCCTCCCTCCCCCCAAACTCAGAGGTCCGAGCGTGTCAGAGAACAAAGGAAATGGGGGGGGGGAGACTTCCGTTTGGCGCACTCCTTGCTGCGGAAATCGCAAGGAGGAGTCAGAGTAGGCAACTAATGTCTTTGCAGAGAGTTGCCTGTTTGTGCTGGTAACAGAATGCTGTAATACAAAGACCATAAATCTACCAAATGCTCGTTAATTCTTATTGGTGAGCTACCAGAAGGGAGATGGGAACTCCCATACCTGACATCCTGAAGGCACAGGTGTGCAGCTGGGGAGCTCTCCTTGATTCAACGGGGTCACGTGATGTCCAAGTGTAAATAGCTCTAAGTGAATAATAATAATAATAATAATAATAATAATAATAATAATTTATTTATACCCCACCCATCTGGCTGGGTTTCCCCAGCCACTCTGGGCGGCTTCCAACAAAAGATTTAAAATACATTAAAACATCAGTCATTAAAAACTTCCCTATGCAGGGCTGCCTTCAGATGTCTTCTAAAAGTCAGATAGTTGTTGTTCTCTTTGACATCTGGTGGGAGGGCGTTCCACAGGGTGGGTGCCACTACCGAGAAGGCCCTCTGCCTAGTTCCCTGCGACTTGGCTTCTTGCAGTGAGGGAACTACCAGAAGCCCTTCAGCACTGGACCTCAGTGCCTGGGTTGAACAATGAGGGTGGAGACACTCCTTCAGGTATACTTATGCTACCAAGCCAAGCTACATACTCTAGTAATCGGGCCGTGCTTCTCAAATGACTGCTTATTTCTTTTCCCCTGCAGTGCGCACCTGTCCCAAGATGCATCTGAGCCTGGAGAATGGGCAAGTGCATGTCCGGGCGATTGAGCGGGTGCCTGTGGAGGGCACCTGGGTGGAGTATCGCTGCAATCCTGGCTTCCACCTGGTGGGCAGCCCCCGTAGCAACTGCACCAAGGTGGGCCGCTGGAGTTCCTCCAAGCCTGTCTGTGAATGTAAGTCACAAAGCAGGACAGCGGGTGGAGTGGTTGGATCAGGGCAAATGGATAGATGTCCTGGGTTGGGGGATGACGACAATTGCACACACCCCCAATAATTGAACCATAACCCCTAGATTCTCATTTGTGGAACCTGAAATGTGCAACGAAAAAAGCGCAGGTGCTATTATTCCCTCTTTTTCAGTGAGAAGCTGGCCTGCTGCTCCCCTTTCAGTATTTTACCAAATTTTTTGCTCTATAAGACTCACTTTTTCCCTCCTAAAAAGTAAGGGGAAATGTGTGTGCGTCTTATGGAGCGAATGCAGGCTGCTCAGCTATCCCAGAAGCCAGAACAGCAAGAGGGATTGCTGCTTTCACTGCGCAGCGATCCCTCTTGCTGTTCTGGCTTCTGAGATACAGAATATTTTTTTTCTTGTTTTCCTCCTCCAAAAACTTGTGGTCTGGTGCGTCCTATAGAGCGAAAAATACGGTACTTTCCTTTCACGACCAGCCCCCCCGGGAAAATTCCTGTGGACACCCATAACTATATTTGGAGCAGAAAGTTCTCACTCAGAAAAAAAGTGTGTGGATCTGTGAGTCTAGCAGAAGTTTCCGGGAATTTTTAAAATATATAGTTATAATGGGCTTAGAATTAACACCACAACAGCTATGTTTGATACTTTTTTGGTACATGATGCACTCTGGCTCTTGTTCCTCTTCTCTGCTGAGAGAGTAAGGAATGAAATGGTATTTCTATGGGGGGGGACACTCTGGAATATAAGGCACTTGCTTGGGAATTTCAAGAAAACTAAAAATCAGTGCAGTTTTTATACTGGTGATTAAAATCAGTGCAGGTTCGATAGGGTCAGGCTGCCATCTTGATTAAAAAGAGTGACCAATTGTAACTAAACATAGACAAGAACCTGCTCCTGGATCTCAGGAATCATCAAGGAATATTTGGTTATGGTGTCTTGAGAAATGTGCAGATGCATGCCAAACAAGCAAGCAACTTTCCAAAATATATAGGAGATGAGTTTCAAGAATGAGGTTATGAGAAAGGCTTTGGTATGGAAAGAACTGGGGGTGGGGTTCAGGAAAGCCTCTAGTCCCCTGGATTGTGCTAACAAACTGGTGGCCACACAATAGATGGCTGGTATAAATTTGCACCATTGACAGAGGCTGAAAGTGTATAGCAGGGATGGGAAACTTGTGAGCACCCATGTATATTGTTGGACTCCAGTTCCCATCACCTGGAAGGTGGCAGTCTCCCCATTCCTGGGGTACAGAATTCACAGTCTCATACTCCCATCAGGGTCACCCAAGGAGGTAAGGACAAAGGGGAAGAGCTAGGCAAAGAATGAAGAAGGGCTCACCACTTTGGCCCATTACAATCATTCTCTTGGCATCTCTGTCCTGGCAGAGGCATATTGGTTGGCATAATAGGGCTTTTGCCGAGACCCCTTATTATGAGCTTCCTTATATCTTGCCCTTCCCACAAAGTGGAATTCACAGAGGCTTGCATAAGAGCCCGTCGTGCAGTTAGTTTAAAAGAGGCAATATAAAATTTGATGGCATCAAATGTCATCAAATAAAACATTAGTAATGGCGGTAAACATCTCAAAAATAACAAAGTAAAGAGAGCAATCAATCACAGGCCTTCTGGAACAGCCATGTCTTGGGCAGACTCTAAAAAGGACAAAATGTCGGACCCTGGTAATTTTTTCTTTTGAGTACACATCCCATTATCCAGTCCCGTAGGCTCTTGAACCTCACAGGGGAAGTGGGTTGCACCCAGTGAAGTTAAGTCATGACAGGCAAGGCCAGATCGAGCAGGTAAAGTCCAGTCTATGTAAGCAAAGCCAAGTCACCCCCAAACAGGCTGGATCAAGGCAGGCCAAATCTGGCCAGAAACTCTCTTAGACAGAAAGCAGAGAGAATCAGGACCCTGGACAGCTCCAAGCATCACTGGAGCTCTTGTGTACCAAGCTGGGAGCTAAAACCAACTGAACACATAGTACACTTTCCACAGAGGAAGTCTCCTTATACTGGCCCTTGTCTGACTTCTCAGTCGTTGTCTTCTGCAAAGTTGGGGAGGGCGAGAGACAGCTGTGGACTCTGAGGGTGGTGGTGGGGCTGTGTTATCTGGCCAGGAGGCTCCTGGAAATTGTACTGATGGTTCTCCCCCACCGAGGAAGCGGCCTGAATCTCATGGCCTTGAGTATTCTGCAGCACACTGCAAGGGGCCAGGTCTGGGGTCATGGCATCTATGGAGTGGGGCTGATACCAAAAAGGCCCTGCTCCTGGTGGCTGCTGACTGCGTTTCATGCAAAGTGGTACTTGGAGCAAGGCCTCAAATGTTGAACAACGGTGTGGGGGGGGGGGGGAGGACCATATGGAAGAAGGTTTATCCTTAACACACCAAAACCAAAATAGTTTCCAAAAATAAGCAGGAACTTCATCCTCAGTCTTAATAATAGACGTTCGCACTTTGGGATTGCAGCTGGGACATGTCTGAGTGATCCATTAAAGCAGATTTATATACCAATTAAATCAATTAAGGTTTATGATCCTAGGTATTTTTAATTGTGCTGACAGGATGATAAGAGTTCCCTCAATTCTGCATCATTTAATCTGCCTTACAAACTTAATTAAAAATTCTATTAAAAAAAACACCTTACCTGCTGTGAAAAATCAGTGGTGGTTCAGACACTCTCCCAGGCCAACTTACCCAGAATGCCTTGCTCTGACAAAGGACCCTCAAAGAGAAGATGGATGCTCTGCATTTCCCCACAAGAACTGGGTGTGTCGGCTGACCAGCAAAAAAAGCTCATGAAGGCCCCTGGGGTGAAAATTTGCCACACCCATGGCCTGAGGCAGTTGCCTCAGTTTGCCCAATATTGGAGACAGACCTCTCTTTTGGTTCTGATTGCTTTTTCTACCTTGCTCCCTTCCACAGTGTGGCGGCCTCCTGTTTACACACCTGGATCAGGTGAGTTGTGTTCTGACTGCCCTTCACCCTTGCTTTCCCATGTCTACAAAGATGTCTCGCCTTCACCCTTCCGCTTTGCTGAATCTTGGCCTTGGCTTGTGTGGTTTTCCTTGTGACAAACGGGTGCCTTCGCTTCTTGCAGCCAACTCCAGCTGACCCTAAAGGACTTGATAGTAGACAGAGCTTTGACGCCCCTCCCTGCCCCACTGGGATCCTGAACCCAGTAGTGAGACTTTGGCTGCAAACCTGTACACACGCCTGCCTGGCAGCAAGTCCCACTGAACTCAGCAAACCTTACATTTGAGTAGACGTCTGGAGGAGGGCCCTGCCGCCCTCTCATGTAGAAAGGAAGGTGCGTTAGCATCACGAGGGAGTACGTACAGATTCCACATCCCTCCCTAATCCCAGGCTGACCTACATCCCCTTGCTGGAATGACACGCAGCTCAGAGCTCTTCTTGGACCAAGTAAAAGTAGCAGGTTGGTAACATGGCAGAGATAACAAGCAAGGAGAAGCAATAGGCAAGTGGTTGCTTTAGGGAGAAGATGGGAGTTAAAACGTCGGCTCAGTCTTGTGTCCCTTTTGCTAGGGCAGAGAAGGGACTCGCCAGATGTTGCTAGACTACAGCTCCCATCGTTCCTGACTGCTGGCCATGCTTGCTGAGGCTGGTGGGAATTGGAGTCCAACAACAACTAGAGAGCCACATGTTCCCCATCTCTACACCAGGCTGGCCACAAGTGCTGTTGCTGCGGTCAAAGTTCGGAGGGGAAAGGAGGCCCAGTGGGAGGATTTGTAGACGACTGATTTATCTGCCTTTAAAAATGAATCCACCACATCCAAATCAATCTGCTTAAATACTTTCTCTTACCAGTAAAATGGTAAGTGTTAAAAGCTCTTTGTGGGCGATTCCATTAAAGGCTGCGAGCGGAGGGTGTGCATTTTCAATGCTCCTCCATGTCGGCAGGGCAAAGCATTCCTTGTACAGTGGTACCTCGAGTTACATACGCTTCAGGTTACATATGCTTCAGGTTACAGACTCCACTAACCCAGAAATAGTGCTTCAGGTTAAGAACTTTGCTTCAGGAGGAGAACAGAAATTGTGCTCCGGCGGCGGGGCAGCAGCTGGAGGCCCCATTAGCTAAAGTGGTGCTTCAGGTTAAGAACAGTTTCAGGTTAAGAACAGACCTCCGGAACGAATTAAGTACTTAACCCGAGGTACCACTGTATATACAAATACTGTAGATCAAGGAGAAGGCTTGGTGGAAACCTTCCTCCTGATAGGCTAGATTTTCACATGCAGGGAGGTTGAGGTGTGTGTGTGAGAGAGAGAGAGAGAAAGGGGAAGAGGCAGTATTCAAATATACTGATACATCACACACAGCCTGAAATGATACGTTTCAGGGAACTCTCCCCACTTTACTCCTTGAGTGCAGAAACAGGCCTTTGCAATTTAATAAATGAAAGCTACCACCCCAAAGGGAAGGCTCTACATAAGATTGCAGTGGCAGATGCCGTTTCTTTCACCATAACTAGCTACAAAGAAGAGAGGATTTTGGTGCACACATCTGCACTTTAACAGTCATGGCTTCTCCCCAAGGAATCCTGGGAACTGTAGTTTGTTAAGGGTGCTGAGAGTTGTTAGGAGACCCCCTGTTCCCCTCACAGGGAGCCAATGTGGTGTAGTGGTTAAGAGCGGTAGACTCGTAATCTGGGGAACCGGGTTCGCGTCTCCGCTCCTCCACATGCAGCTGCTGGGTGACCTTGGGCCAGTCACACTTCTCTGAAGTCTCTCAGCCTCACTCACCTCACAGAGTGTTTGTTGTGGGGGAGGAAGGGAAAGGAGAATGTTAGCCGCTTTGAGACTCCTTCGGGCAGTGATAAAGCGGGATATCAAATCCAAACTCCTCCTCTTCTTCTTCTCACAGAGCTCTGCAGAGATGAGAGGCTGGTTGTTAAAACACTGTGGGAATTGTAGTTCTGTGAGAAGATGAATAGTACAGATGTGACATGGAATATGAAAAATTGTGGACGCTAACCTTTGAGCACACAAAGAGTGCCTTTCCTTCACAGCTGAATGACCTTGGTCAATCCATAGGCATCTTTACCCTGGCCTGTGATGGTGAAGTTACTTTGTTTAGTGGGGTGCCTGTCTTTGGCTGAATTTATACTGTTCAGTTCCATTCGGAACAGTTTTACTGGTTTTATAATCAAAATACTTTTACTTTCTTTTAAAAATTGTATATTTTGTTGTCGTAACCCACCCTGGGAACCTTATAGTGAAGGGTGGCTAACACACAAAACCTAATAAAATAATAATGAAATCTAGGATACAGGATGGCTTATGGGTTAGAAAACATGGCACTCAATTTACCTAAGTGTAGACCCCACCCTTCCTCCCCAAGGAGTTCAGGATCAGCCCACTTTATCTTCACAACAGCTCTGCGAGGTAGGTTAGCATGATCGAGAGTGCCTGGCCCAAGGTCATCCCGTGAAGTCCATGACTGAGCATCAATTTGAACCCGGCTCTCCCTTTTCTCGGGACGCGGGTGGCACTGTGGGTTAAACCACAGAGCCTAGGACTTGCTGATCAGAAGGTCAGTGGTTCAAATCCCCGCGACGGGGTGAGCTCCCGTTGCTCGGTCCCTGCTCCTGCCAACCAAGCAGTTCGAAAGCACATCAAAGTGCAAGTAGATAAAAAGGTACCACTCCGGCGGGAAGGTAAGCGGCATTTCCGTGCGCTGCTCTGGTTCGCCAGAAGCGGCTTAGTCATGCTGGCCACATGACCCGGAAGCTGTACGCCGGCTCCCTCGGCCAATAAAGCGAGGTGAGCGCCGCAACCCCAGAGTTGGTCACGACTGGACCTAATGGTCAGGGGTCCCTTTTACTCCCTTTTCTCAAGCCAACATCTTAACCGTTCCGCTTTAAAACTGTCTCTCATCCATGCATCTGAAAGCACCAGCTTCTCTCTTTCAACGTGTGCTTTGAACCTTTCCATAACGTTCTGTCTCCCCTGGTTTTAAGGGCATTTCGGGGGGTTGGCTGCAGAATCAGTTTCATGCTGTGACTCCAGCTGAAAATAGCCTAAAGGGTAAAAAACCTTTCTCTCCCTCTACCCACCCCAGTTTCTGTACCGGCCAGCACTCAGTGTTCCCCATGCATCTCAACTGTTGCTTTCAAGGGCAAGAGTCCGTTTCTCCCCCCCCCCAAATGTGGGGCGCACCTGCCCAGAATCCTTGATGATTGGCGGTGCTTAACAGAGCAGCCGCCGCCGCTGATGTGGCCAGACTGTCTCCATCCGGGCCCATCTGCATGCACACTTCGTCTCTCCGTCAAGCCTGAGCCTTCTTGTCACGACGCCACTTCCTCTGTTCTTTCCCTTTGGGTCATTCTTTATGCTGTCAAAAGTCAGATCGGCTCCTTTTCTCCTCTCACCCGTCAGAAGCTCTCTGGTTTCGAGTCTCTTGACACACATTGTTCACGTGCAACCCCCACCCCACCCCACAGTCGCCAGGAACTGGTATGGAAGACACCAGGGTTGCTCTATAGCTTCTCTCTGGGAATCTTCACCCAGGTGGGCTCCAGAAGCCAAGGGAAGCTGCTGTTGTGTATCCTGAGAGGCAGCAGCGTTCAAGGGTCTCAGGCCTAGAGGGAGGCCTTTCTCATTGCCTTCTTCTTCTTCTTCTTCTTCTTCTTCTTATTAATAATATCCCCCGCCCATCTGGCTGGGTTTCCCTAGCCACTCTGGGCAGCTTCCAACTGAATATTTAAAACAATACAGCATCAGACATTAAAAACTTCCCTAAACAGGGCCGCCTTCAGTTGTCTTTTAAAAGTAAAATACAGTGGTACCTTGGGTTAAGTACTTAATTTGTTCCGGAAGTCCGTTCTTAACCTGAAACTGTTCTTAACCTGAAGCACCACTTTAGCTAATGGGGCCTCCCACTGCTGCCACACTGCCGGAGCACGATTTCTGTTCTCATCCTGAAGCAAAGTTCTTAACCCGAGGTAATATTTCTGGGTTAGTGGAGTCTGTAACCTGAAGTGTCTGTAACCTGAGGTGTATGTAATCTGAGGTACCACTGTAGTTGTTTATTGCCTTGACATCTGCTGGGAGGGCGTTCCACAGGACGGGCGCCACTACCGGGAAGGCCCTCTGCCTGCTTCCCTGTAACTTGGCTTCTCGCAGCGAGGGAACCGCCAGAAGGCCCTCGGCACTGGACCTCAGGGTCCGGGCTGGATGATGGGGGGTGGAGACGCTCCTTCAGGTATACAGGACCGAGGCCGTTTAGGGCTTTAAAGGTCAGCACCAACACTTTGAATTGTGCTCGGAAATGTACTTGATTGAACCTGAGACCTTTTGCATGCAAAGCTTTTGCTGTTTCACTGAGCTGTGGCCTGTTCCTGATTGATCACCATTTGGCAGCACCTTCACAAGGGTTTTATGCCTGACATCCACATGCAGACGTGCCCACTGACCCTAAGGGCAATGAATCACCTCAAGTCAGTGAACCAGTGACTGGAAATGGCAGGACAAGGGAGTGTGCTCTTGTGGGCTTCCCACAGGCATCTGGATGGCCATTGGGAGAACAGGGTGCTGGACTTGATGGCCCATTGGCTTCATCCAGGAGTCTCTTTTTAGGTTATATCGTTAGCTCAGTTGGTGCTGATAACGTCAAGGCCGTGAGCCAACTGTGTACAGTGGTACCTCGGGTTACAGACACTTCAGGTTACAGACTCCGCTAACCCAGAAATAGTACCTCAAGTTAAGAAACTTTACCTCAGGATGAGAACAGAAATCGCACGCTGATGGCGTGGTGGCAGCAGGAGGCCCCATTAGCTAAAGTGGTGCTTCAGGTTAAGAACAGTTTCAGGTTAAGAACGGACCTCCAGAATGAATTAAGTTCTTAACCCGAGGTACCACTGTATTCCTGCATTGCAGGGGGTTGGACTAGATGATCCTTGTGGGGGGGGTGTCCCTTCAAACTCTATGATTCTATATGTTCTTAATCCTTAACTTATCCCTCAAACAGTGGAGGCTGATCCAGTAGGGATATGGGGCACTGCCCTAATAGCTTCAATCTGCCCTTGGCCAGCCTGACCTGCCTGCCTTCTAACTTCCCACAGCATTGCAGGAGGTGGACAAGAGGACCCTGATGGTCCCTTCCAACTCTATGATTCTATTATTCTGTTCCAGGGAATGACAGCACTGCCTGTCAGCTTCCTCCTCCTTAGAAATCAACAGGAAGGAGGAGAATGAGTCGGCTCCACCTTGCATTGGCTCTAGCGCCACCTACTGGCTGGTTCCCTGCCTTCTGCCCTACCAGTCCCAATGGGCACTAGCCAACACTGCCATCGGAGTCCGTGTTAGATTTATAAGTCAAGTTTCTTTGAGTCGGGGCAATTCTTTACCTGCTCCCCTCCAACCCTGCTGCTTCCTGCCGTTCAGACAGGCTACTAGTGCTGCGGAGCTTTGAACCTGAGGTCTTTGGGGTGTTGTCCATGAGATCAAAACTAGGCTTCATCGTACTGATTTGCAAGGCTTGTGTGTGTTCTGAACAAGCGCAATAAAAGCAGATAACCTGCTGCTAGATACACAAGTTCAGCACATCTTCACAATCCCATTTTTGTGGCATGTGGGTTTCTGCGTTTGTGACCCTTCTAGCTCTGAGGATCCATATGGAATGTTGTGGGAAATGTCTCTTAAGATGCACACTGCCATCAGCCTCGTGATGCCAGATATGGACACCTGAGCAGGAATGTGTACAAAAGAGAAAGTTTTCTAAGAAGGGAAAAGATCAGGAGGTGGGGAGGCTTGAGCCTGTCTTTCCCCCTAGAACAACCTTTCTCAACCTGTGGGTCCCCAGATGTTGTTGAACTACAACTCCCATCACCCCTTGCTATCAAGGCCAGAGCTCAGGGATGATGGGAGTTGTAGTCCATCAACATCTGGGGACCCACAGTTTGAGAACCGCTGCCCTAGAAGCTCTGATGCACTGTGTTGGCTAAAAGAGAGCATGCAGGCACTGGAAGGTCACTGGAAGCTGTCTGATATTGAATCTGACCATTGCTCCATCTAGCTCACCCATGACTTTCCAGGGTTTCATGCAGAAGTCTTACCAACCCTGTGGGAATGTTCAGGGATGCAGGAGAGGATATATTATTTGATTACAGCCTTTCCAACTTGTGTAAACAAGTTCACAACATAGCAGAGTAACATTCCCCATTTTAAACTTATAGCGGATGTGTTTGCTCAGGCTCGCTAAAGCCTCTATAATAACTGTTCTGGTATTTACCCCTTATTCCTCATAAAAGATAAGACGCGACACAGTCTTCTATAAAAGTATAAAAAGAGTTTACTCACATTCTGTTCACAATCGGATCCCAGAAGGCAGACTTAGCTTAGAAAAGTAACATACACCTGGAAACTATCTCATAAGGAGACAGTCCCTTTGTCCTCTCTTGGCTGGAAGCATCTTTGGCTAAGCAGATGTTGCTTCTTCGATGAATGTTGTCAAAAAGAGAGAGATGGCTTCCCTGCCCTATGCTTTTGTCATTATCTGCACAGGTGAGGCCACGCCCACCTCTAGTAATATGCAGAGGAAGTCTGTCCCAGTCCAGAAGGAAACAGGAAGTTTACCTGCTGGCTGGACAAACATTCCTCCCCATGTGTAAACATGTTCACTCTAGGAATGTTGTACTTGACTGCTCTTGTGTTTCACATCCCACAAACCCAAGAATGCCAGGGGTTAAACCTGGGACCCTAAGCCCTCAAAGCAGGTGATCTACCAACTGAGGTGCATCTCTTCCCCTGCCTGCAGTAGGTAATACTCTTTTCTCTACAAAGATTAGGACCAATACCCATATTTTAAAGTTCTCAGCCTTGGCCATTAGGGTGCACACCATTCTGATCGCTTCCGCCGTATATCAGAGATGGGTTTTGGGCTACAGAGACGTGGGTTTGAAAGCCAACTCAACCATGAAGCTCAAGGGAGGTGGCCTGACAGCATACAGGCAGCCGGTGCAAGCCTTCAAGCTCTGGAGAAATGTGCCAGCGATAGTCTGCCCCCACCAGCAGTCTAGCCACCATCTGGACTGGTGCACAAGTGGCAGCCTCCAGACCAGGCCCAAGCATTGTAATAATTGAGCCTTGAGGTTATTAATGCATGAAACTGTATACGTTCCAGCTGGAGCACAGATTTATATATATATATATATACACATGCTATGGGAAGGCTGTTTTTGGAAACGGCATTTTCACATCGAACGTGCTTTGGTTTCACAGCCTTTTCCTTCAGGAGCCAGCTTCCCTAGTGGTTGGGCTCCCCTTCAACAGCTAATGTGTTCAAACGCCGCCAGGTAGATGCATCAGCTTCTCTTACCTGCAGTACTGTCCCTCTTATTGTGAGATGGGACTTCTCAAGGAGCTACAGGAAGGACATGGGCAGGGGATAATTCTAGGTGTCTTCTTGTCCCCTTCCCACACAGTTATCGAGTGTGTGGCTTGCCTAGGCCAAAAAGCAGCAAAATGACCTCTTCCTTCCCGGACAGAATGTGTCCATCCATTTAATGACATCAGATTACTGAATACTAAGCAATGAGGTAACCACCTTGTTTTTCATGGGCTGTTTGCCTTTCTTCTGGCATCCATCCTTTGGGGTTTTAAAGACCACCACAGGCCCATGTGACTGCCTCTCTCTGAAAATTCGTCATCCTCTGCCAGGGATGACTAAGCACTATGTTGTTTTACATCACTTTTAAAATTCATTTCATTGTATTTAAAAGCATTTCTAACCTGCATGATATTTTCTATATCTAAAATAAATAAATAAATCCCTAAGTGGCATACAAAAATAACATAAAAAACAATAAAACGGCATAATTAAAAGCAGTAAACCGTCAGTATGAAAACAGATAAAAACCAGGATCAGGTTAAAGCAGGAATTCGGAAACAAGAGATTCTTGTGGGTTAGGGAAATCCTGGGCAAATGAAGAAAATGTCTTCACAAGACATCGGAAGCCACTGGATCAATGCTATTTCACATGTGGCACAGGGATAGGGCATTCCATGGTGCAGGAGCTATGGTGGGAAAAGGCCCATTTGGGCTCACCGGCCTCGTATTCTGTTGGGTGGGGTCCCATGAATAAAAGTTCCCCAGATGATCTAAGTCAGTAGTCCTCAGCTTCTTGACCCACCTCTGGCACAAAGATGTGTTTGGGTACCCACTTCATATTTTCTTTACCATATATTCATATGGTGGCAATAGTGCTGATGTAACTTACCTTATGTTAGGCTGCATCCCAGTCATGCCATCTGACCCAGCAGCTGAAGATCTCAGTGATTGCACAGGTCTTTAGAGGGGCAAGCGGCCTGCTAAGTGACCTACTTGTTGGGCTTTTGAGAGGCTCTAATTTTTTTGCCCAGAGGTGGTGATGGCAGACTACAGCTTTGGGCCCATAGATGTGCTTTAAAAGTTAAGTACTGTATTTTGGATGCGGGTGGCGCTGTGGTTTAAACCACAGAGCCTAGGTCGGCGGTTCAAATCCCTGCAACAGGGTGAGCTCCCGTTGTTCGGTCCCAGCTCCTGCCCACCTAGCAGTTTGAAAGCACGTCAAAGTGCAAGTAGATAAATAGGTACCACTCCAGCAGGAAGGTAAACGGCATTTCCGTGCACTGCTCTGGTTCACAAGAAGCGGCTTAGTCATGCTGCCCACATGACCCGGAAGCTGTCTGCAGACAAACGCCAGCTCCCTCGGCCTATAGAGCGAAATGAGCGTGCAACCCCAGAGTTGTCCACGACTGGACCTAACGGTCAGGGGTACCTTTACCTTTATTTTGGAGATGGCACTTATAACTTTCTTCTAGACCCTAAAATAAATATGGGAGACTCCTGTATGTCTCCCCCCAGCTATGTTAAGAGTCAGTCCATTATGTTCTTCTGGGCGCATGTGGAAAAAGCAAGGCACCTTGTCCCTTTGCGAAGACGTCCTATTCCTAACTCTGGGAGGACACTGGTGCCTAACAGGATGGGAATGTGATTAGAGGAACTAATCTGCCCAAGCCCAAAGCCTGACACCCCAAACCCCTAGTTTCCATGAAAGATTAGTAGGGTTCAGGGCAGCCTGCACCAACCTGGCTACCTCCAGATGTTTTGAAATGCAGTTTCCAGTGGCCAGGGCTGATGGGAGTTGTAGTCCAAAACAGCCAGGGAAGGGTGAGGAGGGAAGGCTAGCTTAGGGCAGGCGTAGGCAATGAAGTGCCCTCTGGTGGTTAGTGGACTACAATTCCCTTCATTCCTGACCGTTGGCTATGCTGCCTCTGATGGGAGTTGTAGTTCAGCAACACCTGGCGGGCGCCACGTTGGTTATCCCTAGACCCTGATGGGTGAGAGCAGGGAGATTTGGAGAACCAAGAATTGCTCTTTTCTGCTTCCACTTCCCCTCCCTTCCCCCTCCCTGTTTTCTTCTGTGCGTGCCCTTTCCTCTCCCCGAGACTCCGTTTCCCCGCCAGGGGTGAACCCCAGCGAGCGGCTGGTGAAAGTACATTGATCTGCAGGGAAGCTCTTTATTCCTTTCTTTGCTTCCGTTCCTTTCCCAGCCACCTCCGCATGTCTCCGTGCCAGGAAAATGTCAGCAGCCAGCAGGGAGGGGAGCTCCTACACCACCTCCTCCCCGTTTCCCAAAGCTGGGAAAAGAGCCGAGGACTTCACAGTGCGCCCCCCCCCCCACCAGTACCACCAAACACACACACACATGTACCACCATCGTTGTATCATCTGGGCTCCCCTTCCAGCGAATCTAGGAATCCTGACCCCCAGTGTCTCTGTTCTAAACCAGAAAGCTGTTCTCTCCCCCCGCCCAACGCCCGCCCCACACACAGCAGGAAAGGGAACAGATCTGATGCAGTTCAAAGCAACTGCTTTTAGCTTGTTTTCACATCAGGTCCCGTCCCCCCCGGCCACTTTATCTGTTGCTGAACTAATATATAGAATGAGTTTCTTCTGGTCAGCTGGAAGTTGAGAAGCATGATGCACCCCTTAGATGGAGCTCCGTCTGCATGTGGGGCTGGGATCCCTTTGCTCCCCACACCCTGCCCCGATGGCTGTGAACCCCTGTCCTTCATTCAGCTGTTCCTTGTGTCAGTGCTCTCCGCACCTCAGACTGCGCCTCTGCTTCTCCCTCGGTATCAACTGTTTTGATCGATCCCATCTGCCTTTTCTCCTCTTCCTCCTCCCCTGCCCCCCCCATCTCTGTACATCTCCTCCACAAAGCTTCTCCCATCTCGTCTCCTCTCTTCCCTGCTCTCTCTGCTTTGCCTCCAGGCGATCCGTTTATTCAGCATTTGTCCTCATTTGCTTGCGCACAGTTTACGCAGAGGTTAGATTACGGGCACTTCCAGGCTCTCGCTTGTTTTGGGGTGGGATCCAGTCGCATATCAGCACGTTCAGGTTGCACAACTACGGGAGCTCTTGTGCAAAAATAGGTAATTGAAATTAAACCCTGATTCCCGAGAAGATCGGACTCCTGTGATAAGGCAAGTGGAGTGACATTTGCTTGGATGCAATGTCGTCGTCCAGCCTCCGGACAAACAAATCAGAGTGAACGCTCATTAAATAGCCAGTGTGTCATCTAATCTCCTTGCAAACAATGCCCAACAGCCTGTCCGTCCGGAAATGCCTTACGTCCAGGCTTCACTGAGCATTAGTTCAGATCTGCTTGTGGGGCAGTAATACGGCAGTGAGCGTTTCTCCTGATTTGCTTGCGTCCATTTAATTTCTGTGTCTTCTTGTTTGACATTTCCTCACCCCACACTTTTCAGTGAATTTCCCCATCACTTTTCCAAACTACAAAAAAACCTCCCAATTTATTTATTTTTTAAAGTGGACTTGTTAGGGCAACAGAGCCCTTCCATCCACGTTGATAGCGCAAACCTAAAGTTATGGGATGTGAGCGACTCCTTCCAGAAAAGCAGGGAGAGTCTGGAGGCACCTTTCACCAGCTTCTTCTTCAACCCTCCTTCATCCTTGACCCCATCGCTGGGTTTCCTCTCTCTGAATCTCTGCATCCCTGTCAGTTTCCCTTCTCCCTCCCTCCCTGCAGCAGCCCGGCTCTCAACCCCAGCTCCATCTTTCCCGGTCTCGTCTACTCCCTTTCCGCCCGGCTTCGCCACCAGCTGCTTTTCCACCCCTTCAATCCATCTCAGTCTCCCTTCTCTCCCTCTCTCATCTCTTTCGCCTCCATACTTTAGGCCTGTGCCACCTCCTTCCACAAACCTCAATGCATCTTCTCCTCACTGACTCTTTACACCAGCCTCTTCTCCATCCCCTCAACACAGGGATGTGGGACACCTGTGGCTCTCCAGAGGTTGTCGGTTTCCAGCTCCCATCAGCTCCACCCAGCATGGTCAATGTTCATGGGAGCTGGACCCCAGCAAGACCTGGAGCTAGCCTGAGGTCCTTCTAGTCTTCCTCTTTTTAGTATGCCCGCCCTCTCTCTGATCATCCATCCACTTCTGTTTTTCTCCACCTGCCTCTTTCTCTCCATCTTCCCCTGACTTTCCATCCCTTGGGCCTCCGTTGCCTCTTCACTCCGAGTCTCCATCCAAGCATCGTTTCTTACCAGCCGGTTCCCCCTGCCTCCTTCCCTTTCTCTCCATCCTATTCTCACTTCCCCACAATCTCCTAGCGCTCCTCCACCACGTGCTCTTACTCCATCACTACAGGCCATTTCCCCTCCTCCTCACCTCAACTATTTGCCCCTCATTCCCATCCACCCCTCTTTGATTTCTATTCTGATCCTTCCTCCCTTCCCAATCTATACCTCTCAGGTTCTCCGTCCCTGAGCGCCTCTAGCCACCCAGCCCTCTTCCTCCACCCATCCGTGGATGTCTTCTGCTCCTCCATCTCTTCCCCGCAGCCAGACACGCACACCTGTGCTCCCCGCTTCCTTCACCTGACTTCCCCATCCCTCCATCACCCTGCCACTTTCCCTGCTCTCCACCAGCACCCCGTCCTTCCTTTCCTGTTTCTCTCCATCATCCCAAGTTGTTTCCTTATACCCCGTCCTCCCCCCCTCTCTTCTCCATCACCCCCATCTTTCCCCACACCTCCTCCTGTGGCCCCCCTCCCCCTCTCCTTCCTCCACCGCCTCCTCGGCCTCTACCTCCCTCGCCTCGCTTGCCCTGGTCCCCATCCCCACCCCTTTGCGCCGGGACGTGGCGCCGCGGTGGGATCTCATCGCAACCCCCTTCCCCAGCCCCGGAGTAACGCCGGCTCCGCGCTGACATCAGCCCCCTCCCTCTCTCCCTCCTCCTCCCCCTCCCCGCTCTCCCTCCTCCTCCTCCTCCTCCTCGCTCCTCCTCCCCTCCCCCCTCGGCTGGCTCGCTCGCCCGCTCGCTCACTGCAGCACCGACGCCGGGCAGCGCCATGGAGGAGCCGGCTCTGGCGCCCTCGCCGCCGCCGCACAGTGCAGCCAGCGCCGCCGCCGCGCGCCCTCGCCGCCAGCGCCGCCGCCGCCCCTGACCTCCGGCCGGCCGCACACCATGGCCTGGCCCGGCCCGCGCCCCGCCGGGGGTGCCCAGGCGGCCTTGCTGGTGCTCACGGGCTGGCTCTTGCTCTCTCCCCCGCTGGGCGCAGGCAAGAAGAGGCTGCACATCGGCGCGCTCTTCCCCATGACCGGCGGGTGGCCCGGGGGCCAAGCCTGCCTGCCCTCGGCCCAGATGGCCCTCGACGACGTCAACAGCCGGAGGGACATCCTGCCCGACTACGAGCTGCGCCTCGACCACCGCGACAGCGAGGTGAGACGACGGTGCGACCCGTCCCAGCCTCACCCCACCCTCCCAAGCGCCCCCGGCCCGTTCAGGGGTGACACGTGGGCATCGCTGCGGGGATGAGAGGCTCTGGAGGTTGGGGGACGGAGGGACGGCGACATCCCATCACACTGGACGGGCAGGATGGGGGGCATCGGCAGGGGTTGGTGGGGGGGGAGCTCCTGGTGCAAGTGCAGGGAAGTGAGCCCTGGCTGGATGGACTCACAGGAGTAATTGAGGTGCTGGGACTGGTCTGCATCCTTCCACCCACTCCCTCGCAGATTCTACAGGGGCACGGAGAGCCCAGGCTGCGCTGGGAGATCTGTCCAAGGGCTGTCCATCCTTCCCACTAGAACGCCCCTGGGAGAAGGGATGGATGAAAAGACCTTGAAAGTAGGAAGCAGATGTGTGGGAAGGTGTCAAGACAGCTAGCCAGCACCCCATGAGAGCTGGGAGGTGAGGGGCGAGGGAACTGGCCAAGGCCGGAGGGATGCAAGCTTGAACGGGGCAGTGCTGCGGATGGTCCCCTCCTGCCCCCTCATCTTTCATGTGGGGCCAGAGCATCTCCTTTGGACAGAGAACCTTGCGGTCCCATCAGCTGCCAAGAGAGGAAGGCAGAGAGGGCTGGGGGAGAACCGGGCATGGGGAGGCTTGGTGGGCTCCAAGCGGAAAGGGGGTGTTGGGAGTGAGGGATGTGCCACAGAGATATATCAGGGCTTTGGGAGAGATGCAAGCCAGGGGTTGCAAAGTGGGGTGATTGGCCCAACATGGCAGCAGCAGTCAAGGTGAAAAGGGAGGCGAGAAGTCTGCAAAGGGAAGAAGCAGTCTCAGCAGTGCATGCAGTGGGAGAAGAGTCCTGGGGGAGTGGAGCTGGTGGGAACTGGGGGGGGGGGCTTCCAGGGACGTTGATGCAAGGCAGGTTGCACGAGAGGAAGATTCGCATTGAGACTTACCAGGGGACCCACTGATGGTGTGGACAGAAGGAGGCATAGGGAGATGTGCTCCCCCCGCCCCATGCTTTTTTCCTTGCAAGGTGGGGGAAGCTGGGGAGATACAGGATCTCGCTTCTGTCAAGGGAATGGAAGGATCAGCATGCAGGGATGGTGCTACTGTTTGTGGCTATGGGAAGTGTGACTCGGAAGAGCAGCATTAGATCTGTTGGTGTCAATGGAGTCCTGTGTGCCAGGGCTACAGAAGGAATCCTCTCTGTGTGTTGGTTTCCCCTCTGGCAATATGGACCAGACTGTGGGTGATGACTACTAAGGGGAAGACTATCTCTTGGACTGGGATCCAAACGAGAGGTCCGAGGGGTGGGAGATGGGATGATGCGGCACCAAGGTGGGAAAAGGTGGGTGGTCGCCGGTGCCAGTGTGGATCGGTTTCCTGGGGTAGAGATTGCAGGAGGGCAAGTGGTCCATTTGAGAGGGAATATCTGGAGCTGCCTTATTCAGAGTCAGACTATTGGTTCCTCTGACTCAGTGCTGTCTGCACTGTCTGGCAGCGTCTCTCCGGGGTTTCAGGCAGAGGACGTTCCCAGCCTCACCTGGCAATGGCAGGGATGGGACCACCTGCAACCTTCTGCCTCTCAAGCAGATGCTCTTCCACTGAGCCACAGCCCAGGTGAAGCTCACCTGCCCTTGGCTCTCCGCTGCCTCTTCCTAGAGCCGTGAGCTTGATTAAAGCTTGTTTCTGGGATTGCTGACCTCAATTAAGAGTACTCATCTTTAACCTTGGGTCTCCATACATTGCTGGACTACAACTCCCATCATTCCTACCGCTGGCTAAGTGGGCTGGGGATAATGGGAGTTGCAGTCCAGCTATATCCCCAGCCAATTTACCCAGTTGTGGGAATGGTAGCAATATGGGGATCCAAGGTTAGAAATTGAAGAGAATTCAACAAGGAGTTATGGCAGCAGAAGGTGGAGGGTGGTGGAAGAATCCCAGCATTTTTTTAACCCTGTCAGTTCTTTCTTTCCTAGAGGTACCTTTTGAGCCAAAGTCATAAATGAATTTTCCCGCTCCAGGATGTGTGTGTGTCACAGCCAGTATGAGACAGAATTAAGAGGGGTGTGCAAATCTAGAAGGCACTGCAGCATCCTCAAGAGGCAAACTGTCCAAGGCAGGACTTCCAACTTGGCCCAGGTCTTGCCTGAACTGGGAACCTGTCCCAGGGTCTCCCCCTGAGCTGCCAGTACAGTTGCAGGCAGATCTGGGCCTTGAGAAATGCTCAGCTTTCTCAGGCATGCTGCCCTCTCCCTCTCTAACTGCTTTACTGTATATTTGCATATACGTTGTTCTAAGTCGGTGTCCTGCGCAAGTGGGACTTAGCCATTTAGGTACGAATGCAATGGAACGGCAACCAAAGGCTCTGTCCAATTTGATTCCACAGGCAAACAGCATGGTGGTTTGTACAGCCAGATTTTGCCACGTGCTCTCTCTTTCTCTCCCGTTCTTGTTTTTTGTTTTCTTTCCCTGCGCATTCATGCCTCTGTGTACTCATTCACTCTGCCTGTTGTGCGTTTGTGCCTGCCGTGTGTTTACAGGAACATCGGAAGCGTCCTCGTTCTGAGTCAGACCATTTGTCTTGCCGAGCTCAGTACCATCTATGCTGGCTCTCAGGGGGTCTCCAGAGTTTCCAACAGGGGACAAAAACACTGACTGGCAGCCGCTCTTCAGGGTCTCAGACAGGGAGCCGTTTGTAGTCTTACCTGGAGGCGCCAGGGATTGAACCTGCGACCTCCTGCTTGCAAAGCAAAATGCTCTCCTGCTGAGCTACGGCCCCTTTCTCAACGGGGCTGGTGTTCCCTCTTTAATGTACCTTGTCCCATTCTCCAGGTGCCAATCCTGTCTGGTTTCCAATACGTGCATTCATACCTGTTAGCAGTTCACCCATGCTCCTCAACACCCACCCAACTCTTCACACTTCTTCTGTCTTCTATGTTCAATGACTTTCAGGATAGCAGCAGGGCACCTCCCTCTACTAATGTCCAGGGGTAGCCCTGCTTCTAAACACCAGTTGCTGCAAACCTCAGGAGGGAAAAGTATTCTTTTGTTTGGGTCCTGCGTGCGGATTTCCCACACGCCTCTGATTTGATGACCTAGTTGGGCTATTGGCCTGATCCAGCAGGCCCTTCTTCTGTTCTCGTCACCAGTTTTCGCTGAGCATCGAAATGTGCCAGAGGTCAAGAACAAGAAGAGGAACCCAACTGGCAACACAAGGGGAGAGAGGAGCTCTCACTGTACGGCTTCAGCCTTCTAGGGTTTCATCACAGCCAAGCAGGGCCTGGGAGGAAGCCATGCCATTGTTGTTGTTGCCAAGCACTTTGGCTTTCACTGGTAGTACTGGAAAGGCCATTGAATCGTAGTTCTCTGTTTCCCAGGTTGCAATAAAACCAGGCCACATTTCCTCATCTCCCCAAACTGGGAGATGGCATCTGCTGGAGTATACGTACCTTTGGCTTTCTGAGTGGCAGGTGCCTGTAGATTGCTTGCATTGCCCTGAGCATGGTCATGGGTAAAAACAGACCTCTCTCTGTGTGTTTGCATCTTTTCCAAAAAGGCCCATATTGCAGCAGACTTGAGTTTGCGGCTCATGTTTTCGACGTAAGAAGAGCCCTTCGGGAATGAATTGGACCACAGGCCCATGGAGCCCGGCATCCTGCTGTCACAGTTTTTTGCTCTTTTCTATTATGGGCTGTGTGTTATTCTGCTGCAAAAGGCCCCCGAAATCAGTGGAGGATGGGTGGCATACAAATTTAATAAATGAAAGTAAATTCCTGTGGGGAGTCCCTGCAACGCAACAGCCACTCTTCCCCTGCACTTGCAGGTGCAAGCAACGGGCAGACTATGGAAAGCCGAATCGGCTTCCAGTGCCCATTCCATGGCCACTCCGCCTTCCACGAACACACGTGCCCTCCCACTCTCTGTCTGGCTCTGCCCACGCTTCTTGCCAGAAGTGGCGTGTTCCTTCCACATCCAGCGCTGTGCACCTCACCCTAAGCGCCCCCATCTCTCTGTTCACCCACAAAACTGAGTCTGTCGCCTCTCCGTCTGTCCTGCCCGTTTCCTTGTCCCCAGCCATCGTTTCCAGAAGCGCTGCTCTGTTCCGTGCCCGATCCCCGAATTCACAGCCACTCATCCATCCGCCCCTCCGTCAGTCTCCATGGTCTCGTCTGTCCCTCATCCCACGCATATGCATCAATCCTCACCCCCCACCCCGAAAAAAGCTGCCTTTGCTGTGCCGATTCTTCTCTATTCTCTCTCTTTGGCTACCCTGGGTGCTTCCTGGTCCCCCACCCGCCCTGCGCCCCGCGTTCCTCCCTTTGTTCCCTCCCAATTGAAGCCCCGCTCCCTGGCGCTGACAGGTTGCCGTGGCAGCGCCTGCGATGGGGTTGCCATGGAAACTGATCCTCTTTCCCGGGCGGCTATGCCCTGAATAATTCATCATCCCCTTGCGGTGGAGGCGCACAGCCAGGAGCAGGATGGGCAGCCCTGGCGGTTCTTGGAATGGGGGGAGAAGTAGAGGGTGGGATGCCTAGTATATTTGCCCAAAGAGACAGAGAGAAAGAGAGAAAGTGCAACGCAGCAGGGCCGAGGTCAGGTGGGGTGTGTGGGAAGATCTTAGCTGCACAGAAAGGGAGAAAGGCTTCGTTGCCTCTTTAAGTCCTTCGGAAGCGGAGGGTAAACTGGCAGCTATATTTGGGAACCTGCCTCCCCAAGCTGCTGCTCAGAACTCCGGCAGGCCACGTTGTTCTGTGCCGTGCTTGTGATGTCGAAGAATGGAGCCTCCATGTTCAGGGACAGAATATCTCCAATCCCAATTGGCAGTCCCATAATGTCTCCCATTATGCTGTACTGGTGGAAGAAGGGGGCGCAGGGGCAGCCCTCCCACTGGCCATTAATAGCAGGACCAGTGCAGGAGGAGATGGGCCCCTTGGCAAGAAAGAAACATCCCTTGTTATGCAACGACTTGGCCTGCGTTTCCTCCTGCCCCATCTTTACTTTTGCACGATGGCAACAGAAAGGTGGGCAAACCAGCCCCATACAAGACCTAAGGGAGGAGGAAACCCATCCATCAAAATCTCAGCAGCTGTTGAAAAACCTGCGCAGGGTCTGGCTTTGTTGTCTTGCGTTTTTTGCAAACAGAGGGACAATTCTTCCCCCACCCTCACATATCCCTTACTGCTCAGGGCAGATGTGTAGATGGCCTGTTTAAAGGAAAATAGATTTCCTTCCCGGTTCCTGCATCAAACCAAGCACTCTGGTCCACTGCTCTTGGCCTTGTTCCTTAAGCCCTGAGCAGTTGAGGCCTCTCCAGATGTTTACGCTGTTTTCATAGGGTGGGGATAGGAAAAGAAGGCATTTGAGAGGGGGAAGCCCATCTGCAACCCTCCCTCTCCCTCTCACCAGCCATAGGAGTGAAACCGAGGAAACACAGTTGAGCCCTTGCCTGAAAGTGCAGGTTAGCGTTGCACCCCCAGGAACACGGAACTTTTAGTCTGTCTCAGTCAGTAATGCACTGTGCTGGGGGTCGAACTTTTTACATGCACAGCATCATGTTCTAGTTATCACTGAGCCACAGTCCCCACACCCCCAGGGCCTTTCACCTCTCTGTTCGTCAAGCTCCCTTCTCCATCCTGCATATCCATTTTGCTAGCAAGGCTTCTTTCATCCCATGGCACATCGCCTTGCCCAAATTTTCACGGCCACCTGACCCTTTCCCATCCTGTCTCCACCGCTGCCTTCTCAAGCACTGACCTTCCGTGCCTGCTAAGTCGACGGCAGCTCTTTTGGACAGGAGCCACGTCCTGCGTCCGCGTCGTGTGCAATGCCTAGTATGTGATTTTAGCCTTTCCTCCCAGCTGTCTCCTGGATTTGTTTCCCCGAGTGTGTCGGGAGTGTTTGCGTGCAGGTTAGGGATATACCTTGTCACCTTTGTGACGGGATTTGTTCTCTGTCCGTCCCGCTCCGTGCAGTGCGAACCAGGCGTGGCCACCAAATTCCTCTACGAGCTCCTCTACAATGACCCCATCAAGATCATCCTCATGCCAGGCTGCAGCAGCGTCTCCACCCTGGTGGCCGAAGCAGCACGCATGTGGAACCTCATTGTGGTGAGCATACCTTGCACTTCGTTTGTGTGTGTGTGTGTGTGTGTGGTGCCTGTGGATTTTTGTGGTGAAGGCGGGTCTTCCCACAAAGTAGGGTTCAGCTCAGCAACCTGTTTTCAGAACTGGAAGCTGTGGCGAGAGTGCCTCTGAGCGTGTGCAGAGTGCACTTCTGTAGACACTAAGCTAGCACAGCCCACGCCTAGGATTGGGAGATAAGGTTTCCAGGTGAAACCTCTCTGCGGGGGTGGGACCCCCACAGTGGGTGCTTCCAGACAGTCACACTTTTTAGGTGGGATTCAGTCACCCACCAGCTGATTGGGGTTAAACCATTATAGCTGTTTAGGAGGTCATGCACAACAAAGAAAAAACGACCGGACTGTTTGCAGTAAGGAAAGTGGCAAGAAAACATGTTGGAAATGTGGGAGGCGGCGCTTGCTTTGACGCAATGTCCTCTAACACCCCGCAAAACAAATCAAAATGAATGCACATTAAATAGCAGGTGTGGTGCTACCCACCATTGGGCCTCGGAAGACAATGCGGCCCTTGGGCTGCCAAACGTTTTATCTGTTTCGGATCTAATCCCCCTGCAAACAAATGAGGAAGAATCCTCAATAAACAGGCCGCCTGGAAGCGTCTGGCATCCATCGCCAGCACCTCTAGAAAGCAGGTTTGAGAGCAAGGCCCTGAGGGATAGTTCAGTCAATAGAACATGGGACTCTTAATCTCAGGGCCATGGGTTCGAGTCTCACGTTGGGCGAAAGATTCCTGCATTGCAGGGGGTTGGACTAGATGACCCTCGTGATCCCTTCCTGGTTCTATGATTTGAAGGGTTGGGTGGTGTCTCTGTGCCAGAGTTAACGATGGGTGGGGAACTTTGAACCCATAGACTGAATGAGGCCAGTGTTGGCGGTCTCAGCCTTTTAAAGCCCTGTTTCCCGTCTCTTCCTCCTTTCCTTGCAGCTGTCCTACGGCTCCAGCTCTCCAGCCCTCTCCAACCGCCAGCGCTTCCCCACCTTCTTCCGCACGCACCCGTCAGCCACTCTGCACAACCCCACCCGAGTGCAGCTCTTCAAGAAGTGGAGCTGGACCAAGATCGCCACCATACAGCAGACCACAGAGGTGTTCACCTCGGTATGGAGAGACCCCAGCCATCCTGGGACATCCTGCAGCGTTGCCCAACCCTACCCCCCCCAAAAAAAACCAGACAGCGGTGCTGCTTAAGCACTTAAAAGGACCACAGATTTGATAGGGGAACGGGTGGCGCTGTGGTCTAAACCACTGAGCCTTTTGGGCTTGCTGATCAGAAGGTCAGCGGTTCGAATCCCCATGATGGGGTAAGCTCCCGTTGCTCTGTCCCAGCTCCTGCCAAGGTAGCAGTTCGAAAGCACACCAGGGCAAGCAGATAAATAGGTATCACTGCGGCGGGAAGGTAAATGGCATTTCCATGCACTCTGGTTTCCGTCACGGTGTCCCATTATACCAGAAGCAGTTTAGTCCTGCTGGCCGCATGACCCGGAAAGCTGTCTGAGGACAAACGCCGGCTCCCTCGGCCTGAAGCGAGATGAGCGCCGCAACCCCATAGTCACCTTTGACTGGACTTAACCATCCAGGGGTCTTTTACCTTTTTTACATTTTACCACGGATTTGAACAAGATTTGCACAAACTTCTAGGAAAGTAAGAAGGTCCCACCCATGTCGCTGTTTGCACCATACTTCCCCCGGGGGAACTCTTAATTTGTTAAGGGTGCTGAGAGTTTGCCAGGAGACCCCTCCCAGAGCTACAGTTCCCAGCACTCTTAACAAACTACAATTCCCAGATTTTTGGTGGGGGGTGGGAGCCATGACTGTGGAAGTGGTATAAGAGTGCTTTCAATATATGCTGTGAATGTCACCTTAACGCCCTATATGCAAGGTTTAAAGAAATGTGTTTTCCCATTACAGAAAGGAGATGGAAGGGGGCAGGAAAACCACCATACAAGTCCCAGGGCTTGGACCCTCTGGGACATCCCCAATGAGTCCCCTGGTGCCAGGTGCAAGTCATGAGGTTGTCCTTGTAATTTGCATTTATTTAAACAACAGCAACAAACCAGTCCCCAGTATTTGATTGATTCTGGCAACAGCCAAGAACAGAGTTGCTTTTCAAGGGTTCCCATTAAGTTCTGTGGCACCAAACAAATGGGCTATATTTTGTGGAACACAATAATCTTCTTGATACTGTGTCAGAGCCAATCTATTCTCTAGTGCCAGCAGCAATTCTCCTGGTTGTTACACCAAACTGGGGCTGATGGATGTTGTGGTCCAAAATATCTGGAGGGAACCAAGTTGGGAAAGGCTGTTTTAAGGAGTCGTTTATCTACCGGAACTGATCTTGTGAATTCCCAAACTTCAGCAGGCTATCAGAGTTTGTTTGTCTCATAGCACAAAAACCCCTTCTCTGAGCTGAACTTGGAGCCTTCAGGATTATCATCCCTAAACACAATCCAACTGAAGTTCAAGGCCTTTTTTCTTAAAAATCCTCATCTGTGTGTGATGTTTCCTTCAGCTGTAACATAATCATTGCTTTATCCTGAACACACACAAATCCATGCACTATACTGTAATATTAGAACCTTTAAACTTTCAGCTTTCTTTCAAAATAAGTTTCTAGTCCTTATGAGGACCCAAGCTATCTTTAAGTCCTTATTTGTTTCTTTTACTTTAATGCTTCTAAACCTCACTTTCATCTTAGTAAAAAAGAATCAGAAGGAAGTAGACAAACTAAAAACCACAGTATTACAGTAAAAACGATCTAAAATGTCAAACACATCAGCTTGTGCTTGATTAGTACAATTGTATCAATATTATGCAGGCTGTTAATGGAACGCGGGTGGTGCTGTGGGTTAAACCACAGAGCCTAGGACTTGCCGATCAGAAGGTCGGCGGTTCAAATCCCCACGGCGGGGTGAGCTTCTGTGGGAAGGTAAACGGTGTTTCCGTGCACTGCTCTGGTTCGCCAGAAGCGGCTTAGTCATGCTGGCCACATGACCCGGAAAAACTGTCTGCGGGCAAACATTGGCTCCCTCGGCCAATAAAGCGAGATGAGTGCCTCAACCCCAGAGTCGGCCACGACTGGACCTAATGGTCAGGGGTCCCTTTACCTTTACCTATCAATATTATGCAGGCTGTTAATGTGCTGGGTAATATAAGCAGCAAGGAGAGAGGTCTCTGCTGCAAGGAGCTTGCAGTCTGAAGTTAGTCAGCTGAGAGAGAGAGGAGAAGAAAAGAATGAGATAGGAGAGGCATGGATAAAACGAAAACAGGAGGAGGCAGGGATGTTGTTAGTCTGCCTCTAGACTGCTCTCTCTGGCATGAAGCATATCTCTCGGTCCCTTTTTCCTACTGAATCTTAATAAATGTCATCTAAGATCTCTGCCGAGCGCTGTTCCCTCTCCAAGATGTCCTAAGAAGAATTACCACTTCCAGTTTCAGACAAGGAAATCGCACCGACAAAAGAAGTGGAACATTTCTACCAGCTGCGCTCCGACATGTCCATCACATTAATGCAAATGTTAAGCTAATGGAGCTATTTTTGTGTGGACCGCGATAAGCAAATGGTCTGCAGCCCTCCGTTCCTCATTGTGGTACATTTCCACAAGCTCCCACAGGGCCGGGCAATTCTCCTGCTGCTGAAGAAACCCCTTTGTCTAATCTCAGTCCTTAAAAAGAGCCAATTAGAAAATTTGTCTGACCATAGTTGTACTGATCGGCCCAGTGCGTGACTGGTCACAGAAACCATCTCATGGTTCTTACAGAATCTTGGGGGGGTATTATTATTATTATTTTTATTATTATTATTATTATTATTATTTACACCAGGCTCACAATGAAGCACAGATTCCTGTACCGTTAGGCGCCAAACTTCCATGTTACATTAGTCATGCCTTTTCGAAAGCGTGCTTAAACGAACTGGTTTTTTTTTATCTTGGAGAGAGAGGACACGCTCCTTACTTTCGACACCTGTATAGCAAGCTGCCTTTTACTGAGTCAGACTATTGGGCCATCTGGCTCAGTATTGACCACGTTGATTGACAGCAGCAGTTCTTCTGGGCTGCAGCCCTACCTGGCAATGCCAGGATCCGAACCTGGGACCTTCTGCATGCAAGGCAGAAGCTCTGCTACTGAGGTATGCTAAAGGTGTAAAGGGACCCCTGACCATTAGGTCCAGTCGTGGCCGCCTCTGGGTTGTGACGCTCATCTCGCTCTATAGACCGAGGGAGCCGGTGTACAGCTTCCGGGTCATGTGGCCAGCATGACAAAGCCGCTTCTGGCGAACCAGAGCAGCGCACGGAAACGCTGTTTACCTTCCTGCCAGAGCAGTACCTATTTATCTACTTGCACTTTGAGGTGCTTTCGAACTGCTGGGTTGGCAGGAGCAGGGACTGAGCAACGGGAGCTCACCCGTCGCGGGGATTTGAACCGCCGACCTTCTGATCGGCAAGCCCTAGGCGCTGTGGTTTAACCCACAGCGCCACCCTGCACCACCCTTTATCCAGTGGATTTTCCTAGGCAGTGAACGCCACCACCATTGCTTTCTGTAGACTTTATGCTAATGGCGTTAGGTGTGTTTAAGTTTGTGTCACTTGGGAAGCGGTGGCCTTGCAGAAGCTTCTGGACTGAACCAGTCCCTGCCTATTGGCTGGGATGGATGGGAGATGGGAGTCCAGGAACATCCCAGCCCCGTGTTAGATAAAAATAAATAAGTGACTAGATTATGGCTCAGTGTGAGGAAAGGGCAGGGCTGGATTTAGGTTTGATGAGGCCCTAAGCTACTTTATATGTCCAGCTATCCTTTGTCCACAAATTGTCACTGTTTCTTGTGCTGAATATATGCTATATGGTAATTTATGGACCTAATAGGTCTCTGAAGCCATTTGCACATGTTGCCTTGCAACCAGTCCATGCAGAATGTAGGCACCCTATGTATAAAGGTAAAGGTAAAGGGACCCCTGACCATTAGGTCCAGTCATGACCAACTCTGGGGTTGCAGCGCTCATCTCGCTTTACTGGCCGAGGGAGCCGGCATACAGTTTCCAGCTCATGTGGCCAGCATGACTAAGCCGCTTCTGGCAAACCAGAGCAGCGCACGGAAATGCCGTTTACCTTCCCGCTGGAGCGGTACCTATTTATCTACTTGCACTTTGACTTGCTTTCAAACTGCTAGGTTGGCAGGAGCTGGGACCGAGCAACGGGAGCTCACCCCATTGCAGGGATTCAAACCGCCAACCTTCTGATCGGCAAGTCCTAGGCTCTGTGGTTTAACCCACAGCGCCACCCGCATCCCTATGTATAGAAATGAGCAAACCAGTGATATTTTAGGGAGCAGGTGAGGCCCATTACACCATAGGAGCCTACACAACACAAAACACTGTTGCTTTATGTAGGTTTTATTTAATTTGTTTTTTATCTTAAATTTTGGAAATGTACATCCAGGTGTTTTTTCCCCTTTAAATTTGTTGTGGGCCCCCAAGAGAGTGGGGCACTAAGCTGCAGCTTGTTTAGCTTATACGTAAATCCGGCACTGGGAAAGGGGTTGAGGTTGGGACAGTAAACACTTCTCCTCACACTCAGAACTTTTCCTCCAGAGACTACTGCCTGTCTTTCACTGATAAAGGATCGCCAGCAAACTCCTTGTTATCCTCCTCCTCCCCTACTCTTGTCAATTAGCTTTCCTGTCCTGTCTGTTCCCTGCCTAGGCCTTTACTTGCAAACAGGCTATTACTCACAGCAAGCAAATAGCCCAGTGGAGAGCTAATAGCTCGGGGGCGATTCTCATTAAACCAGTGCAAGAAGGAAAGGATATCTTTTTGGTAACTGCTATGCTGCAGTTGGGGGTGGGGCGGGGCCCTTACATTGCCTCTTCTTTATCACCATCATCATCCTTGTTGTTTTTTAAGCACATTTAACGTAATGCGTAATTTGGCTCTTAAGAGGAGCCAGATTAGCTGCCACCTATGTTTTGCACAAAATTGGTTTTGATTGCCATGGCAAGAGGCAAGGAGTTATGGAGAAATCCTGCCCAGTGAAGCCGTCCCCTCTCCTTCAACAACAACAACAACAACAACAACAAAAGGTTTCTGAATATTTTTCAGGTATTGCCCTACAGCCACAGGGGCTAGAATTTTTTTTTTGAATAAAATAGAAACAGAGATTCTCAGGAAGCTGCCTTTGCTGTTGGATACAAAAGGTGGCGCTGTGGGTTAAACCACAGAGCCTAGGACTTGCCAATCAGAAGGTCGGCGGTTCGAATCCCCGCAACGGGGTGAGCTCCTGTTGCTCGGTCCCAGCTCCTGCCAACCTAGCAGTTCGAAAGCATGTCAAAGTGCAAATAGATAAATAGGTACCACTCCAGCGGGAAGGTAAACGGCATTTCCGTGCGCTGCTCTGGTTTGCCAGAAGCGGCTTAGTCATGCTGGCCACATGACCCGGAAGCTGTACGCCGGCTCCCTCAGCCTATAGAGCGAGATGAGCGCCGCAACCCCAGAGTCAGTCACAACTGGACCGAATGGTCAGGGGTCCCTTTACCTTTACAAAAGGTGCTTTACCAGTGAGATTGTAGAAGCACAGGGAATGTGCACTGCTGATTTTTAAAACCCATATCCTTAACCACCACTGTATCCCCTATTTTAGCATTACTTATACACTGAACCATTGCTCCTCTCCAACATCACCTATTCCTTCCTTATCTTTGTGCCTCCTTCTTCATTCCCATAGACCTTGGATGACCTGGAAGAGCGAGTCAAAGAAGCCGGGATCGAGATCACTTTCCGCCAGAGCTTCTTCTCTGACCCCGCTGTGCCCGTCAAGAATCTGAAGGTGATCCTGGCTGCGAGGGGGTGTGTGAGGGGTGTGTGCGCACTGACCGCAGGTTTAGCGATCCCTGTTGGCAGGGAGGGCAGAGGGACTCAGCTTTGCTTCATCCAAACCCCCTTCAACAAGGGTGGGTGGGATACAGTGGTACCTCGGGTTAAGTACTTAATTCGTTCCAGCAGTCTGTACTTAACCTGAAGCTGTTCTTAACCTGAAGCACCACTTTAGCTAATGGGGCCTACTGCTGCCGCTGCGCCACCGGAGCACAATTTCTGCTCTCATCCTGAAGCAAAGTTCTTAACCCGAGGTAATATTTCTGGGCTAGCGGAGTCTGTAACCTGAAGCGTATGTAACCTGAAGCGTATATAACCCAAGGTACCACTGTATTTGGATTGCTTTGAATCTCTGCTTTTTGTACGTGCCAGATCTGTGCTTTTTGCTGCCTGGGACAGCTTCAGGCTGTTGTGGGGTAGGGACGGGCTCGTGCGGAGCTGTGAAAAGTTTCGTCCCAGTGTACATATCGCAAACGGACAGCAGAATCCTAGACGTGTTTGCTGGAAGATAAGCTCCAGCGTCTTCAGTGGGGCTTTCTCCCGAGTAAGTGTGCTCCAGGTGGCAGCCGCAAGGAGGGTTCATAGACAGGAGCCACATCCCTTTGGTCTTGGCTAACCTGTAGAGCAGGCGTTGTCAACCTTTTCAGACCCAGGGCCCACCTTTAATGCAAACATGCATTTGGGGACCCACTTCTTAATCGTTTGACATATATCTGCAGGGTGATACTTCTTCTTCTTCTCTGGCGATCACTCATAACCGAGTAAGATTGTCTTCCATAAACACGGTTTTAACAACGAGTCCATAAGTGATTGTGGAGGCCAATTCTGGACCCACACGTCCTTCCACAGTGGGGACATTGGTTTCAGGGTGGGAGTTGATCACGGTGTGGATTTGCCAAGCGTGCCTTCCTCCTAGCACGTTTATCCCTTGCGTCCTGAGTTTGGTAAAAGCTGTTCTCCGATTGGAGTGCTCGCAGGCAAGTGTTTCCCAGTTTTTGGTGTTTATACTGCATTTCTTTAGATTTGCCTTGAGACAGTCTTTAAACCTCTTTTGTTGACCACCAGCATTACGCTTTCCATTTTTAAGTTCGGAATAGAGTAGTTGCTTTGGAAGATGATAATCAGGCATCTGCACAACATGACCAGTCCAACAAAGCTGATGTTGAAGAATCATTGCTTCGACACTGGTGATCTTTGCTTCTTCCAGTACACTGGGATTAGTTCGCCTGTCTTCCCAAGTGATGTGAATGGAGGGTTAATTGACTGAAATTTTGAGAATGCCCTTGCTGTGTGTGGGGGGGGGCAGTGTGTTATATTACCCCAAGTGACAGAGTGTGTGTGTATGTGGGGGATGTGATCTGGGTGGAAGGAAGGGTGTCAAAACTTTCTTGCTTCCTTGTCCCAACCCCCATTACTTGGCCGACTACCAATGATGCTTTTTTACAGTTAGGGTTGCATCCAATCTTAGTCCCATTCAGAGCAGATACTTTGAAATAAATAGATAGGACTAACTTAGGTCCATGCATTTCAATGGGTCTACCCTGAGGAAAACTTAGTTGGATGCAATCCTTAGATTTTGAAAAACTATGCCGAAACACACACACACACACATACATATTCAGTTTATAACAATTTAACAATGTGCAACACTTATACATTTGCAATCTAATAACAGAGGAAAGAGAAGAAAAGGAAACAAAGGGGGAGAGATAAAGGAACTAGGAGTTAAATCATGCAACATTTCTTAGATACGTTCGTTAACATTATCTGAGTGGCAGTTTTCTAATTATAAGAATGTAGAGATTCCAACGAGCCTGGATCAGGGATGACTATTAATAAACTAAATGCTTCCTTTATTAGTACAGTCGTGCCTTGGTTTTCAAACAGAATGTGTTCCGCAAGTCCGTTTGACTTCCGACACGTTCGGAAACCAAGGCGTGGCTTCCGATTGGCTGCAGGAGCGTCCTGCAGCCAATTGGAAGCCGCGGAAGCCACACCAGACGTTCGGCTTCTGAGGCAAAGTTCGCAAATCAGAACACCTGCTTCCAGGTTTGCGGCGTTCGAGTTCCAAGTTGTTTGTGGACTATGCTGTTCGAAAACCAAGGTACGACTGTATATGCGAGTTAGTGAAAGCTTTTAACTAGCAGGTACCAATATATTATTGAAACATGGATGTTGCATTTGAAATGCATGGCTGCTCTTGTAATTGGAAGGCTTTTGGATTAAATTTTGTAGATATTGTTTACCCTGCACTTTGTCAGGCAAGTAGGACAGGAGTTTAACAGCCACTCTGCTTCCTTGCGATAGCCTTATCTTCCACAAGGTTGTCTGTCTAGGTGTCTGTCTGTCTGTTTGTCTTCCAAGTAGTAGGTGGCCATCCCTACCTGCTGTAGATTCCATAGAGGGGCCTTTGGCCTTTTGCACCCCCAGATAAACTTGGAAATTTCCTTCTGCCGTTTTTTGAGGCAATCGTCTTTCACCATTACTGGGACTGACTGGAAAAGAAATAGCATTTTTGGCAAAACATTCATTTTTACTGCTGCTATTTTTCCCAACAGGGAGAGATTCATTCTGCTCCATATTTCTAGATTCCTTTTTACCTCGAGCCACACTTTTTCATAATTGTCTTTGTAGATATTTATATTTCTTGATGCTAAGCATATCCCTAAATATTTAACCTTTTTATGGACTTCTTTCTCAATACTTTGCTCCAACTCTTTTTTCTCTTCTTCCTTCCAATTTTTAACAGAGGGAAAAAACCTCCCGTCCACTTTCTGCACCCTAAGTACCTCTGAACGCCGTTTCCTTTGTGGAAAGGCAGAGTGTATATCAAAAAGTGTAATCTATGTAATCTATGAGATGGGCTTACATTGCCCCCTAATGCTTCAAGCCAAGCACGATTGGTAGGTGCTTCTGGCAGACACACGTGTTGGTGGAGGCCGGCAGGGGGTGGGGGGGCAGGGGGAGACAGAAAGAAGCCACCCCTGAAATTCAGTGCCTTTCTCGTTCTGGCGGCAGCTGCCATCCCCTGAGCTGACAGATGGACAGACAGCGCCACCCCCAATCCTCCTGACAGCTTCTGCTCAGGGGAGAACTGATGCCACCAGAATGAATGAGCCAGATACTGCCGCAGCACTTCGCCTCCCCTGTTGGGTTGGGTTTTCTCTTTTTAAAAAAAGAACAAGCAGTCAACGCTTGCAAGAAGCATCCAGCAGTAGCAATCGGAATATTGCTGCCTTGTTCCCTTTTCATGTCAGCGAGTGGCTGCATTTATCATTGCAGAAGAAAACAAGAGCACTCTCTCTCTCTCTCTCTCTCTCTCTCTCTATATATATATATATACACACTGTATTTTTCGCTCTATAAGACGCACTTTCCCCCTCCTATAAAGTAAGGGGAAATGTGTGTGCTTCTTATGGAGCGAATGCAGGCTGCGCGGCTATCCCAGAAGCCAGAACAGCAAGAGGCTATCCCAGAAGCCAGATCCCTCTTGCTGTTCTGGCTTCTGGGATTCAGAATATTTTTTTTCTTGTTTTCCTCCTCCAAAAACTAGGTGCATCCTATGGTCTGGTGCATCTTATAAAGCGAAAAATACGGTATATCTTGGAGGGAGGGCTGTTTGATTGGTGCAGAACTTATCTCCTGCCTACCCCAAAGACGGCTCCCTCTGCTGGTTGGGACCCTATGGGGCCAGGGTGGCTTATAGGCAACGTGGCCCCTTTCCCCTCACCCCAGAAACAGGGTGTTTTGCATGGTGACTTCAGATCACCAGGCTCCTCGGGAAAGGTCTATTAAACATTAATGAAAACTGCATTTCGGATTCATTGGCGCTCGCACTGCAGGAGCAAGAGGCAGGAACCCCAAGCAAGAGGCGGCGCGTCTCTCTCATCAAATGCCTTGTCTCCTTCAAATATGCAGAATTCGCAGCTAGATTGGGCCAGCCGCCCCGTGCGCCAGCGTGATGTGCAGCAGTAAGTTCAGGGCGCACAAAAGAAAGCTCTCCTTTGCACAATGTACAATCAGCGCAGGAATTCAGGACCGCAATTAGATGGTGACGCCAGTAGCTTTGATGGTTTTGGGGGTTGTTGTTTTTTTGGGAAAGAATCAGACTAACTCAGATTGCTCATAAATAGCACTCCCATAATAAGAGATAGTAGTGTACCACTGAGCAGTGGTTGTCTGCTGGGACAAAGAAGGGAGAACAACCATCACTTTCATCCTCTGCTTCAGAGAGGCAGCTTGTTGGCAGGGGAGTAGGAAAGGAGGGGCAGGGGGGCTGCCCCAGGTGCCATTATGGGGGTGACAAATTATCAAGTAACAATTACTGCCCTACTAGGGTGGTTCATAATGGGACACGGGTGGCACTACTGAGCCTAGGGCTGGCTGATCAGAAGGTTGATGGTTCGAATCCCCGCAATGGGGTGAGCTCCCGTTGCTCGGTCCCTGCTCCTGTCACGCTAGCAGTTTGAAAGCACGTCAAAGTGCAAGTAGATAAATAGGTGGGAAGGTAAACGGCGCTTCCGTGTGCTGCTCTGGTTCGCCAGAAGCGGCTTAGTCATGCTGGCCACATGACCCGGAAGCTGTACGCTGGCTCCCTCGGCCAATAAAGCGAGGTGAGCGCCGCAACCCCAGAGTCGGCCACGACTGGACCTAATGGTCAGGGCTCCCTTTACCTTTACCTTTTTTAGGGTGGCTCATCAAAAACTTTTTTTTTGAAAATGTCTGCTCCAAAGATCTTATCTTACTACACTAGGTATTATATAGCTATATATGAACTTTCGTGCATATCAGTTAATATCTTGACCCTCCTCCACAAAAATAGCTGTTTACTCATGTAAACTATGTCGTGAAGGCTGAAATTTCAATTCAGTGGAGCACTTACTGTTCCCAATCCTAACCCTGCGGAAAGCCATCTAATTGGACTTTAATTTGATTTTGACATGTTTTTAGGAGGTAATTTAATTATTGCTTGATTTTATACCAATGTTATGTATCTGATGTTAGCCGCCCTGAGCCTGACTTTGGCTGGGGAGGGCAGGATATAAATTTAAAATGTTGTTGTTGTTGTTATTTCCTTTGTAAGAAAATATGAAATAACGTAAAACCATTTTTGCAGGCAATAAAAAACGTCAATGTGGGGTGGGGGGGGTGACAAAAATGTTTCCACACTGGGTACCACCTGACCTTCCTACGGCTCTGCTTGTTGGAAGCATAATGCTAAGCTAGGGAACTATAAGCAGGGAGAGCTCAGATCTTGCTTGGGGGATTCTCAGAGGCATCTGGTTGGCCACTGAGAGAACAGGCTGCCATACCCTCCAACATTTCTCCGATGAAAATCGGGATATTATTATTATTATTATTATTATTATTATTATTATTATTATACCCCACCCATCTGACTGGGTTGCCCCAGCCCCTCTCGGCGGCTTCCAACATATATAAAAACATAATAAAACGTTAAACATTTTAAAACGTCCCTATACAGGGCTACCTTCAAATATCTTCTAAAGGTTGTAAAGTTACTTACCTCCTTGGCTTGGGAAAGGGGTTCACATAACTCCACACCCTCCAACATTTCTCTGATGAAAATAGCGACTTCCTAAGGAAAAGGGGGACATTCCGGGATCAAATCAGAAATCTAATCAGGGACGGCTTCTGTAAATCCAGGACTTTCCCTGGAAAATAGGAAGACTTGGAGGGTCCGGGATGCTGGACAGGATGGGCCTTTGGCCCAGTTGTGTGTGTGTGAAGCAAACTCCGTGCTCGTATGTTCAATTCATTAAAAGATACATGAAAGTTTGAGTTATGGGGGTGAGGAGAATGTGTTCGTGAATTAAGCAATGCTCAGTTTATTTTTGGTTGCTGTTTTGGGAATGTTGTTAATACAGTTGTTTTATAGGTTATGAATGCTGTAGCACTTTGTGAATCCTGCGATGCGATTTTTGTTGCAATTGCGACGCTTACCTTATTTTTAGTAGTTCTGTTTCATAGGCGGTAATTGTTTCCTTGATAATTTGGGGTCGTTTTGCTGACGATTTGTTAGTTCTTCTATATGATTTGTGCTGCATTTGTGACGTTCTGCTCTGTTATTGTCATCTGTTGCTTGTAAGCCGCTTTGGGATTCGTCTGAACGAAAAGAGGCATAGAAATATAACCAATCAATCTGCAATAAGTAATTGATTGCGCTTGACTCTGTGGAAACGCCCTCCAGCCACCTGACCCTATTTTTCCCCTTACAGCGCCAAGATGCCCGTATCATCGTTGGACTCTTTTATGAGACGGAGGCGCGGAAGGTCTTCTGTGAGGTGGGTGTCCAGGGTGGAGGTTCCTCTCTGGGCATACAAGAGGCTGCAACGAAGGAGCTTCCTTCATTCCCAACTTTAACTAGAGATGTTGGGGATTGAACTTGCGACTCTCGGCAGGCAAAGCAGAGCTTTATCTACTGAGCTACAGCTGGAATGTGTGGTAGTGAAGGTGAAGGACCTACCTATCTAGGTAGGTCCCTATCTGTTACTAGGAGCATCAAGGACGCTGCAAGACAGCAAACGACAGCAGGGAAAAATATTTTTTTATTTTGTGAAGCAATTGCTTGGACACAAAGGCACAGACCAGCTCATGCTTGGAGTCTGGCCCCGAATTCTAAGCGAGCCAGCTTTTTATACATTTGCAGAATACAATACCACCTGATTTATTGTAAACCACCTGATTTCTGGCAAATCGAAAGTTATAGTAAGTTCCTATTACCATGTAAGGTCTTGGCCCCCTCCTTCCTGCCATGGCCTCACTACACCACGGCCATGTGCGTTCCTGAGTTTGCTTATCTCTTTACAACCTTGAATAATAAACATTTGAGCCTGTTCCATCAATGCCAGCCTTGTTCTCCTGACAGACCTCTCCTTTTTAAGAAAGGCCTTTGGGAGGGTTTGCTATGGCCCTATACTAGGAGGCTTGAGATGAAATGCAAGCCATGCCATGGCCCTGACTGGACCACTCTACTTATTGGCAAACCTTCATTTCTCCTCTCTGGCGGCACTGGGGACAGGTCTACAAGGAGCGCTTGTTTGGAAAGAAGTACGTCTGGTTCCTGATTGGCTGGTACGCCGACAACTGGTTCCGCATCAAGGATGCGAATATTAACTGCACTGAGGAAGAGATGAGGGAGGCCGTGGAGGGCCACATCACCACCGAGATCGTCATGTTGAACCCAGAGAACACACGCAGCATCTCCAATATGGTGAGGGAGCGTCTCAGAGGTCATGGGGGGGATAGGGAGGTGCGGGTGGCGCTGTGGGTTAAGCCACAGAGCCTAGGACTTGCCGATCAGAAGGTCGGCGGTTTGAATCCCCGCGACGGGGTGAGCTCCCGTTGCTCAGTCCCTGCTCCTGCCAACCTAGCAGTTCGAAAGCACGTCAAGGTGCAAGTAGATAAATATGTACCGCTCCGGCGGGAAGATAAACAGCGTTTCCATGTGCTGCTGTGGTTTGCCAGAAGCGGCTTAGTCATGCTGGCAACATGACCCAGAAGCTGTACGCTGGCTCCCTCGGCCAGTAAAGCGAGATGAGCGCCGCAACCGCAGAGTCGTCCGCAACTGGACCTAATGGTCAGGGGTCCCTTTACCTTTTTAAATGTCAAATGTTGGGGTTTTTAAGCTTGCCTGGAAGTCACGCTCTGACGTTTGGAAGCCTTCACTGTAGAGGCTGGCTCTGATTTGTTGCCCGCAAAGGAAATGCACTCTGCAGGTGTTCTAAGGTGATGTTAATAATAATAATAATAAATAATTATAATAATTTTTTATTTATACCCCGCCCTTCCAGGTTCAAAAACCGGGCTCAGGGTGGCTAACAACAAATTTAAAACACTTTAAAACACTTAATTGTAAAAGCAGCATAAAATACGGTATAAAAACATGAATAACAATAAAATTCAAAAATCAATTAGATAATCCCCAGGGCTAGCTGGCTGAATTGGTCCTACTTGGGCCAGCGAGAAGGCCAGGGGAGAATTAGCTGTGGGGTCTCAGAGTGGGGAATCTTCATAAAAGGGGAGGGGGAGGGAAGAGAAGGGAAATAAAAGATCAGGCTGAATTCACATTAAAGGCCAGGCGGAATAGCTCTGTCTTACAGGCCCGACGGAAGGAGGTTAAATCCTGAAGGGCCCTGGTCTCATGGGACAGAGCATTCCACCAGGTCGGAGCCATCACTGAAAAAGCCCTGGCCCTTGTGGAGGATAGTCTGACTTCCTTAGGGCCCGGGACCTCTAAACTATGATTATTCATGGACCTTAAGGTCCTCTGCGGGGCATACCAGGAGAGGCAGTCCCGTAGATACGAGGGTCCTAAGCCACAAATGTTGTCAAATGTCCCAAGCTTAACTCTTGTTGTTGAGAGCTGGCTCCAAGGCGAAAGTCTGGAGAGGTCTGGTTCAAGCTGAGAGGTGATTTAAAAAAACAGAAACCAGATGTTTGCTCAAGCTGCAGGTTATGGGCAATGGTGAAAGCAATATACATTGTCAAAGGGAGCGAGAAACTTTTGTAATATTCCAAATAGACAAAAACCAAATTTTAAAAACCCGCTTCCCCCCTCCCAGATTTTTAAAGCAAGATTTCACCTTAATGGATTTCTGTCTGTTAAAGAGAGTCGATTCATGTGACAGTTAATACTTTTAAAACTTTATTCAGTCTTAAGAATTTTACTCCAGATCTTTGAGAAGCCATTGATTTTTTTTCTTTTTTACTAGGTAGGATTAACTTACGAATAATAATAATAATAATAATAATAACAACAACAACAACTTTTATTTATAGCCCGCCCTCCCCAGCCAAGACCAGGCTCAGGGCAGCTAACAACCGATATAAAAACAAATTGATTGAAATACAACTTAAAAACTGTTATGTACTGAAGTTCTCACCCTGGGCCAGCAGGGGGATACTGTAGATAGTTATGCAAATAAGGGATCAAAAGTGACGTTCAGTGATTGGATAGTTACAGAAAGTGATTACTGTTGCGTTGTAGTGGAGCTCTATATAAGCAGGCTGACTGAACCCTTCAGTTCAGTTCTGTTCTGGCCTGTGAATAAACAAGAGCTGTTTGAAGAATCGCTGTGTCGTCTGATATGTTCACCCACAACTTAGCAAAAACCAAATTAAAATACAACATTAAAACATTAAAATGCTATTATAGAGTCAACATGGGGTGGAAGGACTGGGGTGCCTGGAAAAACAAGACTTGCTGCCACTCTAAGGCTCAATCCTGTTGCAAAATCAAATTGTGATACAGAGGGAACACATTATCCATCCGACCTTAACCATAATTTACATGTCTGGGGATCATTTTCAATCTTTCTTTCGTCCCCTACAGACATCGCAGGAGTTCATTGAGAAGCTGACGAAGCGGGTGAAAAAATCCCCAGAGGAGACGGGAGGCTTCCAGGAGGCTCCGCTGGCCTATGATGCCATCTGGGCCCTGGCACTGGCACTCAACAAGACCTCCACGGAGCTGGTGAAGAAGGGCCTGCGGCTGGAAGACTTCAATTATAACAACAGGACTATCACAGATGAGATCTACCGAGCCCTCAACTCTTCAGCCTTTGAGGGAGTCTCTGTGCGTGGCTCTTGTGGATGTTTGAGATTTAGAAATGCCCACATATCTATCTGTCTGTCTGTCTGTCTGTCTGTCCATTATTTGTATGCCGCCCAGAAACTTGGGAGACCCTGTATTAATATGCACAGTGCTTTTTTCCCTTAAAAAATGTTTAGGGGTACTCTCGTTTTGACTCAAGAAAACCACCATTTTATAGTTCAAATTGGGAAAAATAAATACAGTGGTACCTCGGGTTACAGACGCTTCAGGTTACGCATTTTCAGGTTACGGATGCGCCGAAACCCGGAAGTACTGGAACAGGTTACTTCCGGGTTTCGGCGCTTTGCACATGCGCAGAAACACCAAATAATGTCCTGCGTATGCGCAGATGCAGCGCTCTGGGTTGCGAACATGCCTCCCACATGGATCCTGCTCGCAATCCGAGGTTCCACTGTACAGTAAATGGACAAAAGTACAAAGATTCACAAAATGTTTAGGGGTATGCGTACCCCTGCACCCCTCCCCCGAAAAAGCACAAGCACTGAAAATTATTATTATTATTATTATTATTATTATTATTATTATTATTATATCCCACCCTCCCCAGCCAGGACCGGGCTCAGGGCGGCTAACAGCAGAGTATATAATACAATCAACACATAAAATCAAACAATCAATTAAAATACAGCTTAAAATCAGATTAAGATCAGAATAAAAACAGATGGCAACCCACAAATTATAACTATAGGAATTGGGAACATTAAGTGCTCACCAGGCCCAACTATTGAATATGCAACTCCCTTTCCCTTTCCCCCCCCAGGGACATGTGGTCTTTGACGCCAGTGGCTCTCGGATGGCCTGGACCCTCATTGAGCAGCTTCAGGGTGAGCAAGGAACATTGTCGTTGTGCTGGGTGTGTTGGTTTCTCTTCTGAGATTCCTGTAAGGCAGCTGTTCTCTGTGTCCCATGATAGTTTGGGCAGACCCCAGATGCCACTGTGCAGTACTGCTCCTGATCAATCCCAGCCTCCCATTATTCATTGTCTTATTATTTGTTAACTTCTTTAACACCCCTTTCTTTCTCCCTCTCTCTTTCTGACACCTCTCTCTCTCTCTCTCTCTCTCTCTCTCTCTCCACCCAGCCAAAGTTCTGGACCCCCCCCTTTCATCCATTTAGGCTTTCCCCTCATTTTCTCTCCCCCCTCCCCGTTCCTTCCATGCTCCCCGCATCCGCATGAAATTTAAGTTGAGAGCCTCAGGCCCATCCCTTGCACCGCTAGGGGTTTGTTCCACTTTCCTACCCAGCATCAAGGCTTCACCTCCCTACTGTATGTAATGCCTCCTTCTGCCAACAGATGGCATCTATAAGAAGATCGGGTATTACGACAGCACCAAGGATAATCTCTCCTGGTACAACAATGAAAAATGGATTGGTAAGAGACTGACCTTTTAGGCATGGCAACCCGTTGTGTGACTCTCACAGGACCCAAAATGAAAATAAGGAGGGAGATAATGCATGTTGTTGTTGTTTAGTCTAAGGTTACCAGATTTTTTTTTCAGTGAATCCAGGGACACTTTTCAACTTCCTACTAAATAGATGGATTTTGTCAGGGGACTGATTTGTAAATCCAGGGACTGTCCCCGGGAAACGGGGACGTCTGGTAACCTTAGTTTAGTCGTCTTAGTCGTGTTCGACTCTCCGTGACCCCATGAACCAGAGCATGCCTTGGAAACTCTCACTTTCTTCTCAAAGCTTCTCCTTTATTTATGTCCATGGAGTTTTCTTGGCAAAATAATGGAGTGGATTGCCAGTTCCTTCTCCAGGTGGATCACATTTAGTCTAAACTCTCGGCTATGACCTGTCCATTTTGGGTGGCCCTGCACAGCATAGCTCATAGCTTCTTGGGAGTTATTCAAGCCCCTTTGCCATGACAAGGCAGTGATCCATGAAGGGGATATAATGCATACAAAATAGTTAATACAATACTTTCAATTTCCTTACTTCTTGGGTTCATTTTATTTGTAAATATGTGTGGCTATTCAAAAAAGCGAATGAAAAATTAGACTGTGTGTGTGTGTGTGTGTGTGTGTGTGTGTGTGTGTAATTTATTTACTGCATTTAAATCCCATCTTTCCTCCCAGTAGCTAAAGGTGCCATACATGGTTCTCTTACTACTCATACACACAGAGATAGATTGATAGAGACATAGATAGAGACAGATATATTTAAAAACAAGTCAAGACCCAGTGTCTGCTGTAAATACCTTGGGCATAGCTGTCAACTTTACCCTTTTTTTAAAGGGAAATTCCCTTATTCCGAATAGGATTCCTCGCAAGAAAAGGGAAAAGTTGACAGCTCTGACCTTGGGAAATACGTGAAGCTGGGTTGAGTCAGGAGGCAGCCTATGCGCTTGTTGAGCCACTCAGGGCAGTTGCCACACAGCACACGCCGGCCTGGTTGTTGTCAGATTGGCTGGTGCCAACTTGCCCTCTGTCTTCCAGGGCCACAGAAAGGGGGGGGAAAGAACATAGTCTTCCTGGATGCGAATGGTGGAAAGGACTATGAGGCGCCTGAGTCTCTCTGTTCTTCCCCCCCATACCCTACAGGCGGTGTCCCGCCAGCTGACTACACAAAGGTCATCATCACTTTCCGGTATCTCTCCCAGAAGCTCTTCATTTCTGTCTCGGTGCTCTCCAGCGTGGGTATCCTGTTGGCCATCATCTGCTTGGCCTTCAACATCTACAACGGGCACGTCAGGTGGGTAACCCTCAACCTACTTAGTCACCTACTCTACTGCTGGCAGAGCAATGGAATAGCAGCTCAGCGAGTCATCTACACCTGAGGAATTTGTGCAGCTGCTCCATTCACTTGGATTTTGTAAAGTCTGGGCATGGGGGGAAGCCTTAATAGAAGCTGAGAAGGGAAAACATGGGATGAGTACCGTATTTTCCGCTGTATAAGACACACAAATTCCCCCAAAATTAAGGGGAAATGTGTGTGCGTCTTATGGAGCGAATGCAGGCTCCATGGCTTCAGCAAAAGCAACGCGATGCCTCCGGAGCGCAGCAGGAGCGCGCTTTCGCTGAAGCCAGGAGAGCAAGAGGGATTGGTGCGCACCAATCCCTCTTGCTCTCCTGGCTTCGCTTCGCTGGAGAGGCGCTGTGCAGCTTTCCCTCTCTGCGCAGCGCCCCTTCAGCGAAGCGGGAGGAGAAATGGAAGGGGCTCCATTTCTCCTGCCGCTTCGCTGAAGGGGCGCTGCGCAGAGAGGGAGAGAATTTTTTTTTCTTATTCTCCCCCTCTAAAACTAGGTGCGTCTTATGGGCTGGTGCATCCTATAGAGCGAAAAATATGGTATATTTTGATTGTGACGTCATGCAGATGCCTTATAAAAAGTGAGCTAATAACATGTGAGGCTAGGTTCCCAGTGTGGATGCAGATCTATACATTTTCCGAAAGGACTTGGCATCTGTCTTATCCCCCTATGCAAGACTCTGTGTTAGACACCATTTATCCGACACCACCATGGCTCTTGAGGATGCAAAGCCCGGACGACGTACCTTTATTCTGTTGCTCCCCATAATGTGAACAAACACAAACCCCTGTGTTGCAAAATGTGACAATCTACAAAAATGCAAACGCAACACGCTGGCTAATAACTGTTAGTAAATATATAATCGGTATGATGTCATTCAAAATATACAAATATACAAATAAGCCACTTCAAAATAATATATATACAGTGGTACCTCGGGTTAAGAACTTAATTCGTTCTGGAGGTCCGTTCTTAACCTGAAACTGTTCTTAACCTGAGGTACCACTTTAGCTAATGGGGCTTCCCGCTGCCACCGCGCAATTTCTGTTCTCATCCTGAGGCAAAGTTCTTACCCTGAGGTACTATTTCTGGGTTAGCAGAGTCTGTAACCTGAAGCGTCTGTAACCTGAAGCGTCTGTAACCCGAGGTACCACTGTATATATATCATACAATACATCTCAAAAAATATACAAGTAACTGCAACTCCATAATGTGGGCATAGAGGGCAGCCGGGTTTAGATCCTTTCAGATGCAAACCCCCCCGCTTTAGATCTCTCACACCTTCCGTTCCTTCACAGATACATCCAGAACTCACAGCCGTACCTCAACAACATGACAGCCGTGGGTTGCGCACTGGCGCAAGCGTCTGTCTTCCCGCTCGGACTGGATGGCCTCCACATCAGCAAGGGCCTCTTTCCCTTTGTTTGCCAGGTACATGATAGACTCTCTAGAGGTCTGGGGCATCGTCTGTTGGACATAGACCTCCCAGTTAGATCACGCATAGGGCTGTTTCTGAGACCCGTAGCTCTCTTCTTTTTCCATCTTCCCCTGGGATAGAAGCGAGAGCTCCCCTTGGAAATTGATGGACGAAATCCAAGTTTTGACATAGCAACTCTCCTCCCACCACCGAAAAAAGAGAGCAAAAGGTAACAGGCAGGATTTGATGCGCTTTCTAACTAGGAATCTGTGGGAAAATTGATTCCTTTTTTAATTTTAAAACACGTTTAGAGGTATATGCATGCAACTCGATGGAGTGCAAGGTTTCCGCTCCAAGGACCGTTTTGGGTTGCAAAACCAAACTAGCCTCAACCCTGCCGCTGAACTACATTGCAAGGCTGCTGTAAGATACTCTCTTTCTCTTCTTTTGCCACACCCATTCAGTCAGCAGAATAGGAATATTATTTAGCGGAGCAGACAATATAAAATCTTAATTGACCATTGAAGCTTAAGTTAAGTTGGTACATCCTGCTGTATTTTACCAATGGGAAAAAGTAGGTGGCAGTCTTGACGCTTCCATTAGAGAATTGTAAGCGATGGCCTCCAACTTGGATGGCTTTGAAAGAGGATTAGACAAATTCATGGAGGACAAAGCAATCACTGGCTACTAGCCACAATGGCTATGTTCTACCTCTACTTTCCTAGAATCATAGAGTTGGAAGTCTTCTTCTTTGGCGATCACTTGTAGTCGAGTAAGATTGTCTTCCATAGGCATGGTTTTAACAATGAGTCCATAAGTGACTGTGCAGGCCAATTCTGGATCCACACGTCCTTCCACAGTGGGGACCTAGGTTTCCAGGCGGGAGTTGATCACAGTGAGGGTTTGCCAAGCGTGCCTTCCTCTAAGCACGTTTCTACCTTGCGTCCTGAGTTCAAGTGTCTTCAAAGCCAATGACGCCTTTGGTAAAGGCTGTTCTCCAACTGGAGCGCTCGCAGGCCAGTGTTTCCCAGTTGTCAGTGTTTAGCGCTGTGGTCTAAACCACAGAGCCTAGGGCTTGCCAATCAGAAGGTCGCGGTTCGAATCCCCGCAACGGGGTGAGCTCCCATTGTTCGGTCCCTGCTCCTGCCAACCTAGCAGTTTGAAAGCATGTCAAGTGCAAGTAGATAAATAGGTACTGCTCTGGCGGGAAGGCAAACGTGATTCCGTGCACTGCTCTGGTTTACCAGAAGCAGCTTAGTCATGCTGGCCACATGACCCAGAAGCTGTACGCCAGCTCCCTCGGCCTATAGAGCGAGATGAGCACTGCAACCCCAGAGTCATCCGTGACTGGACCTTTACCTTTATACTACATTTTTTTAGATTTGCCTTGAGACAGTCTTTAAACCTCTTTTGTTGACCACCAGCATTACGCTTTCCAATTTTAAGTTCGGAATAGAGTAGTTGCTTTGGAAGACGATCATCAGGCATCCGCACAACATGACCAGTTCAACCAAGTTGATGTTGAGGAATCATTGCTTCAACACTGGTGATCTTTGCTTCTTCCAGTACACTGGTATTAGTTCGCCTGTCTTCCCAAGTGATGTGTAACATTTTTCAGAGACACCGTTGGTGGAATCTTTTGAGAAGTTGGAAGTGACCCCAAGGGTCATTCTAGTACAACCCGCTGCGGTGCAGGAATCTCAGCTAAAGCATCCATGACCGATGGCCACCCAGCCTTGGCTTTAAAACCTACAAGAAAGGTTTCTCTAAGGCCGCATGCTTCCAAATACAACTCCCATCAACCATGACACTTGGCCATGCTGGAAGCTGATGGGAGTTGGAGTCCAATGCAGGTTCCCCAGACTTGAGGCCGAGAAAGAGGCAGGAGGATGGCAGAGGAAACAGGGGAGGGAAATCAAAACGGCAGGGAACAATAGATGGTGCATTGCAGTGACACAACCTAGCCAGCTTTGCTCAATTCACATGGAACTTGGGTGGGTGGGATTGAGAATTTAAAATACAGCAGAGGTCTTCCTTCCCCAAAATGGTGCCCACAACTCCTGTCCACCTCTGGCAGCACAGCTGGGTGAGACTGCTGGCAATTCTGGTCCAAAACCTCTGGAAGGCAGCAGATCAGGAAAGGCTGGCAGAAGTGGTGAGATGGGAGATCGGACTCTCCCAGCCATTTCCCTCCTAACAGGTGATGCTTCTGGTATTATAATATTATACAGAGACAATAAAGGTAAAGGTAAAGGGACCCCTGACCATTAGGTCCAGTTGTGGCCGACTCTGGGGTTGCGGCGCTCATCTCGCTTTATTGGCCGAGGGAGCCGGCGTACAGCTTCCGGGTCATGTGGCCAGCATGATTAAGCCGCTTCTGGCGAACCAGAGCAGCGCACGGAAACGCCGTTTACCTTCCCACCAGAGCGGTACCTATTTTTCTACTTGCACTTTGACGTGCTTTCAAACTGCTAGGTTGGCAGGAGCAGGGACCGAGCAACGGGAGCTCACCCCGTCACGGGGATTCGAACCGCCGACCTTCTGATCGGCAAGTCCTAGGCTCTGTGGTTTAACCCACAGCACCACCCACGTCCCTTACCGAGACAATAAGCTGGGGTAAATCAGGGTTTTTTGGGAGGATGGGGGACACAGAGAGAGAGCACCCACCCACCGAAGCTGCATTTTAAAGCCCTCTCCACTCTAGACTGGCAACCACATGGCTTTTCCATCCAAGGTTGCCTCCATAATGTCTGGTTTGTCTCTGTGCTGCAGCTTTGTGGGAATGTCTGGCAGTTCTTGGGTATGTTGGGCCAAATGTGGCAGTGCTCTTAACCATGCTCTTCTGTTGCTGTTTTGGGCTCTCCAATCCACAGGCTCGTCTTTGGCTCCTGGGCTTGGGCTTCAGCTTGGGCTACGGCAGCATGTTCACCAAGATCTGGTGGGTGCACACGGTTTTCACCAAGAAAGAAGAGAAGAAAGAACGGCGGAAGGTGAAGCGCTTTGACCTGCTTTACCATGCCGCCAGAGACGAACTGCCTAGCAAGGATGAGGGAGCCTGTGTGGCCCTTCAAGCGTGGCTGGACTACAACTCCCATCATCCATGACCCTTGGGCCATGCCGGCTGAGGGCTGATGGGAGTTGGAGTCCAACTCAGGTTCCCCCTTCTAGTTGCATAGCTTTCAGAGGTGTAGCCATGTTAAGTCTGTGCTATGGCAAAACCCAGCAAATAGTCTTTTTTCACACTTGATCTTAGCCAAAAGGCCAAGAAGCGATACAAATAGTCTTTTTTTTAAGCACGTGAAAGGTTCACAATTTGTTTGTGGCGTAAGCTTCTATGGATGGATGGGGGAGGGGGTGTTTTTGTTTTTACTTTCCATTTTGTGCTTTTATCCTGCATTTTTATCTTGTGAACCACCCTGAGATCTCTGGATAAAGGGTGGTATATACATTTAATTGATGATGAAGAAGTGGGCTCTGGTCTGTGGATGTTTCTGCTGTAATAAGATTTGCTGGCCGCAAGACACTTTGAGGTTTTCGGTGCAGGTAACACTGTAGGGAGAGCGTTCAGCCGTTTGGTGCTGAGAAGGCCTCTCTTTGAAACGCCATTATTTATGAAACAGTTGTGACTGGCTAGATGGTGTGCGAAGATACCTTGGGAGCATCGGGCGAGAACTATGCATGCACCATACCTGTAAATCGCACAGCTTCCGCCAAGAATCCTGGAAACTGTTGTTTGTTAAGGCTCTTGGGGACCCTGGCAGCTATGTGAGAGGCAAACTATAGTTCCCAGCATTTTATGGGTGGGGGCTTTGGGGGTGATCGCAAGACCAAAGCCACCCATTTCAGAAGAAACCTATCTGAAATCAACACCACCGCTCCCTTGTTTTGGTCTCAGAATTGCTAATGCAGATTATAGTTGCCTACTTCATATCTGGCAGGTGTGTCTCTAGGTTAAAGGCTTTTGGGTGGAGCGGTTCATACAATATAGCGAATCTCAGGTGTGCCATAGAGGGGAGCCTCTGTGCTTGACCTCTGTGAATGTTTTTTTTGCGTATTCTGGAACACCCCTTTCAGCTGACTCAGGGCTCTCCCCATCTTTTGAGCACTCATCCTGATTAGTTTGCTGGGAGATTAGGTGACATCGGGCGTCGACTGAGCGTTCATTCCGAATTGTGTGCAGGGGGCGCAGATGGCATTGCGTCAAAGCAACCATTATCCCACATTTCCCACTGATTTCCCCACCGCTTTCCTTCTCAAAAAACCCCTGTCCAACGCTGAATGGCAACTTAAATTGACCAAAAATGCACAGCTTGCAGATTTAACGTATAGAATAAGAGAACGAGAAGAACATACAATGAGAGAAGATTGGAAAATGTTTATTGAGTATACTATGGGGGGAAACTGTGTACACTTGAAAATGTTGGCGGCATTAAGATAAATTCAACAGTGTAAATAAGTTTTGATGGATGTAATAATGGAATACTGAATGGTTTAGTTTTTTGTAAAATATGCAGGGATTTATGATATGTAAAATGAACCATGGAAAGAGAAGGTGGGAAGTCCTTGATATTTTAAGGATGTTTAAATGGTAAAACAGTAAATTTAAATTATATACAAAAAAAACCTGCCCAACCCTTTGGGAAAGTGGATTTGCTGCACAAGGTCTCCCAGGCAGCTATAACTACACAACCTGAGCCAGCCACAATGGGACTGAATCCCACCCCCAAATAACAACCGTCTGGAAGTGCCCTCAGGCCTCTTGTTCCCTCATTCTGTCTTTCCTCTTCTCTTCCAGACTCTGGAGCCCTGGAAGCTCTACGCCACGGTTGGGCTGCTTGTCGGGCTTGACTTCGTCATCTTGGCCATCTGGCAAATTGTCAACCCACTGAAACGCACCACAGAGGTAATGCCCTTGCGTGTGGCTCTCATGCTGGGAGGCTTAAATAGCTTGCAGGGCAATTGAACACAAGTCACATCCACAAATGCACAAGTTCCATGCCCAGTGCTTAATTGGTGACAGAACCAAACTAGGAAATCAGTTTTCGGTACAAGGCCTTAATTACTATTATTTATTTGATTTGTATACCCCGTTTTATCAAAAGATTCCAGAGCAGTGTACAACATTAAGAACTCATTTTACGGAGCACAATAATAAAAGCATAATAAAAGGCAGTGTAATAATAAATAATCATAACAACAGTCCACCCAACCCCACAGCTTTAACAGGCCATAGATTATTTAACGGCCAAGAGGAATGTTTTCGCCTGGCGCCTAAAGGTATGTAATGACAGCACCAGGCAAGCCTCTCTGGGGAGAGCATTCCACAGATGGGGAGCCACCACCGAAAAGGCCGGTTCTTGTGTCACCGCCCTCCAAACCTCTTGGGGAAGGGGGACATAGAGAAGGGCCTGAGATGACAAGTGCAGGGTGTGGGTCGGTTTGTATGGGGAGTGGCTGTCCTTAAGGTATTGAGGTCCTGTAAGGCTTTATAGGTCAAGGCCAGCACTTTGAACTGGGCCTGGAAACCAACTGGCAGCCAGTGCAGTTGGGCCAGGATTGGGGATATATGCTCAAAGTGTTGTGTTCTGGTGAGCAGCCTGGCCATCTAAGAGCCTTTCCCAGATGCTGGACTTCCAGCATCAATCAGCCTCTCCCAGTGGGAGCAGCGGGCAGGGATCATGGGAGTTGCAGTCCAGCAACAGTTGGAGGGCGCCAGGTTGGGAAAGCTGGCCCAGTGCAAAGGGTTGAGCTACTGCTGCTCAGCCCTCCCCCGTCCTTTCCACCCCCTCCCCATTTAAAATCCCATCTGCAGAACACAGTGATCAGGGGAGTGTGGCAGTCTTTTCAGTATCCTGGTCCCAAGCTGTACTGCATAAGGCTTGGTAGACCGACACCAACACCTTGAGCCTTGCTAAGTGGCAGCAACCAGTGCAATTCTTTCAGCAGCTGCATAATACGAGGGCGATATTCCGTCAGAAGTTGGGCCGTCGCGTTTTGCACTCGGTGCAGCTTCCAGGTCAGCCTCAAGGACAGCCTCACGTTGCAGTCATCCAGCCCGGGGATTAGCATGGACGATAGGGGTCAGGCTGCCCTGTTCCAGAAATGGCTGTGGTTGTCTTACCAGCTGAAACAGGCCAAAGGCAGCCACCAAGGTCGCCCGGGCCTCTAGCAGTGATTCCGCAGATGGATCCAGGACCACCTCAATGAAGCTGCTCCTTCAGGGACAGAGCGACCCCGTCCATAGCAGCCAGTTGACCAATGAGTTGGGCTCAGGAGTCACCCACCCACGGTACCTCCTTCTTTCTAGGACTCAGATTCAGTTTCATCCAGATTGCCACCAAGTCTTGGCATTGGTCCAGGACTTCTCCCGATTCAGTTGCTACGGACAAATGGAGTTGGGCACCAGCGTACTGATGACCCCTCAGCCCAAAGTCCCAGATGACCACTCCCAGCAGCTGAATATATGTGTTAAATAGCATAGGGAGCAGGATGGTATCCTGTGGACTGAAAAAATGGAGAGGAATGCCACTGAGCGAACACAGAGTGCCTTTATGCCCACCCCTGAGCAACTGCAGCTTGCCTACATATATTTCAGAGTTGTGGAACAGGGTGTCCAATGCAGGCGGCAAGGTTTTCAGCCACGCTTGACTCTCTTTTGAGGACAGAGCATTGTTTATTAAAACAGAGCTGACAGGTTTGTCTGTTTTTGCAGTGGAAGAGGGCAATACAGTAGGCAAATTGTTCCGTGGACTGCGTGACCTTGCAGGAAGGGCTGTAGTGATGGTTTTCACTAATAAGCATCTACACGAACACTTATCCCGAGCTGCAGACCATGGAGAATCTTCCTCCACCTCCCATTTTGCCTCTTGTTTCCCACTCTCTCTCCCCTCCACTACCTGATCCTAACTCTACTCATTGTTCTCCCACAGCCTGCCAATCTCACCAAAATTTCCTGGCTCCTTCCCACCCTAATACTCCTGACTCCCCTTTTGCCCGTCTCTCATCTGTGTGTCTGCTTCTTCCTCTCTCCCTCCCTCCCCTCTGACACACGTGGGGTTCGTGGCAAGACGTCGCCGGCGGACAGCAGTTTTAAGATGTTTGTCGAAGGATCAGTTCAATCTGCTTTTTAAGAATTTACAGCTGTTGCTTCATGTTCTGCGCACTTTGTCGCTGGCACACAAACACACCCCGCTTGCTGCACACGGATATTCTTGTAACCATTGGTTCCTGACATGGGACAACCTTCCTGGGGAATTCCCAGGTGGAACTCCCGTGCGTGTGATAATTCTAGAACCGGTTAAAGTGACTTCGGGTCCTCCACCTGCCATCACCACCTTTCTTTATAGGCAGACATTCTGCAAACCTGGGATACTTTCATTCGGTTAATACCTTCTGAAAGCCTTAAAGGGGAACCTCTTCCAGCCTTTCCTTACCTTGCAAGGTGGCAGTTAGGGGACCTTCCTTATATTTGTGTTTTTGTATTGAATTTTACGTTGTGAACCGCGTTGAGATCTGCAGATGCAGGGTATACAAATTTATTACAGTCGTATCTTGGAAGCCAAACAGAATCCGTTCCGCAAGTCCTTTTGACTTCCAAAACCAAAGCGTGGCTTCCGATTGGCTGCAGGAAGCTCCTGCAGCCAATCGGAAGCTGCGTCAGACATTCGGGTTCCGAAGAACGTTCACAAACCGGGACACTCACTTCCAGGTTTGCGGCGTTCAGGAGCCAAGACGTTCGGCTCACAAGGCGTTCAACTTCCGAGGTACGACACTATATCAAATTTATCAAAACCCAGGCTAGCATCTTAGAACTGAAATGGACGCAGGAGGTCGATTATATGTTCTCCCTATGGTCCCTGATACACACTTTAATACAGCTGGGGAGGCACACTGCAATTGCAATCGGAGCACCAATGCTGGGAGAAGGGGTGTTTCTCCAGTCTAAAATGCCCCCCACCCACGGAAGCAACCTTCGGAGCAACAGTGGAGAAAGGGCAGACATAATCCCCTCCCCCAAAAAATTGTGGGCCTAACAACTGTTTTACAATATGATTTATCTCAGGGGAGCAGCGCAGCAGAATGGTCCATTCTCCACAACCACTGCAGAAGCATCCCACCCAGTTAGGGGTGAGGGAATCAGGCGGTCCAATCACAGACATAGGGAAGGGCCACGGCTCAGCAGGTAGAGCATCTGCTTTGCATGCAGAAGGTCCCAGGTTCAATCCCCGGTATCTCCAGATAGGGTGTCCCCTGTTTGAAATCCTGGAGAGTCACTTCCAGCCACCGGTGGTGTCTGTTGCCCTTTTGGACTGATAGGGCAGCAGGCAGGGAGACTGACAGTAGGTGGCGCCAGAGCCGAGGGGCAGAGCCCACCCTCACTGGTAGTGAGACAGCAGGCTGGTGGATCCAGTTGAGAGCAGACGAAGGTTGATGGGACAGTGTGCCATTTCCCTTCGTGGACCAGCCTGCACTGCAGCCCGCCCAGTCGAGAGCTAGATGGACCAATGGTTTGATTCACTATAAGGCAGGTTCCCATCTTCCACCGCCTAGTAGTTGCAACACTGGCGGTGCTATTAAAGTTCAGGCATCTCTATCTGACCAAGTGTTACAAGCAGTTATTAGCCGCGGTTATGGCCAACGTGATGCAAGAGGGACAACTTGGAACAAAAGAAAGTCACCAATAATTAATCTGTCAAAGGCCGAGGCTTGCAAACTTCCTGATTCCAGAAGGGTTAGAAGTTTTACAGGGTTTTGTGTTTTCAGGTATAAAGATAGGTGCTTACGGGTATCTGTGGTAAGACCAGCAAAAGGAGCCCTCTCTACAGCTGCACCGCCCAGGAGAGGACATTCCCTATGGCAGCCCCTAAGTCATGCCATTCACTAGTGTTTCTTCACTGTACATCTTCAGGCAAATTCTGAAGGCACACCTAACTTTGCCCAGTTCTTTGGCACCTGAGATGCCAAAGGTTGTCCATGCCCGGCTTGAATTGTGGTCCCTGGAGCTGGATAAAATTGTGTGTCCGCTGCTAGAAGACCCGTCATCTCCTCCTCAAACTCAAGCAACAGCTACACCACGTTTCTCAGCCTCCTAGATAGTCGTTGGACTGGGAATGTCTGAAATCCTGGAGAGCTACTGCCAGTCTGTGCAGACAGCATTGAACTAGATGGACCAATGAGCTGACTCGCCATTAGTCCACCTACCCCTGAATTATCTACATAGACAGGCAGCAGTTCTGCTGGGCTTCCCAGCTTGGAGAATCTGGAGAACCTGGGAACCTTCTTCATAAGAAGTTGGTGCTCTGCCATTGAGCCATAGCCCTTCCTGAGGTGGGGGGGCTCCACAACTGTTCTTCTCATTTGTTCTATAAGACATGCCCCCTAAAACCCTCGAGCAACAGCTACACAACTTTCCTCAGCCTATCAACCCTCTGCTGAGGACAGTGAGTCAAGCAAGGCCCACAGGATTCAGAAGTTGAGATTTGAGGGCAACCAATGGCCAAGATGAGGAAGCAGCCGTGGGGGCTTGGAATGTGACATCTAAGTGTTTAAGGAAAGCCTCTTTGCATTCCAACCCTTGTGGAACCAGGAAGTTTGCAAACCTCTGCCCTTTGACAGATAAGTGATTAATTACTGGCGAGTTTCTTTTGTTCAAGGAGTCTCTCTTGCATCACGTTGGCATGAGGTTCTCGGTCAGATGGAGATGCCTGAACGTTAGTAATATCGTCTGTGTTGCAACTACCATGAGACAAGAGATAGGAACCTGGCTTTGAGTGAGTCAGACTATTGATCCGTGTGATGGTCCTGGGAGGGGGGGGTTACCGTGTGGCGTGGTCTAAGTCCGGTTCTAGGTTGAGGGTATGGAGGCTGTCCGTCAGGGGCGAAGCGAGGTCCAAAGCGAGGAGTCGGGCATGGTCAGGAACTCTGGCAGGAGAGCAGGTCAGGGTGCCAGCAGGAACAGGTTACCAATGATGTTGCTCCCGCAACCTGGGACTGGGCTGGCTGGCCTTTATCTCCTCTGAGGCCTAGGGCAACCCCGGTCCACAGGTGACCCGCCTCTCCTGGCCTTAAGGCGAGCACTCCTCCTGATAGAACTTAGTTCCCTCCGCATCTCTGCCCTGAGCCTCTGCAGCTCCGGAGAGGCTGGAGGGTTACTGAACCCAGAGGCAACCTCACCTTCCCCTGACAGGGCTGAGAGAGGCACACCTGCAGGCAATGGGTCCTCAATCACCTCTGGAGCCAGAGCGGATTCAGCTGGAGCCAGAGCGGATCCAGCACAGGTGAGGGCCCTTCAGGTTCAAGCCCCAGCCCTGGCTCAGCCAGCCCTGGAGGCAGGGACTCCTGTGCAGGCTGGGATTCCTCAGGTTCAGCCTCTGAATCCGATTCCCAGGCCATCACAATCCGTCTAGCTCAGATGGCTACAGTAGAGGCTGGTGCTAAGAGGGAACTGGCTCCCTGTCCCTCCTCAACCTCAGTCTGCTTTCAGTCAGGTCCCACCAGCCTGCCGTCTTGCATCCAGTCAGGGACTGGGCTTTGGCATATCATTGGCTCTAGCGCCACCTACTGTTGGCCTCCCTGCCTTCTGCCCTACCGGTGTCAATGGGAATCAGTCACTGCTGGTGGACTGGATTTCAGCCAGGGGACATTCTCAATCATACCTGAAGATGCCAGAGATTGATCCTAGGACCTTCTGCATGCAAAGCAGGTGCTCAACCCTTGAGCAACAGCTCTTCTGCAGTGGCCGGCCAGACTCAAAGCTTCCACTCTGCCCCTATCATTTGTAAATCAGGGTCTGCAATTTACAGTACTAAAGGGATGCGAGTGATTGGCAGTCAACCCCGGTGCCACATTTATCCACATGGTCTGCTTGCAGAGTAATTTTTCATTCATTCATCATCCCCATTTACCTGCTACTTAATATGCAAAATCCATAAGGGATTTTAAACATAAAACACAATGAGATCTAGAGGCGGACCTACATTTTGGAGGCCTTGAAGCTCGAACTGTTATGGGGGCCCCTTTGAAACTACCACCGAGGTCTAGGTAACCACTGTTATCTTCTTCCGTGGGGTCGTTTACAAAAACCTTTACAACATCTGTGCTACAGAGTCTCAAACTTTGGGGATGTTGAAATATAGGTAAAAGGAAGGTAAAGGGACCCCTGACCATTAGGTCCAGTCGTGACTGACTCTGGGGTTGCGTCACTCATCTCGCTTTATTGGTTGAGGGAGCCGGCATACAGCTTCCGGGTCATGTGGCCAGCATGACTAAGCCGCTTCTGGCAAACCAGAGCAGCGCACGGAAACGGCATTTACCTTCCTGCCGGAGTGGTACCTATTTATCTACTTGCACTTTGACATGCTTTCGAACTGCTAGGTTGGCAGGAGCAGGGACCGAACAACGGGAGCTTACCCCGTCGCAGGGATTCGAACCGCCGACCTTCTGATCGGCAAGTCCTAGGCTCTGTGGTTTAACCCACAGCGTGCGACTCAAACGGGGTCTACTACACACAATTTTTTAAAAGCGATGTGGGCTGAAGTCACTTCTGGGGCGCCCCTCCAGGATTAGGGGACCTGAAGTTTAAGCTCCATTAGTTACATTGTAGATCTGCCCCAGATCATTAAGAGAGAAAAGAAAGATGTATACACAACACCGTAAGCAAACATATAAAAGCAGAGAACCCGCTGGTAAAACATCTGGGTGAATTTCAACAGGTCATAAAACAGAGCGTTGGGATAAAATCCTACAAACCGGAGAAAGTCCGCTTAAATAGATGGGTCTTCCAAGAGGTGTTGAAAGCTTGCCACAGTTTCTGCCTCAGAAAAGGCACATGGAAGGGTGGAACCCTGGCCGTGGTTTGAAAGATAAACCCAGCGACAGGCAGCAGGCATGAGGAGGGCCTAGTTCAAACAAATTTGCCACATGCCCTGTTCTCCAGTTTGAACCGCATCTCCGCCTGCTCCTGGGCACGTAATTGGGGCAGGCCTGACTCTGCCCGGCGTCACACGCACTTTGGCCCACACAAGGCAACAGCTAAATAAATGGCTGGCACTGTGACTCATCATTGTTAACTGGTGTTTTGCATCTTCCTCAGCTATTAAACCCTTCCTTCCTGTGTCCCCTGCAGGAATTCACCAAAGAGGAGCCCAAGAGTGACATCGACGTGCTGATCCTCCCTAAGCTGGAGCACTGCAGTTCGGAGAGGATGAACACTTGGCTGGGTGAGCCTCTTCAGCCATGCTGCTGGGGGGCTGGTTTTGTCCAGCTTCTGCCCATCCCTTCTTCCCTATGCCTGTGCCCTCCTTCCTGTCCTCTGGAATACCTGTTTCCCCATCCCAGGACTACTAGAGACCCTGCCAGACTGGTGTGTGTGTGTGTGTGTGTGTGTGTGTTCTGCAACATGTCATCGGTGCGATAATAGTACATTAGTAATGGATCTCTGGGGGTGCAGGTGGCGCTGGGGGTTAAACCACAGAGCCTAGGACTTGCCGATCACAAGGTCGGCGGTTCGAATCCCCGCGACGGGGTGAGCTCCCGTTGCTCGGTCCCTGCTCCTGCCAACCTATCGGTTCAAAAGCACGTCAGAGTGCAAGTAGATAAATAGGTACCGCTCCAGCAGGAAGGTAAACGGCATTTCCGTGCACTGCTCTGGTTCGCCAGAAGTGGCTTAGTCATGCTGGCCACATGACCCAGAAGCTGTATGCCGGCTCCCTCGGCCAATAAAGCGAAATGAGCACCACAACCCCAGAGTCGGCCACGACTGGACCTAACGGTCAGGGGTCTCTTTACCTTTAATGGATCTCTGCTGCTTTCACAGTGCTACTGCATTCTTCCCATCTGGAAGGACACTTTTACATTACAGCGCACCATAAATGGGACACACCAACTGCAGGACATGCACTGGTTGGAAATGGAGCAGTATGACTTCCCATAAACCTTTGGCAGGCAGAGTGTTGAAAAGCACATTGGGTATAACCACCCCATCAGCACCATGAGCCCAAATAATTATCCTAGAGCTGGAAGGGACCATGAACATCATCGAGTCCAACCGCCTGCAATCTTTTGCCTGATGTAGGGCTCGAACCCACAACCCTAAGATTAAGAGTCTCATGCTCAACCGACTGAGCTATCAGTGAACTGTCTCCAGACTAGGCAAATTGGTGGTAAGTTTGAACAAGGTTCTTTTAAAGTTAGTTATAGTAATGTCCATGGACCACCCATTCCTCCATTCTGAAAACATGGCTTTCAGAATTGATGCTATAATACCAGATTTGAACCCAACTGCTTGCTATTAAACACCATATATGCTAGGGAGAAAGCAGCACTTTTGGCTTCAGAAAACAGGAAGCTGATGGTGGCCAAGCTTCACGTACAAAACCATTCCCTAACCTATTGTTCCAGCAAAGGGACCATGTCTATTTTGAGGATACACTTAGACTATCCACAAGAACAGATTATGTATAATTAAAAAGGATGTCTGGAGAGGACCCAAAACAACTCAGTTCACCGTCCTACACATACTGCGATCCATCCTTCCTTCTTTCTCCCAGCAACACAATTCCTGTTTCATGGCTTGTGCTATCAGACGTTCCTCTTGCATGGTTCAAATCCCCACTCAGCCATGAAACTCACTGGGTGACTAGCTGTTAGAGTATATTGAACTGGCTAGATTAACAGAGGCAGTTAGAGATCACACTAGACAAGAGTTTCAAAAAGCATGGGGGAAATGCAGAGAATACTTCACAAAACAGTGCCCTAAAATACATACCTGGACTTGTTTTGATTAATGTCTGCAGGAGACTTTGTGGATATTTAAGTTATAATTAGAAAAATCTTAATAATTATTCATAAAAGAAACAGTTTATAAGAATTAAATAAGGATACAGGATAAAGGAAGTCTTTTATTTTGTTGTTTGTTTTGTTGTATGTTATGCTCACTGTATGCTATGGTCACGTTTAATGAGGGTGGATTGTGTATTGGGGGGGTTATGTTATGCTGTAAATAAAATTCCAATAAAAATTTTATATATATATGAGAAACTCACTGGGGGGTGACCTTGGGCCAATCACTCATTCTAACCCATCTCGCAAGCCTAACCCACCTCGCAAGGTCGTTGTGAGGATAATCAACGGAGAAGGAGCAGAACCGCCTACAAACCACCTTCAGCTTCTTGGAGGAAAAGTGGGGTATAAGTAATGGGAACACATAGAAATGAAGGGTATGACTATCAGTCAGCAATAAGGCATGTGCAGAGTCTCCACTGCCCACTGCAGTGGCCTTTCCCCTGGCCTCTTCACCCTTCTCCTCCAGTACCACTTTGAAGGCCCCTGCTGACCCCTTCGTCTCTCTCTCCCTGTCTGCAGGTATCTTCTATGGCTTCAAAGGGCTGCTGCTGCTTCTGGGCATATTCCTTGCCTATGAGACAAAGGGAGTCTCCACGGAGAAGATCAACGACCACCGCGCTGTGGGCATGGCGATCTACAATGTGGCTGTGAGTCGCTTGTCTCTAACGTGTCCAGACCACTGGACTAGCTTGAAAATCTCATGCTCTTGTTGAGTGGGCTTTCTGAGAGAGGGAAATCAAACCTGGACTGCAGTCAAGAGAGAGCGAGAGCAACAAGTCTTCCTGACCCCACAACCTCTGGGGAGAAAGAGCAAAGTTTTGCCGTGTGTTCCTGCATGCGAATGCTTGGTTTTGAGCCATGCTGGTTTACAGTCTGCCCTGGAGAGTTGTGACCAGTCATTATAAACCAGGAGTCCTAAACTAGTCCACGTGGCATGTCTGGATTTGTGGTTCAAGTCAGGCATTGGCATGTGTTGTTGGTGTTTAGTCGTTTAGTCGTGTCCGACTCTTCGTGACCCCATGGACCAGAGCACGCCAGGCACTCCTGTCTTCCACTGCCTCCCACAGTTTGGTCAAACATGCTGGTAGCTTTGACAACACTGTCCAACCATCTCGTCCTCTGTCGTCCTCTTCTCCTTGTGCCCTCAATCTTTTCCAACATCAGGGTCTTTTCCAGGGAGTCTTCTCTTCTCATGAGGTGGCCAAAGTATTAGAGCCTCAGCTTCACGATCTGTCCTTCCAGTGAGCACTCAGGGCTGATTTCCTTCAGAATAGATAGGTTTGATCTTCTTGCAGTCCATGGGACTCTCAAGAGTCTCCTCCAGCACCGTAATTCAAAAGCATCAATTCCTCGGCGATCAGCCTTATTTATGGCCCAGCTCTCACTTCCATACATGACTACTGGGAAAACCATGGCTTTAACTATACGGACCTTTGTCGGCAAGGTGATGTCTCTGCTTTTTAAGATGCTATCTAGGTTTGTCATTGCTTTTCCCCCAAGAAGCAGGCGTCTTTTAATTTCGTGACTGCTGCCACCATCTGAAATGATCATGGAGCCCAAAAAAGTAAAATCTCTCACTGCCTCCATTTCTTCCCCTTCTGTTTGCCAGAAGGTGATGGGACCAGTGGCCATGATCTTTTTTTGATGTTGAACTTCAGACTATATTTTGTGCTCTCCTCTTTCACCCTCATTAAAAGGTTCTTTAATTCCTCCTCACTTTCTGCCATCAAGGTTGTGTCATCAGCATATCTGAGGTTGTTGATATTTCTTCCAGCAATCTTAATTCCAGCTTGGGATATGCATTGGCGTATGCATCACATTAAATATTTGCCATGATTTTTAATTGTATTTGTTTCGCCCCTCCTATTTCTTATATATTGCATTTTGCTGTGTTACAATTTGATTTCTGTGGAATTTGGATTGTAGTGAAGCAAAGTGGATTATATAAAACATAAAAGGGGCAACGGAAATACAATGAAAAGTCAAGCAGCATCCAGCACAGCGCATTAGAATTGTTACAAGGAGGCGGCAAAATCATTAAGTGATCTTCCAAGGCCCCCAGCAATTTCCAAGTGGGATGAGAGGGGAGAATGTCTGAAAACCACTGATGTAGCTATGACTGATCTTGATGGACCAATGGTCTGACTCTGTATAAGGCAGCATACTGCATCCCTATGTACCCTGGTGCCAAGCTGTATTTCCTTTGGGCGTTAGAGGTGAGTTTTGTGCTTCCCCAGACCCAGCCTCCACTTTGCAGGGAAAGATGTTGATTCTGTGACTGGGAGGCCCTTGGAACATCTGGCTTCACTCTAGCCATGACCCCCACGTGGCCTCAGACAAGTTGCTGTCTCAGTGTAAAGCGCCGCAGTGCCAGCCACCTGCCTTTGTGCAGTCTTGTTGTCACATTGTGTGAATTCAGTGCCATTATCTGCCCTGAGCTATGCAGACAAGATTGGACTGTTGCCAATTTTGCGATACAGAATAAAATATCCCTGCATGCCCTCGTTTCTAATGACGGCTGCAGTGTGTGTTTTCCGGACTTTCACAGCCCCCCTGACCCTGTCTCTAATCCTTCCCTCCTGCAGGTGCTGTGTCTCATCACTGCCCCGGTCACCATGATCCTGAGCAGTCAACAGGATGCGGCCTTCGCTTTCGCCTCCCTCGCCATTGTCTTCTCCTCTTACATCACCCTGGTTGTGCTCTTTGTGCCCAAGGTAACAGCCAAGCCGGGATCGAGCTGCGCATTGGTAGCGACTGGCTCCTAGCGTGGTATGCAGCAGAACTTAGCACATGCTCAAGAATCTCAGGTTTCACTTACCAAAAAAAGAGCCAAGTTTCTAGTCCCCATAATTTATAGTCCCTGACGTAAAGCACGGATAACGTGCTGAGATAAAGTCTGCAAACCTACACATGTCTATTGCTTAGTAAGCCCCACTGAAATTAGTGTGATTTGCTTCCAAGAAAACAGATGGAGGATGTGGTTATATTCATGGATGACACTGGGGGATGGTAAGTGCTCCCCCAAAAGGAGCTCCATCCCACTAACATACAGGCGGTGACAGTTTTGCATGGGGGGGTCCATTCTTCCTCCTTCGGGGTCCAAAAGGACCCATGTATTAGCCTAAAATGGTCACCGCCTCTACAGTCATACCTCAGGTTACAGACGCTTTGGATTGTGCGTTTTCAGGTTGCACACTACGCCGAACCCAGAAGTACCGGAACAGGTTACTTCCGGGTTTCGCGCTCCTGCATGCACAGAAGCGCTAAATCACGCTTTGCGCATGCACAGAAGCGCTAAATCACGCTTTGCGCATGCGTAGAAGCTCCGAATCACAACCCACACATGTGCAGATGTGACGCTGCGAGTTGCGAACGCTGCAGGTTGCAAACGTGCCTCCCACACAGATCACGTTCGCAACCTGAGCATCCACTGTATACTGTTACTTTTCCCCCCAGAGACTTAGCTTGCCCACCTAGAAATACGCTTTGTCCTTTCTGTGCCCCTCACCCCTGGTGCCACTGCTGGTTACACTGTGGTGTGGATAAAGGGATTTGCAGCAGCAACAGACTAATTTGCTGTTCACATTTCCCTGTACTTCCTCATCAACCCCAGTCCTTAGTTTCACCATTCCCAACCTTAATGCCTGTTAGCATCTCACCGAGTCCTCCCACAGATCCAGGGACACAGAAACAGAAACAGAAGTAGTTTAACCAGTTTCCACACTGGCATCTCACTCAGGAGAGCTGGCTGTGTTCTCTCACGGGCAACTTTCTGGGTGGCCGTGGTGGGTGAGGTTCAATGGCAGCTTGCAGGTGGAGAAACTGGCGTGAAGCTACCTTTTCGTACAGTGGGCTGCATTCCAGCCACACAGAAGCCAGAGGTTTCCTCTACACACATCTCTCCACCCAGGCAGGCCTGAGGCATTATCACAGGGCACAGCCCAGCCAGGCAAAAGCACTCAAAGGAGGGCGAGGAGCAGGAAAGGCTTGACTCAAAAGGATGCCCAGGCGTAGATGGGAAATCTGCTCCTTCATCTCAGGAACCCCGACATGCAGCATTTGGTTACGAAATCTTAAGAGGTGGCGAAGGAACAATTTCCCAAAATACCGTATTTTTTGCTCTATAAGACTCATTTTTCCCTCCTAAAAAATAAGGGGAAATGTGTGTGCGTCTTATGGAACGAATGCAGGCTGTGCAGCTATCTCAGGAGCCAGAACAGCAAGAGGGATTGCTGCTTTCACTGCACGGCGATCCCTCTTGCTGTTCTGGCTTCTGAGATTCAGAATATATTTTTTCTTGTTTTCCTCCTCCAAAAACTAGGTGCATCTTGTGGTCTGGTATGTCTTATAGAGTGAAAAATACAGTATATAGCAGACTTGCCTAGTGTTGCTTGGGAGTTTTACAAAACCAAAACAACAACAACAACCCAGTGAGGGATGAGGCTTGGGGAGAGTCCCAAGGCCCAGATAGAGAAGTATTTGACCCCCACGCGCCCCCCCACTTCCACATTTTTTAGGAATCTCTCCAATCTCCCCCTGAAAAATTCCTCTGCTTTCAGACCTGAGGTTGGCACTTTTTGCCCAGCACCAGAGTTTCCCCTTCCTGCTGCCAGGCTCGGCCTTCTCCTTCCTTGACGCTGAGGTGCAGTCATACGGCTGAGACCCATGTGTTTGTGTGTGGCCTGTCCTTTCAGATGCGGCGCCTCATCACTCGGGGAGAGTGGCAGTCGGAGCAGCAGGACACCATGAAGACGGGCTCGTCCACCAACAACAACGAGGAGGAGAAATCGCGGATGCTGGAGAAGGAGAACCGCGAACTGGAGAAGATCATCGCAGAGGTGAGGCAGGGTGTGACTTTTTCCGGTGAAGTTGGGTGTGTGTGTCCCCTCCCCCCTTGCCCTGTGCTTCCTGCCATTGGTGGCTTGTCTCTTCTGGAACATAAGAAGAACCCTGCTGGATCTCGCCCATCCAGTCCGGCCATCCTGGTCTCACAGTGGCCAGCCAGCCTGTCAGCAGGATCTGGGCACAACAGCCCTCTCTCCTCCTGGGGTTTTGAAATATACTCAGAGTCAAGAGTGGATTTCATGCTCTTTATTCAGCTCATAGTGGTGAGGAGGAATGAAAGTCCCCTCAAAGTATCTGCTTTATATACATTATTTACACAATGGGCCCCACGTGATTGGCTAATTCCGGGATTCTCCAGTAGGCCAATCAGGTTGTGGATTCACTTCCATCTGGAGCTGGATTGGGTGGCTCCTGCAGACCAATCATACTGCTGCATTGTTCTGGGACCAATCAGACTGCTGCATTTTGGATTCTATTGTTCTAGGACCAATCAGACTGCTGCATTTTGGATCCTATTCAACTCAGTACATAACAGGTTTCCAGCAACTGATATTCAGAAGTGGCTCTGACAGTGGAGGTAGAACATAGGCATCATGGCTAGTAGCCATCAGTAATCCTCTTCTCCATGCATTTGCCCAATCCTCTATTAAAGCTATCAAAGTCAGCGGCTGCCACTGCCTCTTGTGGCAGTGAGTTCCGTAGTTTAACTGTGTGGTGCATGACCGAGCCCTTTCTTTTATCTGCCTGGAATCTTCCAACGTTCAGCTGTGTTGAATATCCTCAAGTTCTAACGCCATGAGAGAGGGAGAAAAGCTTTTCCCAATCTACTTTCTCCATGGCATGTATAATTTCATACATTTCGGTCATGTCACCCACTGCACGTCATTCCTCTAAGCTAAAAAGCTGCAAATGGAACAGTTTCCCTCTGGAGTTGATGGACGCTCCTTCCCTGGGGTTATTTAACCAGAGCTTGGAGGGCCATCTGTCATGGATGCTTTGGCTGAGATTCCTGCATTGCAAGGGGTTGGACTAGGACATGTGTAGGCAAACTAAGGCCCGGGGGCCGGATCTGGCCCAGTCGCCTTCTAAATCCGGCCCACGCATGGTCCAGGAATCAGCATGTTTTTACATGAGTAAAATGTGTCTTTTTATTTAAAATGCATCTCTGGGTTATTTGTAGGAATTCATTTATTGATTTATTTTCAAAATATAGTCCGGTCCCCCACAAGGTCTGAGGGACGGTGGACCGGCCTATGGCTGAAAAAGTTTGCTGGCCCCTGGACTAGGGTGACTCTCTTTTATATATATTAGTTTTATATATATTAGTTTTCAAATACAAAACAAAATTATACACTCCATACATCTTAATTACATCTTACTTCTCTTTTTTGACTTCCCCCAATTTGTCTGCAAATCCTTCATATTTTTACTTTTTAGGACTAGGATGACTCTCGGGGTCCCTTCTAACTCTTAAGATTCTATGAAATGTTTTAATATTTTCCCATAGGGCAGCTGCTCCACCCTCTTGGTTGCACTTGAAATCTTTTACAACTCCACAGTATCTTTTTTTAAGGAGAGGGGCCCAGAACTGCACACAGCATTCCGATTTCCCCCTACATTTCCAAATACACATATAAGATGAGGGTGGGAAGATGTTTTAAAACAAAACAGAAAGAAAACCTCAAACCAATGAATTTTTTTCATTGGCTTTTGTTGATAAACCCTCTCTGCCGTGAAAAGTCCCAGGATATAGTACATCGACAGTTAAAATCAGATTAAATACAATAAAACATAAAGCCACACACCATGAAGCCATCAAATGTACTATAAGAGGTGATGACAGCTACTCGGAGTAGACCTGTTATAACCAGTGGGTCTACTCTTGAGTATGACTTGGCATGATCTCACCCGCAGGGCACGCAAGGCGGTGTTACGATGTTTACTGTTCCTATAACTCTTCCTTAAGCGTTCAAAGTACTTGGCGTACGATCTGAGTAAACCAAATGTACCAATAAATATGGTACGACTCAGCTAGTCAAGGGAACGAGGCCTGATTTGGTTGCCAGGCAACCTTAGGGCCTGCTGTTAATTACTTCCTGGGTCTGTTTGTGAAGGGGAATCGTACAGGGGTAGACAACCTGCGGCCCTCCAGATGCTACAGTATTTTTTAAAAAAATACCCAACATCCCTGACTATTGCCCCTGCTGGCTGGGGCTGACGGCAGTTTTTTTTGTTATTAAAACAAAAACAACAAAATGGCCCCCCTCCCTCCCCACAAACACATTTAAAAGGCTGTAAAATATTAATCAGCCCAAGGCCTAGTTGAAGAGGAACATTTTCGCCTAGTGCCTAAAGATATGTAATGAAGGCGCCAGACGGACCTCCCTGGGGAGAGTGTTCCACAAACGGGGGAGCCACCACAGAAAAGGCCCCGTTCTCGTCTTGCCACCCTCTGGACCTCACACAGAGGAGGCACACAAAGAACGGCCTTAAATTATGAACGCGGAGTCCTGGAGAAAGAGAGGCAGCCCTGGGGGTATTGAGATATACGCCTCTCTCATGCTTCTAAGTCACTTGCAGCCGCCTGTTTCCCCTCCTTGCCCCTCCCCAACAATAAGGGACGTGGGTGGCACTGTGGTCTAAACCGCTAAGCCTCTTGGGCTTACTGATCAGAAGGTCAGAAGTTCAAATCCCCGCAACAGGGTGAGTTCCCATTGCTCTGCTACAAGCTCCTGCCAATCTAGCAGTTTGAAAGCACACTAGTGCAAGTAGACAAATAAGTACCGTGGTACCTCAGGTTAAGTACTTAATTCGTTCCGGAGGTCCGTTCTTAACCTGAAACTGTTCTTAACCTGAAGCACCACTTTAGCTAATGGGGCCTCCCGCTGCTGCCGCGCCGCCGGAACACGATTTCTGTTCTCATCCTGAAGCAAAGTTCTTAACCTGAAGCACTATTTCTGGGTTAGCGGAGTGTGTAACCTGAAGCGTATGTAACCTGAAGCGTATGTAACCCGAGTTACCACTGTACTGCTGTGGCAGGAAGGTAAGTGGCGTTTCTGTGCGCTCTGGTTTCCATCACTGTGTTCCGTTGCGCCAGTAGCGGTTTAGTCCTGCTGGCCGCATGACCCAGAAAGTTGTCTGTGGACAAACGCTGGCTCCCTCAGCCTGAAAGCGAGATGAGTGCCGCAACCCCATACAGTGGTACCTCGGGTTACATACGCTTCTGGTTACATACGCTTCAGGTTACATACGCTTCAGGTTACAGACTCCGCTAACCCAGAAATAGTACCTCGGGTTAAGAATTTTGCTTCAGGATGAGAACAGAAATTGTGTGGCGGCAGCGGAAGGCCCCATTAGCTAAAGTGGTGCTTCAGGTTAAGAACAGTTTCAGGTTAAGTACGGACCTCCGGAACAAATTAAGTACTTAACCCGAGGTACCACTGTAGTCGCCTTTGACTGGACTTAACTGTCCAGGGGTCCTTTACCCTTTTTTTTTTTTTTAACCCAACAGAAGGAAGAACGAGTCTCCGAGCTCCAGCAGCAGTTGAAAGAGCGGCAGCAGCTGCGGTCCCGGCGGCGCTCCTCCAACTGCGCCGCCGACAACCACTTCAACAACTCGGCTTCGGCCTCGGCAGCCACCGCCCCGAACCTCTACCAGCCCAGCCTCCCTCTCGTCCGCTGCCTGGTGGCCGAGCAGGCCGACAAGCTGGGGCGAAACAACTGCGATGGCAGCCGCGTTCACCTGCTCTACAAGTGACACTTTTTCCTGGGCAAGCGACACGGAGAAGGGGAGGAGGGCGGGTGGCGCCGGCGCAGCCAAAGCAGGTCGGGGCAGAGGCTCACGAAACCAGTGGGAAGGGACTTGTACAGCCGGCTGGGGAGTTTGCTCCGAGTTCTTTTGTTCGTTTTCTAAGGGGGGAGGGAAGAAGAGAAATCATAACCTCTGGTTTTTGTAAAATACCTTTGTGTCCGTCCACCTGCCTGTGCCCCTTGAACCTGGAATCCAGGTGCCAACTCTATGGAGACTTGTTTTAGAAGTAGCGGATTGCAGGGGACACCGCCGTTTTGCCCCTCCCCTCCCCAAATGCACATGCACACTTGGTGACTTGACAAATGTGCCTCTCTGGAAAGATGGGTGCGCATCAGGCAGAAAAAAGGGTTCTGTGGCTCTTTGTGGTTGGTGTGTGTGTGTGTGTGTGTGTGTGTGTGTGTGTGTGTGTAAATCTCTCAAGACTCTGAACAATTGCATCCTGCAGTGTCTGTTCCCGTGCAGCTATTTGGCTATTTGGCTGCTGCAGCCTACAAAAGCCCCAATCTGAGTACGGTTCAACTACAGCATAGCAATTGACAGTTGTGCTTGCAGTTACCAGTGGAAGCTTTTCCCTCCTTGCTTCCCACAAGCATATCGCTTCCGGGCGCAGCTGGTTGTCTGGAAAAGGTAGGCACTGTAGCTCTGAGACAGTCCGCCTGTATGAACAGTATTAAAAGGGATAATCCGTTTACTTGTGGGCCAAGCCAGCCTGTTGCACAGCTCGGCCAAAGCGTTTTTGTACTGTGCAAACCCCGAACAATTCCACACAGTTAGACTACAACGGATTGGTTTCGTATGTCATTTGGCATTGAGATGGTCAAATTAGGCCCCCTGCCCAGTCTGATTGTGGCTGTTTGTGTTGGGAACTAGAAACAAACACACACACACACACACACACACACACACACTCATTCCTCCTGCACTTCTAAGCCACATTGCACAAGGCCATCGAACCTCATTTTGACCTCCCTTGATGCTTGCGTATATGAGCGCAGGATTGTGCGCAACTGCAACCTAGTTCCATCCGCGTGTGTTAAGCCTGAAGGCATAGGTTAAGGAGGTGGGGATCAGGTGCAGTTAGCTTGTAGGGCAGTGGAAGTTGCAGCATTCCTGCACGTTCTCAGTTGAAGAATGCACTTCTTAAACAGGGAGAAGCTCCTATCCAGACACCCAGGGGTACGTCCAGAGACTGTGTAAGAAGGCTGAAACCCAACCAGGTTGCTTCCTTTTCAGAGGCAGCTGTCAGCCACTGAAGACACGAACACCTTGCCAGTTCTCTTGTAACAAAGTTCATAGGGAAGCGTCGCTCTTCGGCGCATGGGGTGGGCAGAGGCATCTCCAGTGTGCTTGCTAACTCTGAGCTCTGCCTACAAGATTGCTTCCTGCATTGCACTCTCTGCCAGACTCGCCACAAATGCCTTCATCTCTCACCCCACCAGGAATGTAGGATCTGAAGCCACAGTGAGGGTAAGAGCTGGGCAGGATGCTGGTGAATATTAGGGGAAAGTGGGTCAGCAGCTCCCTTTCGACCAGTAGCTTGTGTGTGTGTGTGCAAGTGTGCAAGCATGCATGCGTCAGCACCTGTTTCTCCCCACACTTTTCCAATCTGAGCACTTTATTGTCCCAACAGATGTGGGTGGGAGCAGTGGGTGCTGCCAAGGGGAGCGGGGGAGAGAAGGGGAGTCCAGGTGCCTGCCAGGTGTCCCCATCCAGCGTGCAGATGTTCTTCAGTAAAATAATACAATATGAGATTTGGGCTCTCGTGTTATCTGTGAATGAAACAATTTCCCCAACCTGTGCTCCATCTTTCTCTTCTTGCACCAGCTTTAGGTAGCAGTGGTGCTGCTCGTAAGAGGTAGATGAAGTATCCATTCACTAAATTAGTGTGCTTTAATTTCTTGAATGGACAGCGCAAAGCTGCTCTGGTGACTGGGAGGAGGAGGTTTCTCAGTGACATCGGAGGGGCCAGCCAATCTGCACCGGCCACAACCGGCTGTTGCTGCTGCTGCAAACTCGCAGAACTCGTTTTCTTTCAGAGCCCAGCTCCGGGAGAAGGAAAGTGCGCTTGGATTCAAAGGCGGCGAGGCTGCTTCCAAATTGGCTCTGAAAACTGTGTGCTTGTCTTCAGCTTAAACGGAAGCTGCACACACAGGCTTCTGATCCATGCACAATATATGCTTTGTCACTTAAGCCCTACAGTAGCCGGGTTGATGGAAAACTCAGGTGGGGGGTGGGTGAGTGAGTAGGAATGGAAGATGCTTGTAGGGGAGGATAGAGGAGCTGTGAAGGAAGGCTCTAACTGGCTGGCTCACTCAGCAAACTACAAGCCCCAGGATTCCTTGGGGGAAAGCCATGACTCTTATAGCACGTGTAACCGGCATGGCTTCCCCCAAAGAATCCTGGGAACTGCTTTAACTGTATTGTGTGGATGTGGTCTAATCCACTGAGCCTCTTGGGCTTGCTGATCAGAAGGTTGGTGGTTCAAATCCGCATAACGGGGTGAGCTCCCATTGCTCTGTCCCAGCTTCTGCCAACCTAGCAGTTCGAAAGCACACCAGTGCGAGTAGATAATTAGGTACCACTGTGACAGGAAGGTAAACAGTGTTTCCATGCACTCTGGTTTCCGTCACGGTGTTCTCTTGTGCCAGAAGCAGTTTAGTCATCCTGGCCACATGATCCGGAAAGCTGTCTGTGGACAAACTCCAGCTCCCTCAGCCTAAAGCGAGAGGATCGCTGCACCCCATAGTCACCTTTGACTGAACTTAACCGTCCAGGGGTCCTTTACCTTTATCGTATTCTGTTCTTTGCATAGACAGATGCCTGTGTTCATCATTCAGCCTGTAAGAATCTGGCCACCCAACTTATCACTAGAGTAGTGTTGCTCTAACTCTAGAGCAGGCGGAGAAGAAAGTACAGTGGGGGATCTACTGAGTGATTTGCAGTAGATCAGGAAGGGCTTCCCAGTTGTCGTAAGAACAGCAATAACAAAGGAGGTTTCCCCTGCCCTAAAGTTTGTTGTTAGAATCTGTAGTAACACACCTGTAGTTTTGTACCTGCATATACAGGTTGTCCCAGTGTGAGCTTCAGGAGCTGAGGTAGGCAATTAGCTTTGGCCCATGTGCCACTACTTTATACCTGGTTATGTGTGGTGGCCCTTCCAGCAGAGGAAAAAGCTAGATCCCACATGCCTTAACATTTTCCCATGTCCTGCCCTCTTCTCTATGCAATATATCTCTGCATGTTTACATTGGTCTGTGTTATATTCCATTTGTGAAATCACAGGGTTTTAAAACTTTTTAAAAAAACCGAATACTGTTCTGGAAAACAAATTTTATTGGGGGGAGAGACAAAGAGGGAGCGGGAGACAAATATTTGGGGAGTCCCTTCAATCAGTCCCGTGGGAAACAATGGGAAGTGTCCATAATCAAGCTTCCAGCATTTGTCCCAAGCTTTCTAGTTAGTGGAGATCAGTTTGATCAGTTCATGGATATCCATAAGTATCCATCCAGAACAAATCCTCAAGGGGTTCTTTAGAAACCTGTGGGCCTGTGCTGGCAGTAGATTTCATTTTTTTAAAAAAAAAAATGGTTATGTCTTCGAGGAATATCCAAGTTTTTGGACCAGCAGCATCACTTAGGGAGGAAGTCATGTTGGCTCTTGCCCAGCTGCCCAGCGCAGACAAGCAAGACATGAAATATAAAATGGAAAACAATTTGCTGGAGCACTAAATTTGAGTGGGTGCGAAATCAGGTTGCCAATTCACCCCCCACTGGCGTGACATTGACAGGAATCTGATCTGCAGGAAACTGGCAGCCAACCATGTTCATTTCTGTGCTTTACCAGGTTATTTCTGTATCTTAAAAAGGCACCAAAACGAGCCAAGTTGGTCTCTCCTGTAACCGTTTTGCCCTCTAGGTCCAATAACAAGTTATGACGACTCTGTGATGAAGACAGAAATCTCAAATCCAAACCGGATTATCCTTCCTCCTGTGCTGGGCTGCCCCCCACCCCCACAGGGCTCCTGTGCCTTTAATTGCTGTGTGGCAGGTAGAAATTTAACAGGTGAAGCCACTACCACCAACCTCTCGCCACATCTATGCAATTTGAATTTTTGCTGGCCATGCAGCTGTTCAAGACGCAGAAAGCAAGATGGCTGTCTTGCTAGCAGTTGCGAATGTGAGAATCAAGAGAGCCTGTCCATTCCTCCAACATGGTGTCAAGTTGCAAGCATGCACACTTAGGCTTTCAAGTCCTCATCCTTGTGCATGTTGATGAAGTTGGAGAAATGGTCATCCCTTAGGAGCTGTACTCGCATTGCCCTGGTACAAGAAGTCAGCATTGCTGAGCATCTGCTGGGGCCCCACATCCCTAGCTAGGACCCCACCGCTGCTGACTCCCAAAGCCCTGGGAATCCCCTCACCCAGCAAGTGGACTGGTCCAAGGAGAAGTAGCCACCTCCAATCCCCTTCCCCTCTCCTCCCGGGCAGTGATGGACAGGGTGAGTGAATGGGCAGCAACAGAGAGGTGAGGCTGATCAGAGAGAGGCCCCCTGGCCAAGTTAACTTCCCCACCAAAGATCTAGAGCCTATACTGCAAACTCTACACACAGAGATGGTAGAGTGGATTGTGCTCCTATGAACCCCATCTTCATTTGCTTTCCTTTGTCCCAAGTTAAGAATCAAGCACATCAAGGAGGAAAAGTTTCTGTCTTCACCCAACTGCTGCTGAACTAGTTTTCCTGCTACGCAGGTTGGTATGTTTTTATGCAGCAGAGCGTTCCAAAAAGGCAACCCCTTATCCGCTTCCTCCAGAAATCATACGCAAGTCTTATCTCCTCGGGGTTCTGCCATCGCCTTCTTGGACCAACCCAATAGTCCTATTCACACATTTACTCATTTTGCATTGAGAAGGTGGATTTGTTCTCTCTGGACTGCCCTGCTTCTGAGTGCAGCAACGAGATTATAGACGGTAACTTAAGGCATGTTACGCCATATTGAGGCAACGTGGCCCCAGATGGCTGTGGTGGGAATTCTCCCGGTCATTCAAGCAGCAATTCAGCTGGTAAAGTGCAAGTGCCTCCACAGCTTCAGCCAGTCTTGGACACGTGGCAATTTCCCCAGTACCCTGCTTCTGAGCGAGGCAAGCAGCCTCTGTGCAATCGGAGGCTACAAGTGGTGCAGCCGCTACAAATGGCAACTGGAAGACAGGAAGAGTCTCCTTCGCCCCTCTTTAGCCCTAGGGTAGAGGACCAGGTGCTGGGCTGGAGGTCCAGTTTGACCCTGGCCCAAGACTCTGGTTACTGTGATGTGGGCCTCCCATGGAAACAGTGTACATGGACGGCATCAAAAATATGTAAATGCCACAGGTAATTAAGCCGATGGTAACCAGGAGGGCGACCGCCAAGGCCACGTAGAACGGCCAGCCTGAGAGGGCCAGGTTGCGGTTGGCTCCTGGCGGTGCAGGCCTGCCAACGTCGACGCTCAGGCTGACGGTGTTGAGGGAAGTCCCGGGCTTGGGCCCAGCTGGGGTGCCGCCTCGGCCCCTGCCCGGCAGGTAGAGCAGCCCCCGGCGACGGTCAAAGCGCACGGAGCCCGGAGGGACGGCGGGCATGGAAGAGAGTTGCTCCAGGAGGTCGCTGCGGGTGGGGAGGCCCGGCAACCCCTTGCGGGAAGGGAAGGCCGTGGGGGCCCGGCAGATGGGGCAGGTGAGGGCGTTGACATCCTCGGAAGAGACGTTGATGCGCGCCAGGCACTCGAGGCAGAAGATGTGGCCGCAGCTCAGCTCCTTGGGCAGCCGGAAGAGCCGGTCGTAAGGGGTGAAGCAGATAACGCAGTCGAGGGCGCCGGGCTCGGCGCTGGGCGCCTCCTCCTTGCAGGCCGGCTGCTGGGCCGAGGCCTCGGGCTGGAAGCTGACGTCAGGCTGGTCCATGGCCTCATTGACCCCCACGCTGCGCCCAGAGGCCGAGGCCTCCTGTTCCGCGTCAGCAGGCAGCATCTCGGCTCAGCCGCCCCAGAGACTTGGGTTGGGCCCGTGTTGACATTTCTAGAAAGGAGAGAAGGAGAGAGAGGCCAAATATTTACCCCCGGTGATAAGGGGCCGCACAACCACACCGGTACAGGAGCCACCTTTCCCGACGTGGATTAAAAGGGAGGTGTTCCACTGTATCTGGAGATACCATGAAAGGGCATCCAGATGAGGGGAACCAGGCAAACCACATTAAAAGTCGGCACAGGGCTCAAAAGGCAGCTAAGCAATTCTCGTTCTCACTTGGGATTAAAGCCGGGGTTGTGTGTTTGTGGGGGTGCATCAACGCACAGCATTTTGTAAAGAATGACAGGACAGAGATGGGTTGTGTCTAATGTTCATGGGTGCACCACTTCCCAAACCAGTGGTGGGAGCCCAGTGGGTGCAGAGAAGAGCGTGTAAATGGTCCTAGTCTCTCTTACAAATTCTGTCTGACATATTCGAAATAAATTAAAAAATTGTCCAGTAGCACCTTAGAGACCAACTAAGTTTGTTCTGGGTATAAGCTGCATGCACGCGAAAGCTTATACTGTACCCAGAACAAACTTAGTTGGTCTCTAAGGTGCTACAGGAAAATTTTTTAATTTCCTTATTTATTTCGACTGCGTCAGACCAACACGGCTACCTACCTGAATCTAGAATCAGGTCTGACATATTTTATGCTTGCCAGCGTTAGCAGAATCATAGAATTGTGGAGCTGGAAGGTACCCTGAGGGTTATCCAGTTCAACTAAGGGGAACACAGGAATTGAGAATTGAAATATATGGTGTCGAGAGTGGATTTCATGCTCTTTATTCAGCTCATAGTGGTGAGGAGGAATGGAAGTTCTCCCAGAATGTCTGCCTTATATACATTATTTACACAATGGGCCCCACGTGATTGGCTAATTCCGGGATTCTCCTGTAGGCCAATCAGGTTGTGGATTCCCTTCCACCTGGAGCTGGATTGGGTGGCTCCTGTGGACCAATCAGACTGCTGCATTTTGGATCCTATTGTTCTAGGACCAATCAGACTGCTGCCTTTTGGATCCTATTCAACTCAGTACATAACAAGAATAGTCTGATTTGTGCCACCCCCAAACTGCAGCCCTATTTAGGCACCACTCGTACGGAGGAGCAACACTATACAAAGGGCCTGCTGTTTCAGTCCAGCTCCCGAGGTTGCACCATGCCTTCAGGGGCTAAGGGATGATATCTGAAGCAAGGAACCTTCTCTGTTGATGCAGGCTCCCCATACAATTTTCAGCCCCCTAAGTTCAGGCTTCTAATTGTGCAAGGAGCCTCTACAGCTGGAAGGAAGCAGGTGACCTTGAGAACTGGGCTGGACATGCAGCCCTTTGGTAACCGTGATGCCCCTTCCCAGAGGCGATTCAGCCATAGCTCAGGGGTAGAACATCTGCTTTGCATGCAGAAGGTCCCAGGTTCAATGCCCAACGACATCTCCAGGTTGGGCCAAGAAACAAAACCCTGTGTGAAATCCAGCAGAGTCTCAGCCAGCCAGCCAGTCCAGACCAGGGTTGGTGAACCCGTGGCTTGTCAGACTACAACTCCCATCCTCCGTGGCTGGGAGTTGCAGTGCAGAAACATCTGGAGGGCCACAGATATTCCCCAACACTGGTGTTGGAAGCACTGGGATAGAGAGACCAATGGCCTAACCATCTATAAGGCAACTTCCTGTGTAATGTGCGAAGAGAGCTTTTATTGCCGCTGTTCAGACACCACACATTGTGTGACTGCATATCCTCCAACATGTTCAGTCCCCAAACCGGGACTTGTGTCTTCCTGGCCGAGCAAGATCACAGAGCCCAAAATACATGCTTTTTTGTGGAGTGAGAGCACAGTGCCCCAAAACATGAGTTTTAGAGCGCTGCACAAGATTAAAGGTTAAGGTAAAGGTACCCCTGACCATTAGGTCCAGTCGTGGCCGACTCTGGGGTTGCGGCGCTCATCTCGCTTTATTGGCCGAGGGAGCCAGCGTACAGCTTCCAGGTCATGTGGCCAGGATGACTAAGCCGCTTCTGGCGAACGAGAGCAGCACACGGAAACGCCTTTTACCTTCCCGCCGGAGCGGTACCTATTTATCTACTTGCACTTTGACGTGCTTTCAAACTGCTAGGGACGCAGGAACAGGGACCGAGCAATGGGAGGGATTCGAACTGCCAACCTTCTGATCAGCAAGTCCTAGGCTCTGTGGTTTAACGCACAGCGCCACAAGATTACGGCCCTGAAAAGAAACACTTTTGGGGGGGGGATCTTGGCACAGAATCATGCAAGATCATGGTGCCCAAAGTGGCTGCTATGCTCCTGCAGGAGGGCAAAACGGGATGCCCTGTTGTTTTCCCCAGGACACTTAGAATCGTAGAATCATAGAGTTGGAAGAGACCACAAGGGCCATCGAGTCCAACCCCCTGCCAAGCAGGAAAAACTTGCAGAGTCTGTGACTGAATGTGCAAAAAGTGGCTCTCATCTTCTCCTGCCACTTCCACAACCAAGATAGCCTGCCTGCATACCGTCTGTCAACACACAGGGTTCTGCTCAGAAGTCACGATGAACATGAAAGGGAGGAAGAGGAAGGGCCTGCAGGATCAAGCCCGTGGCAAGTCTAGCCCAGCTTCCTGTTTTCTCATAGCAACCAACCAGATAGCTTTGAGAAGCCCACAGGCAGGATCCGAGTGCAAGATTATGATTCTGCTGTCCCTCAAAAACATCCAGTCACTTGCAGAAATATTATCTGAACAGAGTTTTGAGAGCAGCTGGTTCCTCCTCAATCCCACTCCACAGGCTGGCGTAGATCAGCTACCCTAGCCTGCCCTCTTTGCTATAATTATCAAAGTGCATCTCACTGACTCTAAACATTCACCCCTGACCCTACCATGAACCCCCCTCATCCCATCCCATAAACAAGGTGTCTCAGTCCCAAACCACAGCCTTCTCTTTTTCTTTTTGAAATCATGTTTATTTGGTTTTACAACTACAAAGTTATAAAAATCCAAATATAAATCCATGTACAGAGATTCCTCTCTGAATCTCGGGACTTCCCCCCACCCACCCCCCATGGGGTCCTGTTTTGAACATTTACAACTGCATATTCTTCCATACTCTTAACTTTTATATCAGTCTCTATTGTCCACGGTATTTGTTCGACTACAAGTGAAATCAAAATCCTGCCAGTGTTTCCATCTGCCTACAGTCGTCTCCTAAATAACTTATAATTTTTTCCCATTCTTTTATAAACTTTTTGTCTTCTTGGTTTCTGAGTTTTCCAGTCAGTTTTGCCATTTCGGCATAGTCCATCAGTTTGGTTTGCCATTCCTCTCTGGTTCGCCAATCCATAGCCTTCTCAAGCTGTTCTGATCCTTAGCAGGAACGGCAGAATTATCCTGCTCATTATTTTAATACAGAACAGCTTCCAGAAAGGAAGGCTTTAGCACTGCCACCCCAAAGGACTAGGCTTCATCTGAGGCATTATGGGTCATTAACCATGTAGATCGTGGGTAGGCAAACTAAGGCCAGGGGGTCGGATCCGGCCCAATTGCCTTCTAAATTTGGCCTGCGGACAGTCCAGGAATCAGCGTGTTTTTACATGAGTAGAATGTGTCCTTTTATTTATAATGCATCTCTGAGTTATTTGTGGGGCATAGGAATTCCTTCTTTTTTTCCTTCAAAATATAGTCCGGCCCCCCACAAGGGAGAGTGGACCGGCCGCCTACTGAAAAAGCTTGCTGACCCCTGATGTACAGTGGTACCTCGAGTTAAGAATTGAATTCGTTCCAGAGGTCCATTCTTAACCTGAAACTGTTCTTAACCTGAAGCACCACTTTAGCTAATGGGGCCTGCAGCTGCCGCCGCTGCGCAATTTCTGTTCTCATCCTGAAGCAAAGTTCTTAACCTGAGGTACTATTTCTGGGTTAGCGGAGTCTGTAACCTGAAGCGTCTGTAACCCGAGGTACCACTGTAGGCGTTTCTCCTCACATTCCAGCAAAGCTCTGGGGAGGTAGCCTTCAGCCCTCCAGGTGTGGGACTCCTGCTCCCATCAGCCCCAACCAGCACAGCTAATGGTCGAGGATGATGGGAGTTGTAGTCCAAAACACTGGGATAGCCACAGGATCCTGTTCTGTTGGAAGAAATGTTCCACAAGAATGGACCCGCCAAACACCGCTTTCACTAGGAAGCCAGCAGCATCCTCCACAGGTTTGGGGGAAGGTGTGTTAATCTAAGCGGGATCCCAGCCAAAGCCATTACCTGGGACAAAGGAACTGGTTTGGCAAGCTTGATCTTATACATTTTACCACAGACATACATGCGCACAGGTTTGGAAGGGGCACAGAGCCCTGTGGGATTGAGAAACATGCTAAAAACAAGGGCTGCAAAGGCTTTCTGCTTTCTGCAAAGCGTCACCCCCTCTCCACCCCGAGAAATTCCCTTCTCCGTTTCCTGTGAAGTTCCTGGAAACATTTCATCTCAAGACAGCATGCTGAACTCAGCCATGACTGCTTCTTCCCAGCTGGGGTAGTAAGCCAGGTGTGAAAGAGGACAGGTGTCCTCGATGCAACTTTAAGAGTGAGGTAGAACAGGGGAAGCCCAGCAGCTGCAGGTTACACAATTCCCTGTTTTGCCCCACTGTTAAAGGTGCAGCCAGGACACCTGGCCATCCGATTGTCCTCCCCCCTCCTTCCACCACCCCCTATCAGTTCCACTAAGCACACCCCATCCTATTTTGGGACTTACCATCAGCTTAAGGAGCTCTTGTGTTTTGAAAGACAGAACATCTACTCTGCCTTCGAGATCCTTCTTCTCCTGTAACAAACTCTTCCTTTCAAAATCCGGAATAATCTCATGAGCAAATGAACCTCTGGCAACTCTCTAGTGCTGCCAATTTGAGCAGGAAGGAGGAAAAAACTTTTGTGGCTTAGTTTAACAGGACCCTGCTCTGCTCAGATAGGCAAGTAAAGCTTTTCACAGAAAGGAGATAAGCGTTATCACCTGCTAAAGGCAAAGATGGAAAGCTACTGTTAAAGGAACCACAGAAGGGGCTGCTGGTTTCTCCTTTTTTTAATGTTGCCGCCCCCCAATTCATGCACATACGCTCCCTGCCCTCTGCTTGGGGGTCCGGAAGCTCCACATCACGAGAATCTCAAACCTGACAGGAAGAATTATTGAAATTTTGTCTCTCGCTTTCTGCCTTCATCTCATTTCAGCCTGGCAACCAGGGGTGGCAGCGGAAGTCGGTTTGTTTTTGAAGCCAAATTGATCAGATTTTGGCTTTCCAGAACAACAGATGACACTCTTTAACAACAAATTTTTCAATACAGTTCTCGAGGCAAAGAATGTGTACCAAAATCCATACAGATGGGGAAAAGAGTGCATAACGTGAATATTGTATTTATCTCCTGGAGAATAAGTCTATCCATGGCTATTAGGTAAAGGTAAAGGGACCCCTGACCATTAAGTCCAGTCGCATATGACTCTGGGGTTACGGCGCTCATCTCGCTTTACATACAGCTTCCGGGTCATGTGGTCAGCATGACTAAGCCGCTTCTGGCGAACCAGAGCAGTGCACGGAAATGCCATTTACCTTCCCACTGGAATGGTACCTATTTATCTACTTGCACTTTGACGTGTTTTCGAACTGCTGGGTGGGCAGGAGCTGGGACCGAGCAACGGGAGCTCACCCCGTTGCGGGGATTCGAACTGCCAACCTTCTGATCAGCAAGTCCTAGGCTCTGTGGTTTAACCCACAGCGCCACCCGTGTCCCTATGGCTATTAGACCTCATGACTATTAGACCTCTGCCTTCATGGTTGGGGGGCAGAATTGCTGCTGAATCCCAGTTGCTGGATATCGCAGGAGGGGAGAGGGCTCTTGCTCTCGGGTCTTGCTTGGGGGATTACCCACGAGATCTAGTCGGCTACTGTAAGAACAGGAAGCTGGTCTAGATGGCCTGATCCAGCTCTTCTCAGGTTCATGGTTGTATGTTCTGTATATGTAGTTTGTTTATGGTGCTGAGGGTTGCTGGGAAATCCACATCCGCAGTAAAATTAACTACGAACCCCAACATTTGGAACCCCTCCAAACCTGTGCCAACTTTTGCAGCCTTGGCATCTGGCTCACAGAGCTACGATTTCCTAGCATTCCCTGCGAAGATTAGTTTTGAAACCACTCGAGGAATTGTAGCTCTGTGAGGGGAATAGAGTGGGTCTCCTAACAACACTCAGCACCCTTAACAAATAACAGCTCCCATAATTCTTGATTGTTTAAAGTGGCATCATAGCTTTCAGATGTTTGGTGTGAAGGTGGCCTTAGTCTGTGCCATGATGACATGTGGATTTTGAGGATAATGTTCGACAGCTTTTGACAGGTAAAAATAGGGTCAGATGGATGTGTAATAACTAGACCTGCTCCAATCCATCAGGCTTCAGGAGAGGGAGAAAGGGATTGGCAGGCCTCTCCTTTGGCACTGCTGAAAGACCAGCAGCGTCTGTCCGCCTCTCCTTGAGATTTTTCCATCCCAGTCGGCTGCTACTGCACCTAAACTCCGAGCCGCCTGTTGTTCTTTCCCCGCCTTGAAATAATTTCCCCTTTTGTGTTGTGTTTTTAAGATTGCCTGCCTCAGGGCAGGGACTGCCTTGTTTCTGTTACTTGCAAACAGCTTGAGCAGCCTGCTTTGGCTGAAGAGCAGGATGAAGATGCTTTTAAAACAAACAGGTAGACTCACGAAAAGGAGTCACCTCCACATGCACAACCTGCCTCTTCTGCACTCTCTTCTAGAGCAATGGTGTGTTTCATTCGCTTGCTCCACAATCACACATCTACTAAAATTTTGAAAAGTCGTTTCTGCCTTTTCTACGCATTTGGGCACCTCTTAAGAGGGACGCGGGTGGCGCTGTGGGTTAAATCACAGAGCCTAGGACTTGCCGATCAGAAGGTCAGCGGTTCGAATCCCTGCGAAGGGGTGAGCTCCAGTTGCTCAGTCCCTGCTCCTGCCAACCTAGCAGTTCGAAAGCACATCAAAGTGCAAGTAAATAAATAGGTACCACTCCAGCGGGAAGGTAAACAGCGTTTCCGTGCGCTGCTCTGGTTCGCCAGAAGCAGCTTAGTCATGCTGGACACATGACCCAGAAGGTGTACACCGGCTCCCTCGGCCAATAAATTGAGACGAGCACTGCAACCCCAGAGTCGGCCACGACTGGACCTAATGGTCAGGGGTCCCTTTACCTTTACCTTTAAGAGAGCATAACCCAAATCTGCATGATGGTTCCTGAGATCAAGGCGCAGGTTATCCTCCATGTTTGGATTCAGCCGGGCATCTTTTTTGAACCAAGATGCCCAATGGAACCTTTCAAACCTGCACTGGTTTTAATTTCAAGATGGCGCCAACTTTTTCGGTTTCTTCCAATTCCCAAGCAACACCAACAGAATGGCGGCACACAAGCAGCTTTGTCAATAAAACAAAATAAAATTGTCGCCAGTAACCACTGACAGCCAGAAAGAATTGCCCTAACCTCAAACGGGACGGGACGATATGGGATTGGGGGGGCAACTCCCATCTCTTGCGGGGGTGCAATTAGTGCCAGCACCGTCCGTTAAGAGTTTGGGTGTAATCTTCGATACCTCCCTCTCTATGGAGGCGCAGATTACAGCTATAACAAAGGCGGCATTTTTTCATCTCCACCAAGCTAAGCAGTTGGCCCCTTATCTCTCTCGCCCTGACCTAGCCACTGTGATCCACGCGACGGTCACCTCCAGACTGGATTATTGTAACTCGCTCTACGTGGGGCTGCCCTTGAGACTGACCCAGAAACTCCAGCGGGTGCAGAATGCCGCGGCGAGACTCCTTATGGGGTCTTCGCTGCGAGATCACATTCATCCGGTACTATACCAGCTGCACTGGCTCCCGGTGGAGTACAGGATCAGGTTTAAGGTGCTGGTTTTAACCTTTAAAGCCCTATACGGCCTAGGACCCTCGTACCTACGGGACCGCCTCTCCTGGTATGCCCCACAGAGGAACCTACGGTCTGCAAATAAAAACATCCTGAAGGTCCCAGGCCTCAGAGAGGTTAGGCTGGCCTCAACTAGAGCCAGGGCATTCTGGCTGCGGCTCCAATCTGGTGGAACGCTCTGTCACAAGAGACTAGGGCCCTGTGGGACCTGACATCTTTCCGCAAGGCCTGCAAGACAGAGTTGTTCCACCAGGCCTTTGGTCAGGGCCCAGCCTGACTCCTTCCTCTGGCAACCTGCACAGAACTTTGCTTAACGGTTGCCATTAATTTGATTTTAATTAATTTTTATAATGAAATGTTTTAGAATGTTGGATTATTTGATTGTTTGATTATTTGTTTGTTGTTAGCCGCCCTGAGCCTGGCTTTGGCTGGGGAGGGCGGGATATAAATAAAATTTATTATTATTATTATTATTATTATTAAAGGATGATGACGCTCTCCTGGTCGTGCCTCAACCTGCTGAGGCTTATTCTAGTGGCAAGGAGAGAGATGGCCTTTTCTGTAGTAGGCACTATTCCTGCAGAACCACTGTCCAGACAACAAGACTCCCCTCTCAGCCTCATTGATGTGGTCCAACAGAAAGCAGAGCAATGTGTTTGACACCAGCTGGGTTGCAGGAGATGCTGGAAGAAGACATATCCAACCGTCTTAGGGACCTCAACTCCAGATTTGTGTAGTAGGGTTTACTCCTTAGCCTTTTCTTGTCTCCTATATGGCCCTCAATGCAGTGGAGGTTTCCATCAGAGTTTTGCATTGCTACCTTCCCAGGTTGGCAGGCCCCATCTGCCCCTCACGTCCCTCTACAGCATGTGGAGAAACTGCCTTCTTGACCATTGGATCCACTGTTGGTCTCGTCTGTTCAATCTGCCAAAGCCTGTCTTCGCATGCAAGGGAAATTCCTAACTCACTGAGGGTTTGAGACCCATTGGCTTCCCTCACCTGGTTTGTCCAGTCAGTCAAAGCCATTTCCTGGGGTGTGGCCACTGTCAGCTTCCAGGAACCGCAGGTGAGAGCTGAGCACAGGGTGGGGACCAAAGGTGAACAAACTACCTAGAAGGAGCACAATGTGTCCCCCACCAGAGGTACTACCTCTCCCATAGCACCCCAGGCTGGAGTAAGCTAGCTTATACACACACACTGTACAAAGGTAAAAATGACATGAGTTACTCCACCCACTTTTATCTCTAGCTCCACCCACCACCAGCACATGGACCCCAGAGTGTCACCTCAGATGAAATGTGGCCCTTGGGCAGAAAAAGATTCTCCACACCCAAGCTAGTGGCTGTCGTTTTGATCTGGATTTTATAGGTCTCTTGTATGTTTGCTTTCTGCACACCACTTGGTTATTGTGCATGAAAGGCAATATACAGATAAAAAGATATTGCAGTAAATGGCTTGCAGTAATTGGTAGGGATCTTAACCCATAATACTACTAATATTAGTAACTTTAATATTACCAGCCTCTATCATTTTTGGGTGCCTGCTGAAGACATTCTTATTTAGACAAGACTACCTAGATGTTTAGAAAGTTCATATGAGTTTGTTTTAGTCTGCTCTGTTGTGGGGTTTGTAACTTTCCGTATGTTTTAGATTCTGGTTTAAAATTTTTAGCGATAATTTTATTGCTTTTTTGGGGGGGGGTAAACCGCTCTGAGGTTTACACTCAAGCAGTACAGCGGTACCTCTGGTTACATACTTAATTCATTCTGGAGGTCTGTTCTTAACCTGAAACTGTTCTTAACCTGAAGCACCACTTTAGCTAATGGGGCCTCCCGCTACCGCTGCTGCTGCTGCTGCGCAATTTCTGTTCTCATCCTGAAGCAAAGTTCTTAACCCAAGGTACTATTTCTGGGTTAGCGGAGTCTGTAATCTGAAGCATATGTAACCTGAAATGTATGTAACCCAAGGTTCCACTGTACATAAATTTCATGAAATAAATAAACACTGTAACTGCCAATTACTACAAATACCCAGACTGAAACAGGGGACTGAGTATTGCAATGAGGTCTTAGTGCTGATGTCCGTACACTTGCGTTCGTCAGGGCCAGTCCAAGAAACCTTGGGGGCCAGCAGAGGAACAAATAACACCCCCGACCCAAGACAAAGTGCCTAGTATTCAAGGCAGGTCAAGGGATCTGGGGCACCAGAGGCAGATTCCCAGAAGTACCTCTCCCCTCCCTGGCAGTACAAGTACAGCAATAAACTGAATGACTAACAGCTTTCTGCCTTTTGATGACATCCAAAGTCAGCTGCCTGAGGCAGCCGCCTCAGACCGCCAAATGGTGCAGCTGGCTTTTAGCATGTGCCTTAGAGGCCAGGGGCACCATCTTCCCAGATTTTTCTTCTTGAGACTCAGGGGCAGAGGAAGGGGGCTACAGTGGGTGCAGACCACCCTAGGTGTCACCACTGAGGAGGGTGACAAAATACCGGGTGGCACTCACCGCGGGGCCTGCCCCAGGAGAGATGCGGGGCTCGGGTGCGCACAGGCTCTGGCTTGCCCAAATGGTCCGCCCGCTGCCTCCCCACCAGCTGTAGGGCAGCTGAGTGGGAGGAGTCAAATAGACTCTGGAGGCCGTGCAGTCTGCCCAGCCCCTATGTGTGGCTCACCCTGCCCCTGGCACACCGCCCCAGGCGCCCAAGCAGCTTCCTCCACCACTGCTCAAGACATTGGAAATGGGATTTGGAAATTGCCGCAATTCTCATGTTTGTTTGCCCGAGGTCAGGAACGGAAACCACAAAAATGAATATATATTTAAAAAATTGTCCAGTAGCACCTTAGAGACCAACTAAGTTTGTTCTTGGTATGAGCTTTCATGGGCATGTACACTTCTTCAGATACACTGAAAATGAATGTGGGTGGCATTTGCAATTGTTGGGATTTTTTAGTCCGCAGGAGGTTACACATAAATAACCGTGTTGTCCCCGGTATTGTTTTGGCCCTTTCCTTTCCATTGAAATACATTAGTTGCAATCAATGTATATTTCAGCAGAAGCCAGACTGCAGCAGGATGGAAATAGCGCTGGTTGCAGTGAACACAGGATGGCACACAAATCGCTGCCTCCTGCATGAATGTTGATTGCCAAAAAATTGGAAAGGAGAGAAAATTCCAACGAAGGAAGAATGGCAAATTAAATGATGTGAATAGTTAGAACTAGCAAAGATGACAGAGGCCATCATGAATCAAACAAATCAAATCAAAAATTTAAAACTGAATGGGAGTGTTACAGAGTATACTTAGAAAAACATTGTTTCCAAACAAAACCTCTAATACGCTTTGAGTAATTTTCACAAACTAGTTAACAGACAGATAATGTTTGCCATGTGAGTTCAATGAATCGAGAGGTGAAAATGGACACAGTTAAAAAGAAAAAAGAAGTCAGTACCAGCAATGTGGTAGAGGGAAGTCACTGTTAAAGATGTTGTTTTATTCTGGGGGTTTTTTAATGTATTTTTTATGTTTTGAAGAATGAAATGAATAACTGTACAGTGGTACCTCGGGTTAAGTACTTAATTCGTTCCGGAGGTCCGTTCTTAACCTGAAACTGTTCTTAACCTGAAGCACCACTTTAGCTAATGGGGCCTCCTGCTGCCGCCACCACACGATTTCTGTTCTCATCCTGAAGCAAAGTTCTTAACCCGAGGTACTATTTCTGGGTTAGCGGAGTCTGTAACCTGAAGCGTATGTAACCTGAAGCTTATGTAACCCAAGGTACCACTGTACTAATAAGCAAACTCAATAAAGAATATTGCAAAAACACAACAAAAACCAAATCGCTGCCTCTTCAGATCCCCGTACCAGAGGAGACAGTGAGGAACTCCCACAACTTATCTTAACTAACAGGGCATCCTTCAAAAGGCAAACGTAGGAGCCATTGTGTTCTTAAAGCAGGGTTGCATTGCAAGATGCAACTAGGGACAGCTGCCCAGCCTCTTCCTAAATAATTGCAGTGAAGGAAGGTCCAACCTTCTCCGGAGAGCTGTGTGCTGCACCGTCAAACAGTTTGGGCTGTTGAGAAGATTCAGCCAACACCTCCTTCCTTGCCATTTCCTCCCATTTGTTCTAGTTCTGGCCTGTGGAGAAACGTCTTCTGCATGACAGCCCTTGAGGTATTTGAAGGCGACCATCAAGGCTAAACTCACGCAGCGCTTCCAACCGTTCCTCGCAAGACTCGGCGAACCATATCCGAGACACTTCTGGAAGGAGTGCTGAAAACTGGGCTATGTAGACTTTAAATCACACATACCCCTCTCCTTAAAGAATATTCACACAGCTACGGTTGTGTAGATCTCATGTGCACATCGCATGAAGACAGCGGTTTAGAAGGTGATTCATATTTGAATTGAAATACAGTGGTTCCTCGGGTTACAGACGCTTCAGATTACAGATGCTTCAGGTTACAGACTCTGCTAAGCCAGAAATAGTATCTCGGGTTAAGAACTTTGCTTCAGGATGAGAACAGAAATTGCGCGGTGGTGGCGCGGCGGCAGCAGGAGGCCCCATTAGCTAAAGTAGTACCTCAGGTTAAGAACAGTATCAGATTAAGAACAGACCTCCAGAACGAATTAAGTTCTTAACCCGAGGTACCACTGTAATACAAAGTTACAACAAAAATCATCCAATTATCAGCACTCTTAACGGAAATTTTTCACAGGATTTTTCTTAATTGGATTTTTCAGACGATTTTTTTTTTTTTTTAATGGGGTGAGGGGAGGAATAGGAATGTGTTTTAAATGTATACACAGCCCTGGAGGACTCTAGTGCAAGTGTGTAATCACCAATGCGATTTTATTTTTATTATTTATTAAATTTCTATATCGCCCTTCATCCGAGGATCACAGGACGGTTGACAATATAAAAACACAAAAACACATAGCATAGTAACAAATAAAAACAATACCGCCATCCAGTTTAAAAGGCCATAGATTGTTCTGGGAGAAGAGGAATGTTTTTGCCTGGCGCCTAAAGATATCCTAAACTAATTCTAGAGAGACTTCCTTTTTTAAAAGGTAACAGAGGGACAGTGTTTTAGCCAGGGAAATGAGTAGTAGGCACTGTCCTTAAGACACCTGAAGCCCATGTACAGATTGTCCTGTATTTCTCTATTATTGCTCACCTGCGGCTTCAAACGTGAAATATGGGATGCAAGCAGAGCAAAGGCAGTACATATAAACAGAGGCAAGGAGTTATTCTGTTTGCCTTGTTCTTTGTGTACCACTACATTCCTCCATCCCACCCGATGGCCCCTGCTTTCCAGAAAGGCTCCCTAACTTTCCACTACCGGCCTCTCTATAGCCCTGATCAAGCAAAGCTATCTGCTCACAAACACACACAGGAGAACTGTGCAAACAGCTCAGGAGTGCTCTCAGGTTTTCATGGCTGTTGCTGTTTGCGCTGCTGAAGAGGCTAGCCTTTTTTTCTTTTCTCTTTTGGTGCTGCTGAAGAGGCTAGCTTGCTCTTTCTTTCTTTCTTTTTCTTTTGCACAGCCTCTTCAAAGAAATCTCTGACTCTTCAGCGCCTTCCTCTGCTATTTCAATTGTGGTCCTAGGGACCACCTGAAAACACGACGAGGGTCACATTCCTGGATCACAGGGCCTCGAAGCAGTGACCAAGCAAGGGAGTGATCTCAAAATACAGAGCTTTGCTGGACTTGGAACCCACCACAGACCACAAAACTAATTTCCAGATTGAGTAGGCAATCCCGGAATATGTGAAGTCAGGCACACCTGTGACAGAGTGCCCCTGAGCATATGCTGAGTGCACTTCCCTCACACTGCTGGATAACTACAAACAGCTCCCATATGCCCACCATGGGATTTCCTTGTTATGGGATGGACTGAGTCCTGCTGCAGACGTTAGAAATCCCTATCTATGCAATACGTCCATTCTTTGTCTACCAATTTCATTCTAAATATTAAGCAATTAGCAGAAATGGCCTTCATAGGTTTTCCTGGAACCACGGGGACTAGAAGCAAGTTTGTACTGTATTCATTGTCTGTTTTTAGGAGGAGGTTCTCAGCATTGGATGGTTGCCCACCACCTTCCAAGAGGGGCAGTTTTAAACCCAATGTATCACAATCGCATGCCAATATTGCCCAAAACAAACAAGCAGACATCCAGCATCCACTGAGTGCATCGCTAGGAATAGTTTTCAACATACTGTGTGTCACCCGGAAATCAGCTTCCAGCCACATCAAAAGGTTTCCCTCTCTTTCGCTCCTGCATTGAGCACCTTCTGCTCTCAGCTGGCCCCATTTTGGAGGACTTGCCCCCTTTCACAATCTCTGCCAGCCCCCCAAACTCCTGCCCATCTGTCTGCAGCCCCCTGTTCCTTCCTGGCCCACCCCTGCCAGTTCTTTGCAAAGCCTCACCTGATCTCGAACGGCAGACGTTTTCCTGCAAGAGAGCTCTGTCTCCAGCTAGCTGAGTGCCAGGTTCTCTCCTGCCCGTCTCACGGTGCCTTCTCGTGTCTCCAGTCACCCGCTTGCTCGCAGCCACTCCCTGCCACTGGAATCTGCCCCCTGGAGAGAATGTATTCCCAGGTCACACCCCACCTCAGGGCTCCACCTGCTGCGAGGCAAGGCAGGGGTGGCCGAGCCGGTGCCGCCACATTCTCTCTTTCAGGCTGCTTGGGGAGGAATTTGCCGGCACATAATCCTTCCCCAGGGTTCCCAGAGTGCCTCCTTCCAGCCGCGACACCAACTGCAAGCTGCAGAGTCCAGCCTTCTCGCAGGACAGAGGCTCTTTTGGCCTGTAAACACTGGTCCTTATAAACTGTTCACCTTCTTATACATGGCCTACAGCAGGTCAACAGCAGCACATTTGCCGTGCATTACTATGTGAGGAAAGAGCTCTTTTGAAAATTAAAGTGGGTGCAAAGGATTCTATGGGATGGAGCCCCCCAACCCACCCTAAATCATTTTATAAGCTGTCCCCTGCCACCTAGCGCCTTTTCTCCCCTGTAGATTTATTGCAGCTGGTCATAAATCTCAAAATGTTGATTTTCAGAGGTGAAAGATGTGCGCGGAGGAGAGAGCAGATGGGGAGAACAAACCCCACAAAGAGAACAGCAGTGGTTTACAACCGGCGGTCCAGGGGTCCTCTTCTTCCTCAGATGATTTGAAAAATGAGATTCACTGGCAAAGTTCTTAGATCTAGAGTACTAAAGCCTGAAAAGTCTTAATATATCAGTCAAGTAATATGCTGTTCCCAGAGTGGTTAAAAACCATTCCCTCTCCGTGAGGGATTCTGGGAATTGTAGCTCTGGGAGGGAAATAGCGCCCTTAACAAACCACAGCTCCCAGGATTCATTGGAGAAGCCATGACAGTGGCGTCATAGTGCTTAAATGTATAGTGCAAACATGGGCCTCAGTTGGTGTTGATCCATGACAGGGCCTTCTCAGTGGTGACACTTCATTTTTTGAATGCCGTCCGGGCTGAGGTCCATCTTTTCCCCTCAGGATTAACCTTCAGGGGGATTTTGAAACATTCCTATTCACCCAGGCATCAAATGGCTGTGAAATACTGCTCCCGGCAACCTTGACATTAAAAAGGTAAAGGTAAAGGTACCCCTGCCCGTACGGGCCAGTCGTGACCGACTCTAGGGTTGCGCGCTCATCTCGCTCAAGAGGCCGGGGCCAGCGCTGTCCGAAGACACTTCCGGGTCACGTGGCCAGCGTGACGAAGCTGCTCTGGCGAGCCAGCACCAGTGCCGCACACGGAAACGCCGTTTACCTTCCCGCTATAAAGCGGTACCTATTTATCTACTTGCACTTAGGGGTGTTTTCGAACTGCTAGGTGGGCAGGAGCTGGGACCGAACGACGGGAGCTCACCCCGCCGTGGGGATTCGAACCGCCGACCTTACGATCAGCAAGTCCTAGGCACTGAGGTTTTACCCACAGCGCCACCCAGGTCCCTAACCTTGACATTACCATATGTGAATGACTGTTTCCACACATTTTTAGACGTTCTCGTTTTCTCAGTATTTTACATGTTTTTGTTTATTGTAGGATTCCTCTAACTTTAGTCATGCTCAGGGGAGACCTTTTGAAGTTAATTAACTTGGGTCTAGTCTAAGGTTACCAGACGTCCCTGTTTCCTGGGGACAGTTTCCAGATTTACAAATCAATCCCCTGACAAAATCAATCTATTTAGTAGGAAGTTGAAAAGTGTCCCTGGATTCATTGGGGGAAAATCTGGTAACCTTAGTCTAGTCTTTTTAATGGTCTACTCTGAAACAGAACTTTGGGTGTATCTTTAAAGCACATCCAAAACACGCTCTTTCCCTCAAAGAATTCTGGGCCCTGCAGGTTGTTAAGGATGGTTGGGAATGATAACTCTGTGAGACGACAGTACCCAGAATCCTTTGAGGGATGAATGTGCTGTAGTTCCAATTATATTGTCTTGCTGCTTAGTTACCGTATGTGTTTTCCTGGGCTTCTTTGAGAGGAAGGGTGGGGTGGAAAATGAATAGGAAAGAAACAAACAAACAAATAATCTCTCTCTCTTTCTCTTTATGGGCACAACTGCCACCCGCGTTATTTAAGGATAGAAGCTCAAAGGAGGTTTGATTTACAAAATTTTATATACTGTACTTCTACACACACTTTGAAGCTGAAAGGCTCCCAGGTTTGCTACTAGAATATCCTCCCCCCCCCCTTGCAAAAAAACAACAACACTTGGACTGTCCCCTGACCTCTTCATTGCCTCCTGCCCATTCTCAGAAGGAGGGGTGTCACCCGACATCTGCCCCAACATCAAAACACAATACGGCTGAGGTTCCTGAAGACTTGCCTGGTCTCTGTTCAAGTCTGACTTGCCTAACCAGCCCACACCTCCCACAGCCAACAGAACCGGATCTGTTTTGCCCTTGCCAGGACTGGAAAAAAACTCAGAAGAGAACCTGGGGGGCGGAAACCTCAACATTGAAGAAGAGCTCCCCCTTCACGTTGGCCACCTCATGTTGTGCATGAGAAACCTGTTTGATCCTCTGCACCGATCTTTGCCAACCAGGTGCCCCCAGGTTGGACTACAACTCCCAAAAGCCAGCGCAGGTGGGGTTTCGTAGCCCAAAATGTTGGGAGGGTGCCTGGCTGGCAAATACTGCTCCACACTATCTAGCGAAATAATGACATGACAAGTGAAGTACTGCACTCCTGCATTTTTTAATAGTGTAGAATGGAGGAGGGGCGATGGATCCCTGAACTTGGCTATACCTGATAGGAGTTGGAGTCAGTCCAACAAAATATGGAGGGACACAAGTTCTTCTTCCCCAGGTGAAGGAGTGTGTGCAGATTGGTGCTTTTGTCTCCCCCACCTACCACCACCGCGGCACAACAACTGCACCTTCCAAAATTCCCATTTTCACAAAGCTGTGAAAGGTACAGGAACCTTCATCTCCTTTGTCACCCTAAGGGACTGCCTAAGGCACAAAGCCTGGCCAGCGTGACCACTGCTAGGGACTTGTAGTTCAGCAAGAGCTGAAGAACTGTGAGAAAGCCGCCCCTCAACTGCCTCAAAAGATCACCCCTTGGGTTCTTCATCCATGGATTTGATTCTCAGTGGGCGCCTCCAGACATCCATTTTATTCTGCATCCTTCACGACAGTACTGGGGTGGTCATACACAACCATCATTTCAACACCATTTGCACTTGCAAATGTTCTGGGGCACTCTCTCTCGCTGTTTCATTTCCAGTCAATGCATATCCTGCTGAAACAGGACGCGGGTGGCACTGTGGTCTAAACAATTGAGCCTCTTGGGCTTGCCGATCAGAAGGTCGGCAGTTCGAATTCCTGCGGTGGGGTGACCTCCCGTTGCTCTGTCCCAGCTCCTGCCAACCTAGCAGTTTGAAAGCACGCCAGTGTGAGTAGATAAATAGGTACCGCTCCGGCAGGAAGGTAAACGGCATTTCCGTGCGCTCTGGTTTCCGCCATGGCATCCCATTGCGTCAGAAGCGGTTTATTCATGCTGACCACATGACCCAGAAAGCTGTCTGTGGACAAACGCTGTCTCCCTCGGCCTGAAAGCAAGATGAGCGCCGCAACCCCATACACTGGTACGTCAGGTTAAGAACTTAATTTGTTCTGGAGGTCCGTTTTTAACCTGAAACTGTTCTTAACCTGAGTTACCACTTTAGCTAATTGGGCCTCCCACTGCCGCTGCACAATTTCTGTTCTCATCCTGAGGTAAAGTTTTTAACCTGAGGTACTATTTCTGGGTTAGCGGAGTAACCTGAAGCGTCTGTAACCCGAGGTACCACTGTAGTCATCTTTGACTGGACTTAACCATCCAGGGTCCTTTACCTTTATCCTGCTGAAATCCTGCAATTTTTCATACAATTTTTCATACAGGAATAATATGGTAGCATTGGGGAACCATGGCAGAACAAGAGCCAGTGCGGTGTGAGTGGTCAAAGTGCTGATCTAAGACCTGGGAGAGCAGGGTTCAAATCCCCACTTAGCCATGATGCTCGCTGACCTACCTCACAGGATAAAATGTGGAGAGCTATGTACACCAACCCAAGCTCCTTGGAGGAAAAGCTGTGGTATAACTGTAAAAATAAATAAAGTAAATACAGTGGTACCTTGGGATGCGAACAGGATCCGTTCCAGAGCCCCGTTCGCATCCTGAATGGAACGTAAGACGTGACAGCGCGTCTGTGCATGTCGTGTTTTGGCGCTTCCACGCATGCGCATGATGTCATTTTGAGTGACTGCGCATGCGCAAGCAGCGAAACCCGTTACTTCCAGGTTGCCAAGGAGCGCAACCCGAAAGCGCTTAACCTGAAGCACATTCATCCAGAGGTATGACTGTAAACACAAAGCAGAATAAATTCATCATTAATGCACTATAGTGGGGAAGGTCCTGTAGCTCAGTGGCAGACAATCTGCATTGTATGCCGAAGGTCGCAGGTTCAATCCCAGGCCTCTCCAGGAAGGGGTGAGAGAGATGCTGCTGTCTGCAGTCTTGGACAGCTACTGTCTGCTGGTGCAGACCATACTGAGCTGAGATGGGCCACTGGTTTGACTCAATACAAGGCAGCTTCCCATGTTCCTATGTGTCTAAACCAGGGTTTTCCAAACTTGGGTCCCCAGCTGTTTTCAGACTACAGTTCCCATCATCCCTGCTAGCTCAGGATGGTGGGAGTTGTAGTCCAAAACCAGCTGGAGAGCCATGTTTGGGAAACACTGGTCTAGAACATGTTGCAGAATACACCCACAATAAAACAAAAATTAAATTAAAAACCCAGCCCCTCTTTCACAAAGTGGTTACTCTGTAAATCACAAGCAAGGCAATACTCCAGCTTCTACTGCTTTATCTCATTGACTAAGGAAGGCTGCCACCTGTTGGCATTATCTTTTAGTGAGCTCTAAAGCAATGGGTGTGGGTCGCGCTGTAGGTTAAACCATCCCTGCGACAGGGTGAGCTCCCGTTGCTCGGTCCCTGCTCCTGCCAAGTTCGAAAGCATGTCAAAGTGCAAGTAGATAAATAGGTACCGCTTGGGCGGGAAGGTAAACAGTGTTTCCGTGTGCTGCTCTGGTTCGCCAGAAGCGGCTTAGTCATGCTGGCCACATGACCCAGAAGCTGTACGCCATCTCCCTCGGCCAATAAAGCGAGATGAGCGCCGCAACCCCAGAGTCGGCCACGACTGGACCTAATGGTCAGGGGTCCCTTCACCTTTACCTAAAGCAATGGGCTGTTTCTATAACAGTCCTCGGTTGCACACGGAAATCTCTGCTGCATAGGTTTTAAAATCCAATGCCCTTTTAAAATGTGTTGGGGGGGTTGTTCTTGTATTTATTATATATTTGGTGTTTTTTATATTGTGATTTTATGTTGTGAACTGCCCTGAGACCTGCGGTACAGGGCAGTATACAAATTTATTAAATAATAATACACAATAATGTCATTGTTACGGAATTGAAATCTTTGACAGGTGTGCTGTACCATTGGCCTTTGATGTTGCTGAACTACTCCTCCCATCATCCATGGCCATTGGCTATGCTTGCTGGGAACTGACGGGCGTTCTTGGCACAATCTCAGAGGACCAAAGATTCCCCCCGCACCTCTTCATTCACAAAATATATTCCTGCATTGCAGGGGGTTGGACTAGATGATCCCCAGGGTCCATTTCCAACTCTACAATTCTATTGTTCTAAGCAGGACCCGTGTATGAGTTGCCTTGCGTTACTGCGATCGGGCTTCCATAGGAGAGCATCCGGACAAGTTGCATCCTCCTGAAAGTCAGTCTCTTCTGCCAACCTGCCCTTAAGGGCACCACCTCAAGGACCCGTCCTGGAACGCGGAACATACATGCTGGTGAGACAGGACCAAACCGGAAGATCTCTCCCACGTCATTCCAAGGGCATTTTTGACCAACAGGAAGCCACTACCCCTGGGGTAAACCCAGTGGCCTGGTATGTGCTTGTGACTTGCTTCAGGTGGTGTTGGGTAGCTGACATGCGGCCAGACAGGGAGGACCTGCCGCACAAGATCTTAGTAGGGACAACTGGGGAACGCTGCTCTGTTTGCCATCACAAGGACACCTATTTTGCAGAGCAGGTGGTGCCAGTCACTGGATTCACCAGAATCCTTGGATTTCAGCAAACCCCTTTCAAAAAGTTGTTTGGTGGCGATTTCCCCCCATGTGAACCTGCAGCTCTCCAGATGCCATTCAACTCTTAACTTCTATCAACCCCAGCCTGTATGGCTAATACTCAGAGATAATGGGAGACAGTGTGTTCCTCATCCATCGTCTGAAGTGAAAGGACAAGGACGCAGTCAAACAGCTTAGATAGCTCCACAGACCTGTAACTATGATCCATGTTAGCTAACTGGACTCCATGTACAGAAGTCGAGGCTGATTGGAGGGGGTGTGGATAGCTCTTCGGCCCAGGGCCTAAAGCTCAAATGGGGGCCTCCAATTTAGACACCTGTTAATCTTTTGGCATTCGATAAATTTCACAACTTGTATTTATGTGCACCAAACTGCAATGCAATCTCTCATCTTGGAACTGCAAATTTAAGAAAAGATTAAACCTGGCCTCTGGATACAAAGGTGTTGGAACCGCTAAGGTACAGCCCTTTCCCAACTTTTACCATGCCAAAGTCACTTCTGTAAACACAGGAAGTGGAATGAAAAATTCTTTAGGGAAGTAAAACTCTGCTTGGCGTGGAATTTTTTTAGTGCACTTGGACGAAGGATGCACATCCAGCATCAATAGACACATACATATTTGGAATTCCCTTTCTAAACAAATAGCCCTGTTGTACTTTGCTTAGTGCAAGACCAAGTTTTACAGAAAGGAGATAAGTTTGTTTGGATGCAATTCAAAACCCAAGATTTGTGTGGTTTGCAGGCATGACTGACCTGTGAAACCTTCTGCAGATCATGAACACAAATAAGCTGAATGCAGCCTTCCTAGAGAAACTGGAAATGAAAAATGTCCACAGACTGGATCGCTTGCAGCAAAGGATGGCATTCCAAATGAGCATAAAGGTCTGAGCTGTACTAACTTATCCCTGACTGAGAGTAAAACAAACAAGGTAACCTAACTCTTCTGCTCCTGCTGATATGAAAATGACAGAAAGCTCCAAGGAACAGCAACTCTTCCACATTCCTTTAGAACAGAAGTGGGCAAAATGCGAATTGGGATCTACTAAGTAGGTATCTAGGTGGTTTGCAGCAGATAACCAGAGGCCTTTCTCCAGGTGTCTAACTTGAGCAGTTGCTAGGGAGAAGACCTTGTCAGTGGCAGCCCCACCAGAGGCTCACCTGGTAGCCTGCGCTATGTTATTTCAGGGCAAATGATAAGAACATCTTGTTCTCTCCCAGGCTTTTAATCACAATCTAGGGGTGCTTTACTTCTGCACCAAGTTCCCGTTGGGTGCAGTTTATGCTAGTTTTAAGTGTTTCAGTTATTTTAGCTGTGTTCTGGGTTGGTTGTTGCTGTAATCTATTTAAGAACACAACAGCCAAACTAGATCTGATCATGGTTCCATGTTGTCCAGCATACTCTCCAAGTAGTCAATCAGGTGGCTGTAGAGAGACCACAAGCAGGACTTGAGTGTGACAGCAACTCTCCCCATTTGTGATTTCAAGCAACTGACATTCAGAGGCACACACAGTGTGTCAGGTACAACACAGCCATCATAGCTAGTAGTTCCTGACAGTTTTAGCCATGAATTTTTCCAATCCTCTTTTTTAAAAAGCCATCCAAGTTGGCGGCCATTGCTACCTCTAAACTGCTACATCACAACACAGATTCTCTTTTTGGTCATAGCTCCACATGCTTCAGAAGAAGGTGGATCGCAAGGAAGAGAAGCAACACAGTGTGAAAATGAGAATTTATTTGCTTTGGATATCCAGCAGCAGCAGCAGCTCTTAACGGTTGGACTTGGCCACACGCTCCAACTCATCCTTCTTCTTGATGGCATAAGAGTTGGAGGAACCCTAGAAATGGGAGGCAACCGTGAGACACAGAGCAGCATGATCCCAAGCTCAGCCTGAAGCAATCTGCTCAAATAACGTCTTCCCAATAGGTGGCAATTCCAGTCACATACACCTTCACACAGTCACCCCTCCAATGAACAGCTGAAGGAGCTGCTACAGAATAGTTGCAGCAACTGGCATACACACATAATGGATACCGTTTCAGCTATTTAGGATTATGGTTTCAGTCCCACAACACCGTAAGCTTTTTGGGCCAAATACCAGGTTGCGTGTCAAGCAATCATTCTACAACAGAGATTATGTTGCCTGAGAATGCTGTTAACAGCTAGACCTAGAGCAACTGTGGGCTGTTGTGACAATGTCTCAGTTTCAGGAACTGTCCCTACTGTTGCACAAGGCATCTCTTAGGCAACTTACGGCTAAAATCTTCAAGGAGTGCTGCACTTGTGTATTTTGCAGTTTAGGACAACTATCACCGCAAACCAATTCACTTTTGGGGTTATAATGAGAGCCCGATTTACCATCCCTGCACCTGGCTTTGAAAACCCTGCCGCTGATTTCCACGTGACAACAATTTACTTATTCCTACGCCGCCTTTCAGGAAAACGCTGCTCTTGCATGAAACTTAAAAACATAAAACACAAGAACACAACGCTACTAGAAAATATGTTTTCAAAATTAAGAAGCAGCAGGAGTTTAAAAGCTTCCAAAACAGGAAATTAATTAACCACACACTAGAATAACAACAGTAAAAAAGCTGTGCCACTGTCAGGATGCTACTTAAACCCCACTGAAGGAACTTGCTATTAGTTGATTCTCACCTTAGCTGCATTGATCAGCTCATCTGCTAGGCACTCAGCTATGGTCTTTATGTTGCGGAAGGCAGCTTCACGAGCCCCAGTGCAGAGCAACCAGATAGCCTGCAGGGGGGAGACAGAGATTACATTGGCATGCAGAGTCAGCTGAGAAAATGCTCTTCCTTAATCACAGAATTGTAGAGTTGGAAGGGACCCTGAGGATCACCCAGTCCAACCCCCTGCAATGCAGGGATCTCAACTAAAGCACCCCAACAGATGGCCATCCAACCTCTGCTTGAAAACCACCACCACCTGCCAAGGGAGTTCATTCCACGGTCAAACAACTCTTACAGGACAATCCCGTACCTGATTGACACGACGCAAAGGTGACACATCAACAGCTTGTCTCCTCACTGTGCCAGCTCGGCCAATACGGGTAGAGTCTTCACGAGGGCCACTGTTGATGATGGCGTTCACCAGGACTTGAAGGGGGTTCTGTAAAAAAGATACAAGCAGGTTAAGGCTGCAACTACAGTCTGCTCCACGGAGTAACGTACAGCTTCTAGCCACAGCCAATGTCATGACTTATGCAAGACACATCTCTTCAGACTCACTTTCCTCTTCTTTATAATGGACACAGCCCACACAAGTGAAGATGGCAAAAGATATTCTAGGTTCATACACCAGAAATGACTTACAGGAAGTTAATGACAAGCGCTCCCATCTTCCTAGACAATAAAATTGGTCTATGAACTATTCTACAGTTACCACTGGTACAATCCCTCCAATGAGAGACATAATTCCTCCAAACTAAAAACAAACAAACAAAAAAGGCTAGAGAACAAAGGTAATATATACTTAAGGAACTGAGAAGAATCCTGTAAGCCCATCGACAAAACCTGCAAATTTCATCCCAAGTGAAAGGGAGACCTGCCCAAATGTTAATTCACATAAATGCTCTTAGTATATAAGAGCATTACTAAGAATACAGGAAACACAAGATGCATAGCAAATCAGGACAGCCCAGTTAATACAAACCTATGCAATTCTGTACTTTTGGGGAGCTGAATTTTCACCCCACCACATCCAGAAGGCTTGGTAGTGATAACCTTCACTAGAACTGTCTAATAATACAATTAAAGCACTTGTGAAAATGCTAACTGCTTAACACCTGCTAAAAACCCAACACAAACCAAGTAGTTCTACGGCAGTTCTGGAAACCTTGCAAGAATGGAGATTGCTTTTAGGAACAAATCACTTATTTGTATTAGAAAACCCACAATTTCACTTATGAGTACTTTAAGAACTCTTAAGTGGATGCGAGTCAGAACCAATTTGATTTGATAGTTTTTAATTTGTCAAGTGGGAAAATAAGATTGCAACATACATATTTAGCAATCCGTGTATCTCGCTGGACCTTAGGGAATGGATTAAAACCTTTACATCAACCAAGAACTGAACATATTCTGAGAAACACAGTACTTTGCATCACATTGAAAATAATGGGAGGCGTTTAATGGGCCACATCAGTCAACACAATTTGTGTCTGATGGGTTGAGAGGAAACTTGAATCAACACATACTGGGCTATCCTTCCCAAAATACACTGCTAGTGAGTAGAAGAACATCCACTTACTCTTTAGATGACTAAAACACGTTTCTTAGTCAACTAATGTTTTCCACAACTACTGTATAGCAAAATTTTGCTTCAATGTGCATAGCTGGGCCTCAGGTCACACCAGATATTTCTTTCCGGTGGGCATTCATCCATCTCATCTCCCTCTAGCCTCCAGGATCAAAAACCCATCTCACAATATGTCAGCTTCCACAGACAGCTTTTCTGCTCCAGTGTCCAACTCACCTCTCCTGTGAGCAGATGGATGATCTCGAAGGCATGCTTGATGATGCGCACAGTCATGAGCTTCTTGCCATTGTTGCGTCCATGCATCATCATCGAGTTAGTGAGGCGCTCAACGATAGGACACTGGGCTTTCCGGAAGCGCTTGGCAGCATAGCGCCCAGCACTGTGTGGCAAATACTTGGCATATTTCTCCTTCACTGCAATGTAATCCTAAAGAAGCATAAGGAAAAAGTATTAGGAAACAAGCAGGGATGCAAGCTCATACTCAGCCGGAAGACAACACTGTCCTAGAGCTCTGCCCAATTTGTTTACAACCTCATTCCATACCTGCAAGGAGATGTCACTGATCTGCACATCATCTGTACTCCATTTCCCAAACAGCTTGATATCAGGGGTCTCTGCCACAGCAGGGGCTGTCTCCCAGTCAGTCATTCTAGAGGTGGAATAAATAACTATTAGGTCTTGAATTGGCCCAATCTACCCTTCAATGGCTCAGGTAGAATATGCAAACTGAACCTGTACGGGCTGCCACACAAAAGTGATTTTTTTTTGCTAGCAGGGTCAAGCACCTTTATGCACATGAAAGATATGAGCTGTCACCCTTTACTGGTACACAGGACATCAAATCTTGTGAAGACACAGAGCAAGCTTCAAGACTCTTGCACAGGTTTGGGTAGGTATCAATTATGTGTGCTACATCCCACATTCAACATCTTTAATACAGATCATATACAATTCATTGACTATTTATCATATGCACCCAGACACTGAATAGATTCTCTATCTGTTTGTGTCATGTACAGAACTTGAAATACTGTATACTCATTCATTCAAAGCTGGGTTACCTTGCTCACTATCAGATCCACCACTCGAGCCATTTCCAAAATAAAGAAATAAATACATCAAAATTGGCCAACATGGTGCCCATCATATGTTTATCAACTTCAGCTCCCATCATTTCTGACCACAAGCCATGCTGGCTGGGGCTGATGGGAGCTGCAGTGAAACAATTTACAGAGGCCATCATCTTAGCTACCTGTAATGTTGCTGTATTCTTGCCTAGAAAGTTAGGGCACTGTTTTTCACCCTCATTTTGAATGTGAAGATCTGGCGCCCCAAACCCTTGGGACAATGCAACTGAGACAACACAGGCTGACTTGTGCAACAAATAAAAGAAATGAAATGCTATCTTTGCTCAAAGTGTCAAAAGTGTATGACTGCAGGCTTGGCCCCTTCCTTCTTTCTTTCTTAAGCAAAGGTGGGGACCAGATCTGCAAAATCGGGCCTACTTTCCCTTTTGTGAAGTGGTGAAGGAAAGAGAGGGCTCTTGAAGTGGGCCTCATATAAAATTGGTAGGGCTAAATACGACTTGCAAGTCTGGCTGAAGCATATCGCACAACTGTAGGGCTGGGAGGGATCCCAAGGGTCATCTAGTCCAACCCACAGCAATGCAGGAATCAGCTAAGGAAGGCCAGGTGGGGAGAAAGCCAAGCTCGCTCGCCCTCCCTCCCTTCTTAAAACGACTATTGCTGAAATAAAACTCATCACATTCCCTCCCCCCAGGAGCCGAGGGAGGGAGGCGCAACTGGTCCTCCGTCTCCCTCCTTCACAACAACCCTGCGGAGCAGCACCGAGGGGTGACGAGCGACCACGTGGCCTGCTCGGCAGTCAGGCGGGATCTGAAGCGGGGCCTCCCCGTCCAGTGGCTTCACCGCCGCCCTCGGTTTCTCTGCGCCTCCCTCCTCCCGCCCCACGTGCCCCTTCCCGGCCCCCAGAGGCCTTTTTCTGGCCTTCGCGCCGGCTGATAGCCTTCCCCCCTCACTGCCCCCCAATAAGACTCCGGTTTCCACCCTTTTTTCCTCCTCCGTAGAAACTCACATGGAGGCGCTTCGCTCTCCTCCCCGCGTCCCGCTCGCTCGCAGAGGCAGAAAAGGGCCACGCGCGGGGTTACCCAGAGTCTTATGCACGGGCTACCGGCTTCCGGCGCGCCATACGCATGCGCGGCTACGTTCTCAAACTCTCTCGGCGAACCAAGTTCTCGCGTGGATTGTTCCGCGCATGCGCGCCTGTGACCACCCTCTACTTCCGATTCAAAATGGCAGCCTGGATGCCGAAGAAGCGGTTGTTGAGGGAATTTACCTTGTTTTTCTTATATTTTGCCCTCAAACCACCCCGTCTTTCGACGTTTTGTCACGCTTCCAATGTTCGGTTGTGCGGTTTGTTTGTTGTTTGGCACCTCTGAATATAGGTAGAGATTCTACAAGTTAACCTTTTTTTTCGTCTCTCCGGCGGGGCTTCCGGTGCGTTTTATCGCGTTGTTTCGGGAGATGGCGCATGCGTACTGTTAATTTTAACCGAAGCGCAGCTTATACCTGTGGCAGTCGGCGAAGGCCGGATTTCGAAGTCTCTCCGAGACAAGCACATGGCAGGCGGCGGGGAGCCCTATAAGAAAGGAGTAGACACTTGCAGTGTTTGGTGTCTCAGAGTTCTGGCAAACTAAGAGCCTCCAGCGGCTTTTGGACTACAACTCCCATCATCCCTAGCTAGCAGGACCAGTGGTCAGGGATGCTGGGAATTGTAGTCCAAAAACAGCTGGCGAGCCAAGTTTGGGAAACCCTGCACTAGAGCCATGGCATGCTCAGTGACCATGCTTTGACAGGGTGGGTGGGTGGGTGTGTCTATGTACTCACACACCCCGCCCTATACCCAGCGGTTCACAGAACAAAATCAAAACATGAAACCACAAAATATACAATCAAAATAAAAACAACAACCCAATAAACCCCCAGTATCAATTTCAGACCAGCTGAAACTGTTCCATTTATTATGCTGCCCAGATGTGTCGCTGGAATATATTCATCTCTCTCCTCCCCTTGGTGCTACCCTACATATGTACACCCATCTGAATAAAGGCTTACTTCTGAGCTGTTGGGGAAATGTGTCCTCCTCCCCATATTTGGGTTGTGCCCAGTCTGGTATGCCCTACAATGGCCAGACTGTCTCATTGCATTTGCCCAACCACCCCTGATGGACACTGCCATCCTGCTGCCTGGCACAAATGCATGTGAAACCTGCTGTTGCTTCCTATCAGCCACTACTACTGTTCCAGGTAGTTGCATACTTGACATGTGTCCCCACCAACACATCTCTGACTTAACAGATTTGGTTTCTGTCTTTTGCTGTATTCATAGTGAACAGAGTATGCTGTTCCTCTCACAAGAGGACTCCTTTCCTTTGGAGGAATCCTACCGCAGACCAGTGTTAAAAGAAAACCAACCTGATCTGTTGAAGGGGCCCATGGCAAAGTGTCCACTTGTGCTCACTTGCAAAACAGGGCCCCTCCTCTCACCAGTACACACAGATCTTTGTCTCTTCCTACTTCCTACTTTCTAACTGATACCAATACCTAAGTAAAGTACTTGGTGGGAGTGGAGGTGAGATTTTTTCCTGAAGAAGAGAATTCAAAGACTCCATTTACACAAGATGCTCCAGCATTGACCGTATATTTAATATTTAACACATAAAGTTTATTAGTGACAGATTTGGATTTACTGATTCGATTCTCAAATAGAAAAGTACTTATTCTTGTCATTCATGAAATCATGCTCCCCTCTAAAAACTTGGGATCGCATTTTCTATATATGTATATATAATGATTGAGCTTTAAAATGCTGTATTATTAGATTCTCTGTTGTGTGACTGCAGCCAGTCATATATTTTCCCTCATCCCCAGTTGGGAGGAAATTATACTGGGCCTTTCTAGCATGTTCAGCTCTTTATTTGTATGATCTCTCCATGCATTTGCTCTGCTCCTTAGGTGTAGACCAAGTCAAGAACCTCATTCATGTTAGTGCGTGGAAGCATGCGGCGCTGCCGCAGCCGTTTAATACTGCCATCCACATGGTAGCCCGTCTGCTTGTCATGAATGCAGTTGCGCAGGTAACGCCGGGTGGCTTTGAGCTGATCAATGTTCTCCCCTGTTTCTACTATAGAGCGATCTAACTGTGCCGTGGACTACAAAGAGAGACAAAGGCAGAAAAAGACAAGTAAGCAGGTAGTCCGGAGTCAGGGAAGATGTCCCCACCCATCAGCTTCCCATCCAAAAGATGGGTTTGCATTGTACAGATAGTTCAATTTAGCAGTGTTGCCTCCAGTCCTAGACTCACTTACCTGGGCAGTAAGTTCCATTGAACTCAGTAGGATTTTCTTGTGAGTAGACATCTATAGTGGAAATAGCCCAATTCCTATACATGCAGCACCCTTTTTAGTCTAAGGACTGCATTCCCTCATGAGCAATTTTATGGAGGCTGCATGCCCGTGGGAGATGGGCCCAGCGGCAAAAGTGGGTGGGAGCAATGGGTTCGACAGTAGACTACATTCCAGAAATTCAGGAGCCTATACAGTGGTACCTTGGTTTACAAACTTAATCCGTTCCGGAAATCTGTTCCATTCTTAAAGTTCTCAAACCAAGACACTATTTCCGGTTTTGCGGAGTTGGTAAACCAAATTGTTCTTAAACTGGACTGTTCTTAAACCGAGGTACCACTGTACAAACATGCCCACCTTCATCCAGGCAAACAAGAGGCAATTGTCCATCTCTAACCTGTACCGCTTTACCTGCATAAGGTTCCAGCTTTAGGAAGAGAGTTAACTAATTTTTGCAAGCCTCAGCAATCAGCTCGTTGTCAGCGCTTCCAAAGCCCTGCCCCTTTGCCAGCAGTGGTTTTATTTTAAGCCACATGGGCAAAGGAAAACAGGTCACCTGACATCATTGCCAGATAACTGACAGGTGGGCAAACCCACCTATCAGCCAAAGTTGGCCTGTAGAAGATGTGGCAGGGGAGGACAGGGAATAAGGATTCTGGCCCACCAGCCAGATCCAGTTCTCCACCCCAGTTGTATTGCAGTCAAAGGCCTGCTCATTGTCCCTACTGGCATCCTACCTGGTTGAGGATTGCCGCTTCAGGCAGCTGTGTTCCTACATGTCTTTGGTACACCTGCACCACTGGCCGTGTCAGCTTCTCCCGTGTCTCCAGGTACTTGCTACTTTCAGGACCCTGTGGATACAAAAATTGTTCAGAATCAAAGGAGGATTTCTGGGGGTGGAGAGGAAAAGGGGAGGACAAGTCTTCCCCAGTTAATCTCCAAGCAGGCAGAGCTGGAGGCAACCGGAATGTGAAGACCCACAGCACTGGCGCTTCCCAGCTCTTACTGCTCACCAAGGCCATGCCCCGGGTAACACGCATCTCATGCTGGAAACGCTGGCAGCGATGCAGGGTGCTGCGAGTTCCTGCCAGAGTAATGTCAAGCCGTTCCTACCAAAGAGAAAACAATGAAGGAGATGTTGAGCCAGATTGCTTGGAAACACGAGTGTGCTGTTGGTGTGAAAAGGTGAGAATGTGTGTGTAGGCATGCAAAGAGTAGGAGCAATTAGAAAATTGCCTACTTGAGAACACTACAAACTCCTCACACCTCACACCTTACAGCAGGGCTAGCTAACTTTTTTGGCCTGAGGGCTGTATTCACTCTTCATCAACACACCAGGGACATGGCAGTGGTGGGGGTGACCACCCCACACTTGCTCATACACACAACACACAGAGACACATGCAAGCCAGCTGAAGGGGGTGGGGGTCATCACTCATCCCTATTCATTAAATAGTTGATCTAATGACTGGAGAAGGGGTGAATTAATATTTTTATGCCACTAAACATTACAGAATACCAAAGTGGTGTACAAGAGCAATGCAAATTCAGCAGTCCTCTAAAGAGAAACTGCGACAATGCTTTTAAGTCAACTCAATGTGTGCGAGAGGGAGAGATTCTGACTGGGATTGTGGTAGAGGTGAAAGCCCACCTGCTTCTCCCATGCCAGTCCTGACGCATCTCAGGGGTCCCTATGCCTGCTGTTTATGTTTTTCAAAAGACACAGCATGCAACGTCTAATAACATGGATCATTATCATATCTACTTGGGCCCTGAGTTAGTGGCTACCACCATGTTTTGTAACTTTGCTGTCCAAGAAGTTTGTGTGTGTGCGTGTGTGTGGTGGCCAAGTTTCTGCGTTGCAGAGGCATGTTTAATCGAGAAGGCGGGAACAGCTTTGTTGACTTTGAGCAGCGCTGCATAAACAAGTTTCACAGATGCATCCACTGAGGCTGAGACTTATCGTTAAAAAGCAGGGTTTCAAGCCAATATGTGGTTCTGGATGCACATGCAAGAATAATTTCATGTGTAACACAGCCAATTTATCAGCATGTTGGGTCTCCCTTTACCTTATGACAGAGAGTCTCATCCCTCTTGCCCTGCAGGCTGTTTTCAATGGTGGTGTGGGCTGTATTGCGGGTGTCTTGCGCTTCGTTGATGGCCTTTTGCATCTGTTGGAGCACATCCTTGGTAAGAGAGGTGAGGCGCCGGGCATCCTCAAGAGCTGCCGCACACTCTGGAAAGGAAATTGGAATGCTTCTAAAACCTGGCTTGTTGGTTCTGTTAAAATGGTGCATGATACCCCAGCTCCAGTCACCTCCCTTTGCCGGTGGGTTACTCTCTGACACTGCCCCTGAAATAATCTCCTATTTTAAGGAAAGTTTCCAGTTCAGTTCTGTGTTTTTGTCTTGGAGCTATAAAGTACCAAAGTTAAGCCTATGCAAATCTTTGTTGTTGTTGTTCCGGTTTTGCTCATGATGCTGCCTGCCTGTCGCTGTGCACGAGCGACATCAGGGACTGACGGATTGCTGTAATGAGTATGGGTTGCTCGTGCATAAGTTGCCGCCTCTCCTGGCTTTGTTGCCTTGTTAAACCTTTCAGTCTGGACAGCCCTTCACTTTGTGGCTGCCTCAGTCGCTAGCAGAATCCGTCAGTGGGCGTTTCTTAAACCTTTTCCAACATAAAAGTTGTTTGACACCCAGTCTCCTCCTACTTTCTCTGCGCGGAAGTCTTCTGCGCAGGGAGGGCGTGGGTAGCGGAGGACCAGTGCTCTCCCCGCTGGTGTCCAGTGAAGAGTCTGGGAGCCCTCTCGCCGATTCCCCCATCTGCCCCTCCTTATTCCTGGTGTTGCACTGAATTGCTTCCCCATCTGCTGAGCTGCCTCTCTCCCTGCTGGGCCCTTCTCCAGCATCATTGGAGAGCCTTCCCTCCACCTCTAGCTCCGATGTCAGTTTCCTGACAGATAGGTTTGATCTTCTTGCAATCCATGGGACTCTCAAGAGTCTCCTCCAGCACCATAATTCAAAAGCATCGATTCTTCGGCCATCAGCCTTCTTTATGGTCCAGCTCTCACTTCCATACATCACTACTGGGGAAACCATAGCTTGAACTATACGGACCTTGGTTGGCATGCAAATCTAGGCCAACCCATTATATTTGAGGGGCCAGAGACAAGCACTGCCCCTCATTTTCATGTAGCCCGCCCAATGAATGAATGGCAAGTACAGTAATATGAATTGTAAATAATTTTCCTTATGGAAGCTGGGGAGGGATTTCCCCCTTACCTGGTGTGAAGGCTGCAATGGGGTTAGGGATGGGTGTCTCGTTACGCTCCACCCAGGGGGATGAGGGACGGCTCAGTCCAAGCCAGGAGTCACGCCCAGCCCCTAGGAGAACCATGCGGAAAGGTTGTGGCACCAGGTCCAGAACGCGGCCCCGTTCATTGCACAGCATGTTCAGAGTCTGCCGACATGTGCCCAGTGCCTGCAACAAGTCGTTGGGTGGAAGAAACCATGATAAGAAAGTAGCTTCCATCCATGCCCCTCCAACCCCAAATGTGAGCCACGCCATTTAGGTGCAGCGGAGGGAGAAAGCTCACACCGCCAGCAGCAACTATAATTCAACTCCTTCCCTCTCAGAATTGCCTCCTGCAGTGACAATTCCAATCCAGTTATGATGTTGAATTGCTGCGTAAGGGGTCACAGCCACACCATATATTTAAAGCACATGGCTTCCCCCAAAGAATGCTGGGAACTGTAGTTTAATCTCACAGGACTACCAATCCCAGCACACGTAACGAAGCTACCTCACCTCCTGAGATAATAGGATTCCGCCTCTGTGCTGTATAAGCAGTACATACATGTATTGCTGCTTTAAAAATCCTTTTATAAGAAAAGCGAAAAGTCCCCAAAAGCAGAATACAAAATATAGCAATATAACAAAAAAGTGAGGCGATCCTAAGCTTTCTTATTTGTCAAGGGTGTCAACTAAGACCAAATAAACGGAAGTGTCCCCAGATGTTTCAAAAAGGTTCTAAACTTTTTGTTTATCTAAAAACCAATAAGAATTATTATTTTTTAATGTCTTTCATTTCCTTTGTCTTCCCTTTAGAGGGGATCATTACAAATGCAAAGCCCTTCTGTGTATGCAGGGGGTGTTATTGGGTTGCTGTTTTTATTTTGATTATATATATATATATTTGGTTTTTATGTTGATCTTTTCTGTGAACCGCCCTGAGGCCTCCGGGTACAGGACGATATATAAATTCAATTAATAATAATAATAATAATAATAATAATTCATACGCTGGTGTCCACCTGGTCTGCCTCCCTTACCTGTACGGGTTGTGGAGGCTTGTCCCTGCCTTCATTCCCTCCCTTGTTTCCTACCTTCATATGATCTTCTGACATCGCCATCATCCCTTCCAGCTTGGCTTTCTGTTTCAGAAACTCATCCTTCTCCCATTTCATCAGAGCATCTACTTTGTCAGGTACCTACATACCAGGGAGAGGAACAAAGGTTGGGTGGGTGAATGGTTGCAAACTAGACTGCATAGCACATGGACACTTCGTGATTTGCAGTACAGTCATACCTCGGGATGAATACACTTCAGGTTGAGCGTTTTCGGGTTGCCGTCCACGGCGACCTGGAAGTAACGGAACGCGTTACTTCCAGGTTTCGCCGCTCACACATGCACGTGACGCTCAAAATGACGTCACACGCATGCGCGGAAGCGGTGAAACGAGACCCGCACACATGCAGACGCGCAGACATGTGTTACGTTCACTTCAGGATGCGAACGGGGCTCCGGAACAGATCCCATTCGCATCCAGAGGTACCACTATAAATCACCATGTTGAATATTATGAAACCATTACCACGATCTGGACGTCAACTCGATTTTTGACAATGTATCAATACCTTGCCCAGCCCTATTGTGTGTGTACGCGCATGCGCAATGCAAAAACCATGATGCGGGGAAAACCGTGAAGCCAGCCAGTGCCTGAACATAGCTCCATCCTTATTTCAGACATCATGATATGTTGGTACCGGTATATCGCAATGTTTAGCTGGTGATATATTACTGTGTTGAAAACCAGATATCGCCCAGCCCTACTGTTTGCCTCTACATAGTTCCATCCTTATTTCAGACATCGCGATATATAAATATATCACAGTGTTTGGCTGGTGACATATCACGATGTTGAAAACCAGGTATCGCCCAGCCCTAGTGTGTGTGTTGCCTGCTTTGCAGCATGTTCTGTACAGAGAAGCACCATATGCTTTGGGTGGGGGCACAAGGTGAATCAGAGAGCTCCGCAAGCTGTTTAGAAGAAATAAAAACTTTGGCTCAGGTATTCAATAAATGCCGTGCAAACTTGCTGTTTGAGATCTAGTGCTTGGGAACATGCAGGGCGAGTCGACTAAGAACGTAAAAAGGACCTGTGGATCAGGCCGGTGGACCATCTAGCCATGCATCCTGTTCTCTCAGCGGCCAACCAGATGCCTCCAGGAAATGAACAAGGAGGACCCGGGCACAACAGCAGCTGGCATGCATAAGCATATTGCCTCTGACAGTGAAGGGAGAACATGGCCATCAGGATGAGTAGCCACTGATAGCCTTGGGTTTTTCGTAAGTGGAAGAAGAAGAAGAAGAAGAAGAAGAAGAATAGTAGTAGTAGTAGTAGTTTGGATTTGATATCCCGCTTTATCACTACCCGAAGGAGTTTCCAAGCGGCTAACGTTCTCCTTTCCCTTCCTCCCCCACAACAAACACTCTGTGAGATGAGTGAGGCTGAGAGACTTCAGGGAAATGTGACTAGCCCAAGGACACACAGCAGCTGCATGTGGAGGAGCGGGGACGCGAACCCGGTTCACCAGATTACGAGTCTACCGCTCTTAACCACTACACCACACTGGCACACTGGATGGGTTCACTGCAGGGTTGAGATGCAGGTCTCACCTTCTCTACTTCTGGCCGGTGCTCCCGAATGGCCTGGCTCTGCTTGTTGGTAACGAGGCCCTGGCGGATTTGATCCAGCGTGGAGTCCAGCTGTAATCTCCAACGCAGCAGCATCTTGAACTGGTCGTTGATCTCCAGGAGAGCCTGCCGCAGGCGGCTCACCACCAGCCGCGTCTCCCTGACGTACTGGGCCACATACTCGTTGTTCTTGAGGGTGGCATAGTCTCGGCAGCAGGGCAAGGCCATCTTGCACACCCAGGGAGGAGGTTTGATTTTGCTCCTCCACAGGGTCACCCCCGGCCCCTCCGGTGGCTTGCTTGTCACCTCTCCAGTCGGATGGACATCTACCTTGAATTTCCAAGAGTCGATCTTGGTCTTTTTCTCATACGGCGTTTCCTCAGGCTGGCCTGGGGCTCGGAGCGGACACCAGAGGTCGAGGGCATCCTTCGCGCAGCGCTGCGTCAGCTTGGAGGTTTCGTGAACGGTGGCGTGGGTGTCCCTGTGCCATTTCTCAGCACCTACCAGGCCTGTGACCAAGTGGGCAGGGGGGCCCATGGCTGCGGCGAAGGGGCTGTTGCTGCTGCCAAGGAAGAGGGGTAAAAATCACTCTGCAATCCTGCTGCAACTTCGTGGGACAGGATGCCGCTGCGGTTCGACAATAAACTACCAAGTGGTGGGGCCGAAGTTGCATGGGACCTGGAGGGGGACTGTGAAAAATGCCATTGTGTTCTTTATTGAGAGGGAGAGGAAATGGATCTACAGTGGTACCTCGGGTTACATACGCTTCAGGTTACATACGCTTCAGTTACAGACTCCGCTAACCCAGAAATAGTGCTTCAGGTTAAGAACTTTGCTTCAGGATGAGAACAGAAATTGTGCTCCGGTGGTGTGACGGCAGCAGGAGGCCCCATTAGCTAAAGTGGTGCTTCAGGTTAAGAACAGTTTCAGGTTAAGAACAGACCTGCGAAACGAATTAAGTACTTAACCCGAGGTACCACTGTATTCACCTGTTAAAATGCATTTAGGGATGGGAGAGAAAGCTTACTCAGTTCTCTTTTAATGGTGTACCTGTCAGTGTGCACTTTTGGAAACAGTATGCAAACCTGAACATAGCTATCCTTCAAGATTCACAACTACTCCAAATTTTGCATTAGTCCAGATAAGTAATGTGTACAAAAATGCATAAGGTAAAGGTAAAGGGACCCCTGACCATTAGGTCCAGTCATGGCTCTGGGGTTGCGGCGCTCATCTCACTTTATTGGCCGAGGGAGCCGGCTTCTGGGTCATGTGGCCAGCATGACTAAGCCGCTTTTGGCAAACCAGAGCAGTGCACGGAAACACCGTTTACCTTCCCACCGGTGCGGTACCTATTTATCTACTTGCACTTTGACGTGCTTTCGAACTGCTAGGTTGGCAGGAGCAGGGACCGAGCAACGGGAGCTCACTCCGTCATGGGGTTTCAAACTACCGACCTTCTGATTGGCAAGTCCTAGGCTCTGTGGTTTAACCCACAGTGCCATCTGCGTCCCTTACAGAAATGCATATGGTTGAGTAATTAATTAACAAAAAATGCACAAAAAATGTACATGAAAAGAACATACAAAAATGAACTATGTTAGGGAACACTGATTTGCAAAGATAGGTATATTAGACAAAACTGCATACAAAATATGTGTGTTAGGAGAAATTTATGCTAAAATGCTTACGAATTTCTATAAGGACTTTTTTAAACAAATGAACTGCAAACTGACGTGGGCATGTGGAGAACTGGACAAGAGATTGGAAAAATGAGAAACCAAGAGAAACTGAAATTGACAGATTCACCCATCCCTAAATGCAGTGGTGCCCAGTGGTACAAATGTCACTATGAACCATAAAATACCGTTCTAAACACCTAACACCAGCTCGGTCCCAGGTGTCAGCTGGAGATTAAAAGAGTTCAACATTTCTAAAATTGTGAAATCCTCCCCCAACCCTCTGCCATCCCTGCTCCCAAATTTTAGCATTTGCAAATGCTAATTTGGACTTGAGCTGCTTCTTCTAAGTATGTGTGTCTTTCTGTGTTGGTGTGGGTGTGGAATAGTCACATTTTGAGATGGGAATCTCAAATTCTTAGAACCCGAATCTGAGACAGAGCAAAATTTGGGTTTGAGGTTGGGGAGTAAACAACTAAAACCAGTGCTTTTTTTCCCTTAAAAAATGTTCAGGGGTTCTTTCATTTTGACTCAAGAAAATCACCATTTTTGAGTTAAAAATTGGGAAAAATAAATACAGTAAATGGACAAAAGTACAAAGATTCCAAAATGTTTAGGGGTATGCGTACCCCTGCATCCCCCTCCCCCCAAAAAACACTGACTAAAACTATGAAAATACTGTACATCTGATTTAAACATTTGGGATGGAATTTTAATTTTGACAGGTGGCAACTTGAGCTCTAAAATCTTGTGCGTTCCGTTAAACTGGTCCAAGGTCCTTTAAGCATCTGCCCCTGCCTGTCATGTGCTCCACACATTCAAATGATAAGCAATGGTATTGTTTGAGTCCTCATTGCTATTAGCCTTGATCTTTCATAAGAACATAAGAAGAGTCTGCTGGGTCAGGCCAGTCCGGCATCTTGTTCTCATAGTGACCATCCAGATGCCTGTGGGGAAACCTCTAAGCAGGATTTGAGCAAAAGAACCCTCTTCCCTCTTGTGGTTTCCATCAACTGGTATTCAGAAGCATTCCTGCCTCTGACCTGGCCATCTCTTGGGTTCTCGCCACCTGCTCAGAGCAGATTCATTGAAATTAACGTACCTGAGTTAATAATATCCATTCATTTCAATGGGCCTCCCACATACAGGGCAAGCACCTCTGGCCTCCAAGCTCCTAGTCCAGGCATAGGCAAACACGGCCCTCCAGATGTTTTGGGACTACAACACCCATCATCCCTAGCTAACAGGACCAGTGGTCAGGGATGATGGGAATTGTAGTCCCAAAACATCTGGAGGGCCAAGTTTGCCTATGCCTGTCCTAGTCCGACACTTTTACCACTACAAAATCCCACAATATTCCAGAGCTTGCAACACACACTGCAGATTTATCACACAACAATATACAGTAAACTAGTTTTGTGGATTTTGATGGATCAAACCAGGCATAGGCAAACTCCAGCCTTTCAGATGTTTGGGACTACAATTCCCATTATCCCTAGCTAACAGGACCAGTGGTCAGGGATGATGGGAATTGTAGTCCCAAACATCTGGAGGGCCGGAGTTTGCCTATGCCTGGATCAGACCCAAAATCTAACCAGTTCACCCTTGTGTCCCAAAACTGCCTCTTTCCCTGCTGGGGGAAGCCCAGTCTTACCTGCAGCCTGCAAATACTGAATAAGGGGGTATTAATGAGGACAGTTCCCAGTGTCGCGAGTGCGAATACCCCACATACCCCTAGAAAATGGAGCAATAGGAGAGGCTGCACCTCGTGGCCTGGCCTGGGTCCACGGTGAGGAATGATGGAGGTGGGAAGAGGGGGATCAAGTTAACTGGGCCTGCTTGAGCTATCTTTACCTGGGTCCAATAAGGCTGAGATCTCTAGGGCAATGTTAAGGGCACAGGCCTCGGGTCCAGCCTTCCGGGAGGGCATGGGAGGCCTCACCCAAGCGGACGGTGAAGTCCTCCAAACAGGCTCTTCTCTGGCACAGGCCAAGCCGTCCCTGTCGCTTCAGCGGTGTTGGTTGCCATGGCAGCAGGTGCTCGCCTCACAATGCCGCTGCCTTGCCAGAGATGCCTCACATACGCGGAGGCAGCAGAAGCCTTTGAGAACGAGCAACAGCTAGTCTTCCTAGGTATTCAGAGAAATCTGAGCCGTCGAGAACAGGAGGGTTTGCAACGCGATGTAAGCAGCAGAGACTCGTAATCTCAAGGTCTGGGTGCTGCTTTTACTGGTTTCTGGCATCTGGTTTCTTCCCTCCAAGCAGCTCAAGGTGGCAAATACGGTTTAAAACACAACAGCAACAAACCCAAAAGCTTGCCTGTAGCATGCAGGGGAACCTAGCAAGTCTAGTACAGTGGTACCTCGGGTTAAGAACTTAATTCGTTCCGGAGGTCCGTTCTTAACCTGAAACTGTTCTTAATCTGAAGCACCACTTTAGGTAATGGGGCCTCCCGCTGACACCGCGCCGCCGGAGCACAATTTCTGTTCTCATCCTGAAGCAAAGTTCTTAACCCGAGGTACTATTTCTGGGTTAGCGGAGTCTGTAACCTGAAGCATCTGTAACCTGAAGCATCTGTAACCTGAGGTACCACTGTATATCATATGTTGAAGCTTTCACAGACTAGAGACTAGAGAAGTGTTATCCGGAGTTGTAGGTAAATAGGTAGATAGGCAGTTGGGAGATTATGAAGTGTGCAGTCAACAGAAAAATGAAACGCAGTAAGTACACCCGGTGATAAATATTGCTTCAGGCCACCCCAATATCCGAGCGGGGTTAGATTCCAGGTGTTCCAGGTGCTTACGCAGGGTTTGTGTTTCCTCTGGAATGAGGGACAGCGGAGACTGCAGTGACTTTATGATATATGGTTTATTTACAAATATATACAACTTGAGCCTACAATGGAGGGTTCACAGCATCAGCACCCCAAAATGGTCTTGCTTCACCCAAAGCCACAGCCTTGGATATGAGCAGAAATCAGGCATGTCTCTCCCTCACAGGATTTCGCTTGCTACTTCCTTTAGCTTCTGGATACTAAGCCTTACGGGGAGCGCTTGAAGCAGCTGGGTATGTTTAGCCTGGAAAAGAGGAGACTGAGAGGAGATATGATAGCCATCTTCAAGTATCTCAAAGGCTGTCACATGGAGGAGGGAACATGCTTGTCTTCTTCTGCTCTGGAGGGTAGGACTCGAACCAATGGCTTCAAGTTGCAAGAAAGGAGATTCTGACTAAACATTCGGAAAAACATTCTGACAGTAAGCGCTGTTCAGCAGTGGAACAGACTCCCGCGAGAGGTGGTGGACTCTCCTTCCTTGGAGGTTTTCAAGCAGAGGTTGGATGGCCATCTGTCATGGATGCTTTAGCTGAGATTCCTGCATTACAGGGGGCTGGACTAGATGACCCATGGGGTCCCTTCCAACTCTAACATTCTACAATTCTATTATTCTAGCTTGCCCTTACACACACACACACACACACACCACGGCTCTGGTCTTTGTCTTTTCTATCTACCCTCAACAACTTGGTATCACCAGCAAACGTGGCCACTCCAACTCTAAACTGCTTATGAACAAGTTAAAAACCACAGGTCCCATTACCAATCTTTGACAGACTCTACTTTCTATATCTCTCCATTTACTGCTACTCCCTTTTCCTGTTCCGAAAAGTACATTTGAAACACATTCCCTCCACCTTTTTTGTTAAGGTTACGGGGAATTGTAACTCTGGGCAATTTTCTGATCTATATTACCTACGGTTCTCTGAGTGGCTACATGAAGTGCCCAGAATTCTTCGAGGGGAGAAAGGTGCTTTAAAGGCATACCCTCCAATATTTCTCTGATGAAAAGAGGGAATGGGACATCCCATTCCATAATGATAATTTTACTATTTATACCTCACACATCTTACTGGGCTGCTTGCAGCCACTCTGGGCAGCTTCCAACATATAAAAATATATATAAGAAAACATTAAACAAACTTCCCTGTAGAGGATTGCCTTCAGATGGCTTAGGGGACAGATAACTCCGTACCCTCCAACATTTCTCCAGTGAAAATAGGAACCTCCTAAGGAAAAGTGGGACATTCCAGGATGGCCTCTCTAAATTAGGGACGCCACTGGAAAATAGGGATACTTAGAGGGTCTGCAAAGGTATATTTGTACGCAGCCTATGACCATACGGATAGATTTCCTGGTCCATCAGGTGCACGCAAGCTAAGCCATGGAGGGCAGTTAGGCCAAGACAGAGCTGAGGTAAATGTGAAGCCTAAGGGTGGGAATAAATGGGGTGGTTTACGAAGATACTTGGCGATTGGCAGCTTGGTCAGCATCTTCTTCAGTGACGCCTTCCTGCTTCAGCGCTGAGATCTCATGGAAAATAGGGAGCATAGTCTCTCGCACGCGGTCTGCAAATTCTCGGACATCAGCTGCGCTCAGTCCCTCGGTCTTCATGGGCGGAAGGATCTGGATTGTGACTTCCCCTTGGAAGAGAAAACAAAGGAAATGCTGTTCCCCCTGCAAACGGAGCCCCTTCCCCAGTCTAACTTAGGCAGCAAGCATGGAATCTGGAAAAATGAGTTTGCTTCATAGTCTCAGGCCATGTCCCAGACCCCATCCCATATCTTTCCCACAGCTACCTGATGTGAACTTCTTGATTCTCTCGTTGAAGAACGTCCGGTAGGAGGAAATCACCACAGGAATAACTGGCACCTGCATGGACATAAGGCACATCAGCCGCCAGTCAGATGGAAATTTACCTTTGCTGTAAATTGAACGTTGTGGGCAGCCTCAGGCAGCTGCTTCCAAGGGAGTCCTGCTTTTTAATACTCTCACAGACTAAGGACACTTCCAGACAACCTGTTTGTTGACCGTTTGCTTTGATTTGCTTACTGTGAGGTCTGCTGACATCACATCAAAACAAGTGTTATCTCAAACTTTCCACTGCATTTCCCCTGTCCTTATCACAAAAAGTTGTTGTTTTGGGGATTGGTGTTCCCTGCCTCCCTGGTTTTCATCTTTGGTGTTTTGTTGAACTTTTTTTTTTTTAGTCTCTTGTTTTAGTGTTTTTTTAATGGGCCAGATTCAATGAAGGAGTCCCACTAGCAGAAGCCCACACAAAGGGCACATCTGCTCACAGGAGAGAGGAAACTGCTACAAATTAGATTGTTATAACAAAAAGGGGAGGAAAAAAACCCTATGGAAAACCACATAGAAAAATATTGTGCCCTCTGGCGCCATCTGGTGTTGCGTGTTTATAACGCATTCAAAGCATTGTTTCTTCACTAATGTCGCTGAGTCCAAAGACTTTGGCTAGTGCAATGGGGCTTTCCCCAGTGCCCCACCCCAAATTGGCATTAGGTGGAGTGTCAGAAGAATAGCACACAGGGGAAAGTGGCGGGGGAGGGGCTGTAGTGCTATGTGTTTTTAAAATACCCCTTTAAGATTGTTCCCTGCTTTGGGTATGCATCAATACAGCAGCTCCTGGCAGGATTTGGAGAGTGTAATCTGTCCTGTGATTTGAAAGTGATTACTCAACAAAATACCTTATACTGAACCTGAGGTGAATTTGCCTAATGGCAACAGCTAGCAGCCCTGTTTTGCTGACCTCAATCCAACTGCAGCATATAAACTTTAAAAGTGGGACATGCTCCCAGCTCCTACAAGCCTGGTCTTTTTAGCTTAGGATAGCCACTCAGAGAATGAGTCCACTATTAGTAAATAGGATGCAGGAATAAACAAGAGGATTGGAAGCTGAATGATCTCACCTGGGCTTCCACGGCCAGAAGGAAGGCCTCATTTCTGGAGGAGAGCAGACCAGCGCTGTCAATGTCTCTAGTGCCTTCAGGGAACATGCAGATTCTCAGCTGGAGGGGAAAGATAATACAGTGGTACCTCGGGTTAAGAACTTAATTCGTTCCAGAGGTCCGTTCTTAACTTGAAACTGTTCTTAACCTGAAGCACCACTTTAGCTAATGGGGCCTCCTGCTGCTTCTGTGCCGCCGCAGCGCGATTTCTGTTCTCATCCGGAAGCAAAGTTCTTAACCCGAGGTACTATTTCTGGGTTAGCGGAGTCTGTAACCTGAAGTGTATGTAACCTGAAGCGTATGTAACATATACGCTTACAGTGTACTGTACAGTGGTACCTCGGGTTACAGATGCTTCAGGTTACAGACTCCGCTAACCCAGAAATAGTATCTCGGGTTAAGAACTTTGCTTCAGGATGAGAACAGAAATCGTGTGGCGGCAGCAGGAGGCCCCGTTAGCTAAAGTGGTGCTTCAGGTTAAGAACAGTTTCAGGTTAAGAACGGACCTCCGGAACAAATTAAGTTCTTAACCTGAGGTACAGTACCACTTTACTGAAAGGATGTTCAAACATGAATTTTCTTTCACCTGGAACCAGAATACAGAAAAATCCAGTGGCTACAATTTAGTCTCTCCCTGATGTGATTTCTTCCAGTTAAGTTTTCATCTGCTCTGATACTGCAGAGGACTCAGTACAGAAAATGAGACTTTTTTTAGCCTAGAAATAATGGCCTATATCCAGCGCTTTTTTTCTTAAATAATGTTTAGGGGGTACTCTAATTTTCCTACTCATATTGAAATACTGCCCCTCAATGAGGCCAAACTTAGATTCACAAAACGTTTAGGGGTATGCATACCCCTGCGTCCCCCCAGAAAAAAAAGCACTGCCCATGTTATGCACTAAGCTTGGATCCTAGAACAATAGGCAGGTAGGATCCTAGAATGCAACAACCTGATTGGCCTGCAGGAGCAGCCCAATCAGGCCCCAGGAGGGAAGCAAAATCAGCCAATCAGACAGGACTCATTGTGAAAATAATGTATATAAAGCCAGAGGTTTGGGGCAGGGTTTTATTCACTATTTTACGAGCTGCAATAAAGAGCATGAAATCACTACGCAACTCCGAGTATATTTCAGCCTATATCAATAATGGCTTGGAAGGGTGTCTGTCTGTCTAGCTGTCTATCTACTGTATTTCATTTCCTCCAAGACACGCAAAGTGGTGTACAGGGTTGTCCTCCCACCAGTTGCCATTGGCAAGACAGAGCAACAGTAAACACTTACGTAATCTGTCACAGGTATTGCTGCGGTTTGCCAGGATGGGGCAATGGGGTTGGCGTGGTGTAAAAGTACCAGTGACTGCATGGGATTGACTCTGCGGGTGCATTCACTGAGCAAACATCACTGCCTCCTTGCCCCTCTCATGGAATCACAGAACTGAAGAGTTAGAAATGACCCCAAGGCTCATCTAGTCCAACTTCCTGCAATGCAGGAATTGCAGCTAAAGAACCTCCAACAGGTGGCCGTCCAAATTCTGCTTAAAAACCTCCAATGAAGGAGAGTTCACCTCAACGTCGCCGCACCCTCACCCCCCAAAGAGTCCATTCCACTGTTCCTGTCAGAAAGTCCTTTGTTTAGCCAGAATCTCCTTTCTTTTACAGTGGTACCTCAGGTTAAGAACTTAATTCGTTCTGGAGGTCTGTTCTTAACCTGAAACTGTTCTTAACCTGAGGTACCACTTTAGCTAACGGGGCCTCGCGCCGGAGCCGCCGCACGATTTCTGTTCTCATCCTGAAGCAAAGTTCTTAACCTGATGTACAGTCATACCTCGGGTTACAGCTGCTTCAGGTTGTGTTTTTTTGGGTTACGGACCGCCGAAACCCGGAAGTACCTGAACGAGTTACTTCTGGGTTTCGGTGGTCGCGCATGCACAGAAGCTCCGAATCGCAACCCACGCATGCACAGACGCGGGTTGCAAACGTGCATCCTGCACGGATCATGTTTGCAACCCGAGCGTCCACTGTACTATTTCTGGGTTAGCAGAGTCTGTAACCTGAAGCGTCTGTAACCCGAGGAACCACTGTAATTTGAATCCAGTGGTTTGGCTCCTGCTTTCTGGAGCAGCAGAAAACAAGCTTGCTCTGCCTTGACAACCTTCAGATATTTGAAGATGGCTTACATATCACCTCACGGCCTTCTCTTCTCCAGGCTAAACCTTCCCAGCTCCCTCAACCATTCATCACGAGAGTTAATTTCCCTGACACTCACGTTGTCACGGACCATCGCGTCTGCTGCCTCCGATATGGAATTGGCGGATGTTTCTCTGTTCCGGCGGTCAACGAAAATGAAGCCGCTCAGCCAGCAGGCAAGGCCAACAGTAAGAAAGTGTAAGATCTCCCTTTTAACAATGAAGGTGCTTCTCTCCGGCAAGATCTGAAGCATTGCTGGGACAATTGGAAGACTGTCAAAATGAAGTCTGGCTGTGCAGTTCCTCCCACCCTTCCCTACAGCCCCTAGGGAGAGAGGTGATGTAATAATTAGATTCGGGCTGGGTACCAAATCTTTGCTTAGCTGTGAAGCCACCGGGATTATCTTGGGTCCAACACACATCTTCTCTTGGCCTGGCCTACCTCACAGGGTGGTTGTGAAGATAAAAGTAGCCTAGGTTCCTTGGAGGGAGAGGATGTGCGTGTTGTGTTTTATCTGCCTATTCAAACATACACCTGGATACAAGGAGTACAACCCTCACAATGTATAGCCCCTCTTCACTATTTTTATACAATGCTATTTGTTATGGCCTATGGCCAGGACAAAATAAACTCTCCTATGAAAAAAAGAGAGCTTGCAGGTGATTTTTGTGACATTTCGGTGGGCCCAATAAAGGTATATTGACGGCAATTATTAGAGGCCATTCAAATCAGAGAATAATTCAAGAGTGGGATGGAGCGAAGGAATATATGAAAAAATATGGTTCCGGAACTGGAATATTAATAGATAACGTGTAAAACGTGCAGGGGTAAGCAAGGAAATAATAAAGAAATTAACTGAATAATGATTATAACAACACAACAAGAGGAAAGAAGCAAAAAATTGAGATCACACATGAGTGAAGGGGAGTGGGGGGTATGGGGAATTTGAAATATTTATAATATAAAAGTTTTAATATAAAATTTCTAACTGTGATGTATTTGTATACAGCAAAGAGAAATTTAGAGTAATTAGGTATACTTGATTTAGTTAATCATGTAACAGGTTTATGTTAGGAAATAAATATGGATGCTGAATTTGATGTTTGTAATTTTTCTTTTTTGGTTTTGAATTTTTTTTTAAAAGGTATATTATGCCAGTAGTCCATGCCCTCCTACCAGTGGTGATCTGAAGATATTTTCTCTATCAGCAAATGTCTGCAGGGCAGGTAGTTACTCTCTGTGGCCCACTGCAATTTGGATGTGTAAAGCTGTAGGTGGGTCACTCCAGCCCTTCCAACTGGATGGGAGAAAGAGATTGAGGCAGCCAACATACCCAGGATATCCACATTGCATTGCTGATTGGCAACCACAACATACGGCACTTTCAGGTTCAAGTTCTGAGCTCCCTGCACCTTGAATTTGATGCCGAGGAAGTATTTCGCTGGCAGCAAGGCAAAGCGGAGGACTCTAAAACAAGGGAGCAAAACCAGAGGCGTTTCAGGAAGGTCAAAGGCGTTGAAGGACAGGAGCGAGAACTTTACAAGCAAGACAGTTGCCTGCTACAGCCTGTTTGGATGAAAGCTAGTACAGGCATACCTTGGTTTTCGAACAGCTTAGTTCTCAAATGTTTTACCTTGGAAGTAGAACGCCTTGCGACGCGAACGTTTTGGCTCCCAAACACCGCAAACCCGGAAGTGACTGTTCTAGTTTGCAAACTATTTTTGGAAGTCGAACGTCCTGTGGGGCTTCCGCGGCTTCCGATTGGCTGCAGGAGCTTCCTGCAGCCAATTAGAAGCCACGCTTTGGTTTCTGAACGTTTTGGAAGTTGAACAGACTTCCGGAATGGATTCCGTTCGACTTCCAAGGTACGACTGTATAGTGTAGTGCATGGGTAGGCAAACTAAGGCCCGGGGGGCAGATCCGGCTCAATCGCCTTCTAAATCCAACCCGCGGACAGTCCAGGAATCAGAGTGTTTTTACATGAGTAGAATGTGTGCTTTTATTTAAAATGCATCTCTGGGTTAGACTTGTCTGAAAGATCAGCGAGCCTCTTCAGCAAATGATCAGTGGTGTCTCTACGAATCTCAGCATAAAAAGGACATCTAAAAATATATATGTTCGGGGCTTCCTATTTCCCCTAATGGGCAGGCGCAAAGTCTCTGTGCGTACGGGACTCTTCTATAGGAGCCTTCCAGAACCTGTGAGGGCAAGGCCGAGCTTCTAGCAAGAGTGAAATCCCTTCTTGCATTTCTGGATGCGAGGAAATAGAGATATGTTGCTGGAGTGGCTACGTATTTCCCGTTTTCTATGATTTTATAATCGGGGACCCTCATCTCTGGGTTATTTGTGGGGCATAGGAATTTGTTCTTTTTTCCCCCTTTTTCAAAATATAGTCTAGCCCCCCACAAGGTCTGTCTGAGGGACAGTGGACCGGCCCCCTGCTGAAAAAGTTTGCTGACCTCTGGACTGCTGCATCACAACTGGGGAGACCCAGGTTCAAATCCCTACTTGGCCATGATGCTCATTTTGGGTACTTCACAGGGATGTCATGAAGATAACAAGAGGAGCATCTTGTAGACTGCCCTAAGCTCGGGGAGGGGGGGCAATAGAAAAAATGAAATAATCCAAGTGAGATGCGCATAGCAGGCACAGGGCCCTTAGATCTGGATTGCAGGAAAGCCAAATGGTTAAAGCTCCCAATCAGACCTGAATAAGTCACAGCTGCCTCTCCTTAAACCTGAAGGAATGTCATCTCCTCCAGCCTTTGATGAATATCTTAAGTGTCAACAAACACTTTCTCAACCATGAAGCTCTCTTCCTTTCACAATCATGGGCAACCCGGTCAACAAAAGACCGCTTAGCAAGAAGGCACAACTCATTTCTGGTGTTAAGCCAGCCTTCCCCAATCTGCTGCTCTCCAAAGGTTTTGGACTACAATCCCCACCACCCCCAGCCACCATGTCCAATGGACCCTCCCTCCCTCAGCAGATCCACAGCTAGTCCCTGTGTGCGAGGGAACGTGAGGGTGGTTTGGCCTCTACCATGTTTCTGCAAGGGGTTTCCTTGCCCTACTCCATACTGAGGGTGGGCGAGCCTCTCAATTTCGGTTTCTTTCATTTTGCCCGTCTGAAGTTTAGTTCTCCACCTTTCTAGTTCCTCCACCTTTCCAGTTTTTTTAAAAGTCCTCATGAAAATTCACCAGTGTTTTAGAGTGAATTCCTCCTACTGCACACATAAAGGTAAAGGGACCCCTGACCATTAGGTCCAGTCGTGGCCAACTCCGGGGTTGGGCGCTCATCTCGCTTTATTGGTCAAGGGAGCCAGCGTACAGCTTCCGGGTCATGTGGCCAGCATGACCAAGCCACTTCTGGCGAACCAGAGCAGCGCACGGAAACGTCGTTTACCTTCCCGCCGGAGTGGACCTATTTATCTACCTGCACTTTGACGTGCTTTCGAACTGCTAGGTTGGCAGGAGCAGGGACCGAGCAACGGGAGCTCACCCAGTAGCAGGGATTCGAACCGCTGACCTTCTGATCAGCAAGTCCTAGGCTCTGTGGTTTAACCCACAGCGCCACCCCCGTCCCCCACTGCACACATATTTGTATGCAATTTCCGCCGGCATAATGCTTTTCGCTAATAGATACATTTCTATATGCGCACTTTGCTGCAATGTGTGCATTTCCACACACCTTACTTGTCTGTAGAACTGCATTGCAAAATCCATAAAAAGTAAATATCGAAGGATGGAAATGTTTCAGTTCGCATATTGTTTCGTAGATTTGCCTTTAAAAGTGAACTGGATCGTGTCTCTAGAGTGGGGTGGGGGCCTAATTTCACAAAATGTGATAAGGCAGTCCTGCTGGATTTGGTCCCACCCTCACCCTCTCATACTGCTGAGCGTGGCTCTGGGCACCTGCCCCTAAGTCCCTGAAGGGCATCACTGCTTAAAAGCTCATTAGTTATTGGGCAGCTATGAAGGAGTCACATCGCACTCCTATGTGAGCACAGAGTCCCGAAAAACAAGATACAAAGCCACACGGCAGTAATAGTTCACTCACCTCACATTTGCCACACTTCGTCCCCGGAGAGCTATAACAGGAAGTGCAAGGGAGGTCATATTGAACATCCAAATATTTAGGAAGCAAACCCTGAAATAATATCTGAAGGTATTGCTGTAATGATAGAGGAGCAACCCTGCAAAGATGAACAGGAAGATATTGGCCAGGCCAAGAGACTGGGCCATGTTGTCTTCTGCAGACGCTCCTAAGTCTGTGCACAGTTTGCCTCTGACATTTAAGGTTTCGGGATGGCTGGGCGTGGAAAGCACAGCAGAGAGAAACATGCTCAAACACGTACACTCCAGCAAGAGAGAACTCCCACTGTTTCTTAGTCACCATTCTTGGACTGCATGCAGGAATCATGAATACATGGGCAGTGATGGCATGTACCTTGTGTGATAGAGAAGGAAGGAAGATTCCTCGGTCCACGCAAGACAACAGCAGAGGGCAGATAAAAGGTTGCCATAAAAAGTGTCTTAAAAGTGTCCACAGAAGGCTGCCATCTACTGTAGGTTTGCCCACTGTCTAGAAAAAAATTACTATAGTGATGGCCACCAACTTGGCTTGATCCAGCAGGCTGTTCTTTTGTCTTTAACTAGCCTGGCCTACCCCAGTGCTTTTGACACCAGATTGATCTAGTTATCAGAAAGTCAAGCTGTTTGTCTTTATGGCAGGAAGGTAAGCAATATAATCAGCTGGTGTCCTGACAACAAGCTTGCACAAATCTTTGGTGTGGCCACATCTGCCATTAGGAAGATCATGGAATAGAAAAAGGGTCTGGTGAATTCTTTCTTCGGTCCATCCTTGCTATCACTTGGGGCAAAGATCACATTGAATCCTAGAATCCTAGAGTTGGAAGAGACCACAAGGGCCATCGAGTCCAACCCCCTGCCAAGCAGGAAACACCATCAGAGCACTCCTGACATATGGTTGTCAAGCCTCTGCTTAAAGACCTCCAAAGAAGGAGACTCCACCACACTCCTTGGCAGCAAATTCCACTGTCGAACAGCTCTTACTGTCAGGAAGTTCTTCCTAATGTTTAGGTGGAATCTTCTTTCTTGTAGTTTGGATCCATTGCTCCGTGTCCGCTTCTCTGGAGCAGCAGAAAACAACCTTTCTCCCTCCTCTATGTGACATCCTTTTATATATTGGAACATGGCTATCATATCACCTCCTCTTCTCCAGGCTAAACATGCCCAGCTCCCTTAGCCGTTCCTCATAAGGCATCGTTTCCAGGCCTTTGACCATTTTGGTTGCCCTCCTCTGGACACGTTCCAGTTTGTCAGTGTCCTCCTTGAACTGTGGTTCAAGAGTGTGCCCTGCCTGGTGTGCTGCAGCAATGACCACCTGAGAGACCCATAGTTGTCATGGAGGCTATGAAGTCTTGAGCTGGCCTCTGTGTGGATACTGAAGTCACCCAGGATTACTATTTAGTGCCCCCCCCTAATATCCCAGGGACTACCTGATCAGGAATGCTGCTGGGAAACAGGGTAGTTGGTAGACCAGCAGCAGCCATGGTCTATTCTCTGGTCCAGCACTAGGTTCAGACCCTCTAAACCAGGGTTTCCCAAACTTGGGTTTCCAGCTGATTTTGGACTACAATTCCCACCATCCCTGGCCACTGGTCCTATTAGTTAGGGATGATGGGAGTTGTAGTCCAAAAATAGCTGAAGACTCAATTTTGGGAAACCCTGCTCTAAACCCATCTCATGGTTAAGAGGCTTCCTGGTCAAGGAGATGATGTTTCTATACACAATAGCAGCACCCCTGGTCTAGCCTGGTGCAGTATGGAAAAAGCAAATGGGCACAGCTGGGTAAAAGCAGGTCCACCCAGCTCACTCGCTTAAGTCTTAGCCAGATCAGCCTGCTCATCCACAAAGAAATCATGAATGAGCATGGTATTATTAGACTGATCTGACATTCAGCACCACCAGACCAGAGGGCTCTGCAGATATGCCACCAACAACTTCCAGTAGATTGAGAATGCTGGAACCAGGAACAGAGGCCCAACACCTCGTGTAGAACCAAATGGCAAAAAGGTTTTAGAGGGTCTGTGAACGCCATCTTGGTAGTCAAGATCACCCTGAGACTAATTGTTTTTTGCTGCAATAATGAGCTCACCACGTTTACACTCTTGCTTTGGTAAAAAGGTAAAGGACCCCTGGACAGTCATAGGTGACTATGGGGTTGCGGCACTCTTGCTTTCAGGCTGAGGGAGCTGGTGTTTGCCCACAGCTTTCCGGGTCATGTGGCCAGCAGGACTAAACTGCTTCTGGCACAACAGGACACCGTGACGGAAGCCAGAGCGCATAGAAACGCTGTTTACCTCCCCGCCACAGCGGTACCTATTTATCTACTTGCACTGGTGTGCTTTCGAAATGCTAGATTGGCTGAAGCTGGGACAGAGCAACAGGAGCTAACCATTGTTGTGCAGATTCGAACCGCAGACCTTCCAATCAGCAAGCCCAAGAGGCTCAGTGGTTTAGACCACAGCACTCCCTGCATCCCTTTCGCTCTTGCTTTGATGCTATGCTTATCTGTTGGCTTCAGATGCTGGGGCCTAGGGATGGGAGTTGTCAGCGCAGTTTGGAGGCCGGCTACCTATCTCTTTATAGACAGGTGGGCTTAATTAGCCACTGGACGTAAGGTATTTTCTGCATAATGCTTAACATATTAGCCTCTTGTGGACAGTCATGGCAAATGCTTGCTGTTTCGGTGTTCGGCCTGAGTCTGTAAAAGCAGCAAGGTCTCTGGCATTGCATTTTAAGTCTGCACCTTCTCATAAATTAATCACTCTAGTGTTTCTGACATCCTTCTTTGAAACCCTTGAGCAAACTTCTTTAAGGTTTTGGTGTGTGTTTTTTAACCTAATGTCAACATTTAAGCAAGCCTTTATGGATTTTCCGCTTCCTAAAAAAAAAATAATTCCCATCATTCCATGTCTTCTCTTTTTATTTTCTTCACAGTTTAGAAATTCCACCCCTCCCCCGCAAAAATTCCCCAACCTCATCAGCATCAATAACAATAAAAATTAGCCAGTTTTACACTCGATACAAAAACAAAAAACCAACACCACAAACAATAATATTAATAATACCAAAAATAAAAAGGATGTGTTGTGTGTGTGAAAAGATGCTCATCAACATTTTGATTTGCTGAAATGCACAATTCATGAGTACCATGAACTGTGAAGCCTTTTGAACTTGGTAGAATTGGGAAGCTTTTCCCCAGCGGAGATCTCTTAATGCAATGTACATAATTTTTTTTTCTTTGCCCCAGATGCAGATAGCTTCAAGTCAACGGCAGTAATGTTCTCCAGGTTGGAGATGGCAGAGATGTCTGGAGACAAGGCACATAATTTGCTTCCTGCCTCTGTCCTTTCAGCAGCAACCGGTCAAACACAATCCGTTGTATTTTTGGTCTCCGCAAGTATGAAAACCCTACAGACCCTTCCCACCCCCCACCCCAAGCAGCACATCTTCCATGTTTCCTTTCTACAGATGCACCATAACATTAACAGCACCGAGTTGATGATAACAGTGTGAGAGGTCTGCCTTTCCCAGCAGCACGAAGGGCCCCCCAAAAGCAAGAAAATACAAAGATAAAAGCGAAGCCAGTCTGGTGTTAGGAACACCAAGGAAGGCAAATCTACATTAAAGTGGTTTTGAACCGTCAGGGTGCCCCATCCCAGGAATTGTAGTTTGGCAAGGGTACTTTGTTACGAGAAATTTTCAGGAAAATTTAGGCTTTGGCCTGGTCTCCTCATGTGGTGGGGAAATGAGACTGAAGTGTGAGCTGTACCACTTCCTAAAAACACGCACACACAAAAACAACTAGTGTATAAGGAGAAAGTTTCTAACTCACCTTTCCTTCTGTTGCATTCTAACAGCAAGAAATCCCTCAGATAGGTGTGCATTTTTTAAAAAAACTGTGATTCCCCTCTGATAAGCTGAAGCGTACAATCTCAGAACTCGACTATATTGTATGTTTTCTCTTCATGTTTTCTGCTCGTGTCAACGAGACCTTCCTTGGGAAGCAGAAAATGGCTACTAAAGCAATCCAAACCACTGATGTAGATATTGCCAAACTGAAGAGGCATCAGATGCAGATGGTGGAAAGGCCAAATGGAATGAGATACATATGTGCTAATGGGTGCAATCCTATGAAAACTTATCTGGGCTGAGGAAACCTGAAGCCCTCTAGAGGCTATTGGACTACAACTCCAATCGCCCACGATAAATTGGCCATGTTGGCTGAAGAGCTCATGGGAGTTGCAGTATAACAGCCTCTGTAGGGCCACAAATTCCCCACCTCGCCTTACATGGAAGTAAGCCTACCGAACTCACTGCGGATTGTATCCAAGTAAATATGCATGGAATCAGGTGGGATGAAGAAGACAGATGAAGAGTTGGAGGTAGCAGAATTGGGGAAAGGAAGAGGCAGAAGACTGCAAATTGCAGAATAAAACCATCAGGGTAGACGCAGGATTATACAGCCCACCCCCAGCAGCTGCACCCTAATCCAGGCAGGTGTTTGACAATCTTTTAATCCAGATTAATCCAGGTATATCTATTTTTAATCCCAGTTTCTAAGACCCCCATCTACACGATACATTTAAGGCAGTATCACACCACTTTAAACAATCATGGCTCTCCCCGCCCCCCTAAAATAGAATCATGGGAATTGTAGTTTGTTAAGGGTTCTGAGAGTTGTCAGGAGACCCCTATTCCCCTCTCAGACCTACAATTCCCAGAGTTGCTTAATGATCAGTTGTCCTTTCCAGGACTCTGGAAATCTTAGTTCTGTGAGAGGAACAGGGGTCTCCTGATGACTCTCAACACTTAACAAATTACAGCTCTCAGGTTCTTTTGGGGAAACCATGGCTGTTTAAAAGGGTAGAATAGCTGTTTAAATGGATGGTGCAAACAGGGACCTTTTTCATGAAAGTTGAAGCTACTTAGAATCACTATTCCAGACTTCAAAAGGTAGCCTGGATATACGCCAGCTGCCTTTTAACAAACCTTGGACTCACAGTCTTCTCCTGCCTTCCATGCTGCTTCTACATTGTGGGACCTCTCTACAGTCTCGATTAATCATGAGTATCACCCCTCCCGTTCTTTAAATGCAGTTTAGAATCATAGAAGAATCCAATCCTTCTCCTTTTCAAGCTTAACAAAACCCCTTGTGTGAATGAATCTTATGGTGCAAGCTCATCTGCATTACGTTGTGTCAACCTTTGCCAATCTGGTATCCTCCAGATATTTTGGACTACATTATATTTTTGCTGGCTGGCGCTGATGGGAGTTGTAGTCCAAAACTTCTGAAGATGACGAAGAAGGCTGCATTCGTTCGTGAACAGGAGGAATGAGAAGTACAGGACGAACGGTGTGTGGGCAGCAGGGCAAGGGCGGCTAACTTTTGATCCTCCGGATGTGACTGAATTCCAGCTCCTATTAGGCCCGCACCCCTGCAGGAGACAGCCCACCGTTTCACTAAGTCGCTTTCATGATCACGGAGCCCCAAACACAACCGGATAGCTCAGCTGGCAGAGAAGCAGACTCTTAATCTCAGAGTTATGGGTTCGAGTCTCACGTTGGGAAAAAGATTGGGCTGGATGAGATGACCCCCCTTGGTCCTTTCTAACTACATAAACAGTGGTTCAACTTTTGCAGTCCTCCGTCATTCCAGTCCACAAAGCAGTGTTCGTGCAGGAGGGTGGTGGGTCTGAAGTTCTGAATGGTCCCTCCTATTAAAAAGACCTTCCCGTCAAGCCAAAAGCTGCTTGCAGACCGTGCAACTTAAGACACTCAGGTTCAGAGGGAAAACTTCCTTCTCACAGTGCAGTCTCACTCGTTACTGACTCCCTTCAGTGGCATCATTCATCACAGGCAATGTAACCGCCAAGGGGAAGAAACTTGCCTGCGATGAGGGATGCTCACCAGGTGAGCAGATGATCCATGTTCAAGCCAAAGCAATTGTAACAGGGCATGACGTGGTGCTAGTTTAACCAGGGAAGCAGAATGAGAACAGAGCTGGGATGAATAAGAGGTGGCCATTAGATGGAAAAGGAGAGCACCAGGCAGGGAATGGAGACATGCCACAAATCTGAAGTACACACACCCCTCCGCGAAAAATCCTAGAATTGTCGTTTGCACACAGGGAGAGAGCTACAGTTCCCAGCACTCTTGACAAACTAGTTCTCAGGATTCTTTGGGGGGAAGCTTTCCATATATGGTGTGTGTGCAGCTGTAGGACGGGCAGGATTTAGTTGATCAGGGATGAAGCCTGGGCCCCGCCGGGGGAAGGGGAAGAGAAGGACGAGTGGGAAAAGCCCCGAGAGGGAAAGGACAGAGACCAGGGCAGGTCCAAAGAAGGGATTGCGAGGGACGAGATAGAAGAGGGGAAGGAAGGCAGGGCGGGCAGGGGGCCAGGCGAAGCAAAGGAGGCTGAGAAGGCCGAGGCGGGCAGGGGAGCGGCAGGTTTGGCAGCGCTGGCGGCCAGCAGTGTGGTGTGGGCCGTCCCGGCGCTGCCGGCCGAGGCCTTGCCGTTGCTGTGGGTGCGCTGGTGCCGGTTGAGGTGGGAGCTGCGGCTGAAGCACTTGCCGCAGACGCCGCACTTGTAGGGCTTCTCCCCGGTGTGGGTGCGCTGGTGGATGGTGAGCTCAGAGCGCTGGATGAAGGCCTTGCCGCACTCCCCGCAAGCGTAGGGCTTCTCGCCCAGGTGGGTGCGCTGGTGCGTCAGCAGGTTGGAGCTGACGCTGAAGCACTTGCCGCAGGCGTCGCAGCGGTACGGCTTCTCGCCCGTGTGCATCCGCCGGTGGATGGTCAAGTCCGACCTCTGGATGAAGGCCTTGCCACAGTCGGCGCAGGAGAACGGCTTCTCCCCAGTGTGGATGCGCTGGTGCTTCACCAGTGCCGAGCGCTGGGCAAAAGCTTTCCCGCAATCCTCGCACTTGAAGGGCTTCTCCGCCGGCGGTTGCAGCGACAGCGGCGGCATTTTGCCCAGGCTCTTCCCGCAGTCCAGGCAGTGGCTGCTGCGCGTGAAGCGTCCCTTGGCGCTTCCGCACAGAGGGTGTTTCAAACCCGCTTTGCTGCCCGCCCCAAGAAGGAACCCCTTGATGTGTTCGGGGCAGCGGTGGGCGGCCGCGGCGGCCGCCTGGGCTTGGTGGACCCTCTGGTGCCGGTCGAGATGGGAGCTGACGGAGAAGCCGCGCCCGCACTGTGCGCAGGTGTAAGGCCGCTCGCCCGTGTGCACCCGCTGGTGCCGCTCCAAGTCGGAGCGCTGGATGAAGCGCTTGCTGCAGTCGCCGCAGGGGAAAGGGCGCTCGCCCGTGTGGATGCGCTGGTGCTGCGCCAGGTTGGAGCTGCGGCTGAAGCGCTTGCCGCAGGCGCCGCACTGGTAGGGGCGCTCCCCGGAGTGAGTCTTGCGGTGCTTGGAGAGCGCCGAGCGCTGCCCAAAACATTTCCCGCAATCGGGGCAGCGGTGGGCGACTGGGGCGGCAGCCGTGGGGGGCTCCTCCTCCCGGAGGCCGTGGCGGTGGGTGCGGCGGTGGCGGTCGAGGTGGGAGCTGACGGAGAAGCGCTTGCCGCAGTCACGGCAGGCGTAGGGGCGCTCTCCCGTGTGCACCCGCTGGTGGCGCTCCAGGTCGGACTTCTGGGTGAAGGCCTTGCCGCAGGCGGCGCAGGGGAAGGGGCGCTCGCCCGTGTGCACCCGGCGGTGCTGAGCCAGGTTGGAGCTGCGGTTGAAGCGCTTGCCGCAAGCCGTGCACGGGTAGGGCTTCTCGCCCGAGTGGATCTTCTGGTGCTTGGCCAGGATGGAGCGCTGACGGAAACAGCGCCCGCACTCGGCGCATTGGTGCGGCCTCTCCGGGGTTGGGGTGCTGTGGCCTCGCCCACTGCCGCTCGCGTTGCTCTTCCCGCACTCCACGCACACTCCCGGCCTTTCCTGCCGGTCTTGGAGCTTCTTGGGAGCCTTGGCCTCCGGCGGACAGATTGCTGGCACTCGCGGCAGCTGCCCCTCCTCCAGGTCCGGCTGGCACCGACCACCGCTGGCTTCTTCCACCTCGTCTGGGCTGTTGGATCTCCCCGTTGACGGGGAACCCGGCGGCTCTGTCTTCTCCAGGTTGATTTCCCCCTGAAGTGGCTCCTCTTCGTTCTCCTCAGCGGCTGTCATTTCGTTGGGGGGGAAAGAGACAAGTTGTCAAGGAGCTGTCAGTGTGGGATGTATCTTCACTGTAGCAGTCAAATGCAACATTTCCTGTTTCCTAGAGTGGATACGCAGGGGAATGTTGCTCCAGACAGGGAGGACTTCCTGTCACACCTGGTCTGGAGCATCCTCCCCGTGTGTGACCAGGTAGATGGGCGTGACCCTAGCAGACCCTATAAACGGACTAGTCATGCGGCCATCTTCCTCTTTGGACCTTCTCTTTTGGCCCTTTGGCTCTTTTGCTGCTCTTCTGCTGGCTCTTAACCAGCAGAACATGGCTCATCCTTACAGAGGATGGAAGCCACAAGGTAGAAAGTCTGAGGCCTAGCTCAGACTTCTTTTTCTCTACAACTGTACCTGTAACTACAAGCTAAAGCCTGCCTTCAGGACCATACTGTGAACTGAATGTAAGTAAACTTGACCATTACTTTTTAAAGAAGACTGTCGTGTCATTCTTGTTTTTAAGAGGGAACTAAAGGGGAAATTTACCAGGAACAATCCAATCTGGACAAGCCAGACTCCCTATCCGAGCTGCATGCAAGCAGGCGAAGACTACGCCTGCACGGAGCCTGCTTCTGCTCCTCACATTTCACCCCTCATCTGATCCTGGGGGACAGTGGGGCAGGAGGAGAAGGTAAGGAAGCCAGTGTGGTGTAGTGATTAAGGTCTCAGACTAAGACCTAGGAGACCAGGGTTCAAATCCCCACTCGGCCATTAAGCTCATTGCGTGACTTTGGGCCAGTCATTGTCTCTTGGCCTAGCCTACCTCACAGGGTTGTTGTGGAGATTGAACTGAGAGGTGGAACCATTTATGTAAATGCTATACATAAAAGATGATTAAACAGAAGTCACTTAGAGACTCTTTGGGGGCCTGGTAAGTTCAATAAAGAATAATCAGTCTATCAAACAGGTTCAGGGGGATTGCAGGAAGCCCAAGCTGGCCCTGCCAGAGCCTCGCAGCCTCGCTGAGCTGAGTTTTGTTCTTATTTCTTAGGAGTTTCACACACACCCTGTTTTACCGGCACTGCAGCTCGTGCCACGAGCCGCGCCCACCTTCATCCTTGGGGCTTTTTGGCGCCTTCTTCCGGGCTTTCCGCTTCCCTTCCTGGCTCTGCTCCTTCACCAGCTCCCGCAACATCTTCTCCACCTGGTTCCTGCCAGCTGTCTGCAGAATGAGGCCCAGCTGCCGGCGGAGGTCGGCATTCATCCCACTTTCGCTGGGGCCAGCTGCCGTTGAATCGTGCATCGGGGTCTGTTCTGCTTGGCCCTGATCGGGCTCCACGTCTGCACCACGGGGGGACAAAATGGGACGCTGATCAGACTGGAGTGCCCAGTCAGGGCTGCCAACCAAACAGGACCATGTCTTAATGGCGGGTTGATATACAGGAAAGGAGCTTTTTACAGCATGGAGGTGAACAATGGTTAACGTCTGTGCACCAAGCCACTTTTAAAAAGCACAGTTACAGACGCTGACTTAAAAATAGGCCAAACTGTCCCCGGCGTCAGCCTGGAGCAAGACCAACAGAATAATGGGGAGTTCTCGCTCCTTCTTGCCATAATCCAGTGGTACCTCGGGTTAAGAACTTAATATGTTCTTAACCTGAAACTGTTCTTAACCTGAGGTACCGCTTTAGCGGGGCCTCCCACTGCAGCTGCACGATTTCTGTTCTCATCCTGAAGCAAAGTTCTTAACCCGAGGTACTATTTCTGGTTTAGCGGAGTCTGTAACCTGAAGCGTCTGTAACCCGAGGTACCACTGTATTAAACTGGTACAGCTTCCATGCCAATGAACAGACCTGAATTTTCTTTTCTTTTTTATTTAAGAATCAAATAAAATCCACCCTTCTGTTTTAGGATCAGCGCTGATATATATATCATATATAATGATATATATATATATAATGGTTTTTTATTTTTTTAAAATAGCAGAATTAAATAGTAAACACAATAGAAACAGAGACAGATAAAGCAGGTAAAAGCATCTCAAAAGCAAGGGCACAGATGCTTAAAAAAGAGTATGGTATGCAGATGGATTAGCAAAACAAAAGGGATTTTGAGACAGGTCAGCTTCTTCTGCATTCTGCAATATAACACTGAGACAATAATAGCATATAAGTGGTGGGTTCATGCTGGACTGTGCAAACGTCATCCTGCTTATTTACTAATTTATGTATTAGATTTATAACTGGTTGTTCTGCAACGCTTCCCCAAGATTACCGCATTACAGTGGAACCTCGATTTTCGAACGTAATCCATTCTGGAAGACCATTCGGGTTCGGAAACCGAGGCGCAGTTTCCCACAGAAAGCAATGCAAAATGAATCAATCCGTTCCAGACCTTTAAAATCTCCACCCCCATCGTTCTGCTCGGACGCTGAGGTCCAGCGCCGAGGGCCTTCTGGCAGTTCCCCCGCTGCGAGAAGCCAAGTTACAGGGAACCAGGCAGAGGGCCTTCTCGGTAGTGGCGCCCGCCCTGTGGAATGCCCTCCCACCAGAAGTCAAAGAGATAAACAACTACCTGACATTCAGAAGACATCTTAAGGCAGCCCTGTTCAGGGAAGTTTTTAATGTGTGACATCTTAGTTTATTTTTGGCCTTTGTGGAAGCCGCCCAGAGTGGCTGGGGAAACCCAGCCAGATGGGCAGGGTACAAATAATAAATTATTATTATTATTATTACCCCTAATACAGCAATTTAACATGAATTTTACTATCTAATGATACACAATGAAAGCAATAAACACATTAAACTGTATTGTAAAAGCAATAATAAATAAACACAACACAGATGATAAATGTAAATTTTTCTTACCTGCAATGATGGGTTTTTTGGGGGGGGGTCTTGCTTCAAAAATCACTGTGGGTTACTCCTCTCCTGCGTTTCCTTGATTTTTTTTACACCACTGACACCTGGTTCAGACTCACTGGATCTTTTCCTCGCTAACCATTTTACAATGGACATTTGCTCTTCTTCCCGACGTTTCAAAATTTGTCTGAAGTGAGACATCGCATGATCATTGAAAGTGCTCGTGGCGTGACTCACGGCGGCTTTATCGGGGTGATATTTTTCAACAAAAACTTGCAGATCAGCCCATTTTGCACACATGTCTTCGATCAGTGCCGTAGGAACACTTTCTCTTCTCTCCTCCTCCTGCAAAAACAATTCCTCAGCTGCAGCCTGTTGTTGCTCCATCAGAACGTTTCGAAGTTCTTCTGCGGTGAGTTCTGTCTTGTGCTCCTCCACTAACTCCTCCACTTCATCCCGACTCACTTCCAAGCCCATGGACTTCCCCAGAGACACTATCTCCTCAACAATAAGAGCATCCTCTTCAACGTCCTCAGGTACGCGGTCCGGGACAGCTTCTGGCCACAATTTCTTCCAGGCTGACTTCAGTGTTCTTTGAGACACATCCCTCCATGCTTTGTCTATGAGATGTAAGCCATGTAGGATACTGAAATGGTTCTTCCAGAACTCTCTGAGGGTTAGCCCTGTGTCTGAGGTCACCTCAAAGCACCTTTGGAAGAGGGCTCGGTTGTAAAGCTTCTTAAAATTAGATATGACCTGCTGGTCCATGGGCTGGATGAGGGAAGTCGTGTTGGGGGGCAAAAACTTGACACTGATGAAGCTGAACTCTTCCACCAACTCGCCTTCCAAGCTTGGAGGGTGAGCTGGAGCGTTATCCACAACAAGCAGGCACTTCATGGGAAGATGTTTGTCTCGGAGGTATTTTTTCACACTTGGCCCAAACACTTCATGAACCCACTCGATAAAAAACTGCCTGGTTACCCAAGCTTTGCTGTTCGCCCTCCACATCACATGCAATTTGCTTCTCATGACGTTGTTTTTCTTAAATACCCTGGGGTTCACAGAATGGTAGACCAGCAACGGCTTCAACTTAAAATCTCCACTTGCATTCGCACAAAATAAAAGGGAAAGTCTGTCTTTCATGGGCTTGTGCCCTGGCCATAATTCCTCCTCCTTTCTTATGTAGGTCCTCTTTGGCATTCTTTTCCAAAAGAGGCCTGTCTCATCGCAGTTGAAAACTTGCTGCGGAAGGAAACCCTCGGCCTTAACGTAATCTTTAAATTCCAAAACAAATCGATCGGCATTTCCTTTGTCGGCAGCTTTGCCGTGTCTCACCACACTGTGAATGCCACTCCTCCTCTTAAAATTATCAAGCCACCCTCTACTTGCCTTGAAAATACAACTCTCAGCACTTGTTCCAGGGGTGTTTTGGGTGAGGTCGGCATGCAACTGTAAAGCTTTTTCACAAATTATGTTCTCAGAAATGTGGTCACCGGCCAACAGTTTTTCATTTATCCATATGGTAAGCCATTTTTCCACTTCTTCAATTGTCTGTGTTCTTTGTCTTGCGAGTGTTTCAACGCCTCTTGCGACATCGGCTCCTCCAACGGCTCCTTTATTTTTTAAGATGCCAGCAATTGTAGATTCGGCCATACCAAACTGTGTTGTCGGACGACATACAGGGACACCACTTGCGTGTTTGGAAATGTTTTCCTTCTCCACCGCTGTTGTTGTTCTGTCAATGGTTCTCTTGGCTTCTTCGCAGCTTCTTTCCATTTCTCACACCACACCAAATAAGCATAAAATAAAATAAAAATAAAATAAGCCAAATACTGTGGTACCTCGGTTTTCTCACACCAAATAAGCATAAAATAAAATAAGCCAAATCATAAGCCAAATAATAATAAGCCAACTACATAGCGCCAAATATCATCTCCATTTTCCGCGGTTGCTCAGGACGCAACAGCCGACACTCAGCGGAGGCCGCGTGGCACGTTCGATTTCCGAAGCGCGTTCGAAAACCAAAGCATTTACTTCCAGGTTTTCGACGTCCGAAAACCGAATTGTTCGGCAGCCGAGACGTTCGAAAACCGAGGTTTGACTGTGTCCCCTTCCAGAGGGGCAGTCTTGCAGTACATGATGTGTGTTACAGCTGGGCAACATATCGCCAAAGGCCAGTTTGAAGCCAGTATCGTGAGACTGGCTTCATAATTTTGACCTGGCAATATATCGCGCATCATGGTACTTGTTTGCATGTGTGCGTGCTATGCAAAAATCACGACGCAGGAAAAAAAGACACGTGAAGCCAGCCAATTCCTCCACATAGCTCCATCCTTATTTCAGACTTCGTGATCTATATTGCGGTGTTTTGCTGGTGATTTTTTTTTTTTTTTGCGATGCTGAAAAGCAGGTATCGCGCAGCCCTAGTGGGGTACCGCCAGATGCCTTCCTCCATGCCAACTTACCAGGGACAAGTCCTCTCCTCCTGTGGGACTCAGCGAAAGCTGTGATCCGGGGCCAACTGATGGCGATCTCCTCCGCTGTGGAGACAGAAAGAGAAGGGGCAAGTCAGAGGAAGTGGAGAGATGCTCCCAAGATTAGAGCAGTGCATAAAGGGGTCAGTCCAGGGCTAAGTCCGTTGGAGAGAGTAGCCATATGGCCTAGTGTGCGGAGCACAAGCTATGCATGCCTAGGGCTGCCATATGCCTTAGGCTCAACAACTTTCAGGGAGTCCTGGTTTTTACTTTCTGCAGTATGGCAACCCTATGCATGCAGAAGTTCCTGGGTCCAAGCCTTGGCATGCCTAGTTAAGTGGGTCCCATAGCACGATGTAGGGAAGAGCTTCTGCTAGAAGCAGTAGAATGCACTGCTAGCCAAAACAGAGGATAGAGTCTTTGGATTTTCCTTTAGATAGATGGTTCGGTCAAGTAATGTTTATTCTCATCTCCGAGAAACTGACTTACAAAGTATTATAAATTAAGGACATATCAAGGTGCAGCAAAACCTATGTATTTTGCCTCCATTTGGCAACCGTTTGTTACTTATACAATAGGCCAAGCACAGGGGTGGCAAGTCTCGATGAAATATGGCTATATTTGGTATATTTCATAGAATCATAGAATTGTAGTCCAAGCTCTTGAAATGCAGGAATCTCAGCTAAAGCATCTGACAGATGACCATCCAACCTCAGCTTAAAATCCGCAACTGGAGGTACCACCGTACTTGTTTTTAACTGGTTTTCCAACTGATAGTTTTATTCTTTTTTTAAACCGCTTTGCTGTTTTACTACAATCAAGCAGTACAGTCATACCTTGGAAGTTGAACGAAATCCGTTCCAGAAGTCTGTTCGACTTCTGAAAACATTCGACAACCAAGGTGCGGCTTCCGATTGGCTGCAGGAAGCTCCTGCAGCCAATTGGAAGCTGTGGAACCTGCATCGGATGTTTGGGTTCCAAAGAACATTCGCAAACTGGAACACTCACTTCCGGGTTTGTGGCGTTTGGGAGCCAAAATGTTTGACTTGCAAGGCATTTGGGATCCAAGGTATGACTGTATATAAATCTTGTGGAATGAATGAATGACTGAACAAATGAATGAATAAATAAATAGCTCAACTAAAGGTCTGCTGTGTTTGGAATGATGGTGCCTTTCACCCCAAAGGAATTCTGATTACGGGGCATGGCAATCAAGACCAGCCTTCCCCCAATCTGGTACCTTCCAGATATTTTGGACTATAGTTCCCATCCGTCCCAGCCAGTGGTTCGGGACTGATGGGACTTATAGTCCACAGCATCAGAGAAGGATGGGAGACACTAGTTTGGGCTAAGATGGCGTAGACAGTATGTCAGCATCTTGATACCTAACCCCCAAAAAAGCATGGAAATGGCTACTTACCCAGTGAGATGACGTTGTCGTAGTTCTCCTGCATGATTTTGGTCACCAGGCGCTTCAGCAGATGTGGGAAACCCCTGAAACGACAGACAACCGTCCTCCGCACTTAAACAGGTGGTAGGACTGAGGAATGCAGAGGAGTTAATCAGGTTCCTCTAGGCCTAGGGCTTGGGGGAGAGGCGGTCTTTGTAGGATGAGAGACCAAGGGGCAGAGGGGCTGGTCGGTGCACGACTTGTCAGAACCCCAAGACTCAAATCCCAACATTTGGTGCAATTTGTTTATTTCTTGTATATCATTATTGGCATTCATATCCCGCCTCTCCTCCAACGAGCTCCCGGCAGCGTATGTGTTTTATTGTTGTTAGCCGCTCTGAGCCCGGCTTCGGCTGGGGAGGGCGGGATATAAATAAAATATTATTATTATTATTATGTGGTTCTCTTCCTTCCCCGTTTGGTCTCACAACAACAGCCCTGTGGAGTAGGCTAGGCCGAGAGAGACAGGGACTGTTCCCAAGTGACCCAGCAAGACTCATGGCCCCTAGGAACTGGCTCCTATGTCTATGACTTCAGACAGAGGCCTGGCCCTCTTCCAACCTTTAAGCGCCATTGGATTATAGGGGACTTACTCTCAAATGAAGTGCGGGGAGAGACTGCAGCCCGGCTCCATCCTTGCCGATTCTGCTCCCGCCCTTTCGGAGCCTCTCTCCGGAGAGATTGCAAGCGTGGCTTGCTTGCTTGTTCCTTGCTCTCTCGGGCTCAGCCTTGCTTTGCAATGCCCTGCAGTTTCCAGTTGCTGCTCTGGAATTAAGTGAAAAGAGCCCGGGGCTGCCTGCTCTTCCTCCACCGCTCCGGGAACGGAGTAGTGGCGGCGTTTGCGGCCCGATCTAGCCTCCCACCCCTCGGATCGGGTTGCAAAGTGGGCCGTGGAGGCAGCTTCCGCTGCAGCGTGCAGGGGGCGGGGTGGGGAGGCCTCACGGACGCCCAGGTCACTATGGATGCAGCAGCTGCCGCTTGCTGACCCAGGAAGCTCAACCCCGGATGCAGCCGGAGGAAAGGAGGGGAGAAGGCAGCAGCCTCCATGGCTGAGAAGCAGCCGCCGGAGCCCTCTGCTGGATCCTCAGAAAGGATCAGGATTCAGGACCCTGTACGGAGCAACCGTAGTGATGTATGGAAGTGAGAGCTGGACCATAAAGAAGGCTAATCGCCTAATATTCATCATCATCGTTTATTATTTATGCCCCGCCCATCTGGCTGGGTCCCCCCAGCCACTCTGGGCGGCTTCCAACAAAACACAATAACCTATTAAACATTAAAAGCTTCCCTGAACAGGGCTGCCTTCAGATGTCTTCTAAAAGTTTGGTAGTTATTTTTCTCTTTGACATCTGGTGGGAGGGCGTTCCACAGGGCGGGCGCCACTACCGAGAAGGCCCTCTGCCTGGTTCCCTGTAACTTGGCTTCTGGCAGCGAGGGAACCGCCAGAAGGCCCTCGGCGCTGGACCTCAGTGTCCGGGTAGAACGATGGAGGTGGAGACGCTCCTTTGAAGAATTGATGCTTTTGAATTCTGGTGCTGCAGGAAACTCTTGAGAGTCCCATGGACTGCAAGAAGATCAAACCTATCCATTCTGAAGGAAATCAGCCCTGAGTGCTCACTGGAAGGACAGATCCTGAAGCTGAGGCTCCAATACCTTGGCCACCTCATGAGAAGAGAAGACTCCCTGGAAAAGCCCTGATGTTGGGAAAGATGGAGGGCACAAGGAGAAGGGGACGACAGAGGACGAGATGGCTGGACAGCGTCCTCGAAGCTACCAGCCTGAGTTTCACCAAAGTGCCGGAGGCAGTGGAAGACAGGAGTGCCTGGTGTGCTCTGGTCCAGGGGCTCATGAAGAGTCGGACATGACTAAACCACTAAACAACAACAACATGGGGCAACCCCCTAGTACCATAAGAGCCTCATGACCCGGAAAAACTGTCTGCGGAAGCGGACAAACGCCGGCTCCCTCAGCCTTTAAAGCAAGATGAGCGCCGCAACCCCAGAGTCGTTCGTGACTGGACTGAATTGCCAGGTGTTCCTTTACCTTTCCCTTTATTCCTGGTAGGTCTCAGAAGGTACTGTATTTTTCGCACCATAGGACGCACCGGCCCATAGGATGCATCAAGTTTTTTGGGGGGGAAATAAAGAAAAAAAAATTATTTCCCCCCAGGCGCTTGTGGGGCCGGCAGCGGGGAGAAGCGCTCTTCTCCCCGCAGTCCGCCTTCAGATCAGGTCCGGGGACAGCGGGAAGACGCGCTGCGTCTCCCAGCTGTCCCCGGAGCTTGGGGGCAGGCAGCGGGGAGAAGCGCTCTTCTCCCTGCCGCCCACCTTGACATCAAGTCCGGGGACAGCGGGAAGACGCGCTGCGTCTCCCAGCTGTCCCCGGAGCTTGGGGGCAGGCAGCGGGGAGAGCGCTCTTCTCCCTGCCGCCCGCCTTGCGATCAGGTCCGGGGACAGCGGGAAGACGCGCTGCGTCTCCCAGCTGTCCCCGGAGCTTGGGGGCAGGCAGCGGGGAGAAGCGCTCTTCTCCCTGCCGCCCGCCTTGCGATCAGGTCCGGGGACAGCGGGGAGACGCGCTGCGTCTCCCTGCTGTCCCCGGAGCTTGCGGGGCCGGCGGCGGGGTCTCCCCGCCGTCAGCCTCCAAACCACTTCGGGAGACAGCGGGATGGCGGCGTTCCGCCTCCCTCTGTCCCCCGACCTTGTGGGGCTGGCGCTGGGGCTCTCCTGAAGCCTGGAGAGCCAGAGGGGTCGGTGCGCACCGACCCCTCTTGCTCTCCAGGCTTCAGTGAAAGCCTGCATTCGCACCATAGGACGCACACACATTTCCCTTTCATTTTTGGAGGGGAAAAAGTGCGTCCTATAGTGCGAAAAATACGGTACTTCAGGATCAATCAATATGAATTTTTTAGAAGAGCCTCAGTGATAATGCAGGGGTTCGGTTGCATGTGCTATGATGAGCCACATGTTTAAAGCGCCAATATACTGCTTCAACCGTCGTGGCTTCTCCCCAAATAATCTTGGAAACTGTAGTTTGTTAAGGACCCACATACCTACGGGACCGCCTCTCCTGGTATGCCCCACGGAGGACCTTAAGGTCCACAAATGACAACACTTTGGAGATCCCAAGTCGCAAAGTGGCTAGATTGGTTGCGACTAGGGCCAGGGCCTTTTCAGTACTGGCCCCAACTTGGTGGAACGCTCTGTCACAAGAGACCGGGGCCCTGCGGGATTTGACATCTTTCCGCAGGGCCTGCAAGATGGAGCTGTTCTGCCTTTGGTTTGGACTCAGTCTGACCCTTATGTTTTCCCTCCCCTTACAGTTTTGATCCATGGGCTACTTTTAAAATGAGGCTGCATTTTAAACTGCATTATAACCTGTATTTTAATTTTTTTAAATTTTATTTTAAACCCCATGTGGTGTTCTTTTTCAGGACGTGGGTGGCGCTGTAGTCTAAACCACTGAGCCTTGGGCTTGCCAATCAAGAAGAAGAAGAAGAAGAAGAAGAAGAGTTTGGATTTGATATCCCGCTTTATCAGTAGCCGAAGGAGTCTCAAAGCAGCTAACATTCTCCTTTCCCTTCCTCCCCACAACAAACACTCTGTGAGGTGAGTGAGGCTGAGAGACTTCAGAGAAGTGTGACTGGCCCAAGGTCACCCAGCAGCTGCATGTGGAGGAGCAGAGAGGCGAACCCGGTTACCCAGATTACGAGTCTATCGCTCTTAACCACTACGCCACGCTGGCGGTTCAAATCCCCGTGACAGGCTGAGCTCCCGTTGCTCGGTCCCTGCTCCTGCCAACCTAGCAGTTCGAAAGCACATCAAAGTGCAAGTAGATAAATAGGTACCGCCCTGGCGGGAAGGTAAGCGGTGTTTCCGTGCGCTGCTCTGGTTTGCCAGAAGCGGCTTAGTCATGCTGGCCACATGACCCGGAAGCTGTACACCGGCTCCCTCGGCCTATAGAACGAGATGAGTGCCGCAATCCCAGAGTCGTCCGCGACTGGACCTAACGGTCAGGGGTACCTTTACCTTTATTTTTATTGTAATTTTACTCGTGTTAGCCGCCCTGAGCCCAGCTCTGGCCGGGTATAAATAAAAATTATTATTATTATTATTAAGGGTGCTGGGAGTTGTTAGGAGACCCCTATCCCCCTCACAGAGCTACAATTTCCAGAGTGGTTTAACTGTCAATCCCTCTTCACAAGCACCCATTAGCCCTGCATAGCACCTTGATGGCCCTGCTCTGCCTACATGGTTGAAGGCTCTAATGTTTCTGAAGGCCAGTTGCTGGAAATGGCAGGAGGGGAGAGGGCTCTTGCGCCCGGATCCTGCTTGCGGGTTTCCCATAGGCATCTGGTAGGCCACTTTGAGAACAGGATGCTGGCCCAGGTGGGCCACTGGCTGGCTCTTTCAACATAAGAAGAAGAAGAAGAAGAGTTTGGATTTGATATCCCGCCTTTCACTCCCTTTAAGGAGTCTCAAAGCGGCTCACATTCTCCTTTCCCTTCCTCCCCCACAACAAACACTCTGTGAGGTGAGTGGGGCTGAGAGACTTCAGAGAAGTGTGACTAGCTCAAGGTCACCCAGCAGCTGCATGTGGAGGAGCGGAGACGCGAACCCGGTTCCCCAGATTACGAGACTACCGCTCTTAACCACTACACCACAAAGGACTTAACCATGACATCGCCCATCCTTCTTATTTCCAGAGAAAACTGGGGAGAAAAACAGCTCCGAACATAGATCAAGATTTATTCACTTTTATTCCCCTAGTCTATTTTATTCACAATACGTACGTACAAGTTCCTGCTCACTTCAGACACGGCTGGATCAGAAACGCACAAAAGGTCAGGACAGCCTACCACCAAATTCTCTCTAAACCCACACTTGGTTTCATCTAATCAGTTTGCTTGGTTGGACAGTGTTGTCGAAGCTACCAGCATGAGTTTGACCAAACTGCGGGAGGAAGTGGAAGACAGGAGTGCCTGGCGTGCTCTGGTCCATGGGGTCACGAAGAGTCGGACACGACTAAACGACTAAACAACAACAACAATCAGTTTGCTGAGAGTTGCTGCCGTCTGTGAGCGACCACTACACGCAAGGTGTGCCCTCCTCCTGGGGGGGAAAGCTGTTCTAATTACTAACATCTTTTGAAAGGCTGTTCAAGATGATGGACGGGGTTATTGGGAGACACTGCAAAGCTGGCTGTAGGGGACTCCCCACACACCTTCACCTGACTGTAGGGGCATCGTGGGAAGAAGGAAGGACTTGGAAGAGATGCTCCTGGACCACTTCCTGGTCCAGCTGGAAGTGACTGAGGAGGCATTATAGCCTGCGGTTGCTAAGCAACTGCTAAGTGCTCCCTTCAACATTTGGCCTTGAGAGCAAAACAGTAAAGGGACAGGAAATCACAATGCACAACTCCAAAGTCCCAGTTAAGGAAGGCAGGTACAGGACATTGAATGGCCTTTCTCCAGTGCTCAAGTATACAGGGTTGTCCCTTCTTTGGAATAGCAGACATGACAGGTTTAGATCTCCCTTTAGTGTGCTGGGCTTTCTCCTTGGAAGTAAAAAGGATGGGAATTATGAACACTTTTGCATCAGCTTTCGATGCAAGCCCCTTTTATTGTCCCTTAAGCAGCTGCTTGACCTGAAGTGGTTAGGATACCAGCGATGCTGCAGAAGTGGATTTCCCGCATTAGCAGGGGGTTGGACTGGATGACCTCTGAGGTCCCCTCGAACTCTATGATCAGGCGGTAGCAATGCTGTAACTCAATGCCATGAACAGCTTCATGTGGCTGGTTTCGCAGGAAAGGGCCAAAGCTCAGTGGCGGAGCTTCTGTTTGGCAGATTCCAGTTTCGATCCAGGTACGGCTGGGAGACCCCGGCCTGAAACACCTGGACAGCTGCTGCCAGTCAGTGCAGACAATACTAAACTAGATGGACCAATGATCTGACTCCCATGTTCATCTGTTCTGATTATTAAGCCTTCATTAAAGGAACAGGAGCGAACCAGGCTGGCTTGTTTTTCTGGCCTGTTGCAACCCTAAAAGATGAAATCAAGTATTGAAAACTGGCCTTTTGCTTCCTTACTCGGGCACCATGTATAATCTTAACACGCCTAAAAATCAACTCTTTGAGACCTTGGCTGGGGTTTCTTTCCCCCAGGAAAAACCTCTGATAGCAGACGGCATTCCGGTCAAATGAGGTCAGTTTGGTGTATACAGGTAGTAACGTTACAACAAGAGGTGTGGGAAGTGGTACAACGCAGGAAGAAATTGGGGCCGCGGGGTGTAGATATTCCCCAGGATACCGAAAACAGGTTCTTAACAACATCCAGTATGAAATCATTGTGCTGACGCAAGGAACGAAACGCACCCCCCCAAGTGAGATTCAAGGCAGTCCAAGGTCTTTTTGTGAGAGGGGTGTGTGTGTGTGTGTGTGTGTGTGTGTGTGTGTCTGTCTGTCTGTCTGTCTGTCTCAGGTCATCCTATGCAGAAAACTATCAAGGTGGTTTTGCAGGTAAGACTTTTTCCTGCCTTGTTATTCCTGCTGTTTCCCATGGCACCAAGAGGGACAGAACTGCCAACCTGTTTCCACCAGCCTCTTTATAAAGGGGCACGGTGGTGTCTTACAAAGGGGTACAGAGCAGTCTGCTCCAGTTGCTCCAGTGGGACTGTTTTATACGGGAATTGCTCAGCGCCACATAATATCCGATCCCTCGCTATAACATCGCTCTGATCTACTTCTTTATCTAATCTACCCACCTAATCTATTACCTCCCTCACAGCCCAATCCAAAGTCCATTGAAATAAAAGTTGGAGATTTGACTTAACTGTTGCAACAAAATACAGTGGTACCTCGGGTTACATATGCTTCAGGTTACATATGCTTCAGGTTACAGACTCCGCTAACCCAGAAATATTACCTCAGGTTAAGAACTTTGCTTCAGGATGAGAACAGAAATCGTGTTCCGGTGGCGCGGCAGCAGTGTGAGGCCCCATTAGCTAAAGTGGTGCTTCAGGTTAAGAACAGTTTCAGGTTAAGAACGGACCTCCGGAACGAATTAAGTACTTAACCCGAGGTACCGCTGTATAGCCCTTTGTCTAGGGCTCTAGGAGGTTGATTACTAGCATTTCCACTTCAAAGGATCCGTAGAATCATAAATGGTAGAGTTGGAAGCCCCCCCCCTTTGGTAATCCTCATAGAACTCTAGCCCAATGGTAATAATAATAATAATAATAATAATAATAATAATAATAATAATTTATTATTTATACCCTGCCCATCTGGCTGAGTTTCCCCAGCCACTCTGGGCGGCTCCCAATCGAGTGTTAAAAACAATACAGCATTAAATATTAAAAACTTCCCTAAACAGGGTTGCCTTCAGAATGGTTGCCATTAATCTGATTTTGAATTGATTTAGAATGAATTGATTTTAGAATGCTGTGTTACTTTTATTGTTGTTAGTCGCTCTGAGCCCGGCTTCGGCTGGGGAGGGCGGGATATAAATAAAAAATTATTATTATTATTATTATTATCATCATCATCATCATCATCATCATCTAGTCCAATCCCCTGCAATGGTAATTGGTAATTGGAATATTGGTAATGGCTTAGAAAGATCCTGGAGAGCAGGAAGCTAGGCTAATGATACATTCTGCAAAAGGTAAAGCTGGACTGAACTTATTTGAAGGGTGGAATCCAAATTTGTGCATATAGAAAGCTAGCATGTCAGGGAAGAGAGTTTAGCCTAGTCATTCCCCTGATCTGCTAGTTTTCATGGTGCAGGGATTTTTATTCATGATAGACATGAATAAAGACATGGAACCTCTTACTTGGAGCCTGAAGTGTTAATAATAATAATAATAATAATAATAATAAATTTTATTTATATCCCGCCCTCCCCAGCCGAAGCCGGGCTCAGGGCGGCTAACAACAATAAAACAGTACAAAAGTACAGCATAAACAAAGTCCAGGAGAACATTCTACCGTGTTCTGCTGATTGCATAAACTAGTCCTAAATGTCTATGGTTGCTATATTTTAATGCAATTAGGCAGAGCTGTCTTGGAACCAAGCACAAAAACTTATGAAATGTTGGCAATGACAGCTCAAATCAGGTTTGCCTGGAATGACCATGGAATAGAACGGAGTCTATCCATGCTGGAAAGCAAAATTAGAATGAGGCGGTAGAATGGATTGTACCACATCACTCTGGTGGTGGGGGGAGATTTTTGGTTATGCCTTTTTAACAGGAGACGCGTCAGTACAGTGGTACCTCGGGTTAAGAACTTAATCGTTCTGGAGGTCCGTTCTTAACCTGAAACTGTTCTTAACCTGAGGTACCACTTTAGCTAATGGGGCCTCTCACTGCCGCTGCACGATTTCTGTTCTCATCCTGAAGCAAAGTTCTTAACCTGACGTATTATTTCTGGGTTAGTGGAGTCTGTAGCCTGAAGCGTCTGTAACCCGAGGTACCACTGTACTACAAACTTAAAAAGGGGGAACAAGCACAGCTTCCTCAACAGACCTTGGCATTCTGCAAGGGGACAAGAGGTCAGTACCTCCACAAAACTTCACCTTGCAGCAAGTCACCTTGCTGGGAAACTGCTTTGCAACTCGCTTCATTTTCTAGGTAAAATACACCCATGGATCAAAACGTGAAAGGGGCAATTTTCAGGTTAGAGAAATTGCTAGTGTGAACCTAAACACAAATGGAGGCATAGACCGTCGTGTTAAGTTAAGGAAACTTGTGGTGTGTTGCTTACTCTGCACAATAATTCTGATTCTGGGAGGGTTGGTCTCCCTTCCCCACCCCTTGAATCTGGAACCTGGTGGCACAGGAACACTGGTGGGAACAGGGCAGCCATCTTGCCCTTTCCACAGGGCTCCTCTGCAGCGGCACCGTCAAATAATTTTATACTCTGCACTTCATGAACTTATGTGAGCCCCTCTTTTGATGGTCCCATGTATCATTTCACTTGCTCCAACCAACCCTGCCGTGGCTGAGGGAACTCTTCCTCATTCTGCTGAGCGGAGTCCTAGAGACCTGGCCCCAATCCTGCCTTGACACTGCTCTTGTAAATGGAACGTCCACATGACAATCGGTAACTCAAGTGGGTTTACTCTGAGTGGGACTAGCATTGGTGACAACACCATATTGACAACTGAACTGGGGGGAGTGCCATTTGTGTTTTCCACCCTCAGGAAGCAAAATAACTTAGGCCAGGCCCATTGGAGGCAAAATATGACTTGGGCGGGGCTGCATATCCAGAGAAGCTAACCTGTGGCCCTTCAGAGATGTTGATGGACTACAATTCCCATCAACCCTGACCATTGGCAATGCTGGCTGGGGATGATGGGAGATGGGAGTCCAACAACATCTGGTGTATGTGTCTGTCACAGTTTAAAGCAGGTTTCCTCAAACTCGGCCCTCCAGATGTTTTTGGCCTACAACTCCCATGATCCTTAGCTAGCAGGACCAGTGGTCAGGGATGATGGGAATTGCAGTCTGAAAACATCTGGAGGGCCTGAGGAAGCCTGGCTTAAAGCCTTTTGTACCACAGAAATGGGACTCTTGTGATTTTCCTATTGAGGTCTTCCGGATGTTGTGGGACACCAATTCCCATTCCAGCAGTGAGGGATGATGGGAGTTGGAGTCCAACATCACCTGGAAGGCCATCTGTGTCCTACGTCAGTGTTCCCCAACCTTGGGCCTCCAGCTGTTTTTGGACTACAATTCCCATCATCCTTGACCACTGGTCTTGCTAGCGAGGGATGATGGGAGTTGTAGTCCAAAAACAGCTGGAGGCCCAAGGTTGGGGAACACTGTCCTACGTGACTTCCTGTGGTGCTGGCTGCCACCCTCCTCTTCCTACTTTGGCTAGGCCTGGTCCAACCCTTCTCCAAATCCTCACCACAGACACTCTTGGAAATAAAAAAACCTGAATATTGTGCAGTCGCAGAATCGGCTTTGCAAGCCGTGTGTGATTTCCACCATTTGTTCTGGTGAAGAACTGCCTTCCTTTCTTTCGTGCTGCTGCGACTGCACCTTTGGCCTGGCGTGCAGATGCGCCCAGACCATCTCCAGCGGCCCTTTCCTCTTCCGCAAGGACAGCGTGAAGCACAAATCACACAGCTTACCCTCAGGAACCCAGGAGCCAACGGCAGCCACCTTGAACTCAAAGGAGAGCACTGGGCAAGGTCAGGTGGGTGCAGAGGCAGCTTCTGGATTGGACAGAACATTTTTGCAGGCAGCCTGATGTAAAGATCAGTGGGACCTGAAACTCCACCTATGCTTATGCTGACCCGAATCGGTCCAGTAGGGACGCCACGGGTTGATTCCAAAGTAGCACTACGCGATTGCTCCATCAACGCAAGGATTTTCGCTTGTGCAAAGTAATGTTCTCTTCCTCTCTTCTCACCCCCCTAAAGTTACTTTAGGGGGTCTCCCAACTCTCCGGAGAAATTTGGGAAGGATAATAATAATCAATTTATTATTTGTACCCCACCCCGCTGACCTGGGAAGGGGTGCACAGTGGCAGGGAAAAGGAGAACGGCGCACAAACCCTCCTGCTAACTGAATGAGAGAACGGGATACCGCCCCATTTTACTTCCTTCGTACCTCCAGAACGCAAAGTGCACCCACCCCTACCAATGGACAGGGCCTTTACACCTAGGGAAACGACACCTGGGAAGCAGTGAACGTCTGCCGGCCAAGGGCAGGGCCTCTGTCCGACCCCCCAGCACAAAGCCTAGCGCTCTCGCGGCCGGGCGAACCGGCCTCAGCGCCTTAGCACGGAACAAGCTCCTTGTGCTGTGTAGAAGCCGGCATGAGGACAGTCTCCCCTGCCCGGTGGGCATGGCTGCGGAGGTGGCGGTAGAGATGCTCTGTGTCGCGGAAGCGGCGCCCGCACTGGGGGCAGGGGTACGGCCTCTCGCCCGCATGCGCGTGTTGGTTCTTGAGCAGAGAGGAGGCGGCGGAGGCGGCACAGGGCTTCCCGCAGTCCCCGCAGTCCCGGCCGGGGAGCGGGCTGCCGTCCGGTTCGAGGTGGTGGGTGTGTTGGTGCCTCTGGAAGTGCAAGGTGCTGTTAAAGCTCTTGCCGCAGTCCGGGCAGACGTGGGGCTGCCCGCCGGCGTGGGTGCGCTGGTGTCGGTAGAGGTGGGAGGTGCGCCCGAAGCGCTTGCCGCAGTCCGCGCAGGAGTAGGGCCTCTCGCCTGTGTGGATGCGCCGGTGCCTCTCCCAGTGGGAGCTCCAGGTGAAGCTCAGCCCGCACTCGCCGCAGCGGTAGGGCTTATCAGCCGACAGGTGCAGCCGGCGGTGCTGAGCCAGCTGGCCCCGCGTGCCAAAGCTCTGCCCGCACTCCCCGCAGCCGTAGGGCTGTTCGGCGGTGCCGTGCAGCCGGCGGTGTCGGGCCAGCTGCGAGCGCCCGCCGAAGCTCTGCCCGCACTCGGCGCACTGGTGGCTCTGGTCCCCGCCCATCAGGTGCAGGCGCTGGTGCTTCACCAGAGCCAGCCCGTCGGCAAAGGCCTTGCCGCACAGGGTGCACTTGTAGGGCTTGCGCCCGCGGTGCGTGCGCTGGTGCTGGTCAAAGTGCAGCGTGGTGCTGAAGCTGCGCCCGCAGTAGGTGCAGATGTAGGCGCGGGTGACGCTGGCCGCCGCGCTGGTGCCGTGTGTGCGCTGGTGCCGGTAGAGGTGCGAGCTGCGGCTGAAGCGCTTGCCGCACTCGTCGCAGGGGTAGGGCTTCTCGCCGGTGTGGATGCGCAGGTGGCGGGCGAAGTGGGAGCTCCACGAGAAGCTCTTGCCGCAGTCGCCGCACTGGAAGGGCAGGCGCCCGGTGTGCAGGCGCTGGTGGGTCACCAGCTCCGTGTTGCGGCGGAAGCAGCGCCCGCACTCGGCGCACTGGTAGGGCAGCCCGCGGCTGGGCATCAGGGAGGGGGCGGGGGCCGCCGGCTTGGCGCTGGCGTGCGCCCGCTGGTGCCGGTAGAGGTTGGAGCTGACGTTGAAGCTCTTGCCGCAGTCGCCGCAGCGGAAGGGGCGCTCGCCCGTGTGCGTGCGCCGGTGCTTGCTGTAGTGCGAGCTGCAGCTGAACACCTTGCCGCAGTCCTCGCACTCGTAGCCCTTCTGCAGGACCATGAGGGGAGGCCCCTCCCGCGCCAGGACCTTGCCGCCGCCCACTTGCTGCACCACCCTCCAGTGCAGGCTCTGGCAGTTCCCGGCGTCCAGCTGCACCACCGCAGGGCTATCGTGCTGCTGGACATCTTCCTCGTCGCTCTCCTCCTCCTCTTCACTGCCCAGTCCCTCGACTGCTGGGAAAGACGCAGAGAAAAAGAAATCTCCCTTAGGACAGTCAGAACATTGATGGAGCAGGCAAAGCTCGAGGAAAATATAAGCCTTGTTAGGATTCCTTCAAAACTCAGCTTTCAGGTGGTGGTGGTGGTGGTTGTTATTATTATTATTATTATTATTATTATTATTATTATTTTCCCTTAGCCACGCTGGGCGGCTTCTAGCATATACAGAAACACAATAACATCAAAAGCTTCCCTATACAGGGCTGCCTTCGGGTGTCTTCTAAAAGTTGTGTGCAGTGGTACCTCTAGTTACGAACTTAATTCGTTCTGGAGGTCCATTCTTAACCTGAAACTGTTCTTAACTAGAGGCGTGCTTTCACTAGTGCGGCCTCTTACTGCCGCTGCGCTGCCGGCACACGGTTTCCGTTCTCATCCTGGGGCAAAGTTCTCAACTTCAGGTACTCTTCTAGGTTAGCGGAGTAACCTGAAGCGTTTGTAACCTGAGGTGTTTGTAACTCAAGGTACCACTTGGTTCTTGAACTTAATCCGTTCTGGGAGTCTGTTCGACTCCCGAAACCATTCAAAAACCAAGGCACAGCTTCCGATTGAGTGCAGGAGCTTCCTGCACTCAACTGGAAGCCATGGAAACTGCGTCGCATGTTTGGTTTCCGGAAAACGTTCACAAACCGGAACACTTACTTCCAGGTTTGCGGCGTTCAGGAGCCGATTCGTTCGGCAACTAAGCCGTTCAGGAACCAAGGTTGGACTGTAGTTGTTTATCTCCTTGACATCTGATGTGAGGGCTTTCCACAGGGCTGGCGCCACTGCCGAGAAGGCCCTGTGCCTGGTTCCCTGTAGCTTCACTTCTCATAGTGAGGGAACCGCCAGAAGGCCCTTGGAGGTGGGCTGAAGGATGGGGGCAGAGATACAGGTATACAGGGCCGAGGCTTCTGGACCTCATGACTGCCAATTTTGGACTTTTAGGGAACCAGGCAACTATGCAACTTGATCCCCTGCCCCAGACTTTCCTATGTATTGATAAATGTGATAACCAAAATCTTAAACTATTCAGAAACAAGGTTGAAGGAACAGGCACATTGTAAAAAGGAATGCTCCTGAATCCATCACTATTGCTGGTTTCCCAAGCGACCTCAGCAGCTAGGAGTGCCTTTTACCAGCTTTGTGTGGTGTGGCAGTTATGGCCAAGCCTTAGCCACAGTAGCATGAGTAACCTCAAGACTGGACTACTGCAATGGGCTCTAGGTGGGGCTGCCCTTAGAGTTGTTCCGCCACCAGCAGCTAGTGCAGAATGTGTCAGCCAGGCTGCTAGCACACCTCTGTGTTTCAGATATAGGTAGGTAGCCATGTTGGTCTGCCATAGTTGAAACAAAATTAAAAAATTCCTTCCAGTAGCAGCTTAGAGACCAACGAAGTTTGTTATTGGTATGAGCTTTTGTGTGCATGCACACTTCTTCAGATACACAAAAGCTCATACCAATAACAAACTTAGTTGGTCTCTAAGGTGCTACTGGAAGGAATCTTTTTATTTTGTTACACCTCTCTGTGACACCTTTGCCGAAGGAGCTGTTAAAACTGGCTGCCAAAATGTTGCCCGTCCAAGTTTAAGGTTTTGCTTTTAGTATACAAAGCCACATAACAGCTTGGGACCAGGGTTTTTAATCGCCATGTGATCCATAAATGGAATAACTAATTAAATAAATAACAGTAGCAATAACGAGGTGCCACCTTTCTCCAGGTGCAAGGCAACAACAGCACAACCAAAACTCAACAGGGCACTAACGTTAAGTGGCTCAAGTAAATGAGCCAAGTGAGATATTTCAGGAGAGGGCAAAAGAACATGAGGGCCAAACGCCAACCTGCCAAAGAAAAATATCTCCTTTACCCTAGGTAAGGTGTCCAGTTAGATCTCAGGTGCAAAAGAAAACCCATCAATCAGCCTTCGTCTCTGCAGTACCATTGTTTGGCCTGGTCCATATTCTCACACTTCTTGCCTCCAGGAGACTACGGATGAAGAGAATCGGTTGGCCCTGTCAAAGAAAAAGATTGGGGTCCACTGAAAGTGCACTACTCACCTAAGGTGGCTCTTCGGGCATTCTCCCTATTAATAGATGCCGGGACACAAGTTTCCTCATCTTCTTCTACCAGGAAAATCTCATTGGGTTTGGGACTTGCAGGTCCTACATAAAGAAGGAAAAACAGGCTATATCAAAGCTATGATACTTCCGCCTTGCTTAATACCATGCTATAATACCACATAATACCATATAATACCAACTACTCTATTCCGAGCTTAAAAATGGAAAGCGTAATGCTGGTGGTCAACAAAAGAGGTTTAAAGGCTGTCTCAAGGCAAAGTTTAAAAATGTAGTATAAACACTAACAATTGGGAAACATTGGCCTGTGAGCGCTCCAGTTGGAGAACAGCCTTTACCAAAGGTGTCATGGGCTTCAAAGTGTGGTGTAGTGGTTAAGAGCGGTAGTCTTGTAATCTGGTGAACCGGGTTCGCCTCCCCGCTCCTCCACCTGCAGCTGCTGGGTGACCTTGGGCTAGTCACACTTCTCTGAAGTCTCTCAGCCTCACTCACCTCACAGAGTGTATGTTGTGGGGGAGGAAGGGAAAAGAGAATGTTGGCCGCTTTGAAACTCCTTAGGGTAGTGATAAAGCGGGATATCAAATCCAAACTCATCAAAGACGCTCAAACTCAGGACGCAAGGGAGAAACGTGCTAGGAGGAAGGCACGCTTGGCAAATCCACACCGTGATCAACTCCCGCCCAGAAACCAATGTCCCCACTGCGGAAGGACGTGTGGATCCAGAACTGGCCTCCACAGTCACTTACGGACTCACTGTTAAAACCGTATTTATGGAAGACAATCTTACTCAGCTACGAGTGATCGCCAAAAAACAAGAATACCATGCTATAATATATATTATTGGTTTTTTTCAAAGTGATCACCAAAACCCAACTCCCCCATCTAACATGAGTGTTGTGCTGCTTTGTTCTACCCTCTTCCTCACACCAAAACAGCAGCAGCTGCACAGCTATAAACCACTTGCTAACCCACCGCAAATTTGTGTGATTTACAGGAATAAAAATGCTGCAGGGGTGAGGAGCAGGAAGGAGCAACTCTCATGAGCCCTGAGCATCATCAGGGATGGTGGGATTTGTCATCTAATAATATCTGGAGAGCCCTGGGTCTCCCATTCCTGTGCACTGTTTTCATTTGTTTGGATGATGCATAACCGTTTCTTAAATCTGAAGCCAAACCATTATCTTCTATCACATTTTCACCTTTGGGCAGGCTCCCTGCTGAAAAAGTTTGCTGACCCCTGCTTTAGAACATGCAGAAAGAAAGAAAGTACAGTGGTACCTCGGGTTACGAACTTAATTCGTTCCGGAAGTCCGTTCTTATCCCAGTGTTCTTAATCCGAGGCGCACATTCCCTACATAGGCCTCCTGCAGCCCCGGAAGCGGATTGCGTTCGTATCCTGGGCAAAGTTTGCAACCCGGGACACCTACTTCCAGGTTTGTGGAGTTCGTAACCCGAAGCATTCGTAAGCAGGACTGTTTGTAACCCAAGGTACCACTGTATTGCTTCTGGGCTCTGCAACATGGCCTGTTTTAGTTGGGGATCTTCTGAAGGAGATACTTACTCAGTGCCACCAGACTGTCACAGGTCTCCTGGTGAGTTTCCCTGTAAACGGGCTTCTGATTCGGATCTGCAACTAGCCACGCATCCTCCATGATCCGATGCCAAGCCAGGTACTAGCAAGCCACAGGCTCCTAAAAACAAGACAATCGTTCCATCCATGAAACACACGTGTAGCCCCTGCTAAGCTAGTATTCTCCTGCTTGCTCGAGCCTAATAACCAGAGCAGAGTAGCGATATCACATCAGTCTAGTGTTTAATGTCAGTTTGCAAATTAGCCTCTCTCTTTTTTTAACACACACACACAATATTGAGCTACCGCCTTGTAATTTGGTCCCAAGGGAGTCACAGAGAGAACGCTATAATTATTTGTGGGAGTAAATTATATCTGGAGCTCAAACACCGGACCAGACTTTGGGCTCTAAATTTTCCTAAAATAAATACCACTGTTAACCTACACATAGTTATTGTGGAATACCTCACTTTACCTAAAAGTGCGTCAGGTATTGAGTACAATCTACTGCTCTTTAGCCATCCTGACTCTATGGCAGAAAAGTTAAACATCTTAAGGCAGTGATGGGTTACCTACAGCCTTCTAGATTTTGTTAGACTCCCATCATCCCCAGTCCAGTGGTAAAGGAATGATGGGAGTTGGAGTCCGACAACATCTGCAGGGAACCAAATTCCCTATCCTTGACTTTGGAGGTAGGCATCTATGACACCCCTTGCACTGGTCCAGCTGCCAGGATGTCAGGAGCCAATTCACACACATGGGCACTCATCACTTGTTATCTGTGGATAGCCATCCTGTGATGACTTGTGTGAATAAATTATCACACACAGAACTTCCAAGGCACCTCGCATGACCTCAAACACAGTCAGTTTGCACAGACAGCAGGAGATCTTTATATTCATGATAACCAAGTGATGGAGAAATAAGGGGATGCACATGTCTCTGTTAACCAGCCCTTAAATCCTCCTGCATTTTGGAAACCAGTTTCCTGACTTTTTAAAAAGGGACTGTCTTTAAGCAGAGGCTTGACAACCATATGTCAGGAGTGCTCTGATGGTGTTTCCTGCTTGGCAGGGGGTTGGACTCAGTGGCCCTTGTGGTCTCTTCCAACTCTATGATTCTATGATCATCAACCGTAAGCAAACAAGGACCATGGTTACAGCATACATTTAAAGCACCACAATGCCACTTTAAACAGCTTCCCCCAAGGGATCCTGGAAACCGTAGTTTGTTAAGGGAGCTGAGCGTTATTAGGAGAGCCCTTTCCCCCCACTCAGAGCTACAATTCCCAGACTGCTTATCAATCAATCCCTCTTCCTAGAGAGCTCTGGGAAATGGCCCCCACCCACCCCTATTGTGACTTTCCAAGTACAGTGGTACCTCGGGTTAAGTACCTAATTCGTTCCGGAGGTCCATTCTTAACCTGAAACTGTTCTTAACCTGAAGCACCACTTTAGCTACTGGGGCCTCCTGTTGCCGCCGCGCCATCAGAGCACAATTTCTGTTCCTATCCTGAAGCAAAGTTCTTATCCTGAAACACTATGTCTGGGTTAGCGGAGTCTGTAACCCGAAGCGTATGTAACCTGAAGCGTATTTAACCTGAGGTACCACTGTATCTGACAACTTCTGTAGTTGCAGTTCCAAACTGGAAACCCAACCCACAAGTTGCTGTTGGATCCATCAGCCCCAGCCAGCATTCCCAATGGTCAGGGATGATGGAAAGTGCAGCCGCAGATCCCCAGTCCATTTGTGGCTGCACTGCACAGAGCTTTCTACGCCGTCAGCAGCAAGAGTTGGGACCATGGAAGGATGGGAGATGTGCGATATCTGGTGTTACTATACACAGCCAATTGCAATTAGACTTTGCTATGCATAAAACCCCTGCAAATCCCCCAATTTAGGATGAGATGGGCATCAACTCAGGGATTTCCCTCAAGCCAAACCTCAAACATCCCATTTCAAGGGGTCCTCTATCCACTGCACAATGATGGATCTGGCTTAACAACATCTCCTTCCCATCTCAGTAAGATCCGTGAGGCGCATCCTTCTTATTCCCATTTCACAGAAAGGGAGAAACTGAGGCTGACGTGCCTAAGGCCACTCAAGCCAAGCGATTGTAATAAACACTGGCATACCATTTCCAAATACTGTAATATTGTTTTCTTTCTTCCGATTTTTTTTTTAAAGCGGAGATCTGAGGATGAATAGGAATTTTACCCGAGCCTGTGGTTTTCAGGAGGAGACTTTACAACCCAAGGAGTGCGTGCGGCGGCAGCGGCAGCAGCAAAGCTGGAAAGTGCACAAAGGAGCTCTCTAGCAAGGCAGAGGATCGGCCTTGAGGGCAATTTTGTTTTGTCTGCGCTCATCTTTCGAAAGCACCTGGGAAACTTTTAGACGAAACAGAATCGCCCACCACCTTCCGCCCCCGGGGCTGATTGGTCCATTGTTCCGTTCGGCGACCAGGTAACCGAATCCATCCCTTGCGCGAGCGTAACAGGATCAGGTGTCAATTGTTATTTTTTTTAAAGGAGCGGTTCTGGATCCAGCTACCCCACCCCACCTCCTCCCACTTCTTCCACCGCTGATCCACTGCCCCCTCTCACCCCATGCATCGACCCCAGGGGAGATAATGGGTGTCTTTTCGCACGGGGGGGTCACTTTCCAGCCCATCCGGGGGTTGCCTGCAAAAAATGCATTTACCTGATAAGTCCGGTTCAGGAGCGAGGGGTGGGGGTAGAAAAAGGAGACGATCTGCAGATCCCGAGCCGGGGGTGCTGAATATAAATCTGCTCTGGGGTGCCGATCCGAACAATTCAAACAATGAGAAAGTCCCTGCGTGGCTCGCGATCTTTATTAGAGGCCGTTTCGTGGCGGCGCGAGGACCCCACCAGCCTTTTGTGACAGGGAGGGGGGACTCCCCCCCCCCAAAAAAAGAGCTGGCGATCTGCAATGGAGGCAGCTCGGTTTCTGCGTGCAGCTTGCGAGCCGCTTGTAAGGACGGAGGCAGCCCCTTCCCACCACGATTTCTGGTCCTCTTCTACACCTCCTCCTCCTGTCTCTCTTTTCTTTATGATTCTCCAATCCGCCGCCCCCCCACCCCTTCCAGCCGCCTCCCCCTCCTCCCCGGAGTCTTCCTGCCTCCCCCTCCCCGCCTCTCCAGCATCAGATCCCAAGCACCCCCAGCCTTGCTCCAGCCCCTTCCTGTGTCCATGCAATAGCAAGCCGGTCGGCAACCGATCGCGATTTCATTGTGGGGTTTGTGCGCCTTGGAAGATCCTGGGGTGAAATCTACCAGGGTGAGACCCACCCTGCTCCAGTCCTCGCCAAGAATAAGAATAAGAAAAATGCAAAGACTGTCACTCCTGAACCCTTAAAGGAGGAAGAGGAGGCACAGAGGGAACCCAACCGAAGCGCAGTCAGGATGGGTAGGGAAGGGAGTGACTCCGGATCGGGCTCCGCTTTCGGGCCCCCAGGGTCGACGGCGCGCCCGATGTCAGGCGTCTCCGATTAGAAGCGGATCCGGCTGCGGCAGAAACAGACACCGCCCGGTAAAGTGGGTAAGGCTGGCAGACTATATATATATATATGTTCACATCATTCTATGCTCAGTGGTCGGGCAGCTGTTTGGCGTGCAGAAGGGCGCGGGGTTCAATCCCCGGCACCTCTGCGCAGGGCTGGGAATCGTGCCCCCCGCCTGAAAAGCTCTGGAGAGACGCTGCCAGTCAGTGTCGGGGATACTGAGCTGGGTGGCTCTGCACAAGGCAGCTTCCCATGAGCTTGTGCGCCTGTGATCCTATACAGACACAGAGACGTGATGTTGGATTAAGGAAGGGATCAGAAACACCTGGAAGAGAGCCACAGGCTCCCCAACCCTGATTTCTTTGGATGCTGCCCTTCTATTAGATCGGAATTAAAAGGATGACAGTCGCTGATCTCCAGTTCCTTAAAGAGGTGTGCATGTGGAAGAAGGAAGCATGAAGGCAATCTGAAGACACTGCGAAGTGCAATTTTAAGAGAGTTTGGTTGCGACATCCTGACATGGTTGTTAGCGGCCTGGTTGTTTGGGTGGAAGGATAATGGGCACCAGAGAGTGTTGTTTTTGCAAGGGTTAACGTCACCTGCAAAAAAAATGGGTGACTGTGCCTTCTTCTTGTCCTCCAGGTGAAATGCTGCAGGGGCTTTTCTGCATCCCAGCAACAACATGCAGGAGAACTATGAGAATGTGATCTCTCTGGGTAAGGCCTCCTCCTCTCTCTCCTATGACTAGGGAAGCACTGAGCCCATGCAGATCACCCAAACAATTCAATGCATTCAATATTGGCATGTCCACATTTATAGTGGGCACAGTATCTCGCCTGTTAAACAAAGGGCATCCAACATGGTACCCTGCAGATGTTGCTAGACTACAGCTGTATTGCAGGGGGTTGGACTACAGATGATCCTTGGGATACCTTGGGATACCTTCGGTTCTGATTCTGTTATTCCAACTTCCTGAATCCCCAGCCATAACTCCCCAAGGGCCAGGGATGGTGGGGATTTGTGGTCCAGCCACCTCTGGAGTGCACCACGTTGGCTACCCCTGCTGGGAACTGATTTGTAACCTGTCTCATCATACCTAACATTTCCATTGTTTGGGACATCGTTTCAAAAAGCATTCTACGAATCGGAACCAACTTACTTATAAACGGAGTCCACTTCACTTTTCCTCCCGTTTTTCCTCCAGTTCTGCCATTGCACAGATTCTGAAAATGTTGCCATCCGGGCCAAACCATTCATTTCATCTATGGCTCAACAGTAAGATGCCATTTAGAAGCTGTTAAGGCCTTTTTTGTTGTTGCTGCAGTTAGTAGATTTCATACCAGTGCAAAGCATTTTCAAACCTCTTCCCAAAACTGTACCTTTTGTGAAATGGACAAGGGTCTTCTAACAATCCTCAGCGCCCTTAGCAAAAACTACAGCTCCCATAATTATTTGGGGGAAAGAAGCCACGACTGTTTAAAACAGTGTCATGGTTCTTTAAATGTCCAATGTGAATGTGGCCCAGAGGGTGGAAGTGGCAGGCTCCTGAATCCTAAAGGGGGTGGAATGACTCAGTTGGGAATTACTGGGTAACCAAAGCCCTGCCTCTAATTTCCTTTCCAATTGCATCCTCCCCCTCTCTTTCCGGCATGACCGCACAGCGGAGGAAATTGCAATCAGCTGGCCACGGATCACCGCGTTTGCCGAGTCTCACAGAAGAAGAGGGTTGGCACCTGGTAAGTCAAGTGTCCGGAGAAGAAAATGGAGGCTGCGGAGCAGGTTGGTGTTGGGACTCCCAACACCCATCAACCCAACCACTGTGGCCAATGATCAGGGATGATGGGAATTGTAGTCCATCAACATCTGGAGGGAACCAGATTCCCCTTCCCTGATTCAGAGCTTGCATCCGTGTTCCTCTTGACCGCAGAAGCAGGATACAGCAGAATTTATGAACGGGTATCCTGAGGGTGCCTTGGCGTGATAAGGTGACCATGGCTTCCTGAGCGACTTGTGCTTCCAGTGTAATGTGCGGTATGGAACTGTGCATCTCGCACATCTTGACAGTCACAACTTGTTGTGTATATTTGTAGGGTGGTATCTCACTGTGGGAACACAGGTGACGCTGTGGGTTAAACCACCGAGCCTAGGACTTGCCGATCAGAAGGTCAGTGGTTCGAATCCCCACAACGGGGTGAGCTCCTGTTGCTCGGTCCCTGCTCCTGCCAACCTAGCAGTTCGAAAGCACGTCAAAGTGCAAGTAGATAAATAGGTACCTCTCTGGTGGGAAGGTAAATGGCTTTTCCTTACGCTGCTCTGGTTCTCCAGAAGCGGCTTAGTCATGCTGGCCACATGACCCAGAAGCTCTACATCGGCTCCCTCGGCCAATAAAGCGAGATGAGCGCCGCAACCCCAGAGTCGGTCATGACTGGACCTGATGGTCAGGGGTCCCTTTACCTTCACCTATGGTGATACTGATCTTCTTCACTAAAGGTAGGGATGCGGGGAGCTTGTTTCCCTCCAGATCCTGCTGGCCTCCCAACAGCCCCTGACCATTGGTCATGCTGACCAGGTCTCAACAAAATCTGGAGCAGCACTGGCTTCCCATCCTTGGTGAAGGGTATCACTGATCAGGATAGACCAATGGTATCTGTTCTACTTTTTTGTGCTTCTCATGGCATGATACTTATTTGTAGAGCTGTGGTAGTTTTCAAACTTCATCAAGAAACTCAGAGCCTTCTGGATCAGACCAATGGCCCATCTAGCCCAGCACGCTGTTCTCTCAGCAGCCAGCCAGATGTCTGTGGGAAGAGTAGCATTTAGGACATGATCACAAGAGGCAGAGCATAGCCATCATGGACCCAGGAGTTTTTCAGTGAAAAGATCAGACAGGACCGGCCCTATCATTAGGCAGAGTGAGACGGCCACCCCAGGTTGCAGGTTCCGGGGGACAGGAAGCCACAGCCAAGTATTGGAGGATAGGGCTAGGTGTGCCCTATGCGTGAGATGTCTGTTGCCTCAGGTGTGGGCAAATTTGTCTCGTTCCTATAGGTGGAAATGGGAGGGGCCGAGGGGAACCCCATTTTTTCTTCACCTCGGGCAGCAAAATGACTTGCGCAGGGGCCTGAGGCAAGCTATTCTGAAGGAAATGTCAAACCTTCCTTGAAATCTATTGCTGCTGAGGGGTTTTCTATGGGGCCTGCTGTTAATAATAATAATAATAATAATTTATTATTTGTACCCCGCCCATCTGGCTGGGTTTCCCCAGCCTCTCTGGGCGGCTTCCAACAAAGATTTAAAAATACATTAAAATGTCACACACGTCCCTGAACAGGGCTGCCTTCAGATGTCTTCTAAATGTCAGGTAGTTGTTTATCTCTTTGACATCTGATTGGAGGGCGTTCCACATAGCGGGCGCCACTACCAAGAAGGCCCTCTGCCTGGTTCCCTGTAGCTTTGCTTCTCGCAATGAGGGAACTGCCAGAAGGCCCTCGGCGCTGGACCTCAGCGTCTGGCAGAACGATGGGGGTGGAGACGCTCTTTCAGGTATACTGGGCCGAGGCTGTTAATGCAGATGATAGGCTCAGTACGCCTGTTCGGGGTGGGGGCATATGAGCAGTCTGTGAGCCCTAGATACCTTCCAAATTGCTCCACAGCCAAATCAAGGTCTGCTGAAAAGCGAGACAGGGAGCAAGGAAGAGCAACAGAGGTCTTAAGGGAAAAGGATTCCAAGCAAAAAAACCTTCCCTTCAAAGGCCGTCTGGCAGCAAGGGCCCCAACCACCTGTGAAGGAGTTGGGTTGAGCAACAACATGTACTTAAGGCCCCCCCCAAAAAAAATTGAGGTCCCCCCCTCCCCAGGAATTGCACAGGGAGAAGCAAGGTGAAGGGGTAGAGGGGAAGGAAATCGGATACAGATTTTATGGTTGCTAGGCAATTACTCTTTCTTTGCAGTTCCTCTTTAATTGCTTCCAGATATCCACCAACTTGCTCTGGGAGCACACAGAGGAGATGATCTGCTGGGTTCGTGTCTGTTGTGGAGCCTGCATTGATGTCAGTGGCAGACTCACAACAGAACACAAAAAATGGGGAATGGTTAGCTCAGCACAGCATAGCAGAGGAATACTTAAGCATGGTTTTATAGATTAACAAATCAATACGGCATTTATAATCACATAGTGTGACTTTTGCTGCAATGGTGAGGTTTAGCTTATTTTTTTAGTTGCTGCTTTGCTCATCTGACTTCAATTGCTTTAATTGTTCTGTATGATTTATGCTGTAATTGTGAGGATGCTGTATTCTGTTATTGTTATTGATTTTTTGTAAGCTGCTTTGGGACTCACTCATCTGAATGAAAAGCAGCATAGAAATACAAATCAATCAATTAATCAATGATAGCCGTATGAGAAACATTGGGGAACCTCTGGCTTAAGGGCCAAATGTGGGAGGGGGGCCCAACATCTCTGCCTGGCCCTCTGGGCTCTCCCCAGACCACACTCATCTCTTCGCTCTCTCCTTGAGAAGTTTAGCCTTGTGTTGAACTCTGCCTCTTGCTTGCTTGCTTGCATGAATGGTGGGTGGGTGGGTGTAGAACTAGCTTACTAAACAAAGGCAAACTTGACATTACTTGCTCCTCCCATTTTTGACTCTGGCCCCACCCAGCACTGGCAAGTGGCCCCTGAAGGATGCCCATGAACGGCTGGAACAAGATCCTCCACCCCTTCTCCATGGAACTGAATGCCATCTGCTGGTGGGGTAACAGCAGGGGAGGCCTGCTCCCCTGCTTGGGGGCTTCCTGGAGGCATCTTCTTGCCCAGTGTGGGGTGGTGGGCCAGATGGAGATTTGGTCTCCCTCTCTTCTGTTCAGGAGGCGGTTGGGGGAGGAGGAGGGCAGGGGTCTGCCGGGGGGAGCGATGAGTTGTGGCTCACCCATGACGGCCTTTTCAATTCCCTTCTCCCAAGTTTCCTTTCCCAGACCTCAGCAGTTACTGGATTCTCTCGTTGTTCCAGCAGATGATGGGATGGTGAGTGAGAATGAGAACGGGATTGAAGAAGAGGAGGAGGAGGAGGCACCGCAGGACGGAGAAGGAGAGGGCAGAGGGGATGTTGCCGTGGAGAAGGTGGAGGCCCAAAAGGATCTCCTGCCGGAGAACACCAAAGAGCCTCTTGAGACTGAGCTGAAAGCCAGCGAGGAAGGCCCAGACCAGGCGGCCTTGGATGAGCGGCCGAGGAAGCCCCTGGGGAAGAGACAGGCCAAGTCGAGCGTCCACCGTGCTTTCAAGAAGTTCTCCTCACGCAACCACCACCACGGGCTGCTGGGCCACACCGGTCGGTGCCACAGCTGCGGCAAGGGCTTCGGCTTCGGCAAGCGCTCCCGGCTGCACGGCGCCGCCGGCCTGGAGAAGCCCTACAAGTGTGGCGAATGCGGCAAGGGTTTCCGGCTGCACTCCACCCTGGCGACCCACCAGCGCCGCCACACCAGCACCAAGCCCTACCGCTGCGCCGAGTGCGGCAAGAGCTTCAGCGTCGGCTCGGCCTTCATCCAGCATCAGCGCACCCACGCCGGCAAGCGGAGCGGGCCCGGTCCAGCCCGGCCCTGCGAGTGCAATGTGTGCGGCAAGAGCTTCGGGCTCCCGGCCCACCTCATCAAACACCAGAAGCAGCACCTCGAAGAGAAGCCCTACAAGTGCCAGGAGTGCGGCAAGGGCTTCAACTGGAACTCTCACCTGGAGCGCCACCGCCGCATCCACACCGGAGAGAAGCCGTACGTCTGCGAGGACTGCGGGCGTGCTTTCGCCTGGAGCTCCCACCTGGAGCGCCACCGGCGGACGCATTTCGGTGGGCTCCAGAAGGCCTCGTCATGCAGCTGTTGTTTGGCTGCGGCCGTGGCACCGGCCAGCAAAGCCAGCGCCAAACCCTATCGGTGTGATGACTGCGGCAAAGGCTTCAACAAGAACGCGGCCCTGTCCAAGCACCGCCGCGCTCACCATGCCGCAGAGAAGCCCTATGTCTGCCAGGACTGCGGCAAGAGCTTCGGTCTGAACGGCGCCCTGCTGCAGCACCGGCGGACACGGCACCCGGACGACTCGGCCAAGCCGTACGCCTGCGGCGACTGCGGCAAGAGCTTCGCCTGGAGCTCCCACCTGGACCGGCACCGGCGCATCCACGCCGGCGACAAGCCCTACCGCTGCGAGGACTGTGGGAAGGGCTTCTCCCAGAGCTCCCACTTGGAGCGGCACCAGCGGGTGCACAGGAGCGCCGAGCGCCCGCCATGCCGCTGTGCCGAGTGCGGGTTCGCTGGGGCGCGGCGGCAGCGCCGGCGAGGGGCCCTGCTGGCCTGCAAGTGCAGTGACTGCGGCAAGAGCTTCCTGTGGCGGCGCCCGGCCTGCAGCGAGTGCGGGAGGGGCGGTGGGGAGGGCGTGCGGCACCAAGGGACGCAGACGGGCGAGAAGCCCTACTCCTGCCTGGACTGCGGCAAGTGCTTCGCCCAGAACTCGGCTCTGGCCAAGCACCGGCGCATGCACACCGGGGAGAAGCCGTACAAGTGCGCCGAATGCGGGAAGAGCTTCGGCGTCCGCTCCAACCTGCTGAAGCACCAGCGCACGCACCTGGGCGAGAAGCCCTACAAGTGCGCCGACTGCGGCAAGGGCTTCATTCAGAAGTCCGACCTCACGAAGCACCGGCGCATGCACACCGGCGAGAAGCCGTACCGCTGTGACGCCTGCGGCAAGTGCTTCAGCGTCAGCTCCAATCTCATCAAGCACCAGCGCATCCACTTGGGCGAGAAGCCCTACGCCTGCGGGGAGTGCGGCAAGGCCTTCATCCAGCGCTCCGAGCTCACCATCCACCAGCGCACCCACACCGGGGAGAAGCCCTACAAATGTGGCGTCTGCGGCAAGTGCTTCAGCCGCAGCTCCCACCTCAACCGGCACCAGCGCACTCACAGCAACGGCAAGGCCTCAGCCGGCAGTGCCGGGACGGCCCACACCACACTGCTGGTTGCCAGCGCTGCCAAACCTGCTGCTCCCCTGCCCGCCTCGGCCTTCTCAGCCTCCTTCGCTTCGCCTGGCCCCCTGCCCGCCCTGCCTGCCTTCCCTGCTTCTCCATCGTCCCTCCCAATCCCTTCTTTGGACCTGCCCTGGGCCCTGTCCTTTCCCTCCCGAAGCTTCCCGCACCCCTCCTTCCCTTCTCCTGCCCCTTCAGGGGCCCAGGCCTCATCTCTGATCAACTAGCTTCTCCTCCTTCCAGCCCCAGAGCCAGCATGACCAGCGGTCAGGGGATGATGGGAGTTGTAGTCCAGCAGGATGGGGAAGGCTGCTCTCCTCACTCTGTTATCCCCCCTTTTCCTGAGGAACTGAGACTCTCTTTTCCTTGGTGACACAGTTGCTCTCTGTTCCCTCTGATCAGGCCCCATAACATCCTCCCTGTTGCCTTCCTGCCCTGCTTGGGGGCTTCTTAGAAACACCTGGTTATCCTCTGTGGGGAACAGGATGGTGTACTAGGTGGGCTTTTGGTCCAATCCAGCAGGGCTTTTCTTAATGCTCCACAGCACGGCTTCATGTGTTTGCCTCAGAAATCGGCCATATTCTGTTCCTTCGCTTTCTGCTCAGTGTCCTGTCCCAGCCGCCTCATCTTCTCAGCCAGGTTCTTCCTTGGCAGGAGACATTCCAATTCCTTTGTTTCTTACTCCTTTGCAGTCCTGTCCCGTCCCCCCCAATCGCCCTCCATTTTGTTTCCCTCCGTTTTGTTTCCCTCTGTTTTGTTTCGCTACTCTTGTTGTGTTCATGCTTATGAATTACCCACTCTTGTGCCTCTTCCTGTCCAGAACTTGTTTTTCTCATTTGCATCGCAAATCTCTATGTACCGTATTTTTCGCCCTATAGGACGCACTTTTTCCCCTCCAAAAATGAAGGGGAAATGTGTGTGCGTCCTATGGGGCGAATGCAGGCTTTCGCTGAAGCCTGGAGAGCGAGAGGCGTCAGTGCGCACCGACACCTCTCGCTCTCCAGGCTCCAGGAAGCTATCTGCAAGCCTTGCGCACCCGGGAAGTTCCCCGGGCACGCAAGGCTTGCGGGCGGCAGCCTGCAGCGCGAGCACGGGCGCCCTCCGGAGGACGCCCGTGCTTCGCGCAGGTGTCCGCAAGCCTTGCGCGCCCGGGAGATCCTGGGCACACACGGCTGCGGGCGCAGCCTGCAGCGCGGGCACGGGTGCCCTCCGAGGACGCCCAGCTGCGCAGGTGTCCGCAAGCCTTGCCCGCCCGGGGGAACTCCCCCCGAGCGCGCACGGCTTGCGGGCGGCAGCCGGCAGCGCGGAGCATGGGGCGCCCTCCGGAGGACACCCCGTGCTTTGCGCAGGTGTCTGCAGCCTGCCGCCCGGCGCGTGGGGCGCCCTGAAGCAGAGCGTCCCTCACGCCGGGCAGACATCGGCCAGCCCCACAAGCTCGGGGGACAACGGGGAGGCGCAGCACCGCCATCCCACTGTTCCCCGACCTTGTTTTGGGGGGGAAATAAAGGGAAAATTTTTTTCCTTTATTTCCCCCCCAAAAAAGTAGGTGCGTCCTGTGGGACGGAGCGCCCTATGGAACGAAAAATACGGTATTTTCCAGGCTTTATCCATTTTATGCCATATATACAAACCCATACATTCACTCACCCAGTGCTATTTTTTCTAGAAAAAGAGGTGTCAGAACTCACCATGAACACGTCCCTTTTTCTCTTAGAATGGCAATGGCGCCGACCTGAGAGGTCCTGGAATTGAGTTCTAGCAAGATGCGGCTGAAAAAAAGCCCTACATGCACCCAATCACCCACCCATATAAATATGTGCCCATACACATCCCTCCTCCTCCTCCTCCTCCTCCTCCTCCTTCTTCTTCTTCTTCTTCCCTGCCCTTCACCCTAAGGTCCCAGGGTGGGTTACAACAATTAAACCACAATATTATTATTATTATTATTATTATTATTATTATACAAATAAGTTTTTTTTAATAGTTTTTAATAGTTTTCCAAAATTGCCCCAATAATAGCCAAATTACAACGATATCAATTAATTAAACCATGATATTAAAATCAGTTTAAAACAACTTCACAATTGCAGGTCTAAGGTGTTTTCTTAAAATATACACCTCAGGTGTCAGAAGCCAGATGTGTCAGGCATTCACCGGAAGCTGTATAGGGAAGTTTGCGGGTGCATCTCAGTGGGCTGCGAGTTCCACAACTTAGGGGTTGCCACATAAGATGTGGCCCACCCGCCCTAAGCCTCAGAGGGTGGTGGAACAGCCAAGAGGGCTTCCTCGGCCAAACTTAACACCTGAGGGGATCTGTCAGGAAGGAGGTGGTCTTTCAGGTATTCAGGGCCTGAGTCCACACACACACATAACATACGTAGAGAGAGATTCTAGTACCAGACACCAACAACACACTCCTGCCAATCTCTTGCTTTCATTTGATTAATACGCTCGAAGGTTTTGCCCATTTTTGTTCTGATATATCTGCTGTTCTAGTTACTTGGTGATGCTGGAAAATGTGACCTCTGGATCAGTCCTGCATGCATGTCATTATGTTGCTGTGCCAGTGGCTTTTTGTAGATGTTGTATTCGCCCCATTTCCTCTTATTTCCTGTGCCCTCGCTGCTTTCTAGCTTGTAAACTCTTCGGAGCCAAGGTCAGGCTCAGGGTCTGGATTATAAGAATTTAAGAAGAGTCCTGCTGCATCGGGCCAAAGGCCTATCTAGTCCTTTTCTCGCAGTGGCCAACCAGATGCCTATGGCATCCTCACAAGCATGGCATGGGTGCAATAGCCCTCTCCTCACCTGTGATGCCCAGCAGCTGATACTGAGAGGCAGACTACCTTTGAGGGCACTTTATACCTGAGGAGAGACTCTACCTCAGTGGCAGGCCTGCTTTGCATGCCAAAAGGTACTGGGTTCAAATTCCTGGCAACTCTTATTTTTAAAAGGGTCAGGAAGCAAGGGAGTGGGGAAAGTCCCTCTGCCAGAGACCCCAGAAAGCCATTGCCAGTCAGACTAGGCACTTCTGGGTTAGACAGATCAATAATATGAGATTCCTACATTCCTACATTTGATAAACCTCCATAAATAACTGAATAGGGGAGGAATCCTCTGTCAAGAGCTATTTGGACATCAAATACTTGTGGGAGAATTATATGAAGTGGGGCCACGTCCTGGTTCAGCTTGTGATTTTATGAGGGGAAAAGTCTTAGGTTGGGACGCAGCCATTGACAATGGTAGATCCACTGTAGTCTGTTTTTAACGTCACTTCCATGTGACCTGTTTATTGAGTATTTGGACGGCGGCGATTTAATAAGCATCCACTCTGGTTTGTTTGTGGTGAGGTTAGATGATGTCGTGTCAAAGCAAGTGTCAGCCCACACTTTACGGTCCATTTCCCTCCCCCATCACTTTTTGCAAAAAGTCCAAAATAGTGACACACACCCCCACACACACACCAAAAGCTCTCTTTTACTAAGCAACTTTATATCTTGTGCAATCAAACTTTTTTTTAAAAAATGTTGTACTTTATGGTGCTTTTTAAAATGTTGAGAGGGGGCTTTTTGTTTGCTTGTTTGTTTGTGTGGTGTGTATTCCACAAAGCGCCTGTCTCTCACAGGACCACAATAACAGGCCAATTGCCATTGCCCCAGAGCATTCTGGGAATGGCTGGTTCTTGCTGTGCTCTTATTTAAAGAGAGCATTCCTCTAGCGTGAAAGCAGAGGGAGAAAATCTGAAAACCATCGCCCTTTCAAGCTCTTGGAAGCAGACTGGTGAATATGAACTCTACTGTGGTCAAATGTGAGGAAATAGGGGAGGGGGGGAATCTGGAGTCAGGAACTCCAACTCCCATCATCCCTAAGCACTAGCCATTCTGGCTGGGGCTGATGGGAACTGGAGTTCACACTCCCCATTCTTGAGGCAGGGGGATGACAATCAAGCAATGGTGTGTCACTGTTTCTTGCACATAGGAATGGCTCAGTGAGCTGGGCTGTTGCAAGGTATTTTGGGGACAAGCCAAACATCTCAACAAGTGTGTGGGTGTCCCCTCACCAGCCCTGCTTTGCACCTTCTTCACGTCTTTGCCAGACTGGACTATGCCCTTGAACTCTAAACAATGTCTCTGATGTGTTCATGTGAAGAAGTGACCCTACTTTGTAAAGGTGAAATGTCCATTTGCTGCTCCACCCGTTCTTGTCTCTGGCCCCGCCCATCACTGTCATGTGGCCCCCAAAAGCTCATCTGGCCCTCGGACTGAAAAACGTTACCCTTTTGTAAATACTGATAGGCGATACGCTGCTTCACCGAAGAGCGAATCGCCCTGTCCGGAGGAACTGTTGGTTGGCATGTCAAGTGATACATATTGCAATGGTTGGAACATTTTTTGCTTGAGGAGGAATTTGGGGTCCTCCTTACACTTCTGCCCTCTTCTGAACAGTGTGAGATGAGCCCTCGTTTGTACCTCAAAGGACGTAGGAAGATGGGGCTCTTTGGCTGAACTGCAGGATCTTAAAGCCGCCTCGAGACTTCACCTAGATATTTCAATGTGGGGACTAAAACAAAGAATTTATCTGTCCGCTCATCAGGAACATCCCAAAGGTTGCAGCTGGAATTATGGACCAGGCTCTCTCTGTGAGAGAGGCCACTGAGGTGTTAGTGCTGCAATATTAGGAGGCAAATAACAGTGATACTGAGATTTCTATCTTTTATTGTATATGCTCCTTTGCTTTTGTCACACACACTCATCGCCCGTACTCCCAGATCAACTTGGAAATGTCATTCTATTGCTTTTGTGGAGAACACTGTGCTTATATGGGTGTGAAATGCAATGAACCTAACATCTTGTGCGCTTCATTAGTTTCTTCCTTTTGGGAACAAGACCGGAAGTTTGTTATACAACCAGTACTGATTAAGAATGCTTTTGTGCAGAAACCGGAAGGTGGTGGTGGTCTTTCTAGGAAGGTCAGGGGTAATTTCAGAAAGACATGAGCAAGCACAGAAACACAGCTATTTAAAGAAAGCTCAACAACGCTGCTGCACAAGAATCGGGTTGCAGGATTCGTGTCAGCAAACTCTTAAGTATACGACAATATATGAATATATTTTTACTGCCGGGGGACCAGGGAGAGGCGTTTGAAGGATTTTCTGCACCAAGTGCCAAAACAATTTGCCTGGCTTTGGGCACCTTGACTTGGTGGGTAGGCAGTGCAAACGATTTCTCAGGAAATCATTTGTTAGGTGAGCGTTTGCATAATGAGTCAATGATTTCCATTTATTCCTATGGGGAAATTTTTAATGCGTTCCCGACCATAGAATTTCAACCCCAGTGTGAGGGGGGTGGGAACCAGGAAAACCCTCTGAAACTTTACAAAAGGCAAACAAGGGGGAAATGCTCTCATTTGTCTGATCTATCCCCTTACCTCCCCTTCCCACCTCATGGTTTCTGGCAAAACGACTGCACACACAAAAATGAGACTCGTTTAAGGTTGCTTATTTGTTTATAGTACTACATGCAGGTCTGGCTGTTTGGATTTCTGAATCTATGGTGTGTATAGCGAGGTTTGGGTGTTAATTCAAGTTTGGATAAGTGAATTTGTGCATAATGAGCGACTGAATATGGGATCTGTGTGTACTTGGCAAAAAACAAAACACCAAACAGAAAGAAAGAGAGGAAAGGTTCTTTTGATAGGGCATAAACTTTACTTTAAATAAAATACACATCAGAAGCCGGTCATACAAACACCCACGCGCACACACACTGAGTCGCTATCAGGCTGCCTCAAACCAGCAACTGGTTCTCATCACAGCCAAGGTCTAGCAAATTTGTTCTGAGAGGCCAAAACCGCTCCCATCCCCAGAAAACAGAGACACGGGGACCTGTGGAGACCACTGAGGAGGGAGAAGAGAGAAAGGCTTTCCAGACCCACCTTTTGCTACTTAAATTAGTGCAAATGTCATCGCCATGGAGCAAAAGTGCCTCCCATCTTTTGACTGGGGCAAACAGGGATGTACCAAGTGGGTTAGATAGGTAGGAGATGTCTCAGTGGAGGGAGCCTCCCGCCGTCTGTCTTCTCACGTGGTAGCGCTGAAAGGCACCCTCAGGCTGCCAGTCTCTCCCCAGCTTCTGCACCGAGAGCAGATCACGTGTCTACACGCTGGAGAAGCTATAAAGAGACTGGTGCCTGCCCTTATATATCTGTTGCTGGGGCGAGATAAATGAATGGCATGCCTCATTTTACTGTAGTGTATGTCAAAAAAAGCCCCATAGGGAGCGCAAGAGTTCCGTTTCTTTTTTAAAAAAGGATATTTTTCTATATCGCAGTCTGTGGTGGCAATCCAATGAAAGCAGACTGGGGAGGTTCTCTAAAATGCAGACAGAGGTTTTTAAAAAGTCGTCTTCTCAACACCTACTCAGCCACCCAATACAAATCATGTAAAAAGAGCGAGAACAAAGCAGCAGCGTTGTTTCCTTCCTGCATCCTTCCCTGCTTTTCTTCCCTCCGTTTCAAGCACTCCAGCCCACCTGGAGAAAGATGATGGCGTCGCTAATAAGCCAACAAACCTAAGGTGAAATGTGCAGGGGCGCAGAATTGTCCCCAGCATACAGTGCTCCCAGGAAACAGGTGCATGCTGGTGGGGAGGGGAGAGGGGAAAATAAGGGGCGGAGGAAATGGTGGCTCGATGAATGGGGCCAGCAAAATGCTCGAAGTTTCCAAGCAACTGGGGCCTGGGTTTGCAGAGGATGGCAGGGCGTCTGGGTTGCGCCAAAGGCTGCAAATTGCGGGGGAAATTCAGCCCCACGGCCGCACTTCAGCAGACGGGCCCAGCATAACCAATGCGCTCCCAAGACCTGCCTTTCTCTGCGTGATCATTCCTTTCGTGCCCGACCCCTCCTTCTCCCCATTTCCCCAGGAGGTCGGGGGCGAAAGGGACTGCAGCAGAGAGCGGGGGTTATGGGGGCATGTCAGAGGCTGATGCTGCGGTGGTGCTTGAAGGGGTGGGGCTGGGCTTCGCGGCGCTGCTCCCGCTCCTCCAGCTCGTCGCTGTTGAGGCTGGCGGCGTCGGACAGCCCCAGCAGGTGCTCCACCGAGTCGAATTTCTGCAGGTCGGAGGCAATGGTCTGGAAGCTGAGCAACGAGAGCGTGTCGGCGGAGGCGGCTGGCTCAGGAGGCAGCGCCGCCGCCCCATAGAGCAGTGCCGGGCTGGCCTCGGCACCCACCGGGGAAGCCCTCCGGCCCACCAGGCGCTGGAGCCTCCGGGCATGGATCTGTTCGCTGATCTGCTCCAGGTTCCGCAAGGCCACAGAGTAGCGCATCTTGGCCTGGCCCACCTGCTGCTCCAGGGACGTCACCCGGGCCTTGTGCTCCTGTACGGCAAAAAAGCAACAGGTGAAGCATTAGGCCAACATGCACACCAACCAGGCTTTTATTTTCCCTGGAAATGCTTTCCATTTATTTTTGGTTTGTTCTTTTTATTTTACTTTGACAAAGTAAATAAATAAGAATAAAAATGTGTACCTCACCCACAAGACCATTCCATTGTAACTATCCAACCTCCCAAAATTTCAACACCTCGTGCGATGGTTTGACCCCTTTCCGTTTTAACAGTACACTTTCTACAAACAGCTTCCATGTCTTCTCACACTCATTTCTGCTGCATGTTCCACGTCCTGCCTTAATGGCATGGGTTAATTTATCATTAATAGCTATATCCCACGCCTCTTTATACCATTCTTCTATTTTATATTCTGCTTGCTCCTTCCACTTCCATGTAGAATAATTTGTGCAGCTGTCAATAAATTTGTGAGCAAGTCCTTCATAGCCTGCGAACCTTCCACTCCATTGTAAATTGATAATATTGCTATCTCTGGACTTTCGATCAGCTTTAACCCGGTGATTTATTTCTGTTATCTCCTTAAACACCCTTTGCCAATAAAAAATAAAAAATGTACATATTTACACCCCCGCCACATGTGAACATAATTCCCTGTTTCCTGGCATCCCCTCCAACATAACACCAAATATTCCTTGCTTGTTTGATTTAATCTGACTGGTGTTAAATACCATCTCCAAACTAATTTATAATAATTTTCTTTTATTCTTATAGACAACATTTTCAACAAATCAGGCATTTAAACCCTCAGGCACCCACTTTAAACAGTCGCAGATTCCCCCACCAAAGGATTCTGGGAGCTGTCGTTTGTTAAGGGCACAAAGGCTGCCTTGGTGGGGCGAGTCCTAGGACCCAGAGGAAGGTCTCACCTCAAGGATTTGGTTGAACTGGGCCTTCAGCTCAAAGTAGGGCTTGCTCTTCACAATGACCCGCTTCAAGGACTTCTGCAGCGACTGCACCTTGGCCTCGGCCTGCTGGCAGAGCTGGGTGACGCGCTGGTGCTCCCGTTCGCTTCGCAGGCGCTCCTCTTCGGCCTCGTTCACCTGAAGGGAGGGAAAGGGGCAAGTCAGAGAGAGGATGCTCTCCAGGCCTTGAAAGCTCACACTGGGAACAACCTCCCACCCACTCTGCCATCACTTTGTCTTCCCCAGCAACCAGTTCTTTCCCTCTTCCTCTATTTTCCCCCCAATTTTTTAAATTAATTTTCCAAAATTTTAAACTAACGAACAAGCATACATCATAACTGTACTTAACCCAATCTTAATAAGATTGTTAAGAGACTTCCTCAAATTCCCTTGACTGAATTTCATTATATATCATTGTAACGGATTTCCAAAACAACATCTCATAAAATTTACTTAATCCTCTTAACATCTTTGTTTCTTTTCATCTTTGCTTTAAACATAATATTCTATAACTTCACATATTTAAATCCTTAGCCTATCTACTTTTTTTGCAAGTATTTCTAATTAATTTATCTTAGCATATTTAAGTAAATAATCTTTGAAGTTCTTCCATTCTTCCTGGTGCTCCTCCTCCTTCTGGTCACGGACTCTTCCGGTCAGGTTGGTTAGCTCCAAAAAGTCCATGATCTTCATCTGCCATTCCTCTTTCTCTCTTCCTCCAGTTGGCAAAGATGCGAATGGTGTGTGGACTCTCCCAACCTTACTAACTTCAGCCCTGTGTGTACCTGAAGGTGCGTCTCCACCCCCATCGCTCAGCCTGAACACCGAGGTCCAGCTCCAAGGGCCTTTTGGTGGTTCCCTCACTGCAAGAAGTGAAGCTACAGGGAACCAGGCACAGGGCCTTCTTGGTAGTGGCGCCGGCCCTGTCGAACACCCTCCCGTCAGATATCAAGGAAATAAACAACTATCTGACTTTTAGAAGACATCTGAAGGCAACCCTGTTTAGGGAAGTTTTTAATGTACAGTGGTGCCCCGCAAGACGAATGCCTCGCAAGACGGAAAACCCGCTAGACGAAAGGGTTTTCCGTTTTTGAGTTGCTTCGCAGGACGAATTTCCCTATGGGCTTGCTTCGCAAGACGAAAATGTCTTGCAAGTCTTGAGGTTTTTTTCCCGCTTTTCGCCCCCTTTATCTAATCTGCTAAGCCTTTAATAGCCTTTAATAGCCTTTTAGCAGCTAATCTGCTAAGCCTTTAAGCCTTTAATAGCCGCTAAACCGCTAATAGCGCTAATCCGTTAAGCCGCTAATAGGGTTGCTTCGCAAGACGAAAAAACCGCTAGACGAAGACTCTCGCGGAACGGATTAATTTCGTCTTGCGAGGCACCACTGTATAATCAAGAATTGTCTTTTTGTTGGAAGCTATCCAGAATGGCTGAGGCAACCCAGTCAGATGGGCAAGGTATAAGAAATTATTATTATTGTTGTTGTTGTTGTTGTTGTTGTTGATATTATTATTATTATTATTATTATTGTGGTACCTCGGGTTAAGAACTTAATTCGTTCTGGAGATCTGTTCTTAACCCGAAACTGTTCTTAACCTGAAGCACCACTTTAGCTAATGGGGCCTCACACTGCTGCTGCGCCACCGGAGCACGATTTCTGTTCTCATCCTGAAGCAAAGTTCTTAACCCGAGGTACTATTTCTGGGTTAGTGGAGTCTGTAACCTGAAGCGTCTGTAACCTGGAGCGTATGTAACCCAAGGTACCACTGTATTATTATTACAGTGTGTTGGATGGTATGATCTGTATCCAGCGGCATAGTGGCAAATTCAGGAGTGCAGGGTCTTTTTATGATATTCACAGCCAAGCCGCCTTCTAATATTAGACAATAATCTGATAATTATACAGTAACAATGAGAGGTGCCCTGCAACGATCGGTGCAGATCTCCACATGTTGCCTTTCAGCTAGATCTGCTGTTTTCTGTGCACGTAAACAGGCACATAATTTGGAGTGCTCCGTATCTTCCTCAAGAGCACTTTGAGCTGCGTTTTCCATGAAGTTCCACTGAACGTCACAGAACTTGCAGACCACTGTCTTGAAACTGAAGCACCTTGCACTTCCAGCGTCCCCAAATCCTAGCTTTGGGGCATCCAAAGACTAAAAAGCTCCCCTTCCATGCTGACTGGGTGGCTCTAAGAAGCTGGAGACAGGGACGGACCCTGCTCCAGAAATAGCAACAGGCCTTCAACCTCCTGTGACTCCAGACCACTACCGCATTGGGGGACTTGCAGTCCTTTCAGTGTTGGTGGGACACCATCATGCCTGAATCTGGCCAGACTACAGCGGCCACCATTCCTGAGCGTTGACTTGTGCTGGCTGGGGGCTGATGGGAGAAAAGAGTCTGACGACATCCGCAGGGTTGCAGGCTCCTGATCCCTGCAGGCCTTCCCCCTCACCTTGCACGTAGCGTGGTTGAGCATCTCCTGCCAGGTGGGGTCCAGTCTGTTTTTGTCAGCCATGACCCCCTGCTCAGCCACGAAAACCATCTCCCGGGCCGCGTTGTGCATGCTGACGGCTCGCTCGTACCGCAGGGCAGCCTTCTGGGTCTCTTGCTGTGCCTGTAGTGAGTGGAGGAGAGAAATGCAACGCAAACAAAAATTCCATTAAAAACCCCCTAAGCTTTTGTTTCCCCCCAGAACACACACACACTCCTCTCCCCTTGTTTTAAGCACTCCCTCACCCCAATTCTCTCTCTCACACACTAGCTAGAGCAGGGGTAGCCAATGTGAGGCCACCTCTGGGTGCTGTTGGATTCCAACTCCCATCAGCCCCAGGCCAGCATGGCTAGCAGTCAGGCATGATGGGAGCTGGAGCCCAACAACATCCCGAGGGCACCACATTGGCCACCCTTGACCTAGAGGTATAATCACAGAGGAGGGAAAGGTGGAGACTTGAAACACGCAGGGAGAATTGCACAGTGCAGCTCTTGCTGGGATGTACAGTGGTACCTCGGGTTAAGTACTTAATTCGTTCCGGAGGTCCGTTCTTAACCTGAAACTGTTCTTAACCTGAAGCACCACTTTAGCTAATGGGGCCTCCCACTGCCGCCGCGCCGCTGGAGCACAATTTCTGTTCTCATCCTGAAGCAAAGTTCTTAACCCCAGGTAATATTTCTGGGTTAGCGGAGTCTGTAACCTGAAGCGTATGTAACCCAAGGTACCACTGTACCACTTCAGACACGGAGGTGGCACGTTCAACTGCTCCCTTACTTTAAATAAAGTAGCTCTCTTTATATATAAAACTAGCGTATCAGAAAAGAGCCTGCAACAGAATACCTCTTTGCTGACAGGCAGTGTTAGAAATTAGCTAGGCGCCAGGAGATTTGAGATTTTGAGATTTGTTCTTTAAAATATAAAGCGGTATAGAAACGAAAATTAATAATAATACCCCATTCGGGGGGGCGGGGACTCCATCCCAATGTGGCGACTGTAACCTAGGTTTAAAGTGCCATTTGGCAATTAGATTATATATCTGAGTTTCTAGCACTGCTGAAAGGGTAGGGTTTTAATTAAGTGCAAGTCGGCTATTTTGTTTTGTTTTGTATACAGTTATTCATGTTGACAGACACCCACATAATCATTGCCACGTCATCCATTGACATTCATGTTATCTGAAACTGCTAATTGTGGGTTTTGCTCCTCCACACTGCTGTAAGCCACTCTGGACAGGATATGCCCAGCTGTTTAAAGCTGGGAACAGGATTACGTGTTGCTGATAGCATTGTGTTTACATTATTCCTCACAGGTAAAGGATGGGCTTCTGCCAGAAGCAGCTCAAAAACCCAAGGTCCTGCCAAGAGCCTTTCAATCCATTCCTCCCCCACGCAAAATAATTCATAAAACAGCTTAAATCCTGCTTATAAAATCAGTTGTCCTGGGACAATTCCTTTTAGCCCCCAATCTTAGGTGCGGGGGATGCAGCAGAACAGGGGTCAGCAGCCAATAGGAACCAGGCAGAATTTTGAGAAAGTGCCGTGGGCACCAGTCACAAAATGGCTACTGTGGGAGAGCGGCAACGCAAAATGGCTGCCATCTATAAGATCAGAAAGGGCCCACAATATGGTGCAGGCCTCCCCGCTCAAAACAAATGAGGAAAAGGCACCTACATTGGCCATCACTGTGCTTGCTCACAAGAAGCAGCTTTGGGTGGGAGGCTGGGTGTCCAATCCTGGCACCCAATGAAATATGAGCATGCACAGAGTGGCATTCAATGTGCAAAACAGGAATTCCGAAGGAAAAGCAAACTATTTTTGACACATTGTGGACTTTTAAGGGAATGTTTACTGAGACTTTTCATAGGGGCAGCTTCTTTCCACTTTTGACAATGACTTGTGGCTATTTATGACACAAAATAAAGCTTAGAGAATTCCGGAACCCCCAAAATCGCATCCTTTAAAGATTTCTTGCTCTACAACAGCCGAGGAATAATGGCAACTTCAGGGGTGAAACAGAGGGAAATGTTAACAGATACCTCCTTGGCCAAGCGCCTGGCCTCGTAGTAGGGGCGTGCTTTCTCAATACAGTTCCCCAGCTGGGAGCCCTGAGCATTCAGCTTCCTGGCAGACTCCGACAAGATCCTCCGATATGTGGTACGGGCTTCCTGTTGAAACCAATGGCGCAAAGTATGTCAGTGTTGAAGGAATCGCCCTGCATTAAATGCATGCCTAAGATGGATTTTACGGGTTGCTGCAGTGCCGTGGCTGGCCCCACAGAGCTCAAGTGCTGCGTGAATCATATATGCACAAGGGCGGATCACACAGGGTGTCTGGAACGCATGGTTACTTCGCACACCCATATCCGTGGGGCCCTGACGGAGGTGCACTGCTGGTGCACGAAGCTGCAGATTGCAAACAGGTAGTAAACACGACCCCATCACATTTCGACTAAATATCAGGAGGAGGCTTCCTAATGCTAGGAGGTGTTTGGCTGTGGAACAGACTGCTACTGGTTGTGGTGAGCTCTCCTTCCCTGAAGGCATTGAACTGCAGGCTGGACAGCTGCCTGTCAGAGATACTGCAGCTGCACTCTGCAGATCCTGCACTGAGCAGCGGATTGGGCCCCCAAGGCCCCTCCTATGACAACCACAACTAATAATAATAATAATATTTTATTTATATCCCACCCTCCCCAACAGAAGCCGGGCTCAGAACAGCTAACAACAGTAAAATAATACAGTATTCTAAAATCAATTCATTATAAAATCAGTTCAAATCAAATTGATGGCAACCATTGGGCTAGAGTTCTGTGAGGATTACCAAAGGAGGGGGTCAGACTGTGCCTTGACCAAAGGCCTGGTGGAACAGCTCTGTCTTGCAGGCCCTGTGGAAAGATGTCAAGTCCTGCAAGGCCCTAGTCTCTTGTGACAGAGCGTTCCACCAGATTGGAGCCACAGCTGAAAAAGCCCTGGCTCTGGTTGAGGCCAGACTCTTTTCACTACAACAGGAGTCTCTAACCACCAACCAGCCTTGAGACACGGGGCTGTAACTTATATTCAGAACAGACCCATTGAAATGAATGGACCTAATTTGGTCATGCTGATTGCCACTGGATACAACCACGGTAACCTTATTACATCCGTGGTCCTCAAAGTACGAGGCAGGTCTACATGGGGAAGGATGAGCTGCAGACGACTCCAAACAGAAGCCAGAAAACAGAGCTTAAACTGAGTTGTACCTATTAGCTGATATTTTCCTTTTATTTTGTTTTACCGCAAGTATCTTTCACCGTCACGTTAGTAGAGGGAACAAATTACCCCACACGAAAAGGCAATTTTCAGTGCACTCCCTATACATTTAAGTAACTGCAGGGACAATTTCCCTCCCCAGTTCACTCTACCAAACGCGCCATGGTGCAGGCGGTGAGTGAAACTGGGGACATCTGCCTGCTGACTTGCCAAGGGATAACGCAGCCTCTGTGGAGGGGACAGAAGGCAGGAAGTGTTCGGAAGCGGAAGGGATGCTGAAATTGCTTTGAAGGTACTGCCTTACTCACATCCAGCTGCAGCTCCACTCGATTGATCTCTTCGTTGGCCTGATTGAGGTGTTCCAGCTCCTCCTGTGGTCAGAGAGAGAGGCAGACTCAAGAGACAGGCACCGGCATAGTGCAGAAGGACACATTTGTACAACTTCCGCCCCTTCATTCCCTGAACCCTTTCCTAGCAGGCTTATAAGAACCCAAGAGAAGTGGCTGGATCCAGCCACTGGCTCATCCTAGTCCAGTAACCAATGGGACGCCCAAAAAGCAAGACATGACTGCTACAGACACAAACTCCCCTCTTGCAATAGGGACGCGGGTGGCGCTATGGTCTAAACCACTGAGCCTAGGACTTGACAATCAGAAGGTCAGCGGTTCAAATCCTCGTGACAGGGTGAGCTCCTGTTGCTCTATTCCAGCTCCTGCCAATCTAGCAGTTGAAAAGCACGCCAGTGCAAGTAGATAAACAGGTACTGTTATTATGATTATACTCAGTTTACTGCCTCCAACACTGAAGTTAAAGTGTGGCCATTGTGGCGAGTAGCCATTGATAGCCTTGTCTCTTTTTGTGCTCATGCTCTTAAGTGGAATGGGAAAGAATGTGTTGATTTCTATATTTTCTTAGATGAGCACTTTTTAAAAAATTTTATTAATTGTCATCATCATCATGGCCCAGTTTCATTTCTGTTTTTATATTTGGCTTTAATCCTTTTGTGTGTGTGATTGCTATTTTTATTATGTAAGATGCTCTGAGACACTTTGGTGGGAAAAACAATATAATCAATGAATCCTCCTCCTACTTTTTAAAAGCCATCCAAGTTGGTGGCCGTCACTGCCACTTGCGAGAGCAAATCCCGCAGTTTAACTTTGTAACTCTTGAAAAGTGTCGCCATATGTACCTGGCACTACCTGTAAACACATGCAAATTGTTACTAGGACGAAACCTGCATTCCTCACAATAAGTGATAGAAAATTATAAGCAGCTGCTTGCTGGACATATTCTGCTTAACAGATAGAGCATATGTATACATAAACTGGGGATCTAAGGCAACAGAGAATGAATAGGTGGAAAGAAAGGCAGGAAAGAAAAACAGCCAGGCCTCCGATTCCTATTCCTGAATGTAGAGGCAGAAGGCACACAGAGGGACTCAGGGTCAGTCTTGAAATCTCCGCCATCTTGACAGTCCCATCAACCCCAGCCAGCATGGTCAATGGTCAGAATTGATGGGAGTTGTAGTCCAGCAACCTTTGGTGGGCCCACAAAAGGTCCCCCATCCTTGACTTCAAGAATCTCAGGTAGCAGGGCTAGAAAACATCCTCCTGCTGCTAAAGTTGCAAAACAGTGAAGCAGGGACGGAGCAATGGAGAACTTCTGAAAGAACAATGGGACACTAGGTCAGCCCAAGGCATGATGGAGAACAGCAGCAACGGATAGACATAATATATTACAAGGACAGGAAGAAACATTAGGGACAGAATAATTGCCACACACAGGAAGAACAAGGAGAGAGTCTGAATGCTTTGCCTGCAGGCGTATAAATCATTTAATGTTGCATAAACCGTTTAATGTTGAATGGAAGTTGTTAAAACTGCAGTTGCAATACAAGGGATTGTTATTTCGACTGGAGCGTAATTGAAATTTACGAACGCAGAAGTAAAGTAAATCATCAAACCATCAATTCTAGCATGCGGAGTGGAGCCATCTAAATTGTATAATTTGGTATCTCAGTGATTGGTATTATTAATTTGGGATTGTTATAATGAGGCTATTATTGGATTACGGTAATTGAAAAGTAATAAAATTATTATCAAAAAAAGAAAAGAAAAAGAAAACATCCTCCTCACCTTGGGACGCCCAAAATGCCAGGAAGTCTCAAGAGACAATGGAGTGTGCCTCTGGGGGTGAAGCCAAACCGCTGACTTAGCAGCACCAAAGCGACCTCCCTGGGGCGCAGGCCTGGGCAGTGTGTCTGGAGGTCCTGAGCTGCCCAGAGGACAAGACCCCGCTCTCGGCCTCACTGATGTGGTCCAGAAAGCAGGACAATACATTTGGCACCTCCCTGGCTGCTGGAAGGAGACATACGAGGCGCCATTCTGCACATGCTATAAAGGGAAGTGATGGGCAGATGGGGCTCATCAACCTGGGAGAAGGAAAACTCTTGTCCTAAACTCCGCTGCCTTTTGGGTTATCGCTGGCAGAAGAAAAGGCTAAGGAGTAAAACCCTACACAAATCCAGAATGCAGTCCCTACCTTCCACTGGGCTGCAGATTTGAAGCGTGGTACCCACCCACCCTGGGACGCTGGTGGCGCTGTGGGTTAAACGACAGAGCCTAGGACTTGCTGATCAGAAGGTCGGCGGTTCGAATCCCCACGACGGGGTGAGCTCCCGTTGCTCAGTCCCTGCTCCTGCCCACCTAGCAGTTCGAAAGCACGCCAAAGTGCAAGTAGATAAATAGGTACCACTCCGGCGGGAAGGTGAACGGCGTTTCCGTGCGCTGCTCTGGTTCGCCAGAAGTGGCTTAGTCATGCTGGCCACATGACCCAGAAGCTGTACGCCGGCTCCCTCGGCTAATAAAGTGAGATGAGCACTGCAACCCCAGAGTCTGTCACGACTGGACCTAATGATCAGGGGTCCCTTTACCTTTACCTTACCCACCCACCCAATTTACTTTCCTCTCTGCAGTAGCGCCAAACGGCAGGAAGGGCTGGGGGAGGATGAGATGGCAGCGGTTGTCACACCAACCCAGGGGTTGCAATTGCTGATGGTTCTTAATGCCAGCCCTGTAAATAGCAATAAGCTCCCGTACTCTCCCCCAGAAATAGATGGATAAGGTGTTTTTCCTGGGGGAAATGTACCACTTGGAAAAGGGCAGGGAGCTTCCTGGTGCCTGAAGCATACTGTTCCTGGCAACCCCATGATCACTGGATGGATGAGCATTTTCATCTGTAATTGCTTTCAGAATGTTTTTATCTGAAATGGTTTTAACTGTTTCGGAACGTTCCCGCCTTGTTTTTCCTCTTAAATGGTGTATTCGCTTGCCGCCTTGGGCTCCTTGGGGAAGAAGGGCGGGGTATGAAAACCAATAAATAATGCTAATGGTCCCCCGTTCATCCCATGACTGTAAATGGACCCACTTAGCTTCCACAGGGTTGCTGCGCTGGGTGGCTGCCAAGAGCCAAACTGACTGCTGCTTACTTTTGCTCAAAGGAATTTTTGCATTTACTAAAATAAAAATGCTGGCAACTAGCCCTGAGGCAAAGGGAAAAAATAAACACACTATTGGGCCATTCTGTTCCTGCTTGATTGGAAATGCTAAGTGGCTCGCTGGCAGCAGGGCCAAGAGGCGAGTCACAGTAGTTCAACTGGTTTCTGTCCACACTTTCAATACAGCCTTAGAGCAAACCAGATTACAAGCTTACATGGAGCAATCCCCGAAGAACTGAATGGCAACCCCTCCCAGGCCTGCCATCAGGCAAGTGAATACAGGAAGAAGTATCGTACTGGTTTCCAAGCACAATTCAAAGTGCTGGTGCTGACCTTTAAAGCCCTAAATGGCCCCGGCTCTGTATACCTGAAGGAGCGTCTCCACCCCCATCGCTCAGCTCCAAGGGCCTTCTGGCAGTTCCCTCACTGCGAGAAGTGAAGCTACAGGGAACCAGGCAGAGGGCCTTCTCGGTAGTGGCGCCTGCCCTCTGGAACACCCTCCCATCAGACGTCAAGGAAATAAACAACTATCTGACTTTTAGAAGACATTGGAAGTCAGCCCTGTGTTGGGAAGCTTTTAATGTTTGATGTTTTATTGTGTTTCTGTGTATACTGGAAGCTGCCCAGAGTGGCTGGGGAAACCCAGCCAGATGAGCAGAGTACAAATAAAATAAAATAATAATAATAATAATAATAATAATAACAACAATGCAGCTATTTTTCTTACCTGGATGCGGGGATCAAGCTCCTCCTCTTCCTCCTGCTCCTCTTCTTTCCTCTGGGAAGTTTTGGCATCACCACTGCCACCGTCACAGATGGCTTCAGGCACGGGTGTCCTCTGCTCCTCTCCCTCTTCGGTGGGCGTCCTCAGCTCCCCGGGAGGTGTTTCCCGCCCATCACCCATGTTCATGCCCAGCACCAACCTCTGGTCAGAGTCCTCCATGCCCAGCCTCCGACGCCCCTCTGCAGCCTCCTCACCCGGGCGGTTTGGCCTCGTCACAGAAATGCAGGCACCATTCTAACGCCAGGCCCATCCAGAGAGCATTGGCACAGGGCTTCTGGGTTTGCAAAGATGCATTTGGCAAGGGAAGCAGGCAGAAATTTACAGCGCTGGTCTGGAGAGCGATGGGGCACCCTCCAGGGACCACGCGCTGCCCGGAACGGAAGGAAGGATGCCAGGCGATTCTTTGAGGAGCTTAAAAGGGCTTTAGTCCTGGAGGTGCTGAGAGAGGCACATAGCAACAGTTGCTCACTCACGGAGGGGGTGGAGAAAATTCCCCACCAGGCATATCCTCCACCCCCTCATCTACAGCACACCCTTAAGACACCTCCTCCAAGGCCACATCCAGCAGCAAAGGCGAGAGAACCGAAGCAGTCAAGAACAGGCTGGGCTGGGGGGGAAATGAAAAAGGAGACTGGTTAACTATGCATATTGTAAAAAGGTAAAGGTAAAGGGACCCCTGATCATTAGGTCGAGTTGTGACCGACTCTGGGGTTGCGGCGCTCATCTCACTTTACTGGCCGAGGGAGCCGGCGTACAGCTTCTGGGTCATGTGGCCAGCATGATGAAGCCGCTTCTGGCGAACCAGAGCAGCACATGGAAACGCCGTTTACCTTCCCGCCGGAGCGGTACCTATTTATCTACTTGCACTTGACATGGTTTTGAACTGCTAGGTGGGCAGGAGCAGGGACCAAGCAATGGGAGCTCAACCCGTCACGGGGATTCGAACTGCTGACCTTCTGATTGTCAAGTCCTAGGCTCTGTGGTTTAACCCACAGCGCCACCCGTGTCCCAATGCATATTATAAAAGGCAGCAAACAGCAAAGCTACATCCCACTTGGCCAACTGCAAACTCTGTGTGCGTTTACATATTTGCAATCTTATTCCGGTTGCGCCACAAATTGCAACGACCCTAGGAATTTAATTCGGACCTATGTACCTCTGGCACCTGAAAATGTTATTCTGGCTTCAACAAAAAGTGACGCAAGCGTACAACAGAAGCCGCCCACCAGATCTGTATCTAGATAATCTCTTGCCACAATGGTTACATGTCACAATGAAGAACATCGCCACGCTTGCCACAACTATAAGAGGTTTGAAGCTCTGCCAGAAATGTTTATCGCTTTCTTCTAGGCATCAAACACAACAACAGATAGGAATAGGAATAGGTTGTGGGAGAGGCCACAGGGAGCTTGCAGCCCAATGCATAAAGTATTTCTAATCACGTTTAAATATTTAACAATTTGTTCCTGATCAGTGTTGATTCTCGCCCACCCTAAACATATCAGCACCCAAGATAGATAATCCACATTTTCCAGATTGCTAGATGCCAAGAACTCATTTCTAGGCTTCTGGGAACACATGTTGCCATAATAACTCTATTGTTCATGTGACTGGAGACACACAGCTCAGTCCTCTATCTACTGCTCCTAATCAACAGCACACAGTTCGTATCAGATCAGCTGTTTATTTATGGACACACAGAGTGCCTGCTGGAGCTATCAGGACCAAGATCATTTGCCTGTGACCTAAACTGCTTCTCTCTTTGTGCGTTCTGAGTTGCAAGATCAAAACCGCATAAACTTCAGAGCTGCTTTGCTGTAACTTTTGAAAGGCTTCTGATCATTATGGAAGATAAAGCAGTAAGAGACGGGACAAACATCCCACTGCCCTAAGCTGCCTAGAAACGACAATCACCCTCATCACCATCCCTCAATCTCCTTTCTGATGCTACCATCCCTGCCCATCTTCAAATCCTTTTAAATCCTATGAAGCATTGGGCATGCCTCAACAGCCCTCTCCTCTGCAGAAGCAGAGTCCAAACATGTCTAATTGAACCAAGAATATTTGATGTGAGCCACCCAGAGTGGCTGGGGAAACCCAGCCAGATTGGCGGGGTATAAATAGTAGTAGTAGTAGTAGTAGTAGTAGTACTTCCCTTATCCACTCACTCCTGCACCTTTCCCAGTTCCCCCAGCCCCGGTCAATATGTAGATTGTACCCTACTCCGGGCAGGGACCTGTCCTTATTTCCACCCCCCCCCATCGTCTGCCAGACATCATAAACACTGGCAGCACCGTATGGAAACGGTCAATTGCTGTTGTTGCCTTTCGTCTTCAGCTGCACCCTATGTGAAATCTCAATTATCCATTTATTATTATTATTATTATTATTATTATTATTATTATTAATTTTGCGCCACTCTCCGCTTAAATAAGGGCTTTTTTCCTCTCCGGGGGCTGAACCACCCCCCCTTGCCAGTACCCCTACCACCCGGCGGTCGGTCGCTCCCTCGGCGGAGGCGAGGAAAGGGAGGCTGCCAGGGCCCAAGAGACCACCCCCCCCCCCTTTGAACCCGGGCTCGAGCTGCCATCGCCCTCCTCTCCCCGCTGGGCCTCTACGCGCCGCCTCCAGCGGGGATCCCCTCCCTCTTTTGCGTCGGCCTCCGGGTTCCCCTCCCGAGGAAGCGCGCGCAAGGAATCCGGAACCACGGGCCCCCCAAAAAATATATTATTTTTAAAAAATCGCTCTATTTACCTCCAGCTCCAGCTGCAACCTCCTCCAACCCCCGCCCAAGCGGAAACGGAAATCCTTCCTCCCCCCCCCCCGACCCCAGGGAAACCACCCTTCCCTTGCGCCCGGCCCTCGTGTCCGTACAGCATGGCGCTCTCCATGTCTCCAAACAGGGCGGCTGTTTTTGCGCAGCGCGCATTTCAGCGCCCGCCGTGGGGTCTTTGGGGCCGGGAGGGGGGCTCCAGGCAGGCGCGGGACGGGATTTTTTTGGGGGAAAGGCAGGATATTAGGCTTCCAAAGGAGGTTTGAAGAGACCCACCGGGAAGCGCCATGTTGCGTTACGGACAAGGGAGGCCCGGGCAGCTGAGCTGGGCGCGCAAGGGCTTTTTCCACGCAGCCCGGCCGCCTCCGGAAGATGGCTTCGTGCGCCGGCTGGATGAGACGGGGAAGCGCCTGCAAGGAAACCCAATCGCGCGGTGCATTTTCGTGCTGCGAGGCTGGAGGGTTTTTCTTTTTAAGGCTATCGGAGCCGGTTAAGCTTGCCTCTGAGCAGCACTCTTAGGACTGAACTGCGCGTTGAGCCTGCTCCGGGCAATCGGCGGCTGAGGTTCGTCATGGGATCGGTGCTCTGGACCACGAGCAAAGCTGGTCTAGTTTGGTTGGGCTATCTCGCTTTTCAGCATGAAGAATGCACCAAAGCGACCCCCCCCCAAAAAAAGAAAAAACACTATCACGAATGGTAGAGACGGATGCCTTCTCTGGCGACCCGTCGTAGCCAAGAAGTGTGCATGCACACGAAAGCTCATACCAAGAAACTTAGTTGGTCTCTAAGGTGCTACTGGAAGGAATTGTTTTATTTTATTTCGACTATGGCAGACCAGCACGGCTACCTACCTGTAATGGTCTTCCGTGTGTAAGGAGGGCAGCAGCTGGATAGCTCAGTTGGAGAGTGTGTGGCTCATTTCATGCTCTCTCTCTCTATATATATATAAACATAAAGAGAACATGAAATGAGCCCTGCTGCCTCAGTCCACAAACGCCTCTCTGCTCTCAGCCTCCCGATCTTCACAATGACTAACCAGCTGCCTATGAGAAACCTACAAGCAGGGCTTGAAAATGACAACCCTCACTTCTTGTCACTCCCCAGCAACTGATCTTCAGAGGCCTGCTGCCTGGGAGCCTGGAAATTAGACCCCATTCCTAGTACCCGTTGATTGCTTTATCTTTCATGGATTTGTCTAATGCTCTTTTAAAGCTGTCCCAGTTGGCAGCCACTGCTCCATCTTACTGCAGTGAATTCCACGGTGCAGCTGTCTGCCCTGTGAAGAAGCACAGGCTTCCATTGGCCCCGAATTTCATACCATTCAGTTCCATTGGATGACCCTGAGTTATCAAAGGGAGAAGCCCATCTACTTCCTTGACATCACACATATTTTTAGAACCCTGTCATATCCTCCCCTGATTTATAACCCCCCCCCAAATTATTTATTCCCTCTCCCCAATGTTGTAATATTTCTTTGTAGGGGAGTTGCTTCAATCCCCTAATCCAGGCACAGGCAAACTCAGCCCTCCAGATTTTTGGGACTACAACTCCCATCATCCCTAGCTAACAGAACCAGTGGTCAGGGATGATGGGAGTTGTAGTCCCAAAACATCTGGAGGGCTGAGTTTGACTATGCCTGCCCTAATCATTTTGGTTGTCATTCCTGCACCCTTTCCAACTATACAATATCCTTTTATTAAGACGCAGCGATCAAAACTGTGCACAGTATTCCAAGTGCGGCCACTTACGAGTGTTGCAGTAAATGGTTTTTTATGTAATTTTTATCCTGGGCTCAGTTACGGAAATCCCAAACCATAATCCAGGTGATAAATACTGCTAGCACTTAAGTGCCACTTCAAAGTAGTATTTGAGTTACTCACTTTGTTGAATGGATGCTGACCCTTGCTTCATTGTTGAACTGTATATTTTATTGGTGTGGTTGTTGTTTTTTAATGTTTTGTAAGACACTTTGGAGGTGGGATTAAAAAGTGCTTTAAATATCATCTCGGTTGTGTGCTTTGCCTTCCCATCCAGTCACCCTAGTAAAGTGCCACAAGCGCCCTGAATGAAATAAATGGAGAAAGATGGTTTAAGTGTGGCAAATATGAGCAACTCTTTGTTCAGAGCTCTGCCCTCATGACTCAGCCCATAAGAGGGAGACGTCCTAGGTGGATTGGAGGAAAAGTCACACAGGAGACACACCCTGTGGGTGTCTTTAGTGTGGGAGAAGCTTCACTGTCAGCTCAGCTCTGAGAACCCACAGGGGAGAAAGAGACACCATGGATGCTCTCTGTGTGGGAGAATATAAGAACGTAAGAAGTTGGTTGGTTGGCATCTGTTGTGTCTTGGGAGACAATGGAGACCCTTCTGGAAACTGCAGAAGGAGCAAGTGCTGTTGTGCTCAGGCTCTGTTTGCTGACTTCCCACGGGCATCTGGTTGGCCACTGTGAGAACAGGGAGCTGGGCTAGATGGGTCATTGGCCTGATCCAGCAGGGCCTTTCTTAATATTCTTGTGCTCTTTTTTTGTTGGGGAACAGGTTCCCCATCCCTGAGGGAAGAGGACAAAAAAAAGAGCAGCCATCTAAAGGCCTTTCAGGACCCTGGACAGGTCCATTGGGTGCAGACTACTTGGTCTGATAGCATCGCACATCCAACTGATTGCAGCACCGCCAGTTCCTGGGAAAGCGGAGAGCTTCAAGGGGCAACCTCTGGGGCTGGAGCCAAAGACTGGGTCAGTTCTGAGCTGGTCTCTTGCCCTGTGCCTACAAACAAGCATTGCGGAACACAAAGTCTCTGGGCATTGAGGGTTCTGGTATCTTGGCAGAACCTGGAGGCTCTGCCTTTTGGGGTTCTGGTTCAATGCCGAGTTGAAAGTTGGGACCTGGGTCCAGCAACCTCTGTAGCTGCCTCTCCTGACTTGGTTGGCTTCTCCTCTGCCATATCTGGATCCTTGCACCTAGAAGATAGGAAGCTGCCATATACCAAATGCGACGGGAGAACGCTTCTCCTGACTTTTGTTTGGTCCGTTGCAATGGATCAGGGCATCAGTCTTGCTTGCATTGCAGTAGAAAACCAGTCCCTCTGTAGCCCTGACCCAGTCTGTGGCACACAATGCAACAACAGGCTTTCTGATTGCAGAGACTTGAAGGGTGCTTGCATTGATAAACGCTCTGGCAACCAGGAAAACCCGTTAAATCGTTTCCTTAGGGATGAGTGTGACTCCAAACAAGCACTGCTGCCTTCGTAGGCTTCATTTAGGACACTTAGGGATTTGTAAAATAAAGCTTGTTCCCTTCCCTGCATGCTGGAATTTGTCCCACATGTAGGCAAGATGATAATCTTGAAGCCCATCTGGAAGGAATATTGCAAACACATGCACCCAGGCATATACATTTGCTCTCCACTCTACCATATGCCATATTTCGCATGTATAAACTGCTTTCAGGTTGTGGTTGTTGTTATTTTTTTAAAAAAACAAGCAGTATATACATTTTATGAAACAAAATGAATGGCATGGCAAGAGCCTTGCCAATCACACTGTAGGTAGAAATTTTGCAGTCTTTCTCTATTTCCTAGGAGTGACATAACTCCAGTGTTTAATTTTCCTTGTAGACTAGGGTCTCTCATTTCTTTAGGCTAGGAAGATGAATGCGTTAAGCTATTGGTTTAAATGCACCTGTGACCTTATGTTTATGCTGCACCATATTATCCAGCTGATGATTAATTTCTTTGTTGTTTTATAATAAATGGGTGCTTCTCTTGGCTGCCCAAAGAAACCTTTGATGTGGTCTGAATCAACCGTTTAAACATTTTCTGAACAACCCTCAATGTGAGTCCTGCATAAGTTTCTATCTCATTTTTCAGGGAGGTGAAGGGCATGCGTGAAGGGCCCACACGCTCCTAGAATTGTAGCGCAGGTTGGATCATTGATCTATTCAGTTCAGTACTGTATTGACAGAAACCTCTCCTGGCCCTAGCTAGAAATGAAAGAGATTGGACCCTTGTATTGCCTGTATGCAAAGCAGACACTCTGCCCCTAAGCCAGGGCAGTGATGGCCACCAAGATGGAATCTACGCACCTATAAAAACCCCCTGTGAAAATGCTTTTTTTTAAAAGGTTTTGAAAAAGACATTGAATTTTGCCTAGCTCACTGTCGCCATCTAGCATCACATTTGTATACTGCACTTGACAACACATTTAAAACATTTTGTTTGCAGTTGTGTAGATGAGTCCCAAGTTGCAGGACTTCAAGGAGGGGAGAGAGAGAGAGAGAGAGAGAGAGAGAGAGAGAGAGAATTGGACAAGTCTATACATGGTTACTAGTCATGCCAAGGGTATCATATTAAGGTCCATAAATAGCAACACCCTAGTGGTCCCGGGCCCTAAGGAAGTCGGATTAGCCTCAACCAGAGCCAGGGCCTTTTCAACACTGGCTCCGGCCTGGTGGAACGCTTTTTCCTTTCTCTTTCTGTGATGGAACTCCTATTTGGGGACTTCCCTGGCTTTTTTCTGGCCCACATAGGACCAGTCTGGATAGTTAGCCTTGGTGAAGACTTGACGTTTTCATCCCCAAAAAGTTTTTGATTTGAGTTTCTACTGAAATGAGGCTGCATTTTAATGTTGTACTTTAATCTTGTTTTTAAGTTTTATTTTAATCAATTGTTTTTATACCTGGTGTTAGCTGCCCTGAGCCCGGTCTTGGCCGGGGAGGGCGGGGTATAAATAAAACTTATTATTTTATTTATAATTTATAATCTATATAATATACATAGATTAGCTTCAACCAGAGCCAGGGCCCTTTCAACACTGGCTCCTGCCTGGTGAAACGCTCTGCCTCATGAGACCAGGGCCCTGCAGGATCTGATTTCTTTCCGCAGGGCCTGTAAGACAGAGTTGTTCCACCTGGCCTTTGGCTTGGAGCCAATTTGATTCCCTCCCCCTCTTCCTTTTTCCTTTCTCCTCCTGTGATGAGGCTGCATTTTAATATTGTTTCAATATTTTAATGTTGTATTTTAATCTTGTTTTTAAGTTGTATTCATTCAACTTGTTTTTATTATTGCTTGTTAGCCGCCCTGAGCCCTGCCTTGGCTGGGGAGGGCAGGGTATAAATATTATTATTATTATTACCACCTCCAGGATCAGAGGCAGCAAAGTTTTGAATGCCAGCTGCTGGGGAGCAAGAGCAAGAGGAGGCTACTGAGCTCATGCCCTGATTGTGGGCTTCCTGGAGGCTTCTGATTGGTCACTGCAGGAAAGAGGATACTGCGCTAGCTGGGCTTTCAGGCTGATGGAGCAGGGCTCTTCTTATGGGCACTTCCTTTCTCACTTTCTCATAAACTGAAAAGCACAGCACAAACCTCCCACTTCAAATCTGGCAACGTTTTGCAGGTTTCATCAAGATCGAGGGATTTGCATTCCCCCAGCCTTACTCAGAAGATTATTATGAGACTCAAAGCACACTATAAAGCACTGCACTTGTTTATTGAATGATCATACAGTTTATGGTTATTTGTGACCATTGTAAATGTGGCAAGACTCACAGCTTGCCTGGTTTTTAAAAACTCAAATCTTCCCAAAATAATGTAAGGAGTCCAGTCACATTTATCTCCCCACAAATGAAGGAGGGAGGCATCAAAACTGAAAGGGAAAATACACATACACACACACACACACACACACACACACACAAACCCACAATCCAAACTGATAACATTCCTAAACAGTGTGAATGAGAACCATGGATTCATGATCCATGAACATGGATATTGTATGTTTTGTTCTGCTTCAGAGTGGAGTTTCATTAGTTCATTTTCTTCTAAAATAACAGGTGCAAGAAAATATGTGCTTCAATCATTTTCATCGGTGCTCCACAGGAATGGAAACAGTTAAATGTGTTTGCACTAACTAGGGCTGCTGGTTTGTTTGTTCCATCCTTTAGCACCAGCATAGCAGGCAGAAGTTCAGCAGGTGCTGCTTTTCCAGCATGGAGATGACACAAGCTGCATGTTTTGTCTGTGATGCATTTGTTAAAGGCACTGCAGAAAGATCATAATCATATTACTTTGACAAACATCTCTTTAATTGTTCATCTTTCACTGCTCACAGTAAGGGAAACGAACCAGTTCTCCACATAATATACTCTACATCCCCTAAGCCTCTGCAATTCCTACTGTCATCCCATCTGTAGTTGCTTCTGCGAGGTCAGGGGAAGTTACTTCAGTGTAAGTGCGATTGGCATCAGGTGGCATACAGGTCCTTATCAATGTCAATGGAGCAACAACAAGATACAGAGGGCAAAATGCCAGCCATTTCTGCCCTTCACCAAAGCTTTCTGCAAGCCACTTTGTTTCCAAAACCGGTGTGGTGTAGTGGTTAAGAGCGGTAGACTCGTAATCTGGTGAACTGGGTTCGCGTCTCTGCTCCTCCACATGCAGCTGCTGGGTGACCTTGGGCCAGTCACACTTCTCTGAAGTCTCTCAGCCCCACTCACCTCACAGAGTGTTTGTTGTGGGGGAGGAAGGGAAAGGAGAATGTTAGCCGCTTTGAGACTCCTTCGGGCAGTGATAAAGCGGGATATCAAATCCAAACCCTTCTTCTTCTTCCAGGCAAAACTCAAGGTGCTGATGATAGTGTTTGCAGCCCTAAGTGGCTCAAGCCCCAAATGCCTTCTCCCCTACAGACTCTCCTGGGTGTTAAGAACAGCAGACAGAATCACAGAATTGTAGAGCTTCAAGGGATACCAAGGGTCATCTAGTCCAACCCCCTGCAATCTCATCTAAAGCATCGCTGACAGATGGCCATCCGACCTCTGCTTAAAAACCTCCAAGGAAGGAGAGTCCATCACCTCCTGAGGGAGACCGTTCCACTGTCAAACAGTTCTTAACTGTCAGAAAGTTCTTCCTGATGTTTAGTCCGAATCTCCTTTCTTGTAACTTACTCCCTAGAGAGGGAATTTAGAATTGCAACCCAAAGAAGGTGAGGCTAGAGAGGACGGACAGCTATACTGCTCCTGGATATAGCAAGCTGGTTTTTGATCTGGAAGAGGCGATCCCAAACTGTGGTCTGTGGACCACGAGTGATCCCCATGCTTCATTCAGGTGGTCTGCATCATGTCAACATTAAACATTTGCTGTAATTTTCAGCTGTATCTTTTTTTATTGCGTCTCTTATTTCTAACATTGTATATTATTGCATTCAAATTGCAATTTGACAGAAGCAATGAAAATGCAACGAAAAACCATTCAGTGTTTAGCACAGCACAATTGCTACAACAGGCAGAAGAAAATCAGTAGGTGGTCAACTAAGACCTGAAGCAATTTTCAGGCGGTCGGCGAGGCAGTGCAGGGGCGGGTTTGGGAACCACTGATGTACAAAGACCCATGTCCTTCAACTTCTGCCTTTGCTTGTTGTGTAGAGTTTGGCAAATCCTCCCTTCTTAGCCTCGACCGGAAAAGGGGCTTGCTAGTAACAATCAGAGCATTTGCAACAGGGATTGTGCAGAGCCAGTGTGGTGTAGTGGTTAAGAGCAGTAGACCCGTAATCTGGTGAACTGGGTTCGCGTCCCCGCTCCTCCACATGCAGCTGCTGGGTGACCTTGGGCCAGTCACACTTCTCTGAAGTCTCTCAGCCCCACTCACCTCACAGTGTTTGTTATGGGGGAGGAAGGGAAAGGAGATTGTTAGCCGCTTTGAGACTCCTTCGGGTAGTGATAAAGCGGGATATCAAATCCAAACTCTTCTTCTTCTTCTTCAAACCCAGCTTATCATGTGGAATGGTGCGATCTAGGTGCATTTGAATACCCCAGAGGAAGGAAGACTAGAATTCTCATCATGAGAGTGTCCATTTCAAGTTCGCCTCCTAAGAATAAGCAAGACATTCCATGAATTCCCGGGAAGACCATTAAGAGCATCTCACACCTTACAGTCTAAGAGGAAAATTTATAAGCCGGCACAGCTTTTCTGTAATGAATGCAGGGATACAGTTGCCCCAAAAACTCTTGTTCTGAAAGCAACAACAATTAGATTAACCATATTCATCAAACAAGGTTAACAGCAGCAGCAGATCAAGTTCTGGGCGCAGCTGTCAATGTTTCCCTTTTTTAAAGGGAAATTCCCTTATTCCGAATAGGATTCCTCGCAAGAAAAGGGAGAAGTTGACAGCTATGGTTCTGGGGAAATCTTGGATTCCTTTAGAGACATCCATGGTGCAGGATGGTACAACAAAGGCTACAGCAATAGACAGGGTAATGTCCACCAGCTAGACTTTCTCCTTGTCAAATGCCAGTGATGACAATGAACCTAACTTTCCATTTTGGAACGGAAGACTTTTATTTTATAAGCACCTGCCTGGCATTCCTCTGCCCCATGTGAATTTTCTGGTGCCTTGTAAGATGCGAATTCCGATTGAAGCTCTTCCCACATTCGTGACACTCGTACGGTTTTTCTCCCGTGTGGATTCTCTGGTGTTTCGTTAGACACGAACTCTGACGGAAGCTCTTCCCGCACTCCAGGCAGGTGTACGGCTTCTCACCGGTGTGGATTCTCTGGTGCAGAATGAAGTCCGAGATCCCCCGATAGTTCTTCCCGCACACGGCACACAGATAAGGTTTCTCCCCCGTGTGGATTCTCTTGTGGACGACCAAGTGAGAGCTCTGCGTGAAACACTCGCCGCACTCCCGGCAAATGTACGGCTTTTCCGCCGTGTGGATTCTCTGGTGCCTGATCAGGTGTGAGCTGACGAGAAAGCTCTTCTCACAGAAGGAGCATTCGTAAGGTTTCTCCCCCGTGTGAATCCGCTGGTGAGCCACAAGGTTGGAGCTGACGCTGAAGCCTTTCCCACACACGGGGCATTTGTAGGGCTTCTCGCCCGTGTGGATTCTCTGATGTGCGATAAGAGTTGAGCTCTGCGAGAAGCTTTTCCCGCACTCAGGGCAGGTGTAAGGCTTCTCCCCCGCGTGGATCCTCCGGTGTTTCACGAGGGCAGAGCCGTCGCTAAAGCATTTCAGACACACACGGCAGACGTAGGGTTTTTCCCCGGTGTGGGTCCTCCGGTGCCTTATGAGAGGGGAGCACCGCTTGAAACATTTCCCGCAATCAGGGCAGTTGTAGGATTTCGCCGGCTGGGGGACCTTTTTCTTCTTCACTGCTCTCTTGCTGAGATCAAGGGCCGTTTCCTCGCGATGGGAGGACTTGCGCTTCCTCTTCTTTGGCGGGCACGCCGGCGGCAATTCAGGACTGCACTGAATCGCGCAGCCTTCCTCTCGATCCAGGCCTTTGGAAACGTCGGCACCTGGTTTTTCTGGCAAAGCATCTTGCAGAATCTCCTGCTCGGTTCTTTCCTGGAGAGATGTCTGTGCCTCGCTCTCGCTTAGCATTTTTCACCTGCTGGGAAAGAACAGATCCCCAAGTCTGAGATTTTACTCCAAATCACTTGTCCTTCATCCATTTCAGGCCCATGACGTACATTTGACCAGGGGCATCGTTTGAGAGGGTGACCCAGGGAGCCTGAAAGTCCTGGAGGGTCTTTTGCCCCAGACCCCAAAACTACTGCCCCCCTTCCCATCTTCATTTAAACTTTTGTTTACAAGGTGTTCAGAACCACCAGAAAACACAGTGCTATTAAGTGCCATTATCAGTTGTCCAGAGGTATCTATGCTTCTCCTGGTATGCCCCACAGAGGACCTTAAGGTCCACAAACGACAACATTTTGGAGGTCCCAGGTCGCAAGGTGGTTAGATTGGTCTCAACTAGGGCCAGGGCCTTTTCAGTACTGGCCCCGACTTGGCGGAACGCTCTGTCACAAGAGACTAGGGCCCTGCGGGACTTGAAATCTTTCTGCAGGGCCTGCAAGAAAGAGCTGTTCCGCCCGGCATTTGGTTTGGACTCAGTCTGACCATTATGTTTCCCTCCCCTTATGGTCTTGATTTATCAGCTACTTTTAAAATGAGGCTGCATTTTAAATTGCATTTTAACTTGTATTTTAAATTGGTTTGTTGTTTTTTCATTTCCCCCTATTATGGTTTTACTGTGATTTTATTGGTGTTAGCTGCCCTGAGCCCAGCTCTGGCTGGGGACGGCGGGGTATAAATTATTATAAGCATACGATATACATTTTCTGCCCATTTCTGCCGTGTGCTGTACCCCGAGTCCTTTTAGTGCCTAGCAATTCAACATGCTAAACAGAACCCCAGCTATGGCTATGCCCTGCCTCCACAGTCAGAGACAGTACAATGGTTCTGAATATGAAATAGCAGGAAGGGAGTGGACTCTTCTGCTCAGGTCCTCCTTTGCAGCGTCCACAAAGGTGTATGTCTGGCCAGAGTAAAGACAGGAAGCTGGACTAGACGGGCCACTGGCTCTCATCTTATGTTAACCCAGCTGTTTGTTTGTTTTTAACCCAGTAAGTGTACAGGTTCCCTCTTTTCTTACTCTCCCTGTTAAGTCTAAGGACATAGTTACAGTGCAGTCATATTTGTTGCACAGCCAATCCAGGTTCTCCATAAGCAAATGCTACAAAATTGAGGCTGGGCGAGAGTGGAGATGGAAATATTTTGCAGAATTTTTATAATCTTCTAAATCGTACCGCGTCGTCAATATGCACGGTGCTTCACAAAGCACAAGCAAGTAAGATCCCTGCCTGGAGGAGCCCACAATTTGAAATTCAACCTAGAGGAGACAGCAGAGGTAAAAGGAGGGAGGAGTTATAAACCGGGGAAATAGTGGCACAATGGGTCAGTGAGTCTGGCTGTTAAGCAGAAGGCTGGTGGCCGCTGGGGCAGCTGTGGGCAAAGATCCCTGCATTTCAGGGGGTTGGTCTAGACGACCCTTGGGGTCCCTTCCAATTCTATAATGCTAGGATTCTAGGCATTCATTTGTGTCATGCATATTTAGGCTCAGGAGTGGGGAAAGCCAAGTTTAAACCAGCTCCATCACAAAGCCCAGTGGGTGACCTTGAGTCAGTCACGCTGTCTCAGCCTAAGCTACCTCACAGGGTTGTTGTTGAGGATAAAACGAGGAGAGAACATAAAGTCACCTTATGCTGGGACAACTGGGACTTTAAGGAAGAATGGGAGCTTTTTCACAATTCATCTAAAAAGATAACAAAATGAATTGGACTCCTTGGCAGGCTTTGAATAAACATACACAAACTTATTGGTTGGTAACATGGTAGACAGATAATGTAAGGATATGTATAATTTTTAGAACATGCAGAGAATAATAGGTGCTGAGAAATCAGAGAGAGGTGCTGAGGGAAGTCTCTTGGAGGGGTTTGAAGGGGGTGGAAAAAAGGGGGGAAATAATGAATATGATATGTTTTGATAATTTGTTATGTGGAAATTATTAATAGAAATAAATAAAGTCATGCTGAATGAGACCGTCTAGCTCCATAAAGCTTATTAGTGTCTACTCTGACTGGCAGTGACTCTCCAGAGTTCCAGACCTTTCTGCAGATGTCAGTGGCTGAACCTGGCTGGGGACCTTCTACCTGGAAAGCAGGTGTCCTGCCCACTGAGTGACAGCCCTTTCCCACATAGGCCACTTTGAACTCCTTGGAAGAAAGGGAGGCTAGAAATGTGACAGACAAGAGAAGTGTCCCAATATCTCAGCTGGAATGGCTCAGCCTGGATAGCTCAGCTGGCCAGAGCGTGGTGCTGATAGCGCCAAGGTTGCAGGTTCAAACCCCATATGGGACAGCTGCTTATTGCAGAGGGTTGGACTAGATGATCCTCGGGTCCCTTCCAACTCTATGGCTTTTCTCACACTGCCAGGAAGGCAAGCCGCCCCTGGCCAAACTCCTTTTCCTTCTCTCCATCTGTTCACCCTACAGAATGATCCTTAGTGCTTAGGCTGGATGGGGATCTCTAGGCGGAAAGAGAGAAGGGGGCTCGTGCGCCTTTAACAGCAGCGCGGAAAAGGCAATTGCAGCAGCTGTAGCAATGTCATCTGCTGACATTCCCTCCGCTACACAACTATTAAAGGTACAGGAGCCACTTTCCTGCGTCTCCTCGCCCCCGAGATCCCTGCCCTGAAGCGACCTACTCGCACCCATGGACTGGCACCCACCGTCCGAGTCCTCCTTTGTCCATTCATTCCCCACAAGTGGTGCAGCGAGCGGTCTGGGGACATCTGATGCTGCAAGAAGTACGGAAGCGAGCGGCGGAGATGCTCGATCCCTTGACTGGAAGACCATCGCGACGAGACCCCCCTACCCCACCCCACCCGGCTGCAGCGCGTACCCCAAAGAATCACAAGCCCAGCCTGCCCGGGATCCCTCGCCTCCCTCCCTCCCCCTCTCCTCGAGTGCCGGGAGATGCCCGCCCCGTCGCACCCCCCACCCCCCCAGGAGTGCAAAAGAAGAAGAAAAACGCTTTCCCCTTGCCTTGGGTGGGGGTGGGACCCTCGCCAAGTCTCCCTCTTCTCCTGCCGCATTTACCGCGGACGTCGCTCCAGCTGCTCAGGGGTTAAAGAGCCGCAGATCCCCCCCGCGGGGATGTGGGAGGAAGGAGGAGAGAGAGAGACAGTTTCCCGATCTCCCTCGGGCTCTGGTAAAGCCAGGGATGGAGGGTGGGAGGAGCAGATGAAGAGCCAAGGGGTCTTTTTTTGGAAGGAGAGGGGTCTTGGTTTGGGCCCTCTCCAAAAGCGGCCCCAGCGCCGGCTGAGCGCACCCGACCGTGCGCCTTGCGCGCAAACCTCCCCAGCAGCGCCTCGGGAGCCCAGCGGCCTCGATCCGCTCCTCGCCCCCACTCTCGCCCCCGCGTCGTCCGCTCCCGCAGCGGCTCCTCCCACTCGGGCGCTGGGCTCCAGCCCCTTCCTGCCGGCTGTCCATTCCCGATTGCAACCCGGCCAAGCTCCGAGCCGGGAGACAGAGGAGGAGGAGGAGGAGGAGGACAGCTTGGCGCGCGCCCCGAAGACGGCGCACCAACTTTGGGCGCACGTTTGCCTTTAAGAAAACCAACCCCGCTGCCGCCCCCCCCCCCGCTTGCATTAATGCACAAAGCCAGGATCTTTGCCTCCCACCCCAGGCAAATGACGCAGGGAGCCGTGTAGGAACAGCTTTCCACGTTGGGGTAATTTTCTCTCTGTGTGTGAGAGAGAGAGTCCGGCTCGGCAAGGAAGTTGCAGCCGCATGAGTGCGTTTTGGTCATTCAGTCTAAAGAGACCAGGTGTCTGGACATGAACACAGGCTGACAGACAAGCATTATTTGTGGGGATGTGTGTGCTCTGTGATTCTTGGTAATACTAATGTCCTGTCTTTTCCCCAGACTGGGTTAATACGGATGAAATGCAAACAGCTAAAAAGCAATTAGAATCGTAGAGTTGGGAGGGACCCCAAGGGTCATTTAGTCCAACCCCCTGCAATGCAGGAATCTCAACATATCTCAGTTTATATTATTTGTACCCCGCCCATCTGGCTGGGTTTCCCCTGCCACTCTGGGTGGCTTCCAACAAAAATTAAAAATACATCAAAATGACACACATTAAAAACTTCCCTGAACAGGGCTACCTTCAGATGTCTTCTAAATGTCAGGTAGTTTTTTATTTCCTTGACATCTGATGGGAGTGCGTTCCACAGGGCGGGCGCCACTACAGAGAAGGCCCTCTGCCTGGTTCCCTGTAGCTTTGCTTCTCGCTGTGAGGGAACAGCCAGAAGGCCCTCACTGGGCCGAGGCCCTTTACCTGAAGACTCTGCTCAGAGGAAGGAGAGTCCACCACCTCCAGAGAGACACCAGAAAGTTATTCCATAATGTTTAGCCAGAATCTTCCTTCTTGTAAACTCTAATAGAATTAAACTCTAACAGAATTAAAGCAACTCTGTGGAAATGCAGATAATGAAAACAGTGTGGTTTTTCTTTTAAAAGCTGTCAGTTCCCAAAGGCCTGTTGGAACAAGGCAGTCTGCGCCTGCCAGTGGAAGAACAAAGAGGGAGCCAGTCTAGTTTCTTGAGGGAAGGAGTTCCAAAGCCTGGGAGCAGCCACCGAGAAGGCTCTGTCCTGCATCCCAGCGTGTCTGTGAGGGTGATGGGCCTCCCCTCCCTGCAGATTTCAGAGACTGGGCAGCTTTGAATGGGAGAATATGGAATATCATGCAGCCTGGGCCTGCCCTATGCCTTCTAGCCTTGGATTTCCTGTTATGGAGAAAGGAGTTGGGCTAGAGGTTGTACAAGACCTAGTGTATCTGAAGAAGTGTGCATGCACACGAAAGCTCATACCAATAACTAACTTAGTTGGTCTCTAAGGTGATACTTGGGACGCGGGTGGCGCTGTGGGTAAAACCTCAGTGCCTAGGACTTGCTGATCGTAAGGTCGGCGGTTCGAATCCCCGCGGCGGGGTGAGCTCCCATCGTTCGGTCCCAGCTCCTGCCCACCTAGCAGTTCGAAAGCACCCCTAAGTGCAAATAGATAAATAGGTACCACTTTATAGTGGGAAGGTAAACGGTGTCTTCGGACAGCGCTGGTCCCCGGCCTCTTAAGTGAGATGGGCGCACAACCCTAGAGTCGGACACGACTGGCCCGTACGGGCAGGGGTACCTTTACCTTTAAGGTGATACTGGAAGGATTTTCTTTATTATTTTATTTTATTTATTTTGTTTTGTTAAGACTCACTTCCAGTTTGATAATGTGTGGTGTCTATTCCTCTGGGGCAAGAGTTTCCATATCTCAGAATATAGGCTTTCTTTCTTTCTTTCTTTCTTTCTTTCTTTCTTTCTTTCTTTCTTTCTTTCTTTCTGCCCTGCAACCAGATGTATCCAAGGGGCGTGCACAAAAAAACAAGAACAATAAAATAAATTGGTAGAGAAAGCTGTGACAGCTCAGTCAGTAGAGCATGAGACACTTAATCTCAGGGTCGTGGGTTCGAGATGCACATTGGACAAAAGATTCATTGCAAAATGTTGGACTAAATGACCCTCTTGGTCCCTTTCAACTCTACAATTCTGTGATTCAGTGATTGGGGGGGGGGGGAATATGTGCAAGGGTTGCTCTTCCCCTATGTCCCAGTCAGGATGTTAAGATCTGCATAAGGGTTTTCCCCCCTGGGTAGATGGGTGTACATTCTTACATATGGCTAGTGAAGTTTTTTCCTGGCATGAGAGAAAGTGAAGGGAGAGGGGACTTCACTTGCTTGATGTTGCAGCCCTGTGCCCACTTACCTGGGAGTAAGCCCCATTGAACTCGGTGGGACTTACTTCTGAGTAGAAATACATGGGATTGCACTGTACATCCTGCATATCTTAAATATTTCAAGAGGGGGCTAATTTTAACAGGTGACAGCTCCTAACCTATTGCAGGTACCATTAAGCGGGCACCTCTAACTCCATAAAGCCCTCTGTCGAGTCTCCCCAGTTTTTCATCTGCCCCCCCCCCAATGGCTTTCTTCTTACTCTCGCCCTTCTTTTTTAAATTTTCTTTCATGCTCCTGTGTAAAAGTAAAAAATGGAAATCTCCCACCCTGCTTAAAATCTTGATTTATTTTATTTTATTTTATTTATTTTTTAGAACCTTGAATTTGTATCCTCTGCGCACACACACACACTGAGAGGGGGCTTTTCTCCAGGGGTCTGAACCCCCACCCCACCCCCATCAACAACCTATCCATTATGCTTGCGCTCTTTCGTTTCTCTTTCATTTCTGTCACTTTACTTTAAGAAATTTCTGCAGAACTGACCCAGCTTATGGAAAAGCCTTCCGCCACCTGCTAGCACACAACCCCACCCTAGAAGGTCTATAAAACTCATCCCATCCCACTTTTAGGTCTCTTCTAGAAGACCCTGACCTAGAAGAGAAGCCAACAGAAAACAGTAGTAGCTACAGAGGAAAAAATCAGACTGAGGTGAGTGAGATATTATTACCTGCTCCTTATTTGAGAGCCTCTGAAAGGAGGTGCTGTTTTCTAACTTTGCCTATTGTTGCTGATACTGTGTTTCCGATTAATTGTTCCTTCTGCACGTTTCCCTAAGGAACCAAAAGACAAACTGGGAGCTTCTCTGCTTCCTTTAAACCGTTCTGAGTATTGGGTTTCAATTGTTGTGACCTGTGAAGGTGATAAAAAATAGTAGCTTATATTAAGGCTTTCTCCTCTGTGTTCTGTGTCCCGTGGCTGCTTCATTCTGAAGGCACTGCGATATGGGGTTCCCACCCGCCTCTGTTCCTGCATTCTTTGTTTTTATCAAAAAGACCTTGACTTTTCTGCCTTAGGAATGCAGGAAGTTATTTTCCACTGAGTCGGATTCCTGGTCCATCTGCAGCTCATTGTGGCCCATGGTAGCAGCTCGTATCCAGGATTTCAGACAGGGCTCTCTACCTTAGTCCTACTTGGAGATGCTGGGGGTTGAAACTGGCATATTCTGCATGTGAAAAAAACCACAGATGCCGTCCACTGAATTATGGCCCATCCCTTTGAAACAGGGGAGGGTAACTTTTTTTGAAGGCTGGGGCAGTATTAGCAGAAGGGGAAGCGATAGTGAGGTACATATGGAGAAGGACACCCCTTTTCTGTTTCTCTCCTTACCCATTCATTATTTGTTACACACGCCCAAAGCTCATTCCCCCTGCATGCTAAATACCCCCATATACTCTCATGCAAGTGTGCACCATCTTCATTCATAATTTCATTCATTCTCGTTCACCGTTTTCCAAACTGCCTCTTTATTCAGCTTGCAAACGGATTTGTTTGCACAACGTTTGTGGGGAGGTTTGATAGCTGGCTTTCCGGAGCGTTTTCCTATTGCTTTCCCTATTGCAAAAAAAAAGTTCAGTTTTGAAAGGAAGCGGCTTGGTTGCACAAGAGCGCCAAATGAGCTTCAGTTGCCAGTCATCCAAGGTTGGTCTTAAAGGGCTAGCGACCTCCCACACGAGAAAGTGACTGCTCTCTGCTCCTCACTTGCCCCCTGCTCAGGTTGGGGGAGCAACACGGTCTGCTCATCAGCAGAGAAGCACTGGTAGGGTAAAGTGAATACTTCCCATTCTGGTTCAAAGGGGCTCCTGTGCTTTTAGCAGCTTGGCCTCCATAGCAGAAATGCTTCCTGCAATCCACAGAGTGGGAGGGTGTTGTTATGCTTCGATCCTGCTTGCAGATTTTCCTTAGGCATCTGGTTGGCTGTTTTGAGAAAAGGATGCTGGAATAGATGAGCCAAAGGCCTGATTGAGCAGGGCTCTTAAGTTATTGGGAAACATGCAAAGTGCTTGTTTCCAACAGACAATGCCTTGCCCCCAACTCTAGTTAAATGGGGAGCCTAGATAAAAGGGGAAGACGTGTATGGATTGGCATGTGCACTTTTAGGAACTGGAGCCCAGGGAACTCATGGAAAGAGATCTATTGGCTTCTTAAAGAGCTTCTCTTGCCCATTGTTTCTAATAAACCCCACAATATTGTTGGAGAGAGAGGTTTGGGAGATTCGGAATTAGCACAATGGTGATTGCTCCAAGCACATTAAAACTTGTTTAGATTTTTATCACCGTCACCCACCTTTAAACAAACGTTCCCCACAAAAATACTAGGCTAGAATAAATCACAGACCCTCAACTTTGGAAATAAGTGAAGATTTTACTCAGAGTTCCACAAGTTACAGCAAAGAAGTATCCACACATTGGCAGTAAAATAAAGAAGAAGGTTCCAAATGACTTGGAAAGAACTTGGTTCCATTACAAAACAATCGTGCAGTCTTTGCGTTAACGAAGATGCAGGCTGTAAAAAGATTTTCTAGAGAGTTTTCATTCACTTCAGCTTCACTGAAGAAGAGCAGAGAGCAAGAAACGTGGTTGCAGGGGAGAAAGGCTGCTGGGAGCCTGCTAAGCTACACCCACTGGCCTCTTGAGCTCAGGACTCAGGTTAACTTTTCCAGGAATGCAAGTGAGAGTCAGTCATTGTATATTACAACAAATATTTCTCATTTGCCAGGTGGTTATTTCACTTGCTCCTAATCTGCATGTATAGCTCACTGGGAGCACTTCTTTCTCCAAAGGTTTAGCTGAAGAGGAGAGGTCATTCCCCATGTGCATGGAATCATTCTCTTTAAGGAAGCTGCCTATACAGAATCAGCTGAGAGTTGTCTACACTGTCCGGCAGGTGCCTCTCTAGGGTTTTGGATAGGAGGCATTCCCAGCCCTATCAGGAGATGCTGGAGATTCCTTCCTCTCCCAGGTTCCTTGAAGACTGAAGCTGACCGTCTTTTAATACCTGTGCCTCTACCAATTACCAAATGGGGAGAAACCAAGGAGCTGAAACTTTCCCTTCCTTGATCAGTGTTAGAGAAGGCTTCACCTGATGGATTTCTGTCTATTGGGAAGCTCCACTAGGGGAAGAAGGTCATGTCTGCAATTTCCTCTTCTGTTCTCTGGTTCTTGAATTGCATGCAGATTCTCTCTTCCTGTTTCCACCCCCATTGTTCAGCCCGGACACTGTTGTCCAGCACCAAGGGCCTGCTGATGGTTGGCTCACTGCAAGAAGTGAAGTTACAGGGAACCAGGCAAAGGGCCTTCTTGGTAGTAGCACCCGTCCCGTGGAACATCCTCCCATCAGATGTCAAGGAGATGAGTAACTATATAACCTTTAGAAGACATCTGAAGGCAGTCCTGTACAGGGAAGTTTTTTTAAAATGTTTTATTACGTTTTTATATGCAACCGCATCAGATGGGGAGGGTACAAATAAACGGTTGTTGCTGCTGTTATTTATTAATTTTTCACAAAGGAAAAAAGGGAGGAAACTTTGCAAATGTTAACATAAACCAGGTTACTATTTCAATTGTTTTGTTCCGTGAGACCTCTGGGTATAGAATAGAATAGAATAGAATTTATTATTTATACCCTGCCCATCTGCCTGGGTTTCCCCAGCCACTCTGGGCGGCTTCCAACAAAGTATACAGTGGTCTGTTAAACATTAAAAGCTTCCCTAAAGAGGGCTGCCTTCAGATGTCTTCTAAAAGTCTGGTAGTTGTTTTTCTATTTGACATCTGGTGGGAGGGCGTTCCACAGGGCGGGCGCCACTACCGAGAAGGCCCTCTGCCTGGTTCCCTGTAACTTGGCTTCTCACAGTGAGGGAACCACCAGAAGGCCCTTGGCGCTGGACCTCAGTGTCCGGGCTGGATGATGGGGGGTGGAGACACTCCTTCAGGTATACTGGACCGAGGCTGTATAGGGCAGTATATAAATTCAAATAATTCAAATAATAATAATAACAACAGACTTCCCATCCTTCCCTATAATTTCAGGGAACAATGGAGCCCCCTAGCAACGAAGCCAGAGGACAGCCCAGCATCAAGGCAGAGACGGAGGCCGCCATTCTTTCCATAGCCCAGCCAGCCCAGAAGAGCTACCAGTGCCTGGAATGTGGCAAGAGCTTCCGCCGAGGCCCGAGCCTCTTGACCCACCAGAGAATCCACACGGGCGAGAGGCCCTTCCAGTGCCTGAGCTGCAAGAAGCGCTTCACTCAGCAGTCGAGCCTCACCATTCACCTGAGAATCCACACAGGGGAGACCCCTTACCACTGCCCTCAGTGCGGCAGGTGCTTCCGCCAGAGCTCGAACCTCCTCAAACACCAGCAGCTGCACGCCGGGCTGAGGCCCCACCTGTGCTCGGAGTGCGGGAAATGCTTTGCCCAGCGCTCCAACCTCCTCATTCACCAGAGAATCCACACCGGCGAGATGCCCTACCTGTGCTCCGAGTGCGGCCAAACCTTCAGGCAGCACCGCAGCCTGCTCATCCACCAGCGGAGCCACCAGGCCGGCGGCGCGGCCTGGGGCTACGAGTGCCCCGAGTGCGGGAAGAGCTTCGCTCAGAGCTCCGACCTGGTGAAGCACCTGCGAGTCCACACCGGGGAGATGCCCTACAGCTGCCTCCACTGCGGGAAGAACTTCCGGTACGTCTCGAATCTCAACAGGCACCGGAGGACGCACACCGGGGAGAAGCCCCACGCCTGCCGCCAGTGCGGCGAGTGCTTCAGCCACCTGTCCAGCCGGAACACGCACGAGAGGACCCACACCGGCGAGAGGCCGTACGGCTGCGCCGAGTGCAGCAAGAAGTTCATTTCCAGCTCCAAGCTGGCCAGGCACCGGAGGATCCATTCTAAGAAGCCGCCTTTCCTCTGCAATGAGTGCAACAAAGGCTTCTTCCACCGTCCCGCCCTCAAGAGACATCTGTACCTCCACAAACCAGGTGTTCCGAAAGGAAAGGGGAGTAACGGAACAAGGAGACTTTGCTAGGCTGAGCTGAATGCCCCCAACCCAGGTAACTTGGTGTGTGTGTGTGTATTTATACCACAAGCAGGGCTTTTTTTCCAGTGGGAACTCACCGGAACTCAGTTCCGGCCCCTCTCAGGTGGGTGCCATAATAATAATAATAGTAGTAATAATAATAATAATTAATAAATTATACCCTGCCCATCTGGCTGGGTTTCCCCAGCCACTCTGGGCGGCTCCCAACAGAATATTAAAAACATCAAACATTAAAAACTTCCCTAAACAGGGCTGGCTTCTAAAAGTCAGGTGGTTGTTTATTTCCTTGACATCTGATGGGAGGATGTTCCACAGGGCGGGTGCCACCACTGAGAAGGCCCTGTAATCTCACTTCTCGCAGTGAGGGAACCGCCAGAAAGCCCTCGGTGCTGAACGATGGGGGGTGGAGAAGCTCCTTCAGGTATACAGGCTGAGGTTGTTTAAAGGTCAACATCAGCACCCTGAATTCTGCTCAGAAACTTACTGGGAGCCAGCGTAGCTTAATGCTTCCTTGATAGAAAGGATGTGATCCAGAGCGTGGGTTTACATCAGATTTGCCCAAACTTCTTTTTCTCATTTGTCACGTGTACCAGCCGGCTCTGCATTAGCAAGAGCAAAAGCTACAGGAGCCTTGCCATTGCTGGCAATGTTGAGAATAGTTGCTTGGAACCCCAGCTTTTTGTTCTACTTGACTTGGCAACTTTCCCACCTGATTATTATCAATCGGGCCCCAAACCCATAATCTGTATTGCAGGTCACTGCCCAAAGTTGGTGTGGGGAAGTTCGCTAACATGCAGAACTCTTAAAGGGGTAGGGCCAATGACTGTTTTTCACCATTATAACTGAATGGCTCTGTTGTTGTTGTTTAGTCGTTTAGTCGTGTCCAACTCTTCGTGACCCCATGGACCAGAGCACGCCAGGCACTTTTGTCTTCCACTTTTTGAACCAGTCAGTTGTTCCATATCCAGTTCTAACTGTAGCTTCTTGTCCCACATAGAGATTTCTCAGCAGACAGATGAGGTGATCAGGCACTCCCAATCCTTTAAGAACTTGCCATAGTTTGCTGTGGTCGACACAGTCAAAGGCTTTTGCATAGTCAATGAAACAGAAGTAGATGTCTTTCTGGAACTCTCTAGCTTTCTCCATAATCCAGCGCATGTTTGCAATTTGGTCTCTGGTTCCTCTGCCTCTTCTAAATCCAGCTTGCACTTCTGGGAGTTCTCGGTCCACATACTGCTTGAGCCTTCCTTGTAGAATTTTAAGCATATGGCTCTTCCTCTAGTTTGAAGAGGTACCCAGTGTGGCACCCTGTTGAAATGTTGTTGGGCTACATCACCCCTGATCACTGGCCACAGCCAATTGGCCACAATCATTGGCCACATCCGGGGTTGATGGGAGTCGTAGTCCACATTTCAGCACCATGTTGGCTGCTCCTGCTCTGGTCTGTCCTTGGCATCGGTACTGGGTTGGTTTTGTAAACAGAAGTTCCACCATCTTCATGGGCTGCTTGTGAAGTTCTGGAGGCATCTAAGCTGCTGTTCCAAAATGGAATGCTCAGCTAGAAAAATCCCGCTATGCAATTGTTGCTCTTCATCTCTCAACAGAGTCACTGAAGAATTGTCAGAGAGAGTCTTTGTGGAGACCCTGAAGTTGTTCTGGATTCTGTGGGTCCTCAGAGTCCCACCTGCAGTTTCTTTCAGCGCTTGCTTGCTTGCAAAATAAACGCACACCTGCCTCCTCCAGGTAGGAACTTGATGAGTTATAGAGGTCTATTCAGAATCCCTTTTTCAAGTTAATTCTTGGCATGTACTATTGCTGAGGGTGATTGGATACAAAGGAGCTTCAAAGAGTTGGTGAATCAAGAATGGAAACTTATCACGCAGGGCTGAGAAGCACCATCTACTAAAATTCGTTTCTCCTGCCCAACAGGCAAAAATACAGATGTTCACGCCTCCTTTAATGCTGCTTGCCCTGTGGTTGTTTGAACTGACTTGGGCAAGTTGTAGTTGAATAAAGGGGACTATGGCATGGCTATAGTCACTTGGTCTCAATGCCTCCCATGTAAGTGGGATGCATTTTGGTGGCATTAACTTTCTGGCAATGTGTTTAGGATGTGGAACACATGTTTTCTACAACCTGTATAAGGAAGACTAGCAAGAACAAATTCTGGAGAGAGGTAATAGGATCTCGGTCTCTGTCTCACAGGCGCAAACACCCACTGCGGACTCCCTTGTCTCTGTATGAGTTTCCTCACTACAATAAACGTTGAGTCACACAAAACACTGTTTGCTTCCTTCTTGGTTAGCAGGTGTAGCCAGCTAAGAAATGCAAGAGCTGTTCGGCAGTGGACTCCCTCAGGACGTTGTGGACTCTCCTTCCTGGGAGGATTTCAAAGCAGAGGTTGAATGGCCATCTGTCTTGCATGATCGAGCTGAGATTCCTGCATTGCAGGGGGTTGGACTAGAGGACATTTGGGGTCCCTTCCAGCTGTACAATTCTACGATTGGACGAGGTAATGTAGGAAAGGAACCCAAAGGGTCACTGAATCCAACCCCCTGCAATGCAGGAATCTCAACTAAAGCAAAGACAAATCTTTATTAATTTCTACAAATTAGGGTGGTAACTCTCTCCTGCCTTCACCCCCTGCCCCATTTTTTAAAAAAACAATACCGTGGTACCTCTAGTTAAGTACTTAATTCGTTCCGGGGGTCCGTTCTTAACCTGAAACTGTTCTTAACCTGAAGCACCACTTTAGCTACTGGGGCCTCCCGCTGCCACTGGACCACGATTTCCGTTCTCATCCTGAAGCAAAGTTCTTAACCCGAAGCACTATTTCTGGGTTAGCGGAGTCTGTAACCTGAAGCGTATGTAACCTGAAGCGTATGTAACCTGAGGTACCACTGTACAATCCAGAGTGAAACGTGGACGATAACTAAGCCCCTGCAAAAGTGAGAAGGGACAATGGTGACAGATTTTTTTAAACAATACGTTAGTCCAGGTGGGGGGAAAGATCCGCACGTGCTTTTTTTTTTTTTTTTTGCCTATAGTGCAATCTGTTAAGGGTGCCGGAGCCTTGCTGGTGCGGGAGAACTCAAATGCCCACAGATCTCCATAATCCCCAGCAGCACTTTTACCTTCCTTTACTCACCCGCCAGCGGTAACGTGGGGAAACCGGAAGGACCCGCAAGCTGTGCACAGAACACAGCAGCTACTGGCGTGTCTGTCACTCGAGCATGCTCAGTAGATTCGCGGAAGCCGTGTGGAAGCTTCTGCCCTTACTTGGGCAACCAGGACGCTGCTTCCGGGTGTTCTCACAATTAACCCTCCGGCCGCTGGGCCAAAATAGGAATAGATGAGCTTCGAGCTATGTGATCACATCATATTTATTGCACTCGTATTTAACTAGCCCGATCCACTCTAGAGTATTAGCGGTACACGCGAATCAAAGACATTATATGCACTGGGAAAATCATGAGATTTAAAATCATGGGGTTCATTTTCTAGTCAGTTTCCCAAACCCCAAAATAGGTCAAAATCATACAGATTTTGGTTTCAGCATACCTAACCTGTACTAAAGAAAAAAATGGTTCCGAATGTAAGCCACTTGGAGAGCATTTCTGGCTGAAGAGAGGGGTACAAATGTTCTATATAAATATTTTTTTCTATTAAATGTCCACATTGCTCAATTTTCCAGAAATACATTTGTACTTACGTTCTCCTGCCTGAAAATCTGGAGAGCTGCTGCCAGTCCGTGTTGACAGTACTGGGGTCAACGAACCAATGGTCTGCCTCTTTACAGGGCAGCTTCCGATGTGGAAGGGGCACGACTCTTTCCAGGGTGCGTGAGGCGCTTGCTCCGGTTCAGTACAAGCCCTTCCTCTTGGGAAAGGAGGAAACTGAAGCTCTCCTTTGCAGTGGATCTATATCCATCTCGGAAGGAATGGCTTCTACTGCATGGATCAGGTCTCTCAGCAAATTGCTACAATGCACTCTGCATGGGTCCTTCTTTGGGGACCCATCTGGAAACTTAAATCAGTTCAGAGTACCCGGAGAGCTCAGTTAAACGGGGGGGGGGGGGGCTCACAGTTACAGGAATGTAACCCCTATACAGTGGTACCTCGGGTTACATACGCTTCAGGTTACATACGCTTCAGGTTACAGACTCTACTAACCCAGAAATAGTGCTTCAGGTTAAGAACTTTGCTTCAGGATAAGAACAGAAATTGTGCTTTGGCGGCACGGCAGCAGCAGGAGGCCCCATTAGCTAAAGTGGTGCTTCAGGTTAAGAACGGTTTCAGGTTAAGTACGGACCTCCGGAACAAATTAAGTACTTAACCCGAGGTACCACTGTATATGCGATATGAACCATGGAAAGAGAAGAAGGGGAGTCACTGATATTTTAGGGTGGTTTAAATGAATATTTCAAATTGTAAAACAGAAAATTTAATAAAAATTATATACAAAAAAAATCAGTAAGAACAAAAACAAAAGAATAATAATGAACGCAGCCAAGAGAAAGTAATAAGTCTTAAGGCCCTTTCAATCAGCTGTGCCTGAAACTGTATAGTCAACCAAATCATAATACAGTAATCAAAAGGCATCCTAAAAGCATACAACTTGTATGATACAAGTATCAATATGGCTTTACTGCTTAGCAGAAGGAGAACAGGCCTGAGCAGAAAAGGTCCTGTCCCGCTGGACCTATGATGTTCAGTGACAACCTCAGCAGTCAAGGAGGCTCATATGGGACAAGGACAAGGAAGATCACGGTACCCTCCATGTTAGGTCATTTAGGGCTTTAGGCTGCAATCCTATGCACGTGAAATAAAAAATTAAGGTCTTATATATATAATAAATGTTCATGGATGTGCCAGGCAAACACGTACATAAATGTACGGGCCACATGTCTGAGGCAGCACAGGAGGGCAGCCTTGGAGCCATTTTGACTCCCAAACTAACCAAATGTTTTCTCTGCAAGGTCAAAGGAAAATGGAAAAGCCTCCCCATTGTCTTTTCATTCACAAAACCCGTCTTAAGGGTATGTCTGTGTATGACTAGGGTGAGCCTGTGACCTGGCTCAGGAACTAAGTATTTGTCACTACGAAAGACTGGCCAGGCTCCCCAGGGTATCCAATCAAGTAAGCATTAACAGGTAACCTGCCAGACAGGAGATAAACAATGCACTCAGATTTCTGTTGTAGACCGTCCCTTCTGTGATATAGGCATGATGTGTCTGGGGGGTGGTCTTGAGCTACACCCCTTCTGTGATGTATGTATGATGTTTCTGGGGACTCCAGGGCGGGCAATTTAAAATATTTATATAAGGGCGGGCACGCCTTTCTTTGGGGTCCTCCCAAACAAAGTCAGAAGGTTGGCGGTTCGAATCCCTGCGACGGGGTGAGCTCCCATTGCTCAGTCCCTGCTCCTGCCAACCTAGCAGTTCGAAAACACGTCAAAGTGCAAGTAGATAAATAGGTACCGCTCCGGCGGGAAGGTAAACGGTGTTTCTGTGCGCTGCTCTGGTTCGCCAGAAGCGGCTTAGTCATGCTGGCCACATGACCCAGAAGCTGTACGCCGGCTCCCTCGGCCAATAAAGCGAGATGAGTGCTGCAACCCCAGAGTTGGCCACGACTGGACCTAATGGTCAGGGGTCCCTTTACCTTTACCTTACCTAGTGCACACCAGGCACTGTGCGGGTATAAAATGTGCAGCTCCGTGGTGATAAGTACACACCCCAAAAATATCAGAACAAAAAGAGAAGAGAGGATGTTTTGGGAGAGAACTTTGGACAACCTTGATGAGACTGAAATCCACCAGGGGCAATGATGGCCACTAATTTGGATAGCTTTAAAAGAGGATTAGACACTCACGTCCTACTAGTGGGCATCTGCCTAGCCGCCATGAGAACGAGATGGTGAACTAGATGGGCATTTGGCTTGATTCAGCAGGCCTCCCTCATGTTCTTAGGTAAATAAGCATAATAATATAGCACATAGCTGGCTAGTTCTGTTTGCTGCCAGAGCACGGAAGCTGTCTTTGCCACGCTGCACACCAACAGAAAATAAAATGATGGACCAAACATTCAAGGGTACTACTGTTTAGAGCCAAGTATTTATTTAGAGGGAAAAAGGGGGCTTAAATTCACACACCCTGATTTAACACACACACACACACACACACACACACAGCCCTCAACCTCTTTAAAGGCAGGCTGGCAGACAAACAGTTAAGAGCATTAGTAGGCAAACTAAGGCCCGGAGGCCGGATCCGGCCCAATCGCCTTCTCAATCTGGCCTGCGGATGGTCCCATGTTTTTACATGAGTAGAATGTGTCCTTTTATTTAAAATGCATCTCTGGGTTATTTGTGGGGCATAGGAATTCATTCATTTCTTTTTTTCTTTCCAAAATATAGTCCGGCCCCCCCACAAGGTCTGAGGGACAGTGGACCGGCCCCCTGATGAAAAATTTTGCTGACCCCTGGTTAAGAGCGTAACCAGCACTTTTTTGTTAGCTTAAACGTGGTTTCCGGAGTCTGCTTGGATCTCGGAAGGTAATTCAGGTGATAATCCTGTGCCTCCTTACCCAGGAGTAAGACCACCGAATGTGATTGCTTTTGTAGGACTGTTCTGCCAGTCACGCTGATGCACTTATATAAGCACACAACTGATCACTCGAGAACAGGCTTCCTTTTATGAGCGGGGAGGGTGTGTGTGTGTGTGTGGCTTCTTTAAGCGTAAGAAAGAACAAGTCCATGTGATTTAAATCCACAAAACCCTTCGGGTCATATGTGAATTTTGTGCACTTGAGCTGTGGAACTAGGGAAGGGTACGGAAATCAGTTCTGTTCACGAATAAATATGTGCCTAACTATCAGTCTGGACACGGGTGGCGCTGTGGTCTAAACCACTGAGCCTTGGGCTTCCCAATCAGAAGGTTGGCGGTTCGAATCCCTGCGCCGGGGTGAGGTCCCGTTGCTCAGTCTCAGCTCCTGCCAACCTAGCTGTTCGAAAGCACGTCAAAGTGCAAGTAGATAAATAGGTACCACTCCGGCGGGAAAGTAAACGGCATTTCCGTGCATTGCTCTGGTTTCGCCAGAAGCAGCTTAGTCATGCTGGCCATATGACCCAGAAGCTGTCTGTGGACAAACGCCGGCTCCCTCGGCCTATAGAGCTAGATGAGCGCTGCAACCCCAGAGTCGTTCGCAACTGGACCTAACAGTCAGGGGTACCTTTACCTTTACTTATCAGTCTGGAGCAACTCAAATCAGGGGGATGCTAATTTAAGGATGGGGAATCTGCAGCCTTCCCGTTATGTTGGACTACAACTCCTATCATCCTTGATCACTGGCCACGCTAACTGGGGCTGATGAAAGTTGGGAGCCCAGTGTCTGAGAGACCATGGATTCTCCATCCCTCCAGCTTATCTATGGAACCAAATTATCAGCGTAGCAGCAGTATTTTATGAAAAAGAGCCAACTCTCTTCCCTCTTAGGTTCGGACTGATGTTGCCACGTGACAGATGAGACACCGGGAATACATTTTAACAAATTTTATTGACTATCGTAAGAAACTGGAATACAATAAATTCAAATTGAAAAGCCCAAGTCTACAGGGATAATAGATGAAGAAATAATACAAGGAGAAGAACAGCAGACATAGAGATGTAACAAAACAGATCAATAAACAAATTAAAAAGAGAAGGCTCGAAGGGAGAGTTAATCCAGGAGGAAGAATATTTTTCCAAAATTAACTCCTTTCAATTCAGCTGGCCAAGATGAAGAGAGAGTACATTTCTGTTCGAGCTAACACTATCTGGGTCCTTCTATATATATGGAGAGAAAAGCCTTACCTTGTTCACAGGTATCTCAGTCCTTGCTAGCAATGCCTTTGAGAGTGTGTCCTTCAGTATGAAATGGTTTGGTGGTCTTCAGGTAACAAAGATCAGAACTTTGCCCCCATGTAACCACAACTAGCTAATCCAGATTTCCAAGCTAACAGTGTTTTGCCCTTCCTTTCCTTAACCTGTGCACCATCTCTGGTCTTGCATTTTGCACTCAGCTTTGGCCAACTGATCTTAACCTCTGTTATGTTTCTTAAAAGATACAGGATTATAACAGGTAGGTTTACAATATTGAAGACAGTTGGCTGCTGCCAACAACTCCACTTTTGGTGGGAGCGTGGCATAGGGTTAAAAAAACCAAAATCTGGCAGATTATTTGAAAGCGGTTTTTTTAAATTTAGTTCCACATCAGTTTCAACTATGACTGATTGAGGCCAACTCTTTTTTGCACACCTAGTTCAAAATGGGATTTTTTTTTTAAGTATACACATTATAAATGCTGATTTGTATATGCAATGGAGTTATTAGTATCACAATATTTATTTATTGTACCGTAATCTTAATACTAGATGGTTAACCATACAGACTACCTCGAAAAACCCACATCAACAGGAGATTGGAACATAATGAGAGGCAAATACAAAATCAAGTCACATCAACGCTGCATTCTTACTTGGGGTTGAAAAAATACAGTATATAACATGATGGGGAAACTTAAAAAAATTATTGTGTTGATTTTTGTAAATGCATCCAGTCTTACATACTGTACTATTGGCGTTACCTACCTCAGAGCTTGGGGATCAGCAAATATATAGTAATAAAAGGCCCTGTTTCTGTTGTCCTTAGGGACTGGGAGGGTATAAAGGAGGCATCCTTAGCAGTAGGTGAAAACCTTGAAATGGTCAATTCCCAGTCTCTCAAAATAAGGCAGAGTGCAAGCATAGCTGATAACATTTCCCTTTTTTAAAGGGAAATTCCCTTATTCCGAATAGGATTCCTCGCAAGAAAAGGGAAAAGTTGACAGCTATGAGTGCAAGAGCCTGGCACAAATCAAAAATTCATTCCAGATTTAAGTGTTCTGGAATTTTATTAGATAGGGGAAGGAACAGAAATGTGTTCCACCAAGAGAAAGCTGCTCTGTCAAATTCAGTGCTTTTGCAAATATGGTTAAAATACAACTGAGAATATCAGCCACGACACTACCCATATGGTGCTCCTGGTGATCTCCTAGGGCTTCATATTAAGCTACAGGAGGTTAGTGAAACCTGCAACAATTTGCTATTTCCCAGCTGTGGATAACCTCGTCACCTATACAGTGGTACCTTGGTTTACAAACCTAATCCGTTCCGGAAGTCCGTTCTTAAACCAAAGCGTTCTTAAACCAAGGTGTGCTTTCCCATAGCAGCGGGGGACTCAGTTTACAAATGGAACACACTCAGCAGGAAGCGGAACATGTTCTGCTTCCAAGGCAAAGTTCACAAACCAAAACACCTACTTCCGGGTTTGCAGTGTTCTTAATCCAAGTTGTTCATAAACTAAACCAAGGCACCACTGTAATGTAGAACCATTTGCCGCTGGAAAAGTTAGGAATAAGCTTGCAATAAACTGTAGCGGAGATGATCCATAGTAGGTCTATAAAATGGCCATCAAGACACGGTATAAAATTTTCACGGCTTGTTAAGGTCATCCCTATGGTGAAGCATTTCTTCTGAGCATTTCCCTCTGCCTGGGCTCTGTGTTCACATCTTGAATGCCACTTCTGCAATTATCTACAGCAGCCTTCACCAACCCGATGGCTTGGACTCCAGTTCCCATCAGCCTTCGCAGGCTAGGGCTGATGGGAGTTGTAGTCCAAAATATCTTCAAGGGCATCAGGTCGGCAAAGGCATAAACCAGGGATAGGGAACCTGGTTGGGTCTCGCTAGACTCCCAACTCCCACCAGCCCTGAGAACCGGCCGGGTTACTCAAGGCAGAAGGGAGCTGGGGTCCACCACTGTCCCTCCTCTAAAAGCCTTCTTGGTTTCTTGGATGGGCACAGAGGTGTGGTATTTTTAATCTTTGTTGGAAGCCGCCCAGAGTGGCTGGGGAAGCCCAGCCAGATGGGCGAGGTACAAATAATAAATTATTATTATCCACATCTCCACTGGTCAACTCCCTTGCCGGCATGCAATTATTCCTTGTCTATGGTAGGCTAGGGACGCAGATGGCGCTGTGGGTTAAACCACAGAGCCTAGGACTTGCTGATCAGAAGGTCGGCGGTTCGAATCCCTGCAACGGGGTGAGCTCCTGTTGCTCAGTCCCTGCTCCTGCCAACCTAGCAATTTGAAAGCACGTCAAAGTGCAAGTAGATAAATAGGTACCGCTCCGGCGGGAAGGTAAACGGCATTTCTGCTGCTCTGGTTCGCCAGAAGCGGCTTAGTCATGCTGGCCACATGACTTGGAAGCTGTACGCCGGCTCCCTCGGCCAGTAAAGTGAGATGAGCGCCACAACCCCAGAGTCTGCCACGACTGGACCTAACGGTCAGGGGTCCCTTTACCTTTACCTTTTATGGTAGGCTACCGTTCCAAGTGCATAAATGCAAGACTGACCAACGGCTGAAACCAAAGACATTTGACTAACCAGATATTTTATGATTTGTTCACTGGCTGCTATCAAACGACATTGACTAAAGTACTGGAAGTCGCTCGTGGGCACCGGACTGCCCCACCAACAACAGATGAAAGGTTAGCAAAAAAAAAGACATCCGGGCAAGGGAAGGGAAAAAAAAAAAAGATTACAGCAACAATACAGAGAAGCAAAGGGGTCAGATTACTAGGGAAGATAGTAAATATTTTTTTTATCATATTCGAACAACAATGTTAAAATGTCATAATAGTCCTTTTTTCTACTTGGATTGTAAATTCCTTGGAAATGAATGTTTTTAAAAATGCACCTCAAAAGAAAAACAAGTGGCCGTGATCCTTCCCTGCATGGCGGCAGAGAGGAATCGCCGCAGGGCCTCGCAAAGGCATTTTTTCGCTTTGTTCCCTGCTCAGTGTGTACACCTGCACAGCCACACCGCCGACCCATGAGAGAGAGGAGGAGGGCGATGTAAAACTTCTCCTATCCCCACCCTCAAATCTGCTCAGCTAATGAACATGCGCTCCAGTGCTCGTTTTCTGCGACTGAGGCTGCAGCCGTTTGCACCCTTCCCCGGCAGTAAGCCCCACTGAACAAAGTGGGGCTTGTTTTTTAGGAATCGTGCGTGGGTTTGCACAACATGTTAAAGGTTGGAGGGGCGAAGGCAAGGAGGCCTTTTGGTTGCCGTGACAACCTGGGCAGCCACTTGCACATGTGCCAGTGATGCTCACACTGAGAAGGTATGGGGAGAACAAAAATGGCAATCATCTGCCTTGTCCTATAGGGATCCCTTTACGAGCAGGCAGTCGGCCCTGCCAGGGAGGACCACACCCTATAAATTAAGTTAAATAACGTTTATTAAAGCTCCACACTATCCAACTAAAAATTACTTTTTATTACACTGATAGCGATTTTAATATTTCTTTAAAAACCACACAAGTTCGGGGTAACCTGCTAGAAGATACCAAACAGCAGGGTCTTCTATCTGTGCTTAGAAGGAAAGAATCTGTGGCCAGGCCTACATGGCAGGTTGTAGCCAACTAAGTTCTACTCAAGAGTAGACCTGCTGGAATTAATAAACCTAAATTAGTCATCTCCAGTCCTTTCAGTCAGCCTGGTCTGAGCGCGACCTACATTAAATATGCCCCCTTTAGAGCGGTTTTTCTCCACTTTAGGCCCCAGACGTTGTTGGACTACAACTCCCATCATCCCTAGCGAGCACAACCAGTGGGCAGGGATGATGGGAGTTGTAGTCCAACAACATCTGGGGACCCAAGGTTGAGAAAGGCTCCCCTATAGCGCAGTGCTGTGTATGTCTACTCAGAAGCAAGCCCTCTTGAATTCAGCACGTTTTACTCCCAGAAGCAAGAAAGTACAGGATTGCAGACGGAAACTGTTTTAAGAAGCACGGTTTCCCCACTGAGGAATGGAAGAAGCTGGGTGGCCGTTTCCTATGGATCTCTTGGGAACAAGAAAAAAAAATCCTAACACACGAAATAAATTATCTTTGAAGAGAGGACGTCACAACAAACAACAATGGAGAGTTACATTTTTGCTCGTTTCCGAAATTCCTGTGAAATGCATGTATTAACAGTGTTCCTTCCTGCTCCACAGTTGCATTTTTTATTTTACAGGTGAAACACCCCCTTTTTTTAATTAACCCCCCCTCCACTCCCCCAAATAAAAGCAACAAGGGATTCCTAATCAAGAATTCCCAGCACCCTTACTGATCTACATCTCCTTGGATTCCATTGGGGGGGGGGGCAGCAACGACAAACCAAGCAGCTTCCCCCAAAAAATGGCTTTTAATTTGAGACATGGCTGGCGGTACCAAACCGTGGGGAACGTCTTGCTCTGGCTCTTGCCACCGCACAGTTGCTCTGATACACACAACGGGAGAGACAGATCCTCGACTCCGTCCCTCAGTCAAGGCAAGGCTCATTCAAACCTCCTCTTTAAAACTGCATGATTAAAAGCGGAAGGAAGATCCCCCTGGCGCTTGTTACTATTCCGTCGCAGGAAAGGAAGGGTCCATCGGAAACAGCCCCTTTGCCACTCAGCTCCCCCATGCCTCGCGAATCAAGACGGGTCCTCCATCTTGATCTCAACTATCTGGGTTTCTGGAAGCGCATCACCCGGCTGACTAGAATTTGCAAGGCCGGCGAGAGCCGCAGGGTCACCGCTCTGCTTAAGGGACGCGTTCGCTCCCTTCTCTCCTGGGCCCCAGAGACCATCAGGAGCTGGCGACCAGGTAGCGGCCACGGGAGACGTGTCGGCTTCGGCCAGGGAAGCCCCAAGGCTCCCATCCTTGACGTGGACTCTCTGGTGGGACACGAGCCGTGAGCTCCGAGCGAAGCACTTCCCGCAGTCGGGGCAGGTGTAGGGCTTCTCTCCCGTGTGGATCCTCTGGTGGGTGACGAGATCGGCGTTGATGCGGAAGCTCTTGCCACAGATGTGGCACTCATAAGGCTTCTCGCCGGTGTGGATTCTCTGGTGTTTGATGAGGTCGGAGCTGTAGCTGAAGCTCTTGCCGCAGATGCCGCAGGGGTAGGGCCTCTCCCCGGTGTGGACCCTCTGGTGGCAGATGAGGTGGGAGCTGCGCTTGAAGCCCTTCCCGCAGTCGGGGCAGGCGTAGGGCTTCTCGCCCGTGTGGTTCCTCTGGTGGGTCACGAGGTCGTAGTTGACCCGGAAGCTCTTGCCACAGATGGAGCACTCGTACGGCTTCTCGCCCGTGTGCACCCTCTGGTGCCGGATGAGGTGCGAGCAGTCGCGGAAGCGCTTCCCGCAGATCCCACAGGGGTAGGGCCTTTCCCCGGTGTGGACCCGCTGGTGGGAGATCAGGTGGGAGCTGCGGGTGAAGCTCTTGCCGCAGTCGGAGCAGATGTAGGGCTTCTCTCCGGTGTGGCTCCTCTGGTGGTTGACCAGGTCGTAATTCGAGCGGAAGCTCTTCTCGCAGATGATGCACTCGTACGGCTTCTCGCCCGTGTGGACCCGGCGGTGGGACATGAGCTGGGAGCTTTGGGAGAAGCCCTTCCCACACTCCAAGCAGATGTAGGGCTTCTCTCCGGTGTGGACCTTCTGGTGGGACACCAGGTCGGAGCTGAAGAGGAAGTTCCGCCCACACTCCAGGCAGGTGAAGGGCTTCTCGTCCGTGTGCGTCTGCATGTGGTCGGCCAGTTCCGCCTGCTGGCTGCAGCCTTTGCCACACACGGGGCATACATGCGGCTTCTCCTCTTTGTGGACCTGCTGGTGTTCGGAAAGGCAGGAGCTCCCGTTGAAACACTCCCCGCAAACAGGGCAGATATACTGCGTCTGCGACGGGCAGGCGCCGCCGGCGTCGTTGCCCAGGGCGTCTCCATTGATGGGAAAGGAGTCGTTCTCCAGCTCTTGGGCAGAGCTCCTGGGGTCCGTCTCCGAACTGCTCTCGCTGAGTTCCTCTCCCTCCAGCTCCAGGTCTGGGGAGGCCAGCCTGGGGCAGCTTTCCGACAGCGCCCCGTGTAGTTCTGCCGGCTTAGGGCCTCCCTGCTGAGAAGTCCCTTCCTCCTCCTCGTTCACCATCCTTTCACCTGCTGGAAAGGAAAGAGGGGAAAAAGAACCCGCAAGGTATTCAGTATTACTCATTGGCATTTGTGTTCAGGTGGGCTCTGGTCTACCAAAGCTTGCGCTGCAAAACCATTTGTAGGTTGCAATTCTAGGCGTGCCCCACGGAAAACAGGGAAGCCTGCTTGTGAGGAAGAGTGTGCAGGATTGCACGGCTTGTCTTGAACGGGGTGAGGAACCGACGGCCTTCCAGATATTGCTGTTCCCATCATCCCTGGGACACTGGACATGTCCGCAGAGGTTGATGGGAGCTGGAGTCCAGCAACATCTAGAGGGCTACAGCCTCACCCTGCCTGACCTTGGGAGATCTTTGTGGCTTGTTCATCCTCAAGTTAGAAGTCCACACTGTAAGGAACCGTGCGGCGTAATGGTTAGAGTGTTGGACTAGGACCTGGGAGAGCAGGGTTCAAATCCCCCACTCAGCCACGAAGCTGACTGGGTGACCATCTCTTTGCCTACCCTACCTCACAGGGTTGTTATGGGAATGAGATGGGGGAGAACCATGTACACGCCCTTCAGATCCTTGAAGGTAAAGGTGGTATATTAAAGTAATAAATAAATAAAAGTAACAAACCCAATTCCAGAAACACAGATCAACTATGTAAATTGCACAAGTAGATATTTTAATTTGCATAGTTGTATTGTTTGGAACATTTGATCTGTGATTCTGGAAATTTTGCATTTATCGACATCAACATTCTTAGCCCAGAAAATTTACGTTGCCGGGCGGTTTTTGTCCTGCCCTATTTGCAGAATTCAGACGATTTTTGGCAAGGAGGAAGAGCAGACATATGCTGGTCAGAGGAAAAGCAGAAATCACAGAGGGGCCATCTTAACTGTGGTTAGAAAGACCAAGAGCTGATGACAGGATTAAGCATTCCCTTCTCAAATTCCTCCCCACCCCTTAACTGCAGTTAAGTATTATACAAACAGTGGTGCTACCCTCGACTAAGGAAAACCAGAGCTCATCCTTAACAAAGGTTGCAAACTCTGGTTTAATGCATGGTCTTCAATCCTTGTTAAGTAGAAACTGCTGACATTTATCCTTTATTACTGCTGAAGCAGGAGAGGAGACACAGAGAGGAAAGAGGACATGATCCTATAACCCATCCACCCCAACTCTTAACAATGGTTGAAAGGACCCCTTCAGAACATCTTGTGATACAGAACTAAAGCAGGCAATTATTGAACTCCCTACCCCCCCCCCAAATACTTGAAAATTATTAAACCACTTTTTTGCTGCCGTTGTACAAACAGGAGGACATACAGAACTGAACTGCAGTTTAGGAACTGCACCCCAAAACAAAGGAGATGTTCTCTCCATATGCTGACATATGTGGTGGTTTTATTTTTAAACAGGCAGACCTGTTTTGGCCAGTTGTTATTTAAATGCCTTCTTCAATGGTCAAAGTGAAACACATCGACTACAGGAAATCTCTGCTTGTTGTCTCACTTCTTTAGTTAACAGGCAATACCATTAGCAGAGATCTCTGCAGGCCGTTTTTCACTTTGACTTTGGCCCCTGAAGCAGGCCTCTGAATAACAATTGGCCACAACGCCTTGGGTCCTTCCTTTGGGACGCTCAGTGGTTTGTGCTATCAGTGGTTCCAGATTGGTGGTCCAAGGACAGGACTGTAGCACCCTTCACATATATTTAAAACCTACTATTCCCCCCCCCAAAGTAGGGGCTCCATGGCTTGGCTTTTGAAAAACAGGGGGACCACAGTAGCTAATTGGGAACCTTTGCTGAATATTGCAATCATGTAGGGCTCTGCCAGCCTATTCAATACAGTGGTACCTCAGGTTAAGTACTTAATTCGTTCCGGAGGTCCGTACTTAACCTGAAACTCCTCTTAACCTGAAGCACCACATTAGCTAATGGGGCCTCCCGCTGCTGCCGTGCCGCTGGAGCACAATTTCTGTTCTCATCCTGAAGCAAAGTTCTGAACCCGAGGTATTATTTCTGGGTTAGTGGAGTCTGTAACCTGAAGCGTATGTAACCTGAAGCGTATGTAACCTGAAGCGTATGTAACCCGAGGTACCACTGTAATCTAGCCTTGTCCAAACCTGCCTTGTTCTTTGTCACCAAATAACAGTGCCTTCTCAACTGTTTAGCAGGCTGTCTGTAGACCACCTGAATCCTTCTTATGGACCAGTTTTGAGGACCTCTGAGCCACAGGAATACATAAAAGGCCACTTTGAAAATATTTTAAGCATCCTTTTTTTGTACTGACAAGAGGAGGTACACATCCTGGATGTCGGGCACTCACTGGGAGTGCTACACCGATTGTTTCCTTCAAGCTGCATGACCGCTGCATGCTCAAACCCCTCTCTCCATTCATGAGAACTAGAAACTTCATTAAAAAGGCGATGAAGCAATTGGCCTCGAGGTCCTTTCCCGTATCACAGAACCATGCCCATCAAACACAGAAAGCTCCAGTTTGGGTGTAGTCGTCCTGAAGGGCCTAATTTTGTCATTCTCGGCCTCCTATCTGCAACCTGGGGATTATAAAACACACCCATTTTACGGGATTGTTGTTGAGGATTAATGCGGAAAACCTCGCGCAGTTGTCACGAGGGTTACGGGTTATGGAGCTTCGGGGGCGGCGGATCCTCCGACTTGAAACAGAAACAGCTAGAAGCTGTTCCTGGGATCCTTTGTTGGCAACACCTTTTAAAAACCCCACAAACCATTCTGGCAATCATTTGCAAGCGGAAAAACAATAGGAGACCAGGTGGAGGCAAAACAACGAGGCGACTAAGCCCAGGCCAACCCAGACTCGAGCAAAGCCGGCGCGGCAGGGGATTGCGAAACGCAAACCACCCCCGCTCCCTTCCCGGGGGATCAGCCGAGGGAAGGATTTAGCCCCGGAGATCTGGCGATAAGCAGCGCTTTAAGTGCTCGATGTCGGCGCCACAGGCCCTCCCCGCAGCGCAGTGCCCGAGATCCCTCGGTTACTCACCAGCAACGGGCGAGAGCAGCTGGGATTTGCAGGGCAGATCCGACCCGACACGCGAAAGCGCCCCGCGCGCAAAGACGCGCGCAGCCGCCGCCGCCGCCGCGCAAAAACCGAAGCTGGCTCTGTGTGTCTGCCAGAAGCAAAAAGGAGCCGCACCATCGGCCGCCTCTCTCCGCCCGCGCTGGCTGCTCAGGGGTTACTGCGGCGAGATCCCTGCGATCCGGCCCCAGGCAGCCAATCCTGGCGTCGGACGCGAGCTGAGTCAGGCGCCGGAAGCGCAACCTCGGCGAGGCTCCTCGGAGCAGCAGGGCGGCCCTTTGCGAAGGCCGCTAGGAATAATCCGGAGACCTCTGCTGGCCTCGCCGAGCAAACGCGTCGGCTGCAACCCCAGAGCCACTTCTTTTACCTGCAAAGGAGGAAGGAAGCTCCGCTGAACTCTGCACTTTTTAGGGCACTTTTTCCTCCAAGGATCTGAAGGTGGTGCGCATGGTTCTTCCGCCTGTCCTCGTTTAATCCCCCACAACCCTGCGAGGTAGGTTAGGTTGAGAGGCGGCGATTGGCCCAAGGTCACCCAGTGAGCTTCGTGGCTGAGTGCGGATTTAAACTAAGGCAAAATGCGATTATTCTTTTCTTTTCATCTGGTGCTGAAGCCCTTCAAAGCAATCCATTACAATGTATCGCAGCCTAGCAGGATGGTCCCTCTGGAAGGGAGTTGTAAGGGACCCAGAGGATAATCTAGTTCAGGCACCCCCCAAACTCGGCCCTCCAGATGTTTTGGGGCTACAATTCCCATCATCCCTGACCACTGGTCCTGTTAGCTAGGGATGATGGGAGTTGTAGTCCCAAAATATCTGGAGGGGCGAGTTTTGGGGGTGCCTGCTCTAGTCCAACTCCCAAATTATTATTACTTTATTAATTTTCCAAAATATTACAAATCAAACCAAATTAATTTAATATAATTTCTTAAAATCAGGTTTCCCGCTCCTGACATCTAGTCCAACTATGGAGCTGTCCCACAGCAGAGAATCAAACCTGCAACCCTGGTGTTATCAGACCATGTTCTAACCAACTGAGCTACACAAGAGCACTCTCAACAGGTTAATTCCTCTTAAATGAAGTGATGTCCCACACAGGCTGCCTTGGTGGATATAAGGAATGAAAGCTATGTAAGGCACACAGACCATCAGTGTGCACGAAGCAGCCTTTTACTGTACCCCCCCCATGCCAGAATATCATGCCTTACCCTCCAAATTACCTGCTAAGTTCGTTCCAAGTTTCTCAAACATAGGCACTTGCTTCTTACCTGTTCATCACTGTCCCCCCTTGCAGAAGCTATCAAGCAATAATGGGCTCAAGCCCCTCTCTTATTACCTCACTTCCTGAGAGGGAAGGTTGGGTCATCCTCACTTGTTACATAAACAAAAGGCTCAGCAGCCACTCTGGCTATCTAGAAGCAGATTTATAGACTCCCTGGAAAAGCCTAGGCTTAGATCAGGATCTGTGGCCCTCCAGATGTGGTTGGACTCCAGCTCACATCATTGCAGATCAGTGGATGTGCTGGCTGGGGCTGATGGGAGCCCAACAACATCTGCAGTTGTCTAGGCATTGATAACCTCAAGATTAGAGTACTGCAACACCCTCTATGTAGGGCTACCCTTGAGGTTGGCCCAGAGGCTGTAGACGGTACACAAGATGGCAGGGTCGCTTCTGGGGGGAAATTACAGCCAGCCACTTGGCTTGCGGGGTTTGACCTGGCTGCTAATTTATTAAATTTATATACTGCCCCTTCATCCGAATCTCAGCATAAAAATATAAAACAAAAACACAAAATGCATAATAGAACAGAACAAAACGAGCCCATAACCCCACTTTCCCAGAAACACATTTAAAAGCTAATCTGCTACCAGTTCAAGGTGTATCAAACATATAAGGCCCTATGCAGCTCAGGACCAGATTACTTGAGAGACCACCACCTCCCTTATATACCCAGTATGTAAGCCAGAGAGTTTTTTCTGCAAGTTCACTTGCTCCACAGTAACGCAGAGCAAAGCTTTGTCTGGCTGCCCCTGTCCTGTGGAACTGCATTCTTGCAAGCATGACAGGAGCTCACTCTCTGCACTTTCCAGAAACAATTGAAGGCATTTTTCTTCTGACAAAGACTTCCTAGCTAGATGAATATGTCTCTGTCATGTGTGTCTACTTTGTGCCGTTTTTAAATGTATCTGCTGTTAGTTTTTCTTAATGCACCTGTTATTAACTGTTTCAAATGCTGTTACTGTTTTCAAATGTATCTGCTATTATTTTCTATGTTGTCTTCATCCATTTTTACTGCTTTTTGTTTGTCGCCTTTCAAGATGTGTGTTGAAAGCGATGAACGCATTCTCATTGAGGGAGAAAGGTTTCCCATCCCTGCTCAATACGATCAACAACGCCACGGCAATGCTGTTACTTTATGAAGGCAAATTGAAAAAAACAAACTACAATGCTAAAAGTGTATTTATAACATTTTACATTTAATTATTGAAAGCTCCCATAGATTAGCCATCAAGGAGAAAATTTTAGCATCCTCGGGGATGTGCTTTTAAAAAAATTAACTTTGGGGGAAGGTTTTTGAAAACAAGACCCAACACCAGAGGGGGGGGGCATTGAAAAAGGCTCTCTACCCCCCACCTGCAGTCGTACAGTCCAGAATCACATCATCTTAAGTTTTTCACTCTGCTGTATGTGTAGTTAAGAGCAGGTCAGCTGTTTCGGCAGCAAACTGCAGTCCTATATATGCTTAAATTGGGAATTAAGTACCAGTGAATTCAAAGGAACTTCCTTCTGAGTAAACATACACAGCTTTGTGTTGTAAGGCCTTACAAATGTGGGGCATGTGTTTTCTGAGTCTTTTCTTTGCCCCCTATAGAAAAATTTCCGTTCACAACTGTGCATGTATATCAAATACAATTATTGGGCCAGCCTGGCAGTATCAAAAGTTGGGGTTGATGGGGATTGTGGCACAGCAACAACTCCAGGGCCAAAGCTTTCCTACCCCCATGCTCTAAATTACCCTACTTTGCATACAAACATTTTCCAGTTCAAATTTTCCAGAAAACTCATAGCATTAGTTACACATGCAGAAGAGGTGGTAGAATACTGAAGCCCACCACTTCAGATTGCAGCCGGGATTACACAGGGTTAAAATAAAAATGAATGCTCCCCCCTATCTGTGTAACACACTCCCCGAAATTAAAACACATAGCACATCAGGGATGGAAGTTCTAGCCAAGCCTCTCACCTGCTGTGCTAGTTTTCTACTTGAAGGGAACTTTTTATGTAGAACATTTAAAACACCACCCAAACGAACACATGTGCTCCCGATCTGCAGCCTGAAGTGGTTTAGCTCACTTGACCAATTCATCGTGCTGCAGGAGGAGGGAAGACCTCCTAGCGACAGGAGCACTGATGCAAATACTGGAAGACTTAACAGTACAATCCAAGGCCTGATTACTTGCTATATTCAGCAGGGCTTAATCCCAGGTAAGTGTGCATAGGATTGCAGCGTAAGAGTGAGTGAAATAGGAAACAGTATTGGGAGTCAGTAGACAAAATAGGCATTAAATAGGAAACAAAACCACAACCTGGTGGAACAATGCGCAAAATTGTAGGAGAGAAAAATAGTACTTTTTAAAAGCAATTTTAACCAAAAATGGGTAAAAATTGTAGGGGAGAGAAACAACAGTGACAACTGTGGTTGTCTGCTTTAGAGTGCCAAGACAGACTGAAGACTCAGATGATGCCTTACTAGAGCAGATTACCAAACATTCAAAAAGGAGAGAAATAGTAATCATGGGGGACTTCAACTTCCGTGATATCTGTTGGGATTCAAACTCTGCCAAGAGTGTAAGGTCTGACAAATTCCTCCATTGCATCGCTGACAATTTCATTGCCCAGAAGGTGGAAGAACCAACAAGGGGACTTGGACTTGGTCCTCACCAATAGGGAGGAACTGATGGATGAAGCGGAAGAGCTCGGAAACTTGGGAGGGAAGTGATCATGTTCTCTTGGGTTTCAGGATACAGAGGCAAGGGAAAAGTGAGTGTAGTCAGACTCGCACTCTGGACTTTGAGAAGGCCAATTTCGAAAAGCTGAAGGAGATATTGGGTGTGATCCTGTGGTCAGAAATACTCAATGAGAAGGGAGTCCAAGAAGGATGGGAGTTTCTAAAAGGAGAAATATTGAAGGTCCAAATGCAGACAATACCAACAAGAAAGAAAAGTAGGAGGCATCTAAGGAAACTGGTGTAGCTGCAAAAGGAACTTACAGATGAGCTGAAAGTTAAGAATGGCGTGTATAAAAAATGAAAGAATGGGGAAATCACACAGGAGTAGTATACATGAGTAGCCAACAGTTGCAGGGGGAAAGAGCTCAGAGTGAGCTTAGGCTTGCAAGAGAGGTTAAAAATAATAATAATAAGTTTCTTTGGCTATGTCCAAAGTAAGAGGGAAAACAAGCAAGTGGTAGGTCCTCTGTGTGGGGAACACAGAGAAATGCTATTGGGTGACAGAGAAAAGACGGAACTACTCACCTACTTTGCCTCTGACTTCACCCAAAAGGAAAGTGATGCCCAACCTGGTGATAACGGAATAAATGATGCAAGGAGGGAGCTGCAGCCCAAGATAGGAAAAGAGGTAGTAAGGGAACACCTAGCTACTTCAAATGAATTCAAATCTCCAGGGCCTGATGAGCTGCATCCAAGGGTACTAAAGGAGTTTGTGGATGTAATTTCAGAGCCTTTGTCTATTATCTGTGAGAATTCTTGGAGAACAGGTGAGGTCCATACAGACTGGAGGTGAGCAAATGTCTCCATCTTCAAAAAGCGGGGAAAGGAAGACCTAGGTAACTACCGACCAGTGAGCCTGACATCAATACCAGGGAAGGTCCTAGAACAGATAATTCAACAGTCGGTCTGTGAGCGTTTAGAAAAGGATGCTGTGATTACTAAGACCCAGCATGTGTTTCTCAAAAATAAGTCACACCAGACCAAAATGATATCTTTGATGGAATTACAAACTTGGTAGATCACGGAAATGCTGTGGACATAGTGTATCTTGATTTCAGTAAAGCTTTTGACAAAATCCCCCATGATATTCTCACGAGGAAGCTGGTAAAATGTGGGTTGAACAAGGTAACTGTTAGGTGGATTTGTAGCTGGTTGACTGACTGAACCCAGAGTACTCATTAATGGTTCATCATCCTGAAAAATAGTGACAAGTGGGGTGCCACAGGGTTCTGCCCCGGGCCCCTTGTTGTTTAACATCTTTATAAATGACTTGGATGAAGGAATCGAGGGGATGCTCATCAAATTTGCAGATGACACCAAGCTGGGAGAGGTAGCCAATGCCGCAGAATCAGAATTCAAAATGAACTTAACAGATTGGAGAACTGGGAACTGCAAGCTAACAAAATGAATCTCAGTAGGGACAAATGTAAGGTTCTGCATTTAGGCAACAAGAACCAGATGCACAAATATAGGATGGGGGACACCTGGCTTACTAGCAGTACATGTGAAAAGGATCTAGGGGTTTTGGTGGGCCACAAACTTAACATGAGACAACCGCGTGATGCAGCAGCAAAAAAAGCTAATGTTGCTCTAGAATGCATCAAGAGAAGTATAGTGTCCAGATCAAGGGAAGTCACAGTACTGCTCTATTCTGCCTTAAGTCGGATCACACTTGGAATACTGTGTCCAATTCTGGGCACTACAATTTAAGAAGGCTGTTGAAAAGCTGGAACGTGAACAGAGGAGGGTGACCAAGTTGATCATAGGTCTGGAAACTAAGAGGATCTCTTAAAGGAGCTGGGAATGTTTAGCCTGGAAAGAAGGAGACTGAGAAGAGATATGATAGCCATCTTCAAATATCATAAGGGCTGTCACATGGAGGAGGGAGCATGCTTGTTTGCTCCCGCTCTGGAGAGTAGGACTCGAACCAATGGCTTCAAGTTGCAAGACAGGAGATTCTGACTAAACATCAGGAAGAACTTTCTGACGGTAAGCACGGTTCAACTGTGGAACAGACTCCCACGAGAGGCAGTGGACTCTCCTTCCTCGGAGGTTTTTAAGCAGAGATTGGATGGCCATCTGTCATGGATGCTTTAGCTGAGTTTCCTGCATTGCAGGGGTTGGAATAGATGGCACTTGGGGTCCCTTCCAACTCTATGATTCGATGGAACATAGGCATCCTTGAGCCAAAATCCAGGAAACTACAGCCTTGTGAGCCTAATGTCCTTTGGATACAAAGCGGTGCGAAAAATTACCAATGATAGAAAGATAGTGGTGTGTGGCTAAGGATTGCTAAATCCTCTCCCTGCCCAGTGGGCGTGACTGAAAGAAAAGTATTTGGAGTGGCAAATATGGGAAAGGTTCAGCTTCTTAGACCTTCAAGTCTCTTGCTTAGCAAACCACACCCTGCTCAATTCCTTGCTTTTGAACATCACCAGGCTACACCTGTTGATGTTCTGCTGTTATCTGGTTTGGTGCCTTAAACAAGTGATTTTTCTGCTTAGAAAAGGCGTTTGATGACAAACACAAAAGATCTGGAGCCTCGAGCGCTGCGGAGAAAAATTCAGGGCTGCTCAACGTACACAAAAGATAAAGAGCTACCCATGGCAATTGGGAGGTAGTGGGTTGAAGGAAAACGAGAGGTCCTTCTGAAGACAATGCATTTATATAACTTCTGAAATATATCACGAGAGGATGCACAAAAACAGTGTCTAAAAAGGATTATGTAAATGCATGCATGCCACTTCTTTTGGTGGATATGAACTACAGGCTCCATTTTCAGAGATGGTTTAACCTTGACCAGATATGCAGGGTAGTAAGAACAGGAGAGAAAGATGCCACCAGAACCCCACCACGGACTCTTCTTTTCTCGAAAGGCAGAATGCTCAATTTGACAGAACTCCCATCTCTGACCCAGCGTAAGAATTCTCGGGATCTTAAGATGCTACCGGAAAACACGTGTTGAACAATTTGGAACAACAGTGCATCTTTATTTCTTTTTAAAAGATTACCTTCTTACAGGTAGCCGGTAATGTGTTAAGTGTAATTATTATTATTATTATTGGTTTTGTTTAAAAAACTTGTACACATGTACATCAAACACTGCATTCCTCTGGAAACAAGATGGAAGGGAAACAAATGTAGGTACACTTAAAAAAAAAAAAAAGGAACCCCCCCCCCAATAAGAATAAATTTAAATGTACATTGCTGGCAGCTGTTTCCGCACAACCGTTAACGCTGTGGGGAGACACACGTGTAAATGTGGTGAAAACACATTCTAACTATGCAATAAGAAAGCAATATATATGTTGTAACAAGAAGAACGAACAGCTGGAGGGATGGATTCCCCGCTCCCACAATGAGACTAAAAGGAGACGGGCCTCTCGGTTGCGGCAGTTTTCATTTCATTCGCTTCCGGGGAGAGACGTCTCCGTTGCTGGTGGCTGATTGCTGGGAAGCGAATGCGAGGCTGGAAGGGGAGGGGCAGGGCATCTCTTGGCCGTTTGAGGAGGTGGCCGCCGCATGCATCATGCTAGGGCCCGGGAAGTCGTAATACTGCGAAGGGTAGGGCGGACTGTATGACGTTCTGCCCCGTATGTCTTTCATAACTTCCAGGATGCCCTGCAACACGCTGGTCTGGCTGCTCAGCTGCTCCTTCAGCGTCTGATCGCTCGATTCCAGGGCGCTGACGAGCCTCCCAATGTCCTCCGCGCTCTGCTCCATCTCGTCTTTGCGGGCCGAGAGATCCTCCTTGTAGGCACGCTCGAAGGAAGCCACCTCCTTGTGCGTGAGGTCAGACAGTGTCCGGACAAGTTCGCTGGTGGCCTGCGAGGTGACTTCCATGAGCTCCTTCAAGGTGTCCCCCCTCCTCTTCCTCTGCCGGCAACGGAGGTTGCGCATCCTCTCGGCGGCCGTCAGCGGTCGAGGGCGCAGGTTCGGCGCTGGAGGGGCAAACATCAGAAAGCAGGCTAAACAAAATGATGAATAATGCGACTTCGCAACAGCCTACCGTACGCTAATCTAAAACATTCATACGTGCACACGCCAGCTTCCAGATTCCACACAAGGCCACCCTAAAAATGTTTTTTTTTTTAAGTCAGAGTCTGCAATTTGGTGGCACTGTTGGATTTCTGCAGATGTCTATATATTTGCTTACCTATGATACAACAAATTCTGTTAAGCAGCTCCATCCCCTGAACTTTGAAGCTCAGCCCTGTTACAACTTCAGAAATCTCACCAGGTTTTCCCCCAAGCATAATATTACCCAACCCAAATTGACTGAGGATTTGATTCCCCGGCTGCTGAAATCAAAGCTGTGTTTCTCAAGATCAGAAGTCAGCAAAACTTTTTTGACGCGGGCCGGTCCACTGTCAGACCTTGTTGCAGGCTGAAGAAGCAGCACTGGGGGCGGGGCTAGAAGAAGAGGCAAGAGGGGCAAGTAGTCCTCCTCCCCACCCCCCGTCGCTGCACTTACCTTCCCAGGGGATACTGCTGCCACCACCGCCACCACTGCTTATCGTGGGTTGGCAGACGAAGCTCATCTGCTCCACTCTCTGGCCCACAGGAGTACCAAAGCAGCGGCAGCGGGAAGATGAGCAGAGAGAGGGGCTCCAGAGAGGGGCTGCTTAAAATGGCACTCAGCCAGCCCCCTTTCTCCTCTAGGCAGGGCGGAGAGAAGCCAGGAGGAGGGAGGAGGCACCACTGTGGTGTGGGGAGGGATGGAATGGCGCGGGGGGGGGGGATGGTGCAGCCCAAACGAACAGAATCCCCACGCCGATCCACGGGCAGTCCGTGGGCCGAATCCTGAATGCAATTGGGCCTGATCCAGCCCGTGGACCTTAGTTTGCCGACCCCTGCTCAAGATCCTCAGACTTCACTCCATTGCTCTGCACTTGGAAACAAGTGCGCGTGATAAAGCAACCCCTCCCTGTCTCAAAATTACCCAACCTGTCCAGAAGTCCACAGACAACTGCAACAAACCATGTACCATACCAAGCCGCAATTCCAAACAAAACTCACCAGAAATCGAGTCATTGGATGGCAATGGATCTGTCGGAGTGCCAGGGCCGGCACTGCCGTCCATGGATATATCGGAGTTGGCTGCCGGAGACCCCACTTGGTTTTCCATGTTGGCTTCACTGTGCTGCGACCCAGCTGATTCTGGCAAGAGCAAGCAGTCCCCATCTGGCTCTTCAAAAGTCCCTTTGTCGCCTTTCCCAACCGAGGAAGGCGGTTCGTAGGCAGGGTCCTGAGTCTCCCTGTGTTCCCGGCGCCGGCGGTCTACCGGTGGCCGCGCGTTGCTCCCTGAAAGCCGCGGAACGACCAGGTTTTGCTTGATGCAGAGGAACCGGTTGAGCTCTTCGTAGTACGGCCACACTCGCCGCCCGTGGCCGGCGTTGCTGTTGCCGTCCACTATCTCTTTGAAGCCGCGCCGCAGCACTTTGGCCCGCTCGCGGCACTGCTCCCAGTCCCGGTTGTAACCCCGGGCTCGCATTTCGTCCGCGATCCACTGGAACTGCGCAACCGTGCGGTAGTTGGACGCCAGGGCACTCTGCACAGCGTCGTCGCCCCAAACCTGGATGAAGGCCCGGGTTTCCTCGTCGGTCCAAACGGGCTGGCGCCTCGATTTCGTGGCAGACGAAGAGCCCTGCGAAGAAGCTGCCATTGTGCCGTGGTTCGGCATCGGCACCGTCTCTGGAAGGGTATCAGACAACATGGTGTGCTCCGAGGGTGACCCGGCCAATACCGGCGGCAGGAATTTGTTTTTAAAATGGCAGCAGGAAACTTTCTCAACTGGGGCGCAGTAAAAAGAGCACTAGCGGGAAGGAGGGGGAGTGTAACAAGGAAGCTCCTAACGATAGAGTGCGGATAGAGAGAGGCGGGACGCTCTGTACAATGCACTCTATGGTCACGCTGGCAACTCCCCCGCTGAGACATGTGCACCTCCCACAAACGTTACGAGAGACACGCGTCTCGCATCTTTGCTCCCGCAAGTTGGCCTGCAAAGAAAACACGTGTGACCTCGAGGAAATGGCACGGGAGTCTGCATTCCGACATGCGAAAAAAAAGATACGTGACAACGGTGCGATACACGTGTCTAGCGTAACGTGTGAAGAGATCTTAAAAGCTCCATCCCTCTTTAACCTCCACTATTCTAAGCCCCTGACCAGAAAAAAACCCAACATATATTAAAAACAAATTTAAGGAAAATTTTCGTAACGTATTCCAATCACGTAACTGTTTAAGAGCAGCTTTCTAGACACACCTGCCTTTACCCTGGCCTGATCGACATGCAAAAGAACAATTACTCACCTGTGTAACTGCCATCTGTTGAAATGTAGGCCGCTCGGGGAAAAAAGAGAAACAGGCAAAATTAGAGGGGAAGACTTCTGGATCTCTTATGAGCAATACTGGAGGGAAAAGGTGACTGAAAGTCACAAGGAAAGGGCAATTAACGGAACAACTATCCCATGAGACCAAAAGCACTGGAAATGTGGTTTTTTTGAAACAAAAACAAGATGAAACAGATTTTTAGGAATCTAAATTTTACACCAAATACCCATTTGTTACACATTAAAATACCCATTTTAATACACATTAAAACCAAAATAAATCCCAAGCTGGTGCTAAGGATTTTTCTGAATAATTGGAATTCTGATTTCACTGTTAGGAAGCAGTCACCGTATAGTTTATTTGGCTGAGCAAACTCTGAAGTGTTGCTCAATCCAAAAAAGCACCACCCTTTTGATCGTGGGCAAATGCCATAAATCTCAGCTGACTGAAAACCAACTCAGATGCTACAACGTATTAAGCTCCTGCTTCCAAGATGTTTTGGAACTCCTCCCACTATTCAGGCTGCTTTCCATAGTAGACAACAGGCAGCAGTGGCTGCTCGTCTATGAAGAGCAAGGATCTCATCCAGGTAACCAGACAAGGAAACTTGTGTACCCTTTAAGATTCTGTTGCCCTCCTAAGCCATCTATGTGCCACAGATCTCCAACACAGATATGCATAGGGCAAAAAAAACCCAACAGCAACTGTTGTGGGCTTGTAACTTTTATGACCTTATTTGCAAAGCTGCCTTCAAGCATTCTCAACTCACCTTGCTCTGTGCTCCTGGGAACAGCAGCTTCAGAGTCACTCTCTAGTACAGGCATAGGCAAACTCGGCCCTCCAGATGTTTTGAGACTACAGCTCCCATCATCCCTAGCTAACAGGACCACTGGTCAGGGATGATGGGAGTTGTAGTCCCAAAACATCTGGCAGGCCGAGTTTGCCTATGCCTGCTCTAGTAGCTCTCACCCCCTTTTTGTGGACCACTAGGGGCTGACTCTCTGCTAACAAATGGGAGAAATCTCCTCTTCCCATTGGCTTATGAAAAGCTGTCAGCAGGAGCAGGCAAGTTCACCAACAGGACAGCAGCTGCCAATGCCGGTTGACATGGGGTGTCTCCTCCTTCCAAATGCTCCATGAATTTGTGGAAGGATCAACTAATCGAAATTTAGAATTACTAGGGTCCACTTTTCAGGTATACATCCACTATAGGAACAATGTCTAAACATATCTAAGGACTCCTGAGTCTTCACAGTGCCTGCATTCATGCTCCATGTGCAGCTCCCTGATCTTTTTACGTCAGGGCAGCATGACAGCCAAGCCAAGGTTTGCCTTAGCATGTTGGCTCAACCAGAGATCACGGCTAAGGCCTGTCATTTAACCATGATCTGTACCAAACAGCTAAATATCATGGTAAAAGAGGAGGAACCTTAACCATGATACCAGGTTCAGTAGATACACTAGGCTTAGATACCTAAAAAGCCCAGGGAGGAGCAAGGTGAGTTCAAGCTCCTTGCTGGGATCCAGTGGGTTTGTGTGATCAGTTAGCCATACTGTGGCTTATCACCGGGACATGCAGAACCATTCCAACGAGACGTAAGAGATCCTTACCCAAGGAAGTCACATCCTCGCCATTCTCTTCCATGATCTCTCTAGATGCCCCTTCTCACTTTCCCTCCCCCCCCCCACTCCTGTGCTTTGAGCAGAGTCTTCAAGAAGGCGTTCAGCCCCTGCAACAGACAACAGAAAAAGCCCATTAAACCCCACTGCACAAGCCACCAAGCAGGGATCACTGATTAGGGGCATTGATATTGCTGTAGAGCCTAGCAGAAGAGTTTTTCAACTTCTGGCAGGGATAGGCAATCCACTTCCTTCTGGCATAAATGCAAAGGCAGAAGGCACTGAAATTAGGGATGAAATCCTTTACTCTCACTTGAGAGGACACTGTGCTAAACACAGTAGATTTAGCACACAGGACTGGGCTGGAACTGACTTATTGCCTTTCCTATACCAGCAGGGCGTTGCCGGTAAAGCTTTTGCTACAAACAAATTAGCCTCAGATGACTCTTAAATTGGGTTTGCCAGTTGGCACTTATCGATGTGTAGCTCTATTTACGACCAGCAATACAATAACAGTAGTGTCAAAACTTTCTGTACTAATTTCTTACAAGCACCCAAGGCCATCTAAAGTCAAATGAACTGAAATGAACTGTAAACACGGAAAAGAGCTACAAAACAAATCACATAAACATTGTCAGTTACATTTTACTGGTTTTTTTAAAAAACTTCTATTGTACACTACTCTGGTCTTGTTAATGAGGAACAACAGTATATAATTATTTTAAATGAACAATAAAAGAATAAGAATAAGAATATATGTATAGTTATTTACTATTTTCTTGTTACCTAATTAGGTCCAAATGTCTTACATTCAGAAACATAAATACATTATACTATATAGAGATATCATATAATTTAAGTAATAAAAAAAGAATATGAGTATGATGACAAATGGCTGCTATTCTTTTGGCTTAGGTTGCTCTCTCCCAGCTTCCTCTTTTGCTAAGTCCAGTTTATATATTTTAACTCCGATGATGCTCTAAACATTGTTTTTGCTTATTACAATAAAATCCTACTCACAAAAACGATTCTCTATTTTATTAACATTGCAGCCTCAGCACACAAATATTACTTTTTTTTTTGCCAGCATAAACAACTTGTGTTTGGGGCTGTGAAGTATCTATATGTCTGTCTTCTCCCATATAAAGTCCTACTCATTTAGTAGCTACACTCAACAGGCATCAACTTGTGACTGCCCTAATTCCTTTACTTGTATTCCATTGAATTTATATGAAAACACAAAACAAACAGAATCTGATATTCACCAGAATTGTTTCCTTAATTCAGGGGTCAACAACCTTTCTCAGCTTAAGGACACATTTGCAAAGTAGAGAAACAGTTGTGGGCACCACAATCAAGTTCACACCACAATCTATTCCATTAGCTACAACAGAATGCTCTTTTCAAGCTTAATTTTAGCTGGCAAAGCAGACCCTAAGGGTGCCATGAAAGGTCTCTGTGGGACACATGCACCCACGTTGGAACACTTCACCTTAATTGTACCAACTGCTGGGTTCTTCCTTTCACAGTTAATACAGTTCTGCTTTGCTTACTTATATACTGGAGTGCTTCAATTCCACCTTTCAGCAAGTTCCAATTTTAACGTTAACTTCTTCTACAGAACAAAGTTTTCAGACAATCCAAACTCAGGGACAAAGATATACGTTTGCTCCCGATTATTTAATCTCACTCATAACAAGCTGCATGGCTCATTAGAAGGCCTTTAGAATGATTGATTCTCTCCCACTCAGGTACCCAGAACCTTTATTCTTTTTGCTGTCAACACCTACTGTCAATGACCTACTTTACAGGGTTGTTGTAAAGATTCCTAAGCAATGTATGAGTGCTGAGAAGTCTATTATTAAACTGAGAGTGGTGACAACAATTGTGTCAGTTTTGGCCTCCCCAGTTTGGCTTTCCTGGCACCTGTGCTGTGGTTCTTTTCAGCAGCAGGTAAAGACCGGTTTAGAAAACATTTCGCATGTCCCTTAGATCTTTTACACTCCTGTCATCTCCCTCCGGATTTGCACTAGCCTGCTTTTCCCTTCCCTTTTATGGCTTCACAACAACCCACTGTGTGGAACTTCTGCTATTAAGGACACAGCACAGAGAAGTGTGAGGAAACTGTTAAAAAACAAATAACCGGAGCGATCGATTCCACCCTGACCAGGGGAGGAAGAGAGAAAAACAACAAAAAAACAAGCAAATAAAGCTGGTGCCAGGGCATGCAATAATTGCTGCGGTTATTATGACTCACCTCCCACTCCCACCCGCCTTCCTCAGCGCGATTGGGGAGGGGGGAGAAAAGATCTGTGCCTTCAAAAAGCCGGAAGTGGCGGCGGTGCGAAAGCCTGACACAACCCACCCCTAGACACATTCACACGTACACCCGTCCTCGCAAGGTCCGAATAATAATAATAATAATAGTGATGATAATAAGAATAGTGATGATAGTAATAGTAATAATAATAAATAATTTCTTTTACTTGGGTCGCTCTCCTGGGCATCCCCTCTCCCTCTTTTCTCCGCGTCGGGGGCTCTTTCCAAAGAGACAAAAGGCGGGTCCCACAAGCAGGGTCTCCCTTTTCTTTTAACCCCACCCCACCCCTTGCTCCCTCCCTCCCCCTCCCCCTGACCCTCCCCCCAACATTCCTCCCCCCGCCCTCCAACCCCGCCCATTCCTGGCACTTTCCCTCAGATCTCTCCTCTCCCCCCCCCCCGCCGCCCCGCTTTTAAAAACACAACTGCAAGTATGGAAGAAAGCCCGAAACTCCGCCGGGGCCTCCACCTACGCAGCCAAGGGCTCACGGAGGACGCGAAGAGCCTGGAGCTGGGCCGCTTCCCCGCCGCCGCCGCCTACGCCGCCGTCCCCCGGAAGAGTCCCCGCTGCTCGGGCGGCCTCAGGGAGAGCTGGCGCCGAGGCCTCCTCGGGCTGCAACAAACCCCAATATGGTGGCCGCGCAGCTGCCGAGGCCGGAAGTCCGCCGCTGACCGAGGCTTCGGAGCGGGGAGCGAGGAGAGCGAGAGAGGCAGGAAACGGGGGCAGGCGGAGGGTTCTCGCCTCCGCAGCTAACAGCGGCCTCTGCTGGCGGGAGGCCGGGGAAGCGCCGATCGAGGACCAGCCGCTGGCTGGGGGTGAGGATGTCCCTGTTTTCATCGGAGAAATGTTGGAGGGTGTGGGACCCCGGAACCATCTGAAGGCAGCCCTGTCTAGGGAAGGGGGTTAATTATTATTATTATTTAATATTTTGTTTTATTGTGTTTTTATATATGTTGGAAGCTTCCCAGAGTGGATGGGGCAACCCAGTTGGGTGGGTGGGGTATAAATAGTACAACAGCAGCAGCAGCAGCAACAGCAACAACAACAACAACAACAGAATAGAACAACAACAACAACAGAATAGAACAACAACAAAAACAACAACAGAATAGAACAACAACAACAACATGGGATAAATATGGGACGAGGGTGGCGCTGTGGGTTAAACTGTTATGTACTGAAGTTCTCACCCTGGGCCAGCAGAGGGATACTGTAGATAGTTTTCACTCAGGTCCACATATGCAAATAAGGGCTTGCAAGTGACGTTCAGTGATTGGATAGTTACAGAAAGTGGTTACTGTTGTGTTCTAGTGGAGCTCTATATAAGCAGGCTGGCTGAACCGTTCAGTTCTGTTCTGGCCTGTGAATAAACAAGAGCTGTTCGAAGAATCGCTGTGTCGTCTGATATGTTCACCCACAACTTAACATAAACCACAGAGCCTAGGGCTTGCCAATCAGAAGGTCGGCGGTTTGAATCCCCGCGACGGGGTGAGCTTGCTCTGTCCCTACTCCTGTCAACCTAGCAGTTCGAAAGCACATCAAAGTGCTAGTAGATAAATAGGTACTGCTCTGGCGGGAAGGTAAATGGCGTTTCCGTGTGCTGCTCTGGTTCGCCAGAAGCGGCTTAGTCATGCTGGCCACATGACCCGGAAGCTGTACGCCGGCTCAGCCAATAAAACGAGATGAGTGCCGCAACCCCAGAGTCGGCCACGACTGGACCTAATGGTCAGAGGTCCCTTTACCTTTACCTTTATGAGTATAAATAAAATCATCATCATCATAGAATCTTAGAGTTGGAAGGGACCCAAGGGTCATCTAGTCCAGGCTTCCTCAACCTTGGGCCTCCAGATGTTTTGAGACTACAGTTCCCATCATTCCTGGCCACTGGTCCTGCTAGCTAGGGATCATGGGAGTTGTAGGCCAAAAACATCTGGAGGCCCAAGGTTGAGGAAGCCTGAATTCTAGTCCAACCCCCTGAATTGCACGAATCTCAGCTAAAGCATCCATGACAGATGAAGAATCCATGACACCTGTGAAATAATAATAATATAATGTCCCTCTTTTCATCAGAGAAATGTTGGAGGGTATGGAGTTATGTGACCTTGAGCCATCTGAAGGCAGCCCTGTACAGTATAGGGAAGTTTTTTTTAATGTTTAATGTTTTATTATGTTTTTATATATGTTGGAAGCCGCCCAGGGTGGCTGGGGCAACCCCGTCAGATGGGTGGGGTATAAATAGCATAATAATAATAATAATAATAATGGAATAGGACATCCCATAAAAATGCAGTATTTCACAAGAAATGACAGGATAGGTATGGATTGTTGATAATGTGTGTCCACTGATTCCCAAATCAGCGGTGCAAATACTGGTGTGAATACTTTGGAAGGTGTCTGGAAAAGACCATAAATTGCACTTGACTATTTTAAGATCTTTCCAGAAAGAAGGTGTTTTTGAAAGTTCTTCCCTTAATCAGGACTGTCAGCATTTAACGCATGATTAAAAGAAATCAGTCACAAGAACAAATGCAAACCTGGGTCATTTTAATTGGGCATTGTAAGTTTTTTTCATTTCATTATTAATCTATATATACTCTGGAAATCAAACTACAGGACAACTTTTGTTTCTCACCTGAAAGTGCGGGTTTCCTATGTTTTCAGCATTTCCTCAAATGGTTAGTAACCTAATTTTAAAAAGAGAGCGAGGGAGACAGAATTCTTGACAAATCCATGCCAGCTTCTACTAATCACAGCATTGTTTTCAAGATGTTTACAGACTGGCTGGCTACTTTATAATTTGCTGTAGCATCTTTCTTGGTATTGTAGTTGCATTGATCTCTTGTTTTTCCACCCTTTTCCCCCCCAGTCAGAGCTGCCTAGCCAGATAGTAAATACTGCCAAATCTGTTTCATTTGCAGCTGTTCTGGTGCAGTAATGACTGAATGAATGAAGACAATCAGTGGGACATTTACATATGTGAAGAAGCCATCTTACACCCTTGGTGGATGGAAAGAGTGTGTACATTTTAAATTTAAACAAATAGGCAACCACCCTCCACCCATTTCAGAAGCCAGTGCAAAAATAAGGAGGGCTGTCAAAAGCAAATTCCCTCACAACCAGTGCCATGATTGTACATTGACAGCAGAGGGCTCTGGTGTTTGCAAAGCAGGAAAGAGAGGCAACCCTCTCTTCTCACACAACCCTGCTCTGCAGGCAGAGGTGGAACTGGGTTTAAGTGAGGCAGCGGCTGCACCTTCCAAAAGGGGATTTGCAAGAACCATCTTAGCGCCAGCCTTCTTTGCAGCCAGGAAGGAGGAGGGGTGCCCTGTTGCTTCAGACTGAAAACTCCCCTGGGTTCTGGAGCTGTGATTTTGAATGAAAAGAGGCATAGGCAAAACAGAAGGGCTGAGCTTCTGGTGCTAAAAGGAGCTGTGAAAAGTAACAGGACTGCATATTTCTCACCTCTGGTTAGTAGCATCTTCTTCACATCAGTACAGACAAAACTGTATTTGGGGAGGAAATAGTGTAATAATGTGTGTGCCTTGTTTTTATTCTCTAGTTGCATTTCTTGAAGGATTTCTGCCTTTTGTTTATCCATTTCCTCAATTCAACATCTTTTTATCCTGCCTTTAGGAACTCAGGGTAGAGTACAAGCCCCACCAAGGCCAGCCCCATCCTTGGGCAGACTGAAGCAGCTGCCTCGGGTGGTAAATCTCCAGAAAGCCTTCTGACCCTGAGAGGCGGCAGAATTTTGTTTTGGCTTCCTTTTGGCACTGCCCCATTCATCAAGCATCATGGCGCTTCCCCAGGTAGGCAGTTTTCTATGAGAGGGCTGGACTCTGGCTCGGGGAATAAAAACACAAGAGTGGAAAGAAAACGGGATTGTGATGGTTACAAATGATAGCTATTGACTCTGTACTATGCAGGTGACTTTTGAGGAGGTGGCTGTGTATTTCACTGAGCAGGAATGGGCCTTGCTGGATGCGAATGAGAGAGCCTTATATTGGGATGTCATACAGGCGAACTACGAGCACCTGACTTCACTCGGTAAGTGCTCTGCCTAGTGTTAAAAGCTTGGGTTTCTCAGATGTATGCAGGATTGTTTTTTTTTTTTCAAGGATCCAGCAAACAAGTTAAAAGAAACCCGGTTCTTTATCTCTCTGGATGTTCTAAAACACACCAGAGCGATACATTAATATTGTTAATACAATATTACACTCATTCCTATTGTGGTTGTTGTTTAGTCGTGTCCGACTCTTCGTGACCCCATGGACCAGAGCACGCCAGGCACTCCTGTCTTCCACTGCCTCCCGCAGTTTGGTCAAACTCATGCTGGTAGCCTCGACAACACTATCCCACCATCTCGTCCTCTGTCGTCCCCTTCTCCTTGTGCCCTCCATCTTTCCCAACATCAGGGTCTTTTCCAGGGAGTCTTCTCTTCTCATGAGGTGGCCAAAGTATTGGAGCCTCAGCTTCAGGATCTGTCCTTCCAGTGAGCACTCAGGGCTGATTTCCTTAAGAATGGAGAGGTTTGATCTTCTTGCAGTCCATGGGACTCTCAAGAGTCTCCTCCAGCACCATAATTCAAAAGCATCAATTCTTCGGTGATCAGCCTTCTTTATGGTCCAGCTCTCACTTCCATAAAGAAGGCTGATCGCCAAAGAATTGATTGTAAGGAATGTTTTACTATGTTTTGTACATGCTGTAAGCCGTCTAGAGTGGCTGGGGAAACCCAGCCAGATGGGCAGGGTATAAATAATACAATTGTTATTATTATTAAGGCTCAGGATAGGTTATAAACAATAGGCATAAGCCAATCATAGTTGCGCATTTGATGGCAGAAAGGATCATCTTTATGATGATGATCTGTGGAGACAGAGTTTTCCTTTTTTATTATGCACTTTAAATCAGAAGGCCTAGGTAAAGGTAAAGGACCCCTGGATGGTTAAGTCCAGTCAAAGGCGACTATGGGGTTGCGGGGCTCATCTCGCTTTCAGGCCGAGGGAGCTGGCGTTTGTCCGCAGACAGCTTTCCGGGTCACATGGCCAGCATGACTAAAACACTTCTAGCACAACAGAACACCATGACGGAAACCAGACCGCACAGAAACGTATCTTCCCACCGCAGTGGTACCTATTTATCTACTTGCACTGGCGTGCTTTCGAACTGCTAGGTTAGCAGGAGCTGGAACAGAGCAACGGGAGCTCACCCTGTTGTGTGGATTCGAACCGCCAACCTGGCAAGCCTATGTTTTTCTTGCTCATGGGCACCTGCAGAATCCATCATGGTTTGTGTGAGTGAGGAAGCTGAGCTTTTGCCCTCTTTGCAGCAGCGCTCCCAAGTGCTAAACAGTTCCCCAAAGGAGGTAATCTGCAATCCTTCTTAGGTGTCAGAGAAACTACGGGGTTTGCATTGGGAGACACCCACAGTGTGGATGCAAAATCTGTCTGGCAACCACAGCTTTTGAGAACGACACTTGCTCTGCTCTCTGTGTAGCCCCCATGCTGTTTTAGGTGCCGTGTTGGTTTGTGATGGACAATTTGGGAATAGCTTTTTTCCATGTGTAGATGCAAATGTTCCAGAAAGTCTGTGAACGCCATCTTGGTAGTCAAGATAACCCCGAGACTAACTGGTAGTTGCTGCAAGAATGAGCTCACGTATGTTTATTCACTTGCCTTGATATATGCCAATTGGCTTGCTTTGATGCCATGTTTATCTGTGGGCCTGAGACGCGCGGTTATTATCTATTATATCTAGGGTGGGGAGTTATCCGTAAGACTTGGAGTCTTGCCACTATGCCTTCCTTGCCAGGTGAATCAATGGGAGGTCCTGGCCCTATTGGCTTATGCTGTCTTGGTATAAATAATGCATAAAAGCTTTCCCAGGTGCAGACAAGTCATGGCACTTTCTCCCTGGTGTGGTGTCCATCCCAGGTCAATGCTCTCCATGCTGTGACTGGATCTAGACACATCAAAAAAGCGATTCGGTTAAATGCGTTGTAAACTCTGCAAAGGGAAATCACCTTGGCGAAAGACAGGACTCCACAGCGCCATCTGGTGTGTCACAGTGTTATAACACACATAAAGCGCTTTTTCTTTACGAAGGTAGCTGAGTCCTGTGTTGTGAGTCTACACTTCCTTCTAATAAAGCACTGGAACGGATCTCCCTGACGTTTTTGACACCCTTCTTTGGTATCCCTGCACCAAACCACCCTCACAAACCCTCCTTTGCGCCTATAAATCAGGACACCCCATAGGTCAGGCATAGGCAAACTTCGGCCCTCCAGATATCTTGAGACTACAGTTCCCAACATCCCTGACCACTGGTCCTGTTAGCTAGGGATGATGGGAGTTGTAGTCCCAAAACATCTGGAGGGCTGGAGTTTGCCTATGCCTGCCATAGGTTGTATGTGCCAAGCCCCTTCAAACTGCTTTGGAATGGGTTAGGGTCTAGGTCTGATATCTAGGTCTGATAGGTAGAGGCAGGATGCTACTGCAGGGTTTTGGTCTCATGGAGGTGTTTCCTTAAAAGAGAGAGAGTGGGGAGCAAAGTCATGAGGCATGATGTGTAGACAGACGGCTCTTCTCTAATCTCCAGGTGTCCTCCTCACTCCAACAGATGGCAGGATTTCATCTTGGCTTCCTCTGGCACCCTCCCATTCTCCTGTCACCATGGAAACTCCCCAGGTAGGCCGGAATCTGCAGGTGGGCCTGTTTCACAAAGTGGACAGGAAATATTCAAGTATAACATCTACATCTGGAGATGTGATGAGGTTGAGGTTATGTTCTTTCATATGTGGTGGACCTGTAAAAGGGTAAAATAGAATTGGGAAAAAATTTATAATGAATTGGGGGGGAAATGTTTAAAAGCACCTTTCCAAAAAACCCCAGAGTCCTTTTTGTTGGGGATAATTCCACTACGGTGGCATACATAAATTGTTTGCCCCAAAATGGAAAATGATCGAGGCCCCATCTAAAGAAGAATGGCAACTTAAACTGTTGCGGATCTTAACTTATAGAATAAGAGAACGAGAAGAACCTTTGCTTAAAGAAGATTGGAAAATGTTTATTGAATATATGGGGGATAATTGTGTATACTTGAAAACGTTGGCAGCATTAAGATAAATTCAACAGTGTAAATAAGTTTTGATGGAAGAAACAATGGAATTCTGAATGGTTTGGTTTATATAAAATATGCAGGAATTTATGCTATGCAAAATGAACTATGGAAAGAGAAGAAGGGAAGTCACTGATATTTTAAGGTCTAAATTAATATTCTAAATTGTAAGACAGTGTGTGTGAGAGAGAGAGAAATACGCAAGTGTTGAAAGAAAATGGGTGCCTCATTATTTCCTTTTCACCTATCACAACAACAACAACAACACGAAAGATATCGACTGAAGGGGTTTCTTAAAAGGCTGTTGAAATTAGCCCTGTGCTGAGATTCTTGATGCAGGGGGAGAGGGTGGAAACAAAGAAAAAGAATCTTAATTGTGGGTGGTGGCAGAGGAGGAATTCCTAAAAATATATATATATATATATATATATATATATATATATATATGAGAGTTTGGATTTGATATCCCGCCTTTCACTCCCTTTAAGGAGTCTCAAAGCGGCTCACATTCTCCTTTCCCTTCCTCCCCCACAACAAACACTCTGTGAGGTGAGTGGGGCTGAGAGACTTCAAAGAAGTGTGACTGGCCCAAGGTCACCCAGCAGCTGCATGTGGAGGAGCAGGGAATCGAACCCAGTTCACCAGATTACGAGTCCACCGCTCTTAACCACTACACCACACTGGCTCTCTCAGTATATATATATATATACATGCACCAACCCTTTAAAATGCAGGTGGCTTTTGAGGAGGTGGCTGTGTATTTCACCCAGCAGGAGTGGGCCTTGCTGGATGCGAGCAAGCGAGCGCTTTACTGGGACGTCATGCGGGAGAATTACGAGCGCTGGGCTTCACTGAGTAAGTATCCTGCCTGTTGTCTCTTCCCTTATTAAACACTTGAGCCCTGGCATCTTAAACTGGATTTGTTTTTCTCTGCTACTTTTTAGCTTTATTGATAATGGTGGGGATTGTGAATGCTGCCTTGGGTGTTTGTCACCTTTGAAGGTGACTCGGAAACTAAAATTAATCCAGAATGCGGCAGCCGGACAGGTGACTGGGAGCGGCTGCCGAGACCACATAACACCGGTCTTGAAAGACCTGCATTGGCTCCCAGTACATTTCCAAGCACAATTCAAAGTGTTGGTGCTGACCTTTAAAGCCCTAAACAGCCTCGGCCCAGTATACCTGAAGGAGCATCTCCACCCCCATCGTTCAGCCCAGACACTGAGGTCCAGCGCTGAGGGCCTTGTGGCGGTTCCCTCACTGTGAGAAGTGAGGTTACAGGGAACTAGGCAGAGGGTCCTCTTGATAGTGGTGCCCACCCTGTGGAACGCCCTCCTATCAGAAGTCAAAGAAATAAACAACTATCCGACATTTAGAAGACATCTGAAGGCAGCCCTGTTTAGGGAAGTTTTTAATGTTTGAAGTTTTATTTTGTTTTTAGTGTTCTGTTGGGAGCCGCCCAGAGTGGCTGGGGAAACCCAGCCAGATGGGCGGGGTATTGTCAGGGAACTGACATCGGAGCGGGAGGCGAAGGGGAGGCTCCTAGATGATGCTGGAGAAGGACCCAGCAGCAGGGGGAGAAGCAGCTCAGTGGAGGGGGAAGCATTTAAGCGCAACACCAGGAACAAAAGTGGGCAGATGGGGGAATCGGAGAGAGGGCTCCCGGACTCTTCACTGGAACTCAGTGAGGAGGGGACAGGTCCTCCGCTACCCACGCCCTCCCTGCGCAGAAGACTCGCGCGCAGTGAGAGGAGGAGGAGACTGGGTGTCAAACAACTCTTATGTTGGAAGAGATTCAAGAAACGCCCACTGACGGATTCTGCCAGTGACTGAGCCAGTCACAATTAGAAAGGGCTGTGCAGTCAGAATGGTTTAACAAGGCAAATTAGCCTAGAGAGGCACCAGTTTACGCACGAGTAACTCATACTCATCACAGGTATCAATAATAAAATTATTATTATTATTATTATTATTATTATTATTATTGAGGGCGATATGGAGGGTGGTAGCCAACAAAGGGCTTCTGCTGGCACAAATCCTCTTGGCTGTGCAGTGGAAATTCCCCCACCTCCTCTGCCTGCACCCCTAAATCTATTCCTAGGGGTCCCCCAAACATCCAAAGCAGATTTGGGGCAGGTGCTGCAAGGAGAGAGGTGAGGGCAGAGAAAACCTGACTTTGCTGTTCCTTTTCTGCTGTTAGTTCCACCATATTGCCTAATGTCCAGACTCTCTCTTTGCAGGTGTTTGCTATCAACAAGGAAACCTTAAATCTACGGAGCCTTGTGGGAGATTGCTGAAATATTCCCGAGAAAGGGAATCTCCAAGTCCCAATCCCTGTCACAAGGAGGAGAAACAACCAGTGGAGAAGTTGGGCAAAACGGCCCCGTTCAAAGGGAGCATCAGCGCTGCAAAATGTCATCCGGTCGACATGGGAGAAAGGAAGGATTCCTGTCCCAAGTGCGGGAAAAGCTTCTGTCACAAATCGGCACTCACTGCACACCTGAGAATCCACACGGGAGAGAAGCCGTACCAGTGCCACGATTGTGGGAAAAGCTTCAATCAGAGCTCAGCCCTGACTCAGCATCAGAGGATCCACACCGGGGAGAAACCCTACGCCTGCCTCAGCTGTGAGAAAAAATTCAGTCAGAGCTCAGCACTCACTCAACATCAGAGAATCCACACCGGGGAGAGGGCTTACGCGTGCCTTGATTGTGGGAAAAGCTTCATTTACCAGTCGGCCCTCATACGGCATCGGAGAATCCACACTGGAGAAAAATGCTACAAGTGCCCTGACTGTGGGAAAGGCTTCAACCAAAGCTCCAACCTTATTACACATCAGAAAATTCATATTGGTAGGGAAGTGTGGTTAACTGTCCCATTGTCCCCTGAGGCCTGTTTATCAATCTCCTTTGGGTTATAACAAAATTGATTCACTGATGTGTTATATCTCACTAGAGAATGTCCAGAGCATGGAAAGAAAATATTATGATCCTGTAACCCACAAGCATGGGGTAAATAACAAAAGAATCCAGCCAGGTGCCTGGATTCAAAATGTGGGGCTAAACTCACTCTTCAGCAGGAGAAAGCCCTCAGCTGCCGAGTTTAAACTCATAAAAGTCAAGCAGCGGTATAGTGTGGCTAAATGTAGGCTGTTAAACCTTTTTATCCCATTTTGTCTGCTTGCAAACTCCTGTGGCAATGAACAGAGGAGTTTTGTCCCTTTTCTACTCTCTCGCAGTGTTAAGTAAGTTTAAAATGTTTTCCTTACAAAACGTTTCAAAGGTCACGTTCATGCCTTTATCCAAGTGGCACCAAGGAGAACACATGCAGAATACTAATAGGTAGAAAATACAAAAAGATAGCTTCAGACTCATGCTCTAAGCTTGGAGCAAAGCTTAGACACGTCTTCCTTTGTCAGTTACATGGTGAGGAGAGAGATGGAACAGGAAGAGAAGGCTTCACTTCCTCCCTTGTCAGAGAAGAGAGGGCATGACCTAGCTGTGTCTAGGAATCCAGCTCCGCTGTCTTAACCCTTTCATGCACCAACTAGCACTTTCTGACTGCAGTTCCCACACAGAGGACTTCACATGCATTATGGTCACGTGCACACCATATATTTAAGCACTAAAATACCACTCTAAGCAATTATGGCTTCCCCCAAACAGTTATGGGAGCTGTAGTTTCTTAAGGGTCCTGAGACCCCCTGTGCCCCTCAAGGAGCCACAATTCCCATAGTAATTTAACAATCAATTCTTCTTCCCAGGGAACTCTGGCAATTGTAACCCTCTCAGGGAATAAGGGTCTCCTAACAATTCTCAGCTCTCCTTGGCGCACAAATTGCCCCTGTTTTAGGGATTTGCAGTTTCTACCCTACATTTTACATTCTCTCCCTTAACCTTTTCTTCTTCGTATCCTATAGGGATACCTTGCAGGAGCAAGAAGAAGATGCCTCAGCAGCAGGTTTGTGAGCCATTAGAACCACCTGGAATACTTTGTAGGGCATTACAACGAGTTTCCCCTCACAATCCTCAAGTGGAAAAAGAGATTCGGAACCAGGGAAGCTTGCAGAGAAACCCCTCAGAGCAGGCCCAGGATCAAGTCGTTTCTGGAACAGGTAGTTTCATATCTCAGAAAGATGTCACGATAAAGACAAGGCCAGCTAGGGTTAAGAGGCCCCTCGTATGTCACGACTGTGGAAAGAACTTCAAGTACAGTTCCCATCTGGTTAACCACCTGAGAATACACACCGGAGAGAAACCTTACGTCTGCCCAGATTGCGGAAACAGGTTCATTCAGAACTCAGCCCTCAAGAGGCACCAGAGGAGCCACAGAGGCGACAGACCCTACGGATGTTCTGACTGTGGGAAAACCTTTAGCCGGAACTCTCACCTGGCGAAACATCGAGTGATTCACACGGGAGAAAAACCTTACGAGTGCCTTGACTGCGGGAAGAAATTCAGTGTCAAAATGAACCTAGTGATTCACCAACGGATTCACACGGGAGAGAAGCCATATATGTGCTTGGAGTGTGGGAAACGCTTCAGCCAGCGACCCCACTTTATGATCCACCAGAGAATCCACACGGGAGAGAAACCTTACCAGTGCCCTGAATGCGGGAAAAGCTTTCGTGTGAGTTCGCACCTTGTCGCACATCAGAGAATTCACGCGGGGAAGACGTCGTTCATATGTCCGGACTGCGGGAAAAACTTCAGCGGTAGCAAGCAGTTTATTCAACATAAGATGTCCCATCTCATTGGAGAAAGCTATCAGCTGCCCATTGCAGCTGTAACCATTAAGAGTGACCCATTTGCCCCCAATTCTGTAGGTCTAGAAGGCAGTGGCTACAGTCCTGGAGCGAATCAGTGAAGTCCCAGCTGTGTTGGGCTAAAGCAAAGAAAGGGAAACCTTGATAAACCCTGTCGCATAACTGCAAATGGTGAGATCCGTTCTACAATTAGAGCTTGAAGGGAAGGTGCCTGGAAAAAGGCATTTTCACTCAAACTTCAAACCCTTTTGCTGTACTTGAGAGCCAAATGTACCGGATAGAGTGTTGGGCTTGGCCTGGTTTGGACATGGATATTCAGCCATGATGCTTGCCGGTGACCTTGGACCAATTGTCGTGTCAGCCTAACCTACCTCACAGGATTGTTAGCAGGATGAAATGGATAAAACCTTGTTGTATAGACCATCTCGAGTTGCTTGGAAGAGAAAGATGAGGATACAAATACAGCCGTACCCTGGTTCTCAAACAAAACCTGTTCTGGAAGTCTGTTCGACTTCCGAAAACCAAGGCGCAGCTTCTGATTGGCTGCAGGAGCTTCCTGCACTCAATCGGAAGCCACGTCGGAAGTTCGGCTTCCAAAAAAGTCTGCAAACTGGACCCCCCACTTCAGGGTTTGTGGCGTTTGGGAGCCAAAATGTTCGAGTTGCAAAGCGTTTGAGAACCAAGGTACAACTGTACAATAAATAAACAAGCAAACTACCGTATTTTCCGCTCTGTAACACGCACCCAACCATAACACGCACGTAGTTTTTAGAGGAGGAAAATCCGTAGGCATGCCACCCGTAGGCATTCCCTCCATAACACGCACAGACATTTCCCCTTACTTTCTAGGAGGAAAAAAGTGAGTGTTATGGTGCAAAAAATACGGTATGTACCATTCCCAGATATCAGGTAGAATTGTCAGGTGACCCCTTCCCAATCCACGAATACCATCAATGGATGGTGGTTTCCTGACTAGGGTCACATTTAAAGCATCAACGGTCATGGCTTCTCCCAAAGAATCCTGGGAGCTGTCATTTGTTAAGGGTGCTGAGAGTTGTAGGGGACTCCCTATTCCCCTCACAGAACTACATTTGAAGAGGGACTTACGGTTAAGCCACTCTGAGAACTGTAGCTCTGTGAGGAGAACTGGGGTCTCCTAAGAATTCAGCAGCCTTAAGAAACTACAGCTCCCAGAATTCTTTGGGGGAAGCCATTTTAAAGCGCCATGGCCCTACTTAAATGCATGGTGCGAATGTGGCCTAGATTGTCCTGACCACCGCGCTCTTTTCAAGCAGCAGGGAGCATAATCCTGAAGTCCTTGGCCTAATAACCTCATATGGGTGGGAGGAGCCTGGATGGAGAGGAGGAGGCTGGGGGGAAATGAGAGGAGAAAGCCAAAACAGATGGAGTGATGGAAGGGGGAGAAGGGGAGTCCCCTACATGTGTGGGAATGTTCAGGGAGGCAGAAGAGGATATATTGTTTATTAATATCCTTCCTAACTTGCGCTAGCAAGTTCCTTTAGTTAGCAAAGTTTACATTCCCCTTTTAACATGCGCAGCAGATAGCTGGTTGCAGGTTTGTGTAAGCCTCTCACTATCATATAATTCAGTATTGAATTGTATGTTCCTGGTAAGTTCCTTTTTATCCCTCTTAAAAGAATAAACACACAACAATCTTATTTAAAGTCAATAAAAGTTGTTTACTCATGTCAGTTCACAGTTGGATCCCTGAAGGCAAACTTAGATACAAATATATACATGTGGATCTACACCATATGGAGGAATGATCACAGCCTCTGCTAGCTGAGAAGCCCAAGCTAGAAGCCGGTCAAACAAAGAAGGAAGTGAAAAAGAGAGCGTGTGGCAACATGCCTTGTCCTTTTGTTACCTGGACAGGTAAGGTCACGCCCACCTCTAGTCACATGCAAAGGAAGGATGTTCCAGCCAGGAGGAAACAGGAGGTTTTCGACTGGCTGGACCAAACATTCCACCGCATGTCCACTCTAGGAAAACAAGGAATGTTGTGCTTGACTGCTCTCAGTGGATTACATCCCACAACAAGTGACCCATTCAGACCTATATTCTCTCTACAAAGTGTCTTCCCCGCTGGTGTGTGAGGAGGGAGGACATCAGGGGAGATGGAGGAGCAGTGGCAAAACCTCAAGATTTAGAATGGCACTTTCCTTTCTCATCAGATGCTTCAGGTGGCAGAGGGAACTGCAAAGGCACAGGCACCAGGGATTCCCACCCCCAGTGAACCAACCCAGTGGCGAGCCAGAGAACCAAAGCAACTTTCTGGGAAGAGCAGGTGTGGGTGGGGAAGGTTGGAGGTGATGAGATTTTAAGAGAAAGGAGGGCCCATAGGTGAGCAGAATCCTGGCCTTCCTACCACAGGGGGGAGGGACGCGCCAAGTCTCTCCTCCAGGAAAGAGATAGGTTTAGTTTGTTAGGATATTTCCGTTCCACCTTAAAAGGGAGCAGGCTTTGTGAGTCACAGAGTCTGCGCATTTCCTGTTCACAGGAAGTTTATGTTTTCTATTGCTTTCGTTTTCTCTCTGTGTCGTAGACACTGAAGCAGGCAGTCATGTTTTCTTTGTTCTGATCAACGCTGAATAAAACTTGTAAATAATGCTCTCCTGAGTGCGACTTTTGCTGTGCATTATCTGCTGATAGAGCGTGCATGAGCTCTGGACTGTGGCAGGCTATTTCTGGAGCTCATGTCGCTAATTGCTGATACTGCGTGTCTACGGGAGATCGATGGACGTCCGGACACGGCTTGGAGGCCATGATGGACTTTATCTCCCTGGCAGTATCCCAACAACAGGTTATGGGCCCAGATTCATGGCACTTACAGGAGAGTAAGACTGCAACGGACTGCTGAGAGGTATGTGGAGGAAAAGCGAAAGTGAGGCTTTTCATTGCCACGGGAGAGTCTCTTTGATGTCTGGCTGGCCTAATTGGTCTGGGAGCTGTGCCAAGCAAGCTTCGTGATTTATGGCTGCCGAGATAAGGAGTCTCTGAAGTGAACAGGGCTCAAGGCTCAAGTGAAAAGCTGGAATGGAGTTTTTCCACGCTTCTGAAAGTGCTGAGTGCCCAAAGGTAAATCGGCACAATTATGAGACCTGGGCTGTGTGGTGTGAGAGTTTGCTGCGTCTGTTTGGAGTGTGGTTCTGGAGGATATGCTTAGGATTTGACTGCCCCTCACTCATTGACTCAGCTGGTGCCCATCTTAACCCCAGGCCATTTGTAAAACACCGAAGGAGGCTGGAGGTAAGATGCTGGTGTTTCCCCTGAAACCAGTACTTATTTACCTTTTCATTTTCCGTTAGTGTTGCCTTTACATTTTGTGTTTGCTTCCTGCTCCTGAAACAATAAATCAAGCTACGTCTTCCTCATTAGTTTGATTCAGAAACTGTTTTTTCCCTCTTTCGTTTATGACTACGAAAAAGGAGCCAGGGATTAAAAAATAGCGATTCTGTGAGTTAGTTCAATTTAGTCTGATTCAGAAGCCTCCTTTTTTCCCCTTTTTAAGTAGACCAGAGCTACAGTTTAAAATAATTACTGTATTTCGAAATGCATTGCTTTTGGTAAGCTACGCAGAGATCGTCATTACTGGGTGGCATATGAATGCTGTTAGTGAATAAAATTAAAATAATTCTGTTTGAGAGGAAATCTGTTTTATAATTTATATTATCGATGGATTATTTAAATAAAAATTTAATACGATTAAATCCGATGGCTCATAAGAGGCAGGACAAATGGTGGAGGGGAACCCCACTTACTGTATATCACAAGGGAATTATTTAGATATTTACTTCCAAATGTATTTACATTTTTTTTAGGCTAGATAAGGTCAAAGAATGAAAGAAAGACAGGAAATCTGAAGAAAAAATAGGCAATGGCTTTGATGCCTTGATTTTATATATATATTTTAATTCTGCTTGCGAAAATCTGTCTATGGAGAAGACTTAGGGTCATCCAGGGCAAACAATTTCTAGTTTAAATTTGGTCACTTTGATTCATCCTGCGTTGGTTATGCACACAAAAATTATATGAGAACTCCACCCGCACAATATCTAACTCATGGCTGAATCCAAGGGTGGGAAACCAGTTTCAGCCAGTGAACAGACTCCAGTTGTGGACAGCCCCCAAGAGTCATGAGTTCACCTCAAACACCAGCGAACAGCCTCAGCCCTGTATACCTGAAGGAGCGTCTCCACCCCCATCGTTCACTGAGGTCCAGCACCGAGGGCCTTCTGGCAGTTCCCTCACTGTGAAAAAAGTGAGGTTACAGGGAACCAGGGAGAGGGCCTTCTTGGTAGCGGCGCCCACCCTGTGGAACACCTTCCCATCAGATGTCAAGGAAATAAACAACTGACTTTCAGAAGACATCTGTTGGCTGCCCCATTTAGGGAAGTTTTTAATGCTTGATGTTTTATCGTGTTTTGAATATTCTGTTGGGAGCCGCCCAGAGTGGCTGGGGAAACCCAGCCAGATGGGTGGGGTAGAAATAAATTATCCATTATTATTATTATTATTATTATTATTATTATTATTATCATCTGGCTACCTCACCTCTCTCCACTAACTAGGTCAGGCACAGGCAAACTCGGCCCTCCAGATGTTTTGAGACTACAATTCCCATCATCCCCGACCACTGGTCCTGTTAGCTAGGGATGATGGGAGTTGTAGTCCCAAAACATCTGGAGGGCAGAGTTTGCCTATGCCTGCACTAGGTATTAAGTTACTGATGCAATATTGTTCCACCGAGGGAGATCGTTTCACTGTCCAACAGCTCTGTCAGAAAGGTCTTCCTGATGTTTAGTCGGAATCTCTTGTAACTTGAAGGCATTGGTTCGGTTCCTAGCCTTCAGAGCGGGAGAAAACAAGCTTGCTCCAACTTCCATTTTGACAGCCCTTGAGATATTTGAAGATGGCTATCATATCTCCTCTCAAGTCTCTGGTTTTCTCAACCGTTCCTCATAAGGCTTGGTTTCCAGACCCTTGATCATCTTGGCTGCCCTCCTCTGCACTCGTTCCAGCTTGCCAATATCCTTCTTAAATTGTGGTGCCCAGAACTAGACACTCCAGGTGTGGCCTGACCAAGGCAGAATAGGGAGGTGCTATTACTTCCCTTGATCAGGACAAGGTGTGGATTATGACCTTCTGAAGCCCGTGACAACTTGGGACTAAAGTGAATCTGTCATTCTTTAAGAACAACTGAGGGCTCCATGCATGAGCATATTCATTCTGAGGTGCGTGGGGGGGACGGACGGACGACGATGACACATGAACATAGCAGGGCCCTGCATGTGAAACTCTCCCCCAATAATTTAATATTCCTCTTTGCTTGTGTTCCCCTGGCACTTCAAGGCCGTACCTTTTGTTTTTATTTAGTTAAGATGCGATGTTTTGTGAAGCCCCATCCTGCAGTGTTTTAAAAATTTGAATTTAGTGTTGGTGCTTGATCCTTGCATCGATTTGCTAGGAGTGCCTTTTTCACCCCATATTCCTAACAGAAACACGCATGCCTTTCCCAAAAGCACCATTTTCAGTAGACTAGAGCAGTGTTTCCCAAGCTTGGCCCTCCAGCTGTTTTTGGACTACAACTCCCATCATCCCTAGCTGGTAAGACCAGCGATCAGGGATGATGGGAATTGTAGTCTGAAAACAGCTGGAGACCCAAGCTTGGGAAACACTGGACTAGAGGGCACGGGCTTTCAGGACCAAGTCACACACCTGTTATTACATCACTTGATAATTCATAACTTTGTGACTTGCAGCTAAATACAGTGGTACCTCGGGTTACAGATGCTTCAGGTTACAGACTCCGCTAACCCAGAAAAAGTGCCTCGGGTTAAGAACTTTACCTCAGGACGAAAACAGAAATCGTGCAGCAGCAGCGTGAGGCCCTATTAACTAAGTGGTACCTCAGGTTAAGAACAGTTTCAGGTTAAGAACGGACCTCCAGAACGAACTAAGTTCTTAACCCGAGGTACCACTGTATGTGAATTGCTTCCTCGGAAAACTGTGGCAATTGGAAGTTATGTCAGAGGATAGGAAAGCTGTCACTGATTTTGTGATACGCAGGTCAAATATATAAGAAAACCCCTGTTGGGTCAGGTTGATATGCCCATCTAATCCAGCCTCCAACAGTAGCCAGCCAGATGTGTCCAGAAAACCACAATCAGGGTGTGATTGACAACTGCTCTCTGCTGCCATTGTGCTTCCGCAGCATGTGGTGTTCAAACAGGGTTCATCTGGACATGGAGGTTTCCTTGAGCATTTGAAAAATAGAATTCAGGTCATTTGCACATAAGGTAAAGGGACCCCTGACCATTAGGTCCAGTCGTGGCCGACTCTGGGGTTGCGGCCCTCATCTCGCTTTATTGGCCAAGGGAGCCGACGTACCGGGTCATGTGGCCAGCATGACTAAGCCGCTTCTGGCGAAACCAGAGCAGCACACGGAAACGCCGTTTACCTTTCTGCCGGAGCGGTACCTATTTATCTACTTGCACTTTGATGTGCTTTCGAACTGCTAGGTTGGCAGGAGCAGGGACCGAGCAACGGGAGCTCACCCCATCTCAGGGATTCGAACCGCCGACCTTCTGATCGGCAAGTCCTAGGCTCTGTGGTTTATATTTTGAAAAATAAAAATAAAATTAATGAACAAATTCCTATCCCCCACAAATAACCCAGAGATGCATTTTAAATAAAAGGACACATTCTACTCATGTAAAAACACACTGATTCCCGGACCATCCACGGGATGGATTTAGAAGGTGATTGGGCTGGATCTGGCCCCCGGGCCTTAGGTTGTCCACCCACGATTTAGGATGAGAGTGTTAAAATAAACCAGCCGGTTCTCTCTAAGAAACACAACAAAACTCACCTCTGCCCGCCCCACAAATTCACTTTGCACCCCTCTGGATACTTGGATCTGCTGTCATGACAGTATAATTGTAGCACTGAGTGAGATGCAGTACAGAAAACTGAACACACAGGTGTGTGTGTGTGTGATTATTGTTATTAATATGCCGCCCATCTGACTGGGATGCCCCAATCACTCTGGACAGCTCCCAAGAAAGTATTAAAAACATAAAACATCAACCTGCAGAGAACAGAATCTGTGCTCTCCTCACCAGAGCCAGATGATATTCTACCCTCTTATCTCAGGGGTAGGGAAGCTTTTACAGGCCCAGGGCCATGTGCCAGTGGTGGGAGGAGCCAGGGGCAAAAGGAGGCGGAGCAATGAATGTTAAACTTTGCCTTTGTACAGTAGGCAGGTTTCTGCATGCACTAGAGCCCGCCCCCTCCCCCCCAGCAGCATCGGAGTTCGAGGACAAAGTCAAGCCAGGCAAAAACACTCAAGGAGAGGGTGGAGCAAGGTCAGTAGTGGGTGGGGCTAGGGAAAGTCCCAAGTATCAGATAAGAGGCCTAGAAGGCTGGATTCAGCCCCCAAGGTCTAAGGCTCCCCATCCCATCTCTGTGGTGCTCTACCCCACCTGCCCGTTATTGATTGTGCACAAGCTTTTGTTCAGCCGATGACCACTGGAATCGCACCGACTTTTGTGACGTTAGCTATTTAAATGATCTGTGTGCTATTCGCCTGTCTCGCCGCCCAGCAGCCCCCGACATCCATGCCCTTTCCCATCACGCCCTTTCCGTATTGCTCTCTGCCACCGCTATATTTTGAAGAAGCCGGACATCAGAAACACAGGCGTCGCCAAGGAAGCATGTACAAATCTACTTTATTCGCATTAGCTCCTTTTGAGAAAAAGCGTGCGAGTTTCTCTGGTGAAGACAGAATACGGAAGATTCCTCATCCTATCCCACCCGTTAGAGAAACAGAGTTGTCAGGATTTCCCAGAACCAGATCTTTCCAAGACTAGATTTGGTCTGCGTTCCTTGCTACTCTATGCTCCACGTTGCCTATTCGGTGTAGCAAAAGATTTTCCGGATGTTTTTCTCAGGAACCCCCCACCGTGCATCAATTTCCATTAACAACAGCCTTTCTCAACCTGTGGGTCTCCAGATGTTGTTGAACTACAACTCCCATCGTCCCTAGCTAGCAAGGCCAGAGCTCAGGGATGATGGGAGTTGTAGGCCAACAACAGCTGGGGACCCACAGGTTGAGAACCACTGGTTTGCAAGCTTTGCTAGAGCCTAACTGGGACTCCATCAGCTAGGGTTGCTACTCAGAATCTTTAAGAGAGGTCTCCCTTTCGTGGATTTTCCGGTGCTTCCGAAGATTTGAACTGACACTGAAACCCCTCCCGCACTCAGCGCATTCGTAAGGCTTCTCTCCCGTGTGCACTCTCTGGTGCGTGATAAGGTGCGAATTGTTGCGAAAGGTTTTCCCGCACTCGAGACAGGCGTACGGCTTTTCTCCCGTGTGAAGCCGCTGGTGGCCCACAAGCACCGAGCTGTAAGAGAAGCCTTTCCCGCACTCGGGACACTTGTACGGTTTTTCCCCTGTGTGAATCCTCAGGTGCGTGACGAGGTGCGAGTTCGTGTTGAATTTCTTGCCGCAGTCGTTGCACTTGTAGGGTTTTTCTCCCGTGTGGATTCTCTGGTGGATGATAAGGTCTGCGCTCCGGCAGAAGTTTTTGCCGCACTCCAGGCAAAGGTAGGGTTTCTCGGTCATGTGGATTCTCTGATGACTTAGAAGACCCGATTTAACGCTGAAGCTTTCCGGGCAGTCGGGACATTGATAAGGCTTCTCCCCCGTGTGGATTCTCTGGTGCATCACGAGGGTCGACCGTCTGCCAAAACTTTTCCAGCAGTCCTGGCATTTATAGGGTTTCTCGCCAGTGTGGATTCTCTGATGAGTAACGAGAGTGGAGCTCCTGCTGAAGCTATTTCCACAGTCGAAGCATTTATAGGGCCTCTCCCCTGTGTGCGCCCTCTGGTGCATAATAAGGTTCGAGCTGCGGCTGAAGGTCTTCCCGCAGTCGCAGCACTGGAAAGGCGGTTCCTTCGAGTGAGTTCTCTGGTGTCTGTTGAAGTTCAGGATCTGGTTGAAGCTTCTTCCGCAGTGAGGACAGAAAAAGGGCTTCTCTCGCACGTGGCTTTTCTGGTGCGCGATGAGGTGGGTACTCTGAACAAAGCCTTTCCCACACTTGGAACAGATAAACGGACGGTCTCCCGTATGGAGTTTCCGGTGCCGGACAAGGTCCGAACGGCGGCAAAAGTTCTTCCCACAATCAGGACACTTGTGTTTCTTCTTGAGAACTTGTTCTTCCGGCATCCCAGTTCCATGCCTTCCCAGAAAGGCCTTCAAGTGAGGCGGGCTCCTAGTGCTGCCCTCCTCCAATGGACTTTCCTGGTCGGTTTTCTCCTCTTTGTGTTGGGTCAACATTTTCTCAATAGCTGAAAAGAAACAGAGAGAGAGAAAACAGAGATGAGGAGTTATTCCGTGCTGAGGACTCCAAAAATTGTTTCGTATTGCAGGGAATCAGACTAGGGATGTTCTGTGGGGATACCTTCCATCTCTGCAATTCAACGATTCATACAATCCCCATATTGATGTTCACAAGCCCTTCTTCCCATTTTCTCAGCCTTTGGTGCATTGTTTATCGATTAAAAAATGTTTAAGCTGCTCTTTGGGTCTGACCTTAAGATGGGAGAGGAAAGAAAGCAGAACAGACTGAATGTATACATTGAAGCCATCTGGGCATATAACCAGCATACTTAGGACCACAATACCTCAAGGACCGCCTCTTTCCATATGAACCTACCCGGACACTGAGATCATCTTCTGAGGCCCTCCTTCGTGTGCCTCCTCCTTGAGAGGTCAGGAGGGTGGCAAGACGAGAACAGGGCCTTCTCTGCAGTGGCTCCCCATCTGTGGAATGCTCTCCCCAGGGAAGTTTGCCTGGCGCCTTCATCATGCACCTTTAGGCACCAGGCAAACACGTTCCTTTTTAACCAGGCCTTTGGTTGACCTGATGGACATCTTATCCCATTTTAAAATGTGGCTCTTTTTTGGAGGGGTGTTGCAGTATTGGGTTATCATTCTTATTTTGATTTTGTATATTGTGGTCTTTTCTGTGAACCTCCCTGAGACCTCTGGGTATAGGGTGGTATATAAATTCAATCAATCAATCAATCAATCAATCAATATAAAGTGATAAAATGGTTTACATGATAAAATGATTCCTTTTCCAGACTGTTCTGAGAGTTTGCCTCTTGTTTTGTTTTCTGTGGTTATGCTAAAGGTAAAGGTAAAGGGACCCCTGACCATTAGGTCCAGTCGTGACCGACTCTGGGGTTGCGGCGCTCATCTCACTTTATTGGCGGAGGGAGCTGGCTTCCGAGTCATGTGGCCAGCATGACTAAGCTGCTTCTGGCGAACCAGAGCAGCGCACGGAAACGCCGTTTACCTTCCCGCCGGAGCGGTACCTATTTATCTACTTGCACATTGACGTGCTTTCGAACTGCTAGGTTGGCAGGAGCAGGGACCGAGCAACGGGAGCTCACCCCGTTGCGGGGATTCGAACCGCCGACCTTCTGATCAGCAAGTCCTAGGCTCTGTGGTTTAACCCACAGCGCCACCCGCATCCCTGTGGTTATGCTACTCCCTCCTTTCTCTCTCTCTTCGGGGTCCCAGCAGGACTCACTCACTGCTGCTGGAGTGAACACCATGGCTGGTACCCACCCAATTGATAATGCCAGTCCTGTCCCCGACATACCACAATTAAAGAGAAATATTGACAACCTGGAATGTGGGCAGAGAAGGGTGGCCAAGATCTAGGGCTCTTAGTAACCACAAGCTTAACATAAGTCAACAGTGAGATGCAGCAGCCAAAAAAAAAAAAGCTGATGCTATTTTAGGCTGCGACAACAGAAGTCTAGTGTCCAGATCAAGGGAAGCCATAGCACTGCTCTATTCTGCCCTGGTCAGACCACACCTGGAACACTGTGTCCAGTTCTGGGTGCTACCATTTTAGGAAGGATATTAGCAAGCTGGAAGGTGAGCAGAGGAGGGCAACCAAGGTGATCAAAGGTCTGGAATCTAAGCCTTATGAGGAGCGGCTGAGGGAATTGGGTATGTTAAACTGGGAAAGAGGAGATATGATAGCCATCTTCCAATATCTCAAGGGTTGTTACATGGAAGAGGAACAAGCTTGTTTTCTCCTACTCTGAAGGGTAGGACTCGAACCCATGGCTTCAAGTTGCATGAAAGGAGATTATGACTAAATATCAAGAAGGACTTTCTGACAGTAAGAGCTGTTTGGCAGGGTAACGGATTACCTTGGGAGATAGTGGTCTCTCCTTCCTTGGAGGTTTTTAAGCAGAGGTTGGATGGTCATCTGTCATGGATACTTTAGCTGAGATTCCTGCATTGCAGGGGGTTGGACTAGATGACCCTTGGAACCCCATCCCACTCTACAATGCTATGACTCCATCTATGATTCTAAGCTGGGACAGCACGGGCTGTTGGGTATATTACAGGTTACCCAACAACATGTTGGGATTATGGGACGCCACTAATAATAATAATAATAATAATTTTTTTATATACCCTGCCCTCCCCGGCCAGAGCCTGGCTCAGGGCGGCTAACACCAGTAAAATTACAATTAAAAAATAAAATAAAAATATAAACCAATTAAAAATAGAGGTTTAAATATAATTTAAAATGCAGCCTCATTTTAATAGTAGCCCATAGTTCAAAACCATAAGGGGAGGGAAACATAAGTGTCAGACCGAGTCCAAACCAAAGGCCAGGCGAAACAGCTCTGTCTTGCAGGCCCTGCGGAAAGATGTCAAGTCCCGCAGGGCCCTAGTCTCTTGTGACAGAGCGTTCCACCAAGTCGGGGCCAGTACTGAAAAGGCCCTGGCCCTAGTAGAGACCAATCTAACCACCTTGCGACTTGGGACCTCCAAGGTGTTGTTATTTGTGGATCTTAAGGTCCTCCTTGGGGCATACCAGGAGAGCTGGTCCCGTAGGGACGAGGGTCCTAGGCCGCATAGGGCTTTAAAGGTCAAAACCACAGCCTTGATGCGAGGAGGAAATTCCAGGTGTCAGCACAGCAATAAATCACAGCAACACAACCCAGTACGGTCAGAACTCTTTCGTTGTTGACTTTAAGCTTAGTGATTACAGTACTATGCAAGAATACGATCTTCTATCGGGTTCCCAACATAGGCACACTTAAAGGTTTTAGGCCTTGCCCTGGGTCGCTGCAAGACACCCCCCCCCACAGGCCCCACAGGTTTGCGTTCAGACTAAACAGTCTCTCTGTCCAATCCAGATAACCTTCCAGCTGTGATAACCTTCCAGCAATTAAAACAGCTTCTGGAAAATGCTGGGAAATTTGGGTGTTTTCTGGGAATCAATGTCTCACCCCAGCACTGGTTCCAGTGGGTGCATGCTTAAAGAGACCCAGAGCTGCCCCACATTCCCCAGTCCCAGATAAGCAATCTATACTGGCTGGCGGTGCCCTGTGGGTGGCATTATGACGGCATAGTTAACAGGGTGGCACTGCCAGCACACATAAACTGAGCGGGCCTGGAGCTCTGCTCGGGGCTGTTCTCCAAATCCCGCTAACTAGGAACTGGGGGAGAACGCTACGGCCAACTTTTCCTGCACTTCCTCAAAGCCTGTGGCAGTCATATTATACAGTGATACCTCGGGTTAAGAACTTAATTCGTTCTGGAGGTCTGTTTTTAACCTGAAACTGTATTTAACCTGAAGCACCACTTTAGCTAATGGGGCCTCCTGCTGCCGCCGCACGATTTCTGTTCTCATCCTGAGGCAAAGTTCTTAACCCGAGGTACTATTTCTGGGTTAGCGGAGTCTGTAACCTGAAGCATCTGTAACATGAAGCGTCTGTAACCCGAGGTACCACTGTATATCTCAGCCCGTCCTACCTCCCAGCGCTGTTCTGAAAAGCTAAACGTGGCAATTTCAATATACGCCACCCCGATTTCCTCGAGGCGCGAGGCTAGATGAGGCTGCTTGTCCTGACCGTGAGAATCCCCCCTCCCCTATTTTCGCACGCGTAGAGAGATCGCGGGGATCTAAATCGCCTGCCTCGTTGGCGGATCTACCCCTCCAGCAGATCCTAGGCTGCGGACAGCAAAAAAAAAACAAACCCTTTCCATTCATCCGTCGTTCTGCTTTTCTCCCAACCGAACCTCTTGGGCGCAGATCGGCTTCCTCGCCCCCAGCCCTGGACGGGGTCTTTCCCGGGGCGATTCGACCCCCAATCTCCCCACCCTCCGGCCTTGCAAAGAGACTCCACGGGCTGCACGGGAGGAGCTAATGGCCGACGCGGCCCAAGGGCTGCTTGCTGCGTCTCACCTCGGTCGGGCTCGGGCTTTGCAACGCGGGATCCGGGCCCTTGCGGCAGCTCGGCGTCCCTTTCCGTGCGGACGATCCCAAGATCCCTCCCCAGCAGGGGGTCCAGCTCCCGTCAATCTTCTGGGATCGTGGGCGGGAGAAGGGAAGGGCCCCGGTGGATACTGTATTTCTCTCGCCACCGCAGCTTCCTTCGGAAAGAAGCGGAGGAGGAGCCCTCTGCTGGACGCTGCCTGCCTGCGCCAGGTGTCGCTCGTGGTGTCTAAAAGTTAGGGAGGGCGGGGAGAGGGAGTCTATCCCGCAGCTGGGGAGAGAGATAGAGGGGGAGAAGGTCGAGCTGTTGCGTTAAGAGTCGTGGGATGCAGAGATTTCTCTTGCAGCATTGCGGCATAGGAAGAAGAACTCGGTTAGGATTCATTGGGCTAAAGATATTGGGTATAACATACAGTTGAGTGATTGGGGAAAACTATGGAAAGAAGGTTTAAAATTTACTGCATACAATGCCTTAAAAGAAAATGTGATGAAAATGATGTATAGATGGTATATTACTCCCGTTAGATTAGCTAAAATGTATAAAGTTAGTAATAAATGTTGGAAATGTAAAGAAAAAGAAGGAACATTTTATCATATGTAGTGGGAATGTAAAAAGGTGAAAAACATCTGGGAAATGATATATGAGATGGAAAAAATGTTGAAATATACATTTATCAAGAAACCAGAAGAATTTTTACTTGGCTTTGTAGGAGATGATATAAATAGAAAGGATTCTAAGCTGTTCTTATATGCAGTGATGGCAGCAAGAATATTATTGGCACAAAAATGGAAGCAAGAAGATTTACCAACGAAAGAAGAATGGAGGATGAAATTGATGAACTATGCAGAATTAGATAAACTAACAGGAAGAATTCGAAACCTGCGGGACCAGAGATTTACGGAAGACTGGTGTAAATTTACAGACTATTTGAAAAGTAATTGTGATGATCAGATTACGTTTGTAGGTTTGCAGGAAGTTTTGTGAGGAGAATTATTTGAACTATTGCAAAAATGGATAAAGGGGGGATTGTTAGTTAAGATAATTAAAGGCAATATGAATTTAATAAATGCAGAAGAAATGATAAGAATGGTGGATCATCAGAGGTGCTGATGGAAGTCTAAAAAGATTGTATAAGATGTGAAGTTTTATGGTATGTATTATAATTAATATGTTAAAATTAATAAAAAATTATTTTTTTAAAAAAAAGGAATAAGGGGGGAGCCTTCACGTGATCTCCAGCACAAAAGCATCCTATGGAGACCGCCTCGCAACCCAAGTACTAAGGAATAGGACTGATTGCTCGCTTGCTTGTTCCCTTCTTAAAAGTTATACACACCCCTTTATTTATTATTTTTTTAAAGACCCCTCAAAACAGTTTTACTAAAAGATTAAATTGAGGAAAATTTGCAGCAGTGCTTTTTAATTTTTTTATTGTTTTTTTATAAATAAGGGCCAGGGCCTTCTCAGTGATGGCTCCGACCTGGTGGAATGCTCTGTCCCATGAGACCAGGGCCCTGCAGGATTTAACTTCCTTCTGCAGGGCATGTAAGACAGAGCTATTCCGCCTGGCTTTCAACTTGAACTTAGCCTGATCTTTTATTCCCCTTCCTTCCCTCCCCCCTCCCCTTTCTATGAAGATTACCTGCTCTGGGATCCCACAGCTAATTCTCCCCTGCTCTCCTTGCTGGCCCAAATAGGACTAATTTAGCCAGCTAGCCCAGGTGATCATCTAATGTTTATTGGATGGATTTCCCCCCCAAAATTGATTTTTGAATTCTGAATTTATTGTTATTCACGTTTTATATTGTATTTTATGCTGTTTTTTGTTGCATTAATTAAGTGTTTTAAATAAGTTGTCAGCCGCCCTGAGCCCGGTTTTTGAACCTGGAAGGGCGGGGTATAAAGAAAAAATTATTATTATTATTATAAAATTTATATGCTGCTTGATTGTACAAAAACCTGTTTACAGAAGAGATAAAGTTATCCATTTAAAAAACAAAATGATAGTGATTTAAGGCCAATGCACACAGAAAGTCGTCAGCTGCCTCCACAGTAGTGCAAGTCACACATCTGCAAGAGTAGAATACAGTATGGTGTTTTGAGGTTCTTTCGGGATTTAAGACGACATCTGTCAAGGTTCGTGACCTGTGCATGCACACACTCATGAAAGTGTAGATGTACATACTTCGTTCTCAAGAAGCAGACGCAGAAGGTTAAACCACTAAAGCTGTAGAAGATAGCCTCAGCTTTCTAAGTATCGGGGCGGAGGGGGGAAGCTTGTCTAAACAAGGGTGTTTTCAGCAGGCGTCGAAAAGCGCACAGCGAAGGTGCCTACTTGAGATCAAGAGGCAGAGAGTTCCAAAGACGGTCGAGGTCTTGCAAAGGCCGAACGGGCATGACGTCGCACCGTAGCAGTGCCGATTCCACCTATGGAAGCAGGGTGGGGGCACACGTGGAGTAAGGGGTGGGTTGGTAGCCCGTCTATGGAGTTTGGATTGGGTAGTCAGGTGTTTCAAGCTGTTCAGCAGTGGAAATGGGAGGTGCCAACCCTAGAAATGGTGTTTTCTTTTAAAGAAAGAAAATAAGATTGAGAGAAAACTCTGCAGTGGCTGAGAAAGAGCCAGTTATTGATGTCACTCTGTTTTGAAGGCGCATGAGGTCATCATTTTGCTCAGGTAGGTCTGCTTCCGCTCAGCACCTAGATGAGAGACTTTTTGTGGAAGAAAAATGAGTTATCAGTGTAAGAAAATACAGTGGTACCTCGTGTTACATACGCTTCAGGTTACATACACTTCAGGTTACAGACTCCGCTAACCCAGAAATAGCACCTCAGGTTAAGAACTTAGTTTCAGGATGAGAACAGAAATTGTGCTCCAGTGGCGCGGTGGCAGCAGGAGGCCCCATTAGCTAAAGTGCTTCAGGTTAAGAACGGTTTGAGGTTAAGAATGGACCTCCGGAACGAATTAAGTACGTAACCAGAGGTACCACTGTAGTTTCCACAAGCCTATTGCGAGGATAAGCACAGACAATCTGTTCCTTCCTTCCTTGGAGGTCCCTTCCAACCCTACGATCCTATGACTCTTACGAAATAGCACAGTTAATTTTTTTGTTTTTACAGGCAGCTCATATGATGCGGGTGGCGCTGTGGGTTAAACCACAGAGCCTAGGACTTGCCGATCAGAAGGTCGGCGGTTGGAATCCCCACAATGGGGGTGAGCTCCCGTTGCTCGGTCCCAGCTCCTGCCAACCTAGCAGTTCGAAAGCACGTCAAAGTGCAAGTAGATCAATAGGTACCGCTCCAGTGGGAAGATAAACGGCGTTTCCATGCGCTGCTCTGGTTCGCCAGAAGCGGCTTAGTCATGCTGGCCACATGACCTGGAAGCTGTACGCCAGCTCCCTCGGCCAGTAAAGCGAGATGAGTGCCGCAACCCCAGAGTCGGCCACGACTGGACCTAATGGTCAGGGGTCCCTTTACCTTTACCATATGCTTATTCAGTCCCATGCAAGTGTGTATTCAGCAGCTTTATATTCTGTGAGGGATAAACTACAGCTCCCATGATTCTTGGGGAGGAGATATGTGCTTTAAATGTGTATTAAGTGTAATAATAATTATATAATAATAACAATTTATTATTTATACTCCGCCCATCTGGCTGGGTTTCCCGGGTCACTCTGGGCAGCTCCCAAGAGAATAATAATAATAACAATAAGCGATAAAACAGCAAACATTAAAAACTTCCCTAAAATTGGTGTTTACACTAAGGGTGGAGAACTTGCTAGATGCTGTCTCTCATCACCTTGTTCCTTGCGAGTTGTAGTCATAAAAACGGCCCACCAATTGCCGCATTGCAGGGGGTTGGACTGGATGATGATGATAATAAATGTTATTTATACCCCACCCTCCCCGGCCAGAGCCGGGCTCAGAGCGGCTAACACCAATAAAATCACAGTAAAAACATAATGGGGGGGGGACCAATTTAAAATACAGGCTCAAAATGCAATTTAAAATGCAGCCTCATTTTAAAAGTAGCCGATAAATCAAGACCATAAGGGGAGGGAAATATAAGGGTCAGACTGAGTCCGAACCAAAGGCCAGGCGGAACAATAATAATAAATTTTGACTCTTGGGGGTCCCTTTCAACTCTACCATTTCCCCGATCGCGCCCATCCACCGTTTCCTATACACATGGCCAGCCGTAGCCAGCAGAGGGCTCTATATGAGATCGGATTGACTTGCTGGGAAATAAGAAGAGGGAGAGAGCAAAGCGAAGATCTTTTGAGCTTCCGGATCAAGGAATTTGCTCATCTTCTTCCTTGCAAGTTTCCGGTTTCCCAGGCACTGGAGAGGCGGAGGTCCCTTGCGGGACTAGCCAAGGTGAGGCTTCTTTCCCAGAAGACAAAATGTGCTGCTGCTTCCGCTGTTTGTCTTTGGGATCGGAGTGGGAATAATAAGGTAAGGGGCAAACGGCCATCTCCGATGGCTGTCACGCCCCTGCAGTGAATATAGACAGGCAGACAGATAGGAACTGCATTTTCCCAAAGGACAGCAGGTGTTTTAGAGAAGCAAGGAAGTAAAACCAGGAAGTAAAGAACTGGGCGCTTGCAAAGATTTGGAGCAGTCTCTCTTCCACGAAGCTGTGGCAAGGTTAGGCAGCCTGTAGTCTATCAGATATATATTAACATTATTTTTGTTTAAAATGCATGCCCTGCTTTTTGTGGAACTCCCTCCACAAAGCAACTTGTAAACTTCAAGAAATAAAAGCAGCAATTAAAAGACAGTTAAAAAGAATATTGCATGTAATGCAAAAGGCAGAAAAATCCTTAAATGCGCCACCAAGACCTTCAGCAATATCCAAGTGGTCCGTAGGGGAGAAAGTCTGGGAAACACTATAATAGATAATTATTGGTTCAAGGGAAAAAATAAATAAAGGATAATTATTGGTTGCCAAGATCCAAGTTTGGGGTAAGTACTCTTTGGTGAGAGAACCCCAGTAAAGATTTAAAATCACAAAAATTGCAGCAAAGTGTGGAAATATATGCTGTTAGACCTTTCAAAGTCCCCCTCTTCCCCTAACATAGAAAAAGACCACACATTTGGTAAGTTAAAAATGGTTTACTTATAAACTCTCCCAAGGCCAGATTCATGTGCTTTTCCATACAGCATTCCAAAAAAAGTTGCACAGGCAGTAAAACTTCCTTGGATTTGAAAGTTAGTGGTGAAAGTTCCTACATTATTGGTATAGGAACTCAAGGTTGGCCAGTGAGAGCCATGCACTCTGAGCTGGAGCAACCAGCACAGGATGAGCTTCCCAAGTAGACTGAAGTACAATAGGGCGTGATTACCTTCCTCCCAAAGTGAGGGGGAGCGACCTAGGCTGAGCCTGGCAGGACAGCTTACTCTATGGTCTTAACCCCTTCATGTGTTAAGTAAACATGTTGGTTATATGAGACTGGTTGCCCCACAATAAGACCATCCATGAGCATGGTACTTTACAAATTCTAGAGGACAATTTGAAATTCCGCACAAGGAAGAAGGGAAGGGAAATAAAAGAAGGGGGTAAACTGGAAGAATATACATTTTCATTAGCATGTATCCATAGGCTTAAGCTGCAATCCTATGTAGACTTATCTAGGAGCCAGACCCATTGAGCTCAGTGGGGCTCATATCTGAGTAAACATGTATTAGCTACAGCCCCAAACCCAGTGTCCTCCAAATATTTTGGACAATTAATAATAATAATAATAATATTGAACTCTCTGTGTCTTGGCAGAATGAAGAGGAGAACGTGATGGACCTCTTACGTATCTCCTTTTGGCATCTGGTACGTCATCCATTTCCTGTGTAGAAGAATAAAAGTGAAGGGCTTGAATGAGGGTAACTCCAGCTAAGTAAACAGACAGATCTGACTAGGGAATATTACTGGTCAGAACACAATTTAATCATCCGTCATACAGCAAAGTCAGCTTCGAAATATTTTGACTTTGAATACATCGTTCAGCCTGAAGCTTCAATTTTACCCCTTGTCGAGAAACGTGCAAAGCGGGGACTCTTAATCAGTTTTTGGGGCTCAGGAGACACAACTGGAGAATAAATTCGCCTGCAGCATCACATGGGAGAGAAATTATTTCAATGCCCCAATTTTGGGGAAAGCTTCCTGGGCCGCTCAGATCCTTTCGAACATCAAGCCGAACTGTACAGATGCCTGGAGTGTGGGAAATGTTTTACTCACAGCAAGAACCTCAGCACTCATCAGAGAATCCACACTGGAGAAAAGCCGTACAAGTGCCCCGAATGTGGGAAAAGGTATGGTGCCAGCTCCACTCTGAGCAGACACAGAAAAATCCACATGGAAGAAAAGCCCTTCAAATGCCCCGTGTGCGAGAAGGGTTTCAGTTACAAAGCAGACCTCATTAAACACCACCGGGTTCACACCGGGGAGAAACCTTACGTCTGTGGCGAGTGTGGGAAAAGCTTCAGTCAGAGCTCAAACTTTGTGACGCATCAGAGAAGCCACACGGGAGAGAAACCTTACGAATGCCCTGACTGTGGGAAAAGTTTCACTGTGAGTTCGAGCCTTATTGAACATCAGAGAGTCCACACGTCCGAGAAGCCCTTTTTGTGCGGGGAATGCGGGAAAAGCTTCAACCGGAGCTCCCATCTCAACGTGCACCAGAGAATTCACACAGGAGAGAGGCCCTTCCAGTGCCCCGATTGTGGGAAAGGCTTTACTATCCTTTCTACCCTTAGTAAACACCAGAGAATCCACACGGGAGAAAAACCGTATAAATGTCCCGACTGTGAGCGGAGCTTTAGGGTGAGCTCAATTCTTATGCAGCATATTAGAACCCACACGGGAGAGAAACCGTATGTTTGTCCCGACTGCGGGAGAAGCTTCAGCCAAAAATCGCCCCTCATTGCTCATCAGAAACTTCACGCTCGTAAGAAAATGCCGTAGGCGACTGTTCTGCGACAAAAGGGGCCGTCTGCACTGTATGTTTAAAGCGGTATCATACCATTTTGAAGACAGCCATGGCTTCCCGCAAAGAATCTTGAGAAACTGTAGTTTGTTAAGGGTGCTGTGAGTTGCTAAGGGGTGCCCATTCCCCTCATAAACCTACAATTCCCATAATTCCCTGGGAAGAGGGATTGACTGTTAAACCCTTCTGAGAATTGTAGAAGATGGGGCCACATTGTTGTGACTGGCAAATCATTGAGTCATAATTATCATAGCTTGGCATAAGAAAATGTGCAGTGATAGGTGATAACTTTCACTCCTGGATAGGTTTTTCTTTCTTTCTTTCTTTCTTTCTTTCTTTCTTTCTTTCTTTTTAAAATATCCTTCCACATTTACTTTTTTAAAAAATACAACCTTCCCTTTCCTCTCGATTGAGGAATTGATCATTATACCACTGTGACAACTGCAGTTCTGTGAGGGAAATAAGGGTGCTCATTTTGTTAGGAAACCCTCAACAGACTACAGCTCCCAGAATTCTTTGGGGGAAGCCATGACAGTGTAAAATGGTACCATAGTACTTAAAACGCATGGTGTGAATAGAATGCCAACTCCTTTTTTTAAAAAAACCTTTTTAAAAAATGAGCTTTATTTATTAAATTTTGTGCGATGCCCTTCCTCCTTAAGGATCCCAGCATGGCAAACGTCGGATGTTAAAACAGTACAATTTAAAATAAAAATATTTTTAAAACTGCCTAGAAACATTTAGGGCATCCAACACCATAGTACTTCAAACAGATTTTTTTTAATGATGAAAATACAAGTCTTTAAAATATTTTATTTACATTTTCTCAAAATTACTCCCCCCCCCCCAAAAAAAACCCCAGAGTCCTTTTTACTGGGGATAAACCAGAATGAAAGTTCCAGGTGCCAGGAAAGGTTATTCATGTACGCAACAATTGCGGCCCGTGTTTTGTTAGCCCCAAAATGGAAAGTGAGCGAGGGCAACTTAAGTTGACAGATTTAACATATGGAATAAGAGAGCAAGAAGAACATACGTTTAAAGAAGATTGGAAAGCATTTATTGAATATATGGAAAATAACTGTGTACAGCTGAAAACGCTGGCAGCATTAAGACAAATTCAACAGAGTAAATAATTTTTGATGGCTGTAAAAGTGGAAAATTGATTTGAAATGGTTATAGTAATAGTAATATACGCAGGGATGTGTGATATGTAAAACGAACCATGGAAAGAGAAGAAGGGAAGTCGCTGGATGTTTCAAAGTTAGTAAAATGTTTATTTGAAATTGTAAAACAAAAATTGTAATAAAAATTATTATTAAAAAAATACATCTGAATTGTTCACAGTGTCAAATGTAAATTTGTCGGAAGCTTATAAGCTGCTGCAAAAATTGCAAAACGGCCCTCTGGAAACTGCATCTGCCACAGCAAAACAACAAAATGTCATAAGATAAATTCTTACCCGTAAAATCTATGGTAGCATAAGCTCTCATGGACTAGTTAGTTCATAGAAAATACATATTGTATTAGTATTACTACTAATTAATTTGATAGCTGCTTGACATAAGGCAGTCTAAGTAGTTCACAATCAAGTTTTAAAAACTTATACATAAAACATTATATTCCACCACGGGGCGAGAGGCAGGATTCTGCAACCCAGAGCAATACTCACATGCCACCACTGCTCGGTTGACTCAAAATCCATCAAATTCCTGGGCGAAGAAAAAAGTCTTAAACCGGCCCTGTAACAAAATGTTGGCACCTCACACTGAGCACAAATTCATCAACTTATTTTAAAGCATTTATATACTGCTTTGAGGCAATCAACTGAAGATCACATAACCTTAAGTTATAATTTCGCCGTTACAGCAAGACTAATTGTGCCGAAAAGACGATGCAGCCTTATGCCAGGCTTTGCCAACCTGGTGCCCTCTGTACTGGTTGGAGTTGCTGCGAGTTCGAGTCCAATCGCTGCCAACATCCCTCCAAGGCCCCAAGCAGGCTTTCTCCAGAGTTTGCCACCTCTATAGCGGAAGCATTTCTATGCTGAAGGAGATAGTGACAGCATCTCTGCTGTTCTGCGAGGTTTTCTTTTTTCCTCATCTTCCAACTGGTGATGTTCCTTCCGCTGAGTGGATGTCTTCATAGCTCCTGGAATGAGAAGAGAAAATTAAGTGGCTTGTTCCTGGAAAGAAGCACTAGGCTGTTATCCTGACATCGCTGAGGTCCAGCGCCGAGGGCCTTCTGGCGGTTCCCTCACTGTGAGAAGCCAAGTTACGGGGAACCAGGCAGAGGGCCTTCTCAGTGGTGGCGCCCGCCCTGTGGAACGCCCTCCCACCAGATGTCAAAGAGATAAACAACTACCCGACTTTTAGAAGACATCTGAAGGCAGCCCTGTTTAGGGAAGCTTTTAATGTTTAATGGGTTATTTTATTTTAGTGTTTTGTTGGAAGCCGCCCAGAGTGGCTGGGGAAACCCAGCCAGATGGGCGGGGCATAAATAAATTTATTATTATTGTTGTTATTGTTGTTGTTGTTGTTGTTGTTATTTCCAAAGGCCAGCGTCTCCTTTCCTCACAATGGCTGGCCAGCTGCTTCGGGGAAAACCACAAATTGCCTGTGAAGGCAACACCACCCCCTCCCCGTTCTGGTATTCACAAGCAAACCTTGATTTTGGCAGTGGCTCCAACTCTCTTAAACTTCCTTTTCTGATTCACTTCTCAAAACAAAGCCAATCAGAGATGTACATGGATGAAAGGGGCGTGACCCCCAAGTTTGTGATGAATGAATTTACGGCTCAATCTGCATGAGCTTCAGCGGCTCTAAGCACAGAAATCTTCAAAATAATCTCTGCAAGTTGTAATCTAGAATTTAGCTGTAAAGATTAGCGTTTGCCACTCAGTTTTGCCACTGCCTACTGAAACCAATTAAAATTGGTATAATGGGACAAGAAAATTGGCTTCCAGGTGGAAAAATCAAAGTTAGAAACTGAACTGTTAGAACCCAAAACTAAGAATTTGTCAAGAATGTATAACTTGCTGCTGAAATGGAACACTCAGGACGAAACGGTGAAATCTGCTATGATTAAATGGGCTCAAGACGTCGGACATAACATTATGTTTGCTGACTGGGAACAGTTATGGACCACAGGTATGAAATTTACGGCATGTAATGCCTTAAGAGAGAATATTATGAAAATGATATACAGGTGGTACATAACCCCAGTCAAGCTTGCTAAAATCTATCATTTGCCTGATAATAAATGTTGGAAATGTAAGGAAATTGAAGGTACATTTTTCACATATGGTGGACGTGCCCAAAGATTAAGGCTTTCTGGGAAATGATATATAATGAATTAAAAAGGTATTTAAATATACCTTCTTGAAGAAACCAGAGGCCTTTCTCCTGGGCATAGTCGGCCAAACGGTGTTAAAAAAGGATAGAACTTTCTTTATGTATGCAACAACAACAGCAAGAATACTCATTGCAAAGTATTGGAAGACACAAGATCTACCCACACTGGAGGAATGGCAGATGAAAATGATGGACTTTATGGAATTGGCGGAAATGACTGGAAGAATCCGTGACCAGGGAGAAGAGTCGGTGGAAGAAGATTGGAAGAAATTCAAAGATTACCTACAGAAATATTGCAAAATTAAAGAAAGTTAGAGTGATGATGGACTGAAATTAAGGGGTTTCTAGCTGTACAGGCTTTAAAGTTATATACAGATCAAGATTAAGGATCAGGATTAAAAAGGTTAAAAGAATGGAAAATTGGCTATTAATAGGTAAAAATTTAATGTTATATTATATTGAGATTAAGGATTGGGATTAAAAAGGAGGGAAAGGAATTGCTGGACAAACAAACTGGATTGGAATACAAAAGAGGGAGGTATGAGGAGGTCCAGAAAATAAGTAAATTCAAAGTAGTGATGAAAAGATGGAATTGTTTTTAACTGTTTTTTTTCTTTTTTCTTTTCTTTTTGTATTGTGTATTGGGTATTGTGTATTTTTCTTTTTAATTTTAAATTTTTGTTTTTATTGATGTGTTTCTTTTTATCTGAAACTTTAATAAATATCTTTTAAAATTGGTATAATGTCCTTTCAGGAAAAGACCATGACTGTGGCGTTCAGACTCTGTGGGGAGAGTCGCTCATCCTGAGGAGAAATCTGGGCCTGTTCAATGGCACACTACATTTTTATCCTGCCTTTCCTTCAAGGAGCTCAAGGCAGCGTCCGTGGTTCTTTTTTACGGGACCGTCTCTCCTGGTATGCCCTGCAGAGGACCTTAAGGTCCATGAATAACCATAGTTTAGAGGTCCCGGGCCCTAAGGTAGTCTGACTATCCTCCGCCAGGGCCAGGGCCTTTTCAGTGATGGCTCCGACCTGGTGGAATGCTCTGTCCCATGAGACCAGGGCCCTTCAGGATTTAACCTCCTTCCGTTGGGCCTGTAAGACAGAGCTATTCCGCCTGGCCTTTAATTTGAATTCAGCCTGATCTTTTATTTCCCTTCCCTTCTCTTCCCTCCCCCTCCCCTTTTCTGAAGATTACCCACTCTCAGACCCCACAGCTAATTCTCCCCTGGCCTCCTCGCTGGCCCAAGTAGGGCCAATTCAGCCAGCTATCCCTGGGGATTATCTAATGCTTATTTCCCCTAAATTGATTTCTGAATTTTGAATTTTATTGTTATTCATGTTTTTATACTGTGTTTTATGCTGCTTTTACAATTGTTTTAAATTTGTTGTTAGCCGCCCTGAGCCCAGTTTTTGAACCGGGAAGGGCGGGGTATAAATAAAAAATTATTATTATGATTTGCCTCCTCCCGTTTTAACCACACAAAAGCCCTGTGAAGTAGGTTAGGCTGAGAGATGACAACTGGCCCAAGGTCACCCAAAAACTTCATGGCTGAGCAAGGATTCGAACCCAGTTCTCCTAACACTTTAGGAGGCATGGCTCTTCCCATCGCACAGGCAAAAAAATCATGGGAACTGTAGTTTACCACCACCGAGCTATAATTCCCTGCACCCTGAACTAAGTAGACTTCCCATGATTATTTGGAGGAAGCAGTGAGATTTAAATGCATGGTTCAGACATTCGACACTAACCAGTACCCACCCCCCACAAACACAAAGAGACACACTCAACTTCCTGCTTTTAGGAACCCTGGAGTCACAGCTCAGCAACCTTAGTAGCTGACGTTTCACCACTGAAATTGAGTGCTTGCAATTTGTTATATGGCAAAGGCCCAGTGATTTGCAACCACATTGGAATGCGGTGTGAACTTACTTGCTCTGTGACCTACTGAGAATCAGGCCAGATTTCTGTCCTCATATTTCTGCTCCCTCATCCTAACTGTGTCCTGGGCACTTCTTAGTGATGGCTTCGTTGGAGTGGCCAGAGGCTAGACAGCTTTTTGCTGACGGACTGCCCAGCTGCTAATAGTAACTGCAATGCGTTATATGTAGGGCTGCCTCTGAAGACAGTTTAGAAACTTCAGAGGAGTGCAGAATTCAGCGACCAGATGGTTTGAGCATATTACACCGATCCTGGTCCAACTGCACTGGCTACCAATTAGTTTCCAGGCCCAATTCAAAGTGCTGGTTTTGACTTATAAAGCCTTAAATGGCTCAGGACCACAATACCTCAAGGATCACCTCTTTTCATATGAACCTACCCAGACCCTGAGATTATCTTCTGAGGCCCTCCTTCCGTGTGCCACCTCCTCGAGAGGTCCGGAGGGTGGCAACACGAGAACAGGGCCTTCTCGGCAGTGGCTCCCCGCCTGTGGAATGCTCTCCCCAAGGAAGTTGCCTGACGCCTTCACTTCACACCTTCAGGCACCAGGCAAAAATGTTCCTTTTTAACCAGGTCTTGGTTTGATCTGATGGATATCCTATACCCTTTTAAAATGTGGCTCCTTTGGGGTGGGTGTCATTGGGTTATTATTATTTTGATTTTATATATTGTGATCTTTTCTGTGAACTGCCCTGAGACCTCCGGGTCTAGGGCGGTATATAAATTCAAACAAACAAACAACGGTGTAACTTTCAGATGGCTCTCTGAGTTTGCTTTCATCTGTGCAGCTGATGAGCTACAACTTGGCGGGGTGTGTGTGTGTGTGTGTGTGTGTGTGTGTGTTATTCTTTCTCTGCCCCCTACCCGCAAATACCAATACAGTGGTGCCTCGCAAGACGAAATTAATCCGTTCCGCGAGAGTCTTCGTCTAGCGGTTTTTTCCTCTTGCGAAGCAACCCTATTAGCGGCTTAACGGATTAGCGCTATTAGCGGTTTAGCGGCTATTAAAGGCTTAAAGGCTTAGCGGATTAGCTGCTAAAAGGCTATTAAAGGCTATTAAAGGCTTAGCAGATTAGATAAAGGCGGCGAAAGCGAAAAAAAAATCTCAAGACTTGCAAGACATTTTCGTCTTGCGAAGCAAGCCCATAGGGAAATTCGTCCTGCGAAGCAACTCAAAAACGGAAAACCCTTTCGTCTAGCGGGTTTTCCGTCTTGCGAGGCATTCGTCTTGCGGGGCACCACTGTACCAGCACTAGTTTTGGATCCAAAGTAAAGAGCCAGTGTGTTTACAGTGGCTAGAGTGTGACTAGGGACTTTGGAGAGCTGGGTTCAAATCCCCACTCAGCCATCAATCTCGCTGCTGGTTGACTCTTGGCCACAGCCGCTGCCTCTCAGTCTAACCTACCTCACAGCGTTGTTGTGGGGATTAAATGAGGACGGGGAAGAACCCATAGCTGTTAATGTTTCCCTTTTTTTAAGGGAAATTCCCTTATTCCGAATAGGATTCCTCGCAAGAAAAGGGAAAAGTTGACAGCTATGGAAGAACCATGTATGCCACCTTCGGCTCCTTGGGGGGAAAAGGTGTGGGTATAAATGAAATAAATAAATAAATGCAATAGGGAAAAAGCAAAGGAAACTCTGGGAATCTCCCCCGAAAGCCACAGAGCTAGCGATGGCCCCCACTTGCGTCCCGCTCTTTGTAAATCGCAAACATTTGAAAAGGGATTAGAGGAAAACTTACCTACGTCTCCTCTGCCAGCAAATTACTACACCTGCCAGAATTGCGACTACAGCTATTAAAGCAATGGCAATCCCTATACTTAGCGCAGCCTTGTTTCCTCTGCCGTCTGGGGAACACGGTAGACAAGAAAAGAAAAGGCGACAGGATTAGAGAGAGAGATGAGACCCACAACAAGTCACTAAGATGTTTCCACCCTACAACCAAGCTGAGTCTAACTGAACACAGTCTAGTGTTGAATACCTACTCTGTGGCAGTGAGGGAAACAAACAAAAATACTTTTTCTCTCCTACAGAGTGTCAGTGTGAGGAGCTGTTCAGCAAGGCTGTTTTGAGTAGTCAGGGGTCTTCTGCACGCTGGCCCACATGTGGAGAATTCAGACCACTCGGCGGCCTGCTGTGGACAATTTGTTCTGCACTTTGCTGAGAAAACCACTTGGGATGCTATCGTTGACACAGGTCTGGTGGATGTAGCTTTGACCTCTGCTTACTTACATCCTGTCTGGATTACTGTCCCTTGAAAAGTGCCCCCAAACTTCCAACTGGTCCATCAAGCTGCAACCAAACTGTTGAACCAGGGCTGAAAGACCTTATTCTTCCATATGAACTTGCTTAGCTTCTGCGATCTCTGGGGGAGGCCCTTCTCTAAGGCCCGCCACCCCAGGGCCACATTTGGTGGGGACACGGGAGAGGGCCTTCTCGGCAGAAGCTCCCAGACTTTGGAAGTCCCTCCCTAAGTCCCTCCCCAAAGCTGTCTCTTTGCTATCCTTCCACCAGCAGGTGAAGACTTTCTTGTTCCAGGTCTCCAGCTTGCGTCACAAGTCAATGGCGTTGCCCCCCACAGGCGGCGAGGAGGTTCAGGCAGGGGGAAACCCGGATTTATGAGGGCACATCCTGGCAATGTTCCCCAGTGGGGTCTGGGGAGTTCACTGCATCCCACTGTGCTGCTCAAGCCTGATTGGAAAATGAATGAAAAACAACACGAACAAACGGCTGCCAAATAGATCTGGCAAGAGGCCAAATTTGAGAAAAGATTTTATTCTTAACTGTGTACAGAGGAAGAACTTTTAATATTGGAGACTGGCCAGGTATTCTGTGAGTTATTTATGGCTGCAGTGCATACTCTAGTTGGTGAACAGCGGAAGGAATGGAAAATGACCTTGTACCATCCAGATAAACACTGCAATGAACTGAACAATGGGAGTTATAATAATAATAATAATAATAATAATAATAATAATAATAATTTATTTATACCCCGCCCATCTGGCTGGGTTTCCCCAGCCACTCTGGGCGACTACCAACCAAATATTAAAAACCTCAGTGTCCAGGCTGGATGATGGGGGTGGACACTCTCCTTCAAGTATACTGGACCGAGGCCATTTAGGGCTTTAAAGGTCAACACCAACACTTTGAATTGTGCTCAGAAACGTACTGGGAGCCAATGAAGATCTTTCAGGACCGGTGTTATATGGTCTCGGCAGCCACTCCCAGTCACCAGTCTAGCTGCCGCGTTCTGGATTAATTGCAGTTTCTGAGTCACCTTCAAAGGTAGCCCCACGTAGAGCGCATTGCAGTAGTCCAAACGGGAGATAACCAGAGCATGCACCACTCTGGCAAGACAGTCTGCAGGCAGGTAGGGTCTCAGCCGGCATACCAGATGGAGCTGGTAGACAGCTGCCCTGGACACAGAATTGACCTGCGCCTCCATGGACAGCTGTGAGTCCAAAATGACTCCCAGGCTGAGCACCTGGTCCTTCAGAGGCACAGTTACCCCATTCAGGACCAGGGAGTCCTCCACACCAGCCCGCCAGGTCTGAAACACCATTGTACATGAAGGACTACACACATGAAATGGATTTTATACTTATAAGATGTAACAGAGGCGCTGTTTGTAAAGAGGGACAAGAATTCAGCTGTAATGATGATGTAACTGAGAGTGAAAGATGACAACTGGACACTAAATAAATGATGCAGCTATTGGAGGAAATGATCGACATATGTTTGCAACTGGAGCGGGAAACCTGATTTCAAGAAACTGTATTAAATGTAAGTAATTTGGTTGGATTTGTAATAATTTGGAAAATTAATAAAAATGATTTGGAAAATGATTTTCTGTTCCAACAGGCCTTTGTAATTTAACAGATATTTAAGGAAAGAACTTTTAATAGTGCTGCACTGTTTTTAATGTTTGTGTTTTAATAGATCTGTTTTTCATATTGCTTTAAATATTTTAGAATTTAATTAACCTTTAATGATGACCTTTTCTATGTTTTTAGCTTTCTGCATTTTATTTGTTCTGTTTTAATTTGTGTAAGCCGCCTTACATCCTGGTTTGGGGAAAAGATGAGATGTAAGTAAATTATAATAGTAACAATAGTAATAATTGTTTTCGGTTTTTTGCAAACCACTTTGAGAGGTGGGGTTTGTTTCTTTGTTTGTTTACAATCAAGCAGTGCATGCATTGCATGAACTAAAATATGTAAATAAATGATATGTATAGTTAAAGTCATGGTTTTCCCAGTAGTGATGTGTGGAAGTGAGAGCTGGACCATAAAGATGGCTAATCGCCGAAGAATGGATGCTTTTGAATTCTGGTGCTGGAGGAGACTCTTGAGAGTCCCATGGACTGCAAGAAGATCAAACCTCTCCATTCTGAAGGAAATCAGCCCTGAGTGCTCACTGGAAGGACAGATCCTGAAGCTGAGGCTCCAGTATTTGGCCACCTCATGATAAGAGAAGACTCCCTGGAAAAGACCCTGATGTTGGGAAAGATGGAGGGCACAAGGAGAAGGGGACGACAGAAGACGAGATGTTGGGACAGTGTTCTCGAAGCTACAAACATGAGTCTGACCAAATTGCGTGAGGCAGTGGAAGACAGGAGTGCCTGGCGTGCTCTGCTCCATGGGGTCACAAAGAGTCGGACACAACTAAACGACTAAACAACAACAACAAAAATGTACTAATCCTCTCTCCAACTACAAATCCCAACTGTGGTGAAACCTTCACTTTGATTGGTTAAAGTTGCTGCTGGGGAGAGCTGAAAATATCTATGAAGTGCATGCAGTAACCAATCATGGTATGTAACCAAACAGCAGAAATAACGCTTCGTATTTCATAATCGTCCCGGCGAGGTTCAAGAGTCAACAAAAAAGGCGAGGTTTCTGCAATTGTCTGCCCACTGAAAGGCTCGAGATACTGTAATCTTTGCAGGCTGGCTCAGTAAACAAGTTGGTTCAGTAGGCAAGATAGGAATTTTCTTTTTCTTTCAAAATAACTTCTCATTTGTGGTGAAGTTCCAGCTAACCCCAGAAACAATTTTAGCAGAATAAAGACCAGCAAGGGGATATTGTGATAGGAATTTTATGGTCTTAGATATATGGTAATGTTCATAAGTGGACCAACCAAGCACGTACATAGATCAGAACAGGAAGACCGACCTGGAACCATTTTGATTCCTAAACTGAGTAAATGTTTTCTCTGCAAGGTCAAAGTGGGAAACCTCCCATTGTCTCTTTCCTCCCAAATCCTGTCTTAAGGGCACATTTAAGATATGAATAGGGTGTGAGCCTGTGACCTGGCCCAGGAACCAAGTATTTATCATTACAAAAGACTAGCCAGGCTCCCCAGGAAATCCAATCAAGTAACCTGCCAGACAGGAGATAAACGACAGGAGAAAAACAACATTCAAATTTTTTGTTTTAGACCGGCTTTTTTGTGATGTAGGTATGATGTATCTGAGGGGTGGTCTTAGGTTACACTCCTTCTGTGATGTATGTATGCTGTTTCTGGGGGTGGTCTTGATCTACAGGGTGGCAATTTCAAAAGTCTTTATAAGGCCTTGCGCGCCATTTTTCTGGGTTCCTCCTCTCTCCTGCGGGTGAGGGGAGCACCGTGTTGCAACAGCTTTAATAAAGATCAGGCTTACTAGCTGCTTTGCTTCTCAATATTCTCTGGTTGGCCTCTGTTATTCTCTCCTACCAATAGGGAACCTATGTAAGGACTCTATATGGGCTCTTGGATACCCCATAAGGGAAAAGGGCAACTTTTTGTTTACAACAATGTGGTGTGGGAATTATCGCTGCCATCCCTTGGAATTCAAAGATAAAGCAGTAGCTAATGCGTGCCACCCTCTTCCTAATAGAGACGTGCAATATTTTTCTGTACCCAAAGTACCTACCCCAAGGGATGATTTTCACCCCCACGCTGATGTGTTGCACCCGGCAAGCGTAACTGCGCTCATCCGCTGACTTAATAACCAGAGTACTCCTGATCTGGTAAGTGAGGTCGTGGTTAGGCAGTATCTCGGTGGAGTTGAAGTCTGAGCTGGGCAGCTCTTTCCCATCCTGCAGCCAGGAGACGTTGATGGGTTGTGGGTAGAATCCGGTGACTCGGCAAACCAGCAGCAAAGAGTCGGGGGCTGGCGGGGTCTTGTGGGCGAAGACCCCATAGTCTGGCGACACTGAGAGAGCAGAACAGTTCAGAACATGAGTTACATAAGCTTACAAAGCCATATCACGCCATGCTCTGGCCCAAGCCTCCCAGAATCTGAGATGATTTGCACAAGCACTGGGTGTGCGGTGTCAGGAGCTGTCCTACTCTCAAGTAGGACGCTGGTAGAGACACATGCCTGATTGGCATGTTTTCTCCCTCCTGGCCGATCGTTCGGGAGCTTCAAAAGCTTTCTTCTGCCCGAACATCACAGCGACTGATGCCTTGGAGACATCAGCACACTCAGGGATCCTCAGAGTCTTCGCAGCTTGCGTAACAGACCTCAGCAACTCAGCATTTTGGCTGATCTACTTTATTTACATATAAACACACACAGAGCACTGCAACATAGCTCCCTCTCTCTCTAGCATCAGACAGCAAAGAGAGAGAACAAAGGGCAATAGTCCCACTTCACGGAACACAGTAACACAAACATCCTGTCTCCGTCACTTCCCACACTGTGGAATGAAAACATACACCGTCATGTGAAAGATAACAATCCCATGACTGCAGACACGGGGAATGAATCTCCAATATGCGGCACCCATTTGAGACTCTTGCATGCAGTCAGCTCCCTGTCTTGTGTACAGAAGAGTCGCAAGTAGACTCAGCTGTGTAGGAGGTTATGCTTTTTATGTGTCGTTACATTTGGGGTCATTTGAGGTGGGATGTGCAACACATTTAATACCTATTAAACCAAACTGGGGTGTGTGTGTGTATGTGTGTGTGTGTGGTCAAGAACAAGTAAGGTGGCAGTCTCTCTTCCTGTTTCTCCAAACAAGAACAGCCTGCTGGATTAGCCCTGTATCCTGTTCTCACAGTGGCCAACAGATGCCTGTGGGGCAACCCGAAAGCAGGATTTGAGCACAATAGTGCTTTCCACCTGCCTGGCCTGTGGCTTGCAGCAACTGGGATTCAAAGTCAGAGCATTACTTCCTTGGACTGTAGAGGCAGAGCATAGCGAATGGTGCAGGGATTGTTCTTTCACAGAAACAGGTTCCGACTATTAGCTTAGAGGCTTCAGAAGAGGAGTGGGGAATCTTGGGACCTGTTTTGCTGGACTACAATTCCCATCAGCCCCAGCTAGCATAACAATGGCAAGTGGTGGTGGGAGATGTAGTTCAGGAACGTCTGGAGAGCCACATGTTTCCCCACACTTGTCAAGGACCCCTGGACGGTTAAGTCCAGTCAAAGGCGACTGTGGCGTTGCGGCGCTCATCTTGCTTTCCGGCGTTTGTCCACAGATAGCTTTCCGGGTCATGTGGCCAGCATGACTAAACCGCTTCTGGCCCAACGGGATACCATGACGGAAGCCAGAGCACATAGAAACACTGTTTACATTCCCGCCGCAGTGGTACCTATTTATCTACTTGCACTTTGACATGCTTTTGAACTGCTAGGTTGGCAGGAGCTGGGAAAGAGCAACGGGAGCTCACTCCATTGCGGGGATTCGAACTGCCGACCTTCCGATCGGCGAGCCCAAGAGGCTCAGTAGTTTAGACCATGCCACCCATGTCCCTGCCTGTCAGGATGGCCGAGTGGTCTAAGGCACCAGACTCAAGATTGATTCTTTCCCACCTCTTGGGTGTTCTGGTCTCCGAATGGGGGTGTGGATTCAAATCCCACTTCTGACACATCCTTCTGCTGTGACATGATCTAAGGGCCAAAGTTTAACTCAGATCAAATATGCATGAGCAGCAGGACCAATTGCAGGAGTTCTTGCTCAAAACCACAGAGCCCCTTGAAAGTGGATTATTAGCCCAAGAGCGGGAAGCTTCCAGTCTGTGCAATTGGGAAGAGTTTTTCCTCATTTATCTCTGGGGGGAGAACGTGTGCTGCCCTTTGTTGCTTGGAGTAAAAAGAAAAAGGAAGTAAATAAATTGCTAGTTTCCAATCTCACCCTGCCTCTGCACAGCCTCCTTTCCGGTCTCAAGGAAGGTGTTGTGAGCTCTGATGCACTGGCCCAGCAGAAGGATCTGTAGAGTTGCAACTGTGCCCTTGTCACCGTTCAGGGTCTGTTGAACATAGTCAGCCATCGCATTCTCCTGCAGAGCAACCCAGCTGCCGTTGTCTGCACTGAAGGTGACAATGGATTCCCCTCCTAAGGCAGCGTCGTAGAAGCCCCTCGTTGTGCCGTTGGACGTGGACTCACAAAAGATCAAGGACTGGACAACAAAAGGATCTGGGTGTTGAAATGAGTTATTGGGGGTATAAAAGAAATGGGAGGGGAGTCCTTAGAAGGTAAAGAGACAGGACCTTTCTCTGCAGCTTTTATTTTTTATGTTATTTTATTGTACAATGGTTTCCCCCCCCCCAAAGCCCCCAATCCAGAGGTATATAAATATTTTGAAGTAAAATGAACAAAACCTTGCTTCTTATTCTGATATTATACATCAGCTGAAAGATCTTCCGGCTTAGGATCTGGAGGCTTCCCACCGCAAATTATTCCCTGCTCCCAAAAGACGGGTATATTAGATTGGCTGCTAAAGATGTACAGAAATGGTTGAGCCTCTAAGGCAGGGGTGGTGGGAGCTCTCAGCTCTCCCAATGTTATTGCACTCCCAACTCCCATGAATTTAACCCCCACATTTGCAGGGGTTGGGGTCACCCTGCAAGCCCCTTGCCCTCTCTACCCCCCCCCATTCCCATGAATTCCACATAGTGCATTATTCAATTATGGAGTTTGCTCCCACAAAATGGAGTGATGACCACCAACTTGGATGGGTTAAAAAAAAATTAAGCAAATCTGTGTTCCCTGAGGCTGATGGGAGTTGTAGTCCAAAGCGCCTTCAGGGCACCGCGTTCCAAAGCCTGCAAGAAGACCAGGAGCCCATGATACACTGTCAGGAGGCAGAGGAACCAACCCCCATGGCAGGTTGCCAGGAACGGATAAGACAGGAAAAGGCCTTACCAGCTGCTTTTTATTCAATATTCACAGAGAGAGTCTTAGGAATGCAGCCTCTTGGGGCAATGGCGTTGTACCGAGTGAGTCATCGCTACGAGCGCTGAGAAGTGCCCTCTGCCTTTGAGCTCTTTGCTCTCCTACTTTCAAGGTTCGCCGGGTTCTGGAATGTTTTCTAAAGACACTGTGTCCGTCAGCTGTCTCCCCCCTGGCGCTTCTTCCTCTTCCTCCTCTCCCATTATTTCCCACTTTTCCTCTGAGCTGTGATCTCCCTCAAACCCCTGTTGTAATTCTGAACTGTCTTCTTCTCTGGAAGGGTCAGGTTGGGGAGGTAGTCTCCACCATTCCTGTTCTGCCCAGTCCCTGACCTAGACATACGCACAATGCAACTCTGTACACGGAGAGAGCAGGACCAAACCTGAAAATATGGGGTTGGGGGAAAATCAGATAACAGAGGATTCTCTTGTCACACACAGCCCAGTAGAGGTTGAGGGGCCCAAGCCATTTAGATCAGGGGTCAGCAACCTTTTTCAGCCGTGGGCCGGTCCACTGTCCCTCAGACCATGTGGGGGGCCGGACTATATGTTTTTTAAAAAAATATGAACAAATTCCTATGCCCCGCAAATAACCCAGAGATGCATTTTAAATAAAAGGACACATTCTACTCATGTAAAAACACGCTGATTCCTGGACTGTCCGCAGGCTGGATTTAGAAGGCGATTGGGCCGCATCCGGGCCCCGGGCCTTAGGTTGCCTACCCCTGATTTAGATCATCTCTCCACCAGGGAGACACAGCACTCCTAGAAGAACAGAACCAGTGGCGATACTTACAGCTGCCTTTGAGAAACACGACCATTTTGTTGATGGTTTGTACGAAGCCTAGGAAGTAGCCTTTGATAATCTTCAGCAGAAGGTCCCACTCTTGAGGCGTGAGGCCGCTTACGCCCCAAGGCTGGAGGAACTTGAACTTCCAGGTGCGGGTATCCAACGTAACTACCGCCACGTCTCCCAGAAAAGTAGCGCCCTCGATGTCAGTGTCACTGGCATTGTGGAACACCACCGTCTGAAGCAGGCGGAGGACATGGGGTGTTTCTGGGAGAGGAAGGGAGGCTGGTGGGGGAAGAGTAGATAAATAAAGGCTGGGTGGCTCAGTTGGTTAGAGCATGGTGCTGATGATACTAAGGCCGCGGGTTCGATCCCCGTATGGGACAGCTGCATTGTAGGGGGTTGGACTAGATGATGTCCAGGGTCCCTTCCAACTCTTCTGATTCTATGAATAATAGGCAAGAGGAACCAGCTATGTCCCACTCCTGCACCCTTCACAGCAGCTTGATGTACAAGAAAGAAATCAGGGGGCCAATTGCTCCGGAGGGGCAGGGCTCCTCTACCTTTAATGTTAATAGTTGAGGAGAGAATTTCGGCTGGTGATCGTATCAGGGGAAAAGAGAGAGAGTTTGGATTTGATATCCCGCTTTATCACTACCCGAAGGAGTCTCCAAGCGGCTAACATTCTCCTTTCCCTTCCTCCCCCACAACAAACACTCTGTGAGGTGAGTGAGGCTGAGAGACTTCAGAGAAGTGTGACTGGCCCAAGGTCACCCAGCAGCTGCATGTGGAGGAGCAGGGACGCGAACCCAGTTCACCAGACTACGAGTCCACCGCACTTAACCACTACACCACACTGGCTCTCAAGACAGCCCGGGGGAGGGGGGTCCCACTTAGGAGAATGACCAGGAAAGCCCCCCCGCCAGACACAGCAGGTGGGACAGAGCTATCCCTCCAACACCTGCGTCTCTGCAGCTAATCTGGGCAGGGCAGGTGGGTGGCAAGGGTGAGGAGGGGCAGACGCAAATACTGCACTCCTCCCATTGTGTCCACACAGCCACTGCCCTGCTCTACACACACACCTCCCACCAAGTCAGTGTGGTGTAGTGGTTAAGAGCGGTAGTCTCGTAATCTGGGGAACCGGGTTCGCTTCCCCGCTCCTCCACATGCAACTGCTGGGTGACCTTGGGCCAGTTACACTTCTCTGAAGTCTCTCAGCCCCACTCACCTCACAGAGTGTTTGTTGTGGGGGAGGAAGGGAAAGGAGATTGTTAGCCATTTTGAGACTCCTTAAAGGGAGTGAAAGGCGGGATATCAAATCCAAACTCTTCTTCTTCTTCTTCAAGTCAGCCACAGCCACTCTTGTGCTGGTAAAGTTGCTCCACAGCTCGGCCAAACCACACTGCTGCTTGCAACCCTAAAAAGCCTCCCACCGGCTGTCACCATTTCTTTCTTACGTATAATCACAAGAAGGCAAGTCTTCCATAGCCATTGCTCATAAATAATAATAATAATAATAATAATAATAAATTTTATTTATATCCCGCCCTCCCCAGCCGAAGCTGGGCTCAGGGCGGCTAACAACAATCAAAATAATCAAACATTCTAAAAACATTCATTATAAAATTAATTAAAATCAAATTGATGGCAACCATTAAGCAAAATTCTGTGCAGATTGCCAGAGGAGGGGGTCAGGCTGCACCCTGACCAAAGGCCTGGTGGAACAGCTCTGTCTTGCAGGCCCTGCAGAAAGATGTCAGGTCCCGCAGGGCCCTGGTCTCTTGTGACAGAGCGTTCCACCAGATTGGAGCCGCAGCTGAAAAAGCTCTGGCTCTAGTTGAGGCCAGCCTAACCTCTCTGTGGCCTGGGACCTTCAGGATGTTTTTATTTGCAGACCGTAAATTTCTCTGTGGGACATACCAGGAGAGGCGGTCCCGTAGGTACGAGGGTCCTAGGCCGTATAGGGCTTTAAAGGTTAAAACCAGCACCTTAAACCTGATCCTGTACTCCACCGGGAGCCAGTGCAGCTGGTATAGTACCGGATGAATGTGATCTTGCAGCGAAGACCCCATAAGGAGTCTCGCCGCGGCATTCTGCACCCGCTGGAGTTTCTGGGTCAGTCTCAAGGGCAGCCCCACGTAGAGCGAGTTACAATAATCCAGTCTGGAGGTGACCGTCGCGTGGATCACAGTGGCTAGGTCAGGGCGAGAGAGATAAGGAGCCAACTGCTTAGCTTGGCGGAGATGGAAAAATGCCGCCTTTGTTATAGCTGTAATCTGTGCCTCCATAGAGAGGGAGGTATCGAAGATTACACCCAAACTCTTAACGAATGATGCTGGCACTAATTGCACCCCCGCAAGAGATGGGAGTTGCCCCCTCAATCCCATATCGCCCCGTCCCGGCCAGAGGACCTCTGTCTTCGAAGGATTTAACTTCAACCGGCTTCCACGTAACCATCCAGCCACAGCTTCCAGACATCTGGTAAGTGTGTCTGGGGCCGAGTCAGGATGGCCATCCATCAACAGATAGAGTTGGGTGTCATCGGCATACTGATGGCGACCCAGCCCAAAACTCCGGACAAGCTGGGCGAGGGCGCATAAAGATGTTAAAAAGCATCGGGGAGAGAATCACACCCTGAGGCACTCCACACACCAAGGAGTGGTGCGATGACAATTCCCCCCCAAGCGCCACCCTCTGTCCCCGACCAGAGAGAAACGAGCACAGCCATTGAAGGACTGTGCCTTGGATCCCCATGTCGGCAAGGCGGTGGTCCAGGAGTTCGTGATCGAACATGTCGAAGGCTGCTGACAGATCTAGAAGACTCAGCAGCCCCGACCCGCCTCGATCCAGCTGCCTGCGGAGATCATCTGTTAGGGCGACCAGAGCCGTCTCGGTCCCATGACCAGCGCGGAAGCTGGACTGGAATGGATCCAGAGCCGATGTTTCATCCAGAAACCTACCAAGCTATTCAGCAACCGCTCTCTCAATCACCTTACCCAGGAATGGAAGATTCGAAACCGGGCGGTAATTGGATAGATCTAAGGGATCTAATGATGTTTTCTTTAAGAGCGAATGCACCACTGCCTCCTTCAGTTCCCCTGGGAATATCCCAGTGCCAAGGGACAAATTGATGATATCCCCCAGGGGGGCCCGCACCTCGTCTGGACACGCTCTAATCAGCCAAGACGGGCACGGGTCAAGAGGACAGGTGGTGGGCTTTCCAGCTCGGAGGAGTCTGTCCACATCGGCTGGGGATATCCGGTCAAAGTGGTCCAATACTGGACCCGAGGGCAGTTGAGGGGCCTCCAGTTCCTTTATTGTATCCAAATTGGCAGGGAGGTCATGGCGGAGCAACAGGACCTTCTCCGCAAAAAAGCTCGCAAATGTCTCACAGCTGTGTGTCAAATTGTTATTTAAATTTGGCTGTCCTTCAAGGGACGTTAAAGACCTAATTATACTAAATAATTGCGCCGGGCGAGAGCTAGCGGAGGCAATGGAGGCCGAGAAGTAGGACTTCTTAGCGGCCTTCACTGCCATCTCGAAGGTTTTCATAAAAACCCCATAAGATGTTCTTGAGGCTCCGTCACGGGCACCCCGCCATACTCGCTCTAGCCGTCTGAGGTCCCGCTTTATTTTCCGGAGCTCCTCGGTAAACCAGGGAGCCCGGTTTCTGCGGGGTCGCAGAGGGCGCTTAGGTGCGATCTCATTGATGGCTGCTAGGAGCTGGATATTCCAGCCCTCAACAGGCTCAGTCAATGAGTCGCCAGAGGGAGCAAGGTCCCGCAAGGCTTGACGGAATCTATCAGGGTTCATCAGCCTCTGCGGGCGAGCCCAAATTGGCTCGCCACCTAAGCAGGGTGGGGGTGGAAAATCAATCCTGGCTTTCAGAGCGTAGTGATCAGACCTTGGCACCTTCATCAAAGGGGACATGATCACATCTATACCGATGCCAAAGATCAAATCCAGCGTGTGGCCTGCTTGATGTGTGGGGCCCGAAACAAAGTGGGAGAGCCCTAGTGTCGCCATGGAAGACATCAGGTCCAGAGCCTGTGAGGAGGGAGTGGCATCAGCATGGATGTTGAAGTCCCCCAATACCAATAGGTTAGGGAACTCCAAGGCCCAGCCGGCCACCGCCTCCAGGAGGCCTGACAGGGTGGCTGCTGGTGCGCTAGGTGGCCGGTACACCAGCCAGACAGCCAAGCTCACCTCGGAGCCCCACACTAGGCCAACACATTCAATGCCGGGGATCGATGGCGATGGTAGAGCCCTGAAAGAACAATCTTCCTGGATTAACAATGCCACCCCTCCCCCCCGGCCCACAGTCCGTGACTGGTGGACGATGGAGAAACCCGGGGCCGCCATCTCTCGTAAGGTAACAGTTTCCCCTTCGCGCACCCAGGTCTCCGTCACACAAGCCAGGTCGACCCCCTGCGAGGTGAAGAAATCTCGCAGGGTGGCGGTTTTGTTGCCTATAGACCTGGCATTGCACAACACCAGTGACGGAGGTGAGTAATCCTTGCTCACCCTACCCTCGTCCCTCGGGATGGAGCGCAGATTGGAAGGGGTACGAGCATATCCGTATCTCGATCCCCTTCGCCTATAACATCTGCCCCCACCGCCATACCTCCCTCACTCCACTACGGTAGCAATCCCAAGCCTCAAACCAACCTCCATTTACAAAATAGAAAAACAAATCAAACAAAAAACAATTGTACCAAACAAAACAAATCTCCACCCCACTCAATATCCAACCTCAAACCAAAATAAAACAGAACAAAATAAAAATACATCAATAAAAACCACCGTTCACGGTGGTACAACAAAGTACAGTGGTGCCTCGCAAGACGAAATTAATTCGTTCCGCGAGTTTTGTCATCTTGCGATTTTTTTCGTCTTGCGAAGCACGGTGTCGGGAAAGTTTTGGAAAAGCTTCAAAAATCACCAAAGTCTTTAAAAACCTCAAAAAAGGCTACCACACCGCATTCTATGAGTTGCTCCTCGAAGTCAAGTCGCAACTGTATTAACGGCGTTCAGAAAAAGGAAACAAACTTGCAAGACGTTTCCGTCTTGCGAAGCAAGCCCATAGGGAAAATCGTCTTGCAAAGCAGCTCAAAAAACGGAAAACCCTTTCGTCTTGCGAGTTTTTCGTCTTGCGAGGCACCACTGTAAAAAGTAAAAACCCCTTTAAAACACTTTAAAATATATAAAAACATTTTTAACATTTGCTGCAGCAACACCAGTGTCCTTAAAACTGTAGTGGTGGCGAGTGTGGGCCCCGCCCCCTAGGTCTGGTGGAGTGGGCCTACAGGAGGGAGCGGCCTTCCCCAACACCCAGGGTGCAGCAGCAGCAGCGGTGTCCCAGTGCCTCATGAGCACTTATCTGTCAACCTTCCTGTGCACTGTTAATTAAAAGCTTCCTGTTTGCAGGTTCTGCCTATTTTATTTCTCCTGGTTGTTCATGGTTACGGGATTAATGAATAGCCCTCGTGCTTATCCCATTGAATAGCTTTCTCTAATGGCTCCAATGGTAGCTTCTGTTCCCAAGAAGGCAGAACTTTGATTAACAATTGCCTTGCATTCTTTTTTCATTTTTATTTAATAGCAAAATAGCATTATATTGTTATTGAAAAAGGGGGGGGGATAAGAGGAAAGCCTGCATAGCCTCCCCACCCCATGAAAGAATGAATTTGGATTGAAATTCCCCATTAATGATGGTGATGGTGATGATGTTATTATTTATACCCCAACCATCTGGCTGGGTTTCCCCAGCCACTCTCACTTTTTGCAATGAGGGAACCGCCAGAAGGCCCTCGGAGCTAGACCTCAGGGTCTGGGCTGAATGATGGGGGTGGAGACGCTCCTTCAGGTATTCTGGGCTGAGGCCGTTTAGCATCACTAAACAAACATCACTTCTGCTGTCTTTTTGGAGCTCAAGGAAGACCTTCCTCTTCCATCAAGCCTTTTATGTAGAGATCTTGCCCAGTCTGCACCTACATGGGAATTTTTTTAAAGATGTTTTATTATTTTATTGCTTGGTGTTTGCCACCCTGAGCTCCTTTGAAGCATCGAGTATAAATTTAAATAATAATAATAATAACACCAGCCACTAACAACAGCAAGCAGTACAACAGACAGGACCTGAAAACAGGAAGCTTTAAATTACAGTGGTGCCCCGCAAGACGAATGCCTCGCAAGACGGAAAACCCGCTAGACGAAAGGGTTTTCCGTTTTGGAGGTGCTTCGCAAAACGAATTTCCTATGTGCTTGCTTCGCAAGACGAAAATGTCTTGCGAGTTCCTGCGGGTTTTTTTTCCTCCCCCCCCCTTTTTCCCAAGCCGCTAAGCCGCTTATCAGCTGATCGTTAAGCCGCTTATCAGCTGATCCTTAAGCCGCTTAACAGCTAATCGCTAAGCCGCTTATCAGCTGATCCGCTAAGCCCGCTAAGCCGCTAATACTGTACTGTAGCGCTAATCCGCTAAAGGGCTTGCTTCGCAAGACGAAAAAACCCGCAAGACGAAGAGACTCGCGGAACGGATTCTTTTCGTCTTGCGAGGCACCACTGTACAAGCACAGGAGCACCAAAATTTTTCAACAGTGCTTTACTTGCCTGCTCTGCTACTGCATTCCTATATTCCATGCTAGACAGACCGGTGCTGCAACTGTATTTTCTCGCTGAAATCCCCAGCAAATATCAGATATGAAAAGCCCCCAACATAGCAAACACTGGACTGCAACCATTTGTCAACACCTTCGGGTGACACCAATTTTACTCTTATTCCAAGAAAACACACTGAAACCAACTGACTTAAAGCAATGGCTCTATTCTGAATATGACTAACAATGGAAATTGCCTATCATCTAGATCAGGGGTTCCCGTACTGTGGTCCACAGACCAACAGTGATCCACGAGCTTCGTCCAGGTGGTCCAATGCATGTCCACATAAAATCTTCATATCATTTTTAAACTGTCTTTTATTGCTTCTTTTATTGTAATACAATTAGAATTTGGTGGCTCCTCAGCTTCTAATATTGGGTTTAAAAACAAAAACAAAAAATACCCAAGCATTTGAGAGTGATTTAACCTTCCTGACTGGTAATAAGGAAGCTGAAATGCAACCACATCCTTTTGGCGACGTTTCCTGTTTTTAAATCAAATGTGACTGCGTTCTTGGCAATTGGCCACTGACATGTATATTTAATTTAATAACGCTACCATAACTTTTCCCAACTGGCTCAACAACACTTACATCTTGCACCAGGTCCTGGGTGCCACTGAAGACTAAATCCAGGGTCGCCACCTTTTCCAACCATTCTAGGGCACAGTTGTTTAGGGTACCTAGAAATTTTGCCTCTTTGTCATGTCATGACTGGAAAACATAGGAAGCCAGTTTGTGTCACTCATGACTTGGAACATTTCCTCTTTTGGGAGCTTCCTTGATTTCATTCCTCTTCTCAAGATCTCACTGAGCATTTTGAACAGAAGCACCCCTAGCACTAAATGACTCTTGGGGCCCAGTATCACCACCCAAAACAATTCTGTGGACAAATCTGCTGCTTTGAGGATGCCTAACTTGCTGAAATCAATGCCCTTTTTGCCATACAGAGCCACACACACACACAGCCCAGTATGTCCTTCCTATTTCCAGAGGCAACCGCGTCTCCGTTCCACCAGGTAAATGCAGAATTACAGCTTTTGTTTGTTGCAAGGCTACGGACAAGAATATATTTGCTCCCATGAGATAATGCACTGCGTGTGTGCACGGAAATGTTTTTAAAGCAAGAAAGGTACCGTATTTTTCGCTCTATAGTACGCACTTTCCCCCCTCCAAAAATTAAGGGGAAATGTGTGTGCGTCCTATGGAGCGAATGAAGGCTCCTTGGCTTCAGCGATAGCAATGTGAAGCCTCCAAAGCGCAAAGGGAGCGCTCCCTCTGCGCTCCGGAGGCTTCGTGTTGCTTTCGCTGAAGCCTGGAGAGCGAGAGGGGTCTCCAGGCTTCAGGGATAGCTGCCTGAAGCCTTCAGAGCGCAGCACGAGTTCCCGCTGCATTCCGGAGGCTTCAGGTTCCTTTCACTGAAGCCAGGAGAGTCTTTGCGCTGCTCCCCAACCTGGTATTTGAGGGTGGCGGTGGGGGAAAGCAGCGCTTCCCCCCGCCAGCCCCAAAGAGCAGGTCGAAAGGAACCCGAAGCCTCCGGAGCCCAGCGGGAACTCCCGCTGCGCTCCGGAGGCTTCGGGTGAACACACCTTGAACGCACAGAATGCACCTTGTTTTAGAGGGGGAGAACAAGAAAAAAAAATCTCCCCCTCTCTGCGCAGCGCCCCTTCAAGAAGGGGCTCCGTTTCTCCTGCCACTTCACTGAAGGGGCGCTGCACAGAGAGGGGGAGATTTTTTTTCTTGTGCTCCCCCTCTAAAACAAGGTGTGTCCTATGGCCGGGTGCGTCCTATAGAGCAAAAAATACGGTAGCATTAAAATCACAGATCACGCCCCAGTAGAAGTTACCCTTAAAATAGGAGAGGGAACGCAAACCACCCCATCATGCTCCTTCAGTCCCATCCTAACCACAAATAAACAAATTAGAGAGAGTCTCACAAAAACTCTCCAAAACTACTTCAAGGAAAACAATGTAGACAATATAACAACTCCCCTCCTATGGGATGCAATGAAAGTGGTCACTAGAGGAGCTTGCATAAAAGAGAAAAAATCTCTTAAAAAACAAACCTCAAAAGTTAGCAAAACAGAACAAGACATCACGGTCCTCTCATCACGCTACAAACAAACAGGATCTAAAAAACTCCTTAAACTTACAGAACTAAAAAAGGAGAGAACTAGACTCCCTAGAAATGAACAAAACAATGGTCAACATTCTATACTCTAAACAACGCTTCTACAAGTTTGGAGGGGGAAAATTCCAGGCTATTAGCAAACAGGTGATAGGTTATCTGGCTATTATTGCACATTTAAAATTCTTCCATCCGTGCGTTAAAGAGATGTGCTGCGTGAAGTTTATTTAGACCTTGTTTATCTGCAAACCGTGTGAACACCTGTTTTTGGTACCTGCCACCATTTACTGCCACATTAACCGCAATAACGGTTTTGTTTTAGTGCAACTTGCAGAAGTGCGGGAGTTGAGACAGAACCCCTCCTATAACCCCTCTGAAGATGGAATATTAATGCTCATCTTGTCTCCCTTTGCTGAGTTGACAGAGAGACCAGCCCATTCCTTTCCATTGAACAGTGGTCTGTGATGCCAAAATATCTGTTCTCTACAAATGTCACCAAGTTAAATATCTCCTTGGCACGGAGCAAAACATTTAGCACCAGCTAACCACATGAAACTGTTGTTAGATAGGCAGGTGCAGAATACGCTTTAAAAGTTGTCAACTCGACCCAGCATTGAGAATGCTGCTTTTCAAAAGACTGACAGTATTGCGGAACCTTAAAAAGACTATAATCATTTCCTTGTGGCACAAAGTTTGTTGTTTATAATACAGTGGTACCTCGGGTTACAGACGCTTCAGGTTACAGACTCCGGTAACCCAGAAATAGTACCTCGGGTTAAGAACTTTGCTTCAGGATGAGAACAGAAATCGTGCGACAGTGGCAGCAGGAGGCCCCATTACCTAAAGTGGTACCTCAGCTTAAGAACGGTTTCAGGTTAAGAACGGACCTCCAGAACAAATTAAGTTCTTAACCTGAGGTACCACTGTACTAACTTGCTCAGGGTTGTTAGAACGGAAAGAAATTCTGAAGAACTCCAAAAGGCTCTCTCCTCCTGAGTGAATGGGTGGGGAAACAACAAATGCCATTCGTTGTAAACAAGAGTTAAAAGTGAGGTATGTCAGAGCGAAAATACGCAACTTTACATATATGCTCATGGGGTCTGAACAGCCAGGAAATTAACAGGAACAAGGCTTTGGGTTCATCTTGATGGAGATGTTGCTGTGCCTGTGAAAAAGGTAAATTCCTTGCTAGGGATCATGAAGAAAGGAAATGAAAATAAAACTGCCAGTATCCTAAAGCCATTACAGAAATCTTACCGTGTGGCCATATTTAGGAATATTGTATAGCATACAATTCTGGTCAGCTCACCTCAAAAGGGTACTGTAGAGTGGGAAAAGGTTCAGAAAAGGGCAACCAAAAGGGATGAAGGTAAGGAACCGTTACGCCTGTGAGGATGGGCTGCAGCCTTTGGAACTTTTTTTTATGTTTAGAGAAAAGGTGACTAAGATGTGACCTGATAAAAGTTGATAAGCTTGGGGGAAAGGGGATGGGGGGGGACATTTTCTCCCTCTTTTGTAACACTGCAGCTCGTGGACACCCAGCAAAGCCAAATACTGAAAGATTCAGCACCGATTTAAAAAAATACTTCACGCACCACATAATGAAGACGCGAAACTTGTTCCCACAGGGAGCAGCGATGGTTGTGAACTTAGATGGCTTTAAAAGGGGACTGGGCAAATTATTGGAGGGTAGGTAAAGGTCAAGGACCCCTGGACGGTTAAGTCCAGTCAAAGATGACTATGGGGTTGCGGCGCTCATCTTGCTTTCAGACCGAGGGAGCCGGCGTTTGTCCACAGAAAGCTTTCCAGATCATGTGACCAGCAGGACTAAACCGCTTCTGGCACATTGGGACACCGTGATGGAAACCAGAGTGCATGGAAATGCTGTTTACCTTCCTGCTGGAGCGGTACCTATTTATCTACTTGCACTGGTGTGCTTTCAAACTGCTAGGTTGGCAGAAGCTACGACGGAGCAACCGGAACTCACCCCGTCGTGGGGATTCGAACCTGTGCTCAGGTCCCACTTGCAGGTTTCCCCAGGCGTCCAGCCGGCCACTGTGAGAAGAACAGGATGCTGGACAAGATGGGCCATTGGTCTGATCCAGCAGGGTCCTTCTTATGTTCTGACAAAGACCCATATTTTATTTATTTAGGTAAATTGCGTCACCATCACTCCAATTTCCCCAGGTTCTCTCCCCCCTCCCCCACATCTCTACTCAACATCACGCTCCGCATTCTAGATAAGTCTCCTTTGCATGATGCTTCCTCGAAGCCAGAGACCACACATGAAAAGCCACCCGTGCTCTGGAGGGTAGGACTCGAACCAGTGGCTTCAAGTTACAAGAAAGGAGAATCCGACGAAACATCAGAAAGAACGTTCTGACAGTAAGACCTGTTTGACAGTGAAACGGTCTTCCCTCAGGAGGTTGTGGACTCTCCTTTCTTTGAAGGTTTTTAAGCAGAGGTTGGGTGGCCGTCTGTCATGGATGCTTTAGCTGAGATTCCAGCATTGCAGGGGATTGGACTAGATGACCCATGGGGTCCCTTCCAACTCTACTTTGGACTTTTTTTGGGAGGGGGGGGCTTCTTAATATAAATTTTTATTTTCCCCAAATTTCATGAACTTACATTTAGATTAGTTCAAAAATACAAGGACCCGGAAAGGATTTCCTGTTCCTCTATGGTTTGGAGAAAATCCACTGACAAGCGAAACCAACTAGTTTCAGTTTCCCCCACATCCTCCTTTGAGTCCTATGAAGGCAACATTGCGGCTACAGAAGAGGAAGCTGACCCCCAGAGCCATCTTTCCCACAGGGCTTAGTGGTGCGTGGCGCCAGGGCGCTGGCCTCCCAGGGGCACCCCAGCGAGTGGGGGAGCAGCGCGGCTTTACTGGTGGCCTCCCCTTTCCCTGCCAGCTGCGCCCCACCAACTACAGTGGGACCTCGGGTTAAGAACTTAATTCGTTCCGGAGGTCCGTTCTTAACCTGAAACTGTTCTTAATGTGAAGCACCACTTTAGCTAATGGGGCCTCCCACTGCTGCTGTGCCACCACTGCACGATTTCTGTTCTCATCCTGAAGCAAAGTTCTTAACCCGAGGTACTATTTCTGAGTTAGCAGAGTCTGTAACCTGAAGCATCTGTAACCTGAGGTACCACTGTATATGGCTGGCAGGCACGCAGCTTCCCTCCCAAGGCTCTGCAGGGATCACTCTCCCGCAGTGGCATGGGGGAGAGTTGTGGCCCCCTGAATGGCTGGCAGTGCGTAGCTACGGCCTCCCCAACACTATCCGTAATAATTTGGGGACGCTGCGTGGATATCTGCACCCCGGTGCCACATCTGCTAAAGACATCCCTGCTGACCACAGTGCCCCGAGGCAGGCAGGAGATGGCTGATTGGCTGGCCGAGGTTGGCAGGGGCATTGCCCCATTTGCCCGAATGAACCAGCCTCGGGCAGCTGTGGGTCTGCCACTGCTGCCAACCCAGTATCTGCCACAGGAGTTGGCCCTACCGCAAAGACAGCCCTACTCATTTTGAGAATCTGCATCCAAAGTCTCTTATTGCATTCACTAGGACAGATCGTGAAGCTGAGGCTCCAGTACTTTGGCCACCTCACGAGAAGAGAAGACTCCCTGGAAAAGACCCTGATGTTGGGAAAGATGGAGGGCACAAGGAGAAGGGGATGACAGAGGACGAGATGGCTGGACAGTGTTCTCGAAGCTACCAGCATGAGTTTGACCGAACTGTGGGAGGCAGTGGAAGACAGGAGTGCCTGGCGTGCTCTGGTCCATGGGGTCATGAAGAGTTGGACACGACTAAACGACTAAACGACAACAAGGGTCCACTTGTGAATCTCCAAAGAAGGCAAACATCAAGACCCCCCAAACCTCCAGTGCTTCTCCTTCCAAACTAATCAGCCCCACGGAGCAAGCACTGCTCCCAAATCAAAAAGTGAGGTGAATGAAATGCTGGCAAGTACAGACAATGATAATTCAGCACTTTAAAAACCGTAATTCACAAAACGGATTTCATTTTACCTTGGCATCCTGGCATCGGCAAGCCAAATATTTATTATTTTATTATTTCTCAAGTTTGTATACCGCCCTTCACCTGTAGATCTCAGGGCAGTTTGCAACATGAAAGCACAAATAAAATCACAAAATACATAACAGAAGCAGGGCCAGATTTAGGTTTGATGAGGCCCTAAGCTATTGAAGGTAATGGTGCCCTTTATATGCCCAGCTGTCCTTTGCCATGCAACCAGTCCATGCAGAATGTAGGCTCTCTATATATAGAAATGAGCAAACCAGTGATATTTTGGGAGCAGGCTAGCAGGTGGGGCCCATCACTTACATCACAGGAGCCTACACAACACAAAACAGTGTTGCTGTATGTAGGATTTATTTTATTTGTTTTTATCTTATATTTTGGAAATGTACATCCAGGTTTTTTCCCCTTTAATTTTTTTGGGGGGGCCCACCCTAAGCTATAGCTTGTTTAGCTTATACTTAAATCCGGCACTGAACAGAAGCAAGAACAAAACAAAACAATAACCTAAACCTTCTACAAACGCACATAAAAAGTTGAAGAGGGAAGTTTTCGCTTAGAGCCTCTCTGGGTAGAGCATTCCACAAATACAATTAACGAGTGCAATGCGATTTTTTTAAAAAAATCATTTGTTTCGTTTTAATCCACAGGTGACAGCACAGAAACACTACTTAAAGGCTGGCATACTTTGCCAAGAACTCCTTATCTCCAGACAACTATCTCCCAAATTTCATTTAAAAAAGGAAGTTCACATACCTGGGCTGGCTCTGCAGGGCGACGAGGCGAGGAACCCAAACAGCAGCAACACCCAGGCTGGAGATTGCAGGGCTCGCTTCTGGCCCCTTCTCACGTGCATGCTGGAAGCAGGGGCACGCGCGGAAAGCGAAAGTAGCTCGCTTTCCCTCCTCCCGCAGGGGAGATTCCTATTCCGCAAGGAAGAACCCACGGAGCGACGGCGGAACTCCAGGACACGGTCTCGCCCTCCCTGCGCCGGGATCGCATTTCTGCATGCCAAGCGGGTGCTCCCGGGCGACTTTCCCACGCCGGTTCCGTCCGCGCATCCTTGCACCAGCCTCATTTCCCGATGGGTGCCCTGACACCCAGGGGTGGAGAAAGCAGTCCGAGCGGCAGCAGCACCAGCTGCTGCAGGAGGAGCAGCTGCAGTTTTCCTGGGCTCCTGTGCTCGCCCGCCCTCTGCAGCCACTAGGGGAGGCCGTCTCGGGACGCGGCGCAGGCGAAGGCGAAGGAGCCACCCCTCTTCTCTGCGCTCCGCTCCGCTCCGTCCTCGCCTAGCCTGGAAGGGGCGGTGCCTCGTCCCGCCCCAGACAATGCCCGCCCCGGCTCGGCCCTCCCCTCGCTTCCCCCACGTGGTCGAGCGCTGGCGATAGACCTTGAGCCTCGCTTCCTGTGTGGCTGTGTGCGCGCGCGGGCCGCGGAGAGCCCGACCCGAGTGGCGACTGCGGCTCCCCCACCCACGCATCCGGCTTGGATCGATCCCGGGGGTGGCGGAAGATTCTAAGCCCACCCCTCCGAGCGCCTGATCGGGTGAGCAGGGGAAAGGGGGGGGGTGGTTCCTGGTGGCAAACTTGATCCGGAGCGCAAAGTCCCCTTTTACGCGCAACCACCACCGTCGGCTGGGGGTCCTGGGTGGGGCCCGAGAGGCCTGTACGGGCGGTTATTGCTGCTGCCCTGGGAGGAGAAGGTGGTGGTGCCTAGTGGTCTCTCCTCCCCTCCAGATAAGGTGCCTGTCACTGGGGACCTTACTCCCCCCTCAACCAAGAAGCTACACTCGGGGGAAATGTGAGCCAGCACCAGCACTGTCTTTTGGAGTGATGAATAGTGTCCTGGCTTGCCCCTCCCCATCAAGAAAACAATAGAAATACTTAACTAACTGACCAATCACGTCGGTTCTGCTGCCCCAAACAAAAGGCCTGCCCCCCCCGCAACAAAAATCTTGGCTACGCCCATGTGTCCTGGGGTTCTTGAGGCCCTGGGGTGTCTGCTAAATTGCAGCTGCTGCAGCAGTGAGGATAAGTGACAAACAATGTCTGTGGAACTTCTCTTTATGTACTTATTTTACCCTCCTGTTGTCCCTGGAGAGACTCTGCACTTGGATCGCGAGTGAGGATCCTGTGACCTTCCAGATCCTGCTCCCATCGTCTCTGACCACTGGCTGGCTGTGCTGCCTGGGGCTGAGAGGACATGGGAGTCCGGCGATATCTGGGCAGCCACAGGTTGCCCACCGCTGACGGGGGCCACGTGCAGGTCTGTGGAGGATCTTCTGACTTCTCTGGAGGACCTCATGAAGGAAGCTATAGGACAGGCATCCCCAAACTCGGCCCTCCAGCTGTTTTGGGATTACAGTTCCCAGCATCCCTGACCACTGGCTCTGTTAGTGAGGGATAATGGGAGTTGTAGTCTCAAAACAGCTGGAGGGCCGAGTTTGGGGATGTCTTCTATAGGATGATCTGCTCCTGACAGCAAGCCTGCAGTCCCCAAACTGTGGGTTGGTTCAAATCAGATGTGTGAGAGCTGTTCACTGGGGGTTTCAGGCAGTGGCTGTTCTGAGCCCTACCTGGATTGAATCTGTGAACTTTTGCACGTGGAGCTAAGGTGAACTGGGATATGGCCCTTCCCCAGTTCAGTGTGAGGGGCTGCGCAAAATCCACAGCAACAAGGACATGTCTGTGTATTGATAGCTTTTATATTGTACGCTATGGGATGTGGGTGACGCTGTGGGTTAAACCACACACAGAGCTTAGGACTTGCCAATCAGAAGGTCGGTGGTTCGAATCCCCGTGACGGGGTGAGCTCCCGTTGCTCGGTCCCTGCTCCTGCCAACCTAGCAGTTCGAAAGCATGTCAAAGTGCAAGTAGATAAATAGGTACCGCTCCGGCGGGAAGGTAAACGGTGTTTCCGTGCGCTGATCTGGTTTGCCAGAATCAGCTTAGTCATGCTGGCCACAGGACTCGAAAGCTATGCGCCGGCTCCCTCGGCCAATAAAGCGAGATGAGCGCCGCAACCCCAGAGTCGGCTATGACTGGACCTAAGGGTCAGGGGTCCCTTTACCTTTACTTTATATATTGTACGCTGCTTAGAGATTCTTTTAAAACACTAAGCTGATTGTAACAACAACAATTGCAACCAGCTTAATATTATTATTACAATCAGTTTATTATTATTATTATTATTATTATTATTATTATCATTATTATATTTCTACCCCGCCCATTTGAGTTGAAACAGTCCAATTCCCCCCCCCCCTGCACTCCTGTTGCAAAGGGGGATGTTAACAGTGCAGATTAAGATAAATCTCAGGGAAACTGATAGGCCAGAATACCAGCCCTGTGGAAGTAATTTGGAAAAAGTGTCTTCCAGAACAAACCAACAAACAAAAATGTATAAAATTGGGAGATATAAAACCTCAGATACAAGAATGACCATATCTCTCTTTGTTTTGTTTTACTTTTCCTAGCCATGGAAACCCATGAAAACACTTTTGTGAGTATTGAAAAAAGTGTGTGGCTTTCTTCTTGGACCAAAGCAATGACAGAATGTCCTCCTGTGGCACCTTAAAGGAAAGCAAACTCATTTCAGTAGCAGTTTTTGTGGGCTGGACGCCACTTCGGTGCATGCTTGAGCCTTGGGGTCCCTTACAGCTCTACAGATCTATGAACCAAGTCATCCTTTGTGTCAGCAAATGCATCTACTGCGGCCTGTAAACTTGACCCATCCATCAAAATTTCATCCCACCGATGAAGAGACCCGTTATCTCAAAATGGACCGTCTACCTTCCACCTTACCTCAGGTGGCTTTCCACTCGAGTTTGGAGGTTTCGACATTTCATATCGTGAGGTTTCCCTCAGAATTCCTGTGGTAATTTTTTACTGTTTTGCAGCCAGAGCAGTGCTGGATTTATGTATAAGCGAAACAAGCTATAGCTTAGGGCCCCACTCTCTTGGCCCTCCCCCCTCAAAAAATTTCACTATTAATATACTTCTTCTTAATTGTATTTCAGTTCAACAATTACTTTGATCAAATACATATTTTGTTATGTGCAAATGGCTTTAGATACCTATTAGGTCCATAAATTACCACATTGCATATATTCAACACAAAAAACAGCGACAGTTTGTTGTTTACAAAGGACAGCTGGATATATAAAGGGCCCCATTATCTTCAGTAGCTTAGGGCCTCATCGAACCTAAATCCGGTGTTATCCCCACTTCCCAATTTTTTAGGAAAAGCTGGAGACGGTTTCTAGGAGATAAAAATAGGACTCTTCCTTCTGGGGCAGAAGGTTTTTCATGGAAGCGCCGCCACAGCCAAGAACATCGGGTATAAGGAAGGAGTACCCGTGCCCGGACTGCGGGAGGAATTTTAAACGGAACTCTCACCTTGTCCGACATAAACGGCTCCACACGGGCGAGAAGCCGTACAAATGCCCGGAGTGTGGGAAAAGCTTCCGGCAAAGCACGGATGTTAATACGCACCGCAGAATCCACACAGGAGAAACGCCCTTTCACTGCAACCAGTGTGGGAAAAGCTTTCGCTACCGGACGGGTCTTGTGAAGCACGTGAGGGGCCACGAGGAAGAGAAAGCGAAGGCCTGCCGGAGTTGCCTGGAATGCGGGAAAATCATCAGCGGCACTTTAGTCTCCGTTGCCAGCCAGACTTCCCCTGCGGTGGGCAGATCCCATAAATGCCCCGACTGTGAGAAAAACACCCAAGGGAGCTCCCATCTTGTCGTGCACGTACCAGGCTGCGCAACGGAAGAAAACTATATGTGTCCCGACTGCGGAGAAGGGTTTTGCCACAGCTTTCAGCTTATTGGACACAGGAACCTTCACGCCAGTGAGGAAATTCTGTATTCATCTGTGTTTGTTTCTGGGTCGTACCACTTTGCTCCAAGGGAGCGCTAAGTGCGCACGCTGTGAGATATGCTTAGCGCATTGCCGCCTCTGATCCTTATGGGCATAGGGTGCATAAACTGGGAGTCCCAGTACAGCGGTACCTCGGTTTAAGAACAATCCTGTTTGCAAACGATTCAGTTTACGAACTTCGCAAAACCGGAAGTAGTGTCCCGGTTTGTGAACTTTACCTTGGTCTAAGAACGGAAGCCGAATGGTGGAAGGGCACCACAGCGGGAGGCCTCATTAGGGAAAGTGCGCCTCAGTTTAAGAATGGTTTCAGTTTAAGAACAGACTTCCGGAATGGATTAAGTTCATAAACCGAGGTACCACTGTATATGTGTTGCCTCTTCACCCTTCCTGTGCTTTTCTTACCTCCAACACCTTGCTTCTTCCACCCCCACTGCTTGTGGGGACGGGACGTGCAAGCTCTATGGCTTTCCATTGCCTCTTCATTGTTTATTTTTGCCTTGTGGTTCCCTTGTGTTACAGTCTGAATTTTGTGGGATGCCAATGTCCATCCGTTCGACTTCCAGAATGTTCGAAAACCAAGGCGCAGCTTCCGATTGGCTGCAGGAAGCTGCTGCAGCCAATCGGAAGCCCCTGCAGCCAATCGGAAGCTGCGTTGGACGTTCGGGTTCCAAAGAATGTTTGCAAACCGGAACACTCACTTCCCGGTTTGCAGCCTTCGGGAGCCAAAACGTTCGACTCGCAAGGTGTTGGGGATCCAAGGTACGACTGTACAGTAAAATACAGTATGTAAAAAATAAATGAAGCAAAAAAGAAAAGAAAAGCCGATTGAAAATCAAATCTAACAATGGCTGTGATGGGAAGAAAAATCACTAAGTGGTCTACCAAGACCACCAGCCATTTGGGAGGGGGGGTGAGTTTGGGAACTGCTGGATTAAAAGATGTAAATGTTGTTGACCATAATAGTTTTATTACATAATGTATAATGAAATAATGAAGATCTGTATCTCGGCGGTAGAGCATGCAGAAGGCCTCAGGCTCAATCCCTGGCCTCTCCAGGTCAGACTGGGGAGCAGCTGCTAGTCAGTGCAGGCAGTACTAACCTAGATGGGCCAGTGGCCTGACTCAATGCAAGGCAGCTTCCTAAATTCCTGCTATAATAATAAATTAATAATAATAAATTTTTATTTATACCTCGCCCTTCCCTGTTCAGGAAACCAGGCTCAGGGCGGCTAACAACAAATTTAAAACACTTACCGTATTTTTCGCTCCATTGGACGCACCGGACCATAGGACGCACCAGATCATAGGAGGGGGAGAACAGGGAAAAAGATTTTTTTTCTTGTTCTCCCCCTCCAAAACAAGGTGTGTTCAAGGTACATTCACCAGAGCTTGTGGGGCTGGCGGTGGGGGGAAGCGTTGCTTTCCCCCACCGCCAGCCTCAAAGATCCCTGAAGCCTTTGGAGCGCAGCGCCCCGCTGCCCTGCAGAGGTTTGCGCGCAGCCCTCCCCAAGCTAGAGCAGCGAGACGGAGCCCTCCTTCACCCCGCTGTCCTGCAGAAGCTAGCAAGGCTGTTCCCAAGCCAGAACAGCGAGGAGGGCTCCGTCTCGCTGCTCTAGCTTGGGGACGGCTGCGCGCAAACCTCTGCAGGGCAGCGGGGTGCCTTCACCCCGCTGTCCTGCAGAAGCTAGCAAGGCTGTTCCCAAGCCAGAACAGCGAGACGGAGCGCTCCGCAGTGCTCCGTCTTCCTGTTCTGGCTTTGGGCTTAGCGGCGCAGCCTGCATTCGCTCTATAGGACGCACACACATTTCCCCTTAGTTTTTGGAGGGGGAAATGTGCGTCCTATAGAACGAAAAATACGGTAATTGATGCAACAAAAAACAGCATAAAATACAGTATGAAACGTTAATAATAAATTCAGAATTCAAAGATCAATTTAGGGGGGAAATCCATCCAATAAACAGATGATCACCAGGGCTAGCGGGCTAAATTAGTCCTATTTGGGCCAGCGAGGAGACCAGGGGAGAATTAGCTGTGGGATCCCAGAGCGGGTAATCTTCATAAAAAGGGGAGGGGGAGGGAAGGAAGGGGAATAAAAGATCTAGCTAAGTTCAAGTTGAAAGGCAGGCGGAATAGTTCTGTCTTACAGGCCCTGCGGAAGTTAAATCCTGCAGGGCCCTGGTCTCATGGGACAGAGCATTCCACCAAGTTGGAGCCATCACTGAAAAGGCCCTGGCCCTGGCGGAGGATAGTCGGACTACCTTAGGGCCCGGGACCTCTAAACTATGGTTATTCATGGACCTTAAGGTCCTCTGCGGGGCATACCAGGAGAGGCAGTCCCGTAAATACGAGGGCCCTAAGCCACAAATGCAATATAACACAATATTAGTAATTTCGTATTATTTTTAAACACCCTTTTGGGTCACCGGCCATTTAGCAACGTGTATTTTCTTAATAAAAAGGTTTCTGTACTCCTGAACCAGATATTGAATGGGGAGCCATACCTAAATGAATCAGCACTTGGTGCAAAATAAATATTTGGTAGTGGTTGTTGTTTAGGATTGCATTTGGTTTTGGTTTTTCAAAAAGGCCACTCGGGAGCACTGAGTAAGTTTACCTTTCCCTTTTCCAGCTGCTGCAGCAGTAGCTGTGTCATGTCCACTGATGTGAGCTTTGCCGCTTTGCCGCTTAATGTTGTGGCTTTCAGAGGAGGAGCAATGGTTGTGTGGTGCTAGGAGTCGTCCATCTGGGAGCAGCATCAAGGAAAATCTAGCCTAGCAGAAATCTGGCCCCTCTATAAGAATTGCTCATTTCATCTTGTTCTCTTTCCCTGCTTTGTGCCAGGATTTCAGATTCCTAATCCCGGTACTCTCTGCGGCCTGGAGCCGGGCGTGGCGCCTTTGCCCTCGGACCATCAGGATGAGGAGCAGAGGGAGAGTCCAGGAAGCATCTGTAGAGGTGAGGGAATCGAGAGAGCCAGCAAGAGACCCTGCTAGCTGAAGAACTGGGGGCTTCTGAAGGAGATTCTCTGCTTTACATAACTCCCTGTCTTTCCCCCTTGACTCTTAGGCCCTGTCTGCACTACACATTTAGAGCAGTTTTGTTGGCATCCGCCTGATAAAACTTTATTCACATTAGCCAATGGCCATAGCAACAATAAAACATTACAGTATATGCAGAAAGGGAAATTGGATATAAGAGCACAATTTAAAGTCCCTTCTTCTCTTTCCATGGTTCATTTTGCATATAATAAATCCCTGCATCTTTTACATAAACTAAACCATTCAGTACCTATTCCATTATTACATCCATCAAAATGAATTTATCTTAATGCTGCCAACATTTCCAAGTGTACACAACTTCCCCACATATATTCGATAAACATTTTCCAATCTTCTCTAAACGTATGTTGTTCTCTTATTCTGTATGTTAAGTCTGCAAGCTGCACATATTCTGTCAGCTTAAGTTGCCATTTTTCTTTTGGTCCCATATATTGGTATATCACAATGTATAGCTGGCGATATAACATGATATTGAAAGACAGACATCGCTCCGCTCTAGCATACAATATGATTTGTCATAAAACAATGAAACCAAAATCACGATATGGACTTCAATCCGTTCTTGGACAATATATCTCCCAGCCCTAGTGCTGAGAGTTGTCAGGAGACTCCCTATTCCCCTCGCGGGTATTACAATTCCCAGAGTTCCCTGGGAAGAAGGACGGTCAAGACTGTTAAGCCACTCTAGCAGTTGTAACTCTGCGAGGGAAATACAGAGCAGCAGGCATGTTTTAAAATGTAATTGCTTTTTAGCACGCTTTAAACACGGGTGGCGCTGTAGGTTAAACCACAGAGCCTAGGACTTGCTGATCAGAAGGTCGGCGGTTTGAATCCCTGCAACGGGGTGAGCTCCCATTGCTCAGTCCCTGCTCCTGCCAACCTAGCAGTTCGAAGCACGTCAAAGTGCAAGTAGATAAATAGGTACCGCCCTGGCGGGAAGGTAAATGGCGTTTCCATGCGCTGCTCTGGTTTGCCAGAAGCAGCTTAGTCATGCTGGCCACATGACCCAGAAGCTGCACGCCGGCTCCCTCGGCCAGTAAAGCGAGATGAGCGCCGCAACCCCAGAGTCGGTCACGACTGGACCTAATGGTCAGGGGTCCCTTTACCTTTCCCTAAACTGCTTTTAAGGTGTTGCAACGGTAATTGCTTTTGGAATGTGTTAATCTGTTTTAGAATGTCCTTGCTTTTGTTTTTAAATTTGCGTATCTGTTTGCCATTCTGGGTTCCTTGGGGAGGAAGGGCCTGGGTATAAAGCCAAGGGGAGAATAGTTGTGGCTGTCATTTCTTTTGTGACCCTGTGACTTCTGTTGCAGCCTGTGATGATGCTGTGCCCACGGAGCGTGAGGAAGAGCACCCCTCATCCCACGAGAGACTTTCTCGGACGTTACTGGGAAGGCTGCAGATCCTGGACCCCCGAAGGAAAGAGGCCTCTAAGGCCAGGCCCGGCTTCTCCAGGGGGCAGTGGAAACAGCCGGCGGCGAGGGGAAGGGAATCGGCGGAGGACGGGAGCGCCGCCTCTCCTGTGTGCGAGCGGTTCCTCCGCTCAGAGAGGAGGCACCTCTGCTTCATGTGCGGGAAGAGGTTCCGGTACGAGTCCCACCTGGTCACTCACGAGCGGATCCACACGGGAGAGAAGCCCTTTGAATGCAGCAGCTGCCACAAGAGCTTCCGGGACCGCTCAGACCTGAGCAAGCACCAGAAAACTCACTCGGCAGACAAACCCTACAAGTGTCTCGACTGCGGCAAAAGCTTTCACCACCAGCTGACCTTTATTAGGCACCAGAGGCTTCATCCCAGGGAGAGCTCCTCCTGCGATCCGGGCCGGGTGTATTTTGCCATCCTCCCCTCGTACCACGTAGGCGCAGAGATGAGCATTGGGGATGGGACGGAGACCCCCGAGAGCCTTGGTTTTCCTTTTAAACAAAAAGTAAGTTTCTAGCCCTTAAGGTAGCAAAGGTGGGATTGAAAGCAAGGGGGCAAAAGGGGGCGGAGCCTTAGATAGGGCCTGAGTAGGTTTCCCGCCAGAGTTCTTAAGAATTCCACATCACTTGGCTCCTTGGTCCAGTATTTTCTTTTAAATGCAAGCAGGGGGTACACACACACACACACTGAGAGCCAGTGTGGTGTAGTGGTTAAGAGCAGTAGACTCGTAATCTGGTGAACCGGGTTCGCCTCCCTGCTCCTCCACATGCAGCTGCTGGGTAACCTTGGGCTAGTCACATTTCTCTGAAGTCTCTCAGCCCCACTCACCTCACAGAATGTTTGTTGTGGGGGAGGAAGGGAAAGGAGAATGTTAGCCGCTTGGAGACTCCTTCGGGTAGTGATAAAGCCGGATATCAAATCCAGATCCAAACACACACACATTGAGAGAGAGAACCTTGTCTATCAATGCTTCAGCTGTAGGAAAAGATTTCAGCCCATTTGCATCAGAGTGCTTCTTGGATACTCGAAGCTGTTGAGGATGTTGAGGTTTTAGAGTACCTTTCCAATGCCCTCTTTCCTTCTCCATCAGCTGAGGAGCCCCCAGGAGGCAAGGCTGTCAGGTCACGAGGCCAGATATGGGGTGGGGAAAACCCTAAGCGCCTAGCAAGGGTGGCTGGGGCAACCCAGACAGATGGGAGGCATATAAATAATAAAATGATGGTGATGAATTTCAGTAGGGACAAATGTAAGGTTCTGCACTTAGGCAGGAAGAACCAGCTGCCCAAATATAATATGAGGGACACCTGGCTTACTAGCAGTACATGTGAGATGGATTTAGGAGTCTCGGTGGACCACAAGCTTAACACGAGTCAACAGTGTGATGCAGCAGCAAGAAAAGCTAATGCTATTCTGGAATGCCCTCCCACCAGATGTCAAAGAGATAAACAACTACCTGACATTTAGAAGACATCTGAAGGCAGCCCTGTTCAGGGAAGTTTTTTATGTGTGACATTTTAATGTATTTTTCATCTTTGTTGGAAGCCGCCCAGAGTGGCTGGGGAAACCCAGCCAGATGGGCGGGGTACAAATAATAAATTATTATTATTATATAGGCTGATCTGTATAGTGTCCAGATCAAGGGAAGTCATAGTGCCACTCTATTCTGCCTAAGTCAGACCACACTTGGAATACTGTATCCAATTCTGGGCACCACAATTTAAGAAGGATGTTGAAAAGCTGGAACGTGAACAGAGGAGGGTGACCAAGATGACCAAAGGTCTGGAAACTAAGCCTTATGAGGAGCTGGGAATGTTTAGCCTGGAAAAGCGGAGACTGAGAGGAGATATGATAGCCATCTTCAAATATTGTAAGGGCTGTCACATGGAGGAGGGAGCATGCTTGTTTTCTCCCGCTCTGGAGGGTAGGACTCGAACCAGTGGCTTCAAGTTGCAAGAAAGGAGATTCTGCCTAAACATTCGACTTCCAAAGCGTTCAGAAACCAAGGTGCGGCTTCTGATTGGCTGCAGGAAGCTTCTGCGGCCAATCAGAAGCCGCGTCGGACGTTCGGCTTCCCAAAAACGTTCACAAACCGAAACACTTCTGGGTCTGTGGCATTCGGGAGCCAAAACATCCAAGTACTAAGGTGTTTGGGATCCAAGGTACGACTTTATTTGATATGCCAATGCTATCTTCACTATCACTAAAAGGTATTTGTATTGAGGCTATGGCAATATGTATGTTAGTTTCGGTTTTAATTGCTTGAGAGGATCCCAGTTTCTGAGATCCCCAGTCCCTCTGGGACTGAGTCTCCCTGCATAAGCCTTGTGTTCATCATCTGAGACCCCTTCTATGAGTGCCCCCTTTGAGGGAGGGGCAGACTGTGGCATCACGAGAACAGGCCTTTTCAGTGGTGGCTCCCCACCTGAGGAATGCTCTTGCCAGAGAGATGCGTCTGCCACTGTTAACAGCTTTTAGGTGCTAGGTAAAGACGTTCCTGTTTATCCTCGCATTTGGCTCTCGGTTGAGTGTCATGTGATTTGTTGATACCCCAGCCTCTGTCAGTGATCATCTTTTAGCAGACTGGAGCAGGACCCACGCCTTTTTATGTTGTTTCAGGATGAGCACTTTTAGTAATGTTATTTTATGTTTCTGATGTTCTTTTAAATGTTGTCGTCTGTATCCTTTTATAATTGAAGTGAGGGGAAAATAAATGCAATACATAACTAATGGGCTCAGCTTGATAGATGAAATGATCTCATCTGTTCTTCTCCTGCACATTCTTGGGGTTCTTTAACACTCCCCCCAGAGACAATTTGGGGGTGCCTGAGGGGAGGCAGAGAATGCCCTGTTGTGCTGGCAGAAGCCCTTGTGTGGGCTTTCACTAGCAGAACTCATTACAGTGGTACCTCGGGTTACATACGCCTCAGGTTACATACACCTCAGGTTACATACGCCTCAGGTTACATACACCTCAGGTTACATACGCCTCAGGTTACATACGCTTCAGGTTACGTACTCCGCTAACCCAGAAATAGTGCTTCAGGTTAAGAACTTTGCTTCAGGATGAGAACAGAAATTGTGATCCGGCAGTGCAGGGGCAGCAGGAGGCCCCATTAGCTAAAAGTGGTGCTTCAGGTTAAGAACAGTTTCAGGTTAAGAACAGACCTCCGGAACAAATTAAGTACTTAACCCGAGGTACCACTGTAGTTGAATCCCGCTCTAACATAATAAAAATATTTAAAGCACATTCCTAACCTTTGTGGATTAAGGAAAGAGTGGGGGATTTATTATTATATTATAATACGGGGTGATAATATTCTGGAATTATAGAGTTCAGTCATATGCCTTATGGGAAATGATACCTATTGTATTTTGAATTTGAACCTGAATGATATCATTTTATAAAAACCAAGTGGTTTTTTTACTCGGCTACCATGCTGTCCTTTCTCAGCCCCCAAAGGCTCGAGTCATTTGTGGTTGTTCTCGTTTTGGCCTTGCAGGTGACAATGTGGCAAGTGTAAGGAAGGCGGAGAGCTTTCTATGGAGTGAATGGCCTGTGCTTTCACATAAAAACTTGGATGCTGTTGAAGAGATTTAAGAAATCACGTTCCAAGACCTGCAAAATGGGGTGGGGGCGAGAGACCACGTAAGCCACGGAGCTTTTCCACAGAGCAAGACATCTTGCAGGAAGAGGAGGAGTCAGTCGCCTGCCGGAGATTTGATCGAAACCACGTTCCGGTTTAGAAGCCACGCAGCCAAGAAACCACAAATTGCTGGAAAGGTTTAAAGCGATACTCGTGCACCGTTGTGCGTCAAAGATTGTACGCCCTGGAGGAGTCCAGCCTAAGCACAAATTCTAGGAACATTTTTTTAATGCAAGTTTAAAGGCTCATCTGCAAAGAATCCCTAGAATGGCAAAATCAGACCATTTCACTGCCCTTCTGGAAAGTATGCTGTGGAAGAGAACTTGTTCTGTCAGACCTTCTTTGCTGTTCCTTCTGCAGGGTTTCCCCTCTTCCAATGTGCAAGCCTTGATTTATGTCAGAGAAGCCATGGCGGAGCAGGAACCCTTTTGATAAGAAAAGTTTCACATACAATAGGAGAAAGCTTACAAATGCCCAGAGTGAGGAAATACTGTGTTGCCAAATCCTACTATTATAAAGTTACACTGTCAAGTTGCTTTGAGACTTTTGGGGCAAGAATGGTAATAAATAATATTAATAGTCAATGGCGCTGTGGTCTAAACCACTGATCCTCTTGGGCTTGCCGATCAGAAGGTTGGTGGTTCGAATCCCCACGACGGGGTGAGCTCCCGTTGCTCGGTCCCTACACCTGCCAACCTAGCAGTTCGAAAGCAAAAAAGTGCAAGTAGATAAATAGGTACCGCTCCGGCGGGAAGGTAAACGGCATTTCCGTGCGCTGCTCTGGTTTCGGTGCTCCGTTGCGCCAGAAGCGGCTTAGTCATGCTGGCCATATGACCCGGAAAAACTGTCTGCGGAAAAACGCCAGCTCCCTCGGCCTGTAAAGCCGAGATGAGTCATATGTGACTGGACTTAACCCCAGAGTCGTCTGTGACTGCACTTAACTGTCAGGGGTCCTTTACCTTTTTTTTATAAGAGGGAAACCAGAAGTGTGGTTGTACAGTATGCTAGAAGGAATTTGCTTTTGAGGGCCCCTGGCTTCACACAGGATCCCTCTGGATGAAGGACTTATGTTCCTACTTTTTTTCCTAGACTACCTGGCAATATTATAGACACTTGTTCATTCAGAGGTTTATAAGCAGAGGCTGGTTGGTTGCCTATCATGGATGATGCAGCCCAGGTGTTTGTGTGTGGGGAAACTTTTGGCCCTCTGGATGCTGCTGAACTACAACTCCCATCATCCCTGGCCATTGGCTGTGCTTGTTGGGGCAGATGGGAGTTGTAGTTCATCAGCATCTGGAAGGCCAGAGGTTTCCCACGCCTGCTATAGCAGGTGGATTTCCTTTATTGGCATGGCATGGCAGGGTCAAATACAGAGTCTTTTGAGGTCCGTTCCAATGCTATGATTGCAGCATTTGGGACTTTTTAGTTTAGGGGAAATAGGAGTAAGAGACAAGAAGACGGATGTCTATAAAAGTATGCATAGGAAGGAGAAAGTGCGTCGATACAAGTTTTACTCCCGTTCTCTCTCATAGCACTAGAACGAGTGCACATCCAGAGTAACTTGAGTGTTGGAAGATTCAGTACTTATTCACACAGCAGCACCTAGTAAAATGATGGAATTTGCTTCTGCAGTGATGGCCGCCATCTTGGATGGCCTTAAAAGAGGATTGGACAAATTCAGGGACGTTGAGGCAAACAATGGCTACTGACTCTGATGGCTGTTCTCTGCCTCTGCTTCTGAAGAGCGGTTGCTGGAAACTGGAGGAGGGGAGAGTGGCTGTTGTGCTCGGATCCTGCCTGCCAGTTTCCCACAGCCATCTGTTTGGCCGCTGTGAGCACAGGATGCTGGCCTAGATGGGCCACTGACCTGATCCAGTCAGCTCTTCTCACATTCTTATGATTCTGTGACATCATTTGTCAGGAACGAGCCAGCGCCAAGAGAAAGTTTGCAGCCAACTGCAGAAAGCAGCCAGGAACAGAAAGGCTTAGGTGAAAGTCAGGCGGGGAGACCCGGCAGCTGCAGACTTCGGTTCTTCCACACCTTGATGGGCAGGGTGATAAGGCAGTAGCTGAGAGCAGGCTAGAACACAGCCAAAGCTCGCAGGAAGCACAGATAGGAGCGAATAGATTCAGAGACAGCCTCTCAGAACAAGAAGAGGGCAGGGCTGATTCACTAAGGTGTCGGCAAATGGGAGGGCTGCTAGACAGGAAGCAAAACAAGAGATGTAAAGGTCATAAGTTCAATATCTTCTTTAGATGCCGGAAGGAGTCTTCAGAAGGGTCATCTTGAGTAATGATGCCGGAGGCTTTGTCGAAGCTGTCCGGAGCTGTTTGTTTTTGCAATAAATCCTCCTTTTTAATTACCTACGCTTATTGTGTTATCAAGCTGGGAACCTGGACTCCTGACATCATTGCTTATAAAAATAGCCAACCAGACTGAGGTCCACCAGCGATGCAGTGGCCAAGCTCACGCAACCAGCATCTTTTTCAGCCCTATGGCCTGCAGCATAGATGTGTTCCTTGAGACTGAGAGGAAGACCAGGCTGCTAAGTTGCATGTGAGCGGGCTACTTATTTGTCAAAACCTGTGGCTGCGAGTTGTACCCAGCGTTAACCTGTTCACTAGTGCAAGGGCACGCTTCATGTTGTGCAAAAGAGGAATCCGACGCTACAGTTTTGCTAGCGGAAACTCTCTGCACAATCTGGTTTTGCTATCCGTTGCACAACAAAATCACCACTTCTTGTGTATTCTGTAGGCGCAAAACATTTCGCCAGTGGAACTGCTATACTGCCAAGAGACTTTTGACTTTGTGCTGCATAAGAAGACACAACCCTGGGTGTCCAGCACAGCCGCAACACATCAAAGGGCGGGGGGCAGGAGTGAAATGGAGAAAGCTCAGAGGAGCATCTCTGGGGATGCAGTCAGTGTGTGCAGGGACTAAAAGAATTTATGCTTCCTTACCCCCTCCCATAAAAAATACAGATTCTGGGGCTGCAAAGAACCTTCTGGATTTTGCAGCCAAGGTAGCATTTTGTGCCTCAAGGCTGGCCAGAGAAAAAAGTGAGTAAAGGTCTCTTTGCTATGTTATGCAACTCTGGGGGCAAGAAACAATGTGAATAAAAGTGTAGAGGGTCTCATAAATCCAAGTTCTGCATAGGATGCTGTTTTTGCAGAAGGTAAAAAGGCATGTGTCGGCTTGCTGGAAGATGGAGTTCTCTATCATTGAGCTTCCATCTGGTCATATCCTGTGTTGTTTTTTACTTTGTGACCAGACATTGAGAACAAACAAAAAAGGGAGAGTAAAATGATGAAATGTGACCGTTTGTTTGTTTGTTTGTTTGTTTAGCTGCTTTTTTCTCTTGCTCTTCTTTTTTATCCCGGAGACTTACTGGACTCTTAAAACTTAGCAATTAAAATCATTTGATGATTGCAAAGATTCCTTGGTTCATAGTATTTGTGGTGCTTTTCCATCAGCCAGCTACAGGATTCCAGTTTAATCAAATGAAAGCATAACTGACTCTTAACTGAACAGGGAACACGTTACGTCAAAGATACCAATAGTTAACAGTAAGGTCCGGTACTGGCTTATATGCATTACATGAAAAAATGGCATTTCTATGAATTTAAGGAGAACTGGGTCAGGAATAAAAAGCAAATACAGTGGTGCCTCGCAAGACGAAATTAATTCGTTCCGCGAGTTTTTTCGTCTTGCGAGTTTTTTCGTCTTGCAAAGCACGGTTTCAATTTTTTCAAAAAAATCTTCAAAAACCTCAAAAAAGGCTACCACACCGCGTGCTATGAGTTGCTCCCCGAAGTCAAGTCGCAACTGCACCTCTTCAAGCAATGCACCCTGTATTACTGTAACGGTTTTAAGAAAAAGGAAACAAACTTGCAAGACGTTTCCGTCTTGCGAAGCAAGCCCATAGGGAAATTTGTCTCGCGAAGCAACTCAAAAAACGAAAAACTCTTTCGTCTTGCGAGTTTTTTGTCTTGAGAGGCATTCGTCTTGCGAGGTACCACCGTATTCAAAAGAAGTAGTAGACTACCTGCTCCTCCAAACTTGCCAAGGTAACAACAACAACAGCATGCTATCCATTCTGACCCAACAGAACAACAGTCCAAGAATAAAATAGATTCTTAGGATTCAAATCACTTCTCCCTTCTCTCAAAGGAAGGGCCAGTGGTCTTTGGCAAGACAATAAACACCTCATCCTTCCCTGACATGGTGTTGACTAGGCCATAAAGCAACACTCAGATACCATAAGCCCTTTGTGTTACATTTCCTACTGAGCAAAAATTATGTGATGTTCCAGAATTCTGGCCTGAATGGGACAGAAGGACAAATTCTCTCCTGTTTATTTGGAATGCAGGAGGTGGAAGCAGGCAGGGCAGAATCTTCCAAGGGTCTCTTTGGTGCCACTGTTAGAGCTTTCACCCCATCCAGTTGCCCCATCGTCAGGAAAAATAGAGGACCTGTCTCCACATTTATTTTGTCGCAGGAAAAAACCCCCCCCCCATCATTCGGTTTGTACAAACTTCACACACACACTCACACTCTTACACTACATACGCTACGCTTCTGTTATAAATTCATAGAAAATCAATCATACATCGGATCTGCACTGTTCCACTTTTATTTTACTCCATGAAGGAAGGACTACAAAATGGGGAAGGTTTGATACAGGGCAGCCATAATCCCTTGATCATACCAGCACATGCGCAGGAGCCCTGCCCAGTTGCTATGCCAACCCTGATGGTCCTAGACAGAAGACCATCAAGATCACAAAGAACTTGCATATGGGAGTGGATTTGGCATGGACTGGAACAAAGGACAATAATCAGCTCTTCCCTCTGGGGGCAGGAAACTGCAAGCTCCCCTTTGTCACCTGGAAAGTACTCATGGGGAGGGGGAAAGGAGGAACCAGCCAGGTGACAGGACACTCAGGTTACCACCACAACTCTTCCCTCAACCCCTCCTTAGAGAGCCAGTGTGGTGTAGTGGTTAAGAGCGGTAGTCTCGTAATCTGGGGAACCGGGTTCGATTCCCTGCTCCTCCACATGCAGCTGCTGGGTGACCTTGGGCCAGTCACACTTCTTTGAGGTCTCTCAGCCCCGCTCACCTCACAGAGTGTTTGTTATGGGGGAGGAAGGGAAAGGAGAATGTTAGCCGCTTTGAGAGTCCTGAAGGGGAGTGAAAGGCGGGATATCAAATCCAAACTCTTCTTCTTCCTTTTTGTGATGTAGTTGTGATGTAGTCTTAGGGGTGTAGTTTGGGTGATTAGTAACTAATTAAAGTTGGGGGTCTTCTTTTGTTCTGGGCTTCCATTTTGCTTCATCTTGTTGCTGGTGGGAGTCCTGCCATGACAGTATCCAATAAAGGCCAAGCCTACAGGCTGCTGTTTTGCTCCAAGTTATCCTGGTTGGTGTCTTTGTTTTTGTCCAAGGGAGCCCTCGGAGTTTTCCGTTAACACTTTCAAAGTTCTGTGGCAGGAAGAATGTGCTCAGGAAAGTTTGGCCTGTATCTTTTTAGCTCCCACAGCATTGAGGCTGGGTCCTGGCTCAGTCATGGCTTCCTGAAAGCAAGCTTTGGTTCACACCATTGGGTTTCCTCCTTCTGTACAGCACCCTCGAACTATTAGAGGTTCCCATACACACACTTCGGCTTGCGCTATCTGCTTGTGTGGCAGCACCTCGGTAAAACCACTTCTCACACGTTTATAGCGGAGTATTTCCCTGGAGACAGGCGACAAGAACAGTAGCTGTAGTCAAATTCCTCAGTCAAGAGTTTCTTTATTGCTTGACCGGTTGCACAAACATTTCTATTGCAAATATATACAAACTAGTTACAGTGGTGCCTCGCAAGACGAAATTAATCCGTTCCGCGAGTCTCTTCGTCTAGCGGTTTTTTCGTCTTGCGAAGCAACCCTATTAGCGGATTAGCGGTTTAGCGGCTATTAAAGGCTTAGCAGCTTAGCGGCTTAGAAAAAGCAGGGAAAAAGCAAAAAAAACCCGCAAGACTCGCAAGACTTTTTCGTTTTGCAAAGCAAGCCCATAGGGAAATTCGTCTTGCGAAGCGCATCGAAAAACGGAAAACCCTTTCGTCTAGCGGGTTTTTCGTCTTGCGGGGCACCACTGTACATTCTTTCTACACCTCTCCAGCACGTACGTGTGTGTGTGCTTTCTTCTTGACGAAGTTGCAGCCAGCAACTTCCTTTTATTTGCACCTCCAGCTGACACCAATCAAGCCATGACTGCCACTCCCACACACTAAAGAAAATTCTGGAACTCTGTTTAAAGCTCAAAGGAATTTTGATCTGTTTCTTGAAGGATGTTCTCCTAACCTGGAAAATAATTGCAAAAAGAAAAGGGAAGCCAAAGCCAGCTTGAAAACAGCTTGGCGTTAGACCTGCTTGATGTTTTCTACATTTGTGGAGCCACCACCAGAAAACCCCTGGCCTGGGCGCCTGGCAGAGTATGGTAGAGAACATACGCAAAGAGTTTGGCAGAGGTAAGTGGAAACAATGGCAGCTGGGCCTTTAGGGTAAATGGGGTATCAGAGTTTTTAGGGGCTAACCAGGCTGGGATAGTTGGGATAGCAGGCTTGTTGGTTTTTGAATGTCTGGTGTAGATTTTTCAATTTTGTTGTTCTGTATGGGACAATGACAATAAAGATTATCGGATCGTAACCTCAGTGTGCCCTCAGCCATCCTCCTGCTTTCTTACTTGCTACCAGCTTACGACTTACTAGATCACCCCAGGAGGTGGTGGCAGTGCCTTGACCATTTGCTCCTCCTTAGTTCCAGTAGGTAGGATGGAGACTTTCCCGTCCCACGAATCCGGTTTGTGGACCAGAAAAGCAAAGTCACCCTTTCATGTGCATCAAGACTCACATCTTTATTATTATTATTATTTCATTTTCCTGGAGCTCTGCCCACCCCAAATCCTGGGAACAGGCATGGGTGTAGCCAGCACAGGAGCTAACTCCTTGGGGCGTGGCGGCTTCGACCCACCTCAATAAATATTTGAGAATGGCATTGTCATTGAAACGGTGTGCATGCACCACACCATGTGATTGATTATGTGGGGCGCGGCTTACCTGCACCCCCCCCCCAATATTTTATTCAAGTTGGTACTCCCTGGTAGCCAGGCTTTATGTTAGTGGGGGGGGCAGAACCTCCGTTATTTTGTATCGATTTGCTTTATTTAGGGGGGCACCTGCCCTTCCTTGCCCCCCTTGGCTACACCCGTGGGGACGGGGGCGGAGGGGTGGGGGCTGGTGAAGAGAAACCCCAGTGCCGAAAGTTGCCGCGGCCACCAGAGGCCTCTCGCTTTAAGCTCGACCAGCCAAGAGGAAGCTGCTCTTCTCTTCCTCCTCTGCTCAGGAACATCCTGGCTCCTAGTGGGCCACGCCGGCGCCGTCTGCAGCGCCGCTTTCTCCTCCGAGGGAGCCTGCAGGCGGGAGGCAGAGAGGCAGCCGCCGCGGCGCGCTGCGCTTCCTCCGCCCTCCTCCTCCTCCTCTCGGAGCCCGACCGGAGTGGGAACTGACGCGCCCCAGCCTTTGTCAAGCGGGATAGGCGGGAGGAGGGGAGGGGGTGCGAGGAGGCTCTTGCGGGAACAATCCCGGGTGAGTGAGACAGATGCCAGGAGGAAGCGCGATCCGGGATGAAAGTTGCGGGTGGCGCTGGGGATGCGCGCACGCTTGCGCTTGCAAAGGAGGGAATTGGCACGCGTTGCGCGCGGCGGAGAGGGGCGCAGAAGAGCAAGGGAGATGGTTTTCTTTTGTGATTATTTCCACGCTAGAGGGGTGGGGTGTGAACTCTCTACTAATGAGAAATAATAGCTCCGTCTGCAAGGGGGAGAAGGGGAGGTTGCACGACACGATTTGACGCCGATCCAGGTCACATTTCAACCTTTGGCATTGCAGCAAGGGATGCGACCCAGGAGGAGAAAGGTTCTCCATGGCTACTACTAGCCAAGAGGGCTAAGTTGCACATCCAGTGTTGGAGGCAGGATGCTCTGCCATCGAACATCAGTTTTGGGGAATCACACGTGGGGAGAGCAAGGGTGCAGTCTGGTCCTACTTAAGGGTTTTGCACAGGCATCTGGTTAGTACAGTGGTAATAATAATAATAATAATAATAATAATAATAATAATTTATTTATACCCTGCCCATCTGGCTGGGTCCCCCCAGCCACTCTGGGAGGCTTCCAACAAAACACTAAAATACAATAACCTATTAAACATTAAAAGCTTCCCTAAACAGGGCTGCCTTTAGAAGTCTTCTAAAAGTTTGGTAGTTATTTTTCTCCTTGACATCTGGTGGGAGGGCGTTCCACAGGGCAGGCGCCACTACCGAGAAGGCCCACTGCCTGGTTCCCTGTAACTTGGCTTTTCGCAGCGAGGGAGCCGCCAGAAGGCCCTCGGCGCTGGACCTCAGTGTCTGGGCAGAACGACGGAGGTGGTGCCTCAGGTTAAGTACTTAATTCGTTCTGGAGGTCTGTTCTTAACCTGAAACGGTTCTTAACCCGAAGCACAACTTTAGCTAATGGGGCCTCCTACTGCTGCTGCACCGCCACTGCACGATTTCTGTTCTCATCCTGAAGCAAAGTTCTTAACCCGAGGTAATATTTCTGGGTTAGCGGAGTCTGGAACCTGTACCACTGTAGATAGATGGCTGGGTAGTTTGCAATAGACCAGGGTGGGTTTCTGACACCCCACTGTTCAGCAACAGTAGCAACAAAATAACTCTCCCCACCCAAATTAGGCTGCTGAAATGAAGAAAGCCAAACAGGAGAGAACTTTTGTATGAAGAGTCTGTGGGCAAAATTCAGCTTTGGTACTGAGAATTCATTCCTAGGCTCAGAATGTGCTCAGAGATAGCCCTGTTCTTTAATTCTAAGGATGTGTTAGAATTATATATTCTAGTAGCTCTGGTTGATGGATGCAGTTCTAGTTTAAAAAAAGTCTGGATTCTCTTTTCTTTCAGCCACTGAATAGAAAATGGAGGAGACTTTTCAGAAGGAAAGTCCTGAACAGGTGAAACTCCATAAGGCAGCAGCAGAAATAGCCCCGTGGAGTTGTTCCCAAGTAGATGATGATTCTGAAAATCAACAGGGGCCAGAAACACAAACGAACAAGTGCTCTGAATCAGAAAGGCCGAAGTGTGTCTCTTCCCAAGGAGACTCCAAGGAAGCAAGGAAGCTGCCTGTTCAACAAAGAAATCGGATGTCAAAGAAACAGCACCCTTGCCCTGATTGCGGGAAAGTCTTCAACAGGACCTCGGCCCTCAATGCGCATCAGAGAGTCCACACGGGGGAGAAGCCCTACAAGTGTGCAGAGTGTGGGAAGAGCTTCAGTAAGAGTTCGCACCTCATTGCTCATCAGAGAATCCACACAGGCGAAAGGCCGTACACCTGTATGACTTGTGGGAAAAGCTTCAACCACTCCTCACATGTCATTACCCACCAGAGAACCCACACAGGGGAGAAACTCTATAAATGCCTCGAGTGTGGGAAAAACTTCCGGTACAGCTCCGATCTCATCAGGCACCAGATTGAGCATGCGGGAGAAAAACCTTACCAGTGCTCCGACTGTGGGAAGTGCTTCAACCGGAGCTCAAACCTCCTCATTCACCAGAGAATACACACGGGCGAGAAACCCTACCAGTGCCTCGAGTGCGGGAGGAGCTTCAGCTACAGCTCCGTCCTCATCAAGCACCAAAAAGTACACACCTCCGAGAAGCCTTATAAATGTCCTGACTGTGGGGAAGGTTTTCACGTGAACGCAAGTCTTCTCACACACCAGAGAGTTCACACAGGAGAGAAACACTACTCGTGCTCGCAGTGTGGGAAAAGTTTCCGATGGATCTCGCACCTTGCCAGGCATCAGAAGATCCACACGGCAGCGAAAGCTGTTTAACGCTCGAAATACTGGGAAATCATCCGTGTGTGCTCAGATCTTAAGTTGGAGTATACTTTTGTTTAGTGTATTCTTACATTATCATTCCTTTGATCTCTTGTCTAATTTTACAGTGTAAGACACTTTGGGGAAGGAATTTTTCCATATTATTCTTTTGTATTTGTTTGTTTGTGTGTGTGCACACACACACACATATGAAAATATCACTGTATCAGTAATAAAACACTTAAATCCAACAGCTGACTTTTGATGGCTCAAGATAAGCCGGGGCGAACAGTATTTGTATTTATTTATTTATTTTGAAAAAATTGTTTGCATTTTATATTTTTTTGTTGTTGTTTTTTTAAATAATTTTTATTAAAGTTTTGAACAACAAAGAAAGAAAAGAAAAACATACACAATACATATAACAAAAACACAAAAAAAGCAAGATTCAACAATAAAAGAACAAAAAACATAACAATTAAAAACAATATCTCTTTTCCATTTCCGTTTTTTAGTTACTTATTTTCTGGACTTCCTCATACCTCCCTCTTTTGTATTCCAATCCAAATTGTTTGTCCAGCAATTTCTTTTCCACTTTTTTAATCCCAATCTTTAGCTTTAATAAGATATTGAAATATATAACTTCAACTTCTTTAAACCTGATCTTTAGTCTTAGTATCATACAAAGTTGACATTTTTCCTCTTAATGTCAAATTTCCATTTCTTTAAACATCTTTAATCCTAATTTTTAATCTTAGTCTATCATTAACTTTAACCTGTACAGCTGGAAACCGCTTATTTTCAGTCCAACATCACTCTAACATTCTTTAATTTTGCAATGTTTCTGAAGATAGTCTTTAAATTTCTTCCAATCTTCCTCCATCGAAGCATTTTATATTTGTTACCTTCCTGAGCCGAAGAGATTGACTCAAATAAATTCCCTAGGTGCTACTTCCTCCTCCTCCTCCTCTGTGCTGTTGTCCTGGTGCCCTTCTGCTTAACAAATAGGAACTGCAAGCTAAGGGAAATAGGATGCAATTCTGGAATGTCTTTTGTAAGTCTCCCATTGTAAGACCTCTTCCCAAAACTTTGGAGAGTCGCTCAGAGAGCTCTCAGGAAAAGCACTTCCACAGGCCTGCTTCCTGAAATGCCGGAGACATACATTGGTTCCCAATATGTTTCCGAGCATAATTCAAAGTGTTGGCGCCGACCTTTAAAGCCCTAAACGGCCTCGGCCCAGTATACCTGAAGGAGCGTCTCCACCCCCATCATTCTACCCAGACACTGAGGTCCAGCTCTGAGGGCCTTCTGGTGGTTCACTCAATGCGAGAAGTGAAGCTATAGGGGATCAGGCAGAGGGCCACCTTGGTAGTGGCGCCCGCCCTGTAGAACGCCCTCCCATCAGATGTCAAGGAAATGAGCAACTATGTAACCTTTAGAAGACATCTGAAGGCAGCCCTGTTTAGGGAAGTTTTTAGTGTGTGTTTTATTAGGCTTTTATATATGTTGGAAGCCTCCCAGAGTGGCAACCCAGTCAGATTGGTGGGGTAAAATAACAATAACAACAATGACAATGACAAATTACTACTACTACTACTACCACCATTAAGGCAGAGAGTTGCTCCATGTAGGACACTCTTATCTTTGCAACTCCCTTGTCATATCCTGGCTTTTTAATCCTTTCTGTGTTGCTAAACATGTATGGCAGGGCTGGTGGCCTTTTTTTTTTTTTTTTAATTAATATTTATTAAAGTTTCAGAAAAAATAAAATAAACAAGAGAAATTTGAAAAGAAAAAAGAAAAATACACAATAGAAAATACAAAATTCAAAATACAAAAAGATAAAAAAAGAAAGAAAACAGTTAAAAACAATTCCGTCTTTTCATAACTTCTTTTACATTTACTTGTTTCCCGGACTTCCTCATACCTCCCTCTTTTGTATTCCAATTCCGGTTGTTAATCCAGCAATTTCTTTCCCTCCTTTTTAATCCCAATCCTTAATCTTAATATATTATGACATTAGATTTTTACCTGTTTGAAACCAATTTTTCCATTCTTTTAACTTTTTTAATCCTAATCCTTAATCTTAATATATTTATAGCTTTAAAGCCTATACAGCTAGAAGCCATTTAACTTCAATCCAACATCATTCTAACATTCATTAATTTTGCAATGTTTCTGTAAATACTCTTTGAATTTCTTCCAATCTTCTTCCACCGACTCTTCTCCCTGGTCACGGATTCTGCCAGTCATTTCCGCCAGTTCCATGTAGTCCATCATTTTCATCTGCCATTCCTCCAGTGTGGGTAGCTCTTGTGTCTTCCAATACTTCCAAAAAGGGCTGGTGGCCTTTTTGCCTTCAAGGCCAAATACAGCAGTGGGTGAGTCCATGGGGAGCACAAGCCACTGGGCATTGGCGGGTCCACTGACTGGGCGTGGCTTGGTTCCACTCTTGCCCGTTGCCTCAGGCAACACACTATATTGGTCCAACCCTGCACTCCAACATGAAGCATCTCATCTTGGAACGCTGCAGAGGAAGAATGCAAATTCTAGCAAACATATGTATGGGCAAAAAGTCTTATGAGTTCTGCAAATCTAGACGGGAGTTAAGTGCAGTGGTCAGGATGCAAGGAAGCACTGCCTCTTCTGCATACTTTCAGTCAGGGCCAGATTTAGGTTTGATGAGGCCAGAAGCTACTGAAGGTAATGGGGCCCTTTATATGTCCAGCTGTCCTTTGTCAGCAACAGATTGTCACTGTTTTTTGTGTGTTGAATATATGCTATATGGCAATTTATGGACCTAATAGGTATCTAAAGTCATTTGCACATAATATATGTATTTTATCAAAGTAATTGTTGAACTGAAATACAATTAAGAAGTATATTAATAGTGAACTTGGGGGGGGACACCAAGAGAGTGGGGGCCCTAAACTATACCTTGTTTAGCTTATACGTAAATCCGGCACTGATTTCAGTGTGCATATAAGAAAATTATGCTTTTGAATAGTCCCTACAGCATTATTCTTTTAAACCTCCCTGCGATAATAGTAAACCCGCACTGCAAGCAAATGACTGGCAGGAACGCTTTGCCCCGAAGCACTGGCTTTCTGCTTGCGAGGAGCTTTCGGCATTCAGAAATGTAATACGAAACGTGCGTGTTTGGTCCTTCCCTCCCTGTTTAAATACTGAGCTGGTTAAATTATATTCAAAAAAAGAATAATGAAAAAGAAAGGAAAAGCTGGCCATCCCCTTTAAAAAGTCTCTGGACCGGGTGCCAAAATCGGGTGCTTTCCGGTCTGGCGCCGTGCCAGCAGAGGGCTCTTGCTCGTCGATCCCGGGGAAGTCGCTGCTCTTTTTCCACCCCAGCTCCGATCAGCTGGTTTGGGAGGACGGACGAACTTCCTGGAGTATCATCAACAGAGCGGCCGCCATCGCTGCGGCTGCAGGGAGCGCAGAGCCGCCAGGCCGAGCCCGCTTCCTCGCCGGACCGGAGTGAAGACTGCCCTCGGAGAACGCGCCGGGCTTGGCGAACGCTGCCAGCTGGAAACTGCTCAGGTGGTCCCTGGGGTGGAGGGCAAGGAAGTGACTGCTCTCTTTGCAGGTAACGCTTTGAAGCGGACCACCCACCCACTTCCAGGGTGGGCATCTGCCCGGCGCTGCGCCCTGTTAAAATCAACGTTTTCCAATACCAAGAAGTCCATAACTGCTTGTTGTTAACTGTGTGAATTGGCAAACCCCCCCTCAAGACCCTCCCCCCGGGGAATGTATATTTAATTTGACATATGCTGAATTAAAATTCTACTGGATTTTGGTAGGAGGTTCTACTGGATTTTGCTAGGATCAGAAAGTCAGAAAGTCGGCGGTTCGAATCGCTGCAACGGGATGAGCTCCCGGGATGAGCTCCCGTTGCTCGGTCCCTGCTCCTGCCATCCTAGCAGTTCGAAAGCACGTCAAAGTGCAAGTAGATAAATAGGTACCGCTCCGGTAGGAAGGTAAACTGCGTTTCCGTGTGCTGCTCTGGTTCGCCAGAAGCAACTTAGTCATGCTGGCCACATGACGCGGAAGCTGTACGCCGGCTCCCTCGGCCAATAAAGCGAGATGAGCGCCGCAACCCCAGAGTCGGCCACGACTGGACCTAATGGTCAGGGGTCATGAAAAGAACACACACACAACCATTCATTCATTATTTTCATATGTGTGTGTGTGTGTATACAGTCATACCTTGGGTTGAATACGCTTCAGGTTGAGTGTTTTCGGGTTGCGCTCCGCGGTGACCCGGAAGTAACGGAGTGCATTACTTCTGGGTTTCGCCGCTCACACATGTGCAGACACTCAAAATGATGTCACGCGCATGCACAGAAGCGGCGAATTGCAGCACGTGCAGACGTGTGTTGTGTTCGCTTCAGGATGCGAACGAGGCTCTGGAACGGATCCTGTTCGCATCCAGAGGTACCACTGTATGTGTGTGGGTGTATGTATATTTTATTATTATTTATTAAATTTGTATACCGCAGGTCTCGGGGTGGTTCACAACATAAAAACAACATAAAAACACGAAATACATACTAAAAATCAGAACGACCCAATACCCCCCCCCCCGCTTCCCCTACACAACAACAACTCTGATTAAATTGTATGGTAGTGGGGGTCTGACTGCTCGTGAAACGGTTACGTCAGGGGTCAGCAAACTTTTTCAGCAGGGGGCCGGTCCACTGTCCCTCAGACCTTGTGGGGGGCCGGACTATATTTTTTGGGGGAAAATGAACAAATTCCTATGTCCCACAAATAACCCAGAGATGCATTTTAAATAAAATGACATATTCTACTCATGTAAAAACACGCTGATTCCCAGACCGTCTGTGGGCTGGATTGAGAAGGCGATTGGGCCGGATCCGGGCCCCGGGCCTTAGTTTGCCCACCCATGGGTTACATTTTTTTTAATTTATTCAGGTCCATAGCAGCAGGCATGGATCAAGATCTCCCCAGTCACCCTGTGGAGGCCTGCAAGGAATTGTCTGCCAATTGCAGTTGCATCACATATCTCCTTCACTAGATGTTTGAAGGATGCACATGCCTTCTTCGTTTTCTAAGCGTCTTCAGCGTGATAAATACTGATCCCACGCAGATCCATCTACAGTGCTCCATAAAACGTGAAACTGCCTCCAGATACCAAAACAGTGCTATTTTTCTAGAAAAAGAGGTTCTGGAGCTCACCCTTCTCCCTTGTCCTCTTAGAATGGCAATGGCGCCCACCTGAGAGGTGCCAGAGGTGAGTTCTGGCTAAAAAAAATATCTCTGCACAGTGCCTAGGGAAGGGACGGGGAACCACCTGAAGCTATCCAGGTGTTGTTGGACTCTAACTCCCATCAGCCCCAGCCAACATAGTCAGTAGTCAGGGATGATGGGAGTTGTAGTTCATCAACATCTGGAGGGCCACAGGTTCCCCATCCCTGACCAGGAGTGTTGAGGATGATGCAGAGGTGGCTGTTGTTCAGGTTCAGAGGTGCTGTGCCACTGAAGACCCCCCTTTTTTTGGAAGTGGCAGGAGGAGGGGGGCTATTGGCTCCAAGCCTTCCTTGTCTTACTGAGGCATCTTTTTTAACCACTCTGGGAGACAAGAGCCTTTTATCTGATGCAACAAAACTGCTCTTTTGGGATGAGTGGGGAAATAATGTGTACGTTTGTGAGGAATGCTTTCAGCTCTTTACCCTAGGATGGTGTACTCTCACCCACTCTGCTGCTGCTTTTAAGTCTTTAAATAGTCAGAAAACCCTGCCACATAACATGAGTAGTTGAGCTCCCTAAGAGCCACTTTACCTAGAAGTAAACACATACACGTTGCTAGGTTTGATAACCTCTTAGAGGTGCCATTTGCTGTTTTAAGTGGTATACAAATCTGGTTAAATAAACAAAACAGCATAAAAATATCTAAGGGGTAAAAATGGAAGAACTGTCATTGGTTACTACCATTACCGTGCACTCAACTTTCCCAAATGTATTTTTCTTACCTGACGTTTTTAATAGGTGGAGTTAAGCATTGGACTCGTGTAATTTTTGATGATACTTTGGGATGCATTCGGTTAGCAATGTCACTCGAAACCTCTGATTGGGTTGGCATCTAGATACCCCAAAAAGTTGTTTATTGTGTCCAATGTACAGTGCTACCTCGGGTTAAGAACTTAATTCGTTCTGGAGGTCCGTTCTTAACCTGAAACTGTTCTTAACCTGAAGCACCACTTTAGCTAATGGGGCCTCCTGCTGCCAGCGCATGATTTCTGTTCTCATCCTGAAGCAAAGTTCTTAACCCGAGGTACTATTTCTGGGTTAGCGGAGTCTGTAACCTGAAGCGTCTGTAACCCGAGGTACCACTGTACATTATCAGTGCAGCCAGGCAAGGCTGGTAGCCTTGTAGTAAATACTTGCATGTGTTATACAGTACTTCTGCTCTCTCCACGATCTGCGGCAATTGTCTATTCTCCACACCTTTCACCCACACTGGTGTATTTTTATTATTATTATTATTATTACAGTGGTACCTCTGGTTGTGAACGGGATCCGTTCCAGAGGCCCGTTCGCAACATGAAAAGCCCGCACCCTGAAGCGCCATATCTGCGCAGGTGTGCAGTGCAATTTGGTGTTTGTGCGCATGTGTGAAGTGCGATTTAACACTTCTGTGCATGCGCCAGCGGCGAAACCCAGAAGTAACACTTTCCGGTACTTCTGGGTCGCTGCGGGATGCAACCTGAAAAAACGTAACATGAAGCAAACGTAACATGAGGTATGACTGTTTATTTGTTGTTGTTGTTGTTATACTGCCCTATACCAATAGATGTCAGGACAGTTCATAGCACAAAATTTAGAAAATGCTTCCTTCTCACTCAATATCAGAACGGTGTACAGCAACTTTTTAAAAAAGTTGAAAGCAGCATAACCCTGTAAACAAAGTTTACTGGTTTAAAAATGTGGGGAAGCAGGTGGAGATCTGGGCTTCAGTAGTGTTTGATCTGCCTTGACTACTTTCTAAAAGTCCCCGAAGAGGAGATTGAAAAACCTAGAATGCTTCTGGTTTTGAGCTCTGTTTGTCTTCCTGTTTCGGGAAGCTTTTAATGTTTGATGTATTATAGTATTTTAATATTCTGTTGGAAGCCGCCCAGAGTGGCTGGGGAAGCCCAGCCAGATGGGCGGAGTATAAATAAATTATTATTATTATTATTATTATTATTATTATCAACAGGCGATGGGATGGCGGCTGAGCTGAAGGAACAGAGATGCGTGAAGGAAGAGCCCGGAACGACGGCGGTGCTGGCGGGCGGCTCGGAAGAGACGGTCTCCCACAGCTGCAAGCGGGAGAGAGGGAACAGGGGCCGAGACTTGCCAGAGAAGCGAGAGAGAGCTGAGAAAATCCGAGAAGGAGCTGCTCTGCCACGCAAGGAGCAGGGCTTTGGGAATCTTGACCAAATAGTGATCCAGCAGCTGATCCACATTGGAGGAGGCGGAAGGAGGCGCGGCAAGCAGGGGGAGAACTTCCGCCAGGCCTCGGGCCTCGGCAAGGCTTCAATCGTCCGCCTGGGAGAGAAGCCGTACCTGTGCATCGTCTGCGAGAAAACCTTCCGCAACCACTCGGGCCTCATGGTCCACCAGCGGATCCACACGGGGGAGAAACCTTACAAATGCCCCGACTGCGAGAAGAGCTTCAATCAGCGCTCGCACCTGACCTCCCACCGCGGCACCCACACCGGAGAGAAGCCCTTCAAGTGCTTTGCCTGCGGGAAGAGCTTCAGCTACAACTCGGGCCTGGTGATCCACCAGCGCATCCACACGGGGGAGAAGCCGTACCAGTGCCCCGGGTGCGAGAAGAGCTTCAGCCAGAAATCCCACCTGCTGTCGCACCAGAGGACCCACGTCGGGGAGAAGTCCTTCAAGTGCCTGGACTGTGGGAAGAGCTTCAGCTACAACTCGGGCCTGGTCATCCACCAGCGCATCCACACCGGGGAGAAGCCGTACAAATGCTCGGACTGCGGGAAGAGCTTCAACCAGCGCTCCCACCTCGTGTCGCACCGAGGCGTCCACACGGGGCACAAGCCCTACTCGTGCCGGGATTGCGGGAAGAGCTTCAGCTTCAACTCGGGCCTTGTCATACACCAGCGGCTGCACACGGGGGAGAAGCCTTATGAGTGCTCCGACTGCGGGAAGAGTTTCAATCAGAAATCGCACCTTATTTCACACCAGAGAGTCCACGCCGGGCAAAAGCTCTGACTAGCTGGCGGCAGATACCATATGTTTCCGTGCATAACACAACACGCCCCCTATTTTGGGGGACTACATTTTAAGAAAATGGGGGGAGATGGCCCAGAGTTGTTGAGCTTTTTTTGGGGGGGGGGATGCAGAAAATCACTCCCCCGACTCAAAAATGCTGAGAATCGCACGCGTCACCAAAGCTAACAAGCGTCTGCCCGCCCGCCACCAGCAGCCAGCAATCGCCCGCCCAATTGGCACAGCAGAAGCCAATCTGAAACACCCCTTGCCGCAGCCACCAATCACCCACCCAACTGACGCAGCAACAGCCAATCCGAAGCAGCCCTTGCCGCAGACACGAATCACCCACCCAATCACCGGTGGCAAGCTGCTGCTCGCAGTTGAAACACATTGTTCGTCCCTCCTCTGCACTATCTGTGTATAAGACAAACTCCATTTTTTAACATTCTTTTTGAGTAAAAACTCTTGTCTTATACACGGAAAAGTACGGTATGCCTGCTATTTAGCTATGGTTCCTGCATTGCAGGGGGTTGGACCAGATAGCGTTTCCAGCTCTTGACAGGACTATAATTTCACCTCTAGAAAGGGTCTAGAACAGGGTTCCTCAAATTTGTGTGTCTAGCAGTTTTTGGACTACAGTTCCCATCGTCCCTGACCCCTGGTCCTGCTAGCTGGGGATGATGGGAGTTGTAGTCCCAAAACAGCTGGAGACCCCCTGATCTAGAACACTGGTCTCTAAGCGGTAGCTTGCAGGTAATGACGCACCGCCAGTATTCCTCAAAGTGTGTGCCGCGTGGCAGTGGCATGGTTGTATTAGAATTTTGAAGGTGAATTTATACAGGTGTGTATAAACTGCACATTCGATGACAGCTGCCTTTCTTTTTGCTACAGATCAACAGCACTGCACTGAGAAGGAGGACTGAAGGGAGAGAGAGAAAAATCTAGGCATTCAACAAGAAGATAGTTACTGCTGAAACCCAGTATTAAAAATCCAACATTAATCTCTCTCCCTCCTCCACTTTTCTGAGGTGAAAAAACCCTTAGACTTAAAGCTAAAGGATTTATTGATCAACTGCTATAGGAAAGTATTTAAAACTACCTGTTAAACATTTTATATTGGCCTGTCAGGGTATGCTTCTTAGCTGGTTTGGAATCTCTAGCCTGTTTCAGAAAGTTGCATCAGTGTAGGGAGGAGAGTGAATCTTCCTTGCTGGCTCTGTTTGCCATGCCTGAAAAAGGGATCCTAGCTGTGTACAGCTGTGTGTGAGTAGATCACCTTTTCAGATGTTACACTGAATGCAGGGCTGATGAGCCAGCAAAGGGTGCAGCGCACAAGGCACATTCCTTCTCTCTCTTTACCTGTTCAGCCTGCAAGTGGAGGCAACTTTGGGAAGAGGGCTTCTTAAGTGAAAAAAATATAGCCAGATGTGATGTTGGATCCTCCAGATTGGATTATTGCAATGTACTCAGCATGGGGCTGCCTCATGGGGCTGGCCACAGCAGCCAAGCTTGTGACTTGGGGCCCTGTTTCTTTAGAGCAGCCTTTCTCAACCTGTGGCTCCCCAGATGTTGTTGAACTACAACTCCCATCACCCCTAGCTAGCAGGGCCAGAGCTCAGGGATGATGGGAGTTGTAGTCCAACAACATCTGGGGACCCACAGGTTGAGAACCACTGCTTTAGAGCATATAACTACAGTCCGCAACGCAAAAAAATGCAACCTGAAGCGGACGCAAGATGAAGTATGGCTGTACATATTTCAGTTACCGGTTTGTTTGTGAGCAAAACTCAAAAGTGTTGGTTATTCTACAAATGCCATTAAAAATCGTTTGGGACCAGAAAATCTGAATGGCCATCTGCCACCTGAGCCCACCCACCCACTGCAGTTGCCCTCAGATGCTCTGCTTCTTGTCCCAACTCTGACTGGCTGGCCCATGAGGCAAGGACTTTTCGGTTCTGGCACCTAGTTTGTGGAACTCCTCGCCAAAAAGGCCCTGTTGGTCCCCCTCCTTCTTAGTCTCTTGACATTTTTACAAAAGGAAAACATTTTGTTCCACTGTGCCTTTTAATACCAGGCTTTTGTTTTTGTATAGGTGTTTTGTTTTGTTTTTAATTTGCAGATTGTAGTTTGTGTTAACTGATGCTGTGAACTGCCCCGATGCCCATGTGAAGAACCGAAAGCTGGGGGAACTAACTATTTTAATAAATAAAACAGTATTTATCAATATTTTGTTATAAGAGACTGTTACAACTTAACTGGGGGGAAACCCAACATCTATATACAGCATGTTGCTGTATATACATTTACTAGTGCATATTACAGTACTGTAGTCTCTCAAGTCTGTTCGTTATAATATATAAACTCTATTCGGAAGTTTCCCTTGCACTTTGGGCAAACTTGGGAGGTGGGAGCAGGGCTGTGCTGATGAGCCCCACCCGGGCAAAGAAGTGCAAGCAGGCAGCCTTTGCCTGCATGAACAAAGGGGGCTACACTATCGGGAATCCTAGATGTGCAGGATTCCTGATTGCATGGAAGCCTGTGTGTATGTTTGTGAAGGCTGCCTCCCTGCATGTTTGCACTGTCCCTCCAGATGCCAGCAACTTACCAACTTACTAAGGGAGGCCAGGGCTGGCTGATGGTTCCCCTCTCTCTTTCTCGCGTTTGTCCAACTTCTGAATAGGGCTATGAACATTTCTGTATCTGAAGTATAGACACTGCCTGTAATCACCCCGCCTGCTTGCAATAAATGGAGTGTGTGCAATGACCAATCGCCTTATTTTGTATTCTATTTTCACAATAGATATTAGTTGCATCCTCAGATTTTTTTTACTCCCCCTGCCCCCCACCACTTCTGCCTCCAGGCAAAACTTCATGAAGGCAGCATCACATGGATGTGTGAAGGAACCATCAAAGATCCAACAGCACAAGCGGAATTTTGGAGATTGCTTCCCGTTGCCTCATATGTTAGACTTTTCCAGCAGAGCAGATCATAAAAAGAGCCTTGTTGATACAGGACAAAGGCCTGTCTGATCTACATACACAGCGTTGTTATTTTGTCATTGAAAGTTAAGAGCGTTGCCACTAGCGATATATTGCAGTTTCTACAGCCTACATATAGCAGGGGTATTTAAAAAGAGTCTCATAGTGATCCCATTGCTAAAAGTGGATGCCAGTAAATGTGTCCTCTTTTTAGCTCTTCAAAATATGGTAACCCTATCTGCCAGAGCCTTCTTGTTTGTTTGTTTGAAATTTATTTGGTTTTTCCAATTAAAATTTTACAGTCACATGTCCAACTTGCAACATAAAAACAAGATTCCAATGAATCTCTCTGACTTCCCTCCTCCCCTTTGTGGGTCCTATTGTTCATCATTACCTCCTGCACCTTTTATGATAATCCAAACTCTTTTAGCTCTCCATTGTGTCAAAAATTCACCATTAAACTGGGAGTGATATTCCAATCCTACTAAAGACTTCAACTGTTAACAATGGTTTTTAAGATAAGTTATAAATTCTCCCCATTCCTTATTAAAATTTTGGTCTTTCTGATCTCCGATTCTTTTGGCCATTTCGGCATAATTCATCGACTTGATCTTCCATTCTTCTCTGGTAGGGACTTCATTCCATCTCTGGGCCAATAACATCTGCGCCACAGCTGTCAACCTTCCCTTTTTTGCGGGAAATTCCCTTATTCCAGCGCCGTTTCCCACTGCTTCCCGCCGCTATCCCGGATTGTTAGATATCCCGTAGACTGTCCCCGGGACAGGTGAGGCTGCTGATCCCTTATTTTCGAGGCTGCTGATCCCTTATTTTCCACCTGAAAGTTGACAGATATTATCTGCCCAGCCGTGGTCGCATGTATAAATAGTCTTATCTGCTCCCTTTGAGATTTCGGCACCTAGAATTCCTGACCCTTCTTGTTACTTAGAAAGGAAAATGTCTCGGAGCTTTCCTGGTGGCGCCACCAGAGGGAGCTCAGGAGCCGGGGAAAAGGAGCGGCGGAAGTGGCTGCCCCGCTTTCTCCTTTCGTCGTCTTCGCCAGCACTGAGCTTCCGGGGTCAAGCGCGGTGGCATGATGCGGGGTTTCCCCGGGTGCCTCCCCCGCCTGGGATGACGCTGCCTTGGTTCTTGTTCCTCCTGCGCATGCTCAGAGGAGCAAGCGGCTCCCGCTGGACCCAGAAGGATGGAGATGGCGTCCTTAACTCCCGGAGGAGTGGGAGCAACTGCAGCCGGCTTGAAAGTGAGCGAACTCCCCCAAAGAGTTCAGGAAAGTCCGTCTCCCACGTGGTTGTTCAGCAGAGCATGTGCGGATGCGGATATATGAACCATGCAAACAGGCGGCAGGCAGAAAACCAACAGGCGAAGCTTTCCCACCACCTCTTCTTCCTCCTTTCTTCCCTCTCTTTCCCACTCGTTCCTCCAGCTTATTTTTTCGAAGTGGGCGTTGACCCACTTTCCCTTAAAAAACGGCTTCTGCGGCTTTCCACAGCTGCACAACGCTTATGGAAACTTGGTGGCCTTCTGCTCTATTTCCATGCAGGAAAGCCGCTGCACCTGCTGAATGCCTGCCTGCCAAGCAGCTGTTAATGGCACAGGAGTGAGTGGGCAGTCGGGCATGGATTAGATCTTTCGGAGCATTGTTGGAAGAGGAGCTGTGTTCTCCCTTTTTTTGTGTACATATGTTAAATTTTACAATTTAAAGTACTCATATTTACATCCTTAAGATATCAATGACTTTCCTTCTTCTCTTTCCATGGTTCATTTTACATATCATAAATCCCTGCATGTTTTACAGAAACTATACCATTCAGTATTCCATTATGACATCCATCATAACTTATTTACACTGTTGAATTTAAATTAACATTCTGGTTGCATTCAAGCCAAGGGCCCATCTTGCCCAGCATCTGGTTCTCACAGTGGCCTTTTGGGAAACTCTCAAGCAGGTTCTTGGTGCAACAGTCATAGAATTGTAGAGTTGGAAGGGATGAGGCCCTTAGGGACTGCCCCCGTCACAGCCTCTGGCAGAGAGCCGGTGGAGCCATCCGGAACTCCATTTGAGAGTTGCTTTCTCTTTGCCGCAGGTGATGTTTGAGGATGTGGCTGTATATTTCTCCCTGGCCGAGTGGGCGGAGCTAGCCAAATGGCAGAAGGACCTCTACCGGGCTGTGATGGTGGACAACTATGAAGCGGTCACATCTCTGGGTAAGGATCTCCCTTGCTTGGGTGTGTGTGTGTGTGTCCTGTGGTGTTCCAGAGAGTCTGGAAGCAGCAGAGAAATAATGCTGGTGCCAAGGTTTGCAGAGGGGAGAGCACCTCTTTGTTGAACTGACCTTGGAGGCAAACGTAAGGTTTTGCAATCTGCAAATTGTAGTACAGGCACCAGTCTGAAACGTTTTGTTTGAACCAGCATTTCCTCAACTTGGTGCCCACATAAGAGCATCAGAAAAGCTTGTGCCGCCAGTTAAGGCCAAAGATGTTGTCACCAGATGCCCCGATGGGACGCCTGCAAGCAGTGCAACAGCAGCAACTCTCCCCATTTGCAATTTTATTTATTTGCATTTATTTCCCTTCTTTTTCTCCAAGGAGCTCAAGGTGGCCCTGTGGTTCTCCACCCCCACCCCCTTTAATCCCCACAACACCACTGCGAGGCAGGCTAGGCTGAGAGGCAGCCGCTGCCTCTAGGTCACGCAGTGAGCCCCCTGGCCGAGTGGGAACCCAAACCTCAGTCTCCCAGGTCCTAGTCCAGCACTCTAACCACTCGTGCACCACACTGGTTCTCAATTCCCTGCAACCCATATTCAAAAGCACTGCTGCTTCCAAGTGTGGAGGAGGAACATAGCCATCATAGCCAAGAGCCGTAAGCACTCCAATCTGGGGGCAACCCAATTCATGCACCTTGCGAGCCCTTCTTGAATCCCAGGAAAATGCAGCTGGTGTGTTTGTGGTTTGCTGTTGCTGCTCCCTTAACCCAGCCACGAAAGGGAAACGGAAACATGCATCTCTGGCTATCGGCTTCCTGGCTGGATGTGTGAGTGAGCAGCAGTGCCTCCCCTCTTCCCTCCAGCAGCACGCCCCCCAGAATCAGCCTAGCCTGCATGCTTGGCTTAGTCTGAGTTCTTACAAACGTGTAACGGGTATTACTACTACTTCTTGTTTATTTATTTTATGAATCTCTTTCCACGTGCATCTTTATTTTATTTTATGAATCTCTTTCCACGTTTAGCCTGGAGAAGAGGAGGTTAAGGGGTGATATGATAGCCATGTTCAAATATATAAAAGGATGTCACATAGAGGAGGGAGAAAGGTTGTTTTCTGCTGCTCCAGAGAAGCGGACACGGAGCAATGGATCCAAACTACAAGAAAGAAGATTCCACCTAAACATTAGGAAGAACTTCCTGACAGTAAGAGCTGTTTGACAGTGGAATTTGCTGCCAAGGAGTGTGGTGGAGTCTCCTTCTTTGGAGGTCTTTAAGCAGAGGCTTGTCAGGAATGCTCTGATGGTGTTTCCTGCTTGGCAGGGGGTTGGACTCGATGGCCCTTGTGGTCTCTTCCAACTCTATGATTCTATGATCTCAAGGCAGCTTACAAATAAGTAATAGAAACCAGCTAGAAATTGTTTTCAAAATTATACAACCCCCTCCTTAAAGTAGAGACTTTGTGTCACTAGAGCTGGAAAAGCAGAGGGTGGGAGTCTTCAGATGTTTCAGGAAAGTGCAGCTAGGAGGTGCCTTGTCAACATCTCAAGGGGGATGCTGTTCCATAGACCAGGGGCAGCCACGGCAAAGGCCCTGCTCTGAGGTTTTTGTGGCACGTGTTTCTGTAGCGGCTTGGAAGAGACACTCTTCTGCAGAACACAGTGACCTGCTGGGTGTTATAAGGGACAGGAACAATTTTCTGCCATCGCGCTTGGACGACGTATTTGTAAGGGAGGTGCGGTATCCTAGTGTGGTACAGTGGCTAGAGTGTTGGTCTGAGATTCCCCACTCAGTCACGAAGCCCCCTGGGTGACCTTAGGGCCACTGTGAGGATGGAATGGGGAGGAGGGGACCCTGGCACGCCACCCTCAGCTGGTACATAAATGTAAGAAACGAGTAATGAGCAAAGTTGCTGTCCTCTGCTCCCTCAACAGGGCACCTGTCCATCAAACCGGAGCTCATCTGCAAAATAGAGCGCAAAGAGGAGCCGTGGATGGAGGAATCCCTGGAGCCCCTCAAATGGAAGAGACCTTGGTTGGGTGAGTTGATTTAAGGGGTGGTGGTTTTTGCCTTCCTCAGCCCTTCAAGGGTTCCCCGTTAACTGGTTCTTACCAGTGTTGTGATCAGGCCTCACTCTTGTGTATGTGATGCTGGCCTCGCCGGTAATGGATAACAGACATTCCACCTCTCTTGCTCTGACTGGCAACATCTTAGGACATGGACTAGGACTTGGGGGGGCCCAGGTTCAGATCCCCCCTCCCCATTCACTGATGAAATCTACTGGGCAGATTTGAGGCAATTGAGTTCTCTCACCCCCACCTACCTCGCAGGGTAGTTGTTGTGAGGGTAACATGGGAGGACGGGCCACATACGTAATCACAGAAACTAAGTAGTTTTATGCAGTAGGGTAATTCCAATCCATCCTTTAGGCCAGTAGTTCTCAAAGGCAGGAGAGGATGGCAAATGTGGTGGGAAGAGTCAAGGACAGTCAAAGAAACATTTACACATTTCAGTCTAGTCTAGTCCCAAAATATTTTGTTGTTGTTTGTAGAATATGGATCTCTTTTCAAAATGAGAGCCAAGAGCATCAAGCGATACTGCAAGCTCACACTTCTCATTGAGTTTGTATACATACTTAAGGTACATCTGTACAGTGGTGCCTCAGGTTACATACGCTTCAGGTTAGACTCCGCTAACCCAGAAATAGTACCTCAAGTTAAGAACTTTGCTTCAGGATGAGAACAGAAATTGTGCTACAGAAATCACATGGTGGCAGCAGGAGGCCTCATTAGCTTAAGTGGTGCTTCAGGTTAAGAACAGTTTCAGGTTAAGAACAGACCTCTGGAATGAATTAAGTACTTAACCTGAGGTACCACTGTACCTTATAGGCTCGTTTATAATCATATTTTGGCAATGATTTGTGTTTTTATGTAGCTGCATTGTTTTATACTTTCTGGACACCCCATGATCATATTGTTGAGTTGTGTTCTATGCTATAAATAAAGCACTGCTAGGAGCTTTTTCTTTTTGTTTGCCACTGCATCTCTTATCAATAATAAAAAAAAATCAGTGTTGTGCGAGCAAATGTTCATTTCCGAAAGCAGTGGTTCTCAAAAAAGTTTTGAGAACCGCTGCTTTAGCTGTCATGACTAATGGGTCATTGGCAGGCCACCCTCTGTGAATTTACCTTTTAAAAAAGCTAGTGGCTTTTTTTCTGGACGGCTACAGGTTCCCCAGCCCTGGGTTAGAGCAGTATCTTCTCTAAAGCTTTTAATTTTTCCCTGCAGTCCTCAGGCTGAGTAACAACATGAAGCAGAATTCTCATCAGGAAGTTTCCAGGATGATGACACTGCAGAATCCTGAGCCGGGAGAGACTTTGAAGAGCTGCTTGCCTCGTAGATCGGTGAGGCGAATAAATGTGGAGAGATTCACAGAGTACTGCCAAGGTTTTAAGACTTGGAAAGGACCCAGAGTCCATCAGGACCAAGGTGGAAGTAGGAACGCACACGCCGTCTGCGGGCAGAACAGCCGGAAGCATCTGAGACCCAAGGCAGACGAGAGCCAGGGCCTTTGGAAGTGCCCCGATTGCGGGAAAGGACTCTCCAATCAAAACGCATTCAAAAGGCACCAGAAATTCCACACGGGTGAGAAGCCCTACCAATGTCTAGAGTGTGGGAAAAGCTTCATGGAGAGCAGCCACCTCACTCAGCACCAGAAGATCCACACGGGTGAGAAACCCTACACGTGTTTGGACTGCGGGAAAAGCTTCACTCAGATCTCGCACTTCATTCACCACCGGAGGAGCCACACGGGAGAGAAGCCCTACGGCTGCCCCGAGTGCGGGAAAAGCTTCAACTTCAAGTCGGCTCTGATTCGCCACCACCGGATTCACACGGGAGAGAAGCCGTACGAGTGCCCCGCGTGCAGGAAAAGATTCAACGTCAGCTCCCACCTGGTAAGGCACCAGAGGAAGCACCTCAAAGAGGCAGCGCTCGAAGCCGTAGAGGGCTTCAGAGGAAACCCGGTCTTTCTCAGGCGCTGCGGAGCACCACGGCCGTACGACTGCATGAACTGCGAGAAAGGTTTTTTCCGGAGCGGAGACCTCGTGAGACACCAGAGGATCCACACGGGAGAGAGACCCTATCTGTGTAGCAAATGCGGGAAGGGCTTCAGCTACAAATCCAGCCGCCTGAGGCACGAGGCAGGACACATACGAGGAGTTGCCCTGAAGTGCTAGATTTCCCGAAGTCGAGAGGAGCTCTCCAGCTTTGGTGATGGGATTCCCAAGAATGCGGCGTGCAGAGACTTTCCTGCATACAAGCAAAGCAGCAAAGGAATTCTGCAATGTCAACATTCTGCAATCAGAATGAATTCCGCAACCAAAAAACGGACAGTCTTTTTCCGAAGTGCACTTAATTTGCACACCTTGTTCTTTCTGCACATGTTTGTTACTGAGAATTTTTGTAGAGAATTTGCCTCTACAGTGGTACCTCGGGTTACATACGCTTCAGGTTACATACGCTTCAGGTTACAGACTCCGCTAACCCAGAAATAGTGCTTCAGGTTAAGAATTTTGCTTCAGGATAAGAACAGAAATCATGCTCCAGTGGCGCGGCAGTAGCAGGAGGCCCCATTAGCTAAAGTGGTGCTTCAGGTTAAGAACAGTTTCAGGTTAAGTACGGACCTCCGGAATGAATTATGTACTTAACCCGAGGCACCACTGTATATCAAACTCCTTGTTTTGTTTTGCATTGTTTTGGTATGTTACAAATTAAGCTTTGGGAATGTACACAGGGTTGGAAAGGAGACTGCGATTCTTGTAACAGATATGAAGAACCCTGCCCTGCCTCCACCCAATCCCAGCTGCAAATAAAAAGAGGTGCAGTTAAGACTGCCTGCTGTTGACTTGGAAATGGCACACATTTCTTGGAAGGTCACAAAGATTCTGTGATACTGAAGTGTCCCTTGAACCAGGCAAAGCTATACAGGCAGAGGGCCTTCTCAGTAGTGGCGCCTGCCCTGTGGAACGCCCTCCCATCAGATGGCAAGGAAATAAACAACTATCTTGACTTTTAGAAGACATCTGAAGGCAGCCCTGTTTAGGGAAGTTTTTAATGTCTGATGTTTTACCTTGTTTTTAATACTCTGTTGAAACCCAGCCAGGTGGGCAGGGCATGAATAAATTATTATTATTATTATTATTATTATTATTATTATTATTATACAGTCCCCAGCAGCTCTCCCTCCCCTTCTGTATGTTATAACAACACCTTGAACTTTGTAGCGATCCAGTTGTGAACCCAACTAGAAACTTGGGGTGTAGAAAGTTCAGCTAAAGCAGGATCCTGAAGCAGAGATTTTCAGATTCTCTCCCTCTCTTTAATGTGAGAGCGATTCCTGCCCAACTCCGCTCAGGAGTCAAGACAACAGAGATGGTCAGTTCAGTTGGCCTTGTTTGTCCTTACCCCAAGCTTGGGGCGCAGGGGTTACAGTCCAAAACAACTAGAAGGCACCAGATTGGATAAATTTGCAGTAATTGGTAAGCAAACTACGTAAGCCTGCAAGAGACGATGCGGGGAAATAAAAACCCTCTCCTGTCGGAGCTCAGATTTGTAAATAAAATCTGAAACACAGCAGACACAGACAACCATTGGGACTAAGTGCGCATGGTTGGCTACAGGGGAGGAAGCAGGATCCTTGCCACTCTTAACTGTTGCCTTTTTGAAGCGCACTATGGGGACGCGGGTGGCGCTGTGGGTTAAACCAGAGCCTAGGACTTGCCGATCAGAAGGTCAGCGGTTCGAATCCCCGCGACGGGGTGAGCTCCCGTTGCTCGGTCCCAGCTCCTGCCCACCTAGCAGTTCGAAAGCACGTCAAAGTACAAGTAGATAAATAGGTACCACTCCGGCGGGAAGGTATACGGCGTTTCCGTGCGCTGCTCTGAAGCAGCTGTCATGCTGGCCACATGACCCGGAAGCTGTACGCCGGCTCCCTCGGCCAATAAAGCGAGATGAGCGCCGCAACCCAGAGTCGGCCACGACTGGACCTAATGGTCAGGGGTCCCTTTACCTTTACCTTACGTAAGCGCTTAGGGAGGAGCAGACCAACAGCAACATTGCAGAACATAACCTTGTCATTGCAGCAGCGTGATGGGGGCATTACAGGTAGGGACAGCTGCCCCTGTGCTTTGGAATGAGAAGGAATGCTCTTCTCTCTGCCTTGTTCCACCCCGTTACAGCTTTCAGGTGTACTCAGATGGGAACCACAGTGAGAAACTTAACTGCCGTGCAAAGACCAGAATCCTGCCTCTGCCTTTATCACTACCCTAGGGAGTCTCCAAGCGGCTAACATTCTCCTTTCCCTTCCTCCCCCACAACAAACACTCTGTGAGGTGAGTGGGGCTGAGAGACTTCAGAGAAGTGTGACTGGCCCAAGGTCACCCAGCAGCTGCATGTGGAGGAGCGGGGAATCGAACCCGGTTCACCAGATTACGAGACTACCGCTCTTAACCACTACACCACACTGGCTCTGGAGAACAAATGTTTAAAATATTCCTGTTTTTGAGCAGGACAGAGGGAACGTGTTTTTTGGGGGTGACTGCTGATTTTATGCCAGAAGTGTTCAGCTCTTGTGATCCAGCCCAATGCCAAAATGGAGAAAAGAGAGAGATGGGGGCGTCCCACTCACATTTGGCTGTAGCCCTACCTGCCACCCACATGTGGTCCCCTGCAGCCCTTGGCATGGAAAAAAAGATCCCCACTCCTGGACTAAAGCCACAGTTCTCACTTTGGGTGAGAAATGTCCTGGGTTCAATCCTCAGACAAGTGCATGCATTGTAAATACAGAGACTCCATGCAGATAGTCAATTGAATGCGTTGTGATTTAAATTCACAATGGGTATGTTGTGGGAATTCGGGTAAGGAAGTCAATTTCATCTATGAACTTAATGCACACATATTTAGGAGTAATTCTCTGGATTATTTTTTTTAAAAAACAAGACCCTATACAGTAATTTTCAAATTCTCTGTTTCTTTTTACCTGTGGGCTAAGCCAGGGGTCAGTAACGTGCGGCCCACGAAGACCGTTTTACCGCCCCCAAACCGAGCTACCTCCTCAGTGAGTCCCCTGCGCGCTGCGCTAAACCAGCGCAGCGTGGCGACTCGCTGAGCAGCACTGGAAATGGCGTCTGTGCATACGCAGATACCAGAAATTGCATCTGCGCATGTCCAGACACCGAAAATCGCTTTTGTGCAGGTGAGATTTTCGGCGTCTGGGCATGTGCAGAAGCGATTTCCGGTGCTGCGGACATGCGCAGACATGATTTCTGGTATCGCACTGCGCCAATCCGGCCCACGGACAATCTCCGTGGGAGTGATCTGGCCCATGGCCAGTAAACCTTGCCAACCCCTGGGCTAAGCCCATTGAAATTACTGTACAAGAATGCCATTCAAAACATGTAGCTCTTCAACAGCTGTAAAGTTAATACTGCTTGGCACATGTTGCAGCAGAGGGCCAATCATTGGGAGTTTGCCTTTCTAGAGCAAATTTGTGGGCGGTGAGTATTCTGCGTGCACATGCGCGAAAGGATATATAATCCAAATGCGCACACCGTAAGAAATTCACATTCTACCATCCGAATCCAGTTCATACAGTTTAAGTAGATTTGATTGATTGATTGATTGATTGGTTGATTGATTATTTATTTATTTAAAATGGGTAGGAAATGAATTGGGGGTGAATCAGAAGGCATATATAAATGGAGGGGAAGAGTTAAGTGGAACTGGAAAACCACAGAGGAGGAGCAGGGGGAAATCATCAAGGCCAAGGCACCCTCCAAAGCATTAAAACCATGCCCCCTTAATGAAGGAGAATTCTAGCAAGCCCTCATAAACTAGGCAACCACCATTAGAGCCAGACACCGGGGTTGCTGTTTTTTAAAGATGATTTTAAAGCTGAAATTCTTGCACTGCCGACTTCTTGTACCAAATGCTGCATGTGCGACTGATCCCACAGATGTGAAACATTTCCCACACCCTTGGAAATAACGCCCTGAAACAGACCGTGAAAGTGGACTGCCTGCCACTTGCTTTTAAACACTTCCTCCCTCTGCACCCCATGCTTTTATCCACCCCACTTGGGAGACCGAATGCACACAGCTTTGCCTAAAATAAAAAAAGTAAGAATCAACAATCCTGGGCCAAGAAAAGTGGCATTCCTTTGCCTTTATAAATCAAGCAAACATACCCAGAATCATAGAATTCTAGAGTTGGAAAGGGACCACAAGGCTCTTTTGCCGAACTTGAGTCTCATGGCTGAGCTATCCCTGCAGGAATATATAATTGATTATTATGCACCACTGATTCTGTTTCAGCTAGTCGCAGAGAGGAGCAAAAATCTATGCTGACTGCCTCCCAAGCTCACCTGTAAGGAGTGCTGCTCATCATCCCCCCTGTGGCATCTTGAGATTTCTCGAGGCATGAATACCGTGCACTGCCAAGTCCATCTCCATAGCATTAAGGGATGGATAGAAATCTTAGGGCACCATCCACCCATTACTTCCAAATCCTTCATGGGCTTCAATTTCAAGTTAATAATATGTGCAATAATTGGGACTTTATTGTGGCAGGAGTGCAAAGGGAATACAGTGGTACCTTGGTTCTCAAATGCCTTGGTACTCAAACAACCTAGAACCCAAACACTGCAAACCAGGAAGTAAGTGTTCTGGTTTGCGAACTTTTTTCAGAAGCCGAACATACTCCGTTTTGAGTGCCACGCTTCCGCTTTGAGTGCCACACTTCTGTTTCGAGTGTTACGCTGAGGTCTGTCTGTTTTTGCTATTTATTTTGCGTTTTTGTTTTCACGGCTCTTTTTTGTTTTGTTTTTGTGACTGTGTGGAACCCAGTTCAGCTACTGATTGATTGTGTGACCGCAGTACATTGTTTATTGCTTTCATTTTATGGATCAGCGGTCTCGTTAGATAGTAAAATTCATGTTAATTTGCTGTTCTAGGGGTTGTTTTTAAAAGTCTGGAACGGATTAATCCGTCTTGCATTACTCTCTATGGGAAAGCGCGCCTTGGTTTTGGAACGCTTTGGTTTTTCAACAGACTTCCGGAACGGATTAAGTTTGGGAACCAAGGTACTACTGTAAATGCGCTTTTAAGGACATCACCTGTAGCTCTCCAGATGTTGCCGAACTACACCTCATTGTCTCTGACCGCTGGTTATGCTTGCTGGGGCTGATGAGATTTGGGAGTCCGACAACATCTGGGCAGCCACAGGAAAGCTACCCCTGCTCTGGCAGCTTCAGGGTGCAATGGCACAACTCTGCTTTCAGACCACCCCATTTCTCACAGCTGTACAGTATCGCACCAACCCACACATTCAAACATCATTAGTCTGAGGAAAGCCACAGTTCACATGTGGGGCGGATGGGGGGAGAGAGATAGACCCTGCCCCTATAAAAGGAATACTGCAACAGTGTCTTTTGCCTCTGGGAAGCATACAATCAAGGCTGGAAGGCAAGAGTTCTTCCCTCTTGGTCCATGCCCATCTCTTGGTAAAGGAACAAGCGACAAATAACACAGACACATAAAGGTCCAGCTTGGGGATACCTCAATGTATTTTGCATTCCAGTGATTTGCTCTTGGTACAGAACCAAGAGAGATCCCCATAGATACCACAAGGCCCTTGGCCTTTAACTCGGCTTTAGGAAAAGTGAAGATTTGGAGCATCAAGTTAACACTTTTTCTAGGATTTTTTAAAAAAAACAAAAACAAAACCCACACCGAATTACATGATTTCTCTAACTTGTGGACAGATGCGAGTAGTGGAAGGGAGGCAAAATCTGGCTGAGCTTGTTGCTAGCAAGCTAGAGGAAACATCCCAAAGTACATTTCAGAGAGCAATTCAAAGTGTTGGTGCCGATCTTTAAAGGAGCGTCTCCAGCCCCATCGCTCAGCCTGGACACTGAGGTCCAGCTCCGAGCGCCTTCTGGCGGTTCCCTCATTGCAAGAAGCGAGGTTCCAGTGAACCAGGCAGAGGGCCTTCTTGGTAGTGGCGCCTGCCCCGTGGAACACCCTCCCATCAGATGTCAAGGAAATACACTCACTATCTGTCTTGTAGAAGACATCTGAAGGCAGCCCTATTTAGGGAAGTTTTTTATGTTTGATGTTTTACCGTGTTTTTAATATTCTGTTGGGAGCAGCCCAGAGTGGCTGGGGAAACCCAGACAGACGGGTGGGGCATAAATAATAAATTATTAGAATAAACCGACTTGTTTTTAGTGTTTAGACCTTCCTGACGGAGCCATTCTCTCACCCGTGTGTGAGGAGGCCTGAGCTGGGTGCTCCAGCTCAGCTGTGTATGGTTTTAACCAGCCTCTTTTGTTTCAGACAAGGATGGAGTCTGAAACTAGTGTTTTTTAATATAGAAATTACTTAGGAACTTTTTGCCATTTTGTAACCAAGCAACACTGCCGTTGCAACTTTTTTTAATTGCTGTATGGAAAAGCACATGAATCTGACCTTTGAAGAATTTTGTAAGTAAACCAGTTTATAATTTACTAAATGTATGGTGGATCTTTGTGCTAGGGAAGTGAGATACTTTGGAGAGGACTATTAAGAAGGGACATTTTGGAATTCATTTGAAAGGGCTTTTCTTTGCTGCGTGTTTTGACATGTTAAATCTCTGCTGAGGCTCTCCCACTGGAGAGTACTTGCCCCAAAAGTGGGTCTTGGCTTCCAGGGTTCCAACAGTTTCCCCCTCCTTACTACCCCCTCCTTTCTGCCCAGCACGGTAACTATATATACTAATGCCCACCCCTCACAAAAGGGGGGATAATTATTTGCTACCCTCCAATTCCAAGAGGTTACTCCCTCCACTTTGCTGTGCCTGGCGAGGCTGCCGTTGTATACTGCTTGTCGAACGCAGGACCTCCGCGACGGACACCACGGCGTCAACCATGGGGTGGAGGATATCCCTTGTGCGCCGAAGCTCCGCCTCAATCATGTTGAGCTCCTTAATCCTAATCTCCCTCTCCAGATGGCTGTCCCTGGCCCTCGCCTCTCGATCCAGCTGGGCCTCCCTTGCCCTGGCCTCGCGGTCTAGCTGGGCCTCGCGTGTCCGGGCCTCCCTGTCCAGAAGCATCTCCCTCAGCATCGCCTCACGGAACTCCCCGGCGCTGATCTCGCCCCTCTCGTGAAGCGCCTCCATAGTCTCCCAGGTCCGCCGGTAGTCGGTCATGATCTCGTGCATCATTTCTTCGTGGGACCGCCTCTTCCTCTCCCGCATGGACGCCATCCTCTCTGCTGTCGTCAGGGGGCGCCCCAGGGAGTTGTCTCGCCTGCCTCTTCCTGAAGGGAGAGGGGAAGCAAATTATGATCTCCGATGAGCTCTGTCAACTGCAAAGGTTTTTTTTAACCAATCGCTCAGCCCCGGCTGGCACAGCTGCAAAGGACAGAGAATAGCAGGTGGCCGAGACTCCAGATTCCCTCTTTCCCTTTGGGTTAATCAGGGGAGCAGGGATTTACAGAAGCCTGAAGCTTTGCAAAGGTAGAGCACGCTAGCACTGGGGGTGGGTGCAGGGGTTATAAGATGACTGGCAGGTGGTTTGGCCTGCAGGTTGGGCAGAAAAACTGGCCCGCTGGGCCAAAACACATCCCCCACCCCTGTGTTATCGAGGGCCTCACTAGAGCCAAAGAGACCTGGGTTCAAGTTCTCCTCAGTCACAAAGCTCGCTGGGTGGCCTTGGGCAAGTCACTGCCTCTCATCCTAAGCTGCATCCATCACATGCCTGTTCTAAGGATGACATGGTGTGTAGGAGAGAGCCATGTACTGAACTACTTGGAGGAAGAATGGGATAAACATTCAATAAAGAGCAAGTTTCTTGTGCTGATCTTTAACATTGTCAGGAGGAGGCCCCATTCCATTCCCTTGTTCCTGGATGCCAGGGCCCAGACTGACAATGTCCCACAGAGCAGTATGAACCACATATGCGCTTTTATATGGGATATAAAAATACGAAAATAATAAAACGAATAACCCTAGTTGTATGCTGCCATGTGCCACTGGTGGGTGTGCATTATGTGGCAACACGAGAAAAGGCTGTCTTTGTAGTGGTACACCTGGTGCTGAAACACTGTTTGCCCAGGCATTTTCAGTGATTCAGGGCTGTGCTAGGGAGCCTGCTCTATGGTTTGCGCTTCCAATTTACAGCTGTTTCGAATGTGATCTTATGGAATCTGCATCTCGTACCCTGTCCTGGGATCCACCGAGGTGAAGGGAAGGTTGCAAATGCTCTCAATAAAATCATATCTAAGCCACAAGGGCAATTTTGTTTGGAAGGGTTTATAATGCAACCAAGCGTCATAATACATCTGCTGCCAATAATCACTGTCATTGGTAGCATAGCTGATATCATATCACCTGTGGAATCAAGCCCACTGAGCTTCTCCCTTTCTGAGAGCCTTTCCCCACCCTCTCAGCCAGCCAAACCCGCCCCACAGACACTTTCCCTCCCGCCTCCATTTTCTGTCCTTCCTATACCCCTTGCTTCCTTTTTCCTGCCTGCTTGCCAGCTTATCCCACCATCCAATCAATTTGCCAGGGTGGAGCTGCCCTTGCCCGGAATGAATGCCGATTGGCTGCAGGGATGAAAATCTAAGCAACCTCCTCCCAGGCTCTTTCAGAGCTTCCCAGGCCCCCTCCCTCTCACATTCTGACCAAAATTGGCCAGACCTAGACACACAGCACCATATGGCATTCCCGGCTAACCGGGACGGTTTGCATAGCATCCAACCTTACGCAGGCTCCGCTTCCGAGACTAAATTTCACGTCAGTTCCTCTCTGGCGAGGCACATCTAATTCGGATCTCTAAACAGGGGGAATTCAGGTCATGCCACCCTACCCCACAAGAGCCCAGAATTGTTCTTGTCGGTTCCCACAGCTGGTTGACACCTCGCCGGCCAAACAGCCGAGAGCACCCACAGAAAGGCCACCGCAGCAACACAACATTTGCTCACCAGCCACAGAATGGTGCCCATCTTCGCTGGGGCCAGCCACCGGTTGCCCGTATAAAGGCAGAGATTTGTCACTGGGGCACTCCTCCCCTATTTTGGTTTCAATCACATCCGGGTCGCCGGCCACCAGCTCTCGCGAGACCCCGAGGTTCGGTTCCGTTTCGGTGTCCGTGTCGGCGTCCATGCTCGAGAGCGTGTTTGGCGGCGTCATCTGGTTGCCCTCCTCTTCGGAGACCTGCGCCTCCATGTCTTCCGCCTCTTCCGTCTTCACCACCACCCGGGCAGACCCGTCCATGCTGGGCAGGCTCCGGTTCGCCACGCCGTCCATTTCTCCGCCAAACATCCGGTCCAGCTCTCGGAAGTAGCGGCAGGAAACCGGCTCGGCGCCGGCGCACACCTGCGCGTCCTTGGCTCTCCGGTAGCTGCGCTTCAGGTCCCGGGCCCGGTTCCGACACTGCGAGGCGTTGCGCTCATGACCCCTGGCAATCATCTGGGCTGAGAGGTCCTCATAGATGTCACTGTTGGGGGGCCGGTTTTCGATCCACCTGAGAATCAGCAGCTCGCCCCAGAGGGCAAGGAAGTTCCGCGTCTCCATCTCTGACCAAACCGGGGCGCGGGGCTGCAAGCGCTGGCGCGGGGTGTGTGGCATGCCTGCTTTGGCCTAGCCAGCCCAGGATTATCAGCACTGGACTCCAGGCAGCTCCAGGTGCCCCCACTACCTGAGAAGTGCCAAACTTCCCTCAGGAGACCCAGCAAGCCACAGCTGGAGGGAAAGAGTCCACAGCTTGCATGGAACAGGAAGGCACCAGAAGAAAGCCAAGATGGAACCTTTTGCACCAGCGAGTGTTCACATGAACAGTTGTTAGTCAGTAGTAACGTCGTGGGCGGAGCTTTGGCCGGGACTTGCAAGGATCTCTTTCGGACACTTGGCATGGCCAATCCCGCCTCGAGGCGTCACGGCCCCCAACCCACCGAGTGGCTCCTTCCAGGGAGAGGTGGAAGCAGCTGCGCCAGCGAGCCAATAGGCCAAGCGGGGAGGCGGAGGCGGCTGCTGCTGCAAGCAATGGATCCACCCTGCCTTTGCAGACAGGAAAAGGAAGGATTCCCGGCCGCGGCGGCTTCCCGCACACCCCTTTGCTCGCCTCGTTCGGCTTTGTGCGCTGCAAGCGGTGGGAATCCATCCGAGCGCCTAGCGGAATCTGGGGAGGCTTCTCTCTGGAGCGCATTGTTCCTCTAAAGGAAAGCTACTGGGTCCTGCCCCCCCCCACTCTCTCCAAGCCCCTGGATCTCTTGCTTTTCTTTCTGTGGTCGGGAGCAAGCAAAGCCATGTCAGCGTAAACATATATTTCAAACAGCGCGAATGTTGACCTTGGAGAACTGCTTGCAGTTGCGCCGCTGTTCTCCCCCTGCTGGTTTCGTTAGAAATTTGCAGAGCTGCAAAAAAGGGACGGGTGCTTGCAAAACAGCAGCGGCAGCCGCCCCTGGATCAGTCCCTGAAAGAGCGTTCAGGAGAAGCTTGCAAACTTTTGCAGTTGGAAGGAATGCAGCAAATGGTCATGGAGGGCAGCGGGATTGAAGGGGCGGGGGCTGCTTGCACATGGCATTGTGGAATGCTACCATTAATGTGTGGGGAGGAGACGAGGAGTTGTGGGGGATGCCAGTGGGAAGCCGGATGCGTATGGCTGGTACTGCAAGAGCTTGCAAGAGATCCCGATCTCCGCCTCGTAGAGTCGCTGATGTTTGCCTTAAAGGTTTCTTACTCCGTTCCCCACGATTTTCAAACGCTTTGTTTTTGCCCTCCGGGGGGCGCCCAAGCCCATTTTGTTAAAGCTGCATTATATATCATATACTGCACAGTACAGCCAGATTGATAAAGGACTAGAATTTTCTCCTCCAATAGTTTAGACCTGGAATTAAAATTTAGGAACCAGCAAACCTCCCAGAACCACCTGCTAATAACATTCTTTTTTATAGAGACGCCTACCCAGAAATTTAGACTGTTGCTGTGTGTTTTAATTTGTTTTGGGTTTGTTGTTTTTATTTTTCTGGATGTTTTAAATTATTGTTAAATCTTTTTCCCTTTTCCGTGAATTGCCTCGAGGGTGGTGGTTGTTGTTGTTAGCAGTGCATATGTTTCTTTAACGAACAAATAAAAAATAAAATATCAGTGGTTTCCCCCCCCCCATTACTTTTTATTTTTATTTTTAAACCAGCCCAGATTCTTCCTCACCTGCTTGAATGCAACTGAACACCTTTCTCTAGCCTACCTCACAGGGATGTTGTGAGGAGGATGAAACAGGAAACGGGCGCGCTGATTGGCTGGTCGGCCGCTTGGGCTGGCGTCCCTACGCGCTCCGCGGGGTGAGGGCTCGGGCGGCGGCTTCGCTCGGCGGCTCTGAGCATGCTCGAAGGCAGCCGGGCATGCTCAGTTAACACCGAGGCATGGGCTCTCTGGACCTGCGTGCGTCCGCAGATGTCGATAGATACAAGTAGATAGGTAGATGGACACGCGAGCGGGCACCATGTGAGTAACGAGCGGCGGGACTGCGCGGGCCCCGGGCGGAGGAGGAGACGCCGCTTGGGCGCGCGAGGAGGGAGGAGCCCGGGCAGGTCTAGCGACCGCCGCTCCTGCCTCCGACGGGGGACGGCTCAGGCGGAGGGAGGTCGAGGCGCCCTCTGCTTCGCTGCCTCCCCTTCCAGCGCCGGGTGGGATGGGGATGCTTCCCCTCGGGGGAAGGGAAGCAGCCCCCACGGGCCTGGCTGCTATTAGTCCGTATTAAATTACACACAAAAACCCCACCTCTTTGTGGCTACTTTTGTCCTGCCTCATAATAACCCAACGACGTAAGTGCTGCTGCTGCAGCCTCTCGACTCCAGAGAGTAAAGCGATGGGTGGCTGGGTGGGTGGAATAATAACTAATAATAATAATAATAATAATAATCTCATTTATACCAGTACCGGATTTACGTATAAGCTAAACAAGCTATAGCTTAGGGGCCCCGTCTCTTGTGCCCCCCCAAAAAAAAATTAAAGGAGAAAAAAAAACCTGGATGTACATTTCCAAAATATAAGATAAGAAACAAAGAAAATAAAACCCACATACAGCAACAGTGGCAGATGGCTTTAGATACCTATTAGGTTCATAAATTACCATATAGCACATTTCCAAAGTATAAGATAAGAAACAAATAAAATAAAACCCACATATAGCATATATTCAATGCAAAAAACAGCGACAACAAAGGACAGCTGGACATATAAAGGGCCCCATTACCTTCAGTAGCTTAGGGCCTCACGAAACCTAAATCCAGCCCTGTTTATACCCCTCACATCTGGCTGGGTTTCCCAAGCCAGCCACTCTGGGCGGCTTCCAGCAAAATATAAAAACATGACAAAATGTCAGACCTTAAAAATGAAACAAAAAAGCTTTATTATTAGTATTAAGAGCCTGTAAGGTCTTTTTGAGGACTGCAGTCCGCTTCATCCGCTGCAGTGTTGGGTGGTTGTTTGTGTGTGTTGTTTGTGCACAAACAGGTAATGGGGTGGGGATAGTTAAACATTTCAAATGGGGAATTGTATGATGTGACAGTTGCATAATTAGGTGCTGCCAGTTTGCAACACCAGCAGTTGGTTTGCACCTTGGGAAATGAGGCTTGTTAAAGAGCAGACCTTTAGTTCTGTGAATAGCATGGTTGCATATAGATATTGCATTTATTTGAGCCAAGTAAGCCTCAAGCGGCTTGCTGGAGCCTGAACTTCAGAATGTGGTACTGGGTTTTTAAAATTATTATTTGTCAGGGGTTCAGGAGCAGAGGCACAGGAAAGGGAGGAAATAGAGAGCGAGGGGGAGGAGTCCGAAGGAAATGTTAGCGATGACAGCGGTCCGAGGTCTCTGAGTCTTTCCAGCGAATCGGAAGATTCACAGAAAGGGGCTCCCTTGGTCAGAGCAAGGGGGTGCCGAGGGGACACCCCAGGAAGAAGGGGCCAGAGGGGACTCAGAGAGCAGCAGTTGGAAATCAGGACCAGCGTCCACACCAGAGTGCAGTAGGGGGGAGGGGTCCCAGGCATCGGGATCAGGCGGCGCACTGCCAGTGGGAGGACATGAGTCAGGATTGGCCACGCCTCCATCGGGGAGCGAGGAAACGGTCGAGAGGAAGGTTGAAGGCTGGGCGCGCGCGCCAAGTTCAAATGTACAGGAGGGCGGCGCAGTTGGCAGCCCGGATAGGGAGCCAGGTCCCAAAGCCCGCCGAAAGAGGGGGAGGAGTCAGGGGGGTCAACGTCAGCGTCAGAAGAATCCAGGAAGGAAGGGACCCGGGGGTAGCAGGACCCAGAGGAGAAAGGAGAGACGTAAGAGGTGGAGTAAGGCTAGAATCTTAAACTGGTGTACAGGGGCGGAGACTCAGATGGAGCTTCGCCGATCTAACCCCTAGACGTAGAGCTGGGGCGCTGCGGCTTGAAAATGGAAACTGTACTTCAATAAAGACTTTTGTACATTACTGCCGGCTAGCGTTGGTCCTCTGTGAGCTGGGACCTGGAGCCAGCTCTGACATTATTATTTTGCTGTTTGAACATTTTTATTCACGGCCCTCTTAGCTAAGGATGAAAAGTTGCATCAGAAAGTGGTAAAGGTAAAGGGACCATTAGGTCCAGTTGTGGCCGACTCTGGGGTTGCAGTGCTCATCTCACTTTATTGGCCGAGGGAGCCGGCGTACAGCTTCCAGGTCATGTGGCCAGCATGACTAAGCCGCTTCTGGCGAACCAGAGAATTGCATGGAAACACCATTTACCTTCCCGCCGGAGTGGTACCTATTTATCTACTTGCACTTTGACGTGCTTTCGAACTGCTAGGTTGGCAGGAGCAGGGACTGAGCAACGGGAGCTCACCCCGTCGCGGGGATTCGAACCGCCGACCTTCTGATTGGCAAGTCCTAGACTCTGTGGTTTAACCCACAGCGCCACCCGTGTCACTCTTTCTAATATTATCCCAGTCATGTAAAATACAGTAATTAATGCTAAATTAAAAGTTTTAAAATTAAAGAATGTTCATTTCTGGAGTGAACCCTGTGATATGACTCTCACATTCTGTGTTGTTCTAAACGATACAAATCAAATTAAGGCCACAGTCCTGTGCACTGTTTACAAGAGAGTAAATTACATTGCTCAGTGGAACTTTTGACTGATATACATAGGTTTGTGCTATAAAACGCTTGCATTTTCTATTATATCAATCGGAACGATAATCTGTGATGAAATTTCCTGAATGGGAATTGATTTTAATTCAGGCAGGCTAAATACTATACGTATTTATTTAGCTAAAATACTGTACTGTTTTGTTTCTGCTAAAACAAATCTGGTTTCAATCTTTTCTTACACCCTCCGTTTTGATTAGGAATGGCCAGTCATACCATGTCTCCCAGATACACAACTTAGCACTTCATGTTCTTACAAGAGGATTAGACAAGTTCCTGGAGGACAAGGTTTTCTATGGGCCCCTTCCAACTCTACAATTCTATGTATAGCAGGAGGGGAGAGTGCTGTTGAACGCATGCCTGCTGTAAGAACAGAATGCTGAACTAGATCATTGGCCTGATTCAGCAGGTTCCTGTTATGTTCTCATGTTTAGGGCGAAGCTATATATTACAATTGGCAGTTGGGCCAATTAACGTGAAATTATACGTTTGGCTCCTGTCCTATGAGCTGAAAAAACAGTATGAAGGGTGTGAGGACATCAAGGACAGGTAGGAGCCTTAGGTGTAGCTACTGAGCATAGCTCAGTTGGTAGATCACGAGACTCTCAATCTCAGGGTTGTGGGTTCGATCCCCACATTGGGCAGAATATTCCTGCATTACAGGGGGTTGGACTAGATGACCCCCATGGTCCCTTCGTGTTCTATAATTCTGTGAGTCTGCTGCTATCTAGTCTTCATGTGCAAAGTCTCTTGCCACACTCTACAGTCCCACATGTGCAAGCTGCTCCCGCCAGCCGCGCTCATTGGCTTTGCATGGCCAGAGCCAAATGGGCTGGGCGGATTGGTTTGCACTTCCAGCAGTGGGTGACCAAAGACAAGAGGCCTTTTCTGAAGGCTACTTGAGATGTAAGAGGGTGGCTTTCCCAACCCAGAATGCCTCCTGTGCCCAACAAAGCTACAAGCGATGACATTTGGTAGTATTGGATCGTTTGGTTTGGCCTCCCTCGCCTTTGATCTCTTATAATGAATGGTATTAGCAGTTCGAAAGCACGTCAAAGTGTAAGTAGATAAATAAGTACCGCTCCGGTGGGAAGGTAAACGGCGTTTCCATGCGCTGCTCTGGTTCGCCAGAAGCGGCTTAGTCATGCTGGCCACATGACCTGGAAGCTGTACACCGGCTCCCTCGGCCAATAAAGCGAGATGAGCGCCGCAACCCCAGAGTCGGTCACGACTGGACCTAATTGTCAGGGGTCCCTTTACCTTTACCTTATGTGGCATGTATTTCTCCTTTTTGGTATTTGGATATCTGATGTTGTTACTGTTGCTCTTAGGCCTCACAGGACAGAACTCTACCACGACATCCCGCCAACATGCTGGCCGATTGTGTATTCTCCAGATTACAATATTACATTTATGGGACTGGAGAAACTACATCCATTCGATGCTGGAAAATGGGGGAAAGTCATAAATTTTTTGAAAGGTAAAGTGTGTGCCGAACGGAAAGTCTTAAGCTTTGTAGAAATTGTGTTGTATCGGTATTCTGTAAAAAGTCAACTTGCAAGAAGTAATTCCATGTAGATTGTTACTGATGTGTGCAGCAGTTATGATTACTTTGGTATTTTTATTGTATTTTATATGGATGATTAGTATGCCTTCTGTGTGTTAGATCTGCAGTTCTGCACTGCCTTAAAAGCAGCAGTGGTATAGCCATCAGTCCTGTATAAACTATCGTTTTCTGCTTAGTGGGCAATGGAGTTTACAGCAAAGCAGAAGCCTAATTTAGTAATGGAAAATCTTATGTGCTGGCTTCTGCAGTATTGAAATGTGTGCCTTATTTACATGAGATGCTGGATGTAATGTGCTTTTCTTTTTCAATTCAGAAGCAAAACTAATTGCCGATGATCTGATTGTACGAGCTCGAGAAGCAACTGAAGAAGACCTTTTGGTTGGTCACACGAGAAGCTACTTGAATCGATTAAAGGTGTTGTATCTTCTACTTGTGTTTGAAACAAACTTTGATCCCCCACTCGTCCTGTATGTTTCTCCCTCTCGCACACACAGAAAACAAAATCCTCAGTACGTGTAAGTGTACATAAAGCAGGAAACGGCAAAAACATTTTCTTTCATAGCTTTAGAATTCTTGTTTTCATGATTTCCCCCCTAAGTCTTAGGTTAGAACATAGTCCTTAGGTTATAGTGGCGGGTGGGAGGGGTATTGAATAGAAAATTAAAAATAGAAATCTGCCACAAATTATCTATAAATAAAAAACCCCCTGAAATCATTAGAAGTTATTATGTAATTTTAGAACTATGTTTTTATAGGGTTTACCTTATGCCTTTTCTATGGAAAAGAGAAGTTTTATATTTTAGGGAACTCAAATGGCAGTACAGACCAACAGTAAGAGGAACGTGAGTGTCTAGATTGAGAGACAGTCTGACTCTTTGTGACCCCATGGACCAGAGCACACCAGGCACTCCTGTCTTCCACTGCCTCCCGCAGTTTGGTAAAACTCATGCTGGTAGCTTCGAGAACACTGTCCAACCATCCCGTCCTCTGTCATCCCCTTCTCCTTGTGCCCTCCATCTTTCCCAACATCAGGGTCTTTTCCAGGGAGTCTTCTCTTCTCATGAGGTGGTCATAAGACAGGCTTTAGTTGTACTCTTTTCTTGGTACCTCTCTTTGAAAGCTGGAAAAGCCAGTTTCATATTAAAGCTTCACAGAGATTATCACCTGACTGCCTTTAATTGGAAAGGCTTGTTTGTATTGAACTATCATATGACCAATTAATGCAACTCTGATTTAATGCAAAGAACAATTCCCTTAAGATCTGAATTGGGATGTTCTCCAGCTGCGTTAGTAAGCAGAAGAAGATAGCTGATGTTACTAGCCTTGTTTTCACGTCACAAAAGGCATGGCGTGTTTTTAACTGTAGTTTAATTGTATGGGTGCTTCCGTCTTCCCATGGGAGTCCCCCTTGCACAGCTTTCCTCCTTGCTCCCTATCCACGGCTCATACAAGCTATACACTATGGTTTACTCTGTCATCAGAAACCTAACATTGGTCTGTCTGTTGGTTTTCAAACAAAGCATGAGCAACAAGCAATAAATAAAGCAATATCCTATCTTGTTGTAGTTGCTCATTTGTATAACCCAGGCCTGAAAATTTTAAATGGAAAACGGCAGCATTGTTGAGGGAAGTTGAATTCCTGTCTCCTGAAACTGGTTTTAGATAAACAGTCACTAGGGTGCGAATACTAACAAAGCAAAACAAAACAAAAACATTGGGAGCAATTGAAGCACCAAGTTTCCCCCCTCTCTTTCAACTCGAGTTCATTCAGGTTTTTAGGTGACAGTCTTGAAGCAGTGGTGACTCTTTGCAGGAATCAATTTTATTTTGCATGACTCAGCATTATATTGCAGACATTTTTGGGGAAAACTTAATCCCCTTCTGATATATACTGCTTTCCTCTTTACTGTAGAATATTTACAGAAATCAGGAATGTGTTATGGTTTTAACTGTATAATTTTTATAATTCTCAAAAATTGCCTTTTTTAATTACCATTCCATTTCTTTGGCATTTACTGGGTCCTGGTCCTGTTCTTGGCCTTCTCGCTAACTGTGTGTATTTCTTGCTTGAAATCTCTGTAAGATTCCCCACCACGGCGACTACTCCAAATCAGCCAAATTGGGCTGATTTTTTAAAAAAGGATATATTTTTTTGAAATTTTGAAATCACTGAGATTCTGCTGAATGCAAGACCGTGTGTCATTTGGCTGATTTTTCTTCAGATGATATCTTTTAAAACACCACTTTAATTATATTGCCCGTAATTCGTATACAGGTGCAAAACTTAGGTGTGTGAGAATCTCCCAAAGATGGTTTTTACTTGAGAGCCCAATGCTATCCTTTACAGGGGTGCATTCTCTATGCATGCAAACTTTTCATTGCATGCATGTTTTTAAATCTCAGTGATGAGAAAAGATGATTAAAAACCCTAAAACAGATGTGCAGTTTATGCTCACATTTTAACAATTTCTACAGTGTAATTTTTATGCCTTTCTACTATCTTGTCCCATCACCTCCTGGCAAATAGAAGGGGAAGAAATGGAAGCAGTGACAGATTTTACTTTCTTGGGCTCCATGATCACTGCAGATGGTGACAGCCGTCACGAAATTAAAAGACGCCTGCTCCTTGGGAGAAAGGCGATGGCAAACCTAGACAGCATCTTAAAAAGCAGAGACATCACCTTACCAACAAAGGTCCGTATAGCTAAAGCCATGGTTTTCCCAATAGTGATGTATGGAAGTGAGAGCTGGACCATAAAGAAGGCTGATTGCCGAAGAATTGATGCTTTTGAATTATGGTGCTGGAGGAGACTCTTGAGAGTCCCATGGACTGCAAGAAGATCTCCATTCTTAAGGAAATCAGCCCTGAGTGCTCACTGGAAGGACAGATCGTGAAGCTGAGGCTCCAATACTTTGGCCACCTCATGAGAAGAGAAGACTCCCTGGAAAAGACCCTGATGCTGGGAAAGATGGAGGGCACAAGGAGAAGGGGACGACAGAGGACGAGATGGTTGGACGGTGTTCTCGAAGCTACCAGCATGAGTTTGACCAAACAGCGGGAGGCAATGGAAGACAGGAGTGCCTGGCTTGCTCTGGTCCATGGGGTCACGAAGAGTCGGACACGACTAAACGACTAAACAACAACAACAACACTATCTTAGTTCCAGACAGTGGAAATCCAGTCTGCTAAATTTGCATTTATTTAACACTCGGGCTCAGTGCAGACCATAGTTAAGACATCCTTTTCACTCACACCTTCCTTCCCTCCTTCCTTCCTTCCTTCCTTCCTTCCTTCCTTCCTTCCTTCCTTCCATTTTTGGACCTGTGAATGGTAATAAGAGTTATGCATGCCCCTGGGTTTTTTGGGGTTTTTTTTACTAATAGTCCTTAGCCTAAGGACTGTGCAACTCCACTTTTGATTGTGTTGCAAACTCTGGTTTAGATTTAACCACCTTTAGAGAAAATGCTTGTGTAGATGCAATGCTAACCCTGGTTCATTCAGAAAATGAAATAAAGGGTGAAGTTCATGCAAAAGGAGAATTGTGTGTAACCATGGGACCCTTACAGTTGTTTAAGTTTGAGAAGGAGATAAGGCAGTATTACATTTGCACTGGCCAGTGTGCAATTTATTCTGACTTCTGATAGCTCCTTGTTTTGAAAGTTTCCCCCCCAAGAGCTGCATTTGTTTCTACCTAATGAAGAGTAAAGTTACGCATTTCATGGATGCGGTTTTAGGACTGCTGATATTCTCCGTATGACAAGTTGGGGGACTGACAGTGGGCTTTTAATTTCTCGATGCCTGTCCTTTACTGGGGTGTGTTAGTCATAGCTGTCAACCTTCCCTTTTTTTGCGGGAAATTCCCTTATTCCAGCGCCGTTTCCCGCTGCTTCCCAGTGCTATCCCGGATTGTTAGATATCCCGTAGACTGTCTCCAGGACAGGTGAGGCTGCTGATCCCTTATTTTCGAGGCTACTGATTCCTTATTTTCAAATCCGAAAGTTGACAGCTATGTGTGTTTGTGTCTGGATTTGATTTTGAGTTTAGGAATTGGTGTTAATAGCCAGATAATAGCAGTTTGACTTTGCTTTTGCTATGGAGCTAGCAGCAAGATTTGCGTCTTGGCCATTCCCTTATCCTCTATCCAGGGATCCTTTACCTCCATGTCCTGCAACGCAAACAGAAATAGAACAGGTTATGTACTGTTTCATATGATGGGTAGAAAGGAAATGAGAAATTAAAAAGCAACCAGAGGTTCCTAGGTTTCCTAGACCTTTAACTAGACTAACCCTCATTTTAGCCAGCTTCCACAGTACTGGCATTGTCTAAGATACTAAGGAGAAGAAACCCATTCCCAACTCTGATCATGCAGTTGCGCTTATCCTGGCCATATAATCAAGCCAGACTAATAATATTTCTCAGCGTATACCACACTGGTTATTTTTCCCTATGAAGAGACAATGTTTGGGTAGGTTAGTAGCAGTGCTTCTAATGCAAAATGGTAAAACTCATCCTGCTTTTGTGGGACGTCTATCAAGACAATTTGCCATATAGATTTAATACTTCTCCCAAATATATTGCTAAATTATATTTCAGTACGTCGTCCCAGACCAAATTTGCGACATTCTCAGGAAAACCTTTCAGTGCTTAAGAGTCGCGTCGCAAACCACTCTCTGAAACGCCGTAGAGTTTGCAGTTTAGTTATGGCTGTGAGTTGTTCAAGATGTTTGAATATATTTTCTTCCAACTTTCTTTGTACTGCTTACAGAATCATATACTGGAAAGCGTTGAAGAGGTATTCCAGAAATCATTTTGCGCTTTTGCTGTACACTTGAAAATGCTATGAATATGAACTACAGTTTAGTTATTTGTTGTACCGTCATTTTCAGTGTGCTGCTTTCCTGCATTAGCTAATTATGGCACTGAAATCATTGCCCTTATCCATTGTTGCTCTGTACTTTTGCCTTCGTAGTTAACATTCTTCTGGTTTTTTTATGTTTTCTAAATTATTTTTAGATTGGGCACAACTACTCCAAAGCATTATCAAAGAGCAGCAATAACTGCTTTATTTCTGAGACCAGTGATCTGAATTAAAAGATTTATCATATAGCGATTTAATCTGCTCTTCTCCTTCGCTCATCTGCACTTTCCCTGGATATCATTGGTGCTTTTTGTAATTTTATTATTTGTTTAAATGCACACGTTTTTGCTTCGCGTATAGCTGTTTTATGAACAGATATGAAAGCTAAACTGTCATACTAGGGAGTAAATCCTATTTGCAACACTGAGGAATTTACTTCTGAGTAGACATGTTTAGATGGTGCTGCTAATGAATCAGTTATTTAAGCTGCCCACCTGTAAATGCTGACTTGGGAGCGAGTCCTATTGAACTCAACAGTGCTTACTTTTGGGTAGACTTGCCCTGAGAGCAACTAATCCGTAATCTTTTGTTTCTTTCCAGTGGTCCTTTGTTGTGGCTACAATTACAGAAATCCCACCTGTTCTTTTTCTGCCCAATTTCCTTGTTCAGAGAAAGGTGCTGAGGCCCCTGAGAACTCAAACTGGAGGTACAATAATGGTAAATATTTTGTTTCATTTTCTCTCTCTTCTCTTGATTCTAATTCTAAAGCAATTTTAAAAGGGCAATACACATATTTAATTATTAAATAAGGGGAAATTATTTGTCATTAATGTGTTTTCAGCATCAGGCCCAGAAAACTGCTTTCTAATAACTTCTCCGTATGGCGTTTCTGCTCTGACTCGAATGACTTTGCTATTTATGTTTGCTGGACAACCTTCTACAACCTTGACCCATGTTTCAGAGTAGACTCACTGAGTTCATTTCACAGAATAGTGACAATCTTCTGGATTTGCTGAATGACGTTTTTCATAGGATGTCATCAGCTTTTGTGCTGTACAGTGGTACCTCGGGTTAAGTACTTAATTCGTTCTGGAGATCTGTTCTTAACCTGAAACTGTTCTTAACCTGGTGCTAATGGGGCCTCCTGCTGCTGCCGTGCCGCCGGAGCACGATTTCTGTTCTCATCCTGAAGCAAAGTTCTTAACCTGAGGTAATATTTCTGTGTTAACGGAGTCTGTAAACTGAAGCATATGTAACTTGAAGCGTATGTAACCCGAGGTACCACTGTACTCGATAGCAGCAGGTGCCTGAACTCCCATGGCCATAGGGTTATTATATTTATTAGAAACACTATGGGACACCGTGAGAGTCGCTGGTTTGCTTTGCTTACAGTACATTTGCTTTTTGACACCTGTGCTTTTCCGTGCTTTTGAATCTGAAGCGCATCTTTCCCCCCACAGCTTGTTCATAAGTGTATTTATTCAGGAGGAAACATAATTGATCTCACTTAGTATTTTCTGTGCCTTGTTTTGGAAAGTCTGATCCAGCATGCTTTAGTTTTGTAAACATTTAAGTTTCCAAGCATTTGGGTATATTATAGAATAATTCAAAACACCCAGATTGAGATACAAGGTGGACACCTCTATTGCATGAATTTTGAAAATAATGATGATGATGATGATGATAAAGATTTTTCCCTCCCCTGTTTCATTTTTTTGAAGGCAGGGAAACTGGCCATTGAGAGAGGATGGGCAATTAATATTGGTGAGTAGCAATGTATCTTCTTCCTCCTTCAATGCCTCTCAGCAAAAATTTTGGTCCACATTCTGGTCATCTTTTATATCTGCCCCGGTTTGTTCCTCTTTAGCCTTCACTGGCCACATCTGATTTCCTTATTCTGAATAGGATTCCTCGCAAGAAAAGGGAAAAGTTGACAGCTATGGCAATAGAAGGCTTCTTTCAAGCCTAATTTCAGTGGGGCACGGGCAGGAGGGGATCTTGCAGACACCAGGGAATATATTTTGGGGTGCGTGTGTGCCCGTAGCCACCGCATTGGTGACCCATAGGCTAAACCATGATTCAGAGTGCCATAACCTTGTGCCTGCATGCTCCCCGCTCCCCAGTCCTCTGATGCGACTCAGGAGTTCAGCGGTTTCTGCTTATGGTGAGCTGCAGTTTGCTACGTCCTCCAGGCTGACCAACTCTGCTTAACCTTAAGGAAGGTTGCTTTTTAAACAAGCCAGCTCCTGCCTGTGTCTGATAATGAAAAGGATATTGAATCTCCTTATGATTAGAGAAGCTGCCATTTTCCACACACTTTTTTTTAAACACATAGAAGCAAAGAGAGTTTATAATGATAATAATAAAATAAAATAAAATAAAATAATAATTTGTTTATACCCTGCCCATCTGGCTGGGCTTCCCCAGCCACTGTGGGTGGCTTCCAACCGAATATTAAAAACAATATAGCATCAGACATTAAAAACTACCCTAAACAGACCGTCTTCAGTTGTCTTTTAAAAGTAAAATAGTTGTTTATTGCCTTGACATCTGCTGGGAGCGCGTTCCACAGGGCAGGCACCACTACCGAGAAGGCCCTCCATCTGGTTCCCTGTAACCTCGCAATGAGGGAACTGCCAGAAGGCCCTCGGCGCTGGACCTCAGTGTCTGGGCTGAACGATTCGGGTGGAGACGCTCCTTCAGGTATACAGTTTAGACATGCCTAGGTATTCAAAGCTTTGTCCTTCGCAGGACAAAAAGCAGGACAAACAGGAAAAAGTGTAGGGTTTTTGGAGAGTTTGTTCATTAATGTTGTTACGGTGCCTGTTAAAGAAGCGTGGCTCATGAAGCAACCTGCTCATCAGTTGTATACCGTATTTATATACAGTGGTACCTCGGGTTACATACGCTTCAGGTTACATACGCTTCAGGTTACAGACTCCGCTAACCCAGAAATATTACCTCGGGTTAAGAACTTTGCTTCAGGATAAGAACAGAAATCGTGCTCCTGCGGCGCGGCAGCAGCAGGAGGCCCCATTAGCTAAAGTGGTGCTTCAGGTTAAGAACAGTTTCAGGTTAAGAACGGACCTCCGGAACGAATTAAGTACTTAACCCGAGGTACTACTGTAATAATGTTTTCCATGGTGTCTGGTAGTTTATTTAAATGCATTATTCAGATTTACCGTTTCTTTTTCCAGGTGGTGGCTTTCATCACTGCTCAAGTGATAAAGGTGGAGGGTTTTGTGCATATGCTGATATCTCATTGGCTCTAAAGGTATGGAAGATCCACTGCAAGCAGCAACATCATTTATTTATTTTTTGCATAAACTTAACAAACGTCAGCATATACCTGTAGCCTAAATTTGTTATTAATAAATCAGATAGTGCTGCGTGTGGAAATGGAGTACTGTCTCTGAAAGCTGCTGTAATCCTAGTAAGATAGGTATGTCCTAACAGTGAATCAACGAGGAAGGTGGTCTTTGTCTTACTTGGAATGCTGTTGATTTCAGTGAAAGGGATGGACACAGGAATACAGAAACTCTCATGCGAAGTCCTATGAAGTCATAAACCCAGCAGCCCCAAACTAGAGAATTGGGTTTAGCTGGGGTGATCCAGGCAGTCTCTCATTGCTTGGGGCCAGACCTGTTTAGCTGTAGCCACAGACTACAGCTTCCTTTAAAGCCTTTAAATTATTGCTTAAAGCCTTTAAATCAACGTAAAATGTGACAGATCCCAGATGGATGAACACTGACCTTGTATTTAGCCATTTAATAAAGCGCCAAAATCTCTTGAGGAGAGCCAGAGAAAAGCTATTTTGGAACCTGTCCATGGACAAGTAAACAGTATGGATCTCATGGAAATGTTTGGGCTTATTAGTTTGGATCAGGGTGGGTTGAATTAAATCACAATTTAAATCACTAGTCGGTAAGACTTGATTTAAATCATATTTTTTTTTACAGAAAGACTCATTCTTGCTGGTATAATCTTAACATTTGCATCCAGAAGAAGGTTTCATTTTTGGAATAATAAATTTTCAGAGTAGTTTTTACAGTTATTTTAAAAATTTACTGATTTGGTTGTACTGTTAGAAATACATAGACAGATAAATCTGAAATTATTGTGAGGTTTAATAAGTTAACTTTATATTTGGACAACTTTTCTGCTGCACTTTATTGGAAGGAGAAAAATAATCATTAGTAACAATTTATTTAACTAAAACAGTAACATGATAGCATATGTATCCATGTTTGTTAACTGATGTGGTTAAACGATTTAAAAAAACAAACAAACTGAGTTTTAGCACACATGGAAAACTTAAAATAAATCCTTATTTCCTGATGAATAGCCTTTGGACTATAATATAACTTAAATCGAAAACTATCTTTAGAAAGATTTTCCCTCCAAAAGCATTTTATTTTAAAAATCTGATTTAAATTAAAAAAAATCCGATTTAATTTTTTTTAAAAAATCATTTCTTCTTTATTTCTTTTCTCTGTATTCCAGTTTTTATTTGAAAGGATGGAAGGAGTTTCTAAGGCAACTATCATAGACCTGGATGCACATCAGGTGAGTGATCAAATGCAAAAAGTTTAATTCGAAACAGAACTCCTGAATCACATAACGGCAGAATTGTGCCACAAAGTAAGTTGATTTATACTGAACAAATTGCAAAAGCAAAACATATATAGGAAACTTGATATGTGAGACTTCTAATCTTGGGGTCGTGGGTTTCAGCTCCACGTTGGTCAAAAGATTCCTGCATTACAGAGGTTGAACTAGATGATTCGTGCAGTCCCTTCCAACTCTACAATTCCATGATTCTATGATAATGGGGTGGCATTTGGGGAAAAATTTGAAATCTGCAAAATAATAATAATAGAGATAATAATAATAATAATTGAGAGCCAGTGTGGTGTAGTGGTGTAGTGGTTAAGAGCGGTAGTCTCCTAATCTGGGGAACCGGGTTCGCGTCTCCGCTCTTCCACATGCAGCTGCTGGGTGACCTTGGGCCAGTCACACTTCTTTGAAGTCTCTCAGCCCCACTCACCTCACAGAGTGTTTGTTGTGGGGGAGGAAGGGAAAGGAGAATGTTAGCCGCTTTGAGACTCCTGAAGGGGAGTGAAAGGCGGGATATCAAATCCAAACTCTTCTAATAATAATAATAATTTTTATTTATACCACGCCCTCCCCAGCCAAGGCCGGGCTCAGGGCGGCTAGCAAGCAATAATAAAAACAAGTTGAATGAATACAATTTAAAAGCAAGATTAAAATACAACATTAAAATATTGAAACATTAAGATATTAAAATGCAGCCTCATCACAGGAGGAAAAAGGAAAAAGAAAAGAAAGAGGGGGAGGGAATCAAATTGGCTCCAAGTCAAAGGCCAGGCGGAACAACTCTGTCTTACAGGCCCTGCGGAAAGAAATCAGATCCTGCAGGGCCCTGGTCTCATGAGGCAGAGCGTTCCACCAGGCTGGAGCCAGTGTTGAAAAGGCCCTGGCTCTGGTTGAAGCTAATCTAACTTCCTTAGGGCCCGGGACCACTAGGGTGTTGCTATTTATGGACCTTGAGGCTCTCCGTGGGGCATACTGGGAGAGGCGGTCCCGTAGGTATGAGGGTCCTAGGCCATGAAGGGCTTTAAAGGTCAAAACCAGCACCTTAAATCAAACTTCCAGTGGGGGCATATTGAACATATTGACAGGGGCCCAAAGAACCCCGACCAGAAGCAGAAAATGTATTAAATGTATTGAACCGTAGCTAAGCACAGCCATTTCTGAACCTGCTGACCCTCAGATGTTGTGGACCACATCTCCTAGCAGCTGGGAGTTGTAGACAAAAGCATCTGGACACATTTTTGTCTACTTGAAGAAGCCATGGTCTGATCTGAAAAATACAAATATTTAGGTTACAAAACTGTAAAAATGAAGAAAAATTAAGTTTGCAAAACAATAATTACCATGTGGTTAGGGTAGATCAACGTGTCAGTGTCCACTTATCCCCAGTGTAAATATGACATATCGGCAAAAGTCGGAATTCGAAAGATAATTATAGCATGTACACGAAAATCGATTTCAGATTTGAAATCAGCATTGAAAGAACATATAAGAAAAGTTGAAAAATCTCATACAAAAGAAAACAACAAAAAAAATTGTTCCCCAGTATTCTGTGTCTCCCAAGGAAATACATTTTTTTGCATACCTCTAACTGTACATAGGTATACATGTCATTTTCAATGCTATACATGTCATGTTCAGTGCTATATAAGTCACTTACATTTATACTCATATTGTACGACTTTGGCTATGTGTTTAATAAAATACTGAATTCTTGCATTGTGAAAAACAAAGATTATGGTGAAAAGTGAAAAACATGAATTGCAAAAAAACCCTAGAGCTTACAGAACAAAACCAACTTCAGATATGAAATCAGCACGTCGAAATTAGGTTAGAACAACTGCAGGCGTCAATGCAACAAAAATTTTGTTCCCCAGTGTTATGGGTTGCTTGAAGCCAACTTGAAACCTCGGGTCAACTTGAAACCCACTACCCCTTATCAGGCTTTGCAAAACCATAAAACCTCCACAAGGAATTGAAAGTGAAGGCCATGCTAGCTTTCTTGGCTCCAAGCAAGTCAGAGGGAGGAGGGAGAGGGGAATTCCCTTCCCTTGCCCCCAAACTTAAAGAGAGTTTTGCAGAAGCAGTGATATATACTGCTTCCCTGTTTTGCAAACCTCTCTGGCTCAGTGTAAGGGACACGGGTGGCGCTGTGGGTTAAACTACAGAGCCTAGGACTTGCCGATCAGAAGGTCGGTGGTTCGAATCCCTGCAACAGGGTGAGCTCCCGTTGCTCAGTCCAGCTTCTGCCAACCTAGCAGTTCGAAAGCACATCAAAAGTGCAAGTAGATAAATAGGCACCGCTCCGGCGGGAAGGTAAACGGCGTTTCCGCGCGCTGCTCTGGTTCGCCAGAGGCGGCTTAGTCATGCTGGCCACATGACCTGGAAGCTGTACGGCAGCTCCCTTGGCCAGTAAAGCGAGATGAGCGCCGCAACCCCAGAGTCGTCTGCGACTGGACCTAATGGTCAGGGGTCCCTTTACCTTTACCTTTTACCTGGCTCATTGTAAGTTGAGCACAAAAGGCCTCATTCCTTTGGAGCAGAGCAAACAAAGGAAATTTTAAAAAGCATTACAGTGCTTATGTTTCAGCTGCAGCGAGGAAGCGAAGGGAGGGGAAATCAGGGCTTTTAAATAGAATTGGGGAATGGTAAGGACTGTGAAGTTAAAGTGATCTATACCAGCTGGGGTTGAACTACTTCTCCACTTCCCTCCTTTGAAACCCCCACCCAACCTCTCTCACTACCAAGGAAATATAATAAACAGAAAGAGAACCTACCCAAGTCATGCAGACGTAACCTCTCCCCCCAAAATATAAGAATATAAGTTTATCACTTCTCTCCCCCCACCCTTTTCTTCTTCCCCAACCTTATTCTGTATACAACACTAATGTCTCACATCATATGTAACTGGTACAGTGGTACCTTGGTTTACGAACAGTCCTATTTACAAACTATTCGGTTTACGAACTCCACAAAACCGGATGTAGTGTCCCAGTTTGCGAACTTTACCTCGGTCTAAGAACGGAATCCGAACGGTGGAAGGGCACCGGCGGCGGGAGGCCTCATTAGGGAAAGCACGCCTCGGTTTAAGAACCAGTTTGGTTTAAGAACGGACTTCCGGAATGGATTAAGTTCGTAAACCGAGGTACCACTGTATATAGAAAAGACTTCACAACCTGAGAAAAGAGACAACGCACATACTTTTGTAAATCAAGTACCGTACTTTTTGCTCTATAAGACTCACTTTTTCTCTCCTAAAAAGTAAGGGGAAATGTGTGTGCGTCTTATGGAGTGAATGCAGGCTGCGCAGCTATCCCAGAAGCCAGAACAATAAGAGGGATCACTGCTTTCATTGTGCAGCGATGCCTCTTGTTGTTCTGGCTTCTGAGATTCAGAATATTTTTTTTCTTCTTTTCCTCCTCCAAAAACTAGGTGCGTCTTATGGTCTGGTGCGTCTTATAGAGCGAAAAACACGGTACATTTTTAATATAGTTTTTAAAAGAAACCCAGTTGCAGTAAATGAGCCGACAAATAGAAGGCAGAGAAAACAAAGGATCAGTGGTTTTGATGACTGCATCATTTGAATGAGCTGCTGAAAAATGAATCTATAAGTATTCACTGTTATAGGAAACTTCTGAGAAATAAAGATGAGGCTTGATAAATTGGAAAATACCACTTTGAATCTAGATTGTATGTAGACTCCCCCTCCCCCTGCAAAAGAAATCTGCCAGATTGGTTATTGTATATGGAGAAGATAAGGAAAACATTGGGTATATTAAACTTTTAAATGTGTGCCTATATCCATATCTGTATCTTCATATTTGCATACTATTTTATGGCATAATAAGCATCATAATACCCTGTGCACTCTTTTCGTAAGGAGCAAAAACAAATAGTGAAATTCCATTAATCTATGTTAATCACTAATTGGGCTTGATTTGCATTAACTGGGTGTTGGTAAACTTACAGGGAAATGGCCATGAAAGAGACTTTATGGATGACCGAAGAGTGTATATTATGGACGTTTACAACAGGTATATTTATCCAGGAGATGGATTTGCTAAACGTAAGTGGGTGATCTCCCCAGCTTTTGTGACCTTAAAACAATTCAAAATAAAACTTGCCAATAGAGGAATTGCCCTTTTGACAATTGAAATGTTGCTCTCTGGTGAATGAAACTATTTGCTGGTTTTTTCCCCATTGCACTGTTCAGATATTTGAAATCTTCTCTGTGTGAGACATCCCTGGGATCACAGGGCGTTGGTTTTTTTAAGAAAGTGGTATGAAACTTTTTTAGAAACTTGGGCATGCATTCCCAAGTTTTCTCTCTGCTGTCTAAGGCTCACTCTTATTCCAGATTTTAAAAGTGGGGGGAATACATGGATGCTGTTGTTGGCACCCGTCTCGGTGACCATGGAGGACTGACTTGCCTTTGGGGGATGCTAGCTTGACTAGAAAGGGACGTGGGTGGCGCCCAGGACTTGCCGATCGGAAGGTCGGCGGTTCGAATCCCCGCGGCGGGGTGAGCTCCCTTTGCTCGTTCCCTGCTCCTGCCAACCTAGCAGTTCGAAAGCACGTCAAAGTACAAGTAGATAAATAGGTACCACTCCGGCGGGAAGGTAAACAGTGTTTCCGTGCGCTGCTCTGGTTTGCCAGAAGCGGCTTGGTCATGCTGGCCACATGACCCGGAAGCTGTACGCCGGCTCCCTCGGCCAGTAAAGCGAGATGAGCGCCGCAACCCCAGAGTCGGTCACAACTGGACCTAATGGTCAGGGGTCCCTTTACCCTTTACTAGCTTGACTAGAATGGGGAAGGGAAACCAGGATACACTGTACTAAAAAAAATCCAAATATCTCAGCCAGGGATGGCTAGCCTGTGACTCTCCAAGATGCTGTTGGACTGCTAGTCCAGCAAGGAAGCGGCTAGTCATGGTTTGACTAGGACCAGAGAGCCCAGTGTCCAAATGACTGTGAGGCTCAGTTCACTGATTTTGGGCCACTTGTCATCTCCCAGAATCATTTGCAGCCCAGGTTGTCACGCTCCTTTTTAGCAAGAGAGGAAGGGAATAACAGTGCGCATCACCCCATGCAAAGTTCTTGGTAGAAGGGTGGGAAGTAAATGTAAGAAATCAATAATAAAATATTTGATGTTGCATCATTTTTATAAGCTACAGTGCTACCTCTGGTTACAAACGCTTCTGGTTATGAATGCTTCAGGTTACGAACTCCGCTAACCCGGAAGTAGCTGCTCCTTGTGGCAAACTTTGCCCTAGGATGCGAACGGAAATCACGTGTCAGAGGCGCGCGCACAACGGGAGACCCTATTAGCGAAAGCACGCCTCAGGATAAGAACGGTTTCAGCTTAAGAACAGACCTCCGGAACTAATTAAGTTTGTAACCAGAGGTGCCGCTGTATATTGGACCTCGTCTTTTGTACTTTGCTGTAGCTTATTCATAGGGATAGGGACGCGGGTGGCGCTGTGGATTAAACCACAGAGCCTAGGACTTGCTGATCGAAAGGTCGGCGGTTCGAATCCCCGCGGCGGGGTGAGCTCCCGTTGCTCTGTCCCAGCTCCTGCCAACCTAGCAGTTCAAAAGCACGCCAGTGCAAGTAGATAAATAGGGACCGCTCTCCAGCGGGAAGGTAAATGGTGTTTCCGTGTGCTGCGCTGGTGCTGGCTCGCCAGCTGCGGCTTAGTCACGCTGTCTTCGGACAAGCGCCGGCTCCCGGCCTCTTGAGCGAGATGAGCGCGCAACCCCAGAGTCGGTCACAACTGGACCTGTTGGTCAGGGGTACCTTTACCTTACCTTTATTTATAGGGATGCGGGTGGCTCTGTGGTCTAAACCACTGAGCCTCTTGGGCTTGCCGATCAGAGGTTGGTGGTTTGAATCCGCACAACGGGGTGAGCTCCTGTTGCTCTGTCCCAGCTCCTGCCTACCTAGCAGTTCGAAAGCACGCCAGTGCAAGTAGATAAATAGGTACCGCTGTGGTGGGAAGGTAAACGGCTTTTCCGTGCACTCTGGTTCCCGTGACGGTGTCCCGTTGCGCCAGAAGCGGTTTAGTCTTGCTGGCCACATGACCCGGAAAGCTGTATGTAGACAAACGCCGGCTCCCTCAGCCTGAAAGCGAGATGCACACCGCAACCCCATACTCGCCTTTGACTAGACTTAACCGTCTAGGGGTCCTTTACCCTTTACCTTATAGCTTATTTACTTTGGGTGGCATTCAATGAAGCTTTACTTAGAGTAGACCCACAGAAATTAATGAGCGTGACTGAGTCAGGGCCATTAAGTTCAGCAGGCCTTCTGTGAGTAAAACATAGTTGAATATCACCCCATGGGTGGAAATCAACATTGCGCTCTTCCAAACATGATAGCTTGCTGGACAAAATGTGTCATCCCCCCCCCTCACCCATTCCATGCTATTCTGGGGGTTCTCCTGCCACACCACCAGCCCCCGGGGGCTGATAAGCCTGGAAACAAATCCCACCTATTGATTACTCAAATAACACAGAGCTTGTAATGGAAGTCTGACTCAGTATCAGAAACTGTTTTATCTTTATTCCACACCCAAATCATTGTATATATGATTCATGGTAACTTTCAGGAGCCATAAGGCGGAAAGTTGAATTGGACTGGGGCACAGAAGACGCAGAGTATCTTCAGAAAGTAAAAACGCACGTGGAAGGTGCACTGAACGAAGTAAAATCGGACATCATTGTTTATAATGCCGGAACGGACATCTTGGATGGTGACCCCTTGGGAGGCCTGGCTATTTCACCTCAGGTTCGTAGCACACAGAGTCTCCTATAAAATCAAAGTCCAAGTCTGGACTGAAGAGGACGCTTGATCACCCTGGGTTCTTAAATGATTTTGTTTACTCCAGCATATATTATGATGAAACCATGAGCTAAAATGGTTTATGAACCACAATGAAGTTCAGCAATGTGCTTCCTTTTTTTGTGTAACTGCAGGGGATTATCGATCGCGATGAAATTGTGTTCAGAGCTGCTAGGAAACACCGAATCCCCATCTTGATGGTGACCTCTGGAGGCTATCAGAAGAGGACAGCAAGGATTATCGCAGATTCCCTTCTCAATTTGCATAGCCAAGGCCTGATAGAGAAGGAGCCTGCCTTTGGTGAAGCTGGAGGGGCCAAGGTAGAAACGATGCATGGAAAATAAAAGGGAGATCGGCTAACTTGTCACTGCAGAACAAGGACGTTGGGGTTATTGTAGAAGGCAACTCTTAATTGTTTAATATTTAAACCGAGAGACAAGAAATGCTCCAGTTCTCGTAGAATTAATATATTCTAATGGCGAAAGATAATTAATTTGCTGTACTTACCAGCGTCAGTCAGTGGTCCCACAAGAAATACCAACAGATTATGTTTCTCTCTCTTCCAGTGCTTTTAAATGATTAAGATGGACATAAATTCTGGATTTGGTTATTTCTTGCTGTGGTCAGAGTGATAAAAAAACACTAATATTCTTTCTTACAGTAGTCCGTTTTTCTTTTCAAAAGAGAATTATGTAATATCTTAATTTTTTAACTTATTTATTTTTTTCTCTGGGAAACCTCCATCCGGCTTAATTTTTCAAAAGAAACTCAAGGCAGCTAACAATTCCAGCCACATGGGCAGGGTAGAAATAACAAAGTTATTAAAATTATTATTTATCCAAACTCCACAAAAATAGTAAAAGATGTCACAATCCCCATTCATAGCTGCAGTCAAAAGGCCAAAGTATTGGTGTGAAAAACTAGTAATTTCAAAACAACCAGTAAACAACAACACCCTAAACCAGGCATCCTCAAACTTGGCCCTCCAGATGTTTTGGGACTACAACTCCCATCATCCCTGACCACTGGTCCTGCTAGCTAGGGATGATGGGAGTTGTAGTCCCAAAACATCTGGAGAGCTGAGTTTGGGGGTGCCTGCCCTAAACAGTCTCAGGAATAAACCAGAACAAATAAAAACAGCCAGCTGAAAACTTTAGTAAACATCTGTGTTTTTTGCCCGCCACCTGAAACATTACAGTGATGGGCGCCTGAGGTCCCTCACCTGGTTGGAAATAACTTTATAGTCTGGCTGTCACCAGCTGTGCTTCATGGAGTTGAGGGATCTGGAGCAGGACTTCAGCTGCTGACTGCAGCATATGAGGAGAAACACACAGGAAAGTAGGCTTTCTTCCAAGGGTACAGCTATTTGTTTAGGCGGATCAGAGAACCCATTTAAAACCAGCAGCAGAAGTGTTTTGAGGAATATTCCCCGGCTATTGCAAACGTAAGGAGGTCATGTGTGTGTTCTGAATTGCAGCAGGGGCTACTGTTCCCCAAGCAGATCCATGCTTGACTGGGACGATTTATTTATTTTTAAAACAACCCTAACAGGTTTCCCCTGTTATCGTGAAGTGATTGTGATTATGCTTCACTTTGTTACACCTGTGGTTCTCTGCATCACAAGGTGAGAGAGATAATTTATTATGGTTGGAGACCAGCTTATAAAACACACTTGGGGATACAGTCATAGAAGGAAAACAAACAATTAAAACATTGTACAACAATAAATTTAAAAACAAATGTACAACAATAAACAGCTGCAGGGAGCTGACCCAGAGTCACCCATAGAACTGAGTTTGGGGATTTTCTTAACAAACTATTTTGAGTTGGAAGATGGTCTGTGCCTACAGATAGAATCATAGAATCATAGAGTTGGAAGAGACCACAAGGGCCATCGAGTCCAACCCCCTGCCAAGCAGGAAACACCATCAGAGCACTCCTGACATATGGTTGTCAAGCCTCTGCTTAAAGACCTCCAAAGAAGGAGACTCCACCACACTCCTTGGCAGCAAATTCCACTGTCAGACAGCTCTTACTGTCAGGAAGTTCTTCCTAATGTTTAGGTGGAATCTTCTTTCTTGTAGTTTGGATCCATTGCTCCGTGTCCGCTTCTCTGGAGCAGCAGAAAACAACCTTTCTCCCTCCTCTATGTGACATCCTTTTATATATTTGAACATGGCTATCATATCACCCCTTAACCTCCTCTTCTCCAGGCTAAACATGCCCAGCTCCCTTAGCCGTTCCTCATAAGGCATCGTTTCCAGGCCTTTGACCATTTTGGTTGCCCTCCTCTGGACACGTTCCAGTTTGTCAGTGTCCTTCTTGAACTGTGGTGCCCAGAACTGGACACAGTACTCCAGGTGAGGTCTGACCAGAGCAGAATACAGTGGCACTATTACTTCCCTTGATCTAGATGCTATACTCCTATTGATGCAGCCCAGAATTGCATTGGCTTTTTAGCTGCCGCGTCACACTGTTGGCTCATGTCAAGTTTGTGGTCAACCAAGACTCCTAGATCCTTTTCACATGTACTGCTCTCAAGCCAGGTGTCACCCATCTTGTATTTGTGCCTCTCATTTTTTTGCCCAAGTGCAATACTTTACATTTCTCCCTGTTAAAATTCATCTTGTTTGTTTTTGCCCAGTTCTCTAATCTGTCAAGGTCGTTTTGAAGTGTGATCCTGCCCTCTGGGGTGTTAGCCACCCCTCCCAGTTTGGTGTCATCTGCAAATTTGATCAGGATGCCCTTGAGTCCATCATCCAAGTCGTTGATAAAGATGTTGAATAAGACCGGGCCCAAGACAGAACCCTGTGGCACCCCACTAGTCACTCTTCTGTACACAGAATCTGGCGACCATCCAGGTCGTCTTCTGATCTTTGCCTAACAGGAAAAGGTCAAATTTTTGCTTTTCCGGGAGGTCAGCGAGCCTCACCAGGAGGGGATCAATGGTCTTACTACATGCCTCTTCATAAAAGGGACATCTAAAGAACAAGTGCTCTGGGCTTCCCATCTCCCCTAATGAACAGGCGCAAAGTCTCTGAGCATATGGGACTTTTTTGAAGGCTCCTTCCAGGACCGGTGAGGGCAGGGCCGAGCTTCTGGCGAGCGTAAAGGCCCTTCTTGCATTTTTAGATACAAGAAAGAAGAGATATGCTGTCGGTGCGGCTATATATCTCTTGATTTCTCCAGTTTTATCACAAGGTGGCAGAATACTGTTCTTCAGCTTTAGCACCTCTTGTACGTCCGACGTCGAAATATATTGGAATATAACTGCATGCTAAGAAACCTCCTGCTTATCCACCTGCCAGACGATCGGTGCGTTTCCTTGCCACAATGGCATAACAAACTCTTGCTGCTTGGTTGGTTTTTGTAGTTGTGGTTGTTTGCAACTGAGAAGATACATATTTATTTATTTTCTGCCTCAGGTGGACACAGCAAGTCAGAACTGACCCCGGGGTTTAAAAGTGCACAGCTAAAACCTCCGCTCGAATTCCCCATGAAATCGACTGGAGGTGCACTTAAGTAATTCATCCGATTCCCCTTAGGACTTAAATGGCCTAAATAAATAAATAATAATACTTATGGATTGTGCCTCTCAAGACTGGGTTATCCAGGCACTCTTTTTAATTTTCTAAACGAGGAGGACTGGTGTGATAATTACCTGCAATAGATTTTGATTGTAGATCTCTCTTCATGTTAACCTGTGACATTATGTGGTACTACTGTATAATATTAGGAGCAGTGATGTCTTGAAGCATATATAAAATAGTTACAAGATGTAAAATAGATAAAATAATCAGTTTACATTTTTGTCTGTACACTAGGATTCTTTTGCAACTGTCCTCAAATTCTGTCATCTAATTTTGAGTGAACGCTGAAATAAAAAGGGGTTTTTAATTTTACTCTTTTTATTTTAAAAGTCCGTTTTTTAATAACAGGGCTGGGGAACTTCTGTTGTTGGATTACTCTTATCAGCCCCAGCCCAGCCAGCATAGCCCAAGAGATCAGGGATGAGAGAGTTGTAGTCCAACATCATCTGGAAGGCCAGAGATTCCCCACCCCTGAATTAAATAAGGTTTTTACTATATGAAAAGTGAGACAGTCTGTGGAGCTGAACTTTAAATTGATTTGGGGAGCCTCTCCTTCAGTAGGTGGTAGGTAAAACGTGCCTCTTGGCTCACCAGCTTTTATCAACCTCACAGCTGGGAGCAATAGCTAAAATATAGCGTGTTCCATACTAATGTTAACATCAAATGGATTTGAATGGATTGCTGAAATAAGCTACTAACCCGCTTCGCCAGCAATGCCAAAGCTGTAGTTTTATAGCCATTTTGCAGAGAAGCAAGTCCCATTGTGCTCTTCTGAGGTACAGTGGTGCCTCGCTAGACGAAAATAATCCGTTCCGCGAGTCTCTTTGTCTAGCGGTTTTTTCGTCTTGCGAAGCAACCCTATTAGCGGCTTAGCGCTATTAGCGGTTTAGCGGCTATTAAAGGCTTAGCGGCTAAAAGGCTATTAGCGGCTTAGAAAAAGGCGGGGGAAGCGAAAAAAATCACAAGACTCGCAAGACGTTTTCGTCTTGCTAAGCAAGCCCATAGGGAAATTCGTCTTGCGAAGCGCATCGAAAAACGGAAAACCCTTTCATCTAGCGGGTTTTTCGTCTTGTGAGGCAATCGTCTTGCGGGGCACCACTGTAATGAGAGCAGAATCCCATCCCTTGTAAATGTTGTGAAAAAATATGTTGTGTATATATATACACACCCACACCCACCAAATCAAAACAAACTTACAAGCTTGGGGGCCTTTTTTTAATTCAACAAGAATTTGCCGCAGGTGTTGGGGGTCGCTCCAAAAGGGTTGTTTTGCACAAAACACTTCTCATTTGAAAAGTGTATACTTTTTTTTTTTACTCTTAAGTTGCATACAGGTCCACTGCTAGTTTATGGCATGTTTAAAGGATATATGTGTGTTTCAGCGATAGAATAATCAGCTTTTCATAGTACTTGAACAATGTTACGATGTAATATAAATACTTGCTGTGTAATCCTATATTTGTCTACTCAGAAGTAAGTCCTATTGAGTGAATGGGCGTTGCTTCTAGGTAAATAAGGAATACGATTGCAGCCTTAAGCTCAGTTAATAATAGTTTTCACCCTGGGCAAGGTGGCTGTGGATAAATTTCTTAACTTGCTGTGATTTTTTATTTTAATGAATTTGACACTGGGTTAACATACGTACCGAATAGCAATACCGTCATTTGCACTTTCTTCTAACGACAATGTTTAAAGCACTATTAAAATATTGAGATGTATTTTCTACACTGTCTAATGTGTTACCTAGAGCTATTATCATTTGAAATATTTTTTTAATAATACGTTTACATTTGTATTGAGCTTAAGCACAGTAATGCCATGTAGCATACGAAAGATAATGTTTAATGTTCTTATTTATGGATAAAATTAAAACAATGCTAATTTTTCTGCCGGTGCGTTTTCATTTCTTCAGCTTTTCATGAGGCATTTCTTACAACCCAGGACCAGATCTCTTGTTGAAAGAGGAGCCTAAAGCCACATCCACACCCTTATGTTTAACTACATTTAAAGCTGGTGGCTTCCCACAAAGAATTCTGGGAGATGCAGTTCTGCTCTTTAATAAAAGGCCCTGCTCGCTTCAACCAAGGCATTTATGTGGCTGAATCTCAATGTGTGGCTTGAACCAAGATAAAACTACCGTATTTTTTGCTCCATCGGGCGCACCTAGTTTTTAGGGGGGGGGGATTTATTCCCCCCCCCAGCCCCAAAGAGCAAAGAAGCCAAGACAGCGAGCAGGATCCATCCCGCTGGCTGTCTTGGCTTCGTTTTTAGCTGCGGGGCTGGCGCTGGGGCAGCCCGAGCTTCCCCCAACCCCAGAACAGGCTGCTATCTGCAAGCCTTCGGAACTCCCACCGCACTCCAAAGGCTTGCGGATAGCTGCCTGAAGCCTGGAGAGCGAGAGGGGTCGGTGTGAACCCACCCCTCTTGCTCGCCAGGCTTCAGCGAAAGCCTGCATTCGCTCCATAGGACGCACACACATTTCCCCTTCGTTTTTGGAGGGGAAAAAGTGCATGCTACAGAGCGAAAAATACGGTATGAGCCACAGCCTTGCAAGCAGTATGCAGTGAGTTCCTGAGCTATGTACCCACTAACAGGAATACTGTTATGAGTGTAGGATCTTCCATGCAGAAATTCAGCATCATTTAAAAAAATAAAATAAAAAAGGCATCCAAGACAGGTTTCTCACCCTTTTATTAAGACAGCTTGCAAGGGTACATGGAATTAAAAAGTATGGGGGAAGAGAATCAACCATTGGTATTTATTTAGAAAAAAAAGTAAAAGTTCTGTTCATTCATACAGAACAGTAGTAGAACAAGGGGAAATGAAAAGTGCCCATCAAACAACAAAATTAAATTTTCACATTTACTCATGCAAGCAGCAGAGGATTTTTATACAGTGGCGATGGGAATGATTACGGTATAGGCTTCCATCGTGGCATGAAAATGACACAGAAGAGCGTCCATGATGAAAATAAATTAAAAAAACAATTTACAAGAGACGTGTTAAATAATTTAGCAACTATGAATGAAACATTTGCAAGACATACATTTTTAACATCATTGTCAGAACAGTAAACAAGAGAAAAAGACAATAAATTCACTGCAACAAAGTAAGGCAACTTATTTGAAAACGGCTGTTATGGTTAAGTGTTATATGCACAGTAAGCTGGCAGAATGTGAGCCTGCAATGGAATCAAGAAGTATTTTTCAATTACAATTTGGTCTTTTAGACTATTCAAAACCAGAGTTAAAATGCCAACTTTGCCATTACAAGTGGGAAAATACGAAATATTCCCTATTTCCCATTAATGTGAATATTAATATGTACTGTATATTAAAACTTCCCCACCTACAAAACTTTAAAAAATCCTTTTGTAATGATTGAACCTTAAGCTAACAAGCTGTACAGTTACTCGAAACTATTGCTTGAAATGTATTAACAACCAAAGCCGAAGATATTTAAATTTGTTGCGATTACAGAAGAAATTCTGTCCACATTTATTTGTCAGCGTCTTGTGGAGGAACTTTACCCATAATACATTGGATTTTTTTTTAAGGAATGTGTTCACAATAAAAACAGTAATAGATGCAGCCATTTGATCTATGTAGATCAAATAACATTATTTGAATGGACATTGCTATGATGATCAACACACAAACTTAGGAACAACTTTTTGAAATTTTGAAAACAAAGTGACTTATTCTGTAAAGCATATATTAATTGCAGCCTGTTTTATAAAAAGCAAATTTCATGATGTACTCTCAGCTTTAATGAACTGTTGACCAGTTATAAGACAGTTTAGTCCAGGAGGCATAATTACACTTTGATAAATTGTCTGTCTGGTAAAGTAGTTATCAGACTTGAAACTCTGATTGTAAAAACCATTTCTTTGATCCACCATCTAGCCTCTCATGAAGGAACATCATCATGACCTGTTTCCAATGTAGTACTGAACAATGGTTTAGTATAGAGGTGCGTAACCTGTGGCCACCCCAGATGCTAAACTACAACTCCCATCATTCCCTAACCATTGGCCACACTGCTCCAGCAGGTCAAAGGTCAGCCACCTGTGGCTTAGTGCTACTTCAAAGAGAACTACTGGGTTTACACTCCCTTTCCCTGACCTCCAGCACAACTGCAAATTAGCCAGTTCATCCTGGGAAGGGAATGAAGAGTTTTGAAGTGTGGTTTATTGAAACAAACCCAACATCTAACCATGGTTTAGGATCCCAGTGTGTCAACAAACCGTTGATTAAATTAACCAGAATTACTCTCCCTGCCCTGGTTGATTCAGAGACACAAAAGATTTAAGATTAGTTTAAAACAGAAAGTGGGTGATTTTGATGTTTTAGCCGGAGAGATAATGGGGAGGGGGGAAATTTAAAAGCCCACAGCTTACTTCCAACTCTTTCACAAGGCATGAGTTTAGCATTATGCCCCCAAACTGAAGTAGCCCATTATTTGCTATCAAAACAAAGCAGCGATGGGTTAAAGTACCATCAATCTACTTTATCCATCACAGTGAACAGGACAAGGAACACTAAATGACTAACACTAAACACTAAACCAGGCTTCCTCAAACTCGGCCCTCCAGGTTTTTGGCCTACAACTCCCATGATCCCTAGCTAGCAGGACCAGTGGTCAGGGATGATGGGAATTGTAGTCTCAAAACATCTGGAGGGCCAAGTTTGAGGAAGCCTGGCCTAAACCTTCCTACGGCATGAGACCCGTTATTTTCTACAGTGGTGCATACCAAAAGCACCCATTTTGAACTTATTTTCATGTTGCCATTTCCTGCCCAAAAAGGTGCTCTTCAAAGATGGAGCACCTTTGAGACCGGTGTAGAGTTAGGATTTATGGGCCAACGTACACTTGGCAAACTTTTTGAACGCTGATCAGTTGCATGATCGTCAGAGTTAAATGAATGCTCACAATTTTCCTGACCATTTGCCATATCTCAAAACATCTTTTTGGGTTGTGGGAGGGAGAGAAATATTGTTACGTAGACCAAGGGAAATGTTTACTGCGGGTGTCTTTCTAATTTTACCAAAGCTCGGAATATGGCCATTGCTTTTTGGAATTAGGAAACCTCAAGTCACTGCATTCTAGGCATGATAGTACTAAGAAAATTTAAGTGGATTATCACCTCTCAATTAAGGCATCGTTTTTCACCTGCCGCCTCAATCCTGCGCTGCTTTTTCCAGCATTTCCATTTAGCGCAGGTAAGCAATCTGATCTTCAGCTCTCTTATCTCCCAAGTTTTATAGTCTTAACTCAGCAAGGTTAAGGTTTATTATACTGTACTTTATTTGAATTATAATGAAAAGGAGCGTCCCTTTTTAATGGCACAGTGCGTTAAGGTTCACAACCCCTGAATCCTCTTTTGGAAATTATAACCAACAGCCAAACATGGCCTATCAGTAGAAACGTTCAATTAGAAATATATTTTTGATCTACCACTAATTTTTTTTAATTATTTTTTACTTAACCTAAATGCATTCAGTTCAGTTTTATTGTTATATGCACTATTTACAGAGCATGAATGCATGAATATTTGGGAGATTAAATGAGCCATGTTTGAATCCTTAAGCAACAGAAATTTTAATCTCAGTACAAGCACTTGAAAAATATTCAAAACCTCTTTTAAGGGCTGCTTCACACATTAAAGTAGCAGACATCTAAAAATTTAGCATGTAGCTGCTTTTAATTCTGTAATGGGCAAGGTGATGACCTTCTCCCCGGCCCCATCATATCTCCACTATGCTGTACACAACTGGCGCCAGGATATGGTATACTTGGGGTTGGGATGAAGATGTGCACCCACTTCACATTAGAGGACTAAATATGCTAAATCAGGGGTCAGCAACCTTTTTCAGTCGTGGGCCGGTCCACTGTCCTTCAGACCATGTGGTGGGCTGGACTAAATTTTTTTTTTTGTGGGGGGGGGGGTGAATGAACGAGTTCCTATGCACCACAAATAACCCAGAGATGCATTTTAAATAAAAGGACACATTCTACTCATGTAAAAACACACTGATTCCCGGACCGTCCGCAGGCCGGATTGAGAAGGCGATAGGGCCGCATCCGGCCCCCAGGCCTTAGTTTGCCTACCCTTGTGCTAAATCCTTAATCCCTATTTTCAACAGCAATCCATGAGGCAGCCCAGAGGAATATCTCAAAGAATTTAAGGAACACTGGCTCAGTGGTGTAGCTAGGATTCACACATGCTGTCGGTCAAATACTTAAGGTTTTGTCATTTCAATGGATGTTGGCAGCAACGGTTGCCTGAATTCCCCGCATGCTGAAAGAAAGGTACAATGTCCACAGCATTTGCAAATAGTAACAAATCAGGATTTACTCTTACATGATTTAAGCAGCAGTACAATTAGAAGGACGAACGCATTATTAGCCTTAATCTGCTTGATCAGTGACATCCAGCAGGGTTGCAGACAATCAACTTCAATGGCACAGAGACAGCGCAGGGCTGGGGAACCTGTGGCCTGCCAGATATTGTTGGACTCTGAAATCCTATCTGTCCCAGCCAGCATGGCCAATGGTCAGGGATGATGAGAGTAGTCCAACATCTGGATGTTGATGGGAAGGTAGGGATACCTTCCAATAGATTCATGTGGCTTATTAGCTACCGCAAAGCAGAACACAAATGGCAAGCAAGGAGAAAGGCGATCTGGTCCTTATACTTCCCTCGTGGGTTTAGTGGAATGGTGCTTTAAAAATGTCCATGGAAATCCACGTAAGGAATGCAAAATATATGGGGTGGAACGCATTATGCCATTTCGGTTTACAATACAGAATGATCCCCCCTGGCTGTTCCTGGGGTTCTCCTGATCACCCACAGCACCATTTTTGGAGGTGGGGGTGGGGAAAGCTCTGTTGCACAAGCAAAAGCCCATGCGCAGGAGTTCTGTTGATGAGATTCATTAGTTGAATGAATCCCCCCCCCCCCGTGGCCAATTAATTACAAAGTTTAATGGTTGGGGAAGGAAAATGCTACAGAATATCTTCATGGAATGGATATTGCATTGTACTATCACTGAACTTGAAAATGATTTGGCTTGTTAAGAGATTGTTGCCTTCTGAACAGGATGAAATTCTCTTATTTTAGTATTATATTGCACCCAGGGCTACATATCGCACTGCACCCCAAAGAGCACTAAGGATTACATGATTGAGAAGGTACAGTGAGAAAAATAAGTTAAAAAGGTCTAGCTACCCAGTGGCTCACCTGGCTTTACAATTTTTCATTTGATTGACAGGGGCCAATTGTAGAATTTGCACCATTCCGTGTTAAGAGGACCACAGATAATATCCAAGACCAGAAATATTATTGTCCAATTTGTTGAAACTCGAGAGATACATTAAGGCACACTTAAAACTAGACTTAAGAGCCAAAACATTCAGAACCCCTCTTCCCTTTCCTTAAAGAAATAAAGGAAATAGCCTCTTGCTTTACCTAACCAGCAATTTTTCTATCTTCCCCAGAAAGTTTTTAGCAGTCCTATGTATTAAGTGCTAACGCTAAAAGAGGTCAGTCTTTTCATTTTGTGCTAAATGAGACCATTTTAGCAACATGAACCATGTATTAATGATGGGGATTTATAACATTTCCAGGACATACAGTCAAAACACTGGAAGCATCTATTCCTGCAAATCTAAAAAGGCAGGGAAAGCGTTTTGCTTTAATGTAATAAATGCAGACTTGTGTGGCACAGAAACTGCTGATGCTTTTATTTACAGGGTTTCTCTCAAACCTATGATTTTCCTGTAGTGGGATATACTGAGCTGTTTCACTAAGCCACAGTTTATTAGAAACTTTTGCTTTAAGATAAATGAGCAGTGTGCTGGCGGCACACTCCTCAGACATTTCCACAGCACTCTTCCCCTGCTTCTATACAGCAGACGAAACAAGCCAGTTGGGCCATTTGAACTAAGGCTCGTGGGTTTGTTTCCTCTAAAACAAACCATAAGCAGTGTGGAGGAAACAAACCATGAACCCAAAGTTTGATGGACACGACACACCAGACTCTGGCTCATTCATCCATGGCATGGAAGCAGGAGAAGAACAGCACCATGCGAACACTAAATCAGAGTTTGTTTTAAACTCCGATTTAATGTGATGTGTCAACTAGGCCACCACATGTCAAACCTGCTTGCTTCTAGAGCAAAACTCTTGTAATGCATTTGCCTAGGAACTAAAATGGAAGAGTTGTCCAGTTGTTTCAGTCATCTTCAGTTCTGAATGGCACTCAATACAGAGCAAGAGATACTTTAGATGATTTTCTTACAGTCCAGGATATGTACTAAAAAATATAAATTGCAACCAAGAGCATACGCTTTAACTGAAACACTTAGGTTAAGACATGAGGCCAAGATATATAATCTTTTAAAGGCAAAGCGTTACTGCCATGTAACCATTTGTGAATTATTTGTTATACTTTTCTTTTTAAAAAAGATGGGGTCACAATAGCCAAGTACAACATCTCTTTAACAAGAAACTTGGCTCAGCCTGTATTTTCTGTCCAGCATGAGACCAACAAAATATGTATCTCTGGACACTGCTGCGTGCTCTAGAGATCACCAATTTTTAAGTCGTAAGAAAGGGAAATTAGTTTTAGGTCAACACAAGCAACATCAACACTAATTACTGACAATGAGCGCTGAAATGTAGTTAAATGGAATTGAATTTTAAAAATTGAAAAGCCATGCATACTAGATATCTAGAGATACATTTTCCATATGGATATTGCTGTATAAAGGATTGGTGCGCCCAAATAATATCAACTTGATCAAGTAAATCAAGCACTAAGCTTGAGCTCTAGTAGGAGTGGTAAATTTCCATCTAGAAAACTTCATTCATGGATTGGATATCTGCATATTCCTCGAGATACAATTATGTATTTCTCTGCATAGAAATTTTCTTGTCTGAGATGATTTCTTCTTCTTCTGAGGTCTTATGGTAAGCTTTGCTGCAGCAATCTACAAATATGCCACTATTGTAAACTTTTACAATCAAGTCTGAAAACAGCAGACAGTGAAAATACAGGAGTAGCCCCAATATGTTTGAGTTTATTTCAAGGCCACACTGTTGCAGTATCTGGAACCGTTTATCAGGAGTACAATGACCACTGGACCTTCTAAGTTTGTGTAGTACAACCTCTAAAGCTGCCTTAATACTTGCCCTAAATTGACATCTGGGTTAATTTTTCAGTGTTTTTCTATAAACTGAGGAATTGCACAAAAGCCATCCCACCAGAACTGTCAATGTAAGAACTGAAATGCTATCGCTACTTTGATCTCAGTCGCACCAGCTGCCACGTTTTTAATAAAGTTTGGTGGTTTTGAACTATGGACTTTTTCTATTGGCCATTTTCTGATATAGCCCTTTAATGTTTGATTGAAAATCCTACGTGGAAGAACGTCCAACACAGGCAGCTATCATTTAACCACCAAATGAACTCGGATACTGCAAAGCTTAACAAAATCTGACCATACAGTTGGTAGCCAAACACAAGTGTATTTAGTTGTTTAACTCACCTTAAATCAATTGTACAAAGTCTTTGCTGATATTTTCATTTTTATTTTCTCGAAACCTTAATACTGGAAGTCTGAAGACACTGTAATCTCTCTGCACTGATGGAAAAAAACTCTTTGCATCAAAGAACTTCATTTTTAGCAGATGGCACTTGGTTGTGGCCCTGGGTCAGTTTCTTTTGACCCAATGGGAAATTAACATTCAGCACAAGGCTGACACAACTAGATGCAAGCTAATAGCCTGGAGGGGGGTTTTGGAGCAAAATTTGATCAGCGCTGCAGGATTCGGACAGCTAAACTAAGAATAATATTCCAATTCTGATTTCTAGGCTCGTTTCTCAGAGGCTGTAGTGCATACTGAACTCTCAGCGTGTGTTAGAGGTTGCCTTACACAAGGAAATCACCAGGTGCTTCTGAAAGAAACACCTAGCCTTCAAACTCTGTCTCAGTGAGACAGTTCATCATTCTTACAATTAAAGACATTTATAGCAAGACAGCGGCCCTTTGGTTCCAGTTGATATAAAACAGTGTTGTAATAATGCCAGAAAGGTAGGAAATAATTCAGTTTTGTGATGCTTTGCACTTCAGCTGAAATTTGGCAATCCAAGGAGGGCGCCAACTGCTCCAAAGTATCCCTGTATTTAAAAGAAGATTTTTCACAATTCAGGTTTTGACTACCATATTAAAGTTGGCCTTTTTCAAAACAGGCAGAAGCACATGACAAAAATCTCTTGCCTTTTCCTAATGGATACCTGGACAAATTAGGAAGGAGAAATATATCCACAGTATAGTCAATCTACTGATAATACTCTGGATAAACTAACTTCTAAACAAGCCTTTGCACTGACCCCACCTATGTTTTGCTCCCTTCTCTCCCTGCCTGTGAATGGCAGCTGGAACATTGCCACATGAACAACCTTCTCAGCTCTGCCCACAAGATACCATTATGGGGCGTGTGCACAGCATATTGTTTACCTCCCTGCAACTTAAAGAGTGAGGAACAAAGGCTAAAAAGGAGGGAAACATACTATTGAGCATACTTTCTATAGCACTGCATTGAGCTGGATCAGACAGCCTTCTCAAAATTGCCTAAACATCCCTACTCTCCACTGTAGTTTTGGAGCAAATCGTGCATGGGCAAATAAGTCATGGGGAGAGCTTTGTCTGAGAGACTGGTGGTAATTATTGTGGCAAAGAGGGAGCCTGACAACTGCTAATTTTGAAGCTCTAGTGAGGAGAGAGGAATTGACCGAAAATGCAGTATCTGAGCTGCAAAGGCACTAACTCGTGACTGTCAAGCACTCCTACGGTACCTGACAAGAAAGACAGCAATCCATGATTTATTATTTCTGAAAGATTAGGTACAACCATGCCATTTACTATCCCAGAACTTTCATTAAGGTACTTGTTTGTTTTTCCCAGGTAACTGAAATACTTGGGGGACAATCCAGCAAATCATTTTTAAGCACCAGTAATGTCAATGGAAGAGATTTCAAGCTCTCCCATTGACACCAGTCATGCTTTAAAGTACTCAACTTTGGCAGGATTGCACCCATTATGTGTATTCAGTTCATTAACCAAAACATAAAAGTGAATGGAGAAATTCAAAGAAAAACCCACGGATGCAACCGTCTGTCCTATGCAGGAACAGTATTTTTCTTTAAAATGTAATCCTGCTTCCCCAAAACGGTTCATGGCATACAATCTCTCTTACCATCCCAACAGCTCAGGTGCAAAAAAACCACACCTTTCTAGAGCTACACATCTTCCAAATCACGACTGAAGAAAACCATTACAAATAAATTTAAAATTATGGCATTTGTACTGGAAGATAAAAATTGTCTAGCTCTATATTCAATAGCTGTGGTCATACATACCTCATGTTCTAGGAACAAAGCCTTCAACTGGCCTTTGGACCAGTAATCCAGTGCATATGCCAAAAGCTTCATCGACAACGTATTCACACGTAAAAAGTTACCAACAAAGACAACACGGTTTATCTTCTAAAGAAAAACAACAACAACAAGAGTTTCCTCAGTGGGATATAATCAAAAGCAATACAAGTTTTCACTGGGATGCAAGAGTGACTAGCATCACAATCCTATGTATGAATGAATTCTAAGCACAAATTCATCAGTAAGTCCCACTGGGGTTGATTCCCAGTTAAGTGTGAAAATGCTCGTGGAGTCAATTAACAATAAAAAAATTGTATAACTAACATTTAGGTAACATTTAGATACTTTAACCACATTTAAATCCTGGACAGTTTGCAAAGTTATGTGTGCTTCAAAAACCCATAAACTATTAATGCATGCATTAAACATTGCGTAAATTGCCAGAAAGTTGGGGCCAGATATCTCCTTCTGTGAATGTATAGATCAGGGGTCTCCAAGCTTTCCTTGCCTCGGGTTGGTGTCTCGAGCGATGATTGCGTGGCGAGCCAGAGGGTGTGCCCGTACGCGTGCGCAAATGCTATTTCCGGTGCACATCCTACCTGGAAGTGGGTCCCTGTGCTGGTAAGAGTGGGTGGCGGCGGGGATTGCTGTGGGCTAGATAAACGAGTCCCTTGGGCCTTATCCGGCCCCCGGGCCATAGGTTGGTGACCCCTGGTATAGATCCTGCTGGGGGAAAGGCTACGTTCACTAATTCGCCTTCCCCGCTCCTGCAGACCCGCTTTCTGGAAAGCCAATCCCCTGCATATTTTCAGTAGGGGCAAGGGGTTGCAGGGGGAAATTAGTTAAAGTTGCCTCCCCTCACCTTCTGTCAGTAAGGGTGGTCTGAAGTGGAACTCTGTTCAGCTGGTACAAGTCTGGATCAAGTGTGGAACCTAAATATCACATGAATTCTGACCCCAAGCCCATCCAATGTTAAGCTCATCAGCACCCACTCACTCCCCCACCTTTTGATGTTAGGTAGGTGGCAACCCAAAAAGGTGGGCTTTCATACAGTTTTGCTTGTGGACTTTTCCTTTCCAGAGAGGTTCAGCTAGCACCAAACCTGATGTTCCTCTAGCACAAAGCAAAGACCATTTTATTTGCCCAAGCCTTCAACATCTCACCTAGCTGGTTTTCAATCTGGTACCTCTGTAATCTATTTTTCATAGAGCTGGAAGGGGACCCTGAGGATCATCTAGCCCAACCCAAATATGCACCTGGCCCATACAGGGATCAAACCTGCAACCCTGGCATTATCATCAGCACCACACTCTAATCAACTGAGCTATCCATGGGGGAAAGAAGAACACATAAGATTCATAGAATCATAGAGTTGCGTTCCTAGGCATTTTATATAATTGTTATCAGTGTAACATGGTAGCTATGTGAATTCAAGGGAACAATGGTCAACCAAAGTCATTTCAAGTTGTAAGCAAGGTCCAGGCTAGCTAACATATACCATAGCAACAGGTATTGGCAACTTAAACGGGGTGATTTGTATATGCCACTGTATTCTTCATCCTAGACGAGAAGAACAAATTCTTATTTGGATCAAGCAAGTGTAATACAATCGAACCAAGCCACTACTCTGACAGGAGCTGCACTTTGTGCCTTCATAGCCCTGTACAATGCTGCTTGATCCATATGCAACAAGGCAGCACTGTAAAGAAGCCGAAGGCAGCAAGCAATATTCCAGATGAGCAACTGCTCTTCCATATTTCCACAAGTTTGCATCTGAAACAGATGGGATGTTTCAGACAGCAGCAAAGACAGACGTGTGTTCTCACAAAAAAGGAAGAAGAACTCAGTAAGGTACATATTTTATATTTAAGTCTTATTATAAAAATAAAAGCTTATAGTAAAATGTTTAAAGACCTGAAGACTTTTGATTTAAATAGTGATTATCAACTTAAATCTCCAAATAGAGAAAAAGGCAGATCCTGACCAGCCACCTCTGATTTGTGAGAGAAAGATCCTGTTAGTTCTCACACTATTCCAATCTGGATTTTAAATGCATTGCAGTCTCTGCTGTTCCTGCCCAACAAAGCTTACCTCATTTACAGCACACATCCGTGCTATAGATCCGATATTATTGGTGATAGTAACCAGTGTAGCTCTAGCCAGGTCTTCCTTACTAACAGATTCCCGCTTTTCCTTGTAGATCATATTCCCGAAGCTGAAAGACGAGAGATGCCATAATGTCAGATAATCTTCTGTTAAAAATACAATTTCTATGCTGGTCTTTCTTTCACTTAGGGCACGGATCTCTAGCTGGGGCTGGTAAGTGCGGAAACACAGCCAATAATATACAACTGTGCTTGCTGACTGCCCAAGGCCCTTCACCTTTCCCAGAAGAACCTAGGCAGCCTTTCATCGCTCCAAGAGTTGAAGGACTCAGGTCAAACTGCAAGGAAAGAGCAACAGTGTTTGAGTCCAAGTCCAACTGCGCTGTGTTAGCAGACACCACTTTCCGTTTCAATGGCTTGAGGTTGGCAGATTTACTTTTAGATTAGCTACTGAACAGGATACGTCTCGTGTGTAATTAGAACAAAGACTTGCAGAGTACAAACCAGACACAACTGCCTAGTTTAATTCTTTGTTATTATGCAGGCATGGGCCATGTTTTGGAAGCTCATGCACTACAGGCAGGCACCATATGGGTGTCTTAAATTGGTTTCATTGCATCAATGTACGTAGGCTAAAATTTAAGTGTCAGTACTTTAAGCTAACTAAACCACTGTGTGCAGTGCACAGAATAAATCTGGAGGTGGGGCAGGGAAGCTCTGTTCTCCAAGTGGCAAATACTAAGTTGGATACAATTTGTGTTTCCTCTTATGTATCTGTAAATAAATAGATTAAGTAAACAAATCACATTTTTAAATTCCTTATTAGGTGTTCTAATTAAAAATCAATGGGTTGTAGCCAATTAAGTTCTACTCAATTAAATCAATTAAGTCAGCTGATTTCAGCATATGACTAACATTGGAACAACCCATCTTTTTAAAGGCCTCTTAAATCCAGCAAAAATTTTTATGGTGCTGTGTATTCTCCTACAACACCTACCTAGATGCCACTGCCCACCCTGGCAAGCCAAACCGTTCATAATCTCCTCCATAAATATCCCGGACTAGCTTGTCGGCATGTGTACTTTCCCCTTTAGATGCCATTTCTAGAGCTTCTTCGAAACTTTCACATCCAGTCAGCAAGCTGCACAAGCCAAGAAAGGTCCCACCACCTAGACTGGTGTGGAAAAAAAAAAGAAAGAAAACGCATTGGCTTGTAAATTGCATATTTAAAATTAACAATTTTAATTCTAGACATCTTACCTGTGCGACCCAGGAAATAAATTGAATAAGCTCAACTGACTACAATCTACATAAGGACTTAGGCAAAACACATTCCTAGTGAACAATGAATAATAAGCTGTTCATTTTTAGTTGTTGCCCACCATATCATGAAAGTTCTTGGTGGGCAGTATTAAAAAATCAGGAACAGCAACACCAACCAAAACAATTATTATGGAACCCAACTCAAGCATTTATCTTTCGAGGTGCCTCTCCCAACCAAGGAAGCTGAAATGGTGTTTAGGGTAACCACAAATATCCTGTTGACTAGGACTAAGTTATTGTAATTGTGTCTGTAGCAAGAGCCATCAGCAGCTGGATAGTCCTAATAAAAACAGAATAAATCTTCCCAAATCCTGTTATTTTCTTCCTTTCTTTTAAAAAATATTCCATTTTTTTAACCAAGCCGCCTATAATATAATAAAAAATGTTAAAGTTATTTTGTGAAGGTGGTTAACCAAAAAAAATGAAAATGTAACTCTAAAAAAGAATTCACACTGCTCTTAAGACAAGAAAGCTAAACACACTGCAAAATAAAAAGATACTTCTGAATGGCAATTTCGTCAATGATGTGTATGCATTTGAAAGAGACCCATGAACACAGATTTATCATTTCATTTAATAGCTTATTCTGGCATTCTTTAAATTCTCTACCTTGTTCCAGTTACTCTCTTATAGTTGTCTCTGGAATGGACAGCTAAAATACTGACTCCTGAACCAATGTTTACAACCAGCAACGGGTATGGATCATCCAGGTTAAAAGGCATCTTTTGGCATCTTTCAGGTTCTGATGCGTTTTCAAAATAGTAGCACTCTGCCTGGCCATTAAAACTGACAGAATCTATGTACAGCAAGCCTTTGACAAGGCAGTCAAGTTCATCCAGTTTGTGCAGCTGGAGGTCTCCAATCTGCAAAATTGCAAAAGAGACATTATTTTGGCTTCTTCTCATCACAAAATGTTATCAGCTTAAGTCAAATTCACTCAGATGCAGGTTTTAAAAGACTACAGTGTTATACAAGCAGATAAATTTGTTATCGTGTCTTTAGAATGATAACTTATACCAGCATTTTCAAAATAATCAAGCCAGTTAGTAGTAAGAAACCCACAAAACTCCTAGACTTTCATCAGCTTCTCTATTTCTGGCATATATATTAACAGTAGTTTTCATTTCCTGCAAATATTTCAAAACAATTTCTCAAAATTAGCTTCTCAAATTCTTTTTCTCTCTTTTGTCGCTTTTTTTATCCAAATCAGATGAAGCATTGCAAATTAAGAACATGCAAGGCCCACACAACTCTTCTGCAGGCTATATGCACTCAATTTCTACTTGCAGACCATTTTTGACAACACTTTAAATAAAACTTTACAACTCGGCTAACTCCACCTACACTCACTGTCAAAAGACTGGATGAGAAAGGAAGTCATCATACATCCACTATTTAAGTATAATCTTCACTGCTATTCCAGAACTACCCAGGAAAGGACTGACCTTAATTCTTTTATAAAAATGGTACAGTCATTGTTCTTAAAGGGTTAGATGACTGCAGACAGAAGTAGGCAACTCATGACAATAGACAAGCCATAGCAAGGAAGTGTGGCCCACATATTACATGCACCCAGGACTGAAAAAAATCCCAAGTATGCAAAACATTTCTGGTTGTTTTCCAACCCTGCATACAAATATTGGGTTCTGGGGGCTCCTATCAAAGGAAAATGAGAGACGAATGCTAACTGTCAACGGTGCAATGGCTAAAAATCTATGTGCTCAAATTTTGACCATGATATAGCACAACTTTCTGGTCTATATCAGAGGAAGAAAAGCTTGTTAGTCACTGATTCTGAATTAATGTCGTTATTAATGCAGTTATAAGGAAAACAAAGGACTATTTTGAAAGCAGATGTAGAGGCAGGACAAAAATTGTTTCCAGCATGTTGTCACTGCCATGCATGCAAAGATCTTACGCAAACAGGTCCAAAGTACTAATTCAGAAGTATCCTGGCTCATCAGATCTTTGCCTATGATAGCAAAGGCAATGCTTTCAGAGACTTATTACTTAATCACCACAGACTATAATGTACTTCAAGAACAGATTATGTAACAGAGGATACAACAGAACTACCTACTGTGCGAAAATCTTCTTCAAACTTATAGGCACCACCGCCAGTGGCACAGAGCACCGTATGCAGCGTTGAGAAGTTTTTACTTCTTCCCATTTGAATAAAAGTAGGCAGATCATGGGTTGGGAATCGGATAAAGTGCAAGTTTCCCTTTCGCCCAAAAAGTATCAAGTCCTTGAGTTCAAGGTGGACATCTCGAATACCAGTGGACCCATAGGCTACGTTTGATGTCAAATATTTGCGAATACTTTTCAAGCTTTCAACTTCTTCCTGCTCTTCTTCTGCAGTGATATCAATAGGTTCAAAATATGCAAGTTTCACGAGGGTTCCCCCAATGTCCATACCAAACCATGGGAAAGCTGTGGTGAAACAAAGTTACTTGTTAGAGAATCATATGCATATGAAAATTGAGAATGAACGTCTTCTCCGCTGCCAGCACCTTAACAGTCTCTCTGCTGTCTTTCTAAGCAATTAGCAAAAACTGCTTGACATCATAAGAAATGTGGACCAGATCACTCCTATGTATCCTCTTTTGTTAGCACATTTGAGCCAGTAATGACAAACCAACTGCATGCTACAAACAACCGAAAAGCTAATCACAATCCAAAAATGGATTTCTTAAAAAGTGAATTATACCACTTGGAAAGTACTTTTCCAGATGGGTTTTGAAAAACACTCTTTTCACAACTGATTTACTTTGTGAGTTAAAATGTTTGTAAATCACGGTGATTTCTTTTTTAGAAAGGCAGAACAGAAGTCAAGTAAATAAGAAGACTTTGCTCTTAACCCTACTATGTAGTAAACAGAAATGTGAATTATTTATAGGGGGGGCGTGGGCAGGATGACTTCTAAGAGCAGCAGAATCCATAAGGTTAAATAATCTGCTCCTCTGTCAATCTAAACATTTATAGGTCCCTGAAAAACTACTATTTTCAATCTTACACACACTTACTTGGAAGTAAGTCCCATTGAACTGTTCTTCTGAGAACAGTTATGTAAATATGCAATTTAATATATATTAATATAGATCCCTATATTGTATAGGCTTAACCATTACTTCAACATACTTCCCACTTGGAAGATTTTTCAGAAACTTTTTAGGTAGCTTCCTCTTCAACTTGCAATTATAAAACTGCAATCCCTGCTCCCTTAAAGTACTTGGACATAAGCAACTTGTTTATAACTCTTCAGCACTAGATACTAAAAGATTGACTAAGGACATCTAGTAATCTTTGAACCTTGGTTGTTCCTGACAACAAGATAGCTATAATTTTTAGCCATAAAGATGAACACTCACATTTACTTGTGGTTAGTTATTAAGTCCATATTAATGTTTTGTGGGTGGGCAATATCTTTTTATAAAATAGCTGCTTATGAGACATGAAAGTATAGCTCGGTTTTCTTTGAAGTATTATCTTCAGAACAGAAGTGGGGAAGCCGCGGTAGCAGTTTCCTCACAAAGGTTGCACTACAGACGCCAACAATGTATGAAACTCTTCTTTGCAAAAGACTTTTGTACTAGATTTATCATGGGTCGAGACCTCATGACGCTCAATTTAGGGTTGACTGGTATTGAGTCTTCTTCAGCATTCTCCCCACTGTCATCAATGAAGCAATTCAGGAAGTTTAGTCCATACACTGGAAAATTCTTTATGAAACACAGCTGCATGTATGCAGCAAAGCAGAAAAGTGAAATTTCAACATGTCAGTGTTTACAGACTATGGCTTGCACCCACTGTAACTCTAAGTAGCCATCTCCCACTCTCCTTGCCCCACACAGCCCTTACATCTGTTCTGGGGGTTCCACCAATGCTCCAGAATAGATCTGGGGAGGGCAGGGGCACAGAGAAGAGGGAAAGTCCCCCTGCGCAAGTGTAAATTCTTGTGCTGTTGGGACAGTTACTTAGTATGACATTGGATACAAGCCTATGAGTTGTAGCCAATTAAATTGTACTCAAGAATAGAACCATTGAAATGAATGGGCCTAAGTTAGTGAGGGTCATTATTTTCAATGGGTCTAACTCTTGAGAATGACCAACCACATGGGTTGTATCCTAGGGCGGCATTATCAGAAACAGCCAGTATCCCTGCTGCTTATGGTAGCTTTCTACGCCATTACTCTATTGTTCTGGAGTATTCTGCAACCCACATAAGCAGGTTTTCAGGGCGAGTAGGAGAACTGTTGAAAATCAGGTTTCCAGACCTACCCAAGCAGAAGAGGTGCCACATTTAGCATATATTGCCACTAGAGAGCAGTGGGTTTTATCGAATGCTGACACTGCCTAATGTCACCATCAGATACAACCCACTGCTTCTTAGTGAGCAAAAACATCAGCTAATGGAAAGCAGCACCTGCAAATCTGGTGGAGCCATAAAATTATTTTTGTCATGCAGCTGTGCTCACAGGAATATGAGCATAGGCTTAATTTGAAGAATACAAATTCATATGTAATTAGGCGATTATTTCTACATATGCAAAGTGCATAATAGCCAAGCAAGTGGTGAAGTCTTTTGAGACAAGGATTATAAATCTAGACTAATGTCACAGGAAATGTAGCAAAATCTTCACTGGCAACTCAGACATGGCTGCCTGATGTTAGATTACCTGAGTGGCAATCCTAACCACACTTACTAGGCAGCAAGGCTCACTAAACTAAATGGGACATGTACAGAATTGAGCTATCTGCCAGGTATACGTCTGCATTTAAATAAATGGCGTTACCGTACGCTCTGGCTTCCGTCATGGTGTTCTGTTGCGCCATAAGTGGTTTAGTCATGCTGGCCACATGACTTGGAAAGCTGTCTGTTGACAAACGCCAGCTCCCTTGGCCTGAAGTGAGATGAGCGCTGAACCCCATAGTTACCTTTGACTGGACTTAACTGTCCAGGGGTCTTTGACATTACCTTTTTTTTTACCTTAAAGGTAAAGGGACCCCTGACCATTAGGTCCAGTCGTGGCCAACTCTGGGGTTGTGGTGTTCATCTCGCTTTATTGGCCGAGGGAGCCGGCGTACAGCTTCCGGGTCATGTGGCCAGCATGACTAAGCCGCTTCTGACGAACCAGAGCAGCGCACGGAAATACCGTTTACCTTCCCACCGGAGCGGTACCTATTTATTTACTTGCACTTTGACGTGCTTTCGAACTGCTAGGTTGGCAGGAGCAGGGACTGAGCAACGGGAGCTCACCCCGTTGTGGGGATTCGAACCACCGACCTTCTGATCGGCAAGCGCTAGGCTCTGTGATTTAACCCACAGCGTCACCCGCGTCCCTTTTTTACCTTACCTGTGCTTAAATAATTTGTCAGGCAGGAAATGTATGCTTACAGAAATAAAAATAAGTTCAAGATGCATTCCTATAAATGTTATATTAATTGTTCATGTTGTTCTTATTAAACATTTGGTGTGTTTTGTTGCTTACTTTGGAGCACAGCCCCCTCAACTTTTGTTACAACACTCAGAATGCAGGAAAGTGTTTTTTGTAAACCTAACTTTGTTCACATATAACCATGAACAAAGGTATGAGCTGCTTACCAGTGGTCTATAAATCTGCTAGAAAGCATTTTATGAGTAGAGTAATTGTCAAAAGGAACAACAGAAAGTGAGTGACAATTAACATTTAACCTCCCTTTTGTGCAAAGTCACCATGGCAGTTGGCACTTTCTTGGAGCTTTTTTTTTATTCATTAATGTGACACTGGACATTTGAGAAACAAACATTGTATAATCTCAGTTAGCAAAGGAAAAAACCAAAGAGTAAGATTTGTATAAGAAAGCTCTTGCAACTATTTACAAAGAGTCTGCTTCTATTAAGTTTACTGGATACAATTTCCCATTTTACTAAGTTATTCAGTTTAAATTCCAGACTCCTACAGTATTTTCCTTCCAGGATCAAAGGGCAAGAGGCATATGCCACATCTGCAAGACTATCATATAATATATATATATATATATATATATATATATTATTATAAAACACTGGTAAATGCTATCAATCACATGTTCCTAAAATGTAATTTCTTATACTTCTCTCATGCCACTATTTAAAAAAACAGAAGCTTCTCAGAATACATATATCAAAATTAAAATGAACCAATTGCCTACTCTTGGGGCCCTACTGCACATGCCATTCAGGGCAAAAGGTAAAAAGGGTAGGTGGGTAAAACACTCCTTTGTTAAACTACTGGTAAGTCCAGCATGGCTTTAAGAGAATTTATTGCTTGTTAGACTGCAGTTCTATGTATCCTTATGTCAGGAGTAACACAAGTGGGACTTACTTCCAAGAATGCATGCGTGTGACTGAACAGCTTATTTGTTGTTGGTTTTTAAGTGCTCCCCAAAGTCTGTCACAGTATGACTTAAACAAGAATGTGCTAATAACTGCACAGGAACTTAATCCTAGCTTCTACTGCGATGTCACTGAGAAGATTTGTATTATTAAAGTTCCTTATAGGACTATATGAAATAATATATTAAGCAACTAAAATAATTCACAATATTAAAAAGGATCTATGAAAAAAATCTGTTTCCAATTTTCACAATCACACACCCACTGAAAACATGTAAACTTTAATTTACATGAAGGGCCAGTGGCTGTAGAAAGGGGAGAAAAAGGAAGCAGGGATATCATCCTTTCACCACTTGACACCAGCTATTTCCTCAAGCTGCAACAGAGGGAGAGAATGAAAGCAGGGCCACTCCAGGGCCTTTCTTGAGACCTCTTCCTGTACTCTTACCATTCCAGCTGACAGAGCTTTGGAACCAGTGCCTGAGTTGGCTTTCTTTCCTCTTCCCTGCCAATCACTTTTGTGACATATATTTTAAATTGGCTGTTGGCCATTGGCCTGAGGGCAGAGTATTGATATTTGGACATCTTTTAGGCAGAAGAGGAGGGAAATGTACCAAATAACTATGTAGCAGTTCAAACATGACATCATATTTTAAAGAGGACTATTGTAGGGAAAGTATGACAAAAGCACATAGGTCAGAGACAGCATGATCATATACAGACCCAATTCACTGGAACACTATTTGATGGCAGTTTCCTAGCACACACACCACGTGAACGCAAAACAAAACAGAAATGTGTGCAGGTATCAGACAGGACAACCTGCACATCATTTCCACATGTTGATAGACTGGAGTGTTTCCTACAGAGAACATGCATAATGTGTAAAAGTGGTGCCGACACAGCCATCCCTTACTACTCACTGAAACCCAGTCAAGTTCTTAACAATAACGGAAAAGCAAACTTCACCGCATTGGCTCCCCGCTCCTTCTACAAATCTCAACCCAAGCATGTGCCTCTGGCTACCAAAACACCACAGATGCAAAACCCAACACCGACTGGCTTATTTTTGCGTGAGCCAACGCCAAGCAAAGCGGCGTGGCACTTCCCCTCCTGGTTTGACCACCCCCGGGTTTTCGTTTTAAAAAGCGAGCCGACACCTGCTCAAGCCCCGGAGAAGAGAAGGGAAGGAGGGCTTGGCAGGAAGAGGGAAATCTTACACGGCTTCTTGGCATCTTTGATCTTCATGACTCCGCCGCGGCGCTCCCGGCGGCGCTACCTCCGCTCGAGCCCCGTCGCGGGCTTCCCGTGCCTTGGGTGATGCCCCCGGAGGAAGAGGAGAGGGTGGCGGCGGCGGCGGCGGGATGTTACGCTCTCTGAGGAGAGGCGAGGGCGCGCGCCGGCCTGACAGGAGGCGCTCCGAGGGCGGGGAGGGAAAGGCGAGAGAGGGAGGAGGAGGAGGAGGAGGCCGACGCTCGCTCGCTCGGCTGAGGGGAACCGGGGGGAGGCCAGGCGGGGTTGTTAACGCCCTTCCCGCGAGCGGCTCATGGGGCTGCGCTGCCGCTGGGTGGCCCCTCAGGGAGAAAGAGGAGGAGGCGGGACCCGCCGCCGCCGCCGCGCCAGCCCCACCCACACACTCGGCACCACCGCCAGTTCACCGGCCGCCGCCGCCGCCCCCCCACCTCCTCCTCCTCCTCGTCTTCACTAGACGCCCGCTAACATAAAACAACGGCCGGCCGCCGGGCGGTGGGTGGGGCTGGGGCTCCGGAGAGGGCCGCGCTGACGATGCCACAACGCCGCCCGCCTCCTCCTCCCTCTCCCTCCACCCGAGGCACGGGACCCGCGCAAGGGCAGCTGGGAAAGGAGGAGGAGGCGGGGTCGGTGGCTCCGAACTTCTCCGGCCTACGCCTCCCAGAGCGCACCGCGAGGATCCTCCCGCTCCTGGGCCACTCTGCGCTCGCTAAGCATGCCGGGAGCTTTCGTAGTTCCGAGGGTCGGAAAGGGAGGCCATTTTCTCGCGGAGGCTTTTTTCCCCCCACAGCGTAAAGCGGCTTCGGTGGAACGCTCGCTACAACTCCCCCTCCCACCCTCGCTTTTACCTTCGCCGCAAGAAACACGCCACTCACCCCACAGCGAACCAGCCAATGGCAAGCGAGGATTTCCCTGCTCCACCTCCCCTCGCCTCTAGGTGTGATTCTGTTGGCGGAAAGCGCCTCCTAGTGGTCACGCTTGATAGGCGGCGGCGCGCATTCGCGGGGCGGGGCGGGGGTGAAATTGAGTTTATTCTTTCTCGGAAGGTAACGAAGTAAAAGTCGGTTGAAATAAAAAGGGTATTCTTCGTTTGCATGATTTTTTCTTCTTCTTTTGCAAGGGACGCCTCCTAAGCCACCATCAAACTCACTGTCGGAGGCAGTGATTCTCTGAATATCAGTTGTCTGGGATTCACGTGTACTGTAGTAGGGAAAGTGCTGCTGCGCTCGTGTCCTGCTTATGGTCTTCGCATGAGCCTCGACAGCTCCAGCCGAAGGTCCTTCTAGTCCAGCGCCCTGTTTGCAATAACCAGACAGGAATCCCTCAGGCAGGACGCGAGTGCAATTTCACTCCCCTGCCTGTGATCTTCAGCAATTGGGCATTCACAGATCCTTGTGATTTTGAACTCAGAATCCACCTCGCACCCATAGCCTAAAACCCATGTCACGTCTGCACTGGTGGGCTGAAGAGATTGCAGCGGGGGAGTATGCCGGAGTTGACATACACATCCCCGCACAGTTAATTTGCTATAGCTGTGGTTTTTATGTTCCAAAGCCATGCTCAATTAACCTCTGTTTAATATAACACACACACAAGCCAGCCCGGGTCACATTTGCAGCCTACTTCTGTGTAATCTAGTGCTGTGCGATGTAGTCCATTCCCTTCGCAGTTCTTTTCCTCTGTGAAAGAGGCTTTGATTTTCCTGCCCCATTTTTGTGGCGCTTGACCATTTCCTTAGAATTTCTGCGGGTGTGGGATTTTAAGGTAACCTTATCACCGCAAGGCACCCAAGGGTGGCATGTACGTTTTGCTTTCCATTAAACATTTCTACAGCACTCTGCAGCCTCACTGGCTGTTCATAGTTCCAGGATTTGAAAAAGACGCATGGGAGGAGTTGCTTCATAATTCCCTCCCTTGGGGTTTAAACACAACACCTGGGAAGGCTACAGTGTATGGTGAAAGGATTTGTAGAATGATCTGTAGAATATATTTGAATCTTGTGAACTGACCCTATTTTTATTCATTAGATTTATATACTGTCCTTCATCATAAGACCTCAGGGCGGTTCACAAAGTAAAAATACAGGATAAAAACATGAAAAGAAGTAAAACAGCAAAACAATAACGCTTCCTCATGTTGCCACCCTCCAGACCTCATGTGGAGGAGACACAAGAAGGACCTGAGATGTTTGGATGAAGGGTGGTATTTAAATTTAATAAATAAATGAATGAGATACCCCTTGGCCACCTCACACAAAAAAAGTTCACTCCAGCGAAACCCCTGCACTTCACCCATGAGACTTTCATTGACATTTTCCCTCGCCTTTGATAACTTTGGAATGCAATTTCTTTCCTAGTTAATTGATAGAAGATGGTTGAGGAAAAAATGCAGGAGAAATTTTGGGCACAGCATTACTTGTACAGCCAGATGTATCCAAGTTCACTGAAAGCAATGGGCATAGGTTGCCATCTTATTGTACCCGTGTGGCATATTTGGAATTTTGAGAAAGTGCAGCGTGTCCGGTCACGAAATGGCTGCAGCGGAAGTCTAGCTTAACGCAAAATGGCTGCCAAATCTGATAGAGAACAAAAAGAGAAGGGACCACAATATGGAGTGAGAACGTCCCCATCAAGTCAGCCAATGTTGTACTCATTCACACTCTTTGCATCTCTCCTCTGTTCAGAATGAATGGGAGTGCAATCCTGACACTCATTGAAAGGCGACCATGTTTAAGGGGCATGTCCAATGTACAAAAAGGAACTGGGCAGGAAGAGCAAATGGCCTCTCCTCCGCTGTGGATTTTTGAGGGGACATTTTATGAGAAGTGCCGTGGGTGCCATAATAGGTACCGGTGGACTCACTGGCATGTTTAAATGGAGTAATTGTTAACAAAACGAGGCGTTGCCTTCTGCATAGCCAATATAAGGCAATTACCAGTCCTATGTAATTTCTATTGCAATGCTCTCTTGATAAAATTGAGTTTTTGGGAGGTGGACATAGGTTTGACTTTAATGAGGGGCTACAGACAACGGATTGGGGAACCTGTGGCCCCCCAGATGTTGTTGGACAAGCCTCATGAGCCACAACCTGCATCGCCGAAGATCAAGAATGATGGGAGTTGTGGTCCAACAACGCTGCTAAAAGGCAACAAGTTTCCCAGCCCTGGGTCAGGTTATATGATTTCACTGCAAAAGGTAGTGCTTTTATTTATCAAGAAATGACAGTGTACAGAAAGATAGAAATATTCTGAGGCAAACTACACATACATTCAACACAAGAGATTTTATTTTAAATCTATTGATTGTATGTTTGTTAGATCTTCTAAAATACCAATTTAAGATTTGTGATGAAGTGTAAATAATTTACTCAAATTAGGCCTCATTTTGTTTCCCATTATTTTAACACTCACATATTAGGTAACGACATTAGGGTGGTCATTAGATTTGGGGCAAGGTCTCACCAGTATCGTGATGATATCCAGCTCTATTTCTTTGTTAACATCTGAATCAGGAGCAGCTGCGCATATTGGCTGGTGCCCGAACTATGACCATTCCTGGACAGAGATAGCCTTGCCATGATGGATCACGAGTTATACTAGTAACCTCATGATGAGACTGCTGCAATGCAATGTAGGTGGGGCTACCCTTGTATCTTGATTTAGAAGGTACAGCTAGCGCAAAATGCAACTGCTAGGATGCTTAATGACGAACGCAGCTTTACACATGTCACACTCATGCTGAAATCCGCTCTGGTTTCTTTTTACCGACTGAGTCAAATCCAGTGTTTCGTTGCTGACATTTGAAGCCCTATGGAACTTGGGACCAGGATGCCTAGTAAGACTGCTTCCCCCAGTACAGACCAAGTCAGTCTCTGAGATCTTCCGACAAAACCCTTTATGATCGGCCAAGGAGCTGATTAACAACAACATATCGAGTTAACTACAAACACAGGGTGAAATCAAAGGTGGTTTCCCCACTTCCTCCAATGAGTGAGATATATGGCATGTACTCCGTGTGAGGTGCTTTCCAAGTTATTCCACATCTTGGAGAATACTTTACACGCCAGCCCAATCTCTGAATGGTGCGAGATTCCAGGGGTTGCAAGCACTTACCCAGGATTCATACTTGCTTTTGGAATGAGGCACAGTGGAGACTGCTGTGTCTTTATGATATATGGTTTATTTACACATATATACAGCCTGAGCCTATGTTGGCAGGGTTCACAGCATTAACACCCCAAAAGGGTATTGTTTCGCCCATAGCCACAGCCTTGGATGCAAGCAGAATTCAAACATTGCTCTCAAACATTGTTCTCCCTCTATCTCCAGCTAGCTGCTTTCCTTCCTAGATAAAATCACTGCTACCTGTGCTCCAAACTCTGGCTTTTTCAGTTAAGGGAGCTCCCTTCTCCTATGTCTCACACCAAGTCACTTAATCCCACTTAATGGCTCATCACCCAAGCTATCACCTTACTAAAAAGCTTGCCTGGCTATTCCAATAATTAGAAGACTTGATTAAATTCTAACACTTGCTAGATCCAGGGATTCGAGGGGTCTGGCACCCAGTTTAACACCCCAAATGCAGAACACTACTTTTTTGGAGACAGTGTGATAGCAACATTTCTAGTTCTGGTTGTCACAAATTTATCAGTTTAAGAATAAGGAGGTAATCCCGGACCAGCCAAATGTCCAATGTCCATTAACTTCGCTGCCCGAGTTGACATCTTCCAAAATGCATATTCTCAATTTGGAACCACACTAGAAAGCTGATCATGGTTTACCAATAGAGAACTATGATACCCAAAGTATCAGACTAAAACCTACATCCCGAGAAACACCAGGCAAAGTGAAGGCTACTTGAAACAAAATCCGTACAGGGTTTATTTTGTACAGCCTGTGATGTGCCTTGGCCACCTCAAAGCTCTTCTCTACACAAGGGCATGGATGTGCCCTGTTACATTTTACTGTTGTTTGAAGCTCCCTCAATTTTTTCCCTCACAGTAGGTTTTCAATTCCTATTATAAACATTTTAGCTTTCACCTGTGCCCTTTTCAGCTCTTGTTTTTCCTCACTGAAGTTTTTAAAATATTGCATTTATTGAGTCTTCCCCAATCTGGCACCCTCCAGACATTGTGGACTACAAGTCCCATCATCAATTTCCATTAGCCATGCTGGCTGGGGCTGCTGGGAGTTGTAGTCCAAAACATCTAGAGGGAACCACATGAGAACCCAAGAGCTCTGCTGAGTCAGGCCAAAGGCCCATCTAATCCAGCGTCCTGTTCTCACAGTGGCCAACCAGACGCACAAGGGAAACTTGCAAGCAGAACCTAAATGCCAGGGTACTCTCCTCAGCTGAGATTCTCACCAATTCAGAGGTTCAGACTGCCTCTGACAGGAGAGGTAGAACATAGCCATTGTGGCTAGTAGCCCTTGATAGCTTTGTCCTTCATGAATTTGTCCAATCCTCTTTTAAAGCCATCCAAGTGGGTGGCCTTCACGACTTCCTGTGGTGTGAGAAGAAATAGTTACAGAACAGTCCTGAGTCTTCCATCTTCATTGAATTTCCTCAAGTTCTGGTATCATGGAAGAGGGAGAAACACTTTCTCTGACCCATTTTCTCCACCCCATGTTGAGGAA